TTCCAATCTTGTGGTTCCTAAGTAACAATGATGTAGAATCAAGAAGAGATTGATCGCGAAGAACTAAATACATGGTGCCAAGTGAGTGTCCTTATATATCCAGTCCTTCCTGTCACTGATGTGTTCGGGACACATCGCTGATGCGCTCCGCGCATCGCTGATGTGCAGTGCACATCGCTGATGAGCCACTGTTGCCTTGCTGCCTTAGACAGCTGTTCCTGGCTCCTTCATGCCAATTGGTCGGCTGCCATACCTGGCTCCCTTGTCACGTGTGTGTCAATCTTGACAGATCGGTTGGTCGTGGTTGACTTATTTTCTTCAACCGAAGTGGGTCCGTAACATCATCCCCCTCCTTCAGGGTCTTTGTCCCCAAAGACTTAAATAGCGTCTTCCCCCTTTGGTGAGTTCCTGTTCCTCATGTTTCTTCACCTATTTCGATCATCATGGTGTGTCGTTCCTCTGTTCGCAAAAATAATCTGACGACGAGAATCGAGGAGGAAGGTTTCAGGGCTGTAATCCCTTGTGAACGCTGCGTCCGTCTCAAACGAGTGTGTTTCCGTGCGGAGTGTTCCGACAAGTGTCTTGGTTGTATCGCTGGTGGTGGTCGGGCGAAGTGCGTGATGTCGAAGCCGACATATTCTGACGCCGAATGGCGTAAACTGGTCAAAATGCAGCAAGAGATTGCTGCTCAACGAAAGAAAGCGTTAGCTCAAGTTATGCGCCTTGAGCAACAAGAAGCTTTGTTAAGAGAGCGTGCTGGTGACTTTATCGCTCGTGAATTTAAGGAGATTTCCGAGTTGGAGGATCTCGAACGTCGTGAAGCTGAAGAGCTTGCTCGTATCGAAAAAGAGCGTGTCGATACGGAAAAACAAGATTGTGGTGCAGAGAGCGTTCGTGCCGCTGGCGAGGTTTCTCAATCTGCTTCTTCCGATCCTGGTAGGATCCTTGCGGCTACGTCAGAGGGTCCTACTCTGACGCAGATTCTTGCGTCTGTCGATCCGTCCAGTCCCGTAAATTGGGACGACATTGATTTCGACGCTTTCGCTGCTTCCGTTGGCGAGGTAGTCTCTTCGCCGCGCGATAATATTGTTGAACCAGCTGGTGGCAGCCCCTCAGGTTCGAAATAGGTTCCCATGTGTTTTCCGAGGTAGGGTACCCTTTCCATTTAACCAAGAGCTTCTGCTGATTATCCATCCATCTATCCCCTAGGATAGCTTCGACTTCGTATTCGTCCTCTGTTTCGTCTTCCGCGAGTTCAACGTTGGTTTCAAGGGTTGCATTTTCTGGTGCGGGTTCGAGTAACGAGATATGGAATGTCGGGAATATTCTTTTCATGCTTTCTGGTAGTTTCAAGCGATAATTGACTGGTCCGATTTTCTTTTCAATTTTAAACGGTCCGAGTTTCAGGTGGTCGAGTTTCGAGCTAGGTCGCTTGGTTTTGATGTTTCGTCGTAAGAGGTACACTTTCATCCCCTCTTTTAGGTCTGGCCCTTCCGCGTGGGTGCGGTCGTAGTACATTTTCATGCGGTAGTTCATGAATTCAATGTCTTTGGCGAGTTGTGCATGTAGTTGTCTGATGCCTCGAGCCATGAGTCGTGCGTTTTCGGCGACTGGTTTCTTGCCGATTGCTTCTCCTAGCAGTGTCGGGTTTCTTCCGAATACTGCAAATGCTGGTGTTTCACCGGTCGTTGAGTGGACGGCGTTGTTAAACGCGAACTGTGCAATAGGTAAGAGTGCTGCCCAATTATCTTGTCGGTAGTTGACGTAGTGGCGTAGCCATTGTTCAACTGTTTGGTTTGTTCGTTCTGTCTGTCCGTTGGTATGCGGGTGATAGGCTGTTGAAAGTCGTAGCTCTATCCCTATCAAGTCTGTAAGTGACTGCCAGAGTCTCGAGGTGAATAGTTTGTCTCGATCAGATATCATGACCCTGGGCGTTCCGTTGGTTGCAAAAACGTGTCTCACAAGCAGGTCTGCCATTTCTTCTGCTGTGATCTGCTCCGTGGTTGCGATTAGGTATGTGTACTTCGTGAGTTTACACGTCACTACCATAATCATATCTTGTTCGTCCGACTGGGGTAACTTGGTGATGAAGTCAATGGTGATGACTTCGAACGGTGTTGTCGGTGCTTCGACAGGTTGTAGCTCTCCATACTGCATGTGTCTTGTTGGTTTGTCTCGTTGACAGGTATCGCAGTTTCGTATGTATTTCCTGACTTTTCTGTGGATGTTCGGCCAGAAGTAGTTCCTTGTGATGCTTTCGATAGTCTTTTCTGCTCCCATATGTCCTTCCGCTGGGGTGTCATGGTGGTTTTTGATCGTTTCTTGTCTCAATTTTTCGGGTACGTAGATCAATCCGTGTATGATGACAAGTCCGTTTTCTTGGGTCATCTTTGCTGGTGCGGTTTCCAAGATTTTCTGGATGGTTCCGTCTTTAGCTGTCTCTTCCTTGAGTTTGGCCGTCCATTCGTCTAGGATTTCACTAGTTGCTGCTAGCTGTTGGTGGTTGTGAACAATATTGCCATATTCATCCATTCGTAGGATGGCTGGTGATGCTTCTTTGACTCCTTCTTGGTAGTCAGGTCTTCTGCTGAGCGCGTCTGCTTGACTGTTGGACGTTCCGCTGCAGTGTTCGATTCGGTAATCGTATCGGGACAGTTCTTCTGCCCATCGTGCTTGTCGTCTGGTGAGCTCCTTGGTAGTGGTGAAGTATGTCAGATTTTTGTGATCTGACTTCACTACTACTTGGTGGTTTGCTCCTTCCAAGTATGGTCTCCATGTCTTGAATGCCATGACTATTGCCAATAGTTCTTTGTCGTAGACATCGTAGTTTAATTCGGCTGGTGTCATCTTTCTGGACCAAAATGCAATTGGTCGATATTTCTGTTCGTTATCGGGTTGCGTGAGCCTGGCTCCTAACGCGTAGTCCGATGCATCTGTCTCCATGACATATGGTTTCTGTGGATCATTTCTTGCGAGTATGATTCGTTCCGAAAATAATCGTTTAAGTTCGTTGAACGATTGTTTCGCTTCGTTGTTCCATTCCCACGGCTGGTCTTTTTTCGTGAGTTCTGTTAGGCCGTGTGCCTTTGCTGAAAATCCTCCGATCCATCGTCGGTAGTAGTTGGCTAACCCTAGGAATTGTTGCACTTCCTTAACCTTGGTAGGTCGTGGCCATTCCAGGATGCTTCGTACTTTTTCTTCTTCCATGCTGAATCCCTCCTTGGTGATGACATATCCTAAGAATCCAGTTTCTTCCGTGTGGAACTCGCATTTCTTGAGTTTCAATGTGACTTTCGCTTCTCTGAGTTTCTGAAGAACGAGTTTGTTGTGCTGCACGTGTTCTTCCTCGTTGTTGGAGTAGACCAAGATGTCGTCTAGGTAGACAACAACAAAGATATCTAGATATTCCCTCAGAACGTCTAGAATGAATCTTTGGAATGATGCTGGTGCGTTGGTCAATCCAAAGGGCATAACAGTATACTCGAAGTGTCCAAGTTCTGTTCGGAATGCTGTTTTCCATTCGTCCCCTTCTTTGATTCGTAGCCTGTAGTAAGCTTCCGTGATGTCGTACTTGCTGTATATCTTAGCTTTCCCAACAGTATTTTGGATGCTTTGAATCAAAGGCAATGGGTGTCGATCCTTGATCGTGGCTTCGTTCAGCTGTCTGTAATCGATGCACATTCGTTGCCGTTTCGTGGGGTCTTCGTGTTTCTTCGCAACGAATAGGATGGGGTATCCTGCTGGTGACTTGGATGGTCGTATGTATCCCTTCTTCAAGTTTTCGTCGATATATTCCTTCAAGAGACGTTTGTTGTTCTCGTTGAGTTGGTAAATCGGCATGAACTTGGGTTCCATCCCTGGTTTGAGTTTGATCTCGTGGTCGTACGGACCGTGTTCTGGCAGTGTGCCAATTGGTGGTGGTGTGAACACGTCTTCGAATTCCTTGTATTGTTCAGGTATCTGTACCTCTTCCTCTGTCCCACAGAGGGCCTTCGTGTCTTCGGCGTGGTCAATTACCACGTAGTTGTCAATTTCATCGTCTGACATCGCGACTTCTTCTGTGACATAGGCATCCATTCTCACGATGGTATGCGGGGTCCTACCTCCCGAGGACCGAGGACTATGCTGGGTCTGCTGCCTGTGCATGTTCTCTGGTGTGTCTGCCTGCCCAGGGCTAGACTCCCTAAATTTGGCGGTTTTCTTAGGCTTATCCGTCGCCTCGCCGTTCGTCGTTCGGCATTCACATCGTGTGAATCTGAGTGTGTGCGTTTTCCAGTCGATTTCGGGGTTGTGTCGTTTCAACCATGGACTTCCTAATAGCACATCGTACTTCCCTAGTTCTGAGATGATATCGAAATTATTCATCTCGAAGTGGTTTCCGAGCTGCATTGGTATCCATCCTGTTTCGTATTGTATTCCTGTTCCGTAGGCGCGTCCGTCTAACCCAGTGACTGGTACAGCATTTGGGTTGGCGTAAACGGGTACTCCATGAGCTCTGGCCCATGCCTTGGACAGAAAATTTCCACATGCTCCAGAATCAATGAACGCTCGTGCTTTTCTTCCCATAAGGATCACTTCGACCTTTAGGTGAGGTCCCCACTGCGTTCCGCAAATTGATTGGTTCTGGTTCTTCTTGGCAGGGTCGGATGGTAACAATCCGTGTCTGGCCAGGTAGCTGCTCTTGTACTGGCGTCGCCATCGTGGTGCTTTCTCGTATACGTTTGTTTCGAGTCGGTAGGGTTTGGCCTCAGCTTTTTCTTTGTCGTGTTGCGGGCAAGAATGTAGTTCATAGCACCGCGTGAAGGGTATCGTGCTGTGGTCGGGATGCCTGGCGTATCCGCGACATGAGCAATCCGCTTCATCGCACGGGCATCCTGCGCTGTAGGGTATTTCGTGTTCTGGTCGGAACGCGTACCGCTGTGGGTCGCACTCGATCCAGGCCCTCTTCTTTTCTTCTTTGGTGGTGTTCCTGTTCATGAGTTCGCACAACTCGTTTAACTTCATAACTGCTCCTCTGATGTAGGGTTCTTCCTGACAATTCGGTTGAATATCTCGACGGCCCATTCTGGGTCCTGGTAGTGCAGTTCGGGGCATGGAGGTTCGTATTCGAGGTCCTGGGAGCCCTTCGTTCCTTGAACGAGGTTTCGTGTCTCCTGGGATAGTCCCTCTTGCTCCTGGGACTCGGATTCGTCCAGAGTCCAACTTCTGTTATCCCAATCGATCTCTGGGAACTCGTGTCGCTGGTTTTCTTTCAACAGTTCCGAGGTGTCACTCCCCTCGTACGTCTGTGCTTCTGTGTCTTTGTCGTTGGTGTTTCTCGCGGTTCCGTCCGTTGGTTCGCTGTCTGCGATCTCGCTTTCACTTAGCGTCGTCCATGCTTCAAGCATGTCTTGGATGTCTGATAATGTTTCGTCCCTCTCGCGCTCTTCCGTGGCGCAGATTTGTTTGGTCTCGTTGTATCCGCCTCGGCTCTCGTTTGTTGCTCGAAGTTGCTGCGGTTGTCGCGGTTTCCGTGGTTTAGGGCATTCTTTTGCGAAATGTCCTCCTTGGTTGCAGTTGAAGCATTTTCCTTTCATCTGCCTATATTGCTTTTCCTTTCGTGGGTTTTCTGCCGCGTCCAGATCCATAGGTTGCAATCCATATGGGTCATTGTACTGGGCCTGTCGTGGCTCTCTTCGACCTCCTCGTCGTCGGAATCCGTGGGTTCGGGGAGGTTGTCCTTGTCCCCGCCACTGTCGTGCTTCTCGTCGTTGAAGCGATCTTTCGTATAGTCGGTTGTCGAACTTGACTGCGACTTCCATGAGTTTGCTCAACCTATCGGGTCGGTCGATTCGCATGATTTCGTCTTTCACATCTTCCTTAAGACCGTCTTCATAGATGGCGATGTACGCATCCTCATCCCAATCGAGATGAGAGATGATTTGTTGGAATTCAGCGGTGTATACACTGGCTGATCCAGTTTGTCGGAGTCTCCTCAATCGTCGTTCCGCGGTACGGGTTGCATCAACATCCCCAAAGGTGGCTTCTAATTTCTTCTTAAAGTTGGAGTATGACGCGAAAACTTCTTTTGTAGCTTCATCGCGGTCCTTGCTGGGTTTGTCGGTATAGTCCCGGATGTATGGTTCGAACCATTCGAACGCTTGTCCTCGCAGGTACGTGGATGCATACATGACCTTATCGACTTCGGACTGGAAGTTGACAAGTCGTAATTGCATATCCATCTGCGTCAAGAATGCTCGCAACTTGCCTCGGTGTCCTTCGAAGAAATCTGGCTTCGGTGGTTTGATCTGTGGCAATCGTTGCTTCTCTAGTTCCATAATTTGTTCCTGTAACTGGCTGAGCATGCCTTCCAACTGAGCGTTGGTAGGTGGTGCAGCTGGTGCTGGTGGGCGTGGGGTATTACTGCCTTGAGTCGACATAGTGGCGTCAAGGTCAGGGCGTCAATTGCTGTTCAGTGTCGTACTTGTTCGAGATGGGCGATCAATGTGTTACGCACTACCTAGCGAGTCTCGGTGAGTGGGTCCTCAAAGGGTGATACTTCTCTTGGTCACTCTGCACGCCAAGGGTGTCTCGTCACTCTATTGCAATGCCTACCGATCACACACGGCAACAGGCCTTAGATGCTCAAGTCCTTAGAGGTCTTGCTTAGTAAACGTGGAGCTGCTGAGGGCGCCGACGAGGTCAGGTTCTTATGGATCTCCCCTTCGTCGTTAGGTTTGGATTCGAGACAAGTATGAACAATGAACCGTTGTCGTATTCCAATCTTGTGGTTCCTAAGTAACAATGATGTAGAATCAAGAAGAGATTGATCGCGAAGAACTAAATACATGGTGCCAAGTGAGTGTCCTTATATATCCAGTCCTTCCTGTCACTGATGTGTTCGGGACACATCGCTGATGCGCTCCGCGCATCGCTGATGTGCAGTGCACATCGCTGATGAGCCACTGTTGCCTTGCTGCCTTAGACAGCTGTTCCTGGCTCCTTCATGCCAATTGGTCGGCTGCCATACCTGGCTCCCTTGTCACGTGTGTGTCAATCTTGACAGATCGGTTGGTCGTGGTTGACTTATTTTCTTCAACCGAAGTGGGTCCGTAACACCATAATAATTATCTCGAGACTTTTATTATTTACTAATATTCGACATCCAGCGTATTTGTTATATTAATATCCTTATTCTAATATTCTACCGAATCGGTAGTAATTCAGAAGTACTTCGTTATACTTAAGCCGACTATCTCGAGGCCTCTAATAACTAATAAAGGTTTGGCTGTTCTGCAAGAGAAGTTTATCAAATATAAAGAGCTAAAGTAAGACTTGATTCAATCTATACTAGGCCATAAACTATGTTCGATAAACTTAAGAAAAGGAGTTTAATACACCAGTCCTCCGCTATTAATACACCAAGGTCATATTGTTACGGACCCACTTCGGTTGAAGAAAATAAGTCAACCACGACCAACCGATCTGTCAAGATTGACACACACGTGACAAGGGAGCCAGGTATGGCAGCCGACCAATTGGCATGAAGGAGCCAGGAACAGCTGTCTAAGGCAGCAAGGCAACAGTGGCTCATCAGCGATGTGCACTGCACATCAGCGATGCGCGGAGCGCATCAGCGATGTGTCCCGAACACATCAGTGACAGGAAGGACTGGATATATAAGGACACTCACTTGGCACCATGTATTTAGTTCTTCGCGATCAATCTCTTCTTGATTCTACATCATTGTTACTTAGGAACCACAAGATTGGAATACGACAACGGTTCATTGTTCATACTTGTCTCGAATCCAAACCTAACGACGAAGGGGAGATCCATAAGAACCTGACCTCGTCGGCGCCCTCAGCAGCTCCACGTTTACTAAGCAAGACCTCTAAGGACTTGAGCATCTAAGGCCTGTTGCCGTGTGTGATCGGTAGGCATTGCAATAGAGTGACGAGACACCCTTGGCGTGCAGAGTGACCAAGAGAAGTATCACCCTTTGAGGACCCACTCACCGAGACTCGCTAGGTAGTGCGTAACACATTGATCGCCCATCTCGAACAAGTACGACACTGAACAGCAATTGACGCCCTGACCTTGACGCCACTATGTCGACTCAAGGCAGTAATACCCCACGCCCACCAGCACCAGCTGCACCACCTACCAACGCTCAGTTGGAAGGCATGCTCAGCCAGTTACAGGAACAAATTATGGAACTAGAGAAGCAACGATTGCCACAGATCAAACCACCGAAGCCAGATTTCTTCGAAGGACACCGAGGCAAGTTGCGAGCATTCTTGACGCAGATGGATATGCAATTACGACTTGTCAACTTCCAGTCCGAAGTCGATAAGGTCATGTATGCATCCACGTACCTGCGAGGACAAGCGTTCGAATGGTTCGAACCATACATCCGGGACTATACCGACAAACCCAGCAAGGACCGCGATGAAGCTACAAAAGAAGTTTTCGCGTCATACTCCAACTTTAAGAAGAAATTAGAAGCCACCTTTGGGGATGTTGATGCAACCCGTACCGCGGAACGACGATTGAGGAGACTCCGACAAACTGGATCAGCCAGTGTATACACCGCTGAATTCCAACAAATCATCTCTCATCTCGATTGGGATGAGGATGCGTACATCGCCATCTATGAAGACGGTCTTAAGGAAGATGTGAAAGACGAAATCATGCGAATCGACCGACCCGATAGGTTGAGCAAACTCATGGAAGTCGCAGTCAAGTTCGACAACCGACTATACGAAAGATCGCTTCAACGACGAGAAGCACGACAGTGGCGGGGACAAGACCTACCCGAACCCACGGATTCCGACGACGAGGAGGTCGAAGAGAGCCACGACAGGCCCAGTACAATGACCCATATGGATTGCAACCTATGGATCTGGACGCGGCAGAAAACCCACGAAAGGAAAAGCAATATAGGCAGATGAAAGGAAAATGCTTCAACTGCAACCAAGGAGGACATTTCGCAAAAGAATGCCCTAAACCACGGAAACCGCGACAACCGCAGCAACTTCGAGCAACAAACGAGAGCCGAGGCGGATACAACGAGACCAAACAAATCTGCGCCACGGAAGAGCGCGAGAGGGACGAAACATTATCAGACATCCAAGACATGCTTGAAGCATGGACGACGCTAAGTGAAAGCGAGATCGCAGACAGCGAACCAACGGACGGAACCGCGAGAAACACCAACGACAAAGACACAGAAGCACAGACGTACGAGGGGAGTGACACCTCGGAACTGTTGAAAGAAAACCAGCGACACGAGTTCCCAGAGATCGATTGGGATAACAGAAGTTGGACTCTGGACGAATCCGAGTCCCAGGAGCAAGAGGGACTATCCCAGGAGACACGAAACCTCGTTCAAGGAACGAAGGGCTCCCAGGACCTCGAATACGAACCTCCATGCCCCGAACTGCACTACCAGGACCCAGAATGGGCCGTCGAGATATTCAACCGAATTGTCAGGGAAGAACCCTACATCAGAGGAGCAGTTATGAAGTTAAACGAGTTGTGCGAACTCATGAACAGGAACACCACCAAAGAAGAAAAGAAGAGGGCCTGGATCGAGTGCGACCCACAGCGGTACGCGTTCCGACCAGAACACGAAATACCCTACAGCGCAGGATGCCCGTGCGATGAAGCGGATTGCTCATGTCGCGGATACGCCAGGCATCCCGACCACAGCACGATACCCTTCACGCGGTGCTATGAACTACATTCTTGCCCGCAACACGACAAAGAAAAAGCTGAGGCCAAACCCTACCGACTCGAAACAAACGTATACGAGAAAGCACCACGATGGCGACGCCAGTACAAGAGCAGCTACCTGGCCAGACACGGATTGTTACCATCCGACCCTGCCAAGAAGAACCAGAACCAATCAATTTGCGGAACGCAGTGGGGACCTCACCTAAAGGTCGAAGTGATCCTTATGGGAAGAAAAGCACGAGCGTTCATTGATTCTGGAGCATGTGGAAATTTTCTGTCCAAGGCATGGGCCAGAGCTCATGGAGTACCCGTTTACGCCAACCCAAATGCTGTACCAGTCACTGGGTTAGAGCGGACGCGCCTACGGAACAGGAATACAATACGAAACAGGATGGATACCAATGCAGCTCGGAAACCACTTCGAGATGAATAATTTCGATATCATCTCAGAACTAGGGAAGTACGATGTGCTATTAGGAAGTCCATGGTTGAAACGACACAACCCCGAAATCGACTGGAAAACGCACACACTCAGATTCACACGATGTGAATGCCGAACGACGAACGGCGAGGCGACGGATAAGCCTAAGAAAACCGCCAAATTTAGGGAGTCTAGCCCTGGGCAGGCAGACACACCAGAGAACATGCACAGGCAGCAGACCCAGCATAGTCCTCGGTCCTCGGGAGGTAGGACCCCGCATACCATCGTGAGAATGGATGCCTATGTCACAGAAGAAGTCGCGATGTCAGACGATGAAATTGACAACTACGTGGTAATTGACCACGCCGAAGACACGAAGGCCCTCTGTGGGACAGAGGAAGAGGTACAGATACCTGAACAATACAAGGAATTCGAAGACGTGTTCACACCACCACCAATTGGCACACTGCCAGAACACGGTCCGTACGACCACGAGATCAAACTCAAACCAGGGATGGAACCCAAGTTCATGCCGATTTACCAACTCAACGAGAACAACAAACGTCTCTTGAAGGAATATATCGACGAAAACTTGAAGAAGGGATACATACGACCATCCAAGTCACCAGCAGGATACCCCATCCTATTCGTTGCGAAGAAACACGAAGACCCCACGAAACGGCAACGAATGTGCATCGATTACAGACAGCTGAACGAAGCCACGATCAAGGATCGACACCCATTGCCTTTGATTCAAAGCATCCAAAATACTGTTGGGAAAGCTAAGATATACAGCAAGTACGACATCACGGAAGCTTACTACAGGCTACGAATCAAAGAAGGGGACGAATGGAAAACAGCATTCCGAACAGAACTTGGACACTTCGAGTATACTGTTATGCCCTTTGGATTGACCAACGCACCAGCATCATTCCAAAGATTCATTCTAGACGTTCTGAGGGAATATCTAGATATCTTTGTTGTTGTCTACCTAGACGACATCTTGGTCTACTCCAACAACGAGGAAGAACACGTGCAGCACAACAAACTCGTTCTTCAGAAACTCAGAGAAGCGAAAGTCACATTGAAACTCAAGAAATGCGAGTTCCACACGGAAGAAACTGGATTCTTAGGATATGTCATCACCAAGGAGGGATTCAGCATGGAAGAAGAAAAAGTACGAAGCATCCTGGAATGGCCACGACCTACCAAGGTTAAGGAAGTGCAACAATTCCTAGGGTTAGCCAACTACTACCGACGATGGATCGGAGGATTTTCAGCAAAGGCACACGGCCTAACAGAACTCACGAAAAAAGACCAGCCGTGGGAATGGAACAACGAAGCGAAACAATCGTTCAACGAACTTAAACGATTATTTTCGGAACGAATCATACTCGCAAGAAATGATCCACAGAAACCATATGTCATGGAGACAGATGCATCGGACTACGCGTTAGGAGCCAGGCTCACGCAACCCGATAACGAACAGAAATATCGACCAATTGCATTTTGGTCCAGAAAGATGACACCAGCCGAATTAAACTACGATGTCTACGACAAAGAACTATTGGCAATAGTCATGGCATTCAAGACATGGAGACCATACTTGGAAGGAGCAAACCACCAAGTAGTAGTGAAGTCAGATCACAAAAATCTGACATACTTCACCACTACCAAGGAGCTCACCAGACGACAAGCACGATGGGCAGAAGAACTGTCCCGATACGATTACCGAATCGAACACTGCAGCGGAACGTCCAACAGTCAAGCAGACGCGCTCAGCAGAAGACCTGACTACCAAGAAGGAGTCAAAGAAGCATCACCAGCCATCCTACGAATGGATGAATATGGCAATATTGTTCACAACCACCAACAGCTAGCAGCAACTAGTGAAATCCTAGACGAATGGACGGCCAAACTCAAGGAAGAGACAGCTAAAGACGGAACCATCCAGAAAATCTTGGAAACCGCACCAGCAAAGATGACCCAAGAAAACGGACTTGTCATCATACACGGATTGATCTACGTACCCGAAAAATTGAGACAAGAAACGATCAAAAACCACCATGACACCCCAGCGGAAGGACATATGGGAGCAGAAAAGACTATCGAAAGCATCACAAGGAACTACTTCTGGCCGAACATCCACAGAAAAGTCAGGAAATACATACGAAACTGCGATACCTGTCAACGAGACAAACCAACAAGACACATGCAGTATGGAGAGCTACAACCTGTCGAAGCACCGACAACACCGTTCGAAGTCATCACCATTGACTTCATCACCAAGTTACCCCAGTCGGACGAACAAGATATGATTATGGTAGTGACGTGTAAACTCACGAAGTACACATACCTAATCGCAACCACGGAGCAGATCACAGCAGAAGAAATGGCAGACCTGCTTGTGAGACACGTTTTTGCAACCAACGGAACGCCCAGGGTCATGATATCTGATCGAGACAAACTATTCACCTCGAGACTCTGGCAGTCACTTACAGACTTGATAGGGATAGAGCTACGACTTTCAACAGCCTATCACCCGCATACCAACGGACAGACAGAACGAACAAACCAAACAGTTGAACAATGGCTACGCCACTACGTCAACTACCGACAAGATAATTGGGCAGCACTCTTACCTATTGCACAGTTCGCGTTTAACAACGCCGTCCACTCAACGACCGGTGAAACACCAGCATTTGCAGTATTCGGAAGAAACCCGACACTGCTAGGAGAAGCAATCGGCAAGAAACCAGTCGCCGAAAACGCACGACTCATGGCTCGAGGCATCAGACAACTACATGCACAACTCGCCAAAGACATTGAATTCATGAACTACCGCATGAAAATGTACTACGACCGCACCCACGCGGAAGGGCCAGACCTAAAAGAGGGGATGAAAGTGTACCTCTTACGACGAAACATCAAAACCAAGCGACCTAGCTCGAAACTCGACCACCTGAAACTCGGACCGTTTAAAATTGAAAAGAAAATCGGACCAGTCAATTATCGCTTGAAACTACCAGAAAGCATGAAAAGAATATTCCCGACATTCCATATCTCGTTACTCGAACCCGCACCAGAAAATGCAACCCTTGAAACCAACGTTGAACTCGCGGAAGACGAAACAGAGGACGAATACGAAGTCGAAGCTATCCTAGGGGATAGATGGATGGATAATCAGCAGAAGCTCTTGGTTAAATGGAAAGGGTACCCTACCTCGGAAAACACATGGGAACCTATTTCGAACCTGAGGGGCTGCCACCAGCTGGTTCAACAATATTATCGCGCGGCGAAGAGACTACCTCGCCAACGGAAGCAGCGAAAGCGTCGAAATCAATGTCGTCCCAATTTACGGGACTGGACGGATCGACAGACGCAAGAATCTGCGTCAGAGTAGGACCCTCTGACGTAGCCGCAAGGATCCTACCAGGATCGGAAGAAGCAGATTGAGAAACCTCGCCAGCGGCACGAACGCTCTCTGCACCACAATCTTGTTTTTCCGTATCGACACGCTCTTTTTCGATACGAGCAAGCTCTTCAGCTTCACGACGTTCGAGATCCTCCAACTCGGAAATCTCCTTAAATTCACGAGCGATAAAGTCACCAGCACGCTCTCTTAACAAAGCTTCTTGTTGCTCAAGGCGCATAACTTGAGCTAACGCTTTCTTTTCGTTGAGCAGCAATCTCTTGCTGCATTTTGACCAGTTTACGCCATTCGGCGTCAGAATATGTCGGCTTCGACATCACGCACTTCGCCCGACCACCACCAGCGATACAACCAAGACACTTGTCGGAACACTCCGCACGGAAACACACTCGTTTGAGACGGACGCAGCGTTCACAAGGGATTACAGCCCTGAAACCTTCCTCCTCGATTCTCGTCGTCAGATTATTTTTGCGAACAGAGGAACGACACACCATGATGATCGAAATAGGTGAAGAAACATGAGGAACAGGAACTCACCAAAGGGGAAGACGCTATTTAAGTCTTTGGGGACAAAGACCCTGAAGGAGGGGGATGATGTTACGGACCCACTTCGGTTGAAGAAAATAAGTCAACCACGACCAACCGATCTGTCAAGATTGACACACACGTGACAAGGGAGCCAGGTATGGCAGCCGACCAATTGGCATGAAGGAGCCAGGAACAGCTGTCTAAGGCAGCAAGGCAACAGTGGCTCATCAGCGATGTGCACTGCACATCAGCGATGCGCGGAGCGCATCAGCGATGTGTCCCGAACACATCAGTGACAGGAAGGACTGGATATATAAGGACACTCACTTGGCACCATGTATTTAGTTCTTCGCGATCAATCTCTTCTTGATTCTACATCATTGTTACTTAGGAACCACAAGATTGGAATACGACAACGGTTCATTGTTCATACTTGTCTCGAATCCAAACCTAACGACGAAGGGGAGATCCATAAGAACCTGACCTCGTCGGCGCCCTCAGCAGCTCCACGTTTACTAAGCAAGACCTCTAAGGACTTGAGCATCTAAGGCCTGTTGCCGTGTGTGATCGGTAGGCATTGCAATAGAGTGACGAGACACCCTTGGCGTGCAGAGTGACCAAGAGAAGTATCACCCTTTGAGGACCCACTCACCGAGACTCGCTAGGTAGTGCGTAACACATATGTCCTATATGATCAACACCAGGCCTTGGCCTGTGACAATAATAAATATATTCCTAGTATATTTTTATATATATTATAGAGTTCTATTAGCAATAATAAATAATTATAATCTTTAATTTATAAATAGATTCTAGAAAAAAAATATATAAGAAACTATTAATATAATAATATTTATTAATAATATTTTATCTATAAATTAATAATATAATAGAGTATACTAGCTAGGAGATTAAATATATTCTATATATATTTATTATCTATATATAAGATAACTAGAAAAAACTATTACTAATTATTATTATTATAATTAATAACTATAGTATTATTACTACTAAAATATTATTATTCTTTTTTATTTATAGATATTATATTAATCTAATTAGAATTAATAATATTAATTAATTAAAAGATATCCTAATATAGCCCAAGTTAATAGACAAAATCTTTATAAATTACTTATAAAAAACTACTAATTAGGCCTAGATAATAATAGCTATTATATAAATAATATAAAAAGAATAGATAAATTAACAACAATAAGTTATATTAATATATTAAAAGAGAGACTATATATAATTAAATTTATAGAATATATATATCTAACATCCTTCAAAAAATCTAGACTAGTTATATATATAATATCGAGTAGTCGATATCCTATTACTATATACTATCTAACTAGATATTTTTACTAGTATCTATCTTATATTTTATATCAAATTAGTATAACCTACAACTATAGACCTACTTTTCTTCTAGATTATAGATAATATATAGCTATTACTATTATTAATAGACAATAAATTAGAATACAAAATCGAATAGATCATAGTTATTCGACACAAGAAAGTTAGGAAGGGATATTACAACAAAGCTCTTATAAAATAGATCGGCTAGATAGAGTAAACTTAGCAGAAATTAAACAACTTAGAAGATTATACAACACTAGACAAGTTCGAGGCCCAATACAGCCCTATTCAACAGATAATTCGACAGCAATTAAAGACAGAAATACGTATTACTATCCCCATCACACAAATAAAGCTAGAAAGGGGGTATTATCACAGGGCAGGGCCCGGTGTTGATCATGTAGGATATATGACCTTGGCATACTAATAGTAGAAGACCGGCGCATTAAACTCCTTTCTTTAAGTTTATCACACAGTTCGTGGCCTAGTATAGATTAAATCAAGTCTTGCTTTAGCCCTTCACAATAACAACAATAACATTTTAATTTAGAATACTAAAGCTAGAGAGAGAAGAGAAGAAAGGAAGGAAGGAGAAGCTACAACAACCAATTCTAATACTCAGCTCTAACACAAATCTCTATCCCATCTTTACCAGCCTTATAGTTCAGATAGACCTTGTCGACTCCTAGGATAGTAGATGGCGGCAGAATCTTCTAGGCTCAAAAAGAAGTCCCTCTAGATATAGTAGGTAGTAGAGATCAGCAGAATCGGCTAATAGCTGACAGAAATAATCTCTTTTAATAAAAGATAATTTTAGAAATTAGGATTAATTAATAAATATACTTACAGTAATAAGGGATATATTCTATACTAATATAGTTATTATAGTATTAAGTCTTTTAAGCTGTTATTAGAGATTGATATAACTCTATTTCGCTTTTATTTGATAATAAAGCTTCTCGATCTTCTAGATTATAAACTTCTTTATAATAAATATAGTCGATAAGATAAACTCAGTTATCGATTTGTTCTTTACGCTGGAAGATATACTATTATAAGTGGGTTTAGTGGATATATAGACGTTCTATCGATACCGATTCTTAGGTAGTCAGGGTAAAGCTTTAGAATTATAAGAGAACTACTAGATTTAGATAGTATTAGTTGACTAGACAAGATAATAATATTCGATAGGATTCTACGATAGGGCTCCGGTTAAACAAAGACTAAAGCTTACTCTTCCTATCTGAAAGAACAGCCCCTTTCATAAGAGGGTCCGTAATGAGTTTGGCCCCGGCTTAGGTGTCAGCCCTAATCCAACTAATAGGATATAAGAGAGTCCCGGGGCCCCGCTTCCCCGGCCTTGAATGGTGCAACTTTGGCTCAAAGGGTCCCGATATATCCTCAAAGGCGCGTCCAACGTTGATTCGATGGCGTTTCACCATCTAATCTCATTGTTCCTTGACAGAATATTAAAGCTAAGAAGGGAAGAAGAGAAGAGAAGAAAGAGGAAGCTACAACAGATCTAATATTTAACTCCTACCTTTCTATCCCTTTCTCGTCCAAGTTTAGACAACAGTAGTTCGGACAATGCTACTATTTGGGGCGATGGCAAGCAGCAGAATCGGCTAACGGCTGAGACTAGCTGGAATCTGTGATAGTATAGGCCTAGCGGCGGAAAGATGAGATATGTAGCCAAGTTTCAACCGAGAGGCTTCAATAGGTCTTTAAATGGTATCTTGGAATATAATAATCACATGTCTCTCGGAGTCTTGTTATTAACGCTGTCATGTCTGGATGCTACTGCTCTTTCGGCTGATGGCATCCTCCATATTAAAACCAAAAATGAAGCGGTAGAGATCACGTAGCCATGAATACTGACCCCCTTGGACCATTGCCTGACAAGCGCGAGCCATGTCAGTAGCACTGACTCTTGCCTGGGGCCCAACATTGCGAAAGGCTGGGTCGAAGCCAACAAGCTTTCTATAGTACTTCAATAAAGAAGTTTGCCACGGAGAGGAACCAAAAGCATCTGGTGGTAAATTCTTGACAAAAGAGGATAGACTCTGGGAGCCTCCACGCTGGTACCCACTATTCAAGGCCGCCTTGGTTATCAAAACTTTCAATCTCGTAAAGTTGGGATCTTCAGGGGCAGTGGTCACAGTGTTTGCCGAAGACGCAGTGCGACTTGATGCGCGGGAGTTGTCCGACATGCTTGACGCACTCGAGGGCCACTTCGAATGTGAGCCATGACTATTTCCATGACCTAGCACGAGGATATTCGGAAGTGGGGCCTCATCCGGGGATACTGTAGCCATATCCTCAAATATGGTTGTCGGGGTTTCAGGATTGCCAGGAAGTGCTGAAGTGTCATCGACAAAGTCCAGCTCTGAGCGCTGTGTTGCCTGCTGGAAAGCTTGAGCAAAGGTGGTTTGGCTGGGTCGGGGGGGGCCTCGATCCGAGTTACGCATGCTATGGAGGGTCCAGCCCTCCCGGAAGATGTCGCAAAGCTCCCAACAAGCTTGGACGGCTGACCCGAGCAGTTCTTCGTCTAGCTCTTTTCCTTCTCGTTTGCTCTGGCGAATACTGAAAAGCATTTCCGCCAGTGTCCAACATGCACTGAGCAGCGAATCCGTCGTGGTTAGCCGCGTTCGTTGTTTCATCAGCCGGTGACATAGTGTAATATAAAAGTCCAGCGTGCGCTCACGGAATGCGTCGGGCAGCTTGCGATCATGGGTGTTATACAGGTGATTATTTAGTTCAAAGCTTACTCGGAGGACCGAGTCGGTTAGATCACTATCACAGTTCCGCACTTCGAAGAGGGCCTGGCAAAAATCCCGACAAAGGTCTAGTGTTGGATTGACCTGCGACGCAAAATCATCATCGCGCGTATCATATAGCTTTTGACACAACCGCCAGCAGGACTTCCAAGCATCTTCTTGCATCCCGTCTTCTTGCGTTTTGAATAGTCGTTCTCGATTGATGTAGCTCAGACTGGCAAGGGTATTGCAAAGTGTCCAGCATTCTGCGAGTGCTGTTCGTAGAGCACTGATCTCTGCTTGCTTCCCAGAAAGCCCTATCAGAAGAGTTGGCCATTAGTATCAACAACTTAAGGCCAGGGGCTGCGCGAAGCTTGAACTTGAACTGTAAACTGTAGTGTGCATACCTTCGGGGATGCCTGAGAGAATTGATTAGTCTTGGATTTCCAAATATTGACGCAAATGGCAACAAGGGTATACCTTCCAGGCTACTTGTACGGCTGTGACGGCTGTAACTTTCTGATTCTTCAAACGCATACCTTGTTTGAGCACGAGGTGTTGCTCTTTCAGACCAATCCTTGGATGGGGGAACGGTAGTGGTCAACGGAGGCGGGGATATTGGGCTAATAGCAGTCTTTTCTAGGGTTAGACATGGCAACGACTGACTCAACATGGAAAAATTTCTCTACCTTTATGGCCCTCTCATTCAATTTTGATGTCTCTAAGAGTGGCTCAGTACCGGAAGAAATTGATACGTCGATGTCGCCGCCGCCACTAGCGTCTTCGGTGTTTTGTCGTGCCTGATTAGCAGGCTTGCGGTTAGTGACACCAAGCAGAGTTGCAGCTGACAGTACAAAACTCCCAGAGAGAAGAAATGATTAAATGCCCTTACAAAGTCACCAAATCCAGATGGCATATGTATCACTGATTGCGGTGGCTCATCTTCATCAGATCTGCTCGCCATAATCCCAGCAGGGTGGGTTGTTTGGATCTACTTATGTCAATGCTGTCTGTTGTTGATACACGAGGGTTGTGAATCCACATTTTCGACCTACAGTTAATTCTGGTAAAGAAGGAGAACTGGATTTTTGCGGCAGGATCACAGACGAGGTCGATTCAATGGGTGTATTCTGATCAATTGCTTCGTTCTGATCGATAGCTACCATAGTAGAACCTAAAGACGAGTCTGTTGAACGGCTGTGATCTGTACTTGGATCTGAGTTGGGGTTGCCCTCAAGGCTGATAGACGTGGAATCTACTCCAACAGACCTGATTTACTATAAGCGTAATGCGCTTTATCTTTCGACACACAAGCTTACCTTGAATCCATTGCGCTAAACAAGTCTGAGGAATCCTGATATGATAGTAAAGATTGCGAGGAGCTGACGGCCATTGTAGGCTGTAATGAAAGAAGAAGGTCGTTGCACGACGTCTGGGGGATGCTGGGTTGAGAAAGGAGGAATAAAGCTGAACCACCTGTCCATTTAGCTTCCCAAGGGCTTAGGCCGCAAGAAGTGTCTTGACACAGATCCAGCAGCCCGGTGCCTGGTATTTGATCACCTCGCCGATTGGGGGAGAATTTTAGAACCGATTCTCTTTATGCGAGAACTGGCAAGAGGGGCTGAAGCACACGGAGGACCAGGCGCCTAGGGCGTGACGAGCATGCATGCCGACTGTCAGTACCCACTCATATGCCGCGCTGCGGGTCCCAGCTAATCCTCTTCAGGCCGCAAGGCGCTTGCACAGCTAAATGGTTCTTAAAACTGTAGCTGGGCCGGTAATAAGAACAAGTTTTGGGGCCAAGTCCGGGGAGCTCGGACTTGTGTAGGCATTAAGGGGCTATCTCAATATGTTATCAAAATAAAAAGAAGCATTGAAGAACCTTCAAATTTATATCCCCACCAAAGACTCGACCTACCGTGCTGCCGTAGATTCCTATGGTATCGTAAACAGTATAATGAATGACAGTCCAATCACCTTTACGCAACGGAGCAAACTTTTGGGTGGTTGCGTTAGCCGGAAGCAGAATCAATGCGCTTCTATTTTCTATCACAAACTCGTAAAAATCGATCGACGCCGGCTTCCTCTCAGAATATGTAACGCCCGCCTAGAATGCCCGCAAAGAAGAGGAAGCTTGTTGCCATGACTGGATGACTAGGTAGTATGAGAGGGAATGAAGTTGAATAACACTCAATTGCACCCATGACCGAATATCAACGCGTGAGAGGTGCGTAACGGACGGCGTGCTTTGGCACATATCAACGACTCATATTGTGCATGCCATGGACCCATATGAATGGCACAGCTGGTATATCGAATAAAGGGAGTACGGGTAGGCAAAAGGTCATCCGTAGGGTCGCGTTCCGAGGGCCAAGTCTCAAAGAACGAAAGGGTTGGAAGAAGTGGAATGAAGATAAGCTATGCCTGAGCCTTAGATCGATCCTTTTCAGCAGAGTTGTATCTGTTCAAAGTCACTAGTGAGCACCCAGTCATGGATCAAGGATTCTTTCGGACATACCGAAGGAGCTTTTCGATCAGATCCACGTGAGTCATGACCATTCGTCGGCAGCAATAACGCCGGCAGCCGAGCTGATCCATCGCATCACTAGAGAGCCGTTAGATCTCTGATAGAAAGATATATAAAGGCTATTATCTCATACCCATCCGGGACACCATCGTCTAGCAACTGCAAATACCGTTCCCAGAGGTCGCCGACAACCTGGGGTTGCCATTAGTAAATATTAAGATGGGTTCGCCATATCGACTTACCTTCCCGCAAGAGAAACAGCGCACAGGGATAATCATCGTGGCAGCGACAGACAGAGAAGAAGCTATGTCGTTAGGCGAGGCCGCGCTATCGAACTTTTCCAACGAAGGCGGTGAATATACACCGTAAATTACTGCCAATCATCTCCGCCTTTAATTTCCGCCCGGAAAAAAAAAGAGAGAGAAAAAGTGGAGAACGTGGAACTAACTGAACATCCTTGGAGTTTTGTCTAAGATTTCGAAAGATTGATACTGTCTGAATTTTTTAGTGTGACCCAGTCTCCCAAGAACCCTCACAATGGCTGTGCATCAGCCAGGACACCGGCGCAAGAGACTGCGAGCCAGTGACGCTGCCGAGAAAGCCTCGCAATCTGGCGACGACCAGCCCAAGCGTCGCCGTGTTTCCAATTCACATGCTATATCTAAGGCTGTGGCCGCAAATACGTCGGAAGACCCTACAGAAAGCGCAAAACATACGATTCCGGCCTTGCGGGAAGAGGAAACCAGAAATCAAGGGTCATGGTCGCTATCCCCCCTCGCAGGAGGTCGCTACAGCAGTTTGGACCCATTGATGACTCTAGATGAGGCGTGAGTAATGGTTTTTGGTTCCCACTGGGTTCATTTACTTAACTCTGAACCTTTAGGTATCTATTCATAGGGCTTGAGACCGCGGTTCAAGTCCTCGCCACTTCAACGAATCGTGTCTTGCGAAGTTTGCAGGTGAGAGGCGGACAAAAAGTCGTCGGGTTCAGACTCTGCCCAGTCCATGAAGAGGTGATTTATATATTTACCCCTTCCTCTGTGAGCAAGTGGAACTGGAACTCCGGGCAGCAACTTGATGGCTGGAAGACAAATGATGCAACGATTGCTGTGGATGTGCCTTGGGTTGAGGAAGAGAACGAAGTATTTTCATACAACCTTAAATCCAAAGGTGGAAAAAGACAAATAGTTGTCTGTTCCATTGACAAGAAGAGTTCCACCGGGGTTGTCGTTCTAGAAACGAAGGAGCTTATCAATAAGATTCAGGTGGTAAACAGTGGGAAGGTAATCATTGCTTCCGATGGACATCGCCTCTTTCTGGGGAGTACGCCTACCATTGACTCAGAAAATCTTCAATCTCTGTCATACAACTGGAGAGAGGCATCCCTCCCTTCTTTTTCGACATGCTTCCATGTTCGGGTGGCAACTACCCAATCGAAGTCTGGGAGAACTTCAGATCCGATCAACTTAGTGCTAGGAGAGGCTAATGGATCTCTCTTGATTTTCCAAGATATTTTGAATACTCTTTTTGGCCGCAACGGAGACAAGAAAGCAGCGCCCCGCAAGTTACATTGGCATCGAGGCCCTGTCAGCGCGGTGCGATGGTCGACAGATGGTAAGTCTGCCTCTACCTGGAACTGAAAAATTCCATTTCAAATGTTGTCTAATTCCTGTCTCAGGTAACTACGTTGTATCTGGCGGAAACGAACCAGTCCTTGTCATATGGCAACTGGATACCGGTAGGAAGCATACTGTGCCGCACTTATCCTCACCCATCTCCAATATTGTGGTCTCCCCCAGGGGCACCTCGTATGTCGTACAGTTGGCCGATAATTCGACTGGTATCTTTTCTACCCGAGAAATTGGGTCTTCCGTCAATATTGTCGGTTTGCAAGTCAGCGCAGACGGCTCCAAAGATCTCGCTGGAAAAAGGTCGACTGGTGCAGTTGCGGTTCTGCATCCGCAACACCCAGAGCAGTTGCTCGTTGTTGTCCCGTCTTCTCACCATTTGAATCAGCAGAGCACTGGGTGCTCAAACTCCGCGGTGTTACAGACCTATGATATTCGAGCAAACTATCATATTGCACGTCAAGCTCTGGCGCGAACAAACACAACAACTCTGAATATAGGCCCTGAAGGGTCTCCAATAGTGACCCCGGATGTCCAGAATATGGGTATCCTGCATGATGGGAACTGGCTGGCCACTGTGGACTCCTGGAGCCCCCGCCCTCATGATGTGGAAGCCTTTGTCGATAAGTCTTCTAGTCGATCTGCAACGACTCTTCCGCTAGAGACATATCTTAAATTCTGGAAATGGAATCCCTCTGCCAGCCATTGGCAGCTCGTGACTCGGATTGATGGGCCTCATTTCAAGCATGATCGTCATTCCCCGGTGCTTGCCCTTCTGGCTCGACCATGCTGTCAAGAGTTTGTGACTATCGGAGCGGATGCATCGTTGCGCTTCTGGTGCCCCGCCGCCTCTCATCGGGCAAGCCTCGAGAAAAAATCCTCGGAGTTCCGTCATAATACGTGGAAGCAAAGGAACTCGATTGACCTCACCGCATACCTACGCAATGCTAGTACTTCGTTGAAGGAAGCTTGCATAAGCTTCTCCGAGGATGGATCAGTCTTAGCTGTTTGCCTACCTTCGGAATCTACGGTAAACGCAGGGCTTATCCTGCTTATTGATGCGCGTGCCTGCACGGTTCACTATCAGCGAGCGGGGGTGTTTTCTGGAACACCGTGTTCAGTTAACTTCCTTGGCAGACACCTCATTGTCTCTTCCACGAAGTCAGTTGTTGTTTGGGATACGGTGGATGATTTCGTCAATTGTGTTCGCGTTTTCAAGTCAAACGACGCAACAGATACCCCCCTTGGTTGCAGCCAATCCTCGCAACCAAACTTTTGCGATTACGAGTACGATTGTTGATGACACAAACATCGCACATCCCATGAAGCGAGGAGCAAAGTGTCGTGTTCAGGTCTATAGTATCGCATCATTGAGTCTTGTGTTCCAAGACGCTCTCGGAAACACTCCATTGGCGTTGTTACCGGATATCTACTCGGGCGATTACATTATCCTCGGTTCAGCTGCCACTGTGCAACGTGTCACTTGTTCAGACAAAGCATCACGCCAAAGCATGCAGCCCCTTGATGTAGCAAGTCAGTTGGACACTGGGCTATCAAGTATCTTCAGTCAGGGCCACGAGCGGGCTTCTACCCGGGCCATTGAGGATGATAGGCCCAGTTCACACACCAAGGCGCTATCTCATGTGTTTGATGCCCCCTCCTTCTCATTGCCTCCTGTTGGGGCATTGTTCAGAAGTGTTGTCGAAAGTCTACAGAGTAATTAATTTCTCAAGTGGGGGGGGGGTGTTTCGCTGACTCTAGACCTGTGTAAATTTAAGCGCAAGACCAATAACATGCATTCCTCTTGTCTCTTGAGAAGAGTTCCAGCCGTGTCTCGTCCATATAATAACATGACTTTTTCAAGGAGTATCATGTCCTTCCATATCCGATGGCCATCGACGGTATAGCAAAGTGAAAATTTTATTAGTATTCTATAATAAAGCACATACATTGTCGAGGGCTTTGTATCCATTGTAAGATGCTCTAGTACTAGTAGTGCTTGTGGGTCACTGTCAGCTGTCGGAAGGACTTGTTGCTCATTCAATCTGCCCCAGGGTGAAAAGTAAAAGCGGTCTTCTTTCGTGGCAATGCGATAGATACATATCCAGCTCATGATCACTTCCGATTGGCATATACGATTCGGAACCATTGTCATCATTATGCACTCCTTCAATTTTGTTGATTATGGAATATGGGTACCGAGTCACAATGATCTGTTCAACTTCTCCCATAGACCTGGTGGATAACTTCTCGACCCAAGGCTTCGTATCGAATGGTGCATTATTATCGTGAGACCGCCCTGGAACGACACAGTAGTGTTAAGCAGGCTGGGAGAAAGCATGGGATCAACGTATTCAAACGTATTTCCAGGCTCGGGTGGACTATTTGCTGAAAACGTAGATGGGCCATTTGCGGCCTCTAGAAGAGATGGATCGATTTGCATATCGTTGATTTCACTAGCAGTGATCGGAGCACTGGCCAGAGCCTGCGACGCAAGAGTGCTGATTCCGTTGCTGATTCCGTTGCTGAGGAAGTTGGGTGCCGGGGCCGCAGTGCTCGAAGCTTGTTTCCGAGAAGCGGAGCTAACGCGAGTGCTCTTCCGCGCAGGGTTCCGTTTGGATTGATCGTCACGAAGGCGCTTCATTACATCACGACAAAGGACTTCCAAGGCTTTCAGCTTGACTGTGTGCTGTGGGTCGGTGTTTCCTGGGCCAAGAATCTGCTGGAGGAGTGGCTGATCACGAATCCATTGTGCTTTCAGCTCCTGCCAGTGCTCGTCTCCGGCTTCTAATTTACTGGTGAAATGATCCGTCTTCAATGTGTCATAGAAGGCGTTCCGTATCTGACGGCTCTCCTCCGGATTGATGCCGAGGGAATTTTTGGCTTCGGCAATGGTCATTCGTCTCTCCAACGTCCGCATGCGTTTGGTCACATCCGTGCACACAACATCCAGCGCGAGGGCCTTGGCATCACACTCGGTAGGCTCAGCCTCGAAGAGTTGTTGAAGATGTGGGATCTCCTGGACTAATCTTGTTTTCGCCGCCTGCCACTTCTCTGGGCCTGCAATCGTCTTTTTAATGAAACCCGATTCTTGACATATCTGTTGAAACCGCTCTCTCAGATCTCGATACATCTTGTTATCAAGCCGTAAGTACTGTTTGCTCTCGTCAATTGTTGTCTCCGAAGGAAATCGAGGCGGCCCTGGAGGATCTGCCGGCAATCCACCCCAACCACGAGTACGACGCCGGCGTTTCCGAGAAGCCCATCTCTCAGCACTTTCAGATTTGAGACGATCCAGTCTCTCCTGTCGGCGTGCAAGCGTCTGTGTGGACAGGCCCGGGGGTGTTGGGCTTTTCCCTTTGGGCGTCACTGATTCACTAGGGAAATCGCGGTTGGCATTGGCAGTTTCTTCGTTCTTATACACCTCTTGCTGCAGGGCTAGCAGGCCCTCATCCTCGGGGGTGTATCCTGCGGAGCAGCACTCGGTGATTCTGGAGCATGTGGCTTGGTCCCGTTGGGTACGCGGAGAAGCCAGCGATTTTTGGCTCGGACGCGCATGAGCTCGCGCTCCTTAATGTCAAAACCCTCGTCAGTGAGGATCCGGAGCATATCTCGCTGATTTGTATTGTGTTCCCATAGCTGCTTGATCCGAGCCACGAGCGCAATGTTTTTGTGCGCTGGGTTCTGTTTCGAGGGAAATCCCCATCTTTTGAACTGGGTTTGGTATGCTCGCTTACTATTTGAGGTCACATCGTCAGCAATGCTGTATAGTTGCGAAGGGGAGGAGCTTGATCATCTTAATTTATCGTAGAACCGAGCTTACCTCGGGGAAAAGTGATAAACACTTCCCATGTATCGCATGATTTCCTCCAATGCCTTGTTCTCCAGGATGTACATTGTGTAGCAGATTTCCCGCTTCCCAGCCCAGTCGTATACCATGGCGGTATAGCCCTCCTCCCCTGGTGGAGAAGGGTGTGGAGGTGTGGGTGTGATTAGGATGAAGCTCTTATCAGACGCTTGTTGTCGCTGCTGTGCGCCGTAGTGTCGAAGAGAAAGCAGTGGCGGCGCACAGGCGTCACTTGCGCAATTTAGTCACATGCGTTACACGTGACACGTACGGATGGCTCTACTTTACTCGACCACGACTTGTGTGCATAGAAACGAGCGCAGGAGCGCCGATGACGATTTGTTGATGTGAAATCACCTGTTTTATATGTTATCGGATTTTACTAATCTCTGAATTCGAGATACGACCTCTATATTCGAAGAAATGGGCCTTCATACGCCGCTAAAAAGGTTGGAACGCCACATCAACTCCAAAATGAAAGGAATAGACGCTGGCAAGGGGCGGTAGGGAGTGCAAAATCAAGAAGTCGAGTCTCCTTCCGGGCTGAGGGAGACCTGCTCACCATGAAAAAGAGAAAAGAGAACAAGACAGAAGAGAAACGCTACATTATTGGACCAAAAGGGTAATATGATGCCTTTAGGACACCAACTGAATCCAGACCAAGGTAGATCGTGGGCTATCTCTTTCGCATCTTCCGCCGGAATTTGAAGAGCCGAGTTCGAAGCCAGGTCATAAAGAGCACCCATGTGCTTTTTGACTGTGATTTCCATGACGCAGGTTGTGGACGCGTAGCAAGGTCCGTGTCTGCGTGCTTGGAGTTACGCTTTTTCGGGTTTTCTGGTATCTTGCCTTCAGATTGGGTTTCCTCAGTTTGGGTCGCTGAGGACGATTCCTCTCCAGTGATATTACGCTTAACTCGACGTCGAACCTGCTTTGCTTCGGATTTCATTTGCTGCTTCTCGAATCGACGAGCTTTGGCGGCCTCTTTCTCCTCAAATGCCTGTCGCGCGGCTTGAACAGTGGCAGCTCGAGAGACCGGATCGGTGCTTGTTCGAGTCCGTGAACGAAAGACATGGTCTAGGGAATTTCGAGAGATCGGGGATGCAGTATCAAGGGTACTTCCGGTGTCTCTTGAGTATCCAAAAGATGGCCGGCTAGCATTCACTTGCGAGATCCCGGGTAAACGAGTGAACGAGTCGTTCTCGATCTGTAAAGATAACCGCGGGACTGGCCCCGAGGAGGCACGGACGAACCTAGGGGTTTCGGTGCCAGACTGGGGTTTCGAATCAATATCGGAACTGGCGTCCTTCAGATCATCACTATCGTCTTCTGATACAGGGTGCGATTGACTGGGTGGGGGAGTGTTCGCACGGGGGGTGGGGCGCATTGCGAGTACATATTGTGACCCTGGCTTGCCGCCGCTGGATCCTGTCCCTGTTGAATATTGCGATGTACCACTTGTAGACCGATGGTGAAAGCTAGAGGTCCTTCGATATGGCGTGCCTATGAGGGATTCACTCTGGCGCCGGTCACGTTCCATGTTCATATATATGCCTAGGCCCTCTTGGTCGGTTGAAGATCGGGATAGATCAATAGATGTGGCCGGTGCATCATCGCGAGACATCTTTCGAAGCATAGGTCGAATATTGACTTTAGCTTTCCCCGATTTGCCCTTCTGTGCACGATAATCGAGCGTGTCGGTTGTTTCGTTTGGTGTTGTGCTCCATGAACTACCCGGAGTCATCCGCGGAGTGATCTTGGTCGAGGATGTAGGAGTTTGCTCGTAGCGCGCTTCGGGTTGCAGCTGGTCATCGAACTCCGGAAAAGGAGACGGTGCTTGTGATTCATCCAGGTAAGGATGAGATGGCGTTATTCCTGCATCTTTGCCTGCCCAGGCACTTCCAGCTTCAGCCTGCGACGAGCGGGAGTTTCTTTTGGCCCGCGATCGCCTCACAGAATCACCGGAAACCCGGCCCTTTGGGATTGGAAATTTCGAACCCCGGGCGTGGTGGACGTCGGTGCCAGCCATGGCGGCAGACTAATTTCCAACTCTCGCTGGTGGTATACTCAGGGACGGAACGCGCAGCGCATGTTGGTGATCACTATGCGGAGGGGCCGATATATTGAACGGGCGCAGAGTCGTTTATTCCTGTCACTGCAACAGGATGTCTCTACACCAGACCAGGTAGGGGTATCATTCAATGCTGCAGATGAGACGGCTCCTGAATGGTATCATTCAGATAAGGTCTACTGGGCGTAGAGAGAGTGTGTGTGATGAAAGGGTCCCAATATTCGAGTATTCAGGCGTAGGCCTTAAGTGTTCATGAGAACTTGAATCGCAGGGGAATCTCACGTTGGGGCCGAAGCAAAAGGAGGAACTAAAGGGGGAGCGGTGAAGCCGGAGCGGAGCGCCTCCGCATGCGGCGCCGGAGCAATAGCATTAGCGCGAAAGGTGACATTTAAAATGTCATCGTACGCGCTATCTTGTTTTTTTTTCTCGAATTTACGGGGCTCTTGTTCCTCTTATCGTATTCGAGGCCCTCGGGGGCTGAATCCGTCTTTCTGCCTCGGATAGTTTTGTGGAATCCAGGACGAGGATGTATGAATCATGGCTTGCGCTGGCTTGCGCTGGCTTGCGCATTGTGTATGCACGAATTACAAGTTGCATATTCCCCCGGGGCCGTGCTAACTAGGCTGTATTAGATAAACTGGGGTGATTCTTCCATGTTTCTCTGATATGGAACCAAGAGTACCACCCAAAGATACCATAAGTCGATCCATTGGATTATTTGGTTCCCTCGAGACAGGTCATAGGGGAAGTATAATTGTATATAGTAGTCTACTTCCAAGCCGCATATATAAAATATTTATACTAGGACAGCTCTTGATAGATCGGGAGTTCTTGACGTCCAAGGATTTGGCCTGCGACATGTTAACTCGAAGCCATTCTGCATTGCCCCATCCTAGGAAACAATGGCGAGGTCTCTTATCAACTTCATAAGGCACCTACGGAGTACATTCCTCCTCGACCCGCGCGCCAAGGCTATGGAGGGGCAACAAGCGATCAACCAGGGCTGCAGCCAAGAAGCGTGTATCCCAATGCTGGGCACAAATTGGGTGTCTTGAGTTCTTACCTTTTTTCCCTTCCCTCCCCATCCAAATCGAAAGCAGTACATCGCTATGACGAGCCTATCATCCCAAAGCCTACTTTTTTCCCTTGTGATTATCCTTGTCTTCTCTGATAAAGCCTATGGCTTTGGAGCAGGAAATATCGCTTCTCTATCTAAAATCGAAGGCCAGAACTGGCGCCATGGAGATATCGAGGATACGCTCCTGAGCCTGTTCTTGGCCAGAGTGGCTGGTGGCCGCAGGTTTGGCAAACTGGATGTGAAGCGCGTGTACTTTGGTAACTGGCTACGTGACTATAGCCAAGCTGTTGATGTAGGCACGGTCAAATATGTCAGCGCAGAGGCCATCCGTATACTGATCTGGGTATTGGGCTTCATGAGTTTCGGGTTAGTACGCGAAATGATCTTGAGGGGCAACCGAGGCGTATCAATCATTGAGCTCATCTCTTGTTTAGATATGGTACGCGTGAATTCGAAGTCACCAGCGAGCGTCTGGGCTGCTACCAGCCGACCGAACACATTGATAATCCTTTGGGATACGCCGAAGGCGAAGATGCTCGGAACTACGACCGTCGTCTGCGGGGCCCTGTGGATGAAGAGCGCGAGCTATCGGTCGACCCTCGGACAGGTTAGTGACGCTCCTCCAACCGAAATCAACTGGATAGAAACCGACGCAAAGGAAAAAGCGCAAGTACACTGATACCCATCCTAGGCCTGAAAGCATACATTGCATCCGAAGATATGGGCATAGATACATCGGCTGCGTTGATCCGCCATGTTTTCGGTCGCTCAATTCTCCTTGGTCGTCGCTATGCTCGTTCGCGACAGAGTGACGATCTGTACGAGGCTCTGCGTCTCATGGGGACCGGTCTACACTGTCTAGAGGACTATGCGGCCCATTCAAACTATACCGAGCTAAGCCTTATTGAACTTGGAGAGCGTGGTGTCTTTCCCCATGTAGGCCGCAACACACCCGTGCAGGTTGAGGGTGCTCCCGACAACGTTTATCCCATCGTGACCGGAACTTTTGGTGGCGTCGATTTCTTTCATTCTGTACTCGGAGAATTCTCAGACAAGACCAAGCAGTCCGAGTTACAGTCTTTGGAGGGAGTTATCACCGAGTCTGAAAATGACGGACCCTCCGAGAGCTTTATCCAGAATCTACTCAGTAAGATCCCCGATGGACTTGTTGGGGATAGCGGTGCGCAGGTGAGCCAGATGGACGACTTTAAGGCCAAGGCAGATGATGCAAAGCAGAATGCGCAGGATGTCTCGCCGCGTGAACCCGAGGAATGGACTCGCTATTTAAATGACGTGCAGAAGCAAGTCTACCCGATTCTCGAGTGGCACGATAAGCTCCTGAAAACAATCAACGACGCCATCGAGCACATCCCGGTCCTACCGGAACTCATTGAGCAGCTCCAGGACCAAATCACCATTTTTGTGTTCTCGATTCTCGCTCCGTATATCCTGCCCATTATCAAACAGGTGAAACAGGAACTTGAGACTGGCTCGTCCGAGGTGATTCAAAGTAGTCAGCAGCAACAGCATATCGTCTTCAATGATGACGATTCGTCAAACCCCACACACTCCATGCTTTCAAAGGACCACTTTTCGAATGTACTCAACGAGCCAGCTGGTCGTATTGCCTCTAATGTGGTCAGATGGACGGTCCCCCAGCTAATGCACTGCTGGGACGACGAAGAGGCTGATGTCGACCGAACATTGACCAGAATCATTTCAGGAGTTTTCCACCATCCAGCTCTCCATGAGTACGGTGATGATGGGGCCAACGAGATCCGACAGATCATGTTCTCGACAGTGCAAGAATGGTGGGGTGAACATAGCGACGAGGCGCGCGATTATCTCCGTGAACAACTGAGCCGGGAGGGCGTTCTTGAAGGGAAGAACCATAAGGAAGGCATCCAGGATTGTGGACATGGATGTGGCAAGCCACTTTCCTTACCCAAAGGCCCGGGCCGTGACGGTGGAATTGGCCTTTCCAATGACTCGGGTCTGGGAACTGTTGCATCCGAAGCACTAGGAGGAGGTGCCCTTGGCGGATTGGTCGGCGGACTTGTTGGCAGCCTGGGATCAATGGTCCTGAACGACAGTGGCCTGGATGACCGAGCGACCTCTAAAGCCCAGGAGAAAGATGATGACAACTTCAGCGATGAACATTCGCATCGCCACCAACGCAAACACCATCACAGAGACCGGGATCAGGAGGCATATGAAGATCGACATTCTCACCCACAAGGCTATGGGTACCAGGGCGAATCAGCTCAGTATGGTGATCAACCATCTCGCTATGCTTATGAACCGAATGAGTACTCTCGTTCTGATTATCCACCCGAGCCTCCGGCACAGGACTACCACCGCGAAGGATATGGATCATTCCAGGCAGAGAGCATCGGAGCTTACTACCAGCAAGAACGACGAGAGACCTTTGAGGGCAACCACGGCCAATATGTCCAAACGCAGTCGCACTACGAGTATGCCACCCCACAGGACACATACCAACGTACTACGGAGTACAGCAGCTACGGCCGAAATGGGCTTCAAGAGTGAGTGACAGACCTCTTCCTTTGCTATTGACAATTCTTAGCATACTGAACCACGCAGGGAGTTCACGCCTGAGTACGGAGAACCACCCTGCAGAGGCTATGAAGAGTTCGAGAGGCCTGCTGATCCTCCATTCGAGGAAAGTTATGGCCAACCAAACCGAAGAGGGGATGACGGCGGATACGCCGGAGGGTATCATCACCATAGCGAGCGTCAAGGTAGTGATGATTCGGGGTCTCAGAGTGGCAGTGACGAGGAACATGCCCGCCGTCATCGCCGGCACCACCGGCACCACCACCATCACCATGATGACTACGAGCGGCGTTCCGGCTCAGACGACTCGGATTAGACGGTCTACAAGGGGATCCCACGCGTAATTACCATTCTTTAACCTCACCAGGAGCTGGCTGCTCGATTCGGACAACCTTGTCGCAATTGAGGAGACGCAAAGGATCAAAGGCTAATTTCAGCTATAAAATGTTCATGTCAGCGTTTCACGAGCCAACTCAAAAGAGTGAAAAGGTCATCATCACTTACCCGGCGCATGGCGTCGACTGTAGTCTCACCTAATTCATGAGCAAGGTAGTCTCGTTTAACAAGCCCAACCCCGTGCTCGCCTGTGACGGTGCCCTCCAATTCCACAGCCCGCTTGACCATACGGTGGACAACCCCTTCAGCCATCTTCCTCTCGCTTTCGTTGAATAAGATAATCGCTGGGACTAGTTAGCTAGGCGTCCTCTGATCGTGATGAAGATGAAGCGTACCGTGGAAGTTACCATCACCAACGTGACCACAGATTCCGGCAAGCAGCCCGCTCTTGGTCATGTCCTCCTTGGTGGCTTCAATAATTTCAGGCAGTTTACTCATTGGCACCGCGACGTCCGTGGTCCAGATACGGTCTTGCGGGCTCCTTCGCATAGCCATTACACTCCATAGCGCTTCCTTCCGGGCACTCCACAGCTCCGCCATCTCCTCTTCACCGCGGGCAAATTCGAAAGATTTGCCTGAGGCCTTGGAGGCAATCTTTTGAACCATGCCGATTTGCTCCTTCACGGCAGAGGGGGTCCCTGTGAACTTGAAGAAGATTGTTGGAGCCTCCTTCCACTGACGGCTGGTTGTCTGGCTACTGTTGATACACTTCATCTGAACATCGTCAAGAATCTCCACTCCGGCCACGGGAATGCCTGCTCCCACGACGCCAGTAACACACTCGGCAGCCGTCTGGATGCTGGGGAAGGTTGCCACAGCTACGTTTGTGCTCTGTGGGCTCACAGTCAGTTTGAGAGTTGCTTCCGTCACAAGACCGAGAGTGCCCTCGCTGCCAATAAAGAGCCTTGTCAGGTCATATCCGGCACTGGACTTGCGCGGGCGCTGACGGGTCTTGATCACGGTTCCATCGGCCAGGACAACGGTCAAGGAGAGAACCCATTCACGCATTGTTCCATACCGATAAGCATTCGTTCCTGAACAGCCCGTTCCTACCATGCCACCAATCATAGCTCCCGGGCGGGGTCCGGGGGAAGAAAAGTCCATCCTTTTTGAGTTCATCGTTCAGATCCTCCCAGCCGAGCGCTGGTTGAACTACCACGTCCAAATCGGCCTTGTTCAGCTGCAGAATACGGTCCATGCGTCGGAAGTCGATGCAGACTCCGCCGCGGGTTGACGCGTAGTGGCCTTCTAAACTGGTGCCTCCAGAGTACGGAGTCACTGGAATGACTCGCCGATGACAGATCTTCATGATTTGCGACACCTCCTCCGTGGACGACGGGTAAAGAATAAGGAAAGGCTTTTCGTCGTCCTTGCGCGAGTAAGATGTCCAGTCTGAACCGGCGTGCGACTCCAGATCTCCAGGTAGGGTAGAGACGTTCTCTTTGCCTAGAACCTCGACAAAGTCGGCCCAGGCGGCCTGCAGATTGGCCTGAGAGATATTATGCGCTGGCGGCTCGAGATCCGCGAGTGGTGATGTTGAGGACTTGGGGAAGGAGTCTGGCTTAAGGGAGCCGAGGTAGTATGCGCCGCTGGAGAAGAAGAGCAACGCTGAGCGAAGAAGGGATCCGTTAGCAAAAGACTTCGGTTGAATCGATGGAGTGCAGGGGCTAAGTGAGCGTACAAAAGATGACGGCAGCATATTGGCCAGTTGAGGACCGAGTCTGGTACTGAGCAAAGCGCTCTTGCTCCGCGCGCTCCCTCTTCAGACGCTGCTGCGTGCTCTCGTATAGTTGACTCTTAAAAGATTGCTGCGGTTTCTCTGCGGGACAGCGAGCTGTCACACTGAAGAACCGATTAGGAACTAGAGTCGAACGAGCCCGCAGGCCGCGCAGGGCGCCTCGAATGGCAGGCTGTGGACGAGCCATGGTGGTGTAGAAGCGGAGAGGGAGAGTCTCCGGGTAAATGGGAGGGAGGAGGTGCCAATCGAGACAGGAACGCACACCATCGGGGCTCCACCAGACTTGGCACGGGCCCAGGCGAGTTCGGGATGTCAAGGCTTTTATCTTTTCAATTCAAGTCGATCCTTCTCGCTATCCATCAATCGCATTCTTCGCTCCCTGCTACGTGGATGTGGGTCTCGGTTCTCATCAGAAGGGGTAGGCTTCGTAGTTTTGATAGACATACAAGCATACTCAAGAGGAAAGCGGAGATAACCATGGATATAGAACGCCTGCTTATTTGGTCAGGATCTGTAGGGCAGACCACATGATATCGATGGTTATATCGATGGCTAGCTCTATCCTACAGGGCAAGGCAGAACAAGGCAGCTATCGATTACCATCGATGACATAAAAGGGCAAAATCGGGTAAAAGACCCCCGCGGTTAAAATGCAGGATCCACAACTCGTGGGGGTGTTCGGTTTGCCCTTCCCGGACTTTCTAGCTACACCGAGTTCTTAGGCAGTTCCACGGATCCTTTATAGCTGGAGATTCGACCTCTTTTTCTGCTTTTACTCCCCATATACGACCATGACTTCCGCCGAGACAGCCCAGGTATGCAAGCCCCGGGCACATGCCTTCCCCGCCACGACCCTCCTCATGCAGGAAGCTAATACCTCGACGTACACAGAACCTTTCGTTCGTCCTCGAAGGAATCCACAAGGTGAAATTCGAAGATCGCCCAGTTCCGCAGCTGAAGGACCCTCACGATGTGTTGATCAACGTTCGATACACGGGCATTTGCGGTAGTGATGTAAGCGCTTCTGGCCCACCTTGAAACCATCCTATAGCACGAGCATGGCTGACTGAGGCGTTGTTTAAAATCAGGTACACTACTGGGAGCACGGCGCCATTGGCCAGTTTGTGGTTAAGGAGCCCATGGTCTTGGGACATGAATCGGCGGGGGTCATTTCCCAAGTCGGGTCCGCGGTCACTTCCTTGAAGGTTGGTGACAGAGTGGCTATGGAGCCTGGCATTGCGTGCCGACGATGCGAGCCTTGCAAGAGTGGCAAGTACAACCTCTGTGAAAACATGGCTTTTGCTGCCACCCCGCCATACGACGGCACGCTCGCGAAGTACTATGTGCTTCCAGAAGACTTCTGCTACAAGCTTCCCGAGACACTCTCACTGGAGGAAGGTGCCTTGATGGAGCCCCTCAGTGTGGCTGTCCACATTGTTCGCCAAGCCCAGGTGAGCCCTGGTCAATCGGTGGTCGTTTTCGGCGCTGGTCCTGTTGGTCTGTTGTGCGCCGCCGTTGCCACGGCATTCGGAGCATCGAAGGTGATTGCAGTGGATATCCAGCAGCCTCGTCTGGATTTTGCCAAGCAATATGCTACCACCAGTACTTTCTTGCCTGGAAAGGCGTCGGCGCAAGAAAATGCCGAGCGTCTGAAGAAGGAAAATGACCTTGGCACTGGTGCCGACGTTGCCATCGACGCTTCGGGGGCCGAGCCTTCAGTTCACACCGGTATCCATGTTCTCCGCAACGGTGGCACATACGTGCAAGGTGGCATGGGTCGAAGTGAGATCCAATTCCCTATCATGGCCGCGTGCTCCAAGGAATTGACCCTCAAGGGAAGCTTCCGCTACGGCAGCGGCGACTATAAATTGGCCGTGGGCCTGGTATCCGAGGGCAGGGTCAACGTCAAACAGCTGATCACCGGCACCGTCAAATTCGAGGAAGCTGAGCGGGCATTCTTGGAAGTGAAGGCCGGAAAGGGGATCAAGACACTCATTACTGGAATCAATGAGTGAGGGTGCTGGAGTATTTCTGGGTATTAGTTATGAAGATAATGTGGCGGCTCCTATAGACAGCCGGATGTGAAAATGACACTAGAATCTGACCAAGGAGTGAATGAAAGGTATCGTTGTTGAATTTGAATCGGGTGGACTTCGAGTAGCAAGCGGCTGGCACGCCTGACCCAAGGTCAGCAAGAAGAGATATATCTGCTCTCGAAGGCCAAGCGCAGAGGGTATCCGGTTAAGGTCAAGGAAAAAACGAGATAAAAGAATAGCGAATATTGCGAAAAGGTCGAATAGGGGTATCGTGCAGAAATTCAACGAAAGACATGATCAAAATACGCGTCTGTCAAGGGCCGAGCTGACCTGGAGGATATCTAACAGCAGCCGCCGTTCCCGTGTGACTGAGATCCTCCCAAACGAAAGACGTCTTCCCATTCTCTCAAGCCACCCTTCCAGCCTTGCGGATTACTCGAACCTTTGCCGCCCCGTCGTGAAGTTCGTCGAAGAGGTACTGCTCCGTCTTCTAGCGTTGTCCGGCTTCGGATACTAGACACATCACTAGTGCCATGGCCGTAGAGACCACCATCTCCGTATTGTATACCGCTCTGAGGGTCGTCCGGGTCAATTTCGCCGAGCTCTATCTTAGTGAGAATGATTCGCGCCAGCCGGTGAAAGACTTCTTCTATGCCATCACCAGTCAGAGCAGATACTTCAACTGCAACAGGGATGTTCGACTGTGCCGCCCAGCGCGTCGTATCCGCGAGAGTTACTTCTCGGCCTTCAGCAAGTGTGGCGGTCATGCGAGTACCGGTACCCAGGTAATTGGAACGAATCGAGGCGTTGGCGTCCCAAGGGTTGGACGACTGTTTACTTGAGGTGCTTGAAGGAGTTGGAGGGGGTCGCGCGGAATCTTCCAAGGCATCCGAGGCTGTCGTATCCGCCAAGTCGGCTTTATTTCCAACGAGTAAGACTGTCAGGTTCGGCGACGCTAGCGCTCGTGCGTCCATGAGGAAGGTGGGGAGAGAGGCAAACGAGGCGTATGAGGAGACATCGTAGATCAAGATGGCGCCTGCAGCGCCGCGGTAGTAGGAGCGGGATACAGATCGAAATCGTTCAGTGCCAGCGGTGTCCCAGAGTTGCAGCTTGATGCGTTTGCATCTCGAGCCCGTACCCAGCTTGACAATGCGAGAAGAGAACTCCACTCCAATGGTCTGTGATGATAAAACTCGCCCTACAGTAGAAGAAACAGGGATTAGCGCCGACTAACGCGAGATAATATGATATTCCGTACATTCATTCTTCACAAACCGATGGAGCACGCAGGATCTAAGGAACCAGCAGATTAGAAGCTATCCGTTCCCCCTGTTTCCTGCTAACACGTCTGGAATGAGGTGTGACTTACTTTCCTGCCCCGCTGGGCCCCACGAGGATTACCTTTGCGAGGTAATCATACATGCTCCCCAGTTCCTGCAGGAGATTAGCTTGCCGCAGGATAGAAAGGGGAGAAATTGACCAACCTGCTCCTGCTCAGGAACTGAGGATGCAGTCGAGATATTGGAGAGGCCCCGGGGGCGCACCATCAGGAAAGAGGAAAGGTCTGGGGTGGGGAGAAGATTGAGGATCCCCAAGGTCCCTCTGGTGAGAACGAAAGGTGGTTATCTCCGACCGCCGGCACATGCGCATCGGCCCGGGGATTTGCGGGAGCACCTTGCACTGTCTCTACTAGCACTGGGTTGTATGTTTTTAGAGTAGGATTTGTGTTCCATTTCCTGATCAGTGTACCGGGGTACCTTGATATGTGTATACACGAAGATGAGTCCTGTTCTCCGTACTAGGGATCAAAAGATCCTTGGAATGGCTCCAGCAAAGTGGCTTTGTGGCTCGGGTGGCTGAGACGACGAGCATGGCCAATCCAAGACCAATGGAAGCCGAGGAGTTACTCAACTGTACAGTAAGCTCGCATCTGCCCTGTCTATATTGAGGTGGCACATGCACAATTTACATCATAGGTGGCGCCCGACCTAAGGTAACTGCATGTGCATGGCAGTTCCAATCTTAAGGTTATTCATTTCCTATTCGGTACTTATGCTCCGCTACGCCCGCCAACTCCGCCAACTCCGCCAACTACGCCTTGTTCTGGGAAGGACTTTCTGTTACAATGACTCGAGCAGTTGGACGGCATGACGCATATCTGACCTAGGATATGAAGTTATGGAATTGAAGGATCCTGGGGACGAGACTTCTCATCGTATCGCCATCGCCAACAAAGTTCAGACTAAATACGACCGGGCCTGATTTCGTGGCGGAGCTATCGTATCGGGGACTCCGCTCTTTTGGGTATCCGCGTATTCCAACAATCAAATTAGCCTCGTTCTTTATTTTACAGGGTCCGCTCTCGGTCCATTCCCCACCCCCTTTGTCTCATTTTGACTTAAAACAAGGGACTCTCCAGTTCCTTGATCCTTGTCACATTCTGAAATCCATATTGAATCTTCCAATCATGAAGTTGACTTGGGCTGCCGCTCTACTGATCCTTGGCTCCACCGGGGTCACATCTTTATCAATACCAGACACTGCTGCCCTCATCGACGCAGGAACAGCTTCCGTTGACCAAGTCGTCGACCTTGAGAAGCGACGCGGTGGGGGTGGAGGCGGAGGTCGTGGAGGGAGCAGTGGCGGAAGTAGTGGAGGAAGCAGTGGCGGCCGGACCTCGAGCTCAAGTGGCAGCTCTGGCAGCTCTGGCAGCTCTGGCAGCGGATCCAGTGGCAGCAGAGGAGGAACATCGGGGAGTACGAGTTCAAGCAGCAACAGAGGCGGTGTCTCTAGCACAGGCTCCGGCACTCGTCCTCAATACGGCGGCGGCAGGTATGTCGGTGGATCTGCATCCGATTGTTATCAGATCAGTCCAGCGCTTCAAACCAAGACGTTCAACTCGCATACTGACGGCTCCATTAGTTACTATGCAGGTGGTGCCTCTCGGCCTTACTCGGCAGGCAGCAAATCCCCTCTGGGTATCACTCCATACGTGGCAGGGGGTGCAGCCTTAGGGTTGACCTTTGGCGCCGGGCTATGGCTGTGGCCTGTCTATGCCTATAACTACAATAATGACTACCATTACCATAACACCGACGATAACGAAGATGTAGACTACAAGGTAGTCTGTCTTTGCGAGAAATATCAAGAATGTGGCTGTGACAACAACAATAACAGCACCTACTATGACTCGCTCTTCAACGGAACTGCTCCCCACAACACTAGCACAGTCCAAGTCATTGATGAAAAGGGTAACCATACAATTTACATCAACGGCACCCTGCCCAATGGCACAACCGCGGCTGACGGCACTTCGGCCGCAACTGGGGCGATGACTACCCTGGCACAGTCCAGCGGTTTCTTAGTGGCGGCCAGTATCGCATTGGCATCCGTTTGGATTGGCATGTAGAACAAGGCTTGCAGATATCGCAGACCCTGTTTCACTGGTGGAGACAGCTGGTCTTGGCTCTGATGTCGCTTGTGTTGCTCTTGCTGAGCCTGGTACACGAGGTCCGGGGGGCGGGAGCTCACTTCTTGACACAACCCTGCACCTCCCAGGGGCAAAAAAGTCACACCTGGAGAGCACTTAGCTGGGATTGGCTGTTTGATATTATTCTTTTGCTATTTTAAATATTCGATACCCCCTACAAACGATAGCTTACAATCTATCACCGCCTGTACATTCGATCCAAAGGAATCTCAATATACCCCAGGACTATGATCAGAAGAAAAGTAAATTGTGATTTCAGGGACCACCTCCCAATTTTCAAAACAAACAAACAGGACTCTGTTGGATCTGTAGGCGCTGCACGAGGCTGCGGGTTTCACTTGCGCCGCGCGCGCGAAAATGACGATCCAGGAAGCGGCTCTAGCTGGATTAGGGTAAGCGGGCGCCCCTAAGATTGGAATCTCATTTCCCGCTCAAACCCCCTTCACCCCTGCCCTCCTCTTCTTCTCTTCTTCACTGACCTCAGTGCCATTCTTTTATTTGGGATCCTCCAACCCGACACGGGCTGTCACACTCTTTTTTTTTCCCTCTCAGCTCCATTCATTCTTTTACATCGGATATCTCCAAATACCTCGGTTTCAATAACCCTAAAAACACAAATTCCAAGCATAACCTCACAATGCACTTCACCAAGGCTCTTTTCTTCCTTCTGGCCCCTGTCGCCCTCGCTGCGCAGGCTGCTCCTGCCCCTGAACCAACCAGTACCAGCACACTCACCCTGACTGTGACTCTGGCTCCCTCGGGTTACACCTCCACTCCAACTGTGACCCCTACCTCCACTCCTCACAGCACCAGCACTCCGCTGAAGTCAAGCTCCAGCTTCATCCGAAGCCCATCTTCCACTCCTCTGGCCCGCCCTACCGGCCTCGTCCTGATCGAGACCTCTGCCAGCGGTGCCAGCGCAACCACTACTGCCAGCCCGTCGTCCACTCCTGCTGGCACCAATGCCGGTGTTGGTCGCCAGGTCCCAGGTGCTGTCGCGGCTGGTGCGCTGGCCGTCGCCGGCTTCTTGCTAGCCTAAATGCGCACTTCGCAAGGATTACCTTTTGATGACCATTGTGTCGCGTCAAGGGGGGTCTTGACGATCCTCGTTCCTTATGAGCTGCATCTCCTCAGTGGAGCGTCCTGCTAGCCGCGGCGCTAGCAGACTACTGACCATCTAGGATGGTCGCGTTCGATATCTTTCATATTGTTGGAACTCCGGGGTTTTCTTTCTATTTTTTGCCGAGGTTCCACCCTTCCATTCTTCTATATATTTTCTGATATACCTTTTTTTTCTGAACCCCCCTCGATGACCACCGTGACGTGTTCTCCGACTTCTTATGCTTATACCCTTTTATCTTCGATTCTCAAGCCGATTTTCAATTTTTTTTTGTTTTTTTTTTGTTTTTTTAATTGAGTTGCTATCCATGATTTCAATTCTATTATTATACTATTTATTCTATGATATTAATCTTATTACTATTTTATCACATCCGCTCGGGTCAGACGTAGGGCATGTGGTTTCGCTTCTCGTAACTAGAAGTGAGGCTTTGTTTTGGTACAAGAATTGGAACCTCGGAACCAGGAACCAGGATGTTTGTTTATGTAATACGTAGCTGCATGGCCGGGGACAGTGGGTCTATAGCGCGTGCTCACATCGTCTCCTCCTTGGTACGAGTTGGAGATCTGCAAGGGTGATCATGCATTGATCAAGTGATTATCGACGAGCCATACATATAAGGGATCAACGTTGCGTAGTTCGGAATTAATAAGCATCTATTCAGCCTTACAGAAGAGGAAAAGTTGAGAGGAAACTATCTACTACATGAAGTCCCTTAATCAGGGGACAGAAGAGGGGGACGGGGGGAAGATATCGTACAGATAATGTGCCCGTGTCTACTCGTTCTTGAATGTGGCCTCGTACCTGTAATGTAAACCGGGGTGTTAGCCCAATCTTATCAAGGGAAAGGGAAGGGTATCAAGAAACCACAACGTACCTCTTGCCTCGGAATCCCCAGAGGCCCCAGTTACCACAGGAGACATCATGCGGATCTAGATCATTCAGGTCCCAGCGGAGACTACGGAAGATGTTCTCGCCAGGCTCAAGAAGCAAGTCGAATTCACCGGCGCACTTCTCGTGGACCCAGTTGATGTCCCGCTCCATGTCCCACTGCGTATATCCGGTGCAGAGAATGGGTACTTTCGTCTCGAGGAGCTGAGGAAGCGTCTCTTGCCACTCGTGCGAGCTGGCCGGGTGACCCAAGCCAGGATGGAAAAGCATGAAGCAGTCCAGGTATGGGTCAAACGGCTGAAAGTAATTGGCCTTGTACATAGTGTGAAAGTAGTCGACATATGTGGTTATTTTCATCTGTCCGCCAAGACGGTCCTCCACAATCCCACCGAAAGGGTTTTCGGGGGTCCGCGCTGGCAGTGGGAACTCGGCATCGCGGTTGGCCATGCTTTCAGGTCCGATAAAGATCACATGGATTAAAGCCCGAGGGAACATATACTGCAACTGCAACCATACTTCCCGGGGCAGGGAAGACTCGGCTCGAGCACCCAGAATGAAAATTCGGACGGGAGGAGCCTTGAGACGAAGACCCTTGAGATCGGTCGACTCGCCAGTTCGAGGGGGGTGAAGGGAATATCGAAGAGCTAGAAAAAAAGAGAAAAAAAAGGACTTTCAGTAACTGTCGGGGCTCGAGTACTAGTTCAAGAACCTAGAAACTTACCGCTGAAACTCTTCAATCCTTCCGCAGTCAGCCGGTTCTTTCCATGGATGCTGTACGGGCTCAATTCATGCAAAACGCTGGTGATTGTTTGCGGGTAAGTAAGCATACGGGTGACCTGGCGCAGGGAGCGATCATCATTAATGGCATCATATTCGCGCGTGTAGAGGTACGTGTCCCAATTGGTCATGTTGACCACATAATTGTCATCCTGGACACCGGGATAGTTGAATTCATTGAAAATACGACCAGAGTGCAGGTCATGGTCGTCCTCATTGATTTGGCGAATGGTGTCGCACACCTCGAGGTGAGCTTCGTAATCGTCCATCCAATGGCCTTCCGAGCAGTAAATTGGAACGCCACAGTCGGGGCACTCGAAGTGCGAGTGTGCTGGAGGCAAGTGGGTTTCCTCGGGAGTCTTTCGTGCTTCGGGGTCATGAGGAGAGACTGGCGCGCGGGTCTGCTGGTGGCTCGGATGAGGACAGAATGCATTCTGCTTAATAAACGCAGCTCTTTGCCGAATTGCAGGTGAGGGAGAGTTGGTGAATGAATGAAAGAGATTATCGGACTTTAGGTAGGTTCGTGTATCAACGGAAGGCCCGGTGGACGTCGACGCTGTACGGTGGGAGAGCGATGGCGGAGACGATGAGGATTTCAGATTCGATGCTGGTTTCACGTTGGAAGGCGGCTTATCCGTAGTGAGCCCTCCTAGCGGGCTATTCTTGCGCTCTGAGCCGAAGCTGCGAGTCCACGGAGTAGACACAGCGCATGTTCGCCGAGAATGAGCCAGGCCACGAAAGCGAGTTGGGGTACTGGCAAACCGGACACCTTGCCGGAGCACCTGGAGGCATTGAGCACATGTGTAGCTGCCTGCCATGGTGAAGCTGCGGAGATAGGACTGGGAGTAACATGGCTTAAGTGGTGCCATTTTCGTTTGAAGGTTCTCCGGAGCACGTGATGTGTGGAGCATGAGCGTGTCCGTCGAAAATATGTATTTATTTTTACTTGCAAATTCGATGCTAGATCTATCATGTAGATCAGGTGAATCAAAAGCTCACTATAGCTTCAATACAGCGTCCATGTTGCTTTGCGTATTGTTAATGTAAATAATTAGGAGGGAAAAGAGAAACGAAGTGTTGTATATCCAAGAGTTACAACCCCGAACACATCAACTCCACTTATTCATCCGTGGAAAAGATGTCTTGGGCGAGACTCCAATCCTTGCTTTCGCGGCTGGCCCAGTATTTACCGTTGTGAGCCCAGAATTCTTCACCGGTGATAGGGCACCTGTCTCTCATAAACCACTGAGGCTGGTAAATTTCGCCCTTGGCCTCGCGCTCCCTCCGTTTAGCACGTTGCTTTTCTTCAACGCGGTGCTTCTCTTTGGCAGCAAGATCGTACTCTCCATCCTCCATGGCTCTTTGATCCGGACGGAGTCGGGTATCCGTAGGAGGCAACCATGGTCTGAGGTTATCAGGAAGAGCATTCAGGGTAATGACAAAAGGAGTCAAGTTGAAGGGCACGCCTTTGGGCCGTTCATGTGCTTGCCAAACCAAGAGGGTCTTGGCAGACTCTGGGTCCTGACCAGAGACAGGAGCCTCGAATCCAGGAGTATGACGAGCATAAATTTTGTCGTTCCAGCGACCGCCGATACTCCACTTGGGAGAGCCAGTATTGTCGACTATCTTTCCAGTGACTTGGTAGGCAGAGGATGCCTTCCAGCCACGAGGTTTAAAATCAAGGTAGCAGACTTCACCGGTCGTCCAGTTCTTGATCTCCATCAGACCATAGTTATCCACTGTTGGGTTTCCTGTGATGATACCAATAACAGAGGATGTAACCTTCTTCCAGGTGTAAAGCTCTTCACCCCCAGTGCAGGGACGCAATTTGAGGAACCAGGTACCAAGAAGATTAATATCGAAAGATTTACCGTAGAACTTAGACTTGAGCGAAGATTCTCCCTAAAGAATGGTCAGTAAAAAGTCGAGATACAACGGTGAGAACAGAAAGGCCTACCCAGTAGTCCCACTTTGGAGACTCTGCCCAAGCAGCTCCAATGGGGGGATGATGGCTGACTTGTTCTATGAAGAAGCGGTAACCCTTATCGGGACGCACATATTCGAACGTCTCTCCAAGGAGAGGGTTGAAGGGTTTCGCAACACGTCCAATTGTAGAGGCGTACTCACTCGCTGCGTAAGAAGCTACGTAGACCAGACGCTCCATCGAATCAGTGCGATCAGCAGCAACGTCAAGAAGGTCAGTGTACTCAAGATCCTCTGCAACTCGTTGAAGCAAAGAAGTCGGCTCATTGAAAGACACAGGCAGAGTCATTTTGGTCATGTCTTTGCCAATCATGGACTTGAGAATTCCCCATAGAGAGATCTTGGGTCTGTCATCACTGTCCATCTTCAGCCTTTCCCGCACGGGATCTTCGTAGCCTTTAAAGGAGGGCTTGATTGCAAGGGCTTTTTCGTTACGCGCCTGAGCACTCCCATCCACTGATTCTTGAGATTCTTGCGCTTCAGTGGCTTGATTGAAGTCCTCAACTTCGATTTCACCAGCATCAATGGCGTCAAAAAATTCATCCTCATCAGACTCCGAGTCGTAGAGACTGCTAAGGCCAGATGGCTTGCGGGAGAGGCTAGGCTTGACCTCCTGTTGAGCTGTCTCGGCAGCCTCAGAAGATGCTGCCTTGGGGCCCGGGGCCTCACTTTGGGAAGCCTCAAGCGCCGTAGATGGGTTCGTTGTTGACCGGGATGGCGGGCCGCTGATCCCTCGACTGTTGGCGGTCGCGTTCTCAAGTGCCTCCTTCAACGCACGTTTGGTTCGCTTGCGCTTTTCCTCGGATTCGCCCATCCTCGACTGCAGTTCTTCATGCTCCTGGGCAACACGAGCCATGCTCTCCTCCCACATCCGGCGGAGACGTTCTTCTTGGCTCAATCGGTATTGCCAGTATGAATCGCGGTCTCTGGATATTTTCAAAAGGCTTTGTACCAGTCCCTTGAGACTGCTTGTGGCGCTCTCGTAGGTGGTAAGGGCCTGCTCAACAGCAGGATCAGCTAAGGACATCTCCGGATTCCTGGACCTTTCTGCCTGCAGTGATGCGGCAACACTGGCAAGAAGATCTAGTTGGAGCTTGGCAGATTGAGCAGTAATATTGAGAGCATCCTTATCATTGGCCGGGACCTCATGGCTAGAGGCATAATCTCCATCATCAAACTCGTCTTCCTCCCCATCGGGTGCTGTGGTGTGGTTGAAGATTCGGTTCACATCATTGGGAGTGGTGCTTTGGTCAACGGAGCCATACAGTGACTCTTCCTCCTCAATAGTCGCCGTCTCAAGGGTTGTCCGAGATGCATAGGTGTTAAGCCTGTTGCTGCTAGCACCTGGTACTCCTAAAGTCGAACCAGTCGGAGCCTTACTCGAGCTCGCCTTGCGACTCAGACCAGACTCGGAAGCAGTATCTCCAGTGTTTTGGTCGAGCTTGGCCTGGCGTAGCGCTTCTGCATTCTTTGAGCGTTGACGCTCTTCCTCTTTAGCTTCATCTTTGGCCCACTGGATCGCATTGTTAAGGGCCCAGAACCACCGCTTGGCTTCCACGACGTGGTTGGCCTTGAGGTGATATTTCACTGATGATTTGCCATGTATTTCAAATCGGGTCTTATCTTGAGCATCCATGGTGAGTCGAGCAATCTTCATGTTGATTGCTCCACGGCAAGCAGAGCCAGCGTCATCTGTAGGGCCGGTTAGATTAAATCCGTAGCTAGTTCAACCGATTTCCTAAAGGAATCTCTGGCATACCTTGATGTTTGTAGTAACTTAGAACACCATCCTCCAGAGCGAACCAACGAAGCTTATAGCCGCTTGTATAATTGGTCCACTTCTTAAGATAACCTCTCATTTCACGTGCATCCTTACCAGCTAGAGCTGCCTCCCCAGCGGAGACTCGACCAGCAAGACCTTGAGCATTCGTGTTCCCGATGATAGCCTTCTCTTGGATGCCGCGCTGAGCAATAGCAGCCGCGGGGGATTTCTTCAAAAGGGCGCGTGTCTTGTCATCCTTGGTAACGTCCTGTGGTAATTTGCCTTTCTTGTCGCGTCGGAAAGGATCCGCACCATGCGTCAGCAAGATCGATATCAGTTGTGCGTCTTTGTTACGAGCACCCTCATGCAGCAAGGTGCCCCCGGATTGGAGGGTCGTGCGATCGGTGACCAAATCTAAGCTGTCCACGTCCAAGATCCCTTCCACACGAGGCTCCTCAAGGAGCTTTTCCAGGTTATCATATTCCTTCTTTGCGATCAGGGACTGAATCTCCTGGGTCTTGCTGTCGATAAAGAGCGAGCGGGCCAGCTGCAAGTGCTGGAAGATCTCCGGAGTGCGCGCGACATCAAGAGCTGTCTGGCCTCGGTAGTTGACTATTGCGTCATTTATGGAGGGATGATTCAGAAGTTCCTTGACAAGCGCAACACGGCCCAATTGAGCTGCCAAGTGCAGTGGAGTGTTTCCCTCCCGATCACGGGCATTAATGTCGAGTTCGTTTCCCGAAGATAAGACGAACTCTACGACCTGAGGTTCCGCACACTGGAGAGCGAGGTGAAGAATAGTTGTCCCGTATAATGAGTTGGCTACTTGAGGATCCTTGGACTCTTTGATTGCCTTCGCGATGGCTGTTGTATCACCACTGCGCAGTATCTCGAAGAGACGGAACGTCCGAACTGACTGATCCAGAGATAAGCTTCCGCCTTCCGTCTGCGGCGTCACTGACGGTGTTTGCTCCATCCCGTCTGTACCTTGCTGACTTTGGTTGGAAGCTGTTGGTTCAAGAGCCCGCTGGGATGACGAGGGAGGGGATGGTGGACTTGGATTTGGGTTAGCCTTTTGGCGATGTTGGCGGCTGAAGCTGCGATTGTGGGATAGTGGAGATGATCCACTCGTCGACACTGAGCCGACGGAGGAGGAGTTTTCGGAGGTTTCGTCCTGGGGATCCTTGTCATCCCCCTTGGATTTATCGCGGTGTAACAGGGCAAGCGCCAGGGAGCTGCGGGAGCGCTTATGCCTGGATGGTAAATGGATCAGTCACATGTCAGCCACTGGAATTGATGGGATGGTCTGATTCAGTCTGAATACAAATGCCCACTCATTTTCAATCGCGTCCCTTGTTATCCGAGGTTGGTTGCCCCTCCCTGGAGGACACTGTTGCCACGAAGCGTAGGCCTCATGCGCTGGAGGAAACAGGGACTTGGACTCACCCAACGGGTTTCTCAGACATAATTTCAGAGCCTGACACTATACTCGGTGCATCAGGAATTCTGGAGTCAAGAAAATTCCGGAGCGAGGGAAGTTTGGGGAGGCGGGGGGCGACTCGAGCTGTTTTGGGGAAAGTTGGGGCTGATCGTACTCCGCCTTGGCACCCGTGGCTTTATCAGTGCCTCCGATTGCACTGTTGATATTTACGATTTACTCTACTGAAGACAGATCGCGATTTACTGGTACAGTTATAATTCCACGTCTATAATTATAATACAATGAGTCTGCAAGAAAGGGAGGGGTCTCCTTTAACGAGTCTCGCCACTGACCAACACCACTACACTGCCCAACTGTCGCTTCAGATCTTCTTTGTCCACATCGTGAGTATCCTCGACTTCACCCCACATGTCGGTCTGCCACTTTACCTCCAAGCTCGAGGCCTCGGCAGCCTCTTCGAGTCCAAACTTTTTGGTATCGGTTGCCGATCGTTGAATGGAGCGGAAATTCTCGCTCCATTCCACCAACAACCGCACTGCCACGAGAAGACTCTTGGAGGCCAAGATCCCTCTCTCCAGACCAGCGATATCGTGCGGTGCAAGCTCAGAAACCCATTTTTTGATACTGTCCTGGGTTGTGGGAGGCTGGGCCACAGGAAGAATGCTGTCCGAGCCGAGGATAGGCACGATCTCGAGTCCCGGCCAAACCTTGGTAGACAAAAAACTCATAATGTCCTTGGCGACTCGAATTTGGATTTCGCGTAGACTCTCGATCTGTTTATCTTCTCCCTTCCGTTCAAATGTAGATGACTCGTGCTCGGGCTCCCAGCACAGCAGCGTGTCGGTCTCGAGGTAGCGCATGGCTGTGTTGATGATCTGATCTCGGGTGGTGGTTTCGCCGCGCGCGTCTTCGCGAACAATGTCGGCAGCTCGAGCAGATAGAGACGTCAGCGGGATAAGATGACTCTTCAAAGCCTGTTGAGCGGAGGTCATCGTGTCCCATTCCAAAGCGACAGCATGGGCGAGATGGGGCTTCGTGGGGGGAATTGAGAGGACCTCCTTGGTCGGAGTTCTCACAGGTCTTTTATCAAGCAGCACTTGGTATTCATCTGATATCAGAATGGTAAGTTAGCATATTATTTAGACTTGATAGAAGCTCAAGCCACGTGCATCCTGGCCCTGGAGGTCTTATGAGTCAATCCAGATCATACCTTGCTTTCCATGGATGTGAACATCTTTCCAGAATCGCTTCTTTAACAGCTGAGACTTTGATGGTTGTGAGGGCTCCTTCTCTGTAGCCTGCTTTTCTTTTTTCTGTTCGGATTCCTTCAATGGGACCGGTGGTGCTGGCGGGTTTGGTGGAGGACCATGAGCTGTGATAGGGTGCGCGACGGCTGCGCGGAGTGGGGAGGAGTGAAATTGACGAGCCCTGAGTCGAATGGACAGCCCCAGCTGCGGACAAAACGCAGCGCGTGATAAACTGGCCATGATTCTGATTGAGGCGAAGAGGGTGGAAGTGGAAACTTCTTGAGCTGCGGCCGGACGGGAACCCCGGCCCGGGCCGTGTGGGTTTTGCTTACTCAAGGTGTACCAGACAACCCCGTGGATGGAAGTATAAAGACGTGTCCACAGATCATGTTTTGCGCAGCGCCGATCATGCTCATTTGCAGGGATCATTTGAGTTTGACCTACAGCCTCTCTTCTAGAGAGGCTGCCGAGCTGGGACAAACCTGCTGCACCATTGCGTCAGGGATGGGTGCTATGATCGGGGGGCATGTCCGATGACACCAGGCCTGAGCGAAGACTCATTACGAAAACTAGAATATCATAGTTGCGCATCTGGTTGATTCGAAATTACCAACAGCAGGAGAACGCGAATGACAACAAATCAGAAAACCACCCGTGCATCTAAGAAGCCCGAAGACAAGCCAAAAGGATAAAGAAACACACTTCAAGTTGACCTCCGAGGGGGGTAAAAGAATCAGGGAATCAAAAGATAGCTGAGCTCACGCATCGAGACGCAGAGCACAAAAAGAACAAGCGCAAACCGACGAGATCCGCCCATGCTTTTGTAATTTACATAAAAGAGAAATGGAAAGGAAAACCAACAAAAGCCCTGTAAGCACAAGAATAGCCACCCTTTTTGCAGTTTTTCGAATGTGGACTTTTTTTTTCTGGCTTCGCAAGATGGATCATGTGCTGAGTGGGAAGTAAACGAAGAGGGGAAATGCAACGGCAAAAAATTCCGAGTGGCGCGGAAATACTACGCAACAGCTGAGATGGTATCACAACATCGTGGTTGTGGAATCTCAAAAAGCTTGGCTCCAAAGGGTCTTGTTGGTGGGGAGGAGAGAGCTTGCGACGAACAGGGCCAGGTCGAATCCGAGTCCGTTAATGGCGCATGGAAAAGAAGCTGGCAAGGAGGAATAAAGGCTGCAATCAAAGGCAGCGCTAAAGAGGCATCTAGAACCGGAACCAAAACCAAAACCAAAACCAAAACGAGAAAAAAAACAAAAGTTCAGAATTTTGGACATGGTGGAAACATGGTCGTCACGGCATTTCATCGTAAAATGTTGGGTAAACGAGTCCCGCTCGATCTCCAAATTGCACGAGCGGGGGGGGAGGGGTTAAAGGTCTAGAAAGGCCTCCTCCGGCAGCACATGCAAAAGGGCGTCTCTCGCAGAACCTGAAGAAGTCTTTTGTCCCACAGGAGATGCCAAAAGACCTTAATTGGTAAGGTAGCTGGGATAATATGGCTGCTTTCTGCGGTCGGCATCGGTGAGTTTCTTCATACGCTCGGCGTCGTAGTCGTCGGCACCGTCACGGCTACCCCAAGTGGTCTGGAGAGAGGAGGTTAGCGAGTATCCTCCAGTATTCGCAACAGAAAACCAATCACAATACGCAGATCTGAGCACAAAGCAAAAAGCCGGAAAAGGTAAGAGAGGCATCGCACGGGAAGGGCGAGTGGGTATAGACAGCTGCACGAGGCACCAGTTGTGATCAAAGCGTAGGAATGAGGGCTTATCATAGGGAGAACCAAGAAAGCGGAAGAGGGACGCGTCTTAGCCAAAAACCACAGACCCGCTCCAAATCACCCAAACACCCCTCAAAAAACACAAGGCTATTTCAATTGCGAAAAGAACTCAAAAAATACGATACGTACCACATTCAATGTCATCACAGCATACACCTTGATTGCGCCGTGGAAATATCCAAAGAGGATAGAGACGGGCAACAGGATCCAGTCCACAGGATATCGGATATAGTGGCCCAGGAGCTTGATGAACTTGCTGATAAACATCCAGATGTATAGAGCCCGGAGGGCTCGATTGTTGAAAACTTCACCATAAGGGGCTGTGGCTCGAGCGCACAACCAAATCAGCAGTAAATCCCCGAGCAGGGCGGGGGCGATAACGTCGTCATGTGGACGGCATAAGCGCTCCATGGTTGGCGACTATTGACACGTTAGCTACTGCGGCTGAAAGAAAAAAAAAAGAAAGAAAAGAAAAGAAAAGAAAAAAGCGTATGGATCATGTCTTCAAGTCAAGCTTTGGCAACCTCCGTGGCCGATTGAGGAACGAAAACAACAAAAATCCCCTGTAGAGAACTAGAAATAGCTCGAGATCGACGGGTTTGTTTCAGGCAAATTCGGCATCTCCAAAGACAGCCCTTTTGCCTTGTTTCCACCCACACCAGCTTCGGAGGTTACCCTGGTTACCCACATGCCCTTTGGCGGAGTTTCAATCAAAGGAACCGAGGGAAGAACCGAGGGAAAGCGGCGTCGCGCCCGAGCATGCAAATGGCAGATGCAGGCGACATGCATGGTAAATGCTTCGGGTGAAGCCATCCGAGGAGGTCGCAAGGTCGGGGAAAAGCATTGTCCAACGAGGGAAGCGGAGAAGGGGGGGGGGAGAAAAACGAGAGGGTGTCACTTACTACCAGATGTGCTTCTCGTCGCACATGCTCGTCAAATTGCTCCGCCAATTGCTTCTCGACCAGCGCGCGCATTGCTTTAAGAATCGGGGGTTATCTTCCAGTGTGGTGAGCACCTCGGCCTCCGGGTGGTATTGCATGAAAGTCTCCCAGCCATGCGAGACCATCCAACGGGTAATGAAGTTGTCATCGTCCGCATTGAGCTGATATCGGCCGAACCACCATTCCTCGTTGGTGAACGCATAGGTGAATCCCTCGTCCTGGAGAATCTTGGTTCGATAGGCTACCGTGCGGCCTGACATGCATGGTAGTCCACCGTCCAGATTGGTCGTAGCCCCGCAGTCGAAGTTGCGACGCTCGAGATACAAGGCGCCGAGGAAGCCCCAGATGCGCTGTGAGAGGGTTGGCGCAACGGCACGACGTAATCGCTGGCAAGTCACCACTCCTCCATACCGCTCGTCCTTCTCAAACGGAGCCAGAATCCATGGGAGCACTGTCGAGGGCCAGCTCACATCGTCGTCGGCAAGCAAGGTGATCGGTGTCCGGACCTCTGGAATCGCTCTGGTCATTTGGCGGCGCTTATTCGGGTGCGTGACGGTAAATAAACGAATACGTGATTTGGAAGCCGGCATCACATCCAACATTCGCTCGGCCTTCTTCCGATTGGCTTCAATTGTGACCAAAAGGATCTCAAATGGTTGGTTTTCGAGGATCGAGCGAATTGTCTCAACCAGTTCATCACCACAACCTTCCAGCGTAGGAATAATGACCGTCACATCTTGAGAGGTCAATTTGGGGTTTTTCCGGGGGCGGGATCGGCGTGAAAGACCAGAAGGAAACCAGGTTAACCACTAAGCGGACATAGCGATAGAGGCTAATTTCAGATAGTTAGCTCCCCGGAACGAAAATTAAGTAAATCCAAGGGTCTCTCGGAGTCTCGAAGTGATTGGCCACTGCCAATTCCTTCCGAATCACGATTCCAAAGACAAGGGTGGCAAACTAACAATAAGGCGATGAATGCTCGCATGAACGGGAAAGCCATGGTGGAGACGCGTAGACCGATTGCCCTCTGCCAGAATGGTTCGCAATGTTCGCCGATTTCGATGGATCTTCAATTTTGACGTCTGCCAATTCGCGTCAGCTCAAGAATAGGGAAGAATTTGAAACGCGTTCTGAGGTTCTTACCTGCGACCAAGTTGTCCCACACGGCCAACTATGGTAAAAAGGATGGGCTGGTTAGGGAAGAATGAGGAAGCAGGGAGAAAACGAAAGTCGGAGAACGATACGGCTTCCTCAACCAGCCCAGATCAGATTGAGGGAAAGGGAATGGAGAACAAGAAAAAAAAAATTATAAGAGAGGACAAAGTACATGGGAGTCGACCGTGGTTAATTTGTAGGGGAGCACAATGCCCACGACGACAATCCTGATACTAACCCACGCGAACAATTGAACCAGATTTAAGAAAAAAGAAAAGAAAAAGAAAAGAAAAAGGCTAAATCCATAAAAGAAAAAAGAAATCGAGAAAAGATTTTTTGATTCTATTTTTTTATTTTTTGATTTACCTCTTTTAGCTCGAAAATTAAAAATAAATGGAGGGGGGGGGGGGAACAAAAATACAAAAATGAAAAGGCCCCAGTTAGATGTTGTCGTTTTGAGAGCGCTGCAGGTGTAGTTTTGCCTCGTGCGTCAGAGACCCTGGATCTAGATGGAGGCATGCGAGGCAGAGGAATTCGAGGCATTCGCAGGTGGAGAGGGAGAGAGGGATTGGCGGCGGCCCATGCATAAGTGACATGGAGTCCCCACTTGGCCTCGGTCGCTGATACATGCGTATTACGCGGTCAGATAGTGTTGTTCTGTCGGCAGTTCTATACTGTCTAGTCAGGCTAATCTGTCAGGCCCGTTTAGCCTGTCTAGCTCACTCTGTTCTTACCATGGCACTCCTGCAGTCGTGGGCCTGAGCAGTCGAACATGGTCCTACAGTAGTTAGAGACCATAGATGCACGATACAATGCGATCCACGGAACCACTCTAGCTTTAGGCGGGAACCTCGCAGTATCAGCTACACATCGACATTTGAATGACGAAACGCCACAAGGCAACCGTCGGGTTCCGGGGCACGACATGAGCACTTGACCCGTGGAATGCCTCTCCAGTTGGCCTTGTCGTCGCAGGTACCATCCTGCACGATCGAACCTACTCCCCTGTGGCATGCATGAGACCAGCACAAAAAGCAAATAATACCTTAGGAGAACGTCTCCGATCCTAGGCTTCTGCCACCCCCCTCTTTTTGCTTGGAAAGATCAGCGACGCTGCTCATTGGTGCCCAGTCTTTCATGGGCAAACCTTTTTTTCCTTCCCTCTCTCAATGCACGGAGTATCCATTTCCTATTTCTCTCTCTTACTTTGCCTTTCGGTTTTATGCCGCACGGTTACCCGCACTTCGATCAACCGTCTTAAGGCTGGCTTAACTATGTATGACCGCGTAGGTATACTGAGGCATGACCTGGACGAAATAACACGCTCTTTCAAAACTTGAATACCTGAATTCCTCGACTTCGTACGGATGATCGCCCCTCTGTTAGCGCCGCGGTGGACACCCCTTCTTTCCCCGTACCATTTATCTGTACTTCCCGCTGTGGCTCCAGATGCGTGATCCACGATAACCAGATGCATTTCTTAATTTTAACGTGCATTGAAACAAGATGTGGAAGGAATCCACTTGGGCAAGGAACCTAGGAGGGGCAGAGGCCAGTCCTCAGCCGCTCCCTTGACCGTAAACTGTTTTAGGGGAGCGCGAGAAAACGAATCCTAGCGGCGATCGACACGCGCTGTGCCCAAACCGTTCGCGGTGCTCTGGGAGCTTGAGTGGAGCTTGTGATGGAGGGGAAAGTGGAAAGCTGTGGGATTCGGAATATTCAGAATGGTTCGAATGACAAATTGGCTTGAACTTAACGGATGCTCATGTGGGGGGGGAGGTGGGATCGATATCCAGGCCTATAAGCCTCGAGCCCTCTGGTCAATACCTAGTGGACACGGCCCAGACATCCCAGGTTAAGTAACCCGAGATGACAGAAACACGACACTCCAAACTATCAAGGCGATGCTCTCGGAGGAATTCTGCAAGATAGCGAGGTCGTTCTATTCCGACACCGATTCCAGATGGGGCACTCTACAGGGAGGGGATTACATCTGTATACAGAGTAATCATGGCACCGTATTGTACCATATCATCAGCCCCAAGCCCGTTCATTCTTCTACGAACCCCAAATCGCCGGGCCCAGGCACAATCGCACATGTACAAACCCTGCTGCGGCGTCCAGCAGAACCAGGATGCCAGTTGAACGAGGCTTCCATGTCTCAGTTTCCACAGTAGACGCGCCTCGCTATGGCGTCTAATCGAGGGCATGCTGACGGGGGCACAGCCCTTTGCCTGTTAGCGGCCAAAGTGGACTCTGGTCAGTGCATCTGCAGCCGGCTGAATAGGGAAAGCCTCTGGGATCTCCGCCCCAGGACATACTGCGTAAAGAGAAAAAAGGCGATCGGAAGGTCGCAAAAGCATCATTTACCCATTCATGCCAAGTCTGCCTAGAAGACTACGTACTTCTGCTCCCCTTCGCTAAGGCCGTGCAGCTCAGGCCGTTTAGGATCTGCCTAGTGGCAATATCCATCGCGGAGGATTTTGTTCTTTTGCGTTTGGAGTACTCTTACGATTTGCCTTCTATGATTACGGTGGAGGTGCGGTCGCATATTTACCCCCCTGCCATCCAAAGATCGAGCGAGACGCCACGGAGGTTTCTTGGGGTTTGATCGAGAGGCGTGTACTGTATCCACCGGGAGTATTCACGGGGGATGAGGAAAGGGCAGCTCTCTGATCGCAGTCGGCCGAACTCTGCACTTTTAGGCCAGCACGGCCGATTGGAGAGAATTCAGTGAAACAAACGCGTATCTCCGCTGCACGGACTTCTTCCATTAAAAAGGCACGGTCCTGGAGACTCCACAAGAAGTTTCGTAACGTCCTGTCCCTCGAAATCCACCAAGCCCACTATCCCATCCGAATCCCGGGAGAGCCCGGCTGCGTTATACTGTACGCTGGAAGAGTTCGCCGAGGCCCTCTTGATCTGGACTCGAGAGCTCGAGGGCAACGTACAGAAAAAGGGGAGGGGCGACAGATTCAGCATGGGAAACCTACTAGAGCCTGCAGAAACAAGGAATCAACAGCACGGATTGCCATCCTAGCACCTCCAGACTGACAGCACGGGGCGGAAAAATGACATGCAGCGGTCGATCAGACGGATCAGACGGCCCCTTCCCCTCTTTTGGTTTCATTGGCGCTAAAGGCCGCTCTTGGCCACTATCAACTTTTTCCCCAGCGAATCACCGCCCCCGGAGCCCCATCTCGTCTTTTCCCAAGGGGAGCTTTGAGTGTCCCTCATTAAATTCATATGGCTCGTGTCTTCCCCCATTTGGAAACAGTGTAGGAACAGGATTGTCCAGGTCATCCAGTGGGGCTTGTTTCTACGGTCGTACTCCGTAGCGCGTTACAGGTGCACGCCGTCAGTGGATCAATGGACTTTTGTCCAAAGGGCACGATATTTTTTTCCCATGGACTTTCCCAGCGACTTGCCGCTGCACGGTGCAGGCGGCTCCAGTAGATCCACCGTAATCTTTCCGGCCTCGGCATCCAGCGAAGAGTCGGGATCTAATACAGAACGAGTAGCGCGATCTGGTGGCAAGGTCTCGTGTATACTGGGATTGGAGGCGGGAGAGGGGCGGGGGCGGAACGCATGAGGGGCGCCCCATCGTGCGCGTTAACCCGTATTCACTATTCTCCGGAGGCTCCAGAGAAAGAGAGCGAGAGACCAGGGGGGAACCGATACCACTCTAAAAGAACCACCCCCGCTAACCGGGGGGGTTCCGCCCTGATCCTCTAGCTGCAGGCCACTAGGGCAGCCTCGCTGCAACTACTGCAACCACCGTGGCATTAGTCTCGGGTTAATCACCGACTTCGGTCCCCACTGTTCTTGCGGGTAATTCAGATACTTACATTGTTACCACGAGTGTCCGGAAACATCAATACATAAGCTTATGGGATTTACTCAACCATTGAGGAACCCTTGATGCTGATGGCACCACCGGCCTGATCAGCGTGATTCTTAGTATTTGTTGATATTCGTAAGCCGACGCAGAGTATCTGTGGATGAGACATGCTATGATTTCGTCTTGGGGCATGATAAACTGTCAACAATGGAAGTGACCTAGATAACCAGAAGCGAACCATTGGGAAGATTCGGGATGACGCGCCTGGCAAATCGATAATATCAGATGAATGCATCTTCAACTGTCATATCTTCAGCCCTAATTCCTGCAATCCCACTCGAGATCCGTACCCTCCCCCCAAAAGAGGGTGCTCTACGCCGTAAGGTCTCGTCAATGCGCGTCTCCAGCCGCACTGGAGTCATTGCGCTGCTATTCCGTGCATGGCCCAATAAGGACGATCAGGCCCACCCCCCCTTTCTTGTCCCCATGAGTCGAACCACGGCCGCATAGCCCGGTTCAGCAGGATGTCAGCGCGAGATTATCGTTCCCCGTTCTTCCGGGTCTTTCTCATGGTCGAACAGGGCCTAAGACCAAGAACGCGCGTCTGCACAGAAGGCAGCAAAAAGATGTCTCTCAAACATGAGGACGGGACCGAGACCGGCGATCCTCCCAACACGGTAGCTCGCCCACAGGCCCTCTTCGAGATCCTCCTTCGTGACGTCAAGCCATGGCCGTTCATGCAGCTCGATTAAGTCGGAGATTTGTCTGTTATGAGGGGTAAGGAAGAATGCAAGCCCCTGCTCATCTTGCTCATCTTGATACAACTGCAGTGTATGGCTCGGATGCACCTCTCGCTTCCCCCCGAGCGCTAATGCACCTCTTGACTAGGAGGACAATCCTGAAGTGTGGTGGCCGATTGCTTTCTAGAACCGTGTACATGTACGATAGAGCGCCCAACTATGCAGGTGCCTCGGTCGACGCGCCAGTTCCAATGGCACAATCTTCAATATGCGAGTCCAGTAAGTACAGAGCTAGCCAGAGGCAGTAAGAGTCTTCTACCTTCTCTGCAGAGTATCTTGTCGTGAAGGAACCAATGGCTGAAGTGTCAAAACTCTCTTATATGACGAGAAAGAAGGGCCAAGACGAGATTCAGGGTCTAAAAGTAAACGACGGAAGCCCCGGTCTTGACATGCAGGAGGCATGGTGAAGCCATCCCATATCCTCCATACCCCGCCACAAGAAGAAAGTAACTAGAGTGCGATTTTTAATTTTAAAAGACCAGAAAAAATAAAAGAAAAGAAAAGCAATTACACGCGATTGATTGGAAAAAGGTTGAGCCTATCAAAATCATCCGTTCCCCGATGCGCTGTTCTTCTCATCTCCTATAGCCCTGTCCTAATTACCCTTGTTGGCCCATGAACTCCATACGACAGAAAAGGAGCAACCGAGTATCCATCCATCCATGCCACATTATCCCATGCAGCCCGGCCAAAAAGTCGGCAGAATTACATGCTGGGCTTGTACAACCAGCCTGCAGGGTCGAAACAAGAATCAAAATCAACGCCACCGAAAAGGCCAATGGCGGCGTACAAGTCATAGTCGCCTTCCAATCCTTCAATCCCACCAGAATCCGCATCCACCTCTTCATGCAAGTCCCACCCGCCGACACTTTGCCCATTCCGGGTGAAAAAGACCTCCACCTTGCAAGTCCTTTTGTCAGGCTTCTGTGCACTAGCGTCATCCGGAAGAGCAAAGATCATTCCGAGCCCAACGGTTTCCCCCACGTTAAAAGCTGTCGTGAACTCGCGGCCGCCCCACGAGTCATTTACAAAGCGGCAGCCGTCATCTGAGAAGACGCCCAGGCTGCCCCGTTCCCAGCCGGGCGATCTCCAGGAGGGATAGGGCTGGGCGACGTAGCCGATAGACACCCCACTGGCGTCGTCCGGGCCGGTTCCGGGCCCGGCGCGTAAAGCACGCAGAGTGATCTCGAAATAGATCGTCTTTCGCCTCTCTCGGATGAACGGCGAATCCTCCGCGGCAAAATAGAGCGGGAGGTGCGAGAGCACGAGGCTGTCACCTGCGCCATCGAAGGTGCGCGCTTGCCAACGTCCGAGGCCGGCCGGGTGCAGCTCTCCAGGGAACTCCTGCTGTCGGACGGGCCGGAGATCATGCTGCTGCACGCTGCTGTACACTGAGGGCGACGGCCTCACGGGCATCCACAGCGGGTTGTTGTTACAGAAATCGTGAGCTCGTTCGGCATCGTTGCTCGAGGCATTCCCTGACCCGGAAGCGTAAAAGCCTGTGACTGGTGGGGGAGGGAAGGTGGAAGTATCGGGTACTGCGTCTTCCCAATTGTGGTATGGAGGGGGCTCTGCATGCCTCTGTGCTGCATCGTAACTAGGAGGCGCGCCCCAGGACTGGGGTTCTTCTGGTCGTCCCATGATGATGTATTATCTATGAGCGGGTCTTGCTATCTTGCTTATTCTTTTCCCTTTCTGCGCGCTCTCTCTCTCTCGCTCTCTCCTCGCTCTCTTGTCGTACGTTTTGGTTCTCTGGGAAAGTTCGAAGCTGTCCAGGAGAAGTGAGAACTGCTTGAAATGGGCATAAGGCCCCGATCCAAGTTGGTTTAAAGTTGTCGAGAAACCCACGGTTGCCAAGCGGGGCTGAGCCGTCAAAACCCGCATTTTCATCCGTGGATTCAGTCTTGGAACAAAGGTTGAGGATTGGCGGCACAAATACATTTCCAATCTGGCTATGCTGGGTTTGACATTTGACTCTTGCTGGCCTGACCGGGAATACTTGGCTTTCGGCAATTACTACGAAAGCAACGAGGGCTTTGATTCTTCTAACCCCGTGCAAGATTCCCCTTAAATGTTCTTCCATGGATTGGGAAGGCGATGCACTTACGAGTATATAGATTTTGGATCAGTTCGTATTCACGAAGGTTGGCATCGTATAATTGGCCAGCGGACCAAAAGTATCGTGATTCTAAATAAAGCAATGGCGATATCCGGCTTAAGACTCGTTGGGCTGCAGGTCTCAGATTGTTCCGCACACGACTGGTCAACTGTGGCCGGTTTTGAATTTTCATCATTGTTCAACGTCTGTCTTCCTTGATCCTCTACACGCATATCCCCCCATGGATAACTGCTGGTGCTCATTGACCCTCAAAGGCGGCGGTCATTCCCTTCTTCGATCTCCCACCCTCTTCGCCTCGCAATGACGACAATGACGGCAATGACGGCAATGGCGGCCGATCCTCCCCGCAAACGACGATCGTCCTTTTCCGAGAATATCCAGCGCGTGTTTCATGTCGATCGATCCGATAAGGTAACTCATATTGATGTTGATCTCTATCAAACTTGCTCTGACAAGGGCCACAGAGACGGCCAACCCTCGCTCCCAATGGCAAGCCATCTCAGGCACCCGGAACACCAGTGAATGTTGACAGTCACGATCCCAAGCCTGAGGCCAATAGCCCGGGCACTCCAGGCCACTCGGGGCTTGACGAGACTGGTGTCAGCTCCTTTAGTTACTCATCCTACAACTCTCGAAAGCCGTCCCTCGGTACTCCCGACTCCAGCGCCTCTGTCCATCCGGTCACCTCCAAGGATGAAGGCCATTTCCCCGACCAAATGGCACCCGCCGAAGTGAAGGATCAAAATGTAGAGCACGACCATGTTGGCACATCCCCTACATGGCGAAAAGACACTACGCGCAAGGAGAGAAGGGCCACTCAGCGGCTGGAAGCCGAAAGGAAAGAGCTGGAGAAGCGTTTGCTTCGACTGGAAGAATCTCAAGCTCGACTGGACCAAGGCATCTATGAGCGGCAATCACGTCGTCTAAGCAAAAAACAGCCGCTTGGCAGCTCAAGTCGGTCATCCAGTGCCAATACCGAACGACCTCGCTCGTCCAGTCTGTCGGCCTTGTTCTCGCGCTCGAGGCGAGGATCTCGATCACGCGCCAGTTCTGCACACGGGAGTGACCGTGATCGCCGTTCTAGTGACGACTTTCGTTTTGGTCCACCCAGCTTGCCTCTGGTACTTCCGGAGAGATTTGGTACTGCTGTTTCGCGGGAGCTGGCCAATAGGCACGGAACTGGTCTGGGGCAGCTACACTACCTGCCTCCCTTCAAGGCCCAGTCCGCTAATCACTCTCTCCATTCGTCTCACAAGTCCGACGACCTCCGTGAAAGCTGGAAGATGGCAGAAGCTTGGCAGAAGCAACATGGGAATGCTGATTTGAGCAGTGTGACATCAAACCAACTGCAGTTTATCGCTGCGGGCAACAGGCCCTGGACTGAGATGCCTAATCACCGGAAAGATCAGCCAAACTCACTGGCAGCGATGCAGCGCGATGCGGAGCTTGATCGGGAGAGATTCACTACTGCTCTAAGACAGAACAAGCGGGCTTCGAATCCGATGCCAAGTGTCCAACTTCAGAGTAACTCTGCCTCTCGAATGATGGTACTCCCGCTGCAACACAATACACCCGCAGACGGAATTCAACAAGCTCACGGATCTCCGCCTCCCAGGGTCCATCCTGTTGACGGTATGCTCAATGTTCAGGGGTCCCCTGGCCCCTCCGTTATTAGCCCTCCACCTGAAATGTCGGGGAATTTAGCAAACGCCTATTCAAAGGCGTACAAGTCCTCGCCCTTGGCGATGAACCCGAACACCACAATTCCACCTCATCGAGTTAATGAAATTACTACCCCATGGACTGCATCACAGCGAGACGCAAACCAAGTCTCTATACCCAAGCCACTTCGAATCTTCCGCCAGCCCCGGTCTCAGTACGGCGAGAATCGAGAGCGCTTTGGGTCTTCGGTGCCTTCTTATCTTCCTGCCCCGAACCAGCCTCGACAGAATGCCATTCAGGCTCCACCAAATAGCTGTCTAGATGCGAAACAGCAACAGATCCCCCAAGAAGCCAAACGACCTCCACGAGTGATACCGCCTCCCAAAAACCCTCGCCGAAGAAGTACTTCGGTAGATCGAACGAAGTCAATTGAAAACGAGAGTCCTAATAATTCATCATTGGTTAATGCTGCTGGCAATGGTTCCCCGGAGCATGTTTCCCCACAACCGAGTGCGCATGCTGATAGCAACACTTGCACTAAATTAAATGGACCAGGTCACCTCCGATCCCAATCAGACCAGTCCTCGCGGGCATCCAGCTACAACACAGCTGACGAGGAGGTTCTGGATGTGCCTGCAGACCGGAATTCTCGACATAAACATCAGGTTCCCGAGACCAGCTGCCCGGTATCTCTTAACGTCCCGGATGTCTCCCAAGAGAAGACAGTCAATCAAAACATCAAACCCGTCAACTTTCCAAGCATCCCATCACTTGCTCCAGACGGACCGCTCAGCTTACAGAAGAAGAACGCCATGCAAAGAGCAAGGGTGCCTCGAAAGGATGAAGTTGTAGCAAAGGCATTTGTCATTTGCTGTCAGTGCAAGTACTGGCACGATATGCCATCGGAAGTGTACGCAAGGCTAGCGTGCCCGGCGCGGTTACCGTCTGATTCTCGCTTCGCGAGAACTTTCTCGCGAAGAAATTCTGTCAAAAAGGCTCTCTTTCCTCCAAACACCAAGGTCACACGACGATTTCCGGTCCCAAGGCAGCAGACTTCGAACGACCCTCGTGGCGTACCAACTCACTCTGACGCAGGGGCTTCGGCACCGCCAACTTCCCAGCCACCAGCACTCTTGAACTCTCAGTGCTGCTGGTGTGGCCATGGCATGGGCAACTCTTGCTGTCAAGGCTGGTCAACGCTTGTCTCGATGCGTGAACGATTTCACTAAATGCTTTGTATCATATGTTTCATGATTCCCAAACAACTGATGATGACGACATGAGCCACGATTGATAGCACCACTGATGCCCGCTTCGTATTCTTTTCCTCAAATGTATTCTCTTTACTTTTCAATTTCGTCTATGAAACATTACATTGCAATGATAATATGACGTTTTGAGGTTGGACCTATTTCTTTGGTGGTATACACATCCAGCCTGGTTCTAAGTAGGCTGCGCTCTTGACTATGTACAAGTATCCGTTCTGAGTGTCCGGTCCGAGATGTCCGGTTGCTAGTAGTGGAGTATCAAAATCAGGAGGACCAGTAGCGGTAGCAATTCCCGGTCACGGTCACATTCCTCATATCCGTACTTATACCCGGGTAGACATATACTAGTATCATGATCCAGCCTGCGCTAAACCCTGGAGGAAGTTGAAATGATTTGGTCCTAGTGCTAGTTTGAAAAATTCCATATTTTGGAGGTCAGTTCTTTGGAAAATGCAAGTTGATCCCGAGGGTATGCACAAGCCATAACTATCATGCTACAATCTACCGTCGTGAAGCTGCAGCAATTGAAATTCTCCAGTTCCAAAGTTCCAAGGTCCCAAGGTTGGAGAAGTCCCGCTGACTAAGACGTAAGCGAGTGGCCGTCTCGCAGCAAATTTCGGAGCAAAATTCCCATTCACCCCCATCCCCCGTTTTACGCGACATGGACCAGGATCTAATGTGATAGCTGTGTCTTCAGAGCTCCAATTGATCATGATATCTACCTTCCGTTATACTAATTCACCAGACTATATATATCCCCCCCGCCAGCAAGATGCTCTGACGCTTCTTATTGCCGCCTTATCACATTCGTCGCAACTCCTCAGTCCAGCTGCCCCCAGTTCTTACGAGCTTTCCACGGGCTTTTCCTCCGAAGAACAGCCTGCACAATGCTGCGTCTTGCGGCGGTGATCGGCTGGAGCTGGATTGGGCCCAAAGGATCTTCTTTTGAAGACCCCTTGGCTTATTCTCATAGTTGCTAGAGCAATCAAGGGCCTTCATAGTTCATGTTATACTTGCTCGAGTCCCCTTCTAAGGCTATCTCAGCTTCTACGAGAGCATGACTCCTTGCGCACCTACATCCAACCAGCACACCTTCACCTTAGCCTAGATCCTAGATAATATGATATCTGTGCATTGATTCTTTCCTTAGTTCATGTCTTTTTTCAAGGATCCGCCATTCAAATTCTTCTCAATGTAATACAAAAGATATGGCATTGCAGCTCACAGTTTACTCTTTGCCTTTTCATCGCCGACGATGTTCACGACGACCTTGCCCCAAGTCTCACGGCCTCCCAGCGCCTGAAGAGCCTTGGGCACGCTCTCGAGACCAGCGAAGCTAGCATCCTTGAACGCCGTCCCGCGGAATTTACCCTGAGCGACCAGATCAAAGATACCCTTCCAAACCGTGCCCACCGTTTCAGTCTCAAAGCGCGCATACTGGCCCCAATGCACACCCACCAAGCTCACGTTCTTCAATAGCACCCTGTTCAGCGCCACCTTCTCGATCTTCCCAGCTGCAAATCCGATAACCAATAGCCGCGCATTCCACGCAACACATTTCAAACTCGGCTCAATCATGCCCACCGGGTCATACACGATATCCACCCCCGCCTTCCCATTCCCCTTCCTGTGCGCTCCACACAACTTCTTCACTTCTTCCGGCCACGCCTTATCCGTATAGTCGATCACGTAGTCCGCTCCAAACTCCTTCGCAACCTCCCTCTTCCGCGGAGTCCCCGCCGTCGCAATCACAGTCGCCCCCTTGGCCTTTGCAATCTGCACCGCCGCCAACCCGACGCCGCCCGCCGCAGCATGCACAAGGACCCAATCTCCCGCCTTCACGCCCGCGCGGTGCACTAGTGCTCCATAGGACGTCGGCGCCGTAACGAAGAGGCCCGCGGCATCCTCAAAGCTCCAGCCATTCGGGATCGGCAGCAGAGTGGATTCGTCGGCCAGGACATGGGTAGCATATGCACCTTGGTTCGCGCCGAAGACGCGATCGCCGACCTTGAAGCGGGGCGAGGAAGAGGATGTGGGAACGGCGGCGATCGTCCCGGCGAATTCCATGCCGCCGATCCAGGGGAGTGGAGGCTGGTGCTGGTACTTGCCCGCTATCTGGAGGATGTCGAAGAAGTTGGTACCGGCGGAGTGGATCTCGATGAGGTATTTATCGGCGGCGGGAGAAGGGGTTGGGAGGTCAGAGACTTTGAGCTCTAGGGGCCCCTACAAGTCAAAAAAGGTTAGGATAAGAATTCTCCGACTGGACACCGGCTTTGGTTTTCAGGGATAAGAGCCTTGGGGTGGTTTCGGATGGGAAGGGGGATCAGGGGATAGGAGGTACGAACCTTGACGTATTGGCTCACTTGGATGGCGCGCATGTTGGATGGTTTACAGGAATTGAGAGGAAAGGAAACCAGAAAGTCCAGAAGAAGGGAACTACATGCGGAGAATTTAGAGGGAAACCTTGGGAGGTTGGGGTAGCGAATGTGGTTCCCCGCGTAGACGTGCCGAGGTTGTTTTTCGGGTGAGACTCTTAAGACTGCTTGGCCAATCTCTGGTCAGCTTTGGATCCCAACCAAGTATGGAGCACATGCTTGGATATGCTTACCTAGACCCCATGCCTATCCGAGACCCTACCCGAGGGCCTATCCGAGGGCTTTTCAGCGCTTCAGACGAGGAATATTGTTCACATCTGGCTATTGTCAAGTGCTGGACTTCGCGGATCGAGTTTCATCATCCAAAGTTCTTGATTCCATAACAGCTAAAACCACATCAGACGTTCCCAAAACACATTGGCATCGAATGTACATATCAATTCACACGAGGTATCAAACGTAGAAATGCCACCTGGCAAGCGCCGAAATCGAAGAAAGAGAGACCAGACCAAACCACCAACCACCCGAGCAACACCGAATATGTCATACATGAAAGATCTTTTGAATACAGATCGCAGCTCTTCCCCGTTAAGAAACAAAGACGCCAAGAGAAAGGGAGGGAAGGGTAAAAAGAAAAAAAAGGAAATATGGAAGAAGAATATGAAGAGAACATTAACGAGAAAGGTATCGGGTATCATGGCGCGCAATGCAATGAGGAAAAAAAAAAGAGCCAAGTATCCCACGCGGGGAAGGAAGGATCGCCATTTGCTCTTAGCTCATATATGAAACAGGAGCACACATCATCGGATGAGAGGTAGCAGACTGGCTTCCAGGCACCGGGACCATGGCGGGCGGAAGAGGGGCATGAGAAGAAGGCTTTCGGTCGGAGTGATCCAGGCGAGGATGGCCATGAGGGGAATAGTCGTAGTGCAGGGGCACGGGCGGACGCTTCCACGGCTTGGGATCATAGTGATGGTACTCCGGGTTTTCATAGTGGTGAACGAAATCCGGCGAGTAGACTGCAGGGGCAGAGACTATCATCGGCATCTGCTCGTGGTAGCCGGATGGAGGCATAGGAGCTGAGTGTGGGATGCCCGATGGAGGGGTCACAGGCTCGAAAGGTACCGGCGGCATCGAGTACCATTGACCTGAGTGTACAGACGAGTTGGGAGGCATGGGCATCCCATCTACCGACAAGGAACGAGGTGGCTGCTGCCATACTGGCAAAGCAGAAGTCGTGCTGGGTCCCGGGCTTGGGATGCAAGAGTCGGGTGATAGTGGATATCCCGGGTAAGAAGAGGCCAGAGCAGAAGTCGTGTTGAGCACCAGGCCCTCACCGGGCGGAGAAGACTGAGCAGGTTGTTCGAAAGAACTCGAATGTTCCGTGAATGAGTGAACGGATGCGCGATGAACGTGCTCGCCGGACGGACTGGGCGTCAACTGAGGCACATCATGAGGAGAATATGCGTGATGGGCGCCCAGCCAGGTTGGACGAGCCGCAGAGGCCTTCTGCTTGGGTACTGGCGCTGGTCTGTTAAGGGGAGATTTGGATAATTCCTTGGCCTCTTTCTCTGATTCCCCACCATCGGAGGGCTTCTTTCGGCATTGGCGTGATGGCTTGGTCACTCGCCATTTCTTTAACCGACTCCGCAATTGAGTCTCGCTGGCACGAAGTTAGGACGGAGTCGGTTTGAAAGGGTGACGAGCATTGGGAACTCACCTGGGATTGAAATCGTCAGATCGGATCTGCTTGATGACTTGTTTCAACGGCCATTCCTCCTCCATATACAACTTGGCGATCAAGGCTTTCTTCTTCTCCCACACATCTGAGGAAATAGACGTCTTCATTTTGGATATCCAAGCAGTAAACGAGAGAAGAGATAGAAGTGGGGAAGGTCTTATGAGGATGGGGATGGGAAAGAGGAATTCAACGGGTAGAAGTAGAAGAAGCAGACGAAGCAGGAGTTAAGAACGTCCACGCAGACAAGTAATTCGGGGAAAGGGATCAATGGTAGCTAATTGTAATTCCTGACAAAAAAAAAGTATAATAAAATAAACGTCCAGAAATGCCCGGGAAATGGCGACTAATCACGTAAAAGACGACCTAGAAGTCCCTGATGCCTGGAAGAAAATCAGAAAACGAAATAATGCTGCATTGGGCCAACCAAATAGAATAATCCAAAAGGAAACGAAGCGAAAAAGGAAAGGAAAATAAAGAAACCTGTAAAATCCAAAAGTATAAAAAATAAAAACAGGCGAAAAGGGCGAATAAACCCCAAAGGCCTGCAAACCTTCAAGTCCACCCAGGGAGCCAGCGACCAACCAAGGCGCATCGGCTGCCCATCCCCCCCCACCCGCTAAAGCCCCCCCCTTCTCCACCTTCATCTCCCGCCATTTTGGATCGCCATCATCCAATCCCTTTGAGCAACAACCCACGGACGATAAGGGTTTGCTATGACGATAGACGATCCTCGTGGTGGATTGAACCTCGTACCATGACCATCTGTAAACTCGGGGCTCAGGTGTCAGTATGGAGTCTGTTTTGCGTAGAAAAGCTCACGGAAGATCAATTGCAGCCTTGGGATGACAGCAGCCTCTATTGTTCTGTTGTTTCTGGAAAGGGGACCGGTTCGATCTATCGATCTGACGATGATCTATCCATTCCTATCCAAGCCCATCCAGGGCTATGACACCCCGTTTCTATTTGAAGCACGAGCAATCTACCGCGGGGACTGTACAGGACTGTACTCCGTGTTCCCCGGAGGGACTATAACGCTATTCATGATGCTGAGGCTATGCTTTGTAACCGGGCGATTGGCCTGGTTGATGTTTTCTCAAACGTCGTAATGCGTTACCGGATTCCCCCCTCCGCACCGCGGGCAAGTGTAAACGTAGATCCCGTTCTTCCAGTGCGGAGTACTGACTTTCGCCGGCCAGGATCTCCAGGTAGCATCCAGGAACTAAACTGGTTGTGGTCAAGCGGTTCCAGATCTTGATGGCCAAGCCCCGCCGATCTTCACCCGCTCACGAGGTCGAACTGTCTCCCCCTTCCCGCCGTTGGGCGTCTGAAACCTTGAGTTTCGAAAGTTGTGAGGATGGAGGTGCCCTCCTCCCCGAGGCGATCAGACCTTGACACGCCTTGGGCACAACCCGGAAAATCCAGGGCCTTTCGCCTCCCACACCGCTCAAAATCTGGGCTGAAGTTGAAACAGACCGTGCAGCGCCGACCCTCCATTCCAATGACCTCCAATCTCCAATCTGGACCCGGTACCAGATCTTCTCTCGTTCGTTCCACCGCACTTGGGATGATTGCCGGTCCCGAGCTCCTGGGACAAGTTAGCCCCCTCATTTGGGAAATTTCCCCGGAGAAAGGCCGTAAGGCCAGAAAGAGCCTGAACTAGTTGGACCTAGCCTTATCCACCGCCCCCCCCCCAAAAAGGCCAATGGCGACGCGAATGATGGGGCGTGAGTTCGTGAAGGCGCCAATCGATCGCTTGATGATGGAGATCTTCCTTACCCGATCTCCCCCGGGTCCTCGTCGGGTGGATTAGGAGTGGGGCTCAAGTGCCCTCGAGCCACCAGTCGGGTATAGCCTTTACACACTGCTGCCGCGACCCTCCTGGGCACGGAGAGATCGGGAAGGATTTTACGGAGTGCATTGACACTTGGTGTGAGGGGCAGACAGCATGGAAAAAAGTCCGGCACATCTGCACCCTGCATGGCAAGCTGCTTCAATACGAGCCAATCGACGGGGTGTGCAGTATGCCCCCCCGTGGTGCATCCGTCACATCTCAAGAGGGGCTTGGAAGGACTCAGAGTTGCCTTGCAACCAGACAGAGTCTTGAGCGGATGGTTCCATGGTTGACATCTCGGATACCCCAACTCTACAAACTACCGGGCTCGGTTACCCAGAGCCCAGTGGATTCTTCGCGAACGGGCTTAGAAAGATGAACGACCCCGAATAGAAACCCAAACGGACGAAACGCTGGAGGTTCTTTTTCGGAAGTCTAGCACCGAAACCTTAAATGCATCTTTTTTTTTTCCGGGCTCCAAGTCCTCCCCCGACATCTCCACTCCACGGCCGTATCTTCGTATAGGCGAGTGGAGCTTATTCAGAAATACGAGGCTTTTTGAGAGGAAAAGACCGAAGGAGCTGGGACGATGTCGCCATCATCCCAGCCCGTCTGTCATTGGATTCTGCGCCTGCTTTTCCCTGTGGAAAAGCTTCGGACGCATCAGATGTCGAAGGCCCAGGGCTGTTGATGATGGAGTGGAGACCACACCATAAAATTCCCGGACGTACATATCAGACCGGCCATTTCTTTCCTAATGAGAGAGATGACCCCTGTCAGTTTAGGCGTCAAACCAGTGATTCACGAAGGATCTCCAGATCGTCGTCGATCTCCCCTGCAGCTCATGATCCTCAGTGACCTCCACGGATCGCGGCCCGGCCTTCTTCTCGCTCTAGCAGATCCCTCCCCACCCTTCTCTGGACTCTGTTCTGGGTGTCTTGTCTGAGGGGGAGAAGAGGACATCGGCAATACTCGACGGCCAGATGGACGGAGCAACTGACGAAAGGAGTATGTCTGTCGCACCCGTGGCTGCTCGGTGTACCTTCCACCCCCAGCTAGTTCCTAACGGTTTTGATTTCTGCAGACTCTCGGAACCAGAACTTCTAGTGGAGCCCATGCCGGGTTCCCCTGTCACTCCAGCGCTTCAGGTGCCCTAAATGGCCCTCGTGAAGGGCCACGCTGGCCCTTGGGCCCAATCATGACCCAACGGACTCTGGAATCCTTTAATTTCCGGAAAAGCGGGGCGTGAATCCCCACCTCGTGAGCCAACGACTGATGGGCCGTGGGTCTCTGTGAATCATCCCCAGTGTCTCTCTTTTTTTACTCCTATTCGGGATCGGCTAACCCCCAGGGAGGAAATGATTTTCTCCAGCCTGGATGTTCCTTGACTAGCCCGGAGTCTTCTGGCCGAACGGGTATGACGGCCTTGTCGCCATGATCTACCGGAATGTACCATGATCAACCGGCAGTAGTACTACTTAGGAAAGGGCTTGGAGATCCCACATGGTCGCCGCAGGGATATCCGAAGAAGTTAAACCCGAATGGCCTCTCCGATCCCCTAGTGATTATTTCTAATTCACGAGATAACTCTGTGGCGATAGTTCGCGTGGCAACTTTCTCACTCTGAATACGCGCATGAACCCCCCTTCCCCCTTTCGCCTCCCCCGAGGGCCCAGGATGCTCTCTCAACGGCCGTGCGAATTGACCTCTACGGGCGTTGGCGGAACTATTCTGGGATTAAACTTTCTGCTGGATACTAGCCCAAGTCCCGCCCCACGAGCCTCGTGGTGAGGTCGGTTCCGGGTTCCAGTGATGGCATCTTAGCGTCCGAAACTGACGAGCGCGTCCTCTCTGGAGTGTAATCTTTCTCATTATCTCCTGGTCTGCTGATATCAAGGTGGGGGCGGATTCAGTCTGAAATCATCACAAACTTAATTCTAGCTTGTCTTGAATGCGAAACACTAGCCAGGAAGGCAAAGATAGGTCACAACATCAAAAGTACGAAGGAAAAAACTCAACCCGGTCAACTCAACACGCCATGTGTGCCTGGTCGTCATGGAGGCTTTAGAGGCCCGGGACTCCTACCGAACGGGTACAACGAGGCGAAGATCGCCGACTAACTAGTAGATGAACAATGACAAATTGTGCCTGTACAGAGGCCGGGTGGATAGGGGGGGGGGACTTAGGTGCACAGTCCCTCTCCGATGCTGGGTGGAGAACAATTGATCACGTTGGCGTAGATCGAGTCGAGATCCAAGCCTCGTCCTGATATGATTGCTTGACATGGTATCTCCGCGGAGTTGAACGTCCACTGAACGCTACCGTCCAAAATGGACAGGCGGTCAACCGCGGCCCAAACGCAACTAGAGAACGCTAAATGATGACTGGTCTGACTTTTCTTCCCTGAAAAAGGCAATTGGTCATGGACCCTTAACTACGCATAGGATTCTGTAATGATTTGACCCTATGAGAGGCATCGGATGTCTCTTATCCTGCGGGGATACCCCTGTTCTGGGTACAGACAGCGGAAGATGACCGGGGACTACGGAGTACACTATAATGCATGGATCCTCAAGCATCAGAGTTTGGAAGATCCATGATTACACTGTACGGAGTAGACACGCAAAATAAGGGTAATCATCGGAAATTTCTCAGCCTGAAAATGTGATCGTCCAAAACGTGGCAAGACTAGCGTGGAAGGACTTTAATTAAAGCACTGACAGCACGAGAATTCTATAACCCCAGAAGGGCCCAATAGACTCTCGGCACCTCTTGCGTTATCGTCAATACTTTTGAATCCGCCCCTCAGACGTGAGGCCTGATCTCCATATCTTGTCCTCGACCCACTCCACGAACTATCGCAAAACATCATACAAGGCGCCCCGCTCGAACGCCAGGTGATAACGGCAAAGCGTGCAGGACGCTTGGGGCAACTGCATGCACGTTGTACAGATGAAACACCATCGGAAGAACAAAATTGAGTCGATTGAAGGTAGCTTAGGTAAGAACGTGGGAAATGAGATCTTCAAGGATAATACTAGTCACGAGGAAGCTGTGGAATTTAACCTCCCAACCCCCCCCCATGTGAAACCAATCAAGAATACAAACGCCATCAAATGGTAAAAAGAAAAAAATAGGGGGGGAGAAAGTACAAGATAGAAGAAAACATCGATGGAAAGTTTAACCGGGGGAGGGTCGTTCAGACCCCCTTAACGCATGTCTGGTGCCATTCAAGACATAGGGGGAGGGGGGGGAGGACAAACTTTGTCGCCCCCCCTAGAAGGCGACACGAAGTCACGAAGAAATTAAAGTTGATGGACGCTCCTAATAGAGCGAACCAGATCAACGGCGGCGTTTGAGATGATGCTCCTTTCCTTTCTTGGACCTCTTTTTCCTCTTGTCCGGAGGAAGCACCAAGGGCTCACCGCGTAGGTTCCACTCCATGAATCGAAGCAGGTAGTCGTCAATATCCCCGGGCTGCGGCTCAGCGGTCTCTATACCCGCAGACTGAGTTTTTGATTCATCGCCGTCTAGGGGAGTCCCTGCTTGAGCAGGAGTGCCATGCGACGTGCGATCTTCAAAGTCCCCATCATCGGCATGTTCGAGCTCCTTCTGTGCATTTTTGGCCGCGTCAATGTCCTCCTTGTCCTCGGCCTGTTCGAACGCTCGGGACCCGCTTGCCACACGATTGCCTAGGACGCGATCCATGGCTGCGCTGGCCTCGTCATGCCCGTCGCGCTCGTCTGGCTCGGCGGGATCCTCAAGTTTGGTGAAGTAATCGGTGGTGAATTCTCCCTCCTGGATGATCACGTCGTCGAGCATTCGTTTCTGATTGGCCTTGCGGAGAATATTAGATTCGATCGTATATTCGGATACGAATCGGTAGATGTGGACATCTCGCGTTTGGCCAATTCGATGACAACGATCCTGGCATTGCTTGTCCATGGCCGGGTTCCAGTCCAGATCGTAGAAAATGACCGTGTCCGCACCCGTCAAATTGATACCCAGACCACCCGATCGACTCGAGAGAATGAAGGCTAGAATGCGGGGGTCACTGTTGAATCGCTCCGTGAGCATCTGTCGCGCCTCCACCTTGGTGGTTCCGTCAAGGCGTAGGTAGCGGTGCCCGTGGATGTTGAGGAATTGCTCTAGAATATCCAGCATTTTTGTCATCTGGGTAAAAATCAATGCGCGATGCCCGCCCGCTTTCAAATCACGAAGCAGCTTGTCGAGCCGTTGTAGTTTACCACAATCGTACTGGAGGAGTCGCTTGTCGGGGAAGGCAATGGACAGCCGCATTCGCGCTTCGTGGAATGGATCATAGGGTTGCTCCTTCGCGGTGTTGGTCAGGAGTCTGGTTTCCACGGGTGTCAACGCAGCCTCCGTCATTCCAGACGCTACAACTGCAGGAGTCACACAGGCAAACCTCTGGACGTAACCATCCATTTCGAGAGATCGCTCTTCGAGGGTAAGGATCATGGACGCCAGGACGGAGGATCGACTGGAAAGCCATTCAGCCATCTTGTTCTTTCGCAATGGAGCGTTAGAGAGGGCATGCTCTTTAGTACCCGCCCGCACGAAATCAAACAAACTACTTCCGTAGATGGGACGGCGACCGTGACGTTTGGATTCAAAGTAGAGGCACCGTTCCAGCTCGGCCATTCTTCTCTTGCGGCAGGCATTCTCTAACGATTCTAGGACTGTGCCCATGGTGGAACCGTCAAAGTCCATTTTCCAGTTCGTTCGGTTGTATTGCCGCTCCCGCAGGGTCTTGAAGGGGCCAAATGCCATGAGTCGAATGCTGTCATCGGCGAGGCGTCGCGAGATATCCTCTCGGGACACGGGGGCCAGATTCAGGAAGTCCAAGTCGACTTTGGTGAGGGGGTGGTCAAATAGCAGTCTTCGCCGGACGAGACTTTCCTTCACATTGTACTCCGTAGCGACCGAACGTGGCATAGCGAAAGAGGTGGAGATGGGTCTCGTTTCAAAAAGATCGGGGTGGTTGCAGACCTTGCGAAGTTGCATGAGACAATGAATGATTGAGAGGAAGTTGCCTGATGCTAAAGTTTCTTTCGTTTGGGCCATCGACATGAAGCCATCGTAGAGGAAACGCTGACGTTTCGAGAGGCGGCAGTAGACAACATGCTCATACTTGCCAGGCATTTGCTTCTCGACATCTGCTTTTAAGCGACGTAAAAGATATGGACGGAGGACAGTATGGAGTTTCGTGACGACTTTTTTCATTTCGTCATCCATCGTCTCTCTTCCATGCTCGAGGATCTGTTCAACGGGTCGCCGGAACCATTCAGAAAAGTCCTTCAGGTCAGCAAAGCCTTCAACACCAGTACCATCGCCATCAGAAGGCATCAGGAAGAACAGAAGGGACCACAACTCGGTCAGATTATTCTGGAGCGGTGTTCCCGTCAGAAGAAGTCGGGCGCGAGTGCGGAATGTCAGAAGAGCCTGCCACCTTTGTGACCGGAAGTTTTTGATGTTATGAGCCTCGTCCAGGATCATGTAGTGCCAGTTTCTCCGCTTAAGAGATGTTTGGTCTTGCAAGATAAGTTGGTACGAGGTAATTAACACGTTCCATGAGTTGTCGTCGGTCCAGCCTCGGCGTTTGTTTTTGCGCTCCTCTTGATTTCCGTAGTAGGTCATGATCTTGAAACCAGGACACCACTTCTTGAACTCCATTTCCCAATTCAGCATGACACTGGTCGGGACAATCACGAGATGGGGGCCCCAGACGCCATGCTCCACAGCAAGATGAGCAAGTAAAGCAATAGTTTGAATGGTCTTACCGAGACCCATCTCGTCTGCCAAAATGCCATTGATATGATTATTGTACAAGCCCGCGAGCCAGTCCAAGCCATAATGTTGGTACTCACGCAAAGTGCCGCGTAACAGATGGGGTATGGGAGTCTTGAGGCCAGAGGCTGGGATATTATTCGTCTGTAGGGCCTTCTCCGTCGCGGTGTCGGCAGTCGGCTCTGCAACGGGTTCATATGAAGAGACAGACTCTGGTTCCGATGGCTTTGTTGCAAATGTCCCAGGCGAGGCTTCGCTAGACATCTCCTCCACTGGGCCGGGTGTCCTGGATTAGCTCTGTGTCCTCCGGCTGTGGCTCGTAATTTTCGTTGGCAGAAACGGCTGTGTCGGCAGCAGCTTCACCTTCTTGATCTTCCATGGGAGTATCAACCATAGAGGTGCCCTCTGCCTCGGCAGGGGTACCAATAGAGGCTTCCACGATCGCAGAGGGTGTTACTGCATCTGATACATCTTCACTAGCATCAAATCCACCAGGAACTAAAGAAACCTCATCGATGTCCTCATCGTCTTCGGCCATCTCGCTCTCTGCAACTTCTGCGGCTTTCGGGGTGAATTCATCATCATTCTCATCATCCTCATCGTCAACAGCTTCCAAATTAGGCTCGCCGCCTTCTTTAGCTTGAACCCTTGAGTTTCGCGAGAAAAAACCAAGAAGACCAGATGGGGCTTCACTGTCATCTGATTCTTCTTCCGATCCTTCTGCGTCGCCAAAGTCACCTTCATCACTATCGCTCATGTCATCATCATCCATGTCAGTGGATTCATCGCTGCCATCCATTAATACCGAGTCAACGTCATCTAGCTGCGTATCACCTAGAACAGCTTGAGAATCGGTCCCATCCGGAGGAGCCTCGCTATCGACACCAGAGACAGAAACGATAGACATTTGATCTTGTGTCTCTTCGGCTGGCAAATTGGCATACTTCAAGCGTAGTTCCTCGGCTGTAAGATTCGCGTCATCATCCAGATTAGCCTCGTCATCGGTCTCAGATTCCGAGGTGGACATGTTGCTTTCATTGTCGGCTGCATCAGAGTTGGACGAATCGTCGGTCTCTACCTCATCATCGCTGGTGGCAGGCGCATCACTAGCGCCCTCGCCAAGAATCTCAGCGCGACGCTTCTCGAAAAGCATCGTCGATTTCTTGATAGCACGATCCAATGCTTGCTGGTCTAGTACCTTGCGCTCTTCTTCCCAGCGGGCGAGACGTACGCGGTCAACTTCTGCGCGGGCCAAGTCGAACATCTTCTGAAGATCCTTGGCAAGCTGCTTGCGCTTCCCGCGAATTTCTTCTTGTTGCTCGCGAAGAATATCCTCGGGGTTCTTATGCCTTTTCCTGTAAGCGTCAGCGCACCATTGGGCAAAAAGTTTTGCCATTTGCCGATGCCGTTTGTGCTCCTTGTCCATAAGCTTCTGGAAATATAAGGCATGCGCAACAAGGTGATCTTGATGTGAGAACTGTGGCGGAGGTTCATCTTGTTGTTCTGTAATGTATGCAGAGCAGACCTCTGAACTCAAAGGACCACCAGGCTCAGCAGCATCCAGAACCTCGATACGCCTCTTCGCTTCTTCTGTAGCCTCTTCCGATGAAAGAATATTTGGAGCATCCTCCTGATTGATCCATTCCTTAAAGGACGCGAACTTTTTGGCGGGGATATGGCCAGGATGACGAACTGGCAGGGATGGTTTCTTGACTTTAATTCGAATACGAGGTAAGATCCGGGACCCTGTATCAAATTCTTGATCTATGTCGGCATCGTGCAAATCGCTGCTTGGGACGGGAGACGGGTTTGCAAGGGAGCTGCGGTCGCGTAGATGACGAGGAGACGCGCCGTTTGCGCCTGTGCGAGGGGTATGGGTTGGAATAGAGGCCCGCGCGCGCGTTTTATTTGACTTTGTAGCCGGTGACTGTGTTCCTTGCAACTGCTTACCATTCACATTTTTCGATGGATTCGTCCGTGGTGATCCATTAGCAGCAACCCTGCCACCTTGCTTTCCATTGGCTTCGGCGCGCGGCTGGGCCACAGCCAAAGGTGACGATGTAACAGGCTTCGTCGCACTGCCCTTACGAGTGTTCTTGTTCACGTAGACTTGCTGTGCGGCTCGCGTTTGGCGTTTGGCGGATTGAGGCTGCTGTTCCAGAGGGACAGCGTTCGTACGCGACGACCGGCGTCGGCCCTCCACCACAAATGAGGTTGGCCCCTCGACACCCACTTTTTTCCATGGCGGCGAAGGCGGACGGGGAGTTGATCGACGCGACGGGGTGGTTTCGGTCAATCTTCGTTTCTTTGATGGAGGTTCATCTAGCTGTTGAATAGCTTCGTCGTCAATCGGCGAGCCAGGGTCCAGCTCGGAGGGGACAGAATCAGGCGGATTTCCCAAAACGGACTCTTCGAAAGGCGGAGAAGTTGGTACAGGGGATAAGCTTTCATCGTTGCGTGATGGGCCATCTGGGCTGCCGTTTTGCATGACTTGTAGCCGCGGATGACAGGGGCCTTCTCGACGGATGACCCCAGTTATCCAAACGATGACGCGGTCGCAGTTGACGAAATGGGCATCAACGGGTAGGGCTAGTTGACTTGAGGTCGCACACAAAGTTTGGCATGCTTATCGGCACAGTAGCATGGATGAGGACGGAAAAACCAGCTCGATGGGAGGAATACGTGATGAAGTAGTTTTTTTCGGGTGATGACACTGCACTTGTATGTAAGCGCGCCCGCGTTCCCGGTTCACACCTGATTTTTTAGGCCGTCGGAAACCTCAGTTTCCTGAACATCGACTTCCGACCTTGGCTGCTCCTCCACCGACTCCTCCGCATTCAATCCCTTCCACCTTCCCTGGACCTCCGATCTTTTGGTATAGCAGTGAGTACTTCCTACGGATACGTCTCCCTTCACTTACACTAATCTTTACCTCCCTTTCCTGACAGATGCTGCCCCAACGGATCCTGGCTCGGCGTCTGCCCCAAGTGGCTGCCCGCCACGCCATTGCCCCTCGCGCACCTTTCTCCCAGGTCGCAGCCCGTCGAGCTGCGGAAATTGAGGATCCTCTTCAGGTACGGCGGTGATGTGCAATGCATTCCTCCCATCCCGTGACCAGCAGGGGTGATATCTGACCATGACGACAGAACAACAACTACCGAAACCCTCCTCGCGAGAAGCGTTCGTTCAGAGACCCCTACGGTGGCTGGTGGGATAAACAAGAGAGGCGAAACTTTGGCGAGCCCGTTCACGAGGAGAACGAGATCCTCGGTGTTTTCAGTCCTGAGCAATACACCCACGTCTCTGCCGGCAAGGGTGCCCTCCACTTCGGATGCTTCGTTGCGGCTTTCCTGGGCTTGTGCGGCGTTGTCAGCCTTTTCTACCCTGACAAGCCTAGCGTTCCTAAGACTTACCCTGGTGGTTTGGAGAAGGAGCTGGGTGGACCCAATGCCGTACCGGTATGTACACAACTATCTTCATTGGACCCTATTATATCTGAACGCATCGCGACGACTGACTCGAATTCGTAGGCTCGCAAGGCTGGCGAGGACAAGTGGTGATTTCCTCATTAGCTGTTCTCTTCCTATTTCTTTGTTGTATGTGTAAATACCAAGACGATTTGTTCTATCCCTATTCCTATTCGGCTCTTATTTGATGGTCGATGCGCTAGGAAAAGTGTTTCCGGCTATTGAACACCTGTATGATGGTCTAGAGTCACGAGGTTCAATTCCAATCCTCATCACTGTCACTTTTATTTTCCTAAACTCTCTTTTGTCCTTACTTGACAGCCGAGGTAGGCCACAACAGGCTGAAAGCCCAGTCGTCAGTCGTCCCACCTGCGCCACAGCACTGTAGCATTTTAGCTTTGACAACATCCTAAGAGGCAATGCTGGCAATGCTCGATCGTACCACCTCTCAGGTAAGCGCTCATCCTTGTGTGGCCCCAGATTACTTTCTTCATACCACTCTATTAGCGCCCTTGCATGTAGCCGCCCTGTTTGAGCGCCCGCGTAGATCATCAGCCCCTCAAGGGTGAAGATAGGGCAGGGGGTAAGCCTGATTTAAGCAAGAAAATAAGCTGTCGTCCACTTCAAATTTGTGTCTTTTCAGATACCGTTGACCTGTCTTTTTATTGTGCCGCAGAAATCGAAGAACGAACTGGTTTGGGACTGACCACCGAGCTCAGTGGTTTTGGTGGTGTTTCATTTGTTCCCCTCCCTTTTCTTCCCTTTCAGGTAAACATTTTGAAACAAGTCACAACTGTTCCTGCTTCCGCAAGACTTCTCCACCAGCTCGGCCCTACACTCTGACCGCCCCCCTGCAGAGGCAAAGAAAAGGCTATCTGAAGGCCCCCTGTCACTTACGGATGCTGGCTCTGCGCCCATCTTCCTCTATGGTCCCGCATTTCCCCTGCTCCCCCTCTTCAAACCGACGAGCTTTCCAGTGAACCCATGTCGACAGCATCTGCTCAGTCCCGAGGAGTCAACCGAAGGATCAATAGCATTCAAAATGATGGTCGCCATTCGCGTAACTCCTCGGTCTCACGCCGCCGCCCGCTTAGCGCCAACGTCGCATGCAATCATGCACTCCGTGTAGCCTACCTGACCTACCTCCTCCACCCTCGCTCTCGTCGCATTCAGAATTCCCAGGCCGCGCCGGCGCGGCCAAAACGGTCCTCAACCTCCATCCATGATTTAATGAGCGACTTTTCCCTGGTCAGGGACTCCAAGAGCACCAGGATACCTCGAGGCTTCGTGGACGAGCTCGAAAAGCGGTTGACAGGAGTGTTGATGGGCAAAGAGAAGCGGAAAGAGTACCAGGATCATTTAGTGGTGCGCACCTTCGCGGCCTTCCTCAATGTGCTCAAGGAGGATTCATTCCATAAGCGCATGGAGAAGGATCGACGCGCTGAAGACCTCGTCCTCATTTTCTACTCGAACGCCATCAAAGAGCTAGGCAAGGGCAAAGATCATGAGGACGATAGCTGGAAGCTGATGGTCGACCGCCATGTAGCGCTTTTTGTGCGTCTTCTGGCCTTGATCTTGAAGAATCATGATTGGGCCAAGGACCGTCCAGAGTTAGCAAACCGATTATCTGTTTTGGAGAATAAACTGCTGTCGCAGGATCAGGACCTAATGGCTTCAAACGGTGCTGCATCCGCGACTGAACCCGTGGCCCCACTCAGCTATGAGGTCAAGGATATGCCATTGGTACAGCATGTCGCTAAGATATTTGGGATGACAACCTCTCAGGCTCAGGCAGAAATTGATAAGCACAAATCCGTGTGGACTGAGAAGGCTGCACTGCAAGATCTCAAAACATACCAGGCCCATCTCAATCTACAAACGCACAAAACTCTGTCACGGGATGATTTTGAGTCCGACGAAGCCTATGAGGCTTGGAAGAAGGGTGAAGGCCCTGACCTCTCTCAGATGATGCTTGCTATTGTGCAGTCGAATCCAGAGCTTGCTAAGAGCACACCCGGGAGTTTGCCTCAATTCAACGCATCTGGAGAGGAGGTCGGTTCACCCAGGGGGCAACAGGTCGTCGTATATGATTGACCAGCCTATTGACATCAGTGGACTGTCATTGGGTAACGGCGATGACTCGGAGGAATCAGACACATACACATTTATTCCATCTGATCCCCGGGCTGTGTATAGGTTTATTTTGTCTCAGACATTGAGTCACGACCTGCGGGATCGCGATATTGAAGCCTCTCAGGCTACGGCTGACACCCCCTCGATGAAGCTTCTTTCCAAACAATCCATGGAAATGCTCAATGAGATATGTGTCCGCTGGCGGATTCCCCATTTCTCTCGCGTCGTCTTGTTCCTGGACGTCATTGCATCTAAGTTTGTAGACAACGAGATTGACCTCAGTACCTTGGACTCGGGGTTCACTTTTGCGAAAGAGCCCCCGCCCCCGACAGAGGCGCGGAGCAAGCGCAGCAGTTATGCTGCCCCGTCTCTCTTTGATCGAAAGAAATGGACTGTACACGATTTGCTCCTGATGCAGCAACTGCTGTCCAAGCTTCATGAGGCGATGCTACGAGAACTTTATGACGTGATGATGGACTGTTTTGAAGCCAAGCCACGCCCGCTGGGACCAGTGATGTACATTCTAGAAAACCACATTCAGATGGACGAGAACTATACAGAGGATCCGGAGGATATTGACCGATTCTCTTCGTACGTACAAGACGGGCTCGCTCAAAAGGCAACTGAGAAATATCAGAGTCTTCTGGCACAACTGATTCCATTGGAACAAGAGTCGTGGCATGCCGACAACGTCATTCAGCTCGCCGATGCGATTTCGAAACTCGCTTTGAAAATCCAGAAGCGGTACAGAAACAACCCAGAGATCATGGGGTAAGTTGCTTATATCCGTTCCATACCATCTACCTACCGGATCTGGCTCTAACCTATTCAGTGTTAACCCTCATCTCACTCTCTGTTCCAATGTACTCCCCCTGTTCGCCGAAGATGCACATGAGATGGTTATCCGAATCCTCGAGCAGGCCAAATCTCGAGGTGAGGAAATTGATATTGAAGACGGATTCGACCTATACAAGTCGCTTGCTAAGATCAGAAAACTGTTTCTGAACACCATACCTGAGTAAGTATTCGACTTCAAAAGCAAGATAGTCGGAAATGACTAACAACAATGACAGCACTCCTTTTCCTTTCCACGTGGAGAGTCTATTGGAGGAATTCGTGTGGCGGTGGCTACGCCTGACAGATCAAAGCGTCTTGGAATGGGTGAATCAAGCGACCAAACAGGATAACTTTTCGGTGCGCGCAAATGCAACCACTGAGGATGTGCCCGAAGATTCTCGCCACAGTGTCTCGGTCATCGACATATTCCGTTCCTTCAATCAAATAGTGGAGAACCTCGTGAATCTTGAATGGGATGACGACCTCCAATACGCGAAATTTATGACAGCCCTGTCAAAATCCATCGGAAAGGGTGTCGCCCAGTACTGTGACTTCTTGGAGCAGATGTTTGCTAAGGAAATGGACCGCCTCACGCCGGAACAAGAGGCAGCTCTGAACCAGACGACTCAGGAGAAGCTAATGCAATTTGCCAAAGACACGTGGACTAGCAAGGATAAAATCGAACCATTCCAGTTCTCTTCTGAGTCCCTGGTGAAATTGAACAACATCGAATATGCCCTTTCGCAGCTGGACAGACTTGAACGCGAGATCAACGTCGATGCCTGTGCTGAGGTCATTGCGAAGCATGCTCCTCCGCAATTGAAAAAGGTTCGCAAAGCCACCACATACGTCTTCACAACCAAGATTGTGGAAGCAGAGGACTTGAAGGCGTGTGACATGAACGGTGGTAGTGATCCGTACGTGGTCCTAACAGATGAGTACCAAAAACGAATTGCTAAGACACGTATCATCTATAACAACCTCAATCCGCGCTGGGAGGACACTGTGGATATCACGACCCAAGGTCCTTTGAACATCATTGCTACAATTTGGGATTGGGATGCTGTTGGTGATCATGACTATGTCGGCCGAACGTCTATCAAGCTTGACCCAGTCCACTTTAGCGACTTCCTACCTCGCGAGTATTGGTTGGATTTGGATACCCAAGGTCGGCTTTTGCTGCGTGTGAGCATGGAGGGTGAACGTGACGATATCCAATTTTACTTCGGTAAAGCCTTCCGTACTCTCAAGCGAACCGAGAGAGACATGACTCGACGAATCACGGAGAAGCTATCTGCGTATATCAGCTACTGTCTTTCGCGTCGAACACTCAAATCCTTGCTCTCGCGAGGCATTAGTATGTCCACTGTATCGAACTTTCTCAACCGAAATCGAGGACAGCAAGTTGCCCAGGGACCGTCACCGGCCGATGTTGAGAATGCGCTTGACCCACTTTTCAATTATTTCAATGACAACTTTGCCATTATGAACAAGACACTGACGGGCGAAGCCATGCGGATGGTCATGGCCCGTCTGTGGAAGGAAGTTTTGGCTACGATTGAAAGCCTCCTGGTCCCTCCCCTCTCGGACAAGCCTTCTCACCAAAAACCGCTCACAATTCAAGAAGTCGACATTGTCTCACGATGGCTTGTTCTATTGCTGAATTTCTTCCACGCAGTGGATGAAGAGACAGGCGAAGCTGGCGGGGTTCCTCTGGACATTCTCAAGTCTCCGAAGTACCATGAGATCCAAAGCCTCAACTTCTTCTACTTCGAGCCTACAGAGAACCTGATTCGCACATCCGAGCGCATGGCTTCAGCGACCGTCAACAGGCAGCAAGCCAATCGCAACCGCGCCTCGGCCCCTGCCCATCTTGGCGCCACTGGGCCCGGTCACGGTAGTCTCGGTGTCCCTGGCGCTCGCCGTGCCAAGAGTATCATGCTCTCACGCAACCTAGGCACAATGAAGAAGGCCAAGGAAGAAAAGCGCCGTGAGGCACAGGCCGACCCTAACGATGACATGATTCTTCGTATCCTGCGTATGCGCCCGGAAGCCGCAGGCTACCTTCGCGATCGTAGTCGCCAGAAGGAGAGACTGGCAGCCGCCGCCGCCGCCGATGCTATCGTTAAACAAAGTCTGATGGCAGGCGCAGGGACTCGAATGAGTGGAACGATCGGCCGGCACTAATGCCATGTTCGTTTTCTTTAGAGTTGTTTCTTTTCCTTTATGTGACATATGTTTTCTTCTCATATCCCTTTTCCTTATCATCCACCAATTTCCCCCGTGGTTCTTGTCTTTTATTCATTCGTCAAGCGATCGGAATTTCTTAGGATACCTTGCGTGATGATAGTAGGATTGCCAAAGTTTGTATGACCCATGTCAAATGCCAATTATATTTGATTTGTCTTCTCTTGGTGTAAAATAATGCAGGAGAGACCTCGAGAGCTCCGCGATGTGACGCTTCTGGAAAAATCTGCCGCGACGCCGACCTCTTGCAATCTCAGTCTCATTCTAATGTAAGCTTAAGCAACCGCGGCAGCTACGAGCCCATTTATTGAATCTTACCAAAGTCTGCTGTTGAACCAATCTCTAGATCTTGTACTGTACTCAAACATTTACAAGGAGCGGTATCATGCGCCTCTGGAAGTTAGAGGGTTCCTTCATTGTGAAGAAGTAAATTCGCTAGTTAAGAAATACACCTTGAAGCAAGTCATGTCACCATCTGGGAATATCGCTGTACGCCAGAAAAAAAAAAAAATAAAAAAATAAACAGAACTCAGAAGTCCTGCCTGGATCTGAATACTCAAGAGACACAAGTCATCGCCGGCGTAAAAGAAAGATCAAAAGAAAAAAAAAGGGGCAAGGGAAAAGAGTGGCGAGTAGTGATACAGCTTAGGACTTGCCCCAATCTTGCAATTGCTGCATAAAACGGGCAGTTTCTTCGGCCGAGTATCCAAAGAAAACGGGTCCACTGAAAATAACATTCGCAGGTTGTGAAGTTCTTTCCGACTTTGCAGGGTCTGCCTGGGAGATATTTGGCTTCATGGCGTTGTCAATGTCCTTCTGCGCCCAGCCAGGCCAGGGTGCGTCCGGCTTTGGCGGAATTGCGGCCTCTTCGGGCTTGGGCGCTGGGTTTGAAGCACCATGACCGAATGGGCAACGACCAGCTGGGTTTTTGGGAACGTCGGCGACTTTGTCCGGTGGCGCGGGATGAGACTCAGGAGACATAGGCGCAGGTGGTGAGCCAGGCAAGGCAGAAGCATCGGCTTGTTGGGTGATGGGGACTGGAATCCCCCAAGGCCGGCTTGGAGATTCGCCGACACGGACTTCTCGAAGAGGGCGGTCGAAATGACCCTTGCGATTCTCGTCGTCTTCTGTCTCGGTTGGAGGACTCGGACCGGGGTTGGCGGGGTGGACGTTCTCTGCCCACTGCTCGACTCGTTGTGTGGAAGCTGAGGTGGACCCTTGGTCGTCGCCGTCTGTCTGGCGATTGGGAAGGAAAGCCTGATGCTTAACTGAGAGACCGTTGATCATATTGGCCAAGCCGCCATATTTTGCATCGAGCAGCCGCATATTCTGCGGGTCTCGTTGATATCGCTTGACGCAAATGGCGTGACTGCGCGGAATCTCATGTTTATGTCGCTCCACGTACTCAGCAATCTCCTCAGGAGAATGTTTGTCCATGTAACGAATGGGACATCGAGACACGGGGCACTGTCCACTGGACGTCCGGGTCCTGGCCGACGGGGTGGTGCTGGAGCGCCGCTCCTCCTGATCAGCTTTGATGGGATCCAGATCATTTCCACATGTATCGACCTGGATCTTAGGGGCATCGCTGCCATCTGCGGGGTTCTGCGACATCTTGGGTTTGGAGAAGGGACAATGCAAGCTACCCTGCGTCCCGTTTGTGGTGAAGTCCTGCTCCAGGCACACTGAGGGATCAGGCCCTCGGGCCAGGATGCAGTTGGAGGAAATTTGGGAGAGGTTATCCTGGGTACGGAGTAAGGCCTTATAGCCTTTCACTCCGGCCACGATAGCCCGAGTGGCATTTTCGTCTACATTTTGGTGCGAGACAAGCGTCTTGATTACATCCATGGAATTCAGCGACTGTTCTTCGATTCGGGACTTGTTGTGCACCAGGCCTAGAGACAATTCCTTCTGTTGATCCAGTAACCTTTGCTGCACTTCCATTGCATGGGGTTTATCTTGGGGCGCCAACTGTCGGGTCACGTTGGTATACTATGGGGATGAGGCGTTAGCAGGCAGATCCCAATCAAAGGAGTTCATGCAAAGCACGCTCAAGGGTTTGGTCTCATCAGATAATACATGTTATATCCGTCACCGCCACATAAGTGGCTCCTGATCTAGAGCTAATCAAATTCTCTCTTCATTTGAGACCTTTGAGGTGAAAGGGGAGTGAAGGAAGCAAGGACAAGGGTATCTTTACCTGCTGGAACATCTCTTCAGCATGTTGCTTAAGATCATTGTGCCTGTTCGTAAGTCGGTAGATGGTTAGTAGCAAAGCGTCAAAAGCTTTGCCGACTGCCTGCAGTGGATCCGAGTTCGCATCTGACTGCTGGTCCGGCTGCATTTCCCTCAGGGATCGCAGCAGGAGACATGTTGCAGATTTCCAGGGGAATGGTAATATTGTTTACAGTAAGAGGGCTCTGGTGACATTCAGAGAGCCGTCCTCGTCGGTGGTGTAAACACCGGGAGGCATGGATGATGGAAGAGGAAAACACGCCGTGGCAGAGCTTTTAAATCCGATGGCGTGAGGCCGGAAAAACGTTAAGCGAAATGGTCCGATGCTGTCACGTGATGTGTCGCTTGCGGACTGTAGACCTGCATAAACTGCATAAGCAGCACAAGTATAGAGTATCAAACTCGAACTTCGCAACGTGGAGATCATGACCGCTTCCTAATATTCCACTTGAACTACGCCCTTAGTCATCTAATCTGTCAGATCTACGGATCTTTCTTACGTGCATATTGCATTGCTGGCGGCGGCCCGTGTGCTGTGGACCAAGACGGATTGCTAGCATATCTCATGGCAGTCTGGGTATTACTTTCTTTGTTTGGCAGAGGCATGGCATTCGCTGTTTTAGACTCGTGCTACCCTGGGATGGCTGGGTCTAGTATATTTTGGTGCACTGTGGACTGGAGTGATTGCCATCCAAAGCAGCACAGGTCTTGTTGCTCACGCGTCGTACTCGAATATATATATTCCCTCTGTTTTCGAAGTTTCATTGGTCTCCACCCAGACTTTTGAACATATTGGTCTCTTCATAGCTTACTTACTTCTCACTTCGATGCCGAGGATATATTGGGACGGAGGTTTGTTTGAAGGTAGGAAGCTGCAACGACCCGCTCAGCTTCTTGATGCCTGTCCCCATGGGGGTCTTGGTGCTTTCGGGTCTTGCTATCGGGGTTTACACATGACCTTGCCCAACTGAATCAATGCGGTGCCTTTAGATTAGAATCTGAAGATTATGATACGAAAATTGCCCGAGCTCTGCCCTGGCGGACGCCTTATCTTATCACTGACCTTGAGCGACGTGGGGATATGTTGAGGTTCATCCATGCACGAAACGGTTTAGCCTGAGAGCCTGTGGCATACCCAGGCCCAATTACCCCGACTCCCGACGACCATAATCACAAATTTCGAAACCCTTGAGCGGAAATGCATTACCCCCGAGTTGAAATTGGAGGTTGCGCACGAACCCTCGAACGGCTTTCATACGGTAATACTCACGTCACCGTCTCCAACATCCTAACACTCCCGAAGGTTGGTTGATACGGAAGTTGTCAGCTCTGGAATACGCCTCTTGTCGTCTCCAGGTATCATCCCGAGATCTCTCCAGAAGCTCACATCTGAACCCTATGGCCCTCAAGAACAATGGTATACCCTGTTCAAACGCCGTCCACCTCCCGATCGGCGTACAATATTCTGCTGCATCGCGGCACCGAACTCGAGCCTTCAAGCTGACCCTGGCTACCCCAGCTGCATACCTATCTGATGGAGAAGGGCACAGATCCTTCCTGGTGCCAAGATAGAAGCCAACACATCCTGAAGCCACAGAAAAGAGACAGCGAAGCAACTTGACGTATGCAGTTTGACGTGTTCCGCGTGTACTCCATGCATGGAATTCCCTGCGTCTGCTGTGCTGTGAAAAATGGACGTAGGAGCCACACGGACTTGATTCCAACTCTTATGTAGTCAATCCGCAGATGGCGATCATCCTTCCAGTTGTCGCGGGCATCGCACCCACCTGCCCAAATGAGAGCCCAATATTGATTAGACCCTTGGACGCTTTACCGAGTCGCTGGTAGTGTCAAGTTCTCAACGCCTTCCAACAAGCCCTGCCGGGCTAGCTCAATCGGTAGAGCGTGAGACTCTTAATCTCAAGGTTGTGGGTTCGACCCCCACGTTCGGCTATTCCTAAAAATAACCTGAGATATCCTTTTTTTTTTTTTTTTTTTTTTGTAGTTGTAGTTGTTGTTGGGAGCTGCCATCTGAAGTCCGGCAGTTACCATTGCATCCGAAATAGTCAACCAAGATCAGCTCTCATGCAAAACAACCCTGATCTGTCGCAACTCGTCCCTGGATGGACTCTACCCCTCCCCCCACTTGGCCTGCAGGATAGATCACCCACCATGGTACTTCTCATTGTCGAGATCATTCGCCTACTGCATGGCCTAGAATCGTCGTGGTGACGAATCCTCCGAGCCTCCTGGGGAGCAAATGATTGGTCCTCTTCTCGGATTCACCTGTACGTTGTGCTGATCCTGCATTGGAGGGGCAAAGTACCGTTGGGTCTTAGCCGCCGTCGCCGCCTTTCTCCCTTATAGAACCAATGCGATACGCTCTCAGCCCCTTTGCCATGCCATGAACGGTCATGGTCGACTCGGTCTGGACAGGATCTAGTTCAGACCGGTTCAGATCGGTCCGGAGGACATTGGGCCTGATCCCAAAGGCATGATCCCCGTCGGATCAATCCAAATGAACCTTGAGCCACCCCCCCATGATTTCTCCCGTGTGATGGGTAGACACCGGGCGCTCATTCGTCCGGGTCGATCCAAAGGAGGCGTCCCTTAGGCCCAGCGACTAGGTAACATGCAGGCCTAGACAGGTGGGTGATGCCGCAGATCAAGAACGAACTGGGTATCTCTCCTACGCCGAGTCCCGCCACGGGACCCAGAGAGAAGACTCACCTCACCCGGTACCAGCCCGCTTTCCCTGTCGAGCTGCATGTTCAGATTCTAGAAACCGGGTCGAATGCATATTGCGTGACACCAAAAAAAAAATTACCAAACACCGCTGCTCGCGTACACTTCCTGTACACCCAGATACATAGATCGCTTCTCGGCCCCCCCGAACCATCTTGACTTTGGCCTAAATGGGCTAATTTGGAGTCCTCCACAGAAAATCTGACCGCCGGTTGATCGCCCTCTCAGTGGTATACGGAATATGCCTAGAGGAGGGGGAAAGGCTTTTTTGGGGGGGGGGAGCGGGGCTTCGAGGGAACCTCCAAACATATCATGAGATGCCAGTAAACTAACATTACGGACAGATTAGTCAATTGATAGATTTGGGGATTACTCCATAGATCCGGACCTGTCAATCCCCAATCCAAAGAACAAAAGAACCGTGTGTTGTACCTGGTACGAACTAGCCTAGACCCGCGAGGGGCAACTTTCCGACTTTATCTGCTTATCAACAGCCCTTTGAACCCGTAATTTACACCAAAATTTTCTTCCCTTTCCTAAGGTTTTATTCTTTATTATTATGTTTTAGGAATTTTTGAATTTTTGAATTTTTTTTTTTCCCCCTCAGACCTTACTATCTTTACTCAATTCTTCTCACGCCTCTCTCATTTTTCTACCCCTCCTTCTCCCTCTCTTTCTTCCTTTCCTCTCACCATGTCCCAGTCCTCCCACCTCGATGCCTCCGCCCAAGTCCCCGGACACTCCGCCGCCCATCCCACCAGCGCCGCCGAACTCGCCAGTCTTAAAGTAAAGCTTCGCGCCGCCCTGCGCCAGTTCCCGGACTTCCCCTCCCCCGGTATTCTCTTTGAGGACATCCTGCCAATTTTCGCCGATGCCAGCTTGCACGAGGCTCTTATTCGCTCCCTGGAACTGCACATCCTTGCCAACTACGGTGACCAGAAGCCCGATGTCATTGTCGGCCTGGAGGCCCGTGGCTTCTTGATCGGCCCTAGTCTGGCCCTTCGGCTGGGCGCCAGCTTTGTCCCTGTGCGCAAGCAGGGCAAGCTGCCCGGTCCCTGTATTACTCAGGCCTACGAGAAGGAGTATGGTCAAGACTTCTTCCAGATGCAGTCCGATTCCATCAAGCCCGGGCAGAAGGTGATTGTGGTGGACGACATTATCGCCACTGGTACGTGATTCCCCACATGGCCCCGTCTGGGTTATGGCTTTGGTTTTACAGAGTTGCTAACCCACTCCCAATAGGTGGCTCTGCTTGGGCTGGTGGAGAGATGGTCAAGAAGCTGGGCGGTGATCTCGTCGGCTTCATCTTCCTTCTTGAACTCGAATTCCTTCACGGACGCGACAAGCTCCCCGCTCCCGTCTACACTCTGCTCTCTGGCCAAGCTTAATTAATCGTGTTCTTCTGTGCTTCAGCCTTGCGCCATGACATCTACATCTAAAAGTTGCATTGTTATTGCGATCCACGATATCGCTCTCTTTAATGACAATTGCCCGCACCGGACTTGGCGGCCTCATACACCTCCCGACCACAGCTGAACCACCCAATACCGGTTTGGCAAAAAAGTCCAATCTCTATGACACGGTCCCTTAATTCCAGTGTGGATTTTCCGGTTGGATTTAATGTTGCTATCTCACTGTGGATTGGAATAAAAGCCGGGCTCAGTGATTGAAACCTCCTTTTGAGCTCGAATCCCCGAATATAGACAGAGACACCTCCGATACCAGGCATTCCTTGTTTTGCAAACGTGTTGATTTGATTTGGCTATGTCCACTTGAATACTACTGTTCCCAGCCCTCGACATGTAATCTCTATCTCTATACATCCAATCCGACCAACCTATTTATCTCTTGGAATAAATGGCCTCAACACTTCCTCCAGCCAGGACCCATTAAGCCCTAACACCTCCGATTCCCTCATCGCCCGGTTCATCCGCGCAATGTACTCCGTCTTAGGTGGACTCGGCCTCACCCGCTCCTCATCCACATAAACCAGCACGGGAACCTCCGCCCCAGCCTGAACCCTAACCCCGTGCTCCTCTCCGCCAATCCACTCCACCACCCTCGCAGTAACATACCACTTATTATAATGCCCAACTCCCTGCTCCCTCGGCCGGATGGCAGTACTCACCGCATCCCCCTCAGACACCGCGGATCCATGATCAACACCCTCATACCCGTCCAGGATCCTCTCATCGCCTCCATCCATCTCATACAACACCCCATACACCCCATCCGCAGACCCTGACACAGGCACCGTGCGCGCATCGCGTCCATTCTGTGGTCCCACCCGGAGCCCCTCCGGCGGGAGCACATTGGCGTAGCCCGCTTGGCAGATTAGCCAGCGCCAGTGGGGGAGGAAGGCTATCGCAAGGGGCCTGGAGGAGAGGGTGGGGTTCACTGTGCAGCGCTGTTTCATCTGGGTGGGGGAGAGGTTGGAGCCGTAGGCAAAGTAGAGATGTTTTGGCTTGGTGCGGGGTTCAAGTCGGTGTACGACGGAGGGGCCGCAGTTGGAGAGGTCCTGGTTTATGTGCATGTTGGAGAGGGTTGGAGAGGTAGAGGAGGGGTTGGTAGGGATGTCCTGGTTGAGGGTGAGGGAGGAAAAGTGTAGGAATCGGAGTATTTATTTCCCTTGGTAGGGCGAGAGCAGAGAGAGAGAGAGCCCTGGGTATCTGCGATATCGGGGTACCTTTGGAGTTCCGCCATCGCGTTATCGTGAAGTCTGGGGGTTTCGCTTCCTTTTACATGGATTTGGGATTCGAGACTCGGATCTGGAGCAGACATCTTTGGTTGAAGGCGCGTGGCTCAGAGAAAATTTGGGGTGATTTCAAATCATGAGGATGAGAACTGGACGTTATCCTCCTTGAGTGTGTATGGGTGCTACGTACTAATAACCCTATGCGCAGAAACAGAGAGAATATTTCATTTTCCTATGTTCATTTCCAGTTGATCAAGTCCACGATTGTCGAAAGGATCATCATACCAACTTGGCTTCATATTATATAGAAGCAAGGCATTCCGTCGACATACACCCTAGTCGGATGATAGTTGTATAAATAGTTTCATCCTACCCTGGACCATATTCCGAGATTCAAGGAGAGGGTTTGACCCCGCATACCCGGAATATGGCACTCGCCCGATGTCAATTGCCCTGAGAGCATTGGAAGGACATACTTTCATCACAGCACTGAGACCTCCCAGGACTCGGGATTGCTGGGATATACTAGAAGGTTACTTATCTGGTACCCAGCAGCATTTTGGACCCCTGCACGGTTCGTGCTCGCTGGAATGTTGTCCTGAAGAGATAAGGATATCAAAGATTGGCGGACCAGGACTAAATTCTCATCGAGCAGCGACCGTGAGCATCTATTGAATGGAACAAGAGTGACCTAATCTTTGTATGACTCGGACTCGAGGCATGAGGGTTGAGGCGTGACATTGGAAGAGTTCACCTGTCCTATGATCTTTTGGACGGCTGATCCTCGAAATGTAGCTCGTATCCAGTGCAGCAATGTAAGCTCGAAATGCTGCGCAGGATCGAACCTTGGGAGCAGAGTATTACCAAGAGATAAGCTGGAAAGGAGACACTTTCCGTGGCGACTTGGCCGCGGGAAACCAGTGGAATATGAAACCCCACCGAGCCCAAGTCCGATCAGCGGGGCAGCTCTTATATCTCCCCAACATGCTGCGCGCCACTTCTCGTCTGCAAGCTCTTTCCTCCACTCTGTCTCAACTTCCGACTACTCAGTACCGTGCCCAATCTACCAAAATGTCTGCCAACATGTCCGTTGTCACTGCCAAGGATGCCTGCCCTCGTAAGTCTTAACCTTGGGGCTGTCTGACACCCGCGCACGAAAGTCGAACTGTCAATTGCTCACGTCCATCTTATAGCTGCCGGTCCTTACGTACGTGAATGGCAACCCTAAAGTTTCCCTGAGATTCTCTTATTGCAGCCTTCTCTCGTATCCCCCCCACTTTTGGTTGAGGTCTTTGGCGCTCCCGGGTGCCTTTGACTCATCTCCCCCCATTCAATGCAATCCAATGCCAATTCCTACTCCGAAACACCAGCTAGTACGACAATAACAAGAGTCACTAAGCTAACACCCACGCAGTCTCAGGCCATCCGTGCCAACGGTCAGATCTTCGTCTCCGGCCAGATCCCCGCTGATGCCTCCGCCAACCTCGTCCAGGGTAACATCGGCGAGCTGACCCAGGCTTGCTGCGACAACATCAAGGCCATCCTGACCGCTGCGGGCTCCAGCGTTTCCAAGATCGTCAAGGTCAACGTAGGTTCCACTGCACGATTAGCGCTGTGGTCGCCCACTAACGTTTTACTGCAGGTCTTCTTGACTGATATGGCCAACTTCGCGGAGATGAACGCTACCTACGAGAAGTTCTTCACCCACAAGCCTGCGCGTAGCTGCGTTGCGGTTCACCAGCTGCCCAAGGGTGTCCCTGTCGAGATCGAGTGCATTGCCCTGGAGTAAAATGCATGTCTTAAGGAAAATGAAGAAACTGAAGAAACTGAATTTTAGAGACTTAAGAAGGGTTGACCCCAGGCCTCATACAATCTACTCAAAGTAAGGATGTGGCTACTGTAGGATGAGAAGATGAATAATAAGATGACCTTAACACTCCATATGTCTTTTGGGGTATAGCAAAATGTCTTCTATATGATGTACAAATTTGTCACGGGAACACCTTGCGAGCGCACCGAATACCGTCTACGGATGCCGACGCCGGTGGCAGCGCGGAGGAAATTATACGTCTCTTCCCCGCCACCGACCATGACTAGGGGGATGAGATGGTTGCGGGCGATTCCACTGGCCGTAGTCTGTGTAGACTCGAGATGAGGTCGGACGAGATATGACTCTGCGCGCTGAGCCGCGAGAGGCTTGATGAGCTTTGGGTTTGGATTTGAGTCCGAGGCTGCAGTCTCCTCGACGTCTTCGGGAGGTGAAGAGAGCATTTCATCGTCATACGAGACGACAATTACCATTTTTAAAGAATTGCGATTCGGCCTGAAAGCAGCGATGTTGCGCAGCTTCTGTGAAAATGTGCAGCCGCCGCGTTTCAGTACCAGAACCTCGTGGTTCTGTGCTATGTCGCGCGTGATGCGCTCGTTGCAGAGTTCATCTGCGAAATAGATTGACGACCATGTCAGACGTTTGGGTGAGCCGCTCAACCCAGAGACACTCGGTGCATCTTCGACTTCGGGGAGAGGAGCAGCTCCAAGGCCGGTGGGAATGCTGGCCGGGAGGCTGAGCCGGATGGGAGGGCGCTCATGTGGATCGTCCCGCAGAAGCGATGAGAGTGAATTCACTAAGGAGGACAGTATGGTTTTCACCGGGGAGTCGACGGGGAGGCTGTCGCGGACCGGGGTAACGGATGTGGGGATGCTTGGAGGAGATCCTGGGTCTTCTGGACCTGGTGCACTTTCTTTTGCAGGCGGCTCAGCTCGTGGATGAGCTGAGCCATTGTTTCCGCGAGAGGGCTCTGGAAGAACGTCAATGACGAGGTCAAGCATGGCGGTGTCGCGGACCCGGGTGAAATTGGGATCATATGGGTCGACGACATCAAAGGTGATCTGTCGCGAGAGGAATACCTTCTCATCTTTCCCCAAAGGTACATTGTTGATAACCTGCACGCGGAACCCATCCTCCTTCTTGCCCTGGTCGGCTGGGGCCGGCTTTCCTAGAGGAACATCCTGCACCATGCTGAGTCGAAGCCCGCCGATGGTCTTCACCAGGACTCCGTCCCGGACTCGCTCTAATGAACCCGGCCCAAGGTTGATCCCCCCAGGGAGAGAGGGGAATGAGATGTCCAGTGTGGGCCGAACGGTCATCGGTGCGCTGGTAGCGTTGTGAGGGACGAGTTGCGGCGGCAAGGTCCAGGGATAAAACGTGTAGTTACTAGGCGACGAAAGGTCGGACACGGAGACGCTCTGATGATCGGACGAGTCGGCCATGATGGGTCCTTCCGTGCCGCGATGAGGCCGAAGATGCAGTCGCGCTAAACTTGCAGCGTGGAAGATATCAGACCTTGATGCTGTGGACGATATCCCGAAGAGTGGGCTAGGAATCGCATCGCAAGTGTTACTGGCCGTGTGCTGGAATGAAGCGTCTCTTCGGCCATGGTGACCCGGGGACTTTTTCGGAATGATCAAAGGATGCCCCTCCGTGGAAAAGACCCAAGGCGCATCCAGTTTGTTCAGAGGATGCTCAGGGGTGAAAAGGAGGAACATGTATTTAGCCGTTTCGCCCAAAAAGAAGCTTTCCATGCGATCAATCATCTCTCCAGTCTGGACATCTTGCAACCCTGCCCACCCACACTTTGTCCAGCATCGCCGTTTTATGTCACGGAGGACCATTTCCCCAACATGCAGATACCAGGGATCCTGGGTTGCGCGGTAGATGTAATAGGTGGATTCAATGAACTCCGGTCGACCTCCATACCAGGAGAGACCACCGTCGATCTCACCCGTGGCTACATTCCACCGTTCTGGAAGACCCGAAAAGCGCGACCAGATCGCAGTCGTTAAGAGGTGGATCTGAATAGCTTCGTCCAGCTTTCCGTCAAGGGCGAGTAGACCTGGGTAATATGCACTCAGGCTGTCAATCCAGAATGCTCGAGTAGCACCGGTAAGGAAGTCCCCCACAACGAGGTGGGGGTGTTGATAGCCTTCACCCCGGTAGAGATGCCGGTTGATTGATATGTGGGAATCTTCCCAAACCTGCAGGAATGCATCTGCAGAATGCTGATCCTCGGTCAGAGGAGGGTAGTAATCATCCAATGCACTCCAGGGGCTATTGGGGTCGAATGGAATATGCTGTCCCTCCGATAGCAGAATATGGGACTTGAGGGCATATTCATAGAAGCTGTCAATACCAGCACCAATCTACCAACCTTTGTTAGCCTATGTTGATGGTGAATTCTGCAGATTGGCATCTCACTCCTGCATATGGACCGACCCATTTCCCAGATTCAGCATCAATCCCAAACCCGACCAGTCCAATCTCACTCCTGTGAGCCCAAACAGCCCAGAATGCCCTCTTCGCAAATTCCTCATATCGACCATCGCCCGTGAGCCGGCTCAGGACGGTGAACTCAAGGACTAGACTGCCCGCACCTGCGCTGCAGGTTTCTGTGATCTCTGCGCTCGTGAGGTACGGGTATTTCCGTTTCCTCTCACGCTCCCTAGATTTCAGATTCAAGGGCGAGTTTTCATAAAATGGAACCCCATATTTCAGGTTGACTCGCGGGTACGGCAAGCCCGTCTCTGTATAGAATGCTGGGAGAAGACGGTCGGCCAGATCAACCGCTAGACGGAGAAATTGGCCGTCGTAAATAAAGCCATTGTTCCACACAATACCATGATCCGACTCGGTAAATGAGCTTTTATCCCATGCACTTGCGTATGCCGCCTCTCGTTCGAGTGGGTCGTAGCCAGTAATTGGCAGCTCACCAATCGCAAACAGATGCGAACTGAGTAGTCCTCCAAGTCCTCGAATCACTGTCTCGAAGACCTGTACCTTACTATCAATATCAAACCCCCTCGCTCGCTCGCCCTGACCAGCAGGGCCCAGCGAACCGTCTCCATACAATGTCACAAAGTTCTGTACACCATTCTGGAAATCCGCGAAAGCTCGATCGCCGCTCCCCGGACTCGAGGACAAAATGGCGAGAGTCGATAGGCTGTCGATCAACGTTAAGGAATAATTTCCCAAGACATCATTATGCTCGTTATTTTTCTCGTCTCGAGTTAAAGGGCCGCAGGTCAACGGGCGCAATTCGTCTTCGGGAAACGCGTGGTCCAGGTAGTTCTCGAATCCATGGTAGAACATGCGTTCCGTTTCTTGTCTGGCGCGGGGGAAAGGGTTAGCATAGAGATCAGAGCAGTAACAGCCATAGGTTGGGGAGGGGGGCGCTTGGAGTCTGTACCGGAGCTCATTAATCTTATAATCTCTCATGCCCTGGGCCAGGGTAAACCATAGGCACAGTATAATCGGCCAGGTCGCCATTGTCCACGCGCGAGGGATGAACATATACAAGCTCCAACATCGCGTGCGCATCACCCAGGGCGGTCGGCTGCCAAGCAGGGTAGGAGCGGACGACAGGGCTCTCGAAAGCAATGTGAAAGGATATGGGGCCCTGGTGTTTATAAAAGAAGGGAATGAGCGGAGGACGGAGAACCTTTTGAAGTGGATACGGCCAGATAAGCCGGTCCGGCAGTATTCTGCGTTATCTGCAAGTAACATCATATCCAAGCACTCACGACATCCCCTGGTCGAGATTTCGTGAACCTTGCACTCTTAGTAAAGGAAGATAGTTAGAGATTTTACGTGTAAGAGCGCTTTGGATGATAGTGACGAGACGCTCAGCCGGCCTACTTCATTGAGATCGTGCACTCTGCTCTATAGGTAGCATCCGGTCCACTTCTATTGCAGAACCAGCTGGCAGGAACTAGTTTCAAAAATACCCATGATAGTGTACATAGTCAACCATATGATTATTATGATTGCAGTGCCGGAATCATTGTTCCTGCTGATTCGGTACCTTAAATCGAAAAAAGGTGGCCTAAAGATCGAGGCTCATACATCAACGCCCGCTTGTCCCGTCATTATTATTTTTCTTTGATACTTGAGATCCTTGATAGTCTATTTGCCTAGCTCTCCAAGCAAGAGAGTGTGATCGGAAGAACAGGAAATAACTGATGGCTAAAAGTTAGGAACTGGAAATGTATCGACTGGAGGGCTCAACTCACCAATTGGCTCGTCGCTGGGAGAGAACCGGGCATCGTTGACAGTACCCTTGTGACCAGGAAGCTTATACAAAAGCTTTGCAGACTTTGCGTCCCACACGACGACACTTTGGTCTCCACTTCCGGCAGCGATCTTCTCGCCCTTGGGATCCCAGCTGGCCCGGATAAGGTTCTTCTCAAGCCCAACAGGTGCACCGTCAAAGGTGCGAATCTGGCGGGAAGCGGTGGGGGCAAAGGGACGAATGTCCCATGTCCGAACTGTCGAATCATGTGAGTTAGATAAAAGTGATTGGGAGTCGGGAGAGATCTGGAGCGATGTGATGGTGTCGGTGTGACCAAACATGGAGTACACGATGGCCTTCTTGCGGATATCCCAGACATGAATGGTGTTATCGATCCCGCCGCTATAAATCTCATTTCCTGCTTCAGATAAGGCCACCGCGGTGATGGGCAGTTCAGTCTCGATGTAGTCCAGCGCATCCTTCTGACGTGGATCCCAGATTCCAATACAGCCATCATCACTGCCACTTAGGAGTAGTTCCTGACCGCGCTTACTGAGGTCCACGCAGTTCACAATCTCTTCATGGCCAATATGGCGCCGCACACGCTGTCCGGTCTCCACATCCCAGGTACCTAGTGTCATGTCTGCTGATGCCGAGAAAATAGCCCGCGAGTCGCGTGCCCATTGCAAGTCGAGGACGGCGCCATGGTGCCCATTCATCTGACCATAGTTTTCGCATTGTCCATACGTATTCCACAGCACTACATTTCAAACATTAGTATTGATACAGCTTCGAGAAGGCTGGGATTTTTGGCGTACAGATTGAGCGGTCCATTGAACCAGATGCAATATGTTGCGCGGAAGGATCGAATCGAACTGCAAAAATTTCCCCCGAATGACCTGGGTCAAGACTGTTAGATAATTGTCCGCACATGCCAGGTCATATTTGCCTTACCTGTGAGTTCCATGATCGGCGCATCGAGACCACTGGTGCGTGGAACCTGCGCAGGGCGTTAGCCAGACTCTCCCAAAATTCGCGTCTTGTCAAAAACTCATAAAGACAGAGAAACATACTGATTGAATAAGAGCTCCATTCTGCGACGACCCTTTCACAACAGCTGTACTTGGGTTCTGGCCATCGGGCTTGTTTCGCTTGACCACAAGTTGATTGGAGGACCCGAAGGCTTCTTGAGCGGGGCGCTTTTCGCCAGACATTTTTCAGGCTGGGAAAATAACCTTGAACCTGAATCAGCTAGTCGAAGAGCTGGAGTGCCTTGTCTGGAGAACTGGGTCGGCGTGCGAAAGTCTCCAGAAGCTGTAGAGCAAACGGGAGAACGATAATCCCACCTGCGGGCGGTGAGCGTTTCGTTTGTACAAGCAGCTCCAACACCTTGCACTCCCCGCAGTCAACCCTCCCCAAAACCTTAGGATTTCAGTCCGAAAAGGCTCCTTGTTTATTCTCAGAACTAAGGACTAGCCCCTCATACGACATAATTGTACTGACTACACCGAAATTGCAACCATGTCAACTCAAAAGGCCTCCAGAATAGGAGAAGAGTGAGTGAACCTAGGCTTCCGGGCCCAGAACGAATACTAACTCATCCTGATTAGGATTTGGAAGTCAGTAAGCAGCGTACTGGCATGAGCCAAGACCAATGCGTCAAATTGGATCACGCCCCATCGAGCTTGCACTAACTCGAACCAGAACGAGAATCGATAAAGTCAACGCTGAGCTAGTCACACTAACCTACGGGACTATTGTGGCGCAATTATGTCAAGACTATGATAGTAACTACCAAGAAGTGAACAAGCAATTGGACAAGATGGGATACAATATCGGAATGAGGTTGATAGAAGACTTCCTGGCCAAATCTGGTGTGGGCCGCTGCGCAAACTTCCGAGAGACGGCTGATATGATTGCAAAGGTGGGTGGTCAAGTGCCTGGAACCTTGAAACCCCTAGTCTAGCCTCAAGTGAAATATGCTGGAACGTCGCTAATTGGGGAATCAGGTCGGCTTCAAGATCTTTTTGAATGTTGCGCCGACAGTCACAAACTGGACCAGCGATAACAATCAATTCTCGCTGATTTTCGACGACAATCCACTGGCGGATTTTGTGGAGCTTCCCGATGACGGGCGAGCGCAGGATGAGCTGTGGTTCTCTAATATCTTATGTGGTGTTCTGCGCGGGGCACTGGAGATGGTACTTCTTCCTTTGAATGTTTTCGTTAGCCGTCGGGGCCGGGAACCTTTGTGCTGGGTTCGATCGCTAACCCGAATTCCAGGTTCAAATGCAGATCGAAGCACACTTTGTGAGCGATGTCCTGCGAGGTGATGATACTACGGAGATGCGGGTCTCGCTCGTCCGGTACATCGAAGACGAGATGCCCCCCGAGGACGATTAGATATGAAGCATCAACGGCGTTCAGGCGATAAGGGCTATAACCTGAGGGGCTTTTACGTTTAATTTCTCTGTTGAAGCTTTCTTTTTTCTTCTTCGTAACAATTCCATATTTTGACTTTTTATTTTTCTTTTCCCTCGGCTTTTGTCTTTCCATGGCCTTTTCAATCACTTGAGTTCGCTGCAGAGATCGGGTTGATGCACCGTGATTTGTGTGTTGTGCCGGCATTAGGCTTTCTGACGTATCGCCCTCTAGGAACCGCCACGCGACAGATCACGGGGGTTTGTTTCAGGCTATCGAACAGTACCTGGGGGCTGTTCGGGGATTGTAAGGGGCGATTTTTAGGGTTTAATGGGGGCAGTGTCCCTGACAATGACTGTAAATGGCTAGGGATAGGAAAGTTATGCCCCTATGCGCTATACTTAGCCGTCTGATACCGGGAGGGAATTACAGTGGCACCTAATGATCTGCAGAGTACTCGGGGCCTAATTTGAGGTACGAGGAACTATGTACGAGCAGGTAGGGGGAGCTCGACCTACAGCTTAGATTTCTTTGTAGATACAAATTTCAGCCAGAATCGCTTGAACACTATTAGCCTATCCTGCTATCAAGCTTTCCCTGGACTTCTGACACATACAGTGTCAGGTCATATATAGACTGAATAGCCTGACAGAATGAAAAAAGATGGTAATTTTACGGTACGTTACCAACTCCGGCCCCTCCATTTTCTCTTTTTTCCATGCAGTTCTCATGTCCCCATGCTTTTTCTTTGACAAGGCAAGAAAGGGTAAACTTCCTACATGTCCATTCCTTTCCTTCCTCATCCTCCTCACTCTAGATTTTTTTTTTCTTTTTTTGGATTTCCTTCCAATCGTCGGACTGAATCGCCGATCGTGGTATCCGTATACTTGTGCCTCTTGAAACGGGCATCCGTCGCATATAGTAACGCCGCTGTGTACCGCTCTCGCCTGATCGGATCTTTCCACCTTTTTTTTTCTCTCTCTCTCGCCTCATCTCCCCATTAATTTTCCTCTACTGCATTTCCCTCCCCGTGTACACTGTTTGACCCAGTTCACCCGGCCTGGCTCTATCTTTTATGGTGTTTACCCTATAAGTGCTTGGGTCACGACTTTGCTCCTACGGGCTTTCTATACCCAAATCTACGCGGACCCGCGCCAACTTCAGCCCCAGGCCTCCGGGTAGGTTGATCCGATCCGAAACAAGCGATTCTTCCCCAGCGTCTCGCTGAGTCGCCCGTACCCCCCGGCTCCTCTGGCTCTGGCTCTGGCTCCTCTTTCTTCCCTTCACAAGTGAGATCCACCTCCCCTCAACGCTCTTCATTTCTTCTCCACCTCTTTTTACCCTTTTTTTGCGTTGTATGTGTTGTTCGGTTCTCTTGGTTCTTTGAACCCGCCCGATCGGGCTTGTCTGGTCCCAACCTCCTGCGACTCCGTTCCTCCTGGTACTTCCGTCATCGCCCCAAAATCCTATCGTCCGCGCTCTACTTATCGAGTTCATACATATCTGACCTGTATTCTGACCTGTTGGTGTCGTCATATAGGATTTGGCGCTTTTGGTAGTCTTGGTAATCGCGCCTCTACTTGTTCGCTGTCTTCAATCTCATCGCGCGTGGCTTTATCACCGGACCCCCACAAAAAAAAAGGCCCCAGCCTCCGGGGATCTTATCGCATCTCTGACCTCGCAATATACTCCCGATATATCGCGCGAACATCTTTTCGGGGAAGCGCCCCTCAACCGCGCCAACTGGGCCTCGTTTTAGCGAGTTGGACACTGACCGCTACTACCCCCGTCAATTCTGCTCCCACGCGTTTCCGCCCTCCCACCCCCGCGTCCGGTCTCGATTGGATTGTTGGACGCGTATTTGGCATTGAACCAACCGGTGATCTGTTGAGCCCTTCTTTTTCATAGGCACGGGTGGACTGCTGTTCCATCATCTCGCCACTATGAATCAGATGCCCCAGATGAACCAAATGAATGTCCCCGGCATGACCCCTGGGGTTGGCGGCCCCGTGGGTGGCACCCCTATGATGAACAATGGCTCTACAGCGCCTCGTAATGACGGCTCCATGATGTCTCCCGAACGTATGATCGACAATCTCAACACTTACATTTATGATTATTTTTTGAGACGAGGTTACCATGACTGTGCTCGCGCCCTCCTTCAGGACGAATCGATCAAAGTGAACACCGATCAGGGCCCCAAACCAAGCCCGGGAACCAAACGAGAAGATATGAACGGTATGGATGGCGATGTCATGATGACGGATGGCAAGGACGGCGAGAAGATCAAGATACCCGATGATCTTCCCCGTCCCAGTCTCCCCAGCGAAAGCCTTCAGTCTTCTTTCCTCTTGGACTGGTTCAGTCTCTTCTGGGAATTCTTCCTGGCGCAGCGCAAGCGTGGGAGCAACCGGGAAGTTAGCCAATACCTTCAGCATACTCAGGTTCGTGAACACTATGGTTGCGCAAGTGCGCCCCTAAGTCTGACTTTGGCTTACAGAATGCGATGCGAATTCGAGAACAGCAGCAGAATCAACTCCTGCGGCAGCAACCCCTCATGCCGGGTCAAATGAGCCAGCTCAACATGCGCGGGCGTAACGGCATGATGCCTCAAAATCTGCAGAAGACCGTACTGCAGAATAACACGAATCTGTATGCCTTCTAGATCCGGTCCCCCGAGCTATTAATACAGAAGTGAAGTGATATGCTAACCCGCATGAACTTTTTTTCTTCTCCAGAAATCCTCAGCAAATGGCTTCCCTCCAGCAAAAGCAACAGATGCAGATGATGGCACAAATGTCTCGAGAGCAGTCTGATATGGACATGAATGGAGCTCGGCCTCAATCGCCTGCCTCAGCCGATAATGCCCCCTCCCCGTCGAAACGCCCTCGTATTGAGGGTGGACCTGTTAACGGACAGCAGATCGCTCCCAATGGACGTCAACAAGGACCAGGGATGCAGGGACAGCCTAACCCGCAGGCAGCCATGATGATGCAAAATGGGATGGGACAACGCCCCATGAACCCGGCGCAATTCCAGCAATTCACACAGGGGCAAGCCGCGCAGCAGAAATCCATGCAGGTAAGTTATGCTCATACCCCGGCCCTTCACCGCATGCACTCAGCAATAAATGTACAGGGAATGCCAAATGGCGCTATGATGAACCCCAATGTCATGCCAAACCAGGGTGACCTGGTCACCATGCCGGATGGACAGTCAATGTACCCCCCCAATGGGCGGAGATTACTATCAAAATGGTCAAATGGGTCAGGCTCGTCCGGGTATGGCAGGCGCAGCGAATGGCCAACACGGCAATCACGGCAATCACGCTCTTCAAGATTATCAGATGCAGCTGATGCTGCTTGAACAGCAAAACAAGCGGCGTCTGATGATGGCACGACAAGAGCAAGACACGATGGCCGGCCGCGAAGGCCAACCCCCGATGCCAGGCCAGTTGCCTCCGGGCACTTCCCCCCCAGGGTAGCCGAGCAGGTGCCTCGCCAAACCCTAGTGAACAAATGAAGCGGGGTACACCAAAGATGCCTCAGACTGGTCTTCCAGGATCGCCAAGTGCTGGCGACATGAATCAGAACCGTGGATCACCCGGCTCTATGAACCTGAACGGTGGCCAGATGCAGCCTGATATGTCGCAATTCTTCAACCAGGGAGCTATTCGACCCCCAAGTTCTAACCCCGCCTTCAGCACCGGTCCGATGGGTCAGGCGATTCCTGCTAACGCAGGCCGTATGCCGAATGGCCAGTGGCCTCCGGGTTCGATGCCATCCCAGAGCTCACCCGCTAATCAGCCCCAGGCTGGTACTCCGCAGCAAGAACAGCGCGGCGGCAACATGCCTCCTCCTCAGCCCCCAACGGCTGGTGCTGCTGCAGCCCGAAGTCAACCCCAAGACTCCCCTCAAACTGGGAACGCCCCTCCTACCCCCCAGCCGCAGACCAAAGCCGCTGGCAAGAAGAAGGAGCCGACTCGCAAGGTATGTATACAATCAGCTCATTCCCCTCCTTCGACCCCAGCCCTTCTTTGGCCCCAACCCGGTTTCCCATTGCTGACTTGTCCAAGCGTCCTCAAAAGAAGAACACTGGTGCTGGGAACGCTGCAGGAGCCACACCGGTCACCGAGCCTGCCGAGCTTCCCACGCCCACTCCATCCACCCCAGTTACGCCCTCGCACCCTAACTCCTTCAAGGGTCCCAACGGGACTGCAAGTGCGCCAGCGCAGCCAACCACGGCTCCTGCCCCCCCGCCTATGCTCCCATCTACCTTGGATCAAAACCAAGCACCTTTCAATGATCTTGGCATTACTGATGTAAGTTTCACATTCCTCTTTGCGGCTTTTCTCAGCCCATACTCACGTCCACTCTATAGTCATCTGCTTTCAACCTTGATTTCAGCGCTTTGGATAACCCAGATATCCTTGAGAGCTTTGACTTTGACACTTTCCTCAACACCGACGGCGAGACCGGATTTGGCTTTGACCCCAACTTGCCGTACACTGATGGCGTTGAGACCGGAACCGGCGATCAATAAATGATCGAACAGCGTTGACAGCTCAGGTGCTTTCCTTCTCATATACCCTTGTTTTGTACATTTGGATTTATTGTTTGACCTTGACGGATACTCATCGAAACCTGTTTTTTTTTTTTTTTTTGTTTCCCTTCCCCCAAACTTTTGACTACCTTGGTTTCTGGTTGCCTCCCCTTTGGATGTGTGTTTCTGCGCATGTGTTGGGAAATTGGCGTTGGTGTCCTGCAAGTGGCCGCATTTTCCCGTCGTTCCTCCCTTTTCACAAGTCCGCCACGCTTGGACTGATGCCGGAGCTTCTTTCTGTATTCGAGATTAGTGCACTGTGATCTACGAGTTTGTCGGTTTCTCCCCTTTCTATTATCACCTATTTATTAACTGTGGTTGCTTAATCCTTGCTCTCAACATGGCGAACCACGTCGACTCCTGATCAAAGTACACATTCAGCGCGCTGCCGCTTTTTCCATTTTCTTCTTCTGTCCTTGCGGACTGGATTCCTTTTCTTTGGTTACCCCCTTTTCTCCTTTTTTGGTCTGTTTCGTTTCCGTTGAATCAAAACGCTGGGCGTCCGCAAGCCAGATCGAAGTTGGCTGGAAAACGTGCTTCTACTTTTATTCCTCACTCTTCCACTTGAGGGCTGCGTAGTTGCCTCATTTCTATGTTGATCTTCCTTTACATTAGCCTCAGTCCGAATATCTCGATTCGAACGTAGTTGCAGGAGTGAAAGCCAATGAAAGCCCGGTCCAGAGAATACTGGCTTCTATAGCATGTGCGACGAGGGCTTGTTCTCCCTCAGTGGATTGATTTGGCCTCTTCATCCCCCGGTAATCTATTCTGTACGTCAGATCCGTGTTCTATTGATCAGTGCTCTTTGAGCGTACTGGGGAAAGTAGACTGTCGAGGCTCCACTGGTGTTCAACCGTACTTGGAAAGGTCTTGGGGGTTCTTTGTTTTTCGTCGAGCAGGCCCAGCAGAGGAGTATCTCGCAGAAGGACTTGGTGGGGAGATTCCTTGGGTGTAGGAGCGTCTGGAAATCCACGCATCATAATAGACAAGCTCTGCTGGCCGAGGAAAAGAGGAGCGTGTCTCAAGTACGAAAGAGAAGCAAGCTCCTGATAGCAGGTCTTATGACTTTGAAAGGACTCAAATAACCCAGTGCCGTCTAGTGTGCAACAGCGAAGTCTCGATGCCATTAGGCTGGTCTGTAATACACGTAACTGATGGTGATGGGACGATATCATACTAGAACCAGGTGCATTGCCGGTAGGCCTGCTTTGTTCATCTCGAGGTACAAGAAGCAAGATATCAGAGGGCGAAACGGTGATTCGACCAAGTCGAAGAAGTAGAGGTTGCCACAGGAAGAGAGCCACAGATGGTTCATGCACAAGAGTAGCCGGAGAAGGTGATATGGAGACAAATACGACAGAACAATGCAGGAGTAGGAGTCAGTGGAAGACGTACCTGTCCAGCTTGGCTACTTCTGGACGTTCTGCTATTGGCAGGTGGCAAATACTGATCCACAGCCATGAGAATATGTTGAATTTCCAGTTGCTATCGAGTATAATAAGCATGCAGGCTAGGAACAGTGCATTAATGATACAGGCAAATTAGCAACTACATGTTGTCAAGCGTTCGGCGTATCCTCCGTGACCGTCTCGAACTGCTGGGGAATGACCTGCTCTGGTGTCTCTGTAAGAGTCTTCTTGGGACTTTTCTTAGGAGTTTCCATGGATGCTTCCTTTCCCTTAGCGCCTTCTTTCTTCCCTTTGACCGCTCCAGGCTGAGCGGTAGTAACCCCAGCCGAAGGAGTATTGGAAGGCGCCCGTATACCAATCGTGGGAGGCTTCGTGGGAGTCAAGGCTTGGATCAATTCGTTGTACTGCTCGTCATCTATACTTCTGAGGTTGTGATAGCTCGAACCCGTCATACTCGAGATGGCGCGGCTGCTGGACGAGCTTGAGTAATCAGGCATTGGCACATCCTCACGCGAAGAACGAGCACCCCGGTGGTTCCAAGACGATTCTTCGCTCACCAGGGAATCAATCGTCGGGTCCATGAACGGCTCCTGGAAACGATCGAAGCAGCCCAAGCGACGATCTGGGCATCGCGGCCACTGCGATGCAGGGACCGGGAAGGCACGATGAGAGACCCAAGCATTATACATCGTGCCCTGGCCAACGAGTGGAACAGTCGACGCTGCACCTATTGGCCGATGCTCAGCTTTCCCCGGAGAGTGCGCATGGAGGTCGTCCCGGTCCATGGCTGCAGTATAATCAAGTGCAGCATTGTATCGGAATCCAGCTCGTGGAGCTTGAGACCACATACTCGGGTTGGGCCACGCGATATTGGAGTATTCCAATATATCTACAAAAAATGTCAGTAGGTACCTTTCCATCAAACCCAGGCAACCTGTAGGAACTCACGCAGAGGAGCATGCTGGAATGACAGGGACACCACATCTTTGACACGCTCAAATGGGGGAGTTCGATTGGGTCGAGCAAAACCTTCTGCAATCACAACCTTTATCCGACCATACACATCGCCTGCATCCCAATGCCTCTGTTCCAAGATCTCGGGATGGAAAGCAGGAAAGCGGAGATTGTCCGGGTTCCCGTCGCGATCGAGGTCTGCAGATCGTTAGTATCTCTCAGCTTGGCCATTGGGAAGAGTAATGTGATACTAGAACTCAGATCTTCAAAAGCTTCCTATCAGCATGGTCCCTTGAAGTAGAATGGTTCTTTCACACTCACCGATGACATAGGGCCACAAAGCCCTCTGCCCAAATACGCCCCCCCTGCAGCGAGAGCCATTAGTTGGAATCCAAGCAGATGGAGTCCAAGTAGAATGGTCAACTCACGCCGTAAGAGTGCCGTCTATGAAGACTCGAGCCTCAAACAGAAGCACATCGTCCGGCTGCATCATTCTCTCCATGAATCGGGAGGGGCGAGGCTTATCCCAGCTGTGAACGGAGACTCGAAATGCGCTGTCCTTCTCCAGGCTGGGGACAAAAGCTGTCAGCACCGGGATTTGACCGACATTGCCCTGGAGAGGGTAGTATGGCGACGGATTAACAATCGCCGGGAGCTGGGTATAAGGTGACGCGGAATCTTTTGTCACGTAGCATTGAGTCTTGAATTCCTGGATAGGCACCCTCGAGCCCTCTGGAAGAAGGGAGAATGTCCCAGTTCTCGTATCGCATGGCGGTGGCGGTTCTGGAGAAGTCTAGGTTGGGCGGCGGCAATCAACGAGAGCTTGCAGATGAACTTGGGAAGGAAGCAGACGCAGGAAGGAGCGCTTGGAACCAACCCCCCAAACATACAAAACCCCGTCTATTATGCCATCCAGGCCTTCTGATGCTCATGGTTCTACGTCTACGGGCAAGATAACAACATCCTCACTGAAATGCAGACTGGGGAGGCTACACTGGATCGACCGGCCCTCAAGACATGGAATCATCAGCGTGTACTAAGTATCCATCATATTCCATAATTCCTGTAATGATCGCGAAAGGGGAATCATCCAAGCCAAGAACGCCGGCGAGCTCGACGAGTTGTTACAAAATACGATGTGACCAAGATGTTATCCAACGCAGAAAGAAAACACCACCCCCAAAGCACAGCAAATCGAGCCAGATCCACACCATGCTGGAGGCGGGGTCCGGTGCACGAAGATGCGAGAAAGACCAGCGAAGAAAGAAAGAGCGCAGCATGAACGTGGCGAGGAACACCGACCAACGCGAATAGAGCATGTTGTACAAATCCCCTGGTCTAACAAAGAAGAAAAGCGTCAAGGAGAAAGAAGCGAAGAGAAAATGTGCGTCAAGTGGTCGAAGCGAACATAGTTCAATTTGGCTGTTGACTGGAAGCTTGAAGCTCCATCCAACGGATGACTATCCCACGGTGACGAGGAAGAGAAACAAAAGGGAACTGCAAAGGAGTAAAAGTGGAACTTTTCGCAGAATGCCTGCCCAAGGAGTATAGAGTAAAAAGAAACGCATGAACAATACGCACTTTCGTTACACGCGAACGAGGACCCCTAGGGCGGGGGAGAACGAATAAAGAAATCGAGATAGCAGCATAACGTAAGACTTCGAGGGACATTGAGACGCGGAGACAAGAACAGAATGAAAAGGTGGGGTGGGGGAAGTGGTACGAGAGGGTGGAGATACAGGAGTATTGGGGTTATCAAGGAAAGGGCAACGTCCATAGATCCTAAGAGACTGATAGGACGAAGCCCAATAAAGATAAGGTAAGAAAAAGAAGAGTGGGTTTAGAAAAGGAAAAAAAAAAAGAAATGTTAATGAAGGAAAGGAGGAGCTCAGATCTTGCGCAGATACGAAGCGCTCACGGAAATGCGTAGCACAGGAGGCAAAAGCAGGCTCATCAAGAGCTATAGAGCAGAAAACTCTTTTGAGAAAGCAGGGGAAGAGCAAAATTGTGTATGACACAAAAACGAGGACCTCATGGGAATGACGCAAACAACTCCTGCTGGTGCTTTCTGGAATCAAAGGAACGCTTACTGGAGAGAGAAATTGTAAGAGTCAGCCGACCGAGCCTTTAAACTAGTGTTCTGGTGCCGGGCTGCCGGGGTGACTGCTAACCTTCATCGGGGCAAATCCGCCGTAATGCTGAGCGGCTGGGGGCATGCCCATGGAGGGGTACATGGGAGGAGGGGGAGGGGCTGGACGGTACGGGCTGCCAGCAGGGCCGGAGTTGTTCTGAGAGCGGCCCCAGCTCAGGCGAACACGAGAGTTGCCGATAGGGTATCCCTGCATCTGGTTGATGGCCATCTCGGCGGCGTGGCGCTGAACGAACTGGACGAAGCCGCATCCCTTCCCGGGGGGGATCTTGACGTAGGTGATCTCACCGAAGCCCTGGAAGAACGAACGCAGCTCATCCTCGGTGACGTAGCCAGAAAGGCCGCCGACGAACACGGTGGTGTTGTTGGGGTCAGTGAACTGGTTCATGGGCTGAGGAGCACCGTAGAAACCCATAGGGGGGACCGCCCATAGGAGGATACATGCCGGCGGGGCCAGGCATGCCCATGTTAGCACCAACACCAGGACCCTTATTCTTGGGGGTGGCGGTGGAGATACGCATGGGGCGGTTACCACAGTAGACACCCTGCATCTCAGTAAGAGCACGCTGCTGGTCGTTCTCGTCGGAGAAACGGACGAAGCCGTAGCCGCGAGACATGCCGCTGATGGGGTCGGTCATGATCTTGGCAGACTTGCAAGACGGGAAACGGCTTTGGAAAAGGGAAACAAGCACATATTCGTTAACCTCTGGACCGAGATCACCGACGAAGATGGAATACTCAGGGCCGCGGTCATCACGGCTAATCAAAGCATTAGTCTCGAAACGGCCTCCTTGGGTGATAGAATGCAGATAGAATTTTGGGAACCCACCTGCGGTCAGCGAGACCACCACCAGTCGCCCAGTTCAGCTTGAACACACGGTTGGTGTTGGGCATGGGGGTGCCGTTCAAAGAAAGGGCCTTAGCGGCAGCGGCTGGGGAAGAGAAGTCGACAAAGCAGTAACCAGCGTTGCTCCTACTACCAAATTAGGACCTAAAGATCGGGCTGGGAATAGGACGAAGGGGAGGGCAACTCAGGATAATCTTACCCAGAGAATTTGTCACGGATCATCTTGACGTTGACCTGCTCACCCATCTGGAACCAAAGGTTACGGATGAAGTTCTCGTCGATCCAAGGCTCAAGCTCACCCATCCTATTCGACCTGATTAGTTTTCTTTTTGTTCTCGGATGCGGCATGCTGTTTTGTCGAAACATACCAGAGGGTGGTCTTGCCATCGGCGCCCTGCTGAGGAACAGGAGCAGCAGAGGGCTCACCAGGAGCGGGGGCCGCGAAACCAGCATCGCCGGTGCCAGTCATAGTAGCGTCGGCGGAGCAGGGCCACCGGGGGCGCCGGCAGCAGCGGGATCAGCGCCGCCGGGAAAAGAATTGAAGTTTTCGAACGACATTGTGCAGTGAAACTTGTGCGAAAAGTCGACGTAAGGATATGAACCGGCCTGTTGCGACTAGAAGTTCGTGGAGTCGTTAAGTGAAAGACCGTGAGATCAACGAGCACACTTCGTAATGAACCCAAAAAAAGAGATGGGTGTGGTTTTCTTGAAAAAGAAGATTGTTAAAAACTGTCAAAATCGCGAATCAAGAGTGAAAGGTAGAGAGGGAAGAACAGAGAATGCGCAAGGGGAACAGAAAGAACGAGGACACAAGAGTGAAAAGTGTGTAAAGAAGTAGGAATTATAATCGACGTCCCACGCGAGGGAAGTGAAGCTGAAGCTAGTGAAGGGCTTGGGGGCCGAGTCGCAAAACAGGCAATCTCAAGCGATCAATGTTCAATCGCGCTGCTATAGGCACCCGACACCCCAACTGCGACGATTCGGAGAGACGTGCCCCAAGTATGGAGTGCGCGAGGCGAGAAGGTATCAACCAGTAAAGAAAATGATAAACTCTGTGGAGTGACGATCGAGAGCTGCGAAACAAGCTGCTGTCTGCCCGTACTGGTTCACTTCGTTCGGGTCCGCCATTGCGCCGGCCGTTTCCGTCGAGTCTCGTCTTTGGCCATTGCGACCGTCTAATTTTTGGGCCCACTTGCATCGCCCAACTCACTTGGCTATCCTGGAAAGACCGGTATAGTTGGTGATCTGATGCTGGCGATTCACGAATTGAGATGGGAGCGTGGAGGCGACCGGCGCAAAGTAGGTTAATGCGCGAGGGCCGAACCCGAAGGAAGCCGAGTTGCGTCGCGGGGTCAAGCGATCGTGGTCGGTCCAGGGCGAGTAGCGACGGAGGACGAGTCGGTGAAAATGCCACGCATCCAAGCTTCACATGGGAGGTTTGGGGGGAAATAGGGGGAGAAGTTTGACCGCAGGAAGGGCAGTGGAGAGGTGATTTGGGGAGAGCGCAATGCAGTGAAACTTACCAAGGGCAGAGACAAGAAACCTCGAGAAAAGCAGAAAGAAGAAGTTGGAGAGGAGAATCTGAAAAAGCACAACTCCCGAAACGGCGCAAGACAGAACGAAATCCGCAAACCGAGAGTGGAACAATAGGAAAGGAGGGGGGAAAGGTTGGAGGGGAAAGTGAAAGCAATGAAGAATGAAATCTCAGATTCTGCGAAGGTTAGAGGAGGGGAAGAAGGCGGCAGAGCTGTTACCGTGGGCGTGACGGAACGTGACGCGGTATGGTATGGTAACCGTACGGTCATCTATCCAAAGATGGCGGCCTCCGGGCACGAAGGCCCTCGAGACAATGTTTAGCATCCAGTAGCTATTAATCGCCGATCAAGGAGTTAGGCAGTCTTCGTCTAATAACCCAAGAAAACATGATCACTATCCATAGTTTCGGCAGTAGCTCCAGGCGCTATCCAATCCTCCGTAAATCTTCTGCCCTCTTTATGATCTCAGATCTGCGGGGGAGTCGGTCTCATTCCAGGATCTCGGGATTTAGGCGCACGCAAATGGGCGGATAATCACTTACACTCCGTGGACCTCATCATTTGGTTGGTGCCATGTCCTTTCTCCATACTCCGTAGATGATCTTTTGTCCCTTTGTTCCCGCCAAATCTGAAGGGCCCCCATCTCGAGGGCAAAAGTACCATCTATTCGCGATCACATCGACAAGGTTCTCGGTGTATGACTCTCCCAACCAGGCAATCCACAATACCCGAGAATTCGGATGGGAAGGACGAGGTAGCGACCCAACCCAACATACAGAAAGGGGGAACGCATGAAGATCTGCAAGGACCATGTCGCCGTCCTCGCAATGTGACCCGTCGCCAAAGTCAGCCCGTACTTGCATAGCCGATGTAAGTCAGGGCCAGTCTCCGGGATATAAGCACAGAGGCTGAACGATGTATTTACGAGGAAGCTCTAATTTTTCAGCTCTTGCAATACTCACGTACATTCTACAGCTTCCACAGGTAGCTCCAAGCTTCCCATAGAGATAATAGGTAGAGCCAGGAAAACCCCACCCCCCCCCAAAAAAAGCCTGCAATCAAACGGGACTAGACTCCACCAAGCCACACAGAACCGTGGAAATCACCTGTAATGTTCTGTTCTTTCACGACGCTGCAGCCAACCAGTATCCCGATACCCAAGCTTTTCAAACCGGATGCTCCTTCGGCGAAGGGGGGGAAGGGACCTTGCCATGAAGAAACCCGGGGAGAGGTTTTACACGTATTGGTAAGCTTCTCGAAGCAAGGTTCTATAATCCATGTTCCCCCCCGCGCTTGCTACGCAAGGGTAGCTACGTCACTACCTGTACCTGTAGGAGGCGGATACTAAATACTAACCCGATCTCTGCGAGGTGGGCGGACCTGAAAGGGCCGGCTCGTATTGGGATTACTGACTACTTTAATTTACTGTACGCTCGGAGGGGAAAAGTACGTTAAAAAGCCGCATTCTTGGCGAGCTGTTTTTGCTGCCAAGTGGGCTTTTCGCTTTCGTCATAAGAGACGCGAAAGCGGTTCGGAGCCCGTAAAGAACCAGCTGGAGAACGTCCGAACCGAGAGCTTCAAAGCGTTATGTCAATAACGTGCGAGCTCCGTGGCATGTTGAAAGGCGATTTGGTATGAGCAAGGGAGGATGATCCATTGAGACCATTGCAACACGAGGGGATCCATGATTGATGCCCAAATCCCCGGGGAAAAGACCCTTGCTTTCTAAGTATACAGAGGGCCTCCTAGGATTATAGCAGATCGCTCGTACCAGTATGAGGACCCATCCCCAACGTCTTCAAAAGGGCCCGCGCAAATTCAACCTCGTACCTCGAGTCATATTTCGACGAACCGACCATGCGCTCGTAAGATACGCGAAATCCGCGATCAGCCGCGCACCCTTCCCAACCCAGCTATATTAATAATGTTCGCGCGAACCTTGGAACCATGGAAACATGCTGGGCCTAAGGGCATCTGCCCTACCCATGAAAGGCTCGCCCTGCAAAGAACCCTATCAAAGGATTCAAGGCCTGTTTCAAGCAACCGAGCCAGTAGGATCCAACGGGTAGCCAAAGAGCCCATTCCCGCGTGGCTCAGGCCCGAGGCTGAGCAGCCCCAAGACCTGAACGAGCCCAATGATGCTCCACTTTCAGGGCTCGCATCCACACTAGTTCGCGACCCTCCGTCCAAAGAGATGCCCGGAACTCGCTTCGATCAATACAAGTGGATTGGCTATTGTTTGGGTAGGTATGACTCCTCACCAGATACTCAGCTGGTATTGAGCATACCGCGTGCCTCGCCAGGTTTATTGCCATTACATTGTTCACCCCCCTCCTCTTCCCCCTCCCCCTCTACATTGATCTCGGGACGATGGTAAGTGAGGCGATGTGGTACTTCGTTAATGGTTACGTGCAAAATCCAGTTCATCCCAAAGCATTTGAAGTATCATCTTTCAATAATGCTGGGCGTGAAGTCGCCTGTATTATTCCTCTGTATTTATGGCCTTTTGAGTGTACTGACCTAATTATGAGTAAAGCAAAAATCAAAAGACCTTCATTCGAGCGATCTGCCTCAAGAGTCGCGACAGGCCCAGCCCTATGTACCTAGTCCTGATAGGGTCCCATTCTTGGCTCCTCGGTTTGTACACAGTATTTTTTTTTGGTGGGTTTTTTTCCTCCGATGGGGTCTTCTCGTTTTCTAGCGTCTTCGAGAAGTTTCACATTGGGTCCTGGTGGGACTCTTATGTTGATTTGAGCCTGAGGCTAGCACTGATAGCTCGTTCTGGGTTTTGATCTAGGAACCAGTGTGGGTTGTTGGGGATGGTGCGTGGGCCAGAGGCCAGGTTGGACCATGCTTGCGTGTAAATACAAAATTATAATCCCGGCTTACCATGATAGTGTTGATATCTACGGTATGTACTGTTTACAAGATAGAAGGGAGATATATCACTGGTCAAAGCCATATTTTTTTTTTTTAAATCGAACCCTGGAACATTTGTTTTCTCAATCACCGAAATGCAATACATCGAACGGGAGACAAGTCGAACACCATAGCCACCACATCCCTTAAATCATTTCACAAACGCCGACCAATGACATATCCCTCGCCTATTCGAACGCGAAATTACCGAGCAGCATCAGCGTGCGCTCGTAGATCTTGTTCACTTCCATCCACCACGGCGCATCCGCAGTATCCGTCTGAGTATCCACAGGGAAATCTTCCTCCATATCGTCCTCGAACTCCGAAGGCTCATCATTCAAGTCCCCGTTCGTAAGCTGGCTGTCGTCGGTCAGTAGAGGGCCTTCGCTGGACCCCGAGCTGGTGTACAACATGCTAAGCACAGTACCCCGGGTGTTCTCTGCTATGCTACGCATGCGCACCTTCTGGGTCTGCGTCGCGAGTGGACGGTCGCTCAGGCGAGGGAGTGGCTCTCCCGTATTTGGATGTTTCTCGGTGCAAAGAGCCTCGAAGATGATGTCGAATTTGTTGAGGATGTCTAGAGTTGTTTGGATTTCGATGCTGTAAGTATTCATGGATGTGTTGAGGATCCCGGCCAGTGCGAGGAATCCTTCCACCGAGACGGATGCTGCGGCTTGTGTTAACATATTTTCTTTGCTAATCATAGGAAGACTAGAACAAGGGGCAGGGAAAGCTGAAGTCGGGCATGCCATGCGTATTTCAATCAAACCACAATATTCAGATATCGAAGGAGAGATGACAGATCACGCATGGCTCGATCATGGGGGTTGATGCGAAAGCTGAAACCTACTTGTTGCTGAAGCCCAAAGCGTGTCGGTCAATTTCTCGATAGATGCGCACAACTCCTTGAAGCTGCGGAATGGACCGTCTTCAACGTGGTTGGCATCAGAGGACATGCCAAGGGCTGCTTTCATTTGGCGGTAGTTGATTTTGTCCAGGCCAGCAGTCAGTGTGGCGCGAAGCTGCTCTTCTTCCTCGGAGCCTGAGGCAAAAGGCCGGGCTTGTTGATCAGGTAGGTAGCATCGTGTTGCCCAAGGGGATCGGTCAAGGTCAATCACAATCGAGTGGGCAGATTCGGGCTCCCCGGGCTGAACAGGCTGGCGTCGCGGAAACGCATCTTCGAACTCGACATCCTCCTCTGAATCTGAACCTGACAAGCTGGCAGACATCTTGAAAACTCCTCGAGGGATTTTGTCCGAGGAGACCTCGAGGGAGCGCGTTTATGCGGAACAAATATGCGACGGCAGCCTGCGAAGGTGAGAGTACGAGGACAGGCAGTGCCTGGAGGCTGGGAAACGTGAAAATCGCGTAAAGACGGTAGATAGTACTCGCGTTGCCTGAGGTCTCGACTACGCCAAATTTAAAGAAATCTACAATGGACGGTGGCGACAAAGCCCTACCTCTTCTGCCACGCAGTAGACGTCTAAGTGGGATGCCATGCCAAGCCTTGGTCCGTGCACATATCAAAAAAGCTACTCGTATAAAGTCATATTCCCTTTTTATCATGAGATCACTGAGAGTATACTATTGCCATGCCATAGTCAGTAGAAAGTCAGAAAGGGGTTTTCAAGGAGTCAAGGAAAGATAAGTCCCTTCAGAGAGTTGAGAAGATTGGAGTTTATGGCTGGTGTTTGATGGCATTGGAAACAGCGGCAAGCGCGTTTACCTACACTGGCCCCAGCGTGCTCATCTTTGGATAGATAAGATAATGAAATAATAGAGAACTTACACCTTAGTAAAGGTTTATTGACAACCATGTCCTATAGAAACACCCAGAACGCCATGCTAGCCTGCCATGCATATCACTCGGGCTGGAAAATGGAGTTAGTAAAGCTCTATGAGGTGCAACCAAACACCCAGGATGTGTTGAGGGATACGGCGGCAGCTTTGCTGAAAACCCCCCCAGAGATTTTGACATACCCTGATTTTGCCTCTCCGCATCTTGATCTCCTCCAATTTCTTCTTGTCCTCGCCAAACTTCCTGAGTAACTCATTCTGTCGCTCCTTCCGTTTCTCTCTAGACTGGAACCGATAGAAGTCCTCCAGGCCGGCAGCCTTCTTTTTCTGTCGCTCAACCAGCTCCTTCACCTCGTCCTCACGGGCGGTCGAGTTCAACTTGGGACCATGGGTAACCGTAATGAAACCATCGTCATCCGGTTCAGCAAACTTCTTCGCCTCTTCTCGCTTCCTGGCTTCCGAGACCTCAGCGTAGACAGTCATGAACTCATTGACTGTGTGTAGCAAGGATGCCCTGTCAGGATAGCGCATGTGCTCGTGAGAAAGATATCTCTGGGTACCTAGCGGCGGAATCTTAGACTCCGGGATGCCCTCTCCCCAGACAATCTTGGTGCCCTTCTTAGCCGCCTTTGCAGCTGCTTTCATGCTGGCCTCCATGCTGGACCGATCGGCAAAGACAACGATAACATGCGCGCCGCTCTTATGGAGCTGTCTATCCCATGTTTGCGGGAGTGAGATGTCGTCGAGCTTGCTTTGCAGGTCGTCTGCGGTGGCCCGCTTGCGCTTTTTGGGGCGGTGCGCGAGGTTGGATTCCGTAGCTGCGGCTACACCTTGCTTTTTGGTGGGCACGTCTTCGAATTGGACACTGGAAACGCGGCCAGCCGAAAGCTGGGTCCCAAAGAGATGTCGGAGGTGGGTTTCAGTTGTGTCGATGGGCGCGTTGACAAGGAAGAGTGAGCGGGCGGAATCTGGGTCTGGAATGCGCGGCTCGTGTGGACGTATGTAGAGATAGTGTGTGGCCTGAACCGAGAATGCAGGGGTTTGAGGTAATTGGAGCGGAAGGGTAGTGTACCCAGCCACTTCTGGGGCCTGCTTCTTCATTTTGAGTTGAGGTTTTAGACGGGTCGACCGCAGCGGAAAAGGCGTCGCAGTTTTTTTTAGTTCTGCCGGAATTTCTATAGCGGTCTGTAAGGCGGTGTGATTATAGGGCAATCGCTTCTCCATTACTGGATCTACCTTTTGGGGGGGGGGGGGTAAGAGGACAGCTTGATGGTTCTAAGAGGATTTCCCTCGTATAATGCTCTGCAAAAATACCGCATATGGATTGTCAGGCCACCGTGAGCCTCGGCTCTGCTATGAGCCGAAACCGCATCTACTAGTTGATATATGAACACTCTTCAACGCCAAACCAGTGCAGACTGAGCGGAGAATCCTGGAGACTACTTTGGGATGGAAGAGTTAATTTCTCGATAATGGATCTTCTTTCAAGTGCCCATTCAAGAATAATGGTTTCCAGCAGTAGGAGAGACCCGCATGCAATAAGATAGCATATGCAGAGTTTATACCCCGTCTTCTATCTTATTATACCGTTCTTGTCTGAAACCAGTGCACAAGGAATTTACCAACGTTCGAAGGGAAATGCAAATTATCAAGTTTTCCAAAGGCCTTTCTCATTTCATGTTACGGTGTGTTAGCGAACGAGTGGGTCCAGATCGGTCGAAATACGATGGGAGAATCCACCAAATCCACCCCACCCAGATAAACATAGAGAGATATGAGAAAAAGAGTAAGACTGGCCTCGGGAAAGAACGAACGACTCAAAACTTGGGCTGCGCTCATGCCAAGATTTGCTAGACTGTATTGGCCTTCCTTTTCTATCTAGTCCATGGCTAAACATGCACCTAGTGTCCCGAGACACGATTAATCCCTGTCGAACCCCTGTAGTTACCACCCTAAGAGGCCCGGTAGTAGGGGGCCGCAAATTTCCAGGGACTCCCGCGATGTCGATCGTCTATTTCTTTCTCTTTATGTACCCTCAGGCCTACAACTCTTTATTTTGATTTCAATCGAGGGCTGCCCAAGTCCTCCAAAATAGAAAACGACGCGGCCCAGCCGATTTGGAGCATGGGACAATGTCGCCAGCACCATCGACGACAAGAGTTAAAAGATCGTCAACTGTTGGGCCATCTATACTTCCCTTAACCACGGTTTTTACACCCCCTGGGGATTGTGCCACGGCCTTCCCTTTGCCATCAGATCTTCAGACCTTCGACGACACTACCATCCTTACATTGGGCGCAAGCTCAGTATGCTACCCGAAAGGGTATTCTACCGTTTCTTACTATTCACCCGGAGTATGTCCTTCCGACTGGGAGCTCGTGAAGGCTGATAAAACCTCCGTTAATACATGGACGGAAACGCACGGAATATGTTGCCCATTGTAAGTGGACTACAGGTTTCTTGCCATCATTATGACCTTCTGAGCCTCCAGAGATATTCACACGCCCGACAGCAACCTGGACTTCGACAAATATTCTACACGCTGTGCACTGGTGCTTAATCTTGACACAACTTCCGAAGTAATATACGCAGACCTAGTATCCATCGCATGGCAATCGACCGATTTCACAACCCCCACAACAACACCGACGGCTGCTTCGACGTCTATCCAACTAGCAGAGAGTTCTAGTACGAATACTAGCACGAGTACCATGACCGAAACCCCCACCTCCGCCCCAAAAGCTCACTCTGGACTAAGTGCCGGAGCACAGGCGGGCATCGGCGTGGGTGTCTCGATCGGTGTTCTGAGTGTTGTTGCAATCGCCTTTGGGATCTTTTTCATTCGACGGAAACGACGTGCCGAGCTACCACAAGATACCAGCTTCCCTGCAGATGATGACCCTCCTGCAGAGCTGCCACATGATGGGAAAAGCGGCCGGCCTCTATCGGAGCTTCCTACGCCGGCGTTTTTCACCCCCGAACTACCAGGGAGTGAGGTGTCTCAAGGGGGATCAAATCTATCCAAATCAGAAGGGCCGACCGGGCCAGCAGAGCTTGGCCCCATTCTCTAGTTTCTATCGCATATTTGTATAATTTGTCTAATTTTTGGGGTTTGTTCATGCAAGGGCAGGGCTTTGTGGGGGGACTTCATGAATATACCCAGTTCTTTTCAGGTAATCATTTAGTTCTGGTGATCATATTCCTAATATCATAATGAACCTTTACTGCGGTCGTGTCAATGGCCTTTACCCAAATGAGGAAAGACTAGATGGCCTCAGCGGTAGCTTCGGCCATACTTTCTAGTTTTTTCTGAGAATCCTCCGAGAATAAAATGTCTCCTGCCACGTAATCTGCTTTTGAAACGCCCCAAAAACATGTGCACCTCGTGGCTTGCGGAGAGAAATTAGCTGCAGGAAACGTGCCTGGTGATTGGCAACACGAGTAGTCTAATTTAAGTAGTTCGCGCTACTGGTTTCAGGTTCATGCAGCTACTAAGCCACGGATCGATCTAAGATGATCAATCCACGGAAATCCCCGGCTGAAGATCATAAACACAATAAACGAGATTGGCGATACGACAATCAGGGGAAAATTGGAGATCTATTTTCACTTTGTCAAGCTCATGCATCTCATTCGCATATAGATTATGTTGAGCACAAGGCCGAAACGTCCGATTACTCCACGAAGTTATCACTGCCCAGTAAGCCAATATAATGTCATAAATCATACATCGTGCCACCCGTCATGTTCCATACCGTTCAGAACAAGTTTCTCCCATCCCTTATAGCTTGTCTGGGTCATTGATGCCTCCGTTCGTGATAATATAAATAGCTTCTTTCTCGGGGCAATCTGTGGACAATGTCAGAATTCGAACTCAAAACCCGATACCCTGCCACGCCTAGGAAATAGAGTTGAAGAGTCACTAACCAGGTGAATCTTGAATCTTGGCCACCCGCTCCTCCCCTCGGCCCTTCCGGAGCAACACGCGAGTCGTAGACGCATGAGCCAGCACATGGCCACCAACAGGCTTCCGACCATCAGCCCCAGCGAAGAGCGCACTCGCACCAGGGTCACTCTGGACTTGGTTTGTCTCCCACAGTCAGAAGGATCTCACCACCCTGTTACTCAATATAACCTTACCATCAAGACACAGACATTGAATTCTAGCGCACATTAGCACAATCCATCAAGTCTGAACCCTCTTTGATACTCACCCTCGGCCATATGAGCCAATTTCATAAGAAACTGATTCAATTTCTGCTGCCGCTCCGCCAACTCCCCCCGCCCGCAATAATCCACCCGGAAACAATTCATAATGCTATCAATGATAAGCAACCGGAACGCACCATCCGCAAACTCGCGACTCAGCGTATTCAGCAACTCAAGCTGATGCTCGCTGTTCAGCGCCCGCGCATACGCAATGTTCTCTTGCACCGTATCCGGCTCCAGCTCGAAGCGTTCGGCTATCTGGGCGATGCGCTCGGGGCGGAACGTCCCCTCCGTGTCGATGTAGGCGACTTTTCCTTCGGCGCCGCCCATTGAGCGGGGGAGTTGCGCCATGACGGCCATTGTGTGCGAGAGCTGGGTTTTGCCGCAGCGGAACTCGCCAAAGACTTCGCTTATGCTCATGCTTTGGAAGCCGCTGTGCTTTGTGAGTTGGAGGGGGTTTTGGTGGGGTATAGAGAAGGCTAGAATGAAGGGGAGATCTACTTACCCGCCGAGGATCGAGTCGAATTGCTTGCTTCCTGTGGAGATGCGGACGACTCTCTTGCGTTGGTGGAAGAGTTCCATGGCCGTGATAAAGCCTGAGGCAGAGGGCTGAGAGGGGGAATCATTAGATGCATTGTGCTGTAGCTATCTGGGTTGAATGGGATGGTACTGACCAAGCATTTCTGGATGGCTTCCTTGATCTTTTCGACTTTCACTTCGCTAAAGCCCTTAACTCTCAGGAGAGTCCGGCGTGTGGCGCCGTGGACAGACTTGAGGTGGGTTGAGTTAGTAGGGCTTCATGGATATGAGACGATAACAGCTGAAACTTTAGCTTACTGCAACAGTATAGAAGCCATTTGCTTTCAGCTTGGTGATGTCTGCTGCTCCGATACCGTGCGCTTGAATGCTATCGATATCAACAATGAAGCTCTATACCAACAGTTAGATGGGATTGAGTATGAAAATCAAAGTGAACACTAGGGGAAAAGAGATACATCATCATTGAGCTCTTCGCCAGAGTCAGATGCAGTCATTTTGTCGATGGGTGGGTGGTTTTAAGGTGATGATGTAGGATGGAATGGTGAGAGAAGTGAGTAAGGTGGAGAAATAGGCGAAGGCCAAAGTCTCATCACACCCGTATCTACGCCCACATATTACGAAGATAGCACAGGGTTTTTGGAAAAAAGTATTGCGTTTTCATGTTCTCAGCACCTGGAATCTTCCTACCGGAAAGGCCCCATCCTAAACACACTGCGATCCGCTTCTTTCTGCATCCACTCTCCTCCACTCCGCTCTCTTCGCGCTCTCTGGGCCCATCCGGGAAAAAACCGCAACCAAGAGTAGATTCATCCAATCGAGAGATCATCCGTGGGAGAAACAAATAGACAAGACGCCAACCATGAGACGTGACAAGAACTTCGAGAATTGTGGAGTCGAAGGTTCCGAGGTTTTCAGTGTAGGAAAGGAGAAATTCGTGAGTTCAAAACGAGAAAGCCGGACTTTTTTCGTTTGATCGTATCCAAAGTCAAAAGGGGACCATAAGAGGAGAAGGGCATAAAAAGAGGACCAAGTGCAAACCTTCGGCGAAGGCAAAGGGCAGGCCAAAACCAGAGATCCAAGGAAACCAAATATGTGCAAGGGAAGGCAGGAATGGGAAAGTCTCCGAAAAGATAGAAGAGAAAAAGAAATGACCGTTGTGGTTTGAGGAAACTGGCCGTAGAACAGGATTGAGGGAAGAGATGACGACCTAGATGATCCAAAAAAGTAGACCAATTCCTGATGAAACGGCGAGACCCAAAAAAAAAGAAACTTTTTTTTTTAAGAGCAGACGTTTATGCGACGGCAGTAGTAGGAGCAGCAGCAACGGGGGCAGCCTCGACAGCGGCCTCGACAGCAGCAACTGGAGCAGCAGCATCAACGGCCGGCTGAGTAGGGGCAGCAGCGGCGACAGCCTCGTTGGTTGGGCAGTCACGAGAGATGTGGCCAGCCTGAGCACACTTGTAGCAGACCTTGCCGGCTTGGCTAAGAGGACCACCGTTAGGAGCAGTACAGTCACGGGAGATGTGACCGAGCTTGCCACAGGCGTAGCACTTCATGGCCTGAGCCTGGCAGTCACGGGCAAAGTGGTTGGGGCCACCGCACTTGTAGCAGGTAGCCGCACGAGGGTAACCGCCAAAGCCGCCGCGGAAGCCTTGGAAACCACCACGAGGACCACCGGCACCACGACCAGCACCAGCTCCAGCACCAGCACCGGCGCCGGGGGCAGCGGGGTTTGTGCAGTGACGCTGTAATCAGGTCAGTTCAGGATCCGAAGGCGTGAGCACATGCGGGGAGAAACCGGGCATACAGCAAGGTGGCCGGGCTGGCTGCAGTTGTAGCAGCGGCCGTTGGGTCCGTTCACACGCAGGGTGGGGCAGTCGGCCTGGACGTGACCAAGGCCCTGGCAATTGTAGCACTGCTTAGCTGGGAGGGAGTCAGATATTAGATGGATATACAACAGGAAGAAGCATTGGTGCCTTACTCTCTGTGGTACGAGGACGAGGGCAGCTGCTAGACTCGTGGCCTGGTTGAAGTTAGACTCGAATCGAAGACGAATCGAAGAGGATCACAGGATTGATTGTGAAAATTGTCGACCGGGTTTTCCTACATACCAGGCTGTTTGCCTATGAAGTCAGAGTTAGCAGGAGAACTAATAACAGCCAAGGGACTACATACAGTTGTAACAGAGACGCTCTGAGGACGAGCAAACCTCTATAATACGTCACGTCAGTCACTTTGACACACGAGCCACCTCAACCCAGGAAATTGTGCCTGGTACAGCGATCCACTAACCCGCATAATGGCCAATATTGCCACACTTGTAGCACGCACGACGAGACAACATCATCTTCAATTATTCTGACGACGTGTTAGTGAAAAGTTCCCAGAGGTCCGCGGAGGTGTGCGGAGGTCTCCCAGCAAATTGCCTTCCTCCCATCGCCATATTCGCCATTTTCCTTCCCAAGTATCCGTCGCATGGATGCAACGCTCTTTCACAGAGAAAGAAGAGAACCGGTGGCAGGGCGTAAGGACGATCTCACGGGGAGTCCAAAATTTGCAATGGCGGGATGGAGGGGAACCGACGATCCGCGGGGGGGGAGAAAGGACCAGCAAGCGCATCAGAGCTGTCACTTACCCAAAGCAAATCCGGATCGGAACTTTTATGGTCTGAAGAAGCGAGGAACCTTGTTAGTTGAGAACCTTTGGAGAAAGTAGAGTCGAGGCACCACGTTCCTGACAGGGCACTAAAAAATCCCGAATAGAAAAAAATAAAATCACACGCCGAAAAAGTGGGGATTAGCGCGCATCACCACTTACCAAGCAATTCCCGTCTCGACAACAGCTTCGCTTCAGCTTCGTCCAGCTTCCGTCAGCTTGAGTTAGTACGAAAGAGAAGAGAATCAGCGGATGCAAACTCGACAAAATTAACTCCCGCGCTTTTCCGCTCTGAGGTTGCTGAATCAGGCGAGTATCTGGTACCGGGACCTACGAGGCACGAGGTTAAAAGTACTGAGATCTTCGAGAAGCTCTGGTCATCTTGGGTTCCAGACGGAATGAGGTTCTCCCTACATTCCTCGTTCCGCTATGATACTACCCCAGGTTCATTCTTCGCAGAAAAGACAATGTGATTCATTTCTTCGTTCCAATCCTATCAGGGGACACAATTACAAATATGCACTGGCCGTAGTTTTGAGATAAAAATGTGCGCATCTATTCCTCCTTCTCGAGGATCGCCGGGGCCTTGATCTCACGCCCAGACAAGAACTCCAGGTTCTCTCCGGCCTGGAAAGGTACGAGTCAGTAAAGAGTTGTTAGGGGGATTACAGGACAAGTTTCACATACGTAGCTGATTAGAGGAGAAACCTCGACCCCGAATGCCTCGCCATCAGTGATCACAACAGCACCAGCAGCCTCGACCCATCGTTGGCCTTGCTTCAGAATGTCTGCGCGGCTGGTATCCGGGTCATCCTCGCCGGTGCCACGGGCGTTCTTGAGAGGCGAGAACTCGTCCTCACGGCGCACCTCAAGGCTGGCGAACTTGTCCAAAGGAGTCATAGGGAAAACATCGAAGATGAACTGTTCGAGCTTGATGCCGTTGGGCTTCTCCGGCTTGACGGCCTCGCCGTTCTCAGGGTTGACACAGGCAATCTTCTTGCGGGCGACGTGGTGAGGCAGCTTGTGCACCCAGTTCTCAATGGACTCGAGGAAGCGGAAAGAGTAGTAGTGGTTGACGATGTTGGCGGCACGGAACTTGAGCACGTCGGGCTGCTTGGGGTCCTTAGCCTCGGCGGTCTCCTTGTCGATCTCCGAGTACTCGACGACATCGGGCTTGCCATTCTTCTGGATAATCAGGCCGACGGACTCGGTGGCATTGCGCTTGCGCACCACCTTGGTAGCAATGTCGACATCCTTGGAGGCAGAGAAACCAATGAGGACGGGGTCGGCCACCTTAACGAGACAATTGTCCACGCCGAAGATGTGGATATGCTGGATACCACGCGTGCGCATGTCCTCACGTGCACCGGAAGTCACAAGTCCCTGGTAGATACCGCCGTTTCCATCGGGGGCGACAGCGACCTGTAGTTTTATTTCACGCACTGGTCAGCGGTACACTCTTTCAAGGTTAAATCGAAACAACTTACCTTGCCCTTTGCCTCGAGCATGATCTTGCCATCATTCGAGATACACGGTAGAACCCCCTGCTCGAAGATAAACACGTTCTTCTCCTCCAGGCCGAAGTAGCTGTGTTTTCGGAAGAAGTCTTCCGTTGGCTTGCGAGTAGGGCCGCTGGTCATCACGTACCAAGGAATGATAGGCTTCTCGACGCCATGTGCCTTCTTAGCCAACTCCTGCAGCCTGATGATACGCTCAGCCTGGAGCTGGAACAGAGACTTCTGGCTCAGCAAGCCAATGTCAAAGCACCCCTTGGGAGCAGAGCTACCGAGGCGGGTACCCTGACCGCCAGCCATCAGAACGACAGCGACCTTGTTGGCGGACACCTCCTTCAGACCGAGGTCGTACCATTTTTGGACGTCAGCGGGGTCGGAGTCGATAATGGAGGCAGTGGCAGCTTCGGGCAAGGGCTCAACCGTCACGGTGGTCTGCTCGGTTTTGGGAGGGTGCAGGGCGGTGTTGGCCAGATCATTGATGCGGGCGGGATCGAAGTTATTCAGCTGGTGGAAGAGGATTGACTTCTCGACGGTGGACAGCTCCTCAACAAAGGCAAAGACGTGGCCTTGTCCAGCGTCGGTGTACTTCTTCTGCAGTTGCTGGAATTCCTCAGCGGAGGGCTCGCGGGGAGCGGGTTCGCCAGCGCCTGTGACTTTTCCAATTAGATTGGAGACGGTTTCTTTAATAGCCTCCGCCATGGTGAGATAGGTTTGTGTAATTCAGAGGGTGGGAAAAAGGGTAATGGGAGAAAGGGATAGTGAAGGTGAGGGAAGAAGGAGGAGGGAGGGGAAGAATACGGTAAACAGGAGATCGCGGGGTGAAGCTCTAAAGCTCTTAGTCCGCCTTCTACACCGTAACTGTTCCCTGGAACATACGCAGCGTATTTATTTTTAATTGTACGGCGTGGCTCAGACGAATCGGAGCCACGGATTGGAGGTAGCATGAGCACGACTCAAGTGAGACCTGTCCATTGGAAGAGCTCTCTGGCTAGCCTTTGGCCCCGCTGTTGGTGGCGGGACCCAGGGCGGGCTCGATTCCATGACTGAGTGCGAGGTTTCGTGGTTTTACTTAGTACTTCTGTAAATTGGAGGCGGATGATCCAGGCTTGCCTTTTCCACATATATCTCCATGGAAATGCGTCATAAGTGTCCATGGGCGAATCTATTCTACAAGTAGCCCCCAAACTAAGTTACATTAACGACGAGCATAACGGTCATCACGGTAGCGCCGATCACGGTCACGATCACGATCACGATCACGGTCACGGTCACGGTCACGGTCTCGCCGTGAATCTCGCCGGTCCGGACTTCGACTGTAAGATCGACGACGGTATCGTGGTGCTTCTCGTCCTCGCGGACTGCGTTCCCTGTGCGGAGGTTTCTCCCACGAGGGCCGGAATGGCGGCGAGACTTGTCGAAAACCATTCCATAGGAGTCCCGGCCATCGCTATCCTTTTCAGTATTCTCGACCGCTCGGTACTGGCGTTTCTTCTCTAAATCTGCCACACCACCGAATCCACCACGCTGTCTGCGCTTGGTGACGGTGGCGTTGCGCCAACTCTCAGAGAGTTTTGACACCTGAAGAAGTTCGAGTTAGTCAAGACGCACCTGGGGGGCTTTTGGGTGGTGATGATGCAAGGACGTACACTTTGGGAGAAATCGACGTGGATACGGTGGTCATCAATGAGCACACCCTGCATCTTGAAGTATGCTTGTTCGCAGTCTTTTTGATTCTCGAATTCGATAAACGCATACTGAAGACTGTCTCCGGTGCGCTTGTCTCGAATAACCTCGCAGGATAGAATTACTCCAAACCGGCTGAAAATCAACTCGAGATCCTCATCTATGGGAGTCAATTAGCCCTTTGCATGGTACCATGGTGGTGAAGTGACGTACCTTGCGTTACCGGGTTGAGCTTGCAGACGAATAGAACATTCTCGGGGGGGTTTGACCTCGGCGAATGGAAGATCGCCCACCATTTCGAGGGTCAGCGCCTGGGCGCGCGCTTCGCGGTCCCGTCGCAATTTCTCCATCGCTTCTTCGTCCATTCCGTCATCCAGTTCTTCGTCATCGGCGATCCGGACCGTTGCCAGCTGGGCCTTAGATGGTACCGGACTCTCGGGGGGCTCAACCAGCCCAGGAGGATCGTCGAACGGATCATCCAGGACAACAGTATGTCGGATTCGAATATCTTTCAAGGGCCGGCCCTTGTCATCAATGAATGCATCGTTGATCTTCTCTAACACATCGAAGCCCTCTACTACCTTGCCAAAGATAGCCGCTTTTCCATCCAGGTAGTCTAGATCATCGCCCAGGGTAATTAGGAACTGGCTAGCTGCGAGTCGTTGGTCGGGATCGTTGGGGGCGGGAACGGTTGCCATGCTCACCGTTCCGCGGTCTGTGTGCTTGAGCATCGGCAGTTCAATTGGAAAGGTCCGTTTCGAGGGGACCGTCCAGAAGTCCCCAGATCGAGGACCCGCCATCGCTCTCGGGGGCATCTGGGCCCAGCGGGTCGCCGGTTTGGAAAGAAAAGTTCTTCTGGACGCTATGAACCGGGGAGAAATTGTAGTATTTGGTTTTGCAGAGCTTCAGGAAGCTATGACGAAGAGGGTTTTTTTTTAGTTCACGGCTCAGCACTTGGGGTAGGGACTTGGTGGGGGGTTCAACTGGGGCCGGGGCGTCGCTTTTGCAGGGCGCTTACTTTTCGCAGGCTTTGGGCGACTCGTCAACGAATAAGTCAATGACGATATCGCCCAGTGATGTCTCAAGGAGAGCACTCATTGGATGCGACCCAGGGGGGTGTGAGGGAAAGGGAGAGAGATCAGCACCGCAGAGAATAAAATCAATGAGAAGTTGAAAGTGGAAAGCGGACAGAGACAGAGAGGACAGCTTTGGCCAACCAGAGGGCCCCTTTTGGCCGGGGAAGTGGACTCGTGCATCACGGATCTTTTTGGAGTTGGCATCTTCCCCCCCCCCCTTTTTGCCTTTTCTTTTCTTTTTTTTTTTTTTCTTTTCACCTTTTCTCTTTCCTCTTGGCTTCGTGGTACTTGAGGCCTTCAGGAGGATTTTTGATCAATGATCACCGTGCCCACATGCGGACTTCCCAAGCTCTCGGATGATCGACCCGGATACCTTGTACAACGTCACTTCACAATTCAGCGGCATATCTTCCGAGTGTCCCAGTTGGACGCTAGCGTCATGGCCCTTTTCCAGCTTTGTTTGCTGCGATGCAGCTGCTAGCCCTGGCTGGTCCTCGCCTCTGGGACTAGAGCTAAAGCCACGTCGACATTTGCCCCTTTCTCTTTCTCCACTATTGATCGCCTATTTGCTCTCGATGAGTTGAGAGATCTCACGATAACTTCCTCGGTCACAGTACCATTGCGCCATGACCTCTTCTCACTTTCCTAGGTCTAGCCTGTTTCACCGCAGAAAACGGTGGGGGAAAGAACAGCGAGGATGAAAAAGGGAAGAAACGGGCGGCCTACTGCAGCTATAGTCCGCGCTCGTCATGCCCAGCTATCAACCCGTCAATCCCAGCGCCCACACGTGGAGGTGAAAATTCTGATGCCCTAAACCCCTAAACCTTGATGGCCCCTTGAGCTTTATTCTCAGAGGGAGGGAAGTCTCTGATAAGAGAACCAGGGAGGTTGCGTAAAGGAGAAGCTAGGTTATCCCCCGTAGGGCTAGAATGAAAGGACTAGTTCCAATCTCAATGCGCGTGCCTGGCCCTGGGATAACAGATTAGAGAAGAAAAAAAGTCAGCTGGTTGAGCCGATGTCTCTGCTCTGGAAGGTCTTTACATGTCGTGTATTGTCAGACCTGGAGGCGGCGTGGTTGGAACTCGACCACTAACGAACATTCTGCGTATTTTGCAACCCCTTCTCAATGAGGTATGTGTTGACTACCTGTTTCTTTCATTTATTGCTTTCTTCTGGGGATCGTGATTCAAGATCTCCATCAGTGACAAGGGCCCCTGTGGAGTAAGCGGACAACTGACAGATGTCCTGGAATCTCCTGCATCGGGGGCAGTCCTCAGATTTTGCCCCTTTTTCATCTTCCTAGGGACATTCCGAGTTCCTTTGACCATAACAGGTGGGAGGTTCCAGACCCGCCTTTTCTTGATCAGTCCCCCTCGTGAGGAAGAGAGACTCTCTTTACTTTTTCGGGGGGTTCATTTCCCTTTCCATCTAGATGCGGCGCGGCGGCGGAAGCGCTAACGATAGTGCCCAAACGGATCCACCGTTCACCCATGTCGTCGATCAAGGCGCAACGTTAACACCGCTAATCCTTGCTCTGCCAACTTCTTTGGCGCGCTCTCTCTCTCTCTCTGCTGGCTTGACCATTTCAGTGCTAGCGCCGGATCCAAATGACAAGTGTCAGGCAGATTTCTTTCAACCGGGGGTATAGCACCTGTTGAGTTTTTTTTTTTCCTTCCTCCCGCAGTCGTCCCATGGTCTGAGACATAAATCCTCCAGTTGAAGCATTTATCTTATTATGATTTTTGTCTTGCATCCTGTCCTTGACTCATGCCTCTATCATGTGTAGGGGTTTATGTACGTGTCTGTTGCTCAGGACCTACTGGGCTCATCGGCCGCGACAGTGCTGGCTCTACTGGCCAAGAAAGCCCCCCCAGAGGACTTGACGAGACTTACTGGAGCATTCGGCTCAACGTCCCGGGACCCCCCGTTCGGACTGTTTAACCCGGTGTTTGATGCATCTGGAACAAGTACCCCCTCCACGATGGCTGCAGAAGCCACACCAATCAGCGTTTCGACCGGTCCCCCATTGAAGCAAACATGCCTTAGAATCTTGATCGCCATCCAGGAGCCAAATCAAGATTAGTAGAAACGGTAGAGCTTCTTGCAAACGTAAGAAGTAGCCTTCCGCGTCATACTAGACTTCAGACTCTTGCCCTTGTTCTCGTCACACTATATATGTCCTTGACCATGGAAGGAGACTATGGGCATCTAGAGGCATTTCATCTTCTCATCGCTATCAGGTCATGTCCGTGTGACGTTACTTTTGTGGAACCAAGTGTCTAAAATGCCGGGGGCGGTCCTGCTAGTTTTCATGCCTATCTACTAGGAGAATCTGGATTTGATGCATTAGGCGGAACTCTGCATATCATTTCCCCTGGAGTACAAGTAGTAAAAAGAAATTATGAAAGGCTAAGAGTAAGAAAAAAAATATTATTACAGAAATAATAATAGTAGTTTAATAATAATAAAGGAAAAGAAAAAGAAAAGAAAAAGAAAAGAAAAGAAAAGAAAAGAAAAGAAAAACAGGCCAAAACATACTGAATCGTTGGAACAAGAAACGCCCCCCCTCCCCAGTGACTTGCGCCCCTGCGATCTCCACTGCACATCCCCAGATCGCCCAACATAAACGATGAACTGGACCAGGGAGAAGAATAGCAAAAGGGAAAAAAATGAAGACTCCAAATCTAAATTGGACACGGGTTGGGAAAGGCAAAAGGGAATTGGAAAAGGGAAATAAAAATAAAATAGCAATAAAATCCCCCATCCATTTGCCATAGACAAAATAAAACAAAGCCTAGCAATCACACCGATTGTTACCAAAACATGGCTTAAATCTAGCCCTAGGTCCAGAGATATCCTTTCCTTTCTGCATCCTTCTCCTTTCTCTCACCTCCACCCAGATCAGATATGGTCCTGGGCATCTAAGAATTTGCATAGTCTTTGTCCTGACTACATTCTATTCTTTGCGGGTGTGTTTCCTGTCGTAGGTGCTCTTCCAACAGCCGATGGTCATGTTCTGCTGACAAGTTTCACAGCCATGGAGTCCTTCTACTCCGAAAAAGCTGGCTACGACCAGTCTCGTCATGATGTACTCTCGCTATCCCGCTCAATGCGAAACTTGAACCAGCGCGAGTTGAGTGACCACGCCAGTGGTGTTATTAGTCCGACGACGGAGATGGAGGGGAAGTTGCGCAACTCCCAGCGGCGTCGGGTCCCGGTTGCTGTAGGTTGTCCTTGAGAACCTCCACAGTGTGGAACTCCTACTCATTTCTGATTAGTGTGGTCGGTGCAGGAAGAGAAAGATCAAGTGCAGCGGAGACTCTGGGAATGGTCAAGGATGCTCTAACTGTCGAAGCGCGGGCAACAACGATTGTCAATTTTTACGAGTTAGTCTGCCCATAGTACTCTGCCCTGGTGCCCGTCGGGGGTTAAGGAGCCAGATTTTTAAGAGCTGATGATTCCTCCTCCAGGTCAACTCTCATGAGCTGAATTCGCACAAGAATAGTGGATGGCCATATCCTCGCGTGGCGGGGGCCGTGGCATCGTCTCATCAGCTGGGACTGATAGGTATGCAAGTTCCAACAAAGTCGACTTTCCTCGCTCTCGAGTCTCAGCATCGCATGGCTGGTCTCCAACGGACGCCTGACTTCGACCTGAGCAACCATCCACAAGGCTTTGCCCGACCTTCGAGTATGGGCTTCGTGAGCTACGATGATGAGCAGTCAGCTAGCTACAGTCAGCCTCCATCCTACGGGATGGTTGGAGCGCCTTCAGGAACTTTGGTGGAATATGGCACGTCCTCTTATAGTCCGAAACCATGGGACTCTGTGATGAATGGACGGTCTTCTAACGAATGCATCTATCCAGAGTCCGAGGCCAACTCGTTCAGCCATGGCCCGTTCACCTACATGGTACCCAGTCAGGGAATGATGCCTTCGAGTGATCTGTCCCCATGTACAGGCTCAGGATTGACAGCCGTCCTGTCCTCAGATGCTCCAGGACCAGATCGCATCTTGCCTACACCCACCTGCCGCAGCCAACAGGCCCCGAACACAACAGCGGGATTCCTACCAGTCGATTTCTCGGGCTTGCCTCCACCATCTGACTCCAAGAACGCCTTCTGGAGTCCACGCCTCGGGGGTTCTCCAGATCAAAGACAGAGTCCAGCACACGTTGTCCCTAGCAATGACCAGTTTACCCTCAACTCGCCATTAAGCAAGGATGTCAACAGCACCGCCCCAGAGCTTCTTTTCTCGTGTCTTCCAATTTCAACAGCTGAAGACAGCTCCCCGCCCCTATCAACTACAGCTCCATTGGGAGTGACTAGTGCCGGCTACTCAGTCCTAGAGACACTTGAAACGGAATATCCTTTGCCGCCAGAGGTTCAAACGCGGTCCTTCTCGCGTGATCGCCTTGCGAATAGCTCCCAGCGCTTCTTAGCCCTGACGGACGAATGCTCGCCCGAGATCTACGGTTACAGCAGCAGCGAGAAGACCAAAGTACGCCGAGCTAGGGCGAGCAGCGCTTTGGGGAATTCTTCGGGAGCTAGCGGCACGCTTGGCAGCAGCAGCGATAGCTCGGGGTCAGTGTCGGGCTCCGGAGACGACGAGCGTTGCTCCACTGCGACGCTGATAAGCGGTCTCCCCTACACCCGCGTACAGCATCGCGACTCCCCCGCATGTTTGCCCTTCAACCTGCTTCCGGATGCATTGCCAGAGTACCACCGTTCTGTAGCGACGTATGTGCACCGGGCTTCTGTTGGGCCCTTGGGTAACCAAGGAGCTTACTAGACCTTGTTCGAGATGTACCAGTTTTTCATTGTTACTTTGTGGACTTTCCTGTTTGTATATGTGTTTCCTTGTTCATCTCCTGTGCGGTTCCCCTCTCTGTATCCTTCTGCTTTTGGTTTAGGAGGGTTGGAATTCGTCAAAATGTGCATGGGCATCGGAACCGGATTCGATTTGGAGGATATCTCGTTCTGCGTTCTCCTGTCTTTCGCATGACCCATCTGTGCCTCTCTTCCCTTACGCTCCTAAGACTTGCACCGGATCCCTCAAGCTCAAACCCTCTGGGTTTGGCACAGCATGGATCGACTCCACGCCGACTGGTCCGGGGAACGCGGATCGACGGAGGGAATTAGCCTCTCCCGCAGACGCTGCATAAGGCGTACCTGGATCTCTTGTGAACCCTCGATGCCCTATTCTGGATTTAGTGTCGCATATGCCTAGGCTTCCCCCAGTTGGTGCTATCTTTGAAGGCTTTGTTTTCCCTTTTCGGGTGTGTGTTCTGTTTTTGGCTTCGGTTATTCGTCTTTCAGTATATCTGCATGTCCCCCGAGGACATCCTGCTTCAACCTCGTTCTTTTTTTTTCTTTTCTTTTCTTTGGATTTTCCCCCCTTACGTTTTTGCTCTTATCTCCGATGGTGGGAAGTCCTTGTTCTCAAACCTCCTTTTCCCTCTCCCTGCAAAACCCATATTTGCTTATTGGGTGCACATTTTAATACCCGTTGAAGCAGTGGAGGATGTTATCTGCAATCTTCTTTCGTTGATATTTTGAATTGAATGCGGAGGGTGCTGTCTTTGTTTCCTATGGAATTCATTTTACTATCTGAAGGGAGGATTTATGGCTGGTATTTTGAATTACATGTCTATCGTGTTCTTATCACCTCTATTGCCTAATTGGAGTCACTAATTTTAGTCGCAAGTTGGAATCACCAAGGCGCCACAGGTATCTTGATCACTGTAGGTGTTGCTCATACCAAGTGTTTCAACACTGTATCTCGTGGCCACACGAGCAGACTAGGCATGGGTTCGTCATACTTGATATTTTCTTCTGTGATGCCTCCACAATCGGCGTGGCTGATTCACATCATATAATTATTGTATGCTATTTTTACCGCGAGTCTCCCCACCTAGACTCTCCTAGCATATAGTCTCTACTAGCATACAGAGTTTCAGAGTATCATCTTGAAATTAGGGCTGCGACGAAGGGATCTCGTCCGCAAAGTACCGTGATAATTCTCCAGTACAATGCCAAAACGAGGTGCTAGCAAATACAAACTAGTATGAGAAAAAAAAAATGGCGTGAGAACGGAAAAAATCCTTCATTTGGAGAAACATCACACTCCAACCATAGAAATCAGATTCTACGGTCCCCGTCTGTGTAATCTGCACAACCCTGACTCCACATGTCCCCGGCCTAGGAAAACGCCGCCCCTGTCAACGGCCAGACCGCTCCTCCTTGCAAAAATGAGGATGCATCGACCGAGAACTATCCTTTCTGATGTCATATACAGCCCACCATCCCCGTCGGTTTCTCCGCTGCCACTTTCCTGATTATGCCGATTTTGCAAGGGTGCGTTAGTTGGTCCCCGAAGTGGCTGATCCCCGAGTCATTGGTGCAGCCCCGGCGACTTGGTAAGAGCCAGTCATAGGCTGGTTATATCTGCATGCGATTAAGTTTGCCAGGGTGCTGCAAATGACCTGACTTAGACTTTTCCGTGGGTTGCCTAAGAAAGTACCTTTGGAATAGAGTTCGGGGGTGCATGCCGCTGTGGTACATGCAACCGTCTATGGGGGGAAAGAGGTGATGGACAAATCGAGCATGGTAGGAAGGGATGTCGTTGAGTGGTCTTTGTGGTCTTGGGCGAATGAAATGCTGGACTTGGCGGTTGGGTATCTCGGACCTGAGTGACATGATTTGTACAGTACTGGTCGTATCCCCGGGGTGTGCTAGAACCACGATAATTCTATTCGCCTCGTTTGAGACTGATAAGTGCAGGTTGGGGTTAGGGATGATTCAATCGTCCTACACGAAAGCTCGAACTTCTACTCCCGAATTGGCTAGCAATAAGGCCAAGTCCGGGGAGTTGTATCAAGTCTGCAAGGTCTAGACTCGTGGTGGTACTAATACCGCTTCGCAGAGGACGGATCTACAAGTCCAAGACGAACGGAACCCTGCCAAGTTCCAAAGGGTTCAAAGGGCAACATACCCGGAGAATAGACACAGCAGCTACAGGTAGAGAGCGGGTTTGCCGGTCAATGAACAGAAACAAAATATGTTATTCATCCCGGAAAACTGAATTCCGGTTCTCATATCCCTCGCTGTTGTATTCGAAACCGATGATCCAAACCACCATAAAAAACAACACTGACGCCTTTTGAGGGGGATCACCGGGTTTCCAGACAGGGGGCACAACCACACAACACACTCCTGAGATGGCCCGCAGGCGACATTCTTTTTTTAAAAAACCAGCGTAATTTTGATGCATCCATTGTCGTCGCGTCCATCCCCCTCCATCCAGACACCGACCACCCGCCCACGATTCGTAAGACACCGTAAGCGGGGGACTCTAGAACCACCAGGCCACCAAACGTTGCATCCATCTGCCATTCATCGGTATATGAATCACGCAGAGCGAGACGCTTAGTCCTTGCTCTTCTTGGGGCCCTTGACCTTGGCGGTACCACGGAACTTCTTGGAGCGGTTCTTCCGTTGCTTGCCTGTTGGGAGGGGAAAAAGTTAGCAATATGCACATAAGATATGAGCGGATCGAAATGAGCCGTATGGGAGCAATAAAAGGAAAAGAGGGAAAAAAAGAAAGGGAACGTACGCTGCTGTCGGCTGGGCTTCTCAACCTTGGTGGCGGCACCAATGCGGATGAGACGGTAGGCAGGCTCGAACTTCTTCAGGGCCTCGTGGGAGTCGTAGACGAGAGCGAAGCCGGTGCTCTTGCCACCACCGTACTGTGTGCGGAATCCGAAGACGGAGACCTGGTCCTTGTTGGACTTGTACAGGTCGGCCAGCTTCTCGCGGAGCTCATCCTTGGAGACGTTGGGGCGGTTGGGGTGGAGGACGTCCCTGAAGACAGAAAATGTCAGTCGCAATTCTTAACCCGTATGTGTGCGTTTTCAGTATTATGAATTTCCATCTCGATAGTCGATTTGATTCTTGCTTTGGTGACACGGTGATTGTTTTTTTTTTCTGCGGCGCTTTCAATTTTCCTTTTCCTTCTTGCCGCCTGGTATCGAGAATCATAGATCGAGTCGTGGGTTTGACGTTGGCGCGGTGTCCCTTCGCATGGACCAATTCGCATCGAGAAAATCGGGGAAGAGGGGGGAAAGAAGGGATTCTTACACGACCATCTGCTTACGGGCAAGCAGAGGGTTGCGGATGAACTTGCGAGTCCGCAGAGTAACGGGAGTGTCGGCCATTTTGGTGATGAGTGGTGATGCAGGAAACGAATGAGTGTGGATGTGTCGACCTTTTTTTTCGTGCGGTGTGCTCGGCTAGAAGGGTACACTAGTCCCGGTTAGGAAGACCCCGGTCTGACTAAGTGGTGCTTATGTCATCACGAGCCCTCGGTCCAGCCTCAGGTGTCTCTCCGATAAGATAAGCAGATAAGCGGAGCCCCAAATCCTTATCGGTGAGAAATTTAGACGGGCCCCAGTCTTCTGGGAAGAAGAGCACGATGGACGCTATTCGCAAATTGGTTGCTCAGTACTTTCAGCTTGTGGATCCTCCCAATCTGGCTCTTCCTCCAGGCCATGTACTTGTGCGCCCGGAAACCCAGACAGCTCTGTATGAGCGTATGTTTGACGAGTCTCTCACCCCACTCCCGCCAACCAACTACCGCGCCCGTGTTCTGAAAGTGATACTGGCCCAAATTGAAGCGTCTATACAGAACCCAGATGAAGATGTAGGGAACACACTAGCCACGTCATTGCAGACTATAACTGTAGTTCACAATGGAAACCCTATGGCTTGAAATCTTTCCTGTTCATTGGATTGATAATCGCTAACACAATCCCAGGAAATCCTCGACGACCTCATGACATGCTGGGCCAATTTGATTGCACAGCCCAAGCCCAGCTCTTTAACATCTGCGCAGCAGTTGTCTCATATCAAATATACCACCCCAATAAATCCTTCAGATGCTGCATTAGAACGGACAGTGATTACATCCGAGTCCCGTGGCCTTATTCTTGCCGGTGGAACAACTGGGTTCAGGACTTGGGAAGCTGCCCTCCATCTCGGATCATTTCTATCATCCCCATCCGGGGAAGAGCTAGTACGAGGGAAGCGCGTGATTGAGCTGGGTGCTGGAACCGGGTTCTTGTCACTATTGTGCGCAAGGCACTTAGGGGTGCGCGGGGTTATAGCGTCGGACCGGGAGATCACACTTATTGAGAATATGAACCGCTCTGCTCCCTTGAACAGGGTTGCAGATTCAGAGAAGCCAATGCCATTTCATGCGGCTTTGTGGGAATGGGGCACCCCTCTGGAATGGACGGACGACATGCAGGATTTTGTGGAGAATGACCACATCAGCTTTGATATTGCTCTTGGGGCAGACCTGGTGAGTTACCCTCAGGTTTAACATCTGTAGCCTACCCTCTCATCTCCTGCTCTAGATTTATGACACGGATATTGTTCCTCTTCTCTTATCAACTGTGAGGGATCTTTTCGAGAATTATCGAGTCCAGCACTTCATCATCGCGGCAACAATACGGAACGAGGATACCTTCAAAACATTTCTCTCTGGATGCGGTAAGCAATACATCGTCACCCGTTTTAGCTTGAAGGGGCAAGAGGAAGTGCTAACTGCAACAGATACACACCAATTTGCTGTTGAACGCATCGCTTTCGAATCAACCCCTTCGGACCAGCAGACTGGATTTTTCCACGCGACAAATATCCCTATTTGAGACGTACAGGATCTCTCCTTCATCAGTAGATTCGCCGTAGTCCTATCGCCTGCAATAGCTACATGAACTCGGGAGCCTTGCAACAGCAAGTCATGTGGCTCAAGCTACTATTACGAGGGCCCACGACTTAAGTAGCGAGAATGAGCCTGATTCTAAATTCCTACAGAGAACAGCTCAAATCATCAAAGTCCTATTATTGGTACTAGTACGTGCCACTCGGTCTCATCTAAAGACTCGGATGCTGTGCACACTCTTAATCTGAATGAGCTCGCCCAAAATTCCGTATCGAATCCTTTACTAGTAACGATTGTTCTTTTGCTACATTGACCTAGGTCCATTTGCAAGCGTCTTATATGCGTTTCTATGAACTTGGAAGTGCCCGATAAAGTTCTGTCAGGTTAAAAACTTATGGCATTCCTCGTATCAGGGAGGCGTACATATTGAAATCAAATATATCGACCTAAAATTCATGTTCCTCTTATTGAGCTAAAGGAATTTGAAGTCTCGAACACGTTGAGAAATCCTATCACGAAGCTCAATAGATAGTTCCTACGAAGCTTTGCAGGCACCACATTGCATAATTTATCTTTAATATATAATAAATCTAGGCCGAAACAGGAAGCCAAAATAAGCACAAAGGCATGTCTCCGTCAGGGTATCACATCATAACCAAGAACGCCATTCCAGCAAGTAGCCACCTGGGCACCTACGCGCGCTTTCCAAAGCAGGCCAAAAGTCAAAGTTACAGGTTATCAAAGAAACAAGGCAATGCAAAGAGACACCGGCTAAGGCTATGCTAAAGGTAAAGATGGGATATGAATGAAAGGAGTCAAGAGAAGACGGGAAGGGAGGTATGAAAAAAGGAGACTTGGCTGAGGAGCTGGTGTAAACGAATATGTGTAGAGAAGAAATGAGCGAGTGTGTCCGAAGGATCACCGATGGGCTTCTTCTGCAAGACTTTCGCGCAGCAGATTCTCATCGATTCCTTGGACCTGTACAGAGACCGGAGCAGGGCGGGGAGGGAGAAATCCCATGATTGGACCTTTCTGGTTCACGCCTGTAACTCTGAATCGGAGCGGCGGCGGCTCGTCCGATGTTTTCCGGCGAGTTGTCACAGTAGCCGGCGATGGCTCCCCCTGTGGAGGGTCCGCGGATGCTGGCTTTGTGGTAGCCTGGTTTCCATCACCGGGGCAATCACAATTCTCGGAGACAGGGGCCATGCCCCATCTGCCGCGCACCCAGCCACCTACACGACGTGTCAGTGCAGATGACTTGCGGGGCCCGGGAGTGGTCGTAGAACTGGTGCTGTTGCTGTCGACAGACACTACTGACGCAGAGTCCGAGGGGATACTACTTGCAGCCATGGAGGCCAAAAGAGCTCGAGATGACTTATCGGAAGCTCGGGCACGGTCCGCAACAATATTGGCAGTTGATATGATAGGCGGTGTTGACGACAATTCCACGCTCGGCGATACCAAACGACGCGGAATGCGCATTCCGGGGTGCCATATGCCCATACGAGCTTCGCGGTCTGTCGATGTATGGATGTCCATGCCGGCTATTGAAAGAAGACTCTCATGGGAAGCTGACTTGCGTAAAGGGGTGTACTGCATATGCAGATCGAAGATGTCATCTCCAGGCGCTGAGGACGGGTCACCAGTGAAAGACTGATTTTTGTCGGGCCCAGATCCAGATGGCTCCGACTCTTCTGGGATGGCGGGCTGTTTGTCGTGGTAGTCAAGGATTGTGGGCCGATCGTAGAGGTAATCATTGAAGAGATCGGTCGAATTTTCCAGCTGGGCTGAGTCATTATCAAGGTTGCCCATAGGCCTGATAGGCAGATCTAAGCCTTTCACATTACGAGCACTAATGAGCGGGGACGAGAAGACCGTACTGTCGGGACTTGTCGGTTGAGAGTAATCGTCTGATCCACGATCCACGCGGTCAAATATCGAGGATGTGCGGAAGGCCGACTGCGGGGAGCTGGCCAACGAGTCTAATGCTGGTGACTGAAGGGACCACCTGCGAGACGATGCGGGAGGAATAGAGACAGAAGTTTGCGAGAGAACGGTGTTCATAGACGAGCCAGAAGACTGGGAGCGATGAATTGACCTGCGGGGTGATTGTGTTCCCACAGCAGAATGCATGGAATAGGGCTTCCCAGAATAGGGCGCTTCTTCTTGGCTCGTCGATTGATCGCACCCTTTTCTTTGCGTGCATTTGAGGTAGGCGAGTGGTAATGATGGTGGATATGGAATTCTTGCGAGATACGACGCTCTTTTGACTCCAATTCTTCGCTGAGAGTAGCAGTTGGAGTGACCTCAGCATCGCCTTCATCGCCGGCCAGCGGTTGATGACACAAGACCTGATCTCGGAGGTTTTGCACCTCCTGATTGGAACTATCGAGCATTTCCCGGAGTTCCATGATCCCAACTTGCAGGTTCGCATTATCCTGCAAGATATCCTTCACGAACCTGGAAACCACATGTGTTCCAGAGTTACGGCCAAGTTCAGACGCAGCTGCGGCCCCCTTCAAGCGGCCCGCCGCATTATCCAGCTCTCGCTCCACCGTTCGCTTACGCTCCATCCGCTGAATCAGCTCCTCATGTCTCTCGCGCTCTTCACGCGCTTCCTTCTCAATTCGCTCGACCTGGTCGTGTAGACCACGCAGAGTACTCTCCGCATTGCGCCAGCGCTGCACAGCAGAACGCTCATCTGCCTTGACGGAAGAGATGGTTTCATGGAGCCTCGACTGTTCGGTCTCCATCAGCGCAAGCTGGGCCTCGAGCTCAGCTGCGCGCGCTGCAGCAACAGTGAGCCTTCGTAATTCGGCTTCGGTGCTCTCAAGCGTAAGAGTCAGGGACTGAACATGCTCGTCGGACTCCAAGACAGCATTGTTCAAATTGTCAAGTTGTTCCAGCAGATCACGGTTCTCTTCCACGATACGCGCGTTTTCTGCTTGCACTTGGCGCTTTTCGCGCTCGAGCGCATCCACACTGTCTCAGGAGGCGGCGGCGATCCTCTTCCGCCTCGGCCATGTAGCTTTCATGGCGATGTAATAGTGCCTGTAGAGAAAAGGTTAGCGATGACGAGCCGTGACAATCTGCCGAAGCATATGCAGTGCATTTCAAGGTAGTCATGACGGACGCCAGCGCAATAAGACAAAACGGAGGGTTTTCTCCTAAGAGTTTCCATATGACGAAGAGATAGATTGGTGATGCTCAGGTGAGTTCTCTCTTGGGTTTGCGAGACAGTGCCTTGTGCAGCAGGGAAATTCAAAGTATGAGGGAATAGTGGGTGGGGATGAGCGATCTCTGAGGAAAAGCGAAGACCCGCCTCGGAAATGACAGGAATGATGTATCAAACATGCAGCTCAGCTCGCCACGGTTACCACCAGTGGACCATGAGAAGACCTAACAAACAAGCCTAGTTCCACATAGAGAAAGACAAAAGGGAAAAAAAAGAAAAAGAAAAGAAAAGATGAATTAATCTCTCAACATACCTGGCCTAATTTAGCTGCCGTCTCGAGGTCCTTCTCCAGCCCCTCGAGGGCTACATGATTATGCTCGAGCAGAGCACAGTCTTCTCGCCCGCAACAACAGCGCAGCGTGTTGGAGCGGGAGCGAGAATACGTCCGGAATGCTGGGATAAGGCTCCGGGATTTGGCCCGAGCTATGTGGTTGCGAATCCATAGGCCCTGGAATGTGGCCCCTAGAGTGGAGGAGCAGGGCTCATCGAGGATGAGAGCTATCAACCTCTCGAAAGATGCAGAATCCAGGTCGTACAGGTCCCGGTGGCGCGTACCTGAGTACCTGAAGAAGCGGAGAAATCACGCGAACCGCTGATGTAACAGATTAGGTAAGGGTACCTGACCACGCCGATTGGGTATCAATGGGATCCTGCGGGGGGAATTTCGTGGCACAAGGATGAGGTGGACGAGGGTGGATTGTAATGTGTTGGTGATTTGCGCAGATCAGAGGGGGGAAGTCGGTGAAAACTCAGACCCCCCATGACGGTGGAAACTCGAACTATGCGCTATTCACGTACAGCCCTACATGCCACGCCATTCACCCCAATTCCTTGCGTTCGAATTGTCAGAAATCGCCAAGTCCCCTGTGCTCCAATACGGAGTACAGATCTTTAGTTCATGACAGACCCCGCTAATTCTGCAGGTGTGAAATAGTCCTTGCGACCCGCGTGCGATCTATCATGTTCTTCTTATCTTTCATCCTCAAGATAAGGAAAACCAAACCGTCCCGTAACGATGGATGGCTATTATTCACATCCAGATGTAAGCCATCAGACATAGCGAATATCCCTGGTTGCTTTATCAACTAGCAACAGGCGATCGTCGGTCCAGAATCGATCTTATCGCCAAGGCAAACTAGCAAGGTGCCTCTGCCGAACGCGTATCGATCTGAAAGCTACTAATAGAGCTCTCGTCTCAAAATAGCCCCCGCCATTCCGGGCATGCTGTTTCATCAGGCTATCCACTTGGAAAACCGGAGTACTTGATATACACACCACTGTCAGATTCAGTGCCAGCCGGTCCAGTCGATCAATAGTTAACTATTTACCAGGGACTTAGGCCATCTTCACACTCTCAATCGTGTACGGTGAGACTCGGTCTCGGGTACGAGACTGCATGTACAAGAGCAGCTCGAATCAATCCGGTCTTTCTGCCACAGTATCGAAGAGAAAAACGTTCATACACATCTGAACCATGTGGCAAGATTAGCTGTGGTCCAAAAGAATGGAAGACGCTACGTCACACGTCCTAGTACCACGGAAGCTATTATCCCTAGGGTGTCTATGGAGTCATTACTGGAGTGAATTCATTGAAGGCCCTTGGGCTATTACTCCGCCGTGCCTAGCCTAGGACAAAGGACAAGCTCTGAGGATAACAAACAGTCTGGCTCGCACAATAGTGGAGAGTAAGAATAGAACAACAAAACTCCCGCGGGCCAAGTTTGCTAAATTCAGAAAAGGCGCTGCCAAATGGAGCAGTATGAAAACAAAAGGCTGTGGGACAAGCCGTAACTGGCAGAAAATCAGAGATGCAGTCCATGAAAGGTGTCCAAGTCAAGTCAACTTGAGGCAGAAAGGAAAAGAGAAACCTTGCGCCAGCTCAAAGCAGAATGTCGTCTCGAACATTAATGAACGCCCCGGCGCCGCCGTCTTCACTGATTTCGTTAACTAGAACCTCTGTTTGCTGGTACAACCACTCGAGGGCTGCTGAAGAGGATTTCCCGAGGGACACTAAAAGCATGTTAGATGCACGTTGGTTCAACCTGGAACAAGGACCTTACCTAGTATGGCTGAGTTTAGCTCTTCGGCCACTGCCACCCGGCCAGCAGGATCAAGGTAATGGCCATGGACTGATCGCTTGGGATCTGGGTAAGCAACAAGTGAAAAAATGTCATCTAACATCTTCTTGTCGCCACCATTCTCGTCCGATGGGAAGTCAATGGATAGCTGTTGGCAATATTGCACAGCCTCTGTTAGGAGATTGTTGTGTTCCGCAATATCAGACTCGGTATCCATGCCATCCGCATTCCACTCCTCGCCATCATCAAGCTCCATCTCTTGGTCAAAGACAGCATGCTCGTCCGGACTGGGGGAATCAGTGCGCATGCGCTTCTGAGAAAAGTTGGATTCGGTGGATAATTCACTGGCTCGGCGCATCATCTCAAGGAATTTCCGGCATCGCAATTTGAAGTGGATCTGTGGGTTACTCTCCAAAACCTTAGCATAGTAGGCCTTAGTGTGCTTGAGGGCTTTGTCGATGTCACCGTCGAGGATAGCAGCGCGGATCCCTGCCTAAAATTAGCGAAAGCAATTAGTTTGAGCCAGGAACCCGCAGCTTACTGTTTCTGTTGATGGCCTCGCGGTCCTCTTCCACTTCATACTTCTTCAAGGGCTCCTCATGTCCGTTTTGAAGAGCAGCTGTCTCTGTAGCTACCTCTTCAGCAAAAGCTCGGGCGGTCTCGACATACCCATCATGGGCCAAGAACTGAGCAACCAGCTCTTGAAGAAGTGCTGATTCGCCAAGCGGCGGTTGCAGGCTGTCAACGCTGGTGTTTTTAATCTGCGCCTGTATCTTTGACCTCTCAAACTGCGGCAATGTCAGAATAGAGCCTAGAGCTGACAGACGAAGGGTAAAATACCTTGACCATGCCATCAATATCAAAAACAAAGGGGTATTGACCGAAATTAGCCTTGAGGTGCACTTTTGGCTGTTTCTTCATGCCCACCGACGGGTATAACTTTACGTTATGTACGTCATGAAACGCATCGCCTTTGATGGTTAGCACGAGGATTGCTTTAATAAAGGAGACCGCACATACCTAAGAAAATGCCATTCTTTGTAAAGAAAGCGCATCCAGTGGAGAAATTCACCCCACAACCTACAGTATCACCAACACCGAATGTCGGTCCATATGCTCGTCCCTGGCCTTGACTTTCACCAAAGAATGACTTCCCGTCATCGCCATGGTAGGCCCATGACTCCTGCTCCCAGCCGGGTAATCTCTCGACCGAGGCCTTGGTACTGGAAAATCCTATGCCGATCATCCTAGACATAAGTCCCAATTAGTCAAGGAATTCCTGACTTTTGAGGAAGACAGGAATGCGAAAACAAGAGGGGGGAAAAGAACCTACCCTTCCTTGGGCTTAGCTTCAATCCTAATCTCGAAGTAGTAGATCCCACATTGCGGCGGCATCGGGTTGTCAGCCCGCAGGCAGCGGCCTCATGGTCATGCTTGTGAACTACACCGTCATATCTGACGTCGAGACCATCGCCCGATAAATCCAGCCCGCCGAATTTGTCTGTTGGGGCTCCACTGAGTCGGGAGGGGCATGAGAGGGTCGGGGGTCGCAGGTGGGTGCTCGATAAGATCGTAGGTCATGCCACGATGGGACAGGGCCATCTTAGGAAGATGAACATTGCTAGAGGAGGTGGAGAGAGATGTATTTGGGGCTGAGGTAGAGGAGCTCGCATCGCGCTGCTGGGCGGCAAGCCTGGCTCGATGAGCGGCATCGAGGCGGGATACGTATCGGGAGTGGCGGAGGTAAGAGGGAGTGAAGAAGGAAGGAGAGTCGGGGAAGCTCAGGCTCGGGGAGAAGTCGGATGAGCGCATGAGGCCGGCGTATTTGAGGGAGTGGGATGGCAGCGAGTCTGATGAGGACCTCCACGCGGAGTTATGATGCATGTCTGCGGCATCCAGGCCGGACAGGGCCCGGTGGAGTCGGCCGTCGGGCTGGAGAGGCGGAGGATATGAAGAAACGGTATTAGGATTCAGTATGTTCGAGAAGGAGCCGGAGATCGGGGGAGAAGGCGTTGCCAGATACGACGGAGGCGTAGGAGGAGCGACGTGGGCCCGAGATGTATGGAGCTCGAACTCCACCGGGAAAAGGAACATCGGCCATGACGCTTGTGGGTCGACCCAGGAACTTGTCTTCGTTTGCCTCTTTTTTTTTGGCCTTTTTTTCTTATATATTTCCTCTCTTTTTCTGATGCTCCTGTGCCAGCAAGACTCAATAGCTCAAGCTAAATCCCATCAAAGCGGGCGTTCCGGCTTTCTTCTCGGCTGACTGTTGCGTGACCAGTGGATCATCTGGGTAACCGGAAGCAGCGATGAAGCCCACAAGAGGGCTCCGTAGCCCAGACCCGGCAGCGATAGGGGTCAGCAGAAGGAAGATCGCGTTAGTGGCCACAGGTACAGAAGGCCAGATGCTGAATTTGGGTTGACAGGGCATCAACGCATTATGAATTGCGGGGAAAACCCGATGATTTTAAACGAAAGAGGGGACAGGACGATGAGACAAAGCGACTGGGGCACGGTTGTCACGGGGGCCCCTCCCCGTTCAGCGCAGACCATTTATCAATCGGATGTGAGGACGCTGTTTTGTCTTTCGTTTAGCCTTTCCGTACAACCTAGACTCTGCTCTGTCAGTCGCAGAACTATATAAATAGTTTTGGACAGACCGGGATTCCCATGGATGCGGGGCCACGGCAACTTGAAGACAAACGCGGCCAATGTTGAACTTTGGATCATATTCTGGATCATTTGTTACTAGTCTTAGTAGGGTTTCTCACGATGAAAGAACAGTAACTATGGATCTTGTCTGTGTACATCTATGGATGGAGCCCAAGAGAGCCAAAAGAGACTCTGCTTGGACATAGTGCAGTCTACTAGGGCACCAACGAGAGCGGCCTCCTGCCACTTTGATGTTCCTAGTATCTGCCAGTGTCAACTGGGCAATAAAAGTGTTGGCGAGATATTCATATATTTGGGTTTTTATTTGTCCTATCGCCATGACCTTGAGCAAGATAACCTTAGGAAGATCTGGATGAGCTAAAGGGCAGGGAAGTCCCTCGAATGAAATCGAAACCGCAATTTTGGGGGCTGCACTATGATTCAATCGTAGAGAAAAGTAGGCAAAGCCAAAGACATGCAGTCAAAACACCAGCACCGGAGGGAAAAGAAAAATCCGAATCAACTATGATACATGACAGAACCCAATGCCCAGCAAAGCAGCCGCGAGTGCAAGCAACATATAAAACTCCCATGCCTATAAAAATCATGCCATATTCACGCCGGACCGAAACCCGTAACCGAGGTACCGAAATAAAAAAAGAGTAGCGTCTTCAAAAAGATGTCGAAGAGAAAAGAGAGGGTAAGAACAAGGAAGTTAAAGGGAATGTACAACCCGATAGCTCGCTTACGCCGTCATGGCGATTGCTGGCGACGAGGGCTCAACGAGGTTGGACGGAGCAGGGGTGACATCGCCATCACCATCACCCGTGCTCTTCTCACTGGGAACAGCGCTGCTGCCATTGAGAGTGTCGGGGCCGGGCGCCGAGGTGGGCTTTGCATCGCTGTCACCACTCTCAAGCGCAGCCGACTTGCTATCGTCGCTCTCCGGTTGAGACGATTGAGGGCTACGCCAGGAAGGCAGCTGCCAAAGAACGCCAGTGAAGCTGCGGAGCTTCAAGGGCTGTCGCTCCCACCTGCGACAGGGAGCGCCGGTGCGGTCCAAGGCGCGCAGGCCAGCATTGATAGCACCGGTGTTGGCCTTGGGCCCGAGGCGGTGGGTGGTAGGAAGCTTTGCGGTATCCGTCCCTTCTTCACTGTTTGGTTTATTCAAGTTAGTCGATGATCACGCTGGTCGGGTCACAAACGATGAGGGGGAGGGGGGATTTAAAACGTACGTCTTGGGCTTCTTCTTCGGTCCGGGTCTACCCCTAGCTCGCCCTGTAGGTTCGGTCTGCCCATTTGTCCGTTTGTTGCCTGGTTTGGGACCCGGAACTCCCTTCCGACGTGGGGTATCGCCAGGAGTTGCGCCCGTGGCTGGGGTCGAAGCGGCATCGGCATCGGATGCATTGTCTGCTGAGGATGGTCGGACGACAGGGACTTCCGTAGATGAAGCCGGCGAGGAGCGTTCGGCACTCTTCTCGACGAGAGCTTCACTGGAGGAGTTTTGTTCGGGGTGCCGAGAGCGAATTGCCTGAGGGTCTTTGGCGGCAACTTGAGTTTGATCACTAGTGACTGGGTTGCGTTCTTGGAATTCCCGGCGCGATTGGCGCGACCGTTAGCTGGAGCGGCGGGCATGATGGGCGACGGCTTCGAGGATGGATGAGGAAACCCTCGACCTCGTCGTTGATGGAATTTTGGGGGGAAGATGGAAGATTGGGGGTAGATAAGACTCAAGTTAGGGGCGGCGATTGTGACGTGTTGTTTCCACCGCCTGTGCGATCAGGACCGGGGGGCGCGTGTCAGGGTGAGGCGAAAGTGTGAATGTTGAGATGGGATCATAATCTGATGGGAGGTGGGGGGAAGGAAGAAGAGATGGGGAAGGCAGGGATGAAAGGGGGGGATGGATGGGGGGAACCGGAAAGGGGACGAGGCGTGTGGATTTCATCTCGTTTAATTTTCTCTGGATACAAAAAAAAGGTTCGTCCGTGAGAGAGACAGGGCGACGTTCGTAGGTGAGGCCTCGCGTTGGTGGTTCTGGTATTACACAGGGGGGAAAGTAGCTAATGCGCGGGGATTTCCCCAAGCCAGGTACCGCTGTCACAGGAGAAGGGGCACCTGTGACAATACCAATACCATTTCGGACCCGATCAAAGGACTGCAGCCCTTCTATAGTTACATACTCGCATCATAGTCTTGATCTCGACCTGGGATGTGCACTTACCGACTGGCCTTTGTTCACGTCCTAGAGGGGTTTCAAGGCCCCCTCAACCAGTCTACTCTGGTTATTTTTTCTGGCTTCCGAATCTCCATCGTGCTCGGGGCGTACGATGAGCAGGCATTCCGAGTCCAGATCGTCAACCCTAACCCGTTGACGGATCTCATTCCAGTCTCCGCCGTGTCCCGAAAATGGCTCACGGGCGAGGTAGCGCTCCATAGATTACGACTAATGAGACTAGGCATAGCCGGATTTGCAATGCCCAGTAATTTATTTCGCCTCTGCCTGTCGAGGATTCACAGCTGACCGACACGCCACCCTTGAGCTCGCATCTAAGCCCCGAGGTCACCGGGAAAATTTCTTTCACCGGACTTGATCATCCCTAAATCATCAGGCTTGGTGCGGGTCCGATCTACCATACTTCACGCATAGAAAAACTGTTCTTCCGACTCTACAAGTTTCATTAGACTAGGGATTTACGGAACCAAGGATGCAATACTTTTAGTCGCTCGGCATCTCTTTCTCTCTTTCACGCCGTTCAGCGACCTGCGCAACAGCTCGCTGCACCTCTGGACTGAGCCGCACCCCTCCTGAATCAGGCCTTCTTGCATCCCTCGCCGCAGAGCGGAGACGCTCTCGCGATCGCCTCGGAACGGCGCCAAGCCAAGCTGAAGCATCCGTGTCGCCTCAACGTCGGTCGCCCGAGTCGCAGCGGCGAGCTGACTGAGTCTTTGAAGGGTGGCTTGAGGAATCTTATCTCCACCGATGCTTAGACTACCACTCTGAGGAGGAGCCGCCTGTGAAATGAATATGTGCAGGGTAATCGATGCGCGGCGAGCGAGAGTCAAGATCTGAAAAGGGAGTAGGTAGAAGGAGTTCTTCGGTAGCCAAGCGGACACAAAAGTAGGAAGGTATGCAGTCGGCATGAAGACGGCTTGTGGGTGGGTGATCAAGGTGAGCTCGAGAGTGAGCAATGCAGCGAAGGTATAAAAGCGCCACTGCCAACAAGAAATGGTGAGCTTTGATGCTTTATAGACAGGCGAGAGACGAGATGATAAACAGAAAACACTCACGTATCGTCCCCAATTCGCCCACCACAGCCAATTCAGCACCATCATCGTCACGAAACCGACAGCGTACTGCGGTAGAACAGATCGTGAAAGAGAAGCCATCGCAAAGTCACGCGCAGTCCTCTGCTCCCCCAATTCTGCATGTCAGGGCCAAAACGATCGTACGCAAAGCGTTTCACCGGATCGACCAGTGTTTCTTGAGCTCGACGCAGATACATGAAGTACGCCTCAGAGCCACCCTCGAGTCCAATCTTATCCGGGTGGTGCTGGGCAGCAAGTCGACGAAACCGAGACTTGATTGTTCGTTCATCTGCAAAGGGCGATACGCCTAGTGCCTTGTAAAAGTCTCCCGCTAATTGAACTTGATGGAAGGTTTCGTAGAGGGTGTAGAGGAGGTATGCGACAATCACAAAGATGAAGATACGGCGGCGATCTCGTTCGTAACGAAGGGTTTGTGGCATAGGTCTGGGATCACCGGCTCGAATGGTAATGCCATAATAGATACTCTGGAGGAAACTCGTCGCATACTGAATCAATCGATTAGACAACATCCCACGCGGCTGGATATCCGCATTCTAGCTCCACATACGTTGGGAAGAACAGCCCACCCAATAAACGGTAGGAGTGAAGACATGGCACACAGGCTTAGATATCAAGAGCCCAAAGCCCTGGGGATTTGCAAAACTTAAACCCTTTCTCCAGCTCGGAATCGAACTCATCTAATGCTTGAACACCGCAGCACAATGCCAGCGCGTCCCGAAAACAGACTCACCGCCAAATTCACCGCCTTCCTTCACCAGACAGAAAATGCAAGATGAAAAAAAGTTTCTCAAGGAAAAAAAAAAGAGCGACATCTACTTCGAACTCCACAGCTCTACGGAGCAGCGCGAATATAAAATGGCAGTCGAGGCAATGGACATTGACACACCTCCCCGGGCAAGTACAGAGGTGGAGCGCAAGCGCAAGAGCAAGAACAAGGATCCTTCTTCGCCATCAAAAAAGCGCAAAGCGGACGCCGACAAGTCCTCCAAATCTAAATCCAGAGACCAGAAAAGCATCTCGAGCCAGGCTTCTGCTGGCGCACCAGACCCTGAATCTCCGTTCTCTCTGACAAAGGCCACCTTATACCTCCCACTTTCGCCCATCTCCATCTCGGCCACCCATGCGCTATCCTCTCTGCAAGCGGAGCACCTGTCTCCGCTGCTCTTGACCTACTTTCCTCCATTAAAGGGTATTGTCCTAGCTTACTCCCAAGCCTCAATTTCGAGCTTCCCACCCTCGTCTCAACCGAAGAAGCATTCCGACAACCCGGAGCCATTGACCATGGCCAAGACGGCGGACGAGTACGGCGTGCTCTATGTCTATCTTACAGCTACTTTCCTCGTGTTTCGTCCTCAGCGCGGACAGACGCTCGAGGGATGGGTTAATGTACAATCAGAGGGATTCTTGGGTGCCGTTGTTTTCAATTTATTCTCCGTCGGAATCGAGAGCAATCGCCTGCCCAGAGACTGGAAGTGGATTGCACCAGGCGCTGAGGACGAAAGCAATGCGCCCAATGACGTGGCTACGACGGACGACGAGTCTAGCGCTGGTAAGGCACCTGTTGGCTTCGATGCTGAGAAGGAACACTTCCAGCCTGGGTCCGTGGCGGAGGAGCTTGATGCCGATGAGGATGAGGAAGAAGAGGTTGCTGCGTCCGGCTACTTCCGGTCTGTGTCAGGCCACCGGGTACGCGGAACCGTGAAATTCCGTGTCGTGGATATCGACGTTATTCCGGGGTCAGAGCGGGACCGTGGGTTCTTGAGTATCGAGGGTACAATGTTGAGTCCTGAGGAGGAGCACCAGTTGATGAACAAGGAAACAAATGGCCTGGCTGGTTCAGCGTCGGCGGCTCCCCCAGAGAAATAGCCGTGTCATTCCTATCACTGCTGCTCCTGTGTCTTCCGCGCCTGTTGTTGATATCGATCTGGAGCCAACTGAGACTCAGAGGGAGGAGAAGGGAAAGAGCGAGAAGAAAGAGAAAAAGGTAAAGAAGGAGAAGAAGGAGAAGGAGAAGAAGGAAAAGAAGGAAAAGAAGGACAAGAAAGAGAAAAAGGAAAAGAGCAAAGAGAAATAAGGCCTGTATATGGTGATATAACGGGTTACTTTCTCTTTTTCTTTTCATTGCTTTACATCCTATGATTTCTACATCCGCGGTGGGCGTTCAGGTTAAAGGATTATCGTCGATGCCAATGTGTACATGTCAATTGATCTCTTTAGTTCACTATGTAATCTGCACATTAATCATATTCAGGTACAGAATGATGGATTCAGAACGATGGATTGGAATACTAAGAGAGGTTCAAAAAGCCTCAAGAGACTTAAAGATCGAGTCCGAGGACATCGACACCATCCACAATCTCTTTTTTGCTAGGCATTTTGCCTCTCCGCATCAGTTCCGCCGACTTCACCATATAAGGATCCATCCCCATCGTCGCAACGGCGAGGATCACATCCCCTTTCGCGTAATATGCCACGAACTTGCCATTGTCAGGCTCCCCACGCAAGACCACATCGTCAAACCCATTCACCGTGTTACCGCAGTATCGCAGCTGTGCCCCAAGGGCTGACCAGAAGACCGGAATGAAAGACCGCACCTTCAATGACTCCAGTCCCGCATGCTGCAGATGGCCTATCGCCCTCGCAACGGATCGGCCGGCGTTCTGTGCCACGTTCCAATGCTCGATCCTCACCGGCGCGCCATTTCCACCGGGTCCATGGTACGGATACGTCGCGATATCGCCCACCGCAAAGACGCCCTTTAACCCGGGCACCGCAAAATGTGCGTCCGTCGCCACAGACCCGTCCTTCTCGAGCTTGATCGCCGCATTCCCCTGGAGGAAATCTGTCGCAGGACGCACGCCCACACCTACCACAACCACGTCTGCAGGCAGCACGGTGCCGTCTTCGAGGTGCACGGCGCCGACGGCGGACGCGTTCGACGCCGAGGGAGTCGCTTTGCTGACTCCGGCTTCGAGCTTGAATTTGACGCCGTTAGACTCCAGGTTTCGTTGGAATATCCGGCCCACTTGTGCGCCCATCACGCGCTCCAGTGGCGCGGCCTCCATGCCCACGACTGTCACGTTGTTCCCATCCGCGAGGGAGTTGGCGATTTCCATGCCGATGAAGCTGCTGCCAATCACGACAATGTTCTTACCTTTTTCTTCGCCGACGGCGGAGACAATGGATTGGGCATTTGCGATGGAGCGGAGGGTGAAGATGTTGGATAGGTCTTTGAAGCCTGGGAGGGGGAGGGAGCGGGGGATGCCGCCCGGTGCCAGGACAAGTTTCGTGTATGGCAGGGTCTTGCCGGAGGCGGTGGTGAGGGATTGTGAGTCAAAATCGACTGCTGTGACCTTGTCGAATACACTCTCGATGCCAGCTTCTTTGAACCAGTCAGGAGACCGGAGGCGGATCTTGGATGGGTCGGTAATTAGGGCCTTGGAGAGCTTGGGGCGGTCGATCATGTCGGGTTCTTGCGTAACGATAGTGATCTGGCCCGTGTATTTCTGCTCACGGAGGCCTTGGACAACGCCGATTGTACCACTTCCTCTGTTATGGGGCGTTAGTTCCATTCGTGCTGGTTGATCTGGGATCTAATGGTAAATGCCTACCCTCCGACTACGACGAGCTTTTCATCGGACTTGGAAGCACTGCATTTGATGCCGGGGCTTCGCTGGCCGGCCTTGATGTCGGCTTCTGTCCCGCTGATATAGACTGCGCCGTCCTTTTCGAGGACATCAAATGTTTTGAGAGCATTGAGGGCTGGTGCATTTTCAATGTCTCCAGTAGCAACATTAAAGCAGGCTACAGGAACGTCAGTCTAACTGTACAGGAATTCTGGGGGATGGTCTGATGCTGAGTCGATGAACAACAGTGTTCAACGGCGAGCTTACCTCCGTGCCAGGGACACATGATTCGTCCATCTGGAGATACGACACCGCCCTTCAATGGTCCTCCATAGTGCGTACAGCGGGGGCTAAGGGCGTGGATTTTCTTATCGTGGTTGAGCAAGAGCACCTTCCCATCGGAAACGCCCTCAACCTCGGATTCAATTTTGTCGCCGGGCTTCAGGTCGGACAACGAGGCGATGTCCTTTAACTTGAATTGCTGTGCCATATTTGATACTGTAGAGAATGATCGAAGAAAAGTAGAGTGGTGGAGACGTGAATGCGTAAATTGATAAAGGTTTTGGGAGAGGGGCAATGACAAATCCAGAGTGGAAGATGACGAGGAGCTGTGGATAAGTGGGCTGCAGGGATGGTTCCAGCCAGCGTCAGATGGTTGCAGCAGGAGCAGGAACACGCCGTGACACGACGACAACCACACCGACAAGGAGGAGATCGGATGGTTGAGAGTTTAATTGATGTGATTGGGCGACGGGGATATTGAAGAGCGCGGCCTACGGAGACTGACATGGCCAGATAGATCTCCTGCTGTCAGTGGGCTTCTTCTTAAATCGTTTCCGCAAGCTACGGAGCTCTTAAAGAGGGCGTGGCAGTATACTTCATGTCACGGAAGCTAAGAATGCACGGTGACATCACCACTTGCCAATCACAATCCGGGTTTGGTCAACATTTCTTGATTTTCTACGCTGTGCTTGGTTGCTGTTTTACGTACCGTCGACCTCATTAGGGACCCTGCTGTTGGGATTTTGGTATTAATGAATGAATATGAAGTGTAGACTATACAATTTCTAGACAAGCCGGGCGCGCTTTTTTTAGCATTCAGCCAAGAATTACCTGCTCCTTAGTCATACAGATCATGACTCTCAGCCTGATAGGCAGATATTATCTGAATCTTCAAGTTCGAGTCGTGCCTTACCATCGTGCCTTACCATCGTGAAGAGAAGATTACTCAGTGCCCATGAGCAGGCTTTTTGGTAACCTCGCGAATCTTTCTCTAGGTAGTGAAGGTGCAGGGCTGGAAAATCGAGCCGGATACTAGTACGCTACTTAATGTATAGTTATGTTTAGCCTCCAAGGGCCCGCCAGTGCCTTTCATTACTTGATCAAAATTTTTGTGACCTTCGCGTTCTTGAGTAGCGCAATCAAAGAGACCCTTAGCGAGAATCCTCGGTCGGCGGTTTCAACTCCAGAATACTGCGGAAGTCGGAATGATCGCCCATCCAAAGATTCTTAGCAGAGGGAGCCCATGAGAAGGGTTGAGAAGCCAACCAAAGGGGTTTCAAGGAGAAAAATTGCAATGGGTGACATTCATCAAAGCAGACCAAGACGATCGATACCCTCGACTTGAAGACCTGAGATGCATTTGAAGAAAAGATAATCCAATGGCGTGCGCGCAGTGGCTTAGAGCGATTCAGAAATACGCAGACAGTACCTGCGATATCTCTCCAGCATGGCTTCTGGGCCCAATTTCGGCTGCAAATTGATTCTAAGGGTGGGCTCTTGATGCAGCCCAGAATCTCTATCTGCTGATTTAACTGAATCTGCCGCACGTGGGTCTGCTCCCCTTTCAGCGTCCTGGTAAAAATCCTTAGAGCCGCAAAGGGATATCGATGTGTCGTCTAGCTCGTCAAGTATGACCGAGACTGGTCTGTCCCTTTCGTGGAATGGATCAACCGTGGTATTCTGTGGTGCATCTGGAGCTTTTTGAGATCTACTTGGGCAACCAAGGTAGTCCAGATGCGATAGAGGCTCGGGTATCTTCAAAGTCCGGAGGCGCTTTGGTTGATGTGATGAGTTGAGGGCACTTGAAGACATAAGTTTGCTATGGCTAGCCATCTCATGCCTCGGCTCATTTTGAGGATTTGAATTCGCTCTCTGTGAGCACGAACGACATCCATTTGAGCGTCGTAGTGAGAACCGCTTGCGGGCCTGGCAACGAGTACCTGGATCTGCCATTAGCTTCGATCGGATCTATATGATCAGTGCGGCTTACACGGGCGGAAGGCATGTCTGTCTGGTCGCTCTCGCTGATCCATTATGGAGGCAATCAGATGGTAGGTTTTTCTCGGCCTCCTCCTTTGGGCGCAAAACGCGTTATAACGAAGCGCATGTTTCGGAGAAATTCATTTTCGACTCCAATAGCTTGATGATGATAGGCTCGCAAAAGTAGCCCTGGAGTGGTGTGGAGGGATCAGTAGCCACCAACGTGCTTACTGTAATTGGGCGAGGACCAATCCCCCACTGATCTACTAGAGTGAACTGCTCCACAATCGTACTCAGGCGTCAGAGACACAGTCGCAGGATATGCCCCCGGTAGAACGCCCGAGGCCACGATTCCAGGCGATCCCTCATGATCCGGAATTTGCGGCACGATTGCTCCACAGTCTTAGTTCGATAAGTGCATGCTCCGCTTTAGCTCGGGCCTTATGTACGCCTTAAAAAATAAATGCGAACCAATTACGTTACAGATGACCTGTGTTTGGCATCTGAGTTGCCCATTATGGCGTTTGGAGTCGGCCAGTCCGAAAAACAGGTGACGCTGCGCGATGTTTACTGATGGGGGAATCCGATGCGATCTGACTATCTGGACAGAATCTTCTCTGCCCCCGTGAATGGTCGCTTTGGTCCCTTATGATTTCGGATCCGGTATGGTCTTGCTGAGTTTTCTTCAAAAGGGATCATGAGCTCGTGTGAGACAAACTGGACTGCCGAATAGGATATCCACTGAACGCCAAGAGGTGTTAAGCATAGTATCAGTACTAAGGGCTCTCCACCCCGTCCAAGCGAACAGGGGGTAGGAATCTAGTTTGATCTAATGCTTACCAGGACAATCCCATCAGCATGATTCTCACATATTCATATTCCTGGCCCACCTGTCAATTGCAGACACCCGACAGAATCCCGTGGGCTCTGCTTGACCATGCCTTGATGAAGCCCCCAATCTTGCAACTGGGTGTAGAGGATTCCTGTCGCATGCTAATGCCCCATGAGGAGTCGCGAATGGACGCTATGAAGATAGCTTCCGAAGATGCGCCTCTTAATGCTCAAGTCAATCAAACATCAAGCTATCGGGGAAGGCCAGTCATTAATTATGTGAGCGGATGTTTCCGATGCAGCTGGCTCATGTGTTTCCTCTTCAAGGCATATGATTCGAGCACCTACCCTCTCCGCGTCTGGCCTCGCAGCTTCGACTCCACTTTCAAGCTCTTCGAGGACGAACTGTAACATGACTTTTCGAGACCAGGGATTACCCGATGAATTGACTCTTTGGCCTCAAAGGAACCCTCATCACGACGATATCCAAGGAGAGCCACTTTCTGAAGCCTACATAAACTCTTGAGTTACTGGGATTAGCAGCTGTCTTGCGGGAGGACCGGCGGTCGGTTTTACAGCCCCCTGACACCATGTTCCCCGGAGTCCACTACATTGTCTACCGCAGGTTGAAGTTTCGTACTTTATCTCCTCTCATACCGCCTTGGATACCTGTGTCTCATGCCAGAAGCTCAGTAAAGCACTGGAGGAAAACACTCCAACGAGATCATGTGACCTCGGAAATACGGATAAAGCCACTGCGGAGAGACAATTGCTGTCTGGCGAAGAATCTTGCTCCGTGCTGTGGTGTTCCTATGCGCTTTCAGAATGAAAGAAGGATCAGCGACCCCTGCGACTGTTTGGCGGATTCCCAAGGCGTGCCAAGAATGTCGCAAACGCAAGGTTCGCTGCGACGGCCAAGAACCGTGAGACGCCGAGCGCTGCCCCGAGCAGACTATGGACTAATTGTATTCAGGTGCAAGACATGCCTGCAGCGGCAAACCCCATGCATCTACAGACAGCTTGTCAGACAACGCAGAAAGAGGAGCGAAATTGAAAGAGATGAGCTTTTGCGTCAAGCCTCTGGCACGAAAAGACTCTCCCAGCGACGTGCGCTGTCATCAGTATCGAATTTCTCACGCAGTGTATCAGCCACACATATGGCATCGCCTTCATGTGAGATGCAGCTTTACTATGGGCCCACGTCCTACTTCTCCTTGATGCAGCATATCTACAGTGACTTGGTATCTCACCCAGCTGCTTATCGTGGCCCTACACAAGAAGTCGAAGAAGCAAGTGCTGGACTGGACCTGTTCAGCTTTCGTCGGGTCTTCTTTGGAACCCCAGAGAAATCGGAGGCCGTAGATGCATCGAACAGAGGTGATATGTCTTTCACTTTTTTACCAGATGGTCTGGCGAGGTTCTTTCTCGCACGGTTCCTCTCCACGCTTCATCAAGTGATCCCCTATAGAACCCAGGCCGATCTCGAGGGCTCCTTAGATCGGCTCTATAGCCCGGTTCCCGATAATCATTTAGATCCATCATCACAGGCTACTGTCTTGATTAGCCTGGCGATAGCCTCTCTCGGCACGGAGCACTTTGCTTGGGCGGATATTCTCTATGAGCGGGCTAAAGCTTGCCTTGTACCTTATGACGATGTGGTGAATATTCAAGCCGTCCAAATATCCCATATGATGATAAGTCCTCCTAAACCATATTGATATCCTTGTATACTGATCGGCATTCGGTACCTACGCCTGTTATCAAAACGAGAAAGGTCGGCCAAACGCTGCATTTTTGCTCCTAGGAACGGCTTCTCGTAAAGCTGTGGCCGCTGGCTTGCACAAAGAAGGCTCTCACAACGATACCCAGTCTCCGGAGATCATCGAAGCACGACGAATCACTTTCTGGTCCTTATATGTCTATGAAACGTGCGTTCCATTCTTAAGTTTCTCTCTTGTCGCCCCTAACCTTGGAAACTTTGATAGGTGGTTTTGCTTTCATACAGGTCGACCCAATTCATTATTTTCCAAAGACATATCAATAGAGCTTCCAAGGGACCCTTTTGTGAGATTGCTTGCTCATCTCTCCAAGACAATATCTCGATCCACCGACGAGATATATGGCCAATGTCATGAATCGTTATTGCATATGTGGCGTGTAGCCCGCTCCATCGAAAAAGACACCCGCAGCCACGAGGCACAGTTCCAACAGGTCTTTGGATTTGGGATAGACGCTGAAATCAAAACAGGGGCTATTGGTGTTCGCCAGACTGTTTTCACTTCCCGTATGTCTCCAAATTGCTACGTGAAACTGGAGCTTATGTACTAATATCGTGAATAGTGTATTATCACACCTTGCTGTTGACGTTCCGCCCGTTTCTGATGTTCCGGGGCCATTGGCAGCGAGAGATGCAGGTTCTCACCAAGAAGTCTACCCATGGGGACCCGCCCCATTCAGAAACCCCCAGTTGGTTGAATGAAGCGTGCAATTATGCTATCAACGCTGCTAGAAAATCGATCCATCATTTGAGTGAATCATCAAGAGTGAACGAGCTTGTCAGAGTATGCGGCTTCATGAGCGTCTTCTTGTTGGCTTGAATATTGACGTTCTCATTCCAGGAATTGAGGTACCATGGGTATTTCATGAGTAGCTCTGCTTTCACGCTAATTTTTGACTTGATGCATGATCCCAGCGTTGCGAATGCTCACCTGCCATGGATATATGCTTCTTTGCATACTATGACGACAATGCGACACGGAGACCCCATAATGAGCTCAATATCAGCGATACAGACAACTCTACGCAATATCAACCCATCATATGAGTGGGTGCCTCCTTCAAGGAACAATGGCCAATCCTATAGCCAGCCTGAGGGGATCTCTGCGACTGAATCGTCTCAGGATACCAATTATTCAGCCGAAATGTCACTGGCTGCCGATTCCTTGACTGAACCTACTTTGTCAACACCCCAATTGGATGTTTCAGACCTCCAGACGCCAGATCTCAGCTTGTCCGCTGGCTCTGCCGATGACCTTTTTGACTTCACGCAATCAGGTTTAGGCTGGGACCTTGATTTTTCGACAATGGACCTGGAAACCTTCTTTTCCATCAACGAATTTTCAAATTAAGTGGCCCCCCCCCTGGCCAAGCACTCCGTGCTCCGGAGCCAGATACTTGAAATCGCAGAGTTCGCATATGTCAGAAGACGAGCAATAAAACCATGCTATCCTTATATTCCATCGTACTAGTATCTTATTCAAGCCTGCATTTACACTGTGACTGCCTAGAGAACCTCTGGAAGTTTCCGGATGTGAGCTTATACAATTGAGGGATTGCTCATTTTCCCGGACGTACACATCACCCTCCGGAAATACAAAGATCTCCACTTCCACGGAAAAGCGGATGTAAAGAAGCCACTGAGTGGGCCCTCCTTCGACGGTCGAGCGTCGGAGGGTCACAGTTTACACCCGAGGAGCAATTACATACATCCGCGATCTAGTATCCACCAAGTATGAGCAAATCATTCGCGTTGGAAAATTTTGAACGAAGACTCGGTATCAGGCGAGATAACCCGGTCTCCGTTATCCGGCATCCCGGATGACAATCAGGTCCAGACTAGTTATGTATCCGGTCTTATATAATAGTTCGAGGGACCTCGAATGGAGGATTTGTTGTCGAAGAGAGTAACCTGTTTAGCAACAATTGAGAGCCGCTAGATATGGAGCCATCCTCAGGATCCGTGACTCCAGTTGATGTGGAGAATGGCGCTGTTCAGATGCGAAAACGACTTACCGTGACCTTTCGGGACTTGAATGTTCGAGTGACGGCCCCTGATGCAGCGCTAGGGGATACATTATTATCCGAGATTGATCCTCGTCGATTGTTGGGACCCTTCAAGAGAGGCAAAATGCGAAAGAGAGTATGTCGAGCGCCGCCTCGTGGACTGCAGCTACTCACATCAGGTGTAGACGATTCTGAACTCGGTATCTGGTCAAGTTAAACCGGGAGAAATGGTAGGAACCCGCTCTCCATGACGAAAATTATGGCACTATTGACACGATAAATAGCTACTTGTACTAGGTCGACCTGGGTCTGGATGTACATCACTCCTTCGGGTTTTGTCCAACGATCGCGACTCATTCGACGAGGTCAGCGGCGAAACGTACTATGGAGATATGGACCATATTTCTGCAAGGAAATTCCGGCAGCAGATCATGTTCAATAACGAAGGTTCGTGTTTTTTGCCCGTCCGGAGAGCTTTTGCTGATAGCCATACAGACGACATCCACTTCCCTACGTTGACTGTGAACCGAGCCTTGAAGTTTGCCTTGCGAAACAAAACGCCGAGCACAATGCCCGAAGACATAGACGACCGTAAAAATTTTGTTTTGAAAAAACGCGATGAAATTCTCGACTCACTGGGCATTAGCCATACCAAAAAGACCCAGGTGGGGAACGAGTTTATCCGCGGAGTTTCTGGGGGCGAACGAAAGCGTGTATCTCTCGCTGAGGTGATGGCAGGACAGGTCGGTTTGCTGATGGCCTCGCTATCTGAACAGAGCTGACAACGCAATAGAGCCCAGTGCAGCTGTGGGATAATCCCACGCGTGGGCTCGACTCGAAGGCTGCGGTGGAGTTTACGCGGTTGCTCCGACGTGAAACGGACGAGAAAGGCAAAACCACTATCCTCACAACTTATCAGGCTGGCAACGATATATACAACCTGTTTGACAAGGTTCTCGTCCTCGCCGAGGGACGGGTGATGTACTATGGCCCTCGGGCCTTGGCCCGCGCATACTTTGAAGACCTGGGATTCATCTGTCCCAAGGGTGCGAATATCGCCGACTTTCTGACCTCCGTCACTGTTCTGACCGAACGCACCGTTCGAGACAACCTGGGCCTGAAGGCACCGGATACCCCCGAAGAATTCGAAGCGCGCTACCTGAATAGTTCGATTTGCAGGGAGCAGCTAGATGCGATCGAGCCCCCTGACAAGCTATTCTACGAGACAGAAGATCTTGACACTGCCGTGTCTCAGGAGAAGCGAAAACATCATCTGCCTCGCAACAAGAGCGTCTACACCGTCAGTCTGTGGGCCCAAGTCGCCTCGTGCGCACTGCGGCAGTTCCAAATTATGTGGGGAGACAAGTTCTCTTTGATTGTCAAAGTATGCTCGGCGATTATCCAGGCTCTGGTGTGCGGATCTCTATTCTATAACCTGCCTGAAGACAGTTCTTCGATTTTCCTGCGTCCAGGTGTTCTTTTCTTCCCAGTGTTATATTTCCTGCTGGAGTCGCTGTCGGAAACCACAGGTTCTTTCATGGGTCGGCCGATCCTTTCGCGGCACAAGCGATTCGGATTCTACAGGCCAACGGCGTTTTGCATTGCGGATGCTCTCACCGATATACCAGTTGTCATAGTCCAAGTGACGTGTTTTTCCCTGATCCTGTATTTCATGTCCTCGCTCCAACACAACGCGGGGCGCTTCTTCACGTTCTGGATCATCGTCATCAGTCAGACCTTGTGCTTTATCCAAATGTTCCGTGCCGTGGGCGCTATTTGCAGAAAATTCGGAAATGCGTCCAAGATATCTGGCTTCCTTTCGACCGTGTTCTTCGTTTATGGGGGTAAGGATCTCCAGCGTTCTTGGTACATTGTGTATCTCTGACTTTTTCTGAAAGGTTATTTAATCCCATTCCATAAGATGCACGTTTGGTTCCGTTGGATTTTCTACTTGAATCCAGGAGCATACGCATTTGAGGCCCTGATGGCCAACGAGTTCGTTGGAAGAAAGTTCCGATGCATCGCGCCAGATTATGTCCCTTACGGCCCGGGATACCCAAGCTCTGCTTCGCCGTATCGGGGCTGTTCGGTTCTTGGAAGTGACGATCAAGGTATAATTGATGGTGCAACATACATTCGAGAGCAGTACAACTATTCATTCCACCACATCTGGCGCAGCTTTGGTGTGATTGTGGGCTTCTGGATATTCTTCATTGCGCTCACGGCAATCGGGTTCGAGCTGGGTAACAAGCAAAACGGCTCGTCGGTGCTTCTTTACAAGCGCGGGAGCGAGAAGAAGCGTTGTATTGCGCGAGACGAAAACACTGAAAAGCCCGCTACAGAGATCCTGAGTGGGAACCTGAAGCAGTCGACCTTTACTTGGCACAATTTGGACTACTATGTCTCTGTCTCCGGAGGACAGAAGCAGCTTTTGAACAAAGTATTCGGATATGTGAAGCCCGGGAACCTGGTGGCGTTAATGGGGGCTTCGGGCGCTGGTAAAACAACGTGAGTGCATTGAACCAGTCTCACCGAGGCAAGTACTGACAAAAGAAAAACAGTCTGCTTGATGTTCTTGCGCAGCGAAAAGACTCTGGTGAAATCCATGGCTCCATTCTTATCGATGGGCATCCGCAAGGAATAAGTTTCCAGCGAACTACAGGATACTGTGAGCAGCTCGATGTCCACGAGAAAACAGCCACTGTCAAAGAAGCTCTCACGTTCTCTGCACTCTTACGCCAACCGTCCACTGTCCCCCACGCCGAAAAGATCGCTTACGTGGACCATATCCTCAAACTATTGGAGTTGGAGGATATTAGCGATGCGTTGATTGGAGGCAAGTATCCTTTACTGCCCGCGTTGAAATTCCGGTCTGACCTGTCGCAGTTCCCGGTGCTGGTCTCAGTATAGAGCAGAGGAAGAGAGTTACTCTAGGTGTGGAGCTGGTGGCGAAGCCAACTCTTCTCTTCTTGGACGAGCCGACATCTGGACTTGATGGTCAAAGTGCGTTCAATATTGTTCGATTCTTACGAAAGCTGGTTGATGGCGGTCAAGCGGTCCTGGTAAGCTCGAAGCTCTTTACAAGCCTAAGCTTCTTGTCGCTCATAGATGTCTCAGTGTACCATCCACCAACCTTCTGCGGTTCTGTTCGACGCGTTTGATGGCCTCTTGCTCCTTGCGAAAGGAGGACGAATGTCTTATTTTGGGGAAAGTAAGTTCATCCCGAAGAGATTGCATTGGTGGAAGTAGCTGACCATCGAAACAGCCGGGAAGGAGTCCACCACAGTCCTCGACTACTTTGCCCGAAATGGTGCACCGTGCCCTCCTGATGCAAACCCCGCGGAACACATCATTGAAGTTGTTCAAGGCAGTTCAGGTAGCAATGTCGACTGGGTTGAGGTTTGGAATCAATCTCCGGAGCGTGAGAAGGCTTTGGCAGAGCTCGAGGCTTTGAATAAAGCCGGTATGGCTGACCCCAACTATGTGGAGGACACGGCCGATTATGCCACTTCACACTGGTTCCAATTCAAAATGGTCACTAAGCGCCTGACGGTTCAGATTTGGCGCTCACCAGTAAGTCTTTGGGGCGACAAGAGATGACAGTTCCCTTACTAAAAACTTCGAAGGACTATATGTGGAATAAAATCATCCTCCATATCTTCGCCGCTCTTTTCAGCGGATTCACGTTCTGGCAGGTCGGCAACGGCACATTTGACCTTCAACTACGACTGTTCGCTATCTTCAATTTTATCTTTGTGGCTCCCGGTTGTATCAACCAAATGCAGCCGTTCTTTCTGCAGAACAGAGATATCTTTGAGACCCGCGAAAAGAAGGTATGTTCCCTAGTCTACGAGTGAGTCGGGATACTAATGAGACGCTAGTCAAAAACATATCACTGGATCGCCTTCATTGGCGCTCAAACAGTGACCGAAATCCCCTATCTGATCATTTGCGCTACTCTCTATTTCGTGTGCTTCTACTTCACTGTGGGATTTCCGACCGCCTCCAGCATTTCTGGCCATTTCTACCTCCAAATGATCTGTATGCCAATCAACCCATTGCTTTCGGGAGCCTCTCGCTAATTCTGGACTAGTCTACGAGCTGCTGTACACATCAATCGGCCAGGCTATTGCGGCATATGCCCCTAATGAATATTTCGCAGCCGTCATGAACCCTGTGCTGATCGGAGCCGGTCTGATCAGCTTTTGTGGCGTTGTCGTCCCGTACAGCCAGATGCAGCCCTTTTGGCGGTACTGGATGTACTACCTCGATTCATTCACCTACCTAGTAGGGGGGTTGTTAGGAGAGGTTCTCTGGGATGTGAAAGTGACATGCGAGCCATCCGAATATGTCATCTTCAAAGCCCCCCGATGGACAGACGTGCGGGGAATACATGGCCAACTTCCTCTCATCACAAGCTGGGTACTTACTGGACGCGAACGCAACCAGCCAATGCTCATTCTGTCAATACTCCACGGGTGCAGACTACGCGAAGACCTTCAATCTGAAGGAGAAATACTATTCTTGGAGAGATGTACGTGTTTTCATTGAGCCTGTTGCGTAAGGATTTTGGCTGACAATATCTTGAAGTCCGGGATCACAGCCTTGTTCTGCATCACATCTTACGGATTGGTCTTTTTGATGATGAAGCTTCGAAGTAAGAAGACCAAGAGTGCGCTGTCGGAATAAGCGAAAAGTACTAGCCTATGATGTTGATGGGCCCTCCTGGAACTAGAGGGATCAGCTCCTGGGTGCCCTAATCGAACGTATGGGAGGATAAACTGCCATGCCCCGGCATATCGACAGTTATTACTTTAGACTTGATTTAGTTCTATAGGTTCACTTTATATCGAGTAAGGTAGATTGAATGTCAATTTACCTACCTCCGATGAGACCGCCGACGAAAAAGAACGCCTTGGTTCGATGTTTGAACACGAACAGCCTTTCTCTACCTCGCAACTGAAGCTACAAATTCTATTGGGGAAAAAAGCCATTATCTCGCTTTCCTAGCTATAGCTAGGTAACCATCTAGCCAACTGCAATGCCGAAAGCTTCGAAAAATTCTTGCGCAGAACACAAAGGCATCAATTACCAATCGCCATAAATGACCCCGGGGCAGCCTCGTCCATTGCGTAAAGTTCGGAATCCTTTCAATCTTGCTAAGCATGTATCAATTTCCACTTGGCCTATCCTGGATGTCATCCAAAACGACACAAAGCTACCATGTCGAGCACCCAGACCAAGCAGTTTCCAGCGGTCACTTTCACCCTATTCCCCTCCCTGCCACCTGAACTCCAGGACCATATCTGGGATCTCGCAGTGCGTCCACTGCCGGGAAACCAACACGTACACGAATTCCTCATCGTGGACCACTACTGGGGAAGAAAGGACCCCGTCCTCCGAGCACCCTGGAACGGAGATCCCAGCCAAGAGATCAAGGGCGACTTTATCCGATTCGCACCGGATGGATCCATGGGGAAGGACATCTGCCAGTGGGGGTTGGCCGTGCCCCGCGACCACGACGTTCGAGGCCCGAACACATCTGCGTATTTACTAGACAGCGGACTCTGGACAGCCTGTCGGCGCTCCCGGAAAGCTCTTGAGCGCTTCTTCTCCAAGAATGAATGGTGGTCGCACCTCCCTGGACCCAGCCGCGGTTCAGCGGGCGAGAATGCCTTCGCGGGCCAGTCGGGAGTCTCGCACACCGCGTCGTATTACGATGCGCGTGGCGAAGCGCGCCATATCACGATTTTGCCAGAAACGGATCTTGTGCATCTTCTCCGGCTGGATTTCTGCTGTCATGATTGGCACTTGCATTATGCTGGGGATAAATATCTCATCGAGCGATGCGATTCGTCGGACGGCCCGCGCTTTCTCGGGCTGAATGTCGCGTTGACGTTCGATCCTGTGTGGACTACGGGGCCTCCGGCCTCCGTGGTGGATATGCTGGTGGTGCTTCATGATGATACTGCTCGGGTTATCTGGTTCATTGATTTTCGCCTTCGTCGGTGCGGCTCGAGTTCTGCGTCGGAGAAGCCTGCCCTGCCCGTTAACAGAGAGATATTCCATTCCTGGGGTTGGAAGTTCACAGAAGTGAAAGAGGAAGACCAGGATCTTTGGGTCATCAATGACGAAGAAACCAAGTCTCGGTCGGTGTTTGACTTCTTTCGCCCGGAAGTGATACAGCCGCTTCGAGTGGAGCTTCAAGGGTCTCCTCGGGTTAGGGTTTTGGCGTGCGAGGCTGAAAAGTAGGCATGGGCAGGCATCTTCTTGATTACTCTTTATTGAGGCCTTTTAATGTAGCAGGAATAGACGTAGGTCTGCGTAGCGGTATGCCAGGGAATAAATAGTTTGTAGCTAATAGCATCGTTGGATGTACACAAGGCACCTCCAACTTCCAACTTGAACTTAGGTAGAGTAATAGAGAGATAAAATTCGGGCCGTGGCCTTTCCTGGTAGATACAAAGAGAGAATCTTGAATAGATACAATGATAAGAATAAGTTGATAAACGCCACATGGGCCATGGGAGCAGCGCAGAGCTTAGAACTTCCGCGACAGTCTCCTCTTCTTCCTCTGGCTACTGCTTGGAGTATTCTGAACAACGACTTCTGCCAGATGCTGCGTTTTGCCCGACGGTGTTTGAGGTTGCTGGCTTGATGACTGACGAGTAGACTTCTTACCACTCGAGCCGGGAACTTTAGAGGCCCGATTTTGTGACTTCTCATTCGCGAGTGTTTTGGCCTCTCGATCGGGGCTGTTTGTAAGGTCAATGACCTGTGATTCCTGGGACGCCTCCGGTGGACACGGGTTATGAGAGGGGCCTTTCGAGGGATTGGAATTCGGTAAGGATTCTGTCTGGATCCCGGTGATGTTTGATGACTGTGAGACTAGTTCATGCTGGGCGCTCGTGGGAGGGTGAGGCGAAGATCGCGGTGATGATCTGTGAGAAGACGAGAGGTTGTTCTCCTCAGGGGAAGAGGCACGAGGAGAGAAGACATGAGTACTTTGGCGTCCGCTATGGATGACACTATCCTGATCATCGAGGCCGTTGCTCACGCCTTCGTGATCAGCGTTATCCGTCGACACCTCGCCTGCTGGGATTTCACTGGGTGAATCTCGTGGTTGAGGCTCTTCCAAGCCATCAGAATGGGCTTTACGCTTGCCCTTTTGGGAAGAGGTTGGCTTGTAGATGGCAGACTGGCGGCGGCTAGAACTGTCGGTAGCCGGGACTGAAGATGCTGAAGCATGGCCCTGAGATGACGGGCGGATGACTGGTGAGCGAGAGACCTGGGAAATTGAAGACGCCGCACCGGAGACATTCCCAGATAGATGGGGCTCATCTACAGCTTGGCCGTCATTTTCATGACCTGGGCTGGTAGAAAGAAAGGATAATGCAGAGAGGTCATGAGGGTTATCCGCCACGCTAGAGTGAGCCTCCCCAATCAGGGTATGTCCATCAAGGTTGCTATCCTCGACTTGAATGCGAATTCTTGTCCCGGGAGATGACTGTGCAGAATGGAAACCAGAAAAAGATGGTGAAGGGATAGCAGGGCTGTCGCTTTCCTCATCATCCTCCCTGTTTATTCGCTGTCTGCTATGCGTGCTGTGAGGGGTTTCTTCGAGATAGCTGACAGCGGTAGCCAGTGTAGCGAACGTAGTGTCGTCAAGGTCCATGTCCCCAGGAGGGATTTGCATAGAGTCTTGCACAATGGAGATACTTCAGGAAGAATGAGCATAACAAGACATACTTCGCGAGGTCAGATTACCTACTTGCTACCTTCAGCATCAGCTGCCTCATTGGCCGCATCATTGGTGATAACGGGCGCAACTCGTAAAAGCTTCGGCTCGTAAAGCTCCGCAAAAGCAAAATCTCGGTGGCCATCATCCTCCTCGTCATCAAGTCCCGGCACTCCATGTTCTCCGTAGCTTCGTCCTTGCTTTTCTTCCTCCTCAGAAGTATTGGGACGGCGATCGCGGATTGCAAGCCGAATGTTCAAACGACCGTCGTCCTCTCCTAGTACTTCCGCCACCTTATATTCAGACATGCGGGGCTCCCATTTCGTTTCTTTGGACACATCGAGATGCTTGAAAGCAATGATAGCCCCAGGCTTACACTCACTTTCACATAGATCAGCGAGCGAGATCAGATCTCGGGGCAGAGGGGGAAGATCGTCCTCAGAGGCGTTCTCATCCGAGGCGCCCTCGAGAGATCCTCCAGCTCCATCAATGGCATGATAGTCCGGTTCTTCATCGTAGTCAAGGTGAAAATGTTCGGCCCCGGCCTGTGATTCACCATAATGCTCGTCCTCAAGCTGTTCATAGACCTGGATTCTCTGCTTACGCTTCCGCTTGTTACGCCCACCCTTGCGTGCATAGATAATATCGTTTGCCGTTTTGTCCCATCGCTGCACAAAAGGGAATGGAGGAGCAGTCATAGGGACATCAGTGAACACACACTCAGTCGTCCTGATGTCTAGCTTGGACTGCCAGTCGATTTCGTTGAGGCTGGGATCGGGTTCTTCGGTAGCCGGATTGCGCTCTTGTTTATTCAGCTGTGAATGAACACTAGCTTTTTCTGTGAGCTTTTTTCGGGTTGCTTCCTCCTCGTCTTTGGTTTTCGGATTGCGCACTCCAAGGGAGCCGAAGAGCAGACGTCGGGAGCTGGCTATGTCTAACTGACGTCGGGAGGCTTTATCGGCTTCCACTTTGGCGTCGGAAGCCACCTCGGAGGCGCTGGGATCTGAGACAACGGCTTGGTCCTTTGCAGTAGTAACAGGTTGAGGGGGTACATTCTCCTTTTCCGAGGTCTCTTCAATGTCCATCTCGCTGGTAGCAAGGGCGCGTAGAAGTTTCTCTCGTTTGGCCTCGAACTCGGCCTTTTCCTGGTCGCGCATTTCATCCATACGAGGTGTGGGCCGGAAGTTTGCGGCCTTGTTTATAGGGAAACCTCCATTTTCTTCTTCCCAGGCCCTGAGAGCAGCAAAGTCTGCATTTTCATCTATCAGGCCCTGTTGTTTTAGCAACGAAAGACGTCGCCGAAGTTTGACGCGTTGGTTACTCTTGCGAGTCCTTATAGAGCCTGACCCGGGTGGTTTGTTGCCAACGCCCGTGAGTGAGCCTTTGTTCATCTGGAGAGATTGCCGAGTGTCGGCACTACCAGACGATGAAGACGATGAAGTCGATTCCGAATCGTCAGAGCTGGAATCGGTGCTTGATATCTCGTCAGATTCTGCAGCGGACTCGGCACTGGATTCGTCAGATGAACTGGATTCTGAACCGGAGTCGGAGCTCGAGTCTGAATCAGAGTCGGAGCTCGAACTAGATGACTCGGAGATGCTTTGTTTTTCTGCTGTATTTGGAAGTTGTTGTGGTTGTTGACTATTGGTGCTGGGGTTGGAGTTAGGGTTGGTAGTGATTTTGTCGTTTTTGTGGTTGTTGAATCTCACAGCCTTAGAGGCCCTAGGTGACGAATCGTCCCCACGAGAACGCTTACTTGACGAAGAGGCACCGGCTAAAGAACTCCTGCGCGGTCCCAGAGAAGAAGCTGGCCGCTTCGCACCTAAGCCCGAATGCAGCGATGTGCCGAGACCCTGGCTCTGGTTGAGTGGCTCCATAATATGAGAGGGAGGGGCTTCGAAATCTTCCTTGAGAGCCTTGAGTTCACTCTCCAGCTCTCCCTCTTCATAATCGGAATCGTCCTCGCTGTCTTCGTCGGCCGAATAGTTCACCGGGTGTCTGATCACGGTGCCCATCGACATGTCATGATCAGGTGGTATAATCGATAGCTCCTTCCCGAACCCATGCTCACTCGGAGGCTGCCAATCTGCATCTCCTTGTTCATCGGCCAATGATTGCTCTGGTCCATAGCCAGCCTCATGATCCCAGCCTGACAGTACGGTTCTGCGCTTCTTTCTGGGCGGAATCGTTATGGCGGGCCGGGTGGATACGCTTCGCGAAAAGAACGCCTTGCCAAATGGCACACCATCAATCAAGTGTTTACCGTCCGCGGTGATTTGGTGCCGGCCACAAAGTCGCCTTGCGCGTAGTTCAGGAAGCTGGAGAGCTCGTATGCTGTCATGGTGATGGGTCAGTAAATCAGGGTTCTTGTAAGCGTATATATGATCACAGAACACTTACACGACCTCGTCGCCCTCTCGAAGTATTCCGTCTACTTCCATGTAATGCAAGCACTCCGATCCCCCCTACTTCAACCACATAGTCCTCGAGTCCCCACTGGCCGCTCCGGTCGTTGTCGAAGATCCTTGGTTCCGTCTCGAGTGGCACGACCTCATTCACATCCTCCAACAGTTGAGCGATAGTGTACCCGCCATTTCCAAACGCACTATTCGGGGTACGCGCAGAAGCAATGGCGGAGGTTGACGCGGCGTTGCGAATCCCGTATTCCGCTGCCGAAGAAGCCGTGGTCGTCCAGAGAATCCGCGTGACTGGTAAGCCATGGCGCGATATCACAAGGTGAATCCGCATATTGGCGCAACTGTTCAGACAGTCATACCTTGAACGCGAAATTGAGCTTGTTGGGCCACGGGGTAGGCGCGTTTCAGTTCTCAATGAGGCGCGTTTCACCTATGGTGGCAGGCGTGACAGTCGAGTAAAATGAAGCAAGGTAAGGGTGATGGTCTCGGTGGGGAAGGTCAGTCCGTATGCATGGGTGCCTGGACCATGTCAAGCAGCAACTCGTGCAGCTCCAAGCCCAACCTAGAAAGAAAAGCCGGTCCTCTTGGGAGTGGGGAGCCGCTAGCAGCCGCTAACCCTGATATAGCTTAGCGTATGGTGGGCGGTGACAGCCGCCCAATCATGCAGGATGGTTGTTTTGTCGAGCTCCCAGTGCGTAAGCAGATCCAGGCTGTCATGACCGGATTAACTATTGATACGCTGTTCAAGAATGTAGAAATTTTGCTCTTCATTTGCTAAAGTACTAGTGATGAACCGTGGATGGTTCTATTTAAACTTTGAATCTGGTATCCCAGTTTGCAGCAGCCAGGCCAGTCATGATAACCAACAGGCGCAGATCATTGGTTTCCAGCCCATCAACTCCATCAACCTTCTCAAATCCATCCAAGAAAATAATTCCATCGCGGTTCATAATTGCAAGAGCTCTGTCAGAATCTGTGTTCCCAATCCGACAAATACGCGTGTTCATCCCCATCAAGATAGGCTGATCCCCGAGGATTCTCTTCTCCTCCCCATATCTAGATCTGTGCCACACTATTGTCCTTAATGCCAAGGGGCCATCTGGGTTCTCTTGGCCTTGAGGACTGAATAGATGAAGATCGCAATCTTCTTCTCTGTGTTCCCAGCATTCGCCGTTAGCGAAATGTATATTTCCTCGGTGCTGAAAGCAACAGCGGCAGGCAAGGTAGGGCGGCTCTTCAACGTGGACAGCTGCGAGAACATTGGATCTTTCGAACTGATATTGATAGGGACTCTCACCATCCTTCGCGGCTTGCCAAGAGTCTCTTGGCTTGGCCAGGATCAGATCCTTGTGATAGAACTTCCCAGGATTAGTGCTAAGTTGTTCCAGGTCGACACCCCATATAAAAGCCGGCCGCCAGACATCGAACGCCACACCTGGCGTTTCTATGTCCCAGGAGTACCTTTGCTCTAAGCGAAATGCTAACTTGGTCTTAGTCGACAAAGCTCCGAGTCCGCAGGTTAGGGGTCCAAAGTTGATGGCGTCAGGGCTTGTTTTGCGGAGCAGCTCTGCACATGTAGTTGAAAGTTCCACATTTTCTGGAAAGCTTCTATCGGTATTTGATTCTGTATCGTCCCGCGGCCCCATAGAGATGTCATTCTTGGTAGCAGTGGAGTCTGTATCTTCCCAGTTCACCATGGGAATGTCATTCTCCGTACTAGACATTGGGTTAGCCGTAGTATCGAGGCGAAATCAGTATATATTTCATACATGAGAACGGGCTCGTCGTCGATGGAAGGTGTCATCGCGAAACGCTGCTGTAATGGCTTGTCGAAGGTAAAGGGCAGCTTAGATTCGTAAGAAAAGATCTGGAGACAAGTAATACCAGTCTTGCCTAGAACTGCAGATGTGAAGGAGCATACCCACTATTATGAGGGCTACATTGGACTACTTATGCAGTGAACGGGAATGCCCTGGATTCAAGGGCAGAGGCCGAAATTGGGAGCCTCATCCCAAGTGCGGGGCTTCATTCACCATTCAGGGTACTGGTATGGGGTGGGAAACCAGAGTCCCCAAGCTAGCAGATTGGGCGGTCAATAATTGGCCAGAACGCGAAAATACTTCCAATAAGCACATATTGCCCGATCAAGTAGGAGAGCGCTCTAATTTGCAGCCTTGAGGCAACCCTATTCTACGGTCATGACACGTGGAGCACTCGAAGCAGTTAATACACCTTCAAGCTCATGGCTCCTAGCAAGCAGTATTGGAACTTTCACAGGGAACAGAAGTACGAGCCGTTACTAGCATTTTGGTCGTTGAGAGCTAGACTTGCCCATAATAGTACATGTGCCGAAGCCGGATGCTAAAAGTTTACAAAGTTTATTGATCAAAAGAATTGCACAAGATAATCATTGCAACTGGAATGATAAGTGCGATATCCCCATTGATCCAGAAGAAAGTGGCCCAGAAATGTCCAAAGTGTCCATGGGGTATCAGAGATGCAAGCAGAGAGAAATTTCTTTAATGCGGAGGGATTCGTGCGAGCGAGTCGCGGGATGATCATCGATTAGGTGTTGGTTGATTGGAGCTGCCTGGTACCGGTTTCCGGGAAGGTACACCAAGGTTCATTGGACGCAGGTTATTTCGTGAGGGCTGGTGATTGATTGTATTAGGAGCCTGCTGAGTATCTGCAATAGGCTCATACTGGGGAGGGCTGTCTTCATGCGTCGTATTCCGATGAACCTTCATGACGCTGAGATGTCGGTGCATCGTTGGTGACCCCGGGGGGTGATCCAGAGACCGACTCGGGTGGAGTTCCCGGCAGCATATCAAAAGATTCGGAGGATGAGCGGTGATTGGAAGGGTACTCATCTGAGGGGGGGTGGCCGCCCAGGGCGGGACCTCCTTCGCGAGCTCGACTAGCTTCGACTGGAGATTTGCCGTCAGTCCCATGGTCCATGGTTCTTCGGGGAGGAGTGGCGTCGGGTGGGTGATACTCGCGACGTGGCCCATCTACTGGACTTAAGTTTTCAGCCATTGCATCCTCGTAGCTCGGCGGTGCATCGTCATAGTCTGGATTCGCTTCCACTGGTACCGGTGGCCTTGTTGGCCGTGGAGGCATTGGCGGGCGAGAGTCCGACCCCTGCCCAGCTGGCCAACTAGGCCTATGTACAGGCTGAACAGGAGATGATTGCATTCTTGCTGCAGCTATAGCATCTAGAAGTGCTTTAGGGGGCGCGATTCCAGAGTAGACCTTCACAGGCATTCGCAAGGGTAGGACAATCAGTTGGGGCTGTGTTGCCAGATTAGCAATCTTTTTTCCTCGACAAACAAAGATAGGTCTTGATAGCAATGTATACCTTCATGTCCCGAGGAGTCCCGCGCGTCAACCCGACGCGAATTTCCAGCTCGTAACTTCGCTCGATATTACAAGTCTGAAAAGTTGGGGCCACCGAATTGGGAAGGGGCAGAGTGTTCCACAGTGATGGGTCAATTGTGCAATCAGTGCCATGAGGTTCGCCAGGGTTTTCCAATGGTTTTCCCGATGGTAGTCCCAATGGCATGCCCATATTGCTGCGGCTCAAAATGACCCATGAGTTAATCTCTTGCCGAGTTAAGTCATGCGCCATGACCTTAGTGTATGAGATAAGCTCGATTTGGAGCATCTGTAGAAACAGGGTGTCTGGAGATTCAGTGGTTTTTCTTACGATCAAGCGAAGGGGAATCGGCTCGTTGCAGGTGAGGATAGAAGGGTTAGGAAGACGAGCGTCAATCGATACACGCGGCGCATTGGGTTCTTCTGGGATGGATCGGGAAAACAAGCCCTTTTTGCTAAGACCCTTTTGAATTTTATTATTGGATTTCGAAAATTGATGTGTTCTCCTGGCGTATGTTTCCTCATTTGGATTTCCAGTTCTTGGTGGTTCAATCGGGAGAAAATTCAGAGGCATAACCTAGATGATCATTAGCAGAATTGACAGACGGTCGGCTGAATGAGCATACCGATCGAATGTTCTCTTTGTAGAACTGCGGCCGAATCACCGTCGCTTTGATAAAGTATCGGATCTCGGCTTCCCCGGGGAATCCACTCAAAGACGGGGGCAAAGTTTTCTTGACATGGCGGTTGCTATCGCGGGCCACTTCCACCTTGAGCCCAGTGAAATTGATGTTGGTGAGCATGCTATTTGGGCTACATGCATTATTAAACGGGAACTGCGAATACGTCAATTGCTTTGCTCATAAGGGCGGGGCAGGTGGGCTTTACTTTGAACTCGAACGGGTAATCGTAGGAACCGGCAGCAAAAGTGTACGAGGGCGCCGGATTTCCGCCTTGCATCACAGCTGCTGTCGGGAACACAGTTGCAACCTTGTAAAGGATCTGTCTTGTATTAGACGGTGTCTGGGATTGGCGTCTAGCTCTCCATCTATCACGCACCTTGTGAACCTCCAGCTCTGTCCGCTTCTTATCCGAGTGCACATTCTGAGGATTCCGAGGGCCTGATAGCCGTGTGCGGCTCTCCCCTTCTAGCTTGACCTGTATCCCTGATATCGGCGCTTCATTCTGGAGTGTCAGAACCACCCGGCCGGAGAGCGTATCGAGATTGGTGAAGTGTTTGGGGTAGCTATCCAAGAAGATGGCGGCGGACATAGCGCCGAACGCGCGGGCGACTCGCCCTCAAATGAGGAGCTATCTGAGCTATTCAGGCGTCGGGTTGTGGATTTGTGACGAGCCTGTGTTCCACAGAAACCACAGAGGGAAATGATCGGGTTCGTAAGGTGGGACGATCGTTGGGGCAGGATGCGGTTATATGCGAGGGGGCGCGGAATGACGTTGGTTTCCTAAAAGTGTGGATCAACTCATCTTTTGCCGACACCACCGATCATGCTTTTCGGGTGTCGCGAGAGAACAATCGAAGAAAGGAATAGGAATGGAAATCGCTGCGCCTCTTCAGGCTCAGCCACACTTGGGTTCCAGAATTTGAAAGTACTCTGGCCCCAACTCGGTTGTGGGTGCATTAACTCGTTGCCTGGAGTTTTATCTACTTGGACAAACGCGCCAAAGTACGGGGACCCTGCACTTCGGACGAAACATGGGGCCAGCTTAGCTCCTCGTTATCCGAGACGATCAATTGGTCTTTAAATATCCTCATGCAATGCAGAAACTCAGCCATGAAGCTCAAGTGTATGATGCAATTGCCGGGGTTCCGGCAGGCACCAGAGTTTCTGTGATTTCGCCTCCACATGGGACTCTATTTGGCTTTCACTCGTTCTGGATTCGATAAAAATATCACAACAGCCGCAAACGCATCCAACCGAGTCTCACCTAGGTCTACAGCCCTCTTGTAGAAGTGCGTCTAGCGAATGGCAATATCGTGCCATGTCTTATCTATGAGCCTGTCTTCCCAGTACTAGTGGGTTCAAGAATCAGAATAGTTGAAGATTACGAGGTGACCAGTGGGTGATGATTGTTTTCATATGCATTTAGCTATGACTCTTGGTTACAATCCTTCTTTAGACAGCATATCTATAATATAGTCAGCGACAGCGAGCCTTGTCCATAGGAGTGGGGCGAGGTATACAGACCTGCAATGTCAAGGTAGAAAGCAATCGCATTGAACTTTCGAGGATGGCCCATGATGTCCCCCGCTAGCCATTTCAGTCGATTGGTCCAGTTGATCAGGTCCAGGTGGCTCACCCCAGCCAGCGTTCCTTTATAGCCAGAATCACCTCCCCAGCGACTGCTTGCTACACTAACAAGGCCATCATTCGGCCCTTCAGCTTCGGCTAGGATCTTGTGCGGAAGGCGAAACACAGACCAAATACTGGGTTCAACTGCTGCGCCGTATGAGAAGTATCTGCGCACGAGTGAGTACAGAGCTGGAAGTACTGGTATCCGGGCGTGAAATCGTAGCATACCTCACATCATCTCTGTCCGGAGTGTTGGGGTTGAAGATATCACGCATGTACTTTCTTGTCAGCTGTTCGAAAGCACCCGTTTCAAATTTGAGCCGGTTCAAGGTGTAATAGATCTGTGGGAGGCGGTCGGCTATGTGCAAACATTCAAATCAGCTTTAGCTTCTGGATTATCTCGCAAGGTCAACTGACATCCAATCTGTTCGAAAACGTAGTCTGCAACCGCAGAGCCTATGCATATTGTCAACAGCTTAGCTCTATGGGCTGATAAGAGCCCAATTACCTCGATGGGGACTGGCAATTGTCGTCAAGGACAGGACCTTGAACTTCTCCAGTTTAAGTTTACTGATCATGTATCGAGAATCGAGTCCCCTGGGACCACCATGATCAATTACTGTCACCGTGTTTGCTCTATTTGAATTTCGTTGACATACCCCTATATTCTGGGTTAGTAAGGCTACAGCTTCCATGTTTTTCTTAAGCTGTTGTTACCATGCTATGTCTGTACTTTATCGTTAGAAGTGGCCTGGCTGTTATCACTAGCAGATGCTGTAACTTACGCAATAATGTTGACATCTTTGCCTTTAGCCCCCGCTTCGATATCACGGGCCAACATCTCGGCACGCGCTTCGATCGACGCAGAAGGAGGCACCGATGCCGTGATGACTTCCACACCCTGAGCAGTGAGCGCCTCTTTGATCCCACGCCAATACTGGACGCCGGGAAGATAACGCCCAGCCAACCGCAATTCATCAAACCCAAGGAGGCCGTGGGCGAGAACAATAGGGTACTTCGGCGCATCTAGATATTCAGTTTGTTAGACACATATACGGATTTGGAAACTTCCCTAATGCATGCGAACCATATTTGTCTCGAATCAAGGAGTATTCGTCGCGGATAACACGGCCATGATCTTCCAGTCGCGGTTCTAGAATTGACTGCCTTCCCTGTGGAGACGAGTGATATGCCCGGAAATTGGACGCCGACAACTTGAAGGGCAGTTCGCCCCTGGCTAAGGCCCTTCGTATCCTTGGAGCAACCGCATATCGCATTGTTATTGCTACAACGCGTTTTACAGTCGGGAAACGGAATAACATGATGTAATATCTGTTGCTGCCTCAGGTGTCGGTTTGCGAGCAATAGGCACGAGCTAAGGATAGTGTGCTACGCTCTGGTCTAGCTTTTGGCTAAGTGCAAGGAACCGAAATATGTCGCGTTGTCGCAAAATATCGTAGGCTCAAGGGGAGCATTAATAATTCAGCAATCTTCAGTTAAGTACACCTCGCGTTGCTGACAGATACGCATATACGTCCAGTCTAGCCTGAGACCATATACCCTCACATTATTGCTGTCCAAAACAGACCAAGCATACATGTAAGATTACATTGTGCTTTGCAGCTGCGTAAAGAAGTTGGGAGTTAAGACGTAGCAATCAAGGAACAGAAATTCATATGCGTATGTTGCAAACGTTGGATATCGACGAATGGCCACCAGCACATCTTTCTAGTGACGGCGAAAAATAAATAGACGCTGCATGATTTCTATGCCTTGACCGCGATCTTCTCAGGAACCTCAGGCTTCACATCGGTGGTGGCCTTGATGAGGTCGTCCACGACCTTATCGCCGTGCTTCTTGCCGGCGGCCTGGATCTCCTTCAGCTTCTCCTCGGCCTCCTTGTTTGCGGCCTCCTCGGCGACTTTGAATCCACTCGAGTGCTGTATAGCAGCCGCGTTAGAAAGCGTACTTGATAATAGCAATCGCTGGATAGCTGGGATCGTCGTCTCTTACCTCAGCCTCGAATTTCTTGAACTCCTCCTCCTTGGAGTTACGGTATTCCTCAATTTCCTTCTGCGCCTCTGACTTGGCGTCCCTTATGCGCTTGGTGCGGTCTGTGAGCGTGGAAGGTTAGAGGACAAGCGCATACCGACCGGGGAGTTTGACCGCATACATTCTCGGGCTAGTGAGGGGAACCGTCAGTGTGATCGAATACCTCAATGGAGGAACACCCAGTTGCACAAACCTTGCTGCACAATCTTTTGAGCCTCTCTCTCGGCCTGCAAACCATCAGTATCCTTTGTGCGAAGCTAAACGCTGTCCGGACGTACATCGAGGAGGGTCTGAATACCCGCTGAGTTCTGAGCAGACTGATACCCACGGATGTTAGCAACTGCATCTTCTTTCTCCAAAGAATGGCCTGACTCACCATTTTTGCTCTCTAAACGCTTAATTTGTTGGACGTTGAAGAGAGACGCAATACAGAAACGAGATTCGGAGCTTCGAGCTTCGATCAGCCACGCATGAACCCCCCGAGCGGTGGAGTCGTTTTGCCGTCTGAGACCGCCCCGATACCGATAAACCCACATTTTTGTCGCGCGCCTCACAGGTCCAGCAGCAGGTCGACTCTCTCCGCAATTCCGGATTGGCTTGCATATAATGTCCCGCGCAGCGAAATTCACACTGGCCGCCACCGGCCTGGGTACTGCGGGTATCATCTGGTTCGTGCACTGGGCGCAAGAGAACGACCGAGCGGTAAGCTATGGATCCACGCAAGTAGTTGAAGGGCATCGAGCTAATAGATCGCTCCGCATAGGCAATGCACAGAGGCGTCGAACGGGATATGGAGAAACAGCGCATTCGCCAAGAGCGTCAAGCCGAGTTCGAAATGCAAAAAGCCCTGGAGCAAGAATACCTCAAGTTACAAACGGTACACAGCACTACGAATCCAGAAAGTCCAGCAGACCAAAGCCCGGGCTCGGGGTCATAAGACGAATTGCTCCCCAGTGAACTATCATCAGTGGCAGGTACCAGCCTCGGTGTTTGGTGGACACCATGGCAATACTTTGTCGGCTGTGTACAATTCAATCGGCATCTTTGCATTCGTGCGGTTCGGCGTGCATATCTATTGTACAATATCTTGTATCATATAAAATTCATGCAATACTATCATTTCTTATGCTATTCAATTTCCCGTTTGGAATTACAGCTTGATGTGGCTGCTGTAATCAAGTCAGCCATATTCCTGCATAGCAAAGCAGAGCAAACAATTTTGGAAGTGCAAATGGCCCGGTAAACCGGCGACCTTGATCAAAGTGTCAGTGTCAACAATATCGTGAATAGGGCTGACAGCATTCTACACCTTGCGGCCGATCTACATACTGAAATTCGAGGAACTCAAGGCATATAGGGGTGCATTTACACGAGCCGTAGATGCCGTGATGCGAGCCCAGAATTCAAATGCGTTGGATGAGTGCATTCTGCCCGGTGAAATTGACATCCCTGTCCACCCCGTGGAACAGACTTTAAGTGTGACTGGAGCTGAGAAAGTAGACAAAGTGTATCCTGAATCAAGAGGCCTGGATGGGGAGCTGGGCATAGAACAAATTGGAGCATCATATTGGTATTGAGCTTTTTTATTGAGGATTCGTCTAGTCCAGCCTCAGGGTATTCTTCGCGCAATGTGTATTAAGAATTATAAAAGACAAGACGAAGAATGCTGCTTATCATGGGAGCTGCGCTATATGGCCGAGTCCTTCGAAAGTTGGCGGCAATGCCATAATAATACCTCTGAATGTAGACTTATATGCTGTGAATACGGAGTTAAGTAGGTCCAGCGGCCCTGATATATTCGAAGTTGTAGCCTGTTCAAGCATAGAACCATCGACAAGGCATTCACGTCTACCCCGGACGCTTCCGACGGAGAGAGGAAGATCGGTTATTGTCGGAGGCCGGTTCAATTCCGGCCTCTTTGCGCTAAGAAAGTTTATTTTGGGCTTATCGTCCAATCATCAGCCGCGGTCTACGGCATCGTGCTTGGCATGGGTTGTCATATTGAGGCTGAAGAGCGAATATTGACGTGGAAAACGTTCGTCATGGTCGGTTTTAATATATTATGATACCTCCTCGATACAATTGAAGACCACTCGGGAAGCTCTGAGCCATAGGATCGCCTGTTCCACACGTAATGAGGCTAATATTAGGTGCGGTGATACCCAGGTATATGGCCTAATCGGGATTAGCGCTTCCACAAGATCGAGATATATGCTCGTTCGTCAAGTAGTAGTATAAGCATTCTTGAATAGCCTCATTGATGGCGAGACCGCTAATTTTGACGTGAGACAAAACACGGCCATTGTAAATTCACCTATAAAGGCATGAGAGGTCGTCGACCCCACCCAACTGCTGTCTTTGACTAGATCCACGCTACGTTGCGTTCCTTTTCGTAATGGTGGACTTGAGGCCGGAATTGATACCGGCCTCTGAGGGTTATAAGAGTTGGCTCGATTCCCGCTCAAACTCTGGAGTTCCTGTTCTTCTTTTCACCCCGAAGGATCCCACACAAAGAAATTGCCCTTTTTTGGTCCCTCCCCCTACCATTTTTGGATCTCGAGTTAGACTTTCATCTGACTTGTACCTTCCATCTATCTCCCTGCTTCCCCCTTTGCTTCCATACCACCCATATCCTTCCTCCAGACCTAGTTGACTGCCCTCATACACCTTCATAAGGTCCTATCACTGTCACTATCCCCATCATGACTGTCACCCAGGTCCCCTTCCCTTCCCCTTCTACCTTGAAGAAGTTCCCTCACATCCACGATGACCCCTCTACCATGTCCCATGCCCTGGATCCCTTCACCATCACTACCTCTACTGGATTCTTGCCGTACCAGACTGCCCCAGTTGAGTTACCCGCTGCCTTCGAGCCACTCTTCACCTTGATCAACCGCCTTCCTGTCGTCAAGGCAGATGGCACTCCTGGCTTGCTGGCTACATATGAGTTGGGTCATGCTGTCGATACTGAGCTTCCCGACTTGACGGATGAGATTCCAAAGTTGGTCTTGCCTGATGGATCTCCCGACAAGTCTCTCTTGCTGCTGTATTCCGTGACTACACCTTCGTGGCCTCCTCCTATCTCCTCGAGCCTTGCTGGGAGAACTGGAACAAGAACCCCGACGGAGGCTATGGACTTGGCCGCACCCTTCTCCCTAAGTGTGTTGCTCGTCCCATGTATCGCTGTGCGCAGATGTAAGTCTTCTTGCCGTCTCCACCCCCTCCCCCCAGATATTGGTTGTCTCTGTGGTCTGCTAAGACCAGCACCTCCCCTTCCCATGATACCTGTATCCTAACACTAAGATAGCTTGGATCTACCTCCCTTCATGTCGTATGCTGCATCATATGCGCTTTTCAACTACACTGTCGCCGACAAGTCTAAGGGCCTGGAAGAATATTCTAACTTACGCCTTATACGTGCCTTTGAGCGTGGCCTGAGCCCCAAGAGTTCTGAGGCCGGCTTCATCTTGACCCATGTTGACATGGTTAAAGAAACTGGCCCTCTTGTGAATGGAGTTCTCCGAGTCATTGACACCATCGAGCAGCGTGGCTCTCGTGCTGAAATCAATGACGGTTTCCGGGAGATCTTGCGCTCCATGGAGAAGATCGAGGCATCTATGGAAGGTATGTCCCCTATAACTGCGGAAAACCGCATGGACGAAGTGAAATCTAACGTTGAACAGAAATGTGGGCCAACTCAAAGCCTTCGGACTACCTCTCTTTCCGCGTCTTCATCTTCGGCATCACCAACCAGTCCATGTTCCCTAACGGCGTGATCTACGACGGAGTCCTGGACAACAAGCCTCTGGAGTTCCGAGGCGAGAGCGGAGCCAATGACAGCATCGTGAGTACTCATCGGCATACTCAGACAAGGTCCCCTGTAAATCAAATTAACAATTCTTCAATAGATCCCCATGCTGGACCATCTCTGTGAAATCCCCATGCCCTCTACCCCTCTCACAAAGATCCTGCACGAGTTCCGCGCCTATCGCCCCCTGCCTCATCGCGAGTTCTTGACCTACATCCGCGAGAAGGCCGAGACGATCGGCGTCCGGAAGTACGCAGTGCAAGACTCTGAAACTGCAGTCCTGTTCCTGAAGGTCCTCAACCACGTCCGCAGCTTCCGCTGGCGCCACTGGCTCTTCGCACGCGAGTACATCATTCGTCGTACTCCGCACCCCGACTGCCACGGGCGGAAGTCCCATTGTTACTGTAAGTTTCTGCATTCTGTTTTAACTATACGAGTTCCAATACCGACATTTTACAGTGGCTTCCCAATCAGCTGTTTGCTGTCATGGAACTGATGATCATCATTTATGACACCCATCTCGCTCCCAAGCAGGGCGCTGCTATCGTCCACAGTGAGCAGGATCTCATCGCGTCTCACCGCAAGCAAGTTGAGCCTATGATGGAGAACGTGCGTGATCAGAAGGAGAAATTGGAGAAGGAAGTTGAAAAGTGGTGTAAGGAGCGCGGGGTCTAGATAAGCAGTGTTTTGGCCCTTGATTCCGTTTTCTTTTACATACCCTTAGAGGAGCGTTGTATCAGCTCAGTCGTTCAAGTTATACATTTCTTTTCCCCGTTCGCATGAAAATTGATTGTTAAATGGATGAAAGTTCTGGGTAGGCTTTATTATTTCGTAGCTAAAGCTTGGTGGGTATCACGTCGGTCTGATGCGTTTCAACCCCTCCTCGTGACGTCTGGCAAGTTGTCCCGGAGGCCATTGGTAGAAATGTCGTGTAAGCCCGCAATGTGCACGATGTCTCATTCCGACAAGGCCCCAGCACGGACTTTCCGGTACAGGAAGTGTTTTCACCCAGCAGATAAGAGCGATCCTTTACATCCCGGGAGTTTTAACCACATTCGGAATATTGTGTCACATGAGGCGATCTGCATGCGAAGATCTGTGCGAAGTGCAGCGCTTACGTGGGTCAAGCCAGCCGAATGTACACAAGTCACTCGTGCAGAAACCGGCCGTAGTAGAGGCTGAGATCTTGAGGTGATTCGAGTAAAGGGCGTTCGGGGGGGGGTGATCTCGTGAGACCATGTCAGATCACAACATCGAGTCCCTTCTCCCGTCCGTACAGGACCGCATCTGACGAGATGCGTTCGCAGTTCTTCACGATCAGGCGATCGAGCTTTGGAACTGCATGCGAGTCCGAGTTCCGTGCGTCGGCGAACTTACGGATTGTGAGTCCTGTGATCTCCGTAGACGACAAATTGAGGCTCTTGAGGTCGGAAAAGAACTCGAAGAGCTTTGTGGCGTATTTATCCTCTATGTCGCGGAAGCTAGCTAGGCTTAGGTCGGTCAGATACTGCAGCTCCGGCGTACCTGCAAAGTCATCCCAATGGAAGTCGGTCGGTTTGAACCTAGGACATGCGTCTAGGGACAGCGTTCGCAGTGTTGGCTTGAAAGTGCTGAGAAAGTGCACAAGAGTTCCCACCGTGAACCACCCGGCATCATTAATGACGAGGGAATGTAACGCCGGGAACTGTTGTTCGTATCTACTGTGAAATGTGAACTCCCCCCGTTGCCATCCTGCGGCCACCCTGGAAGCACAAAGACTCAATTTTACCAGGCAAGAGCTGTAACGCTTGTCTGCCTGGGACGAGACCGCGTAGCTCAAGGCAACGAAGGGGAGGAAGAGAAGGAGGCACATCATCTGGATCTAAGCTCGTGAATGGGTCGCTGTCAACAAATGCATTTTGTGACATCTTCGGTGGGCTCCAATCCAATCGAAGTTCTTCCAGCCTTGGATAGAAGCTCGGACGATATCCCTATCCACTGTGAGTCAGGATACAGGGAAGGAAGCTGACGACATACCATTTGGCGTTCCACAAAGCTTGGGTGGTTGAGGAATGGAAGAGCTAGAGGTTTTGTGGGCGGATTGTCATCGGTCATGTTCCTTAAATCAATACTTCTCAAGTTCGGTAAGCTCTCTGGCCACCCCAAGGTGAAGTCAGGTGGAGGTAGGGGGACTAAAGGGCCAGTAAGATTCAAAATCTTGATGTGCTCTAGTTTTCGCATCTCTTTCAGCAGGGTAAAGAAAGAATCCTGCGGGACGGCAATATCTGGCCCCAGCACGAGGATCTTGACTTGTTTGAATCCACGGAATAGGGCGGCAGTCTCTTTGTAGCCATGATCTACCCACAACTCAAGATGCTCTATGCGAGGACATCTGCTGACAAACTCCAGGCTCTTCTGTGTTGAGTTGAATGGCAGGTTCTTGATAACTGCATGGGAGAGGTTTCCTTTTGATTGACGAACGTACGACCGGACAGCGGGCCAGGGTACCCGTGTTCGAGCGCCTGTAAAGTCCATTTTGAGCCACAGGTGCGGTAATGAGTGGATGAAACGCTGCCAGCCTTTACAGACTCTCATAATTCCACTGAGACATTGTTAGATCTGACCGGACGACCGAAGTACTTCAGACTCACGCGATCTGCCGGAAGGAAAACTGATCGAGGACCATAATAGCCATTTCTAACGGCAAGATGGTAAATGGATCATGTCGGTTGAGCATCAAGCCATTCTGGAGCTTCTTCTGCATGAGTTCCAGAGTCTATATCTATATTAGGATATAGTTAGACACGTAGTAGAGATGGAAGTACCTCGCGACGTGGATGCCCAGCGGGGAGACTTTTCAAGCCGTATGCATAGATCTCTAGGGCCTTTTCGGGTTTCTTCTGAAGCACAAGGACCTGGCCACAGCGTAGATATCCCTGCAAGTGTAAGCGGAGATGACTCAACTACCAGATGCCCAAAATAAAAGACGTACTCGTTCATCTTCTTTGCGACTCTTGATGATAAGCCTTGCATCACGAAGAGCCTGGTCATATTTCTCGAGTTTGCAGAGCGCAGCACATCGATTATCCAAGATTCCGATCTTATCCCCATCTTGCTGGCTCAAGGCCTTTTATGAATTAGCGACTGCTCGTTTAGATGTGGGGATACGGATACCTCTCCGAACGCCTCTACCGCGGCTTCAAAATCCCCGTTTCGATAGAGCCTCTGGCCACGCTGATGCGCGGCAGATAAATTCGGTGACATCTTCTCATTTATGCGACTGGAACTAAGTCGAATTATTTTTTTCCTGATCTGATCACGGGACGCGACGATAGAAACCAGAAACCGCCCTTGCAAGTGGCCCGTAATTCCGCGAACCACAAAACCTGCGCGGTTGGCTCGTCTCGCTCCCCGCATGTGCTCGAGCTGCCAATGTTTACTTTCTTCCGCTTTGGATCATCGCCCGCTCTCAACCATCGCAACGGCCGTCATGGAGGCGCAAAACTTGCAGGCCGCGTCGACCTACATCAACAACATATTGCTTGCGCGCGGATTGCTGAACTCCAGTCGCCCTATCGATTTTGCGCAACCCGAAAATGAGGAGGGGGAACCGAAGCCACTATGGCCCGGGTCATCAACCTGGTCAACGACCTGGTCCTACGGAGAGATGTGCGTCGCTGGAGGAAACACCTGTCGTGGTCACTCTAACAAAGCTTTTAGAAAGAGTCTGAACACCGCGAAAACCTAGCGAATACGATCCGAGTATTGCGAGCAAACGAGTCGGAGCAGACTTTGGAGATAGTGCGTATAAAAGGAAAAAAATTGTACAGCTACAGCTACAGCTGATCACAGCTAACCGCTTTTCGCTTCCTACAGAACAAGCTCAAAACAAAGAAGTCGGAATTGACCAGATCCTTAGCTCTGACGGAAGCTTCAGAGCGCGCTCTCCAGTCAAACATGGCCGGCGCAGAGGCAACAATCAGAGCACTCAAAGAGCAAGTGCAGCGCATGAAAACTACCGTCCAACAAGTACGCGCGCAATGCGCCAACGATATCCGGAAGCGAGACCTCGAACTCCAGAAGCTCAAATCACACCTTGCGGAACGGCAGCGGGGCAAACGTGACGGATTGGCCGTGACCACGATTAACATCAACCCTGCCGCCGACCGATCGCGACTTAGAGCCAGCGGGGGCGATGACATCAACAAACCGGGATACAGCCTCGAACAGGAGACTACTGAATTCCTCACCCAGCTATGCCAGGGTATGAGTGACGAAAATGACACGCTGATCGAGCTTGCCCGAAACACCATTGAAACGCTGAAGGAGTTGCAGGGGCTGCCACAAGCGGACGAGGGGCAAGAGATCGACGATGTCTCCGGCATGGCTGCAAGTACGGGTCCCCAGAAATCAACCCCAGGAGCTGTAGCGACGCTTCCTACGTCATGCGAGGAGCTGTCTGCACGCATGGAGATGGTGCTTGATCACCTGCGCACACTACTTACCAATCCATCGTTCGTGCCTCTTGAAGAGGTCGAGATCCGTGATGATGAAATCAAGCGGCTCCGGGCGAGCTGGGAGAAAATGGAGAACAGATGGAAGCAAGCAGTCACCATGATGGATGGATGGCAGCGGCGCCTGGCCGATGGTGGAGACTCCGTGCGCATGGATGAGTTAAAACGCGGCCTCAACCTGGATCTGAGCTTCCAATCGGAAGACGTCAGTATGCAGAGCCACGACAACCACACGATCTCACCCATTATCGAAGACCAGCAAGAAGAGGAACAGATGAGCGGGACCGAAGATAATGCGCCTGAACCCGAGCCTGAAGATCTTCCGCAGACGAGGTCGAAGATCCGCAAGGTGCCTGAGCGTTCCGAGCGAGCACTGCGGGAACGCAGCGATAATGCTCCTGCGCGGCCCAAAAGGCTCCGCAAGGTGTCATTTACGCCTGGTCTGCAAGGGTCACCGTGTGTGCCCAGCGAAGACGATGAAACACTCCAGGTCAAGGCGCACAAATCCGAAACCGTAACGCGCAGACCGTCTCGTCGAAGGGCAGACTCCAAATCAACACGCCAGGTATGAAATAGAGCATCCCATCTGTTCTTTGTATACTAACCATTGCCCAGGCCAGCGACGAAAGCATGAGCGTTACGCAAAAACTAGCAGCCGCCGAGGACGAAGCTCGCTCCGCTGAACATTCACGCAAACAACGCGAGACTCGAAAGCGAAGTCGACCGGAAAAGTCATCCAGCCGGCCTGGTAATCGGCGCCGCAGTACACTCACCAGTGATGAACTGGAAGATCTTATGGGGTTGGCGGCTCGGTGAAATTGACACTACTCTAATTGCATTGTACATATACCTCCAAGCAAGCATATAATCTAGCGCGTCTTCGTGTTCTGTCGCTCGGAATGCATCCTATCTATCTCTGATATTGACATGAGTTCAGTCCTAATGAAGTCTATTCGTGAATCAAAAGAGCTCTTGAGATTTCAACCCACTCTCGTTCTAGTACTCATGCCCTGGAAATTAGACTTGTGAATACTTACTACTGCTAGCATCACTAATAGTACTCTTAATACAAGGAGTTTTTCTTGAACCCACGCATGATCTTTGAGATCTTTGTATGGCATCCAAGTCTGCTTCCTCTTTATTGAAGGACGAAAGTCCAAAGCGAATTCACAGCTTTGATCTATAAAGCAGAGGGGCCGAACGTTCTCGACCCAAGGAAAGTACCTCGGCTCCCCCCGTTCGGCTATAGATCGCAATTCACACGTCAGTCCCAGCATACGAGGCAACCACAAAACTGTCTTTACAAGAGCTGACGCTGGTTCTAATACTCACTCTGCAAATCAGGCTCCTGAATATTTTGGTAGCCCACGGCCCTCATCTGCGAGGGGACACCGTCTCAACGCAAGAACGCATCTCCGTTCGATTGACCGCGGTTCTCCACCCGACCCCACAAGCACGACCTTGAACCCCCAGAAACATCAATTGAAACATACCTTGCTCAAGTTCCCAGATCCAACTCTGCTTTTTCCCCCCATTCAAGCAATCAATCCTTCAAAATGCCAACAGCCGCATCCGCACCCCCCAGTCAAAACCTTCAACGGCTGGGTCGCCCGCGACGCCAAAAGCGCACTCCAATACACCACCTTCGAGCCCAAACCCTTCACAGCAACAGACATCGAGCTCCGCATCACCCATTGCGGCATCTGCGGCTCGGACATCCACACCCTGCGCTCCGGCTGGGGCCCCACCGACTATCCCTGCGTCGTGGGCCATGAGATCGTCGGCATAGTCGAGCGGATTGGCGCCGGCGTCCCGACGCTCTCCTCCTCGCCCGCATCAGCCTCCATCCGCGTCGGTGACCGCGTCGGCATCGGCGCACAGAGCGGCGCCTGTCTGCGCGCGGAGTGCGAGGCGTGCGCGGACGGCGAGGAGAGTTACTGCCCGCGCATAACGGGCACGTATAACGGGCGATATGCGGACAAGAGCAAGTCGTATGGCGGGTATGCGGAGCGGTGGCGGGGGCCGGCGCATTTCGCGTTCAAGATTCCGGACGGGCTGCCTTCGGCGGAGGTTGCGCCGTTGCTGTGTGGCGGGGTTACGGTTTATGCGCCGCTGAAGAAGTATGGGGTTGGGCCGGGGAAGACGGTGGGGATCGTGGGGATTGGGGGCCTGGGGCATATGGGGATCCTGTTTGCGAAGGCGCTGGGGGCGGATAAGGTGGTTGCGATCTCGCGGTCGTCGAGTAAGAAGAAGGATGCTGTGGAGGGACTGGGGGCGGATTTGTTTATTGCTACTGCGGAGGACAAGAAGTGGGGGCGGACGTATGAGAGAAACGCTGGATGTCATTGTGTGTACTGTTTCTGGGCCGAATATGCCGTTCGCGCAGTATCTGAGGCTGCTGAAGCGGAATGGGACTTTTGTGCAGGTCGGCGCGCCTGAGGATGCATTGCCTGCGTTGCCGGCTTACTCGCTCATTCAGAAGGGAGTCAAGGTTACCGGGTCGAATATTGGGTCGCCGGAAGATATCCGGCAGATGCTCAAGCTTGCTGCGGAGAAGAGAGTGCTTCCTTGGGTGCAGAAGCGAGCCATGAGCGACGTCAACCAGGCGTTGGAGGATTTCGAGGCCGGAAAACCGCGGTATAGGTTTGTTCTACAGAATGGCAAGAGTGCGCGGCTCTAAACCACGGGATGTTAGGGGACCTTGGGAGACTCAGCTGACGGGGGCCTGTAGAGTCGGAATGAGTAGTGAACGCTGATGATAATATCTTAAGGTTTCTTGGTTTTCATTGCTTGAGAAGAGTGTGCAGACGAATCCTAGTCATCTGAAAATCCTTCCCAATATTAAGCCAATCTCGCTTATGCTAATCGTCAATCTCCTGTCGCGAAGGACAATAAGTGTCTTTATGCAATCATTACCCACGCCTAGACTGGTTATACGAGTGGACTGGGCGTCCATGATACCATGTATCCCAGTGCTTTTACCCATGGTGTTGAGGATTGACTTCGTAAATGTGCGCTGAGGCCGTATATGCATGTAGATCACCAAGAGTTGGCTGTGCCCGGAACTGGTGGATCGCTAGTCTCATTAGTACAATGACATCACAACCGATTCGAGGGCTATTCCTCTTCGAGCTTTGGTCTGCGAATTCGAATGCAGGACGTCTTGAAACGCATTCAAAATAAGGACTTTGTAGGGTCTGCGTCCTTACATGAAATTTTAAGTTGAACGACAGAACTATATCAGTCGGGAATTGTGATAGAGTATCAGCCTAGTTAGTCTATTTTGCATGGCTCTTAGCTTGGTTGGCCTCATCAACCTAAAGAAGCCTAGTCTTCCATAGCTCAGGGACCATATCATGCCAAGAGAAAAGCACAAGGCTTGACAATAGCACACCAAGAAATGTGAAACATCTCATACGTAAGATCATATGTTGGTCCTAGCTTTTCATATGATTAAGCGCGCACATGGAGCACCGGCACTATAATAAGCTTTCGAGGTTCCCAGGATGGAAGGTAGCCACGAGTGAATACTCTTCTAGGCAGCATTGAAAGGTTTCAAATGCCCTAGCACAACAGAGACTCCCGGAGCATGTATAAGACACCTTGGGGCATCGATACCGATCACATACCGTACATTACGAGTAAGGCGTAACAATAGACGCGTACGGTAAACTTTAAATTTTTCAGCCTCTCGTCAATACGCCATGTATTGACTGGTAAAGGTAAGAGGCAGTAAGCTTTGATTTTTTAACGGCGGTGTGGTCGGCATCGAACAATCTGAATATTTAAGCTAAGCAGATCCTGGCAGACCATGGGACTATGCGGTGTGGGGGGTCACTAGCAGAAGTCATTAGAAGGCTACTCATCTTTGAACTCTTTCGCTATTCTACTCGCAATTGAGCTTTCGTCAATATCTGCCGTGAGTCAAATGCAGTACGGTTGCTCTCGGCTTAGCTTGCCCTCTTCTCTCGCGGCACTTCAGGCACCCGTCAATCGATTCTATAGGCCAAACCTTGGAAAGGAGCGGGATTATAAATCAATGACATTCAACTCTAATTTGATTCGTTAAATTTTGTAGAAGAGCTCTAGCCTTGTTCGATTGTTATTTCTCCTTTTTTTTTTTTACTCAATTCGCATTGTTACTATGTTCGTCGATGACTTGGACTCCGCAATGCACCAATTGCATATACTAGTTGTCATATATGAGGGAGCAAAGGTAAGGGTTCAAATGTGAAGCCAAATCTACGATAGGCTCGATCATAGGATACGACTGAGGCCAGTACTATGCGTTCGTGGTGCGATGACTCAATGGGAGCAGGAAACCGTGCTAATCGCTGGGGAACCCCTCGATTCTCCTCGCGATTTGCGTGTTGGGCGAGCTATCACGTAGGTTCGATATATCTACAGTAGGCGATGCGGTAGTCCTCCGAACTACGCAGTATGCGACGATTGCAATGCCCGAGGACCGAGGATGCACCGAGCGCCTTCCGCGGTTCGGAAGGCGTCTTCGTAACTAGAACAAAGCGTGTCGTGACTACAAACCTCAATTTATCTGAAGAACCCCTGCGCTCATTACAATGGATCAGCTCACCCCCTGACCGTCCATGAGAGGCCACAATCCAGCTGAGGATTCTGACATTTGTACGAAGATTGAGTAGATCGCTTTCCAAACAGAGAATAAGCATCAAGATAGGGTTTGGCTGCCAGGCAGCGGTGTAATGATAACAGTGACTGGAGTTCCATGGGTCTATGATAGCCATGCAAAACTTGAAGTGCAGGCCTATGCTCGGGATATTGAAATAGCATGTAAACTGGTCCACGGATCCACTCTTAGGCAGAACAGTATCAATCCCGAACATTGGCTCCCATTTTTGCCAAGGATCTAGACTATGTTTGATTGAAATCTAGGTAGTATTGAGGCTGAGTATATACAACGTGGGTGATGAGCTAACTACGGCTTAAAGACAAACTGTTTCAGAATGCCTTCAGGGCCTAGAACCCTAAGAAACCTGTATGCAAGCCGTGTGATTCGGGTGGGGAGCTGGCTGAGCCTTTGTACCCCCATTCTCCAGTATAAACTCCAATTTGTTTCAATTGGAAACTGGCTTTAGCCCTGTCGAATCCCACTGAGCCTCGTCGGAGCTGACTGACCAGGCCTGGATGAGGTGAGTCTAGATCAAGGGGAACATGGTCGCCCTATTGCAGATCCTCCCTCCTTCGGATCTCAGCCTCAACCTATGTATCAATAATCCTCCAATCCTTTAATCCGCCGGGAAAGGCCCTCGTAATTTCACAGGCCTGCACCGCCGATTGGAGAGTTTTCAGACCGAATTTCCAACGCGCCATGCTGTTTGTAATATCCCCATATCCAACTCCTAGCACCCAGAAATCCCCCATCCTGCCAACCAGGGTACCCAATGCAGTAGTAAACGTATGTTCCGTTTCACATGGAAATTTGCATGCTTGCCCTCCAGAATACCCGTCTCATCTAAACCGCGCCAACACTCCCAGGTCACACGCTGCCGTACCTATGAGAATGCACCCACGCGGTCGCGATAATTCTCGCCCAGAATCTCGCGCATCGCCCAATGAACCAGCGGTCTCCACTGGTCATCCAGAATCGCCCACACAGCTTTCGCAACCCGTACGCTCCACTCGTCAAAACACCACCGATGCTTCAAATGCTGCAGGAGCACGCCATAATGCGCTAGCATGACAAGCGCAAAGGGCTCCCGCTCCCGCAGGAGTTCCATGAACCGTGCGGGCAGCCTGATCGCCCAGTGGCCCGCGATCGTGGTGGCTGTTCCGCCGGCATACACGAAGCTGAGCATCTCGCCCAGGTCGTCAATGGTTGCGGCGTAGATTTCGGTCTCATGAGCCTGGCCGCGGGCTCCGCAGGAAGCGTTCGCTTCGTGGAGGTGGCGCAAGACGGCGGTTGTGGTTTCGGGAAGGGGAGCGCGGGCTTCTTCGATGGAGAAGATGGGCGCGAAAGAACTTGAACCTAGGGAAGAGGTTGGGGCGCGGATAACCTGCTGAATACCGCGGGTGAGGACAAGGACTTGATGGAAGTCGTCTATGCAGGACCAGGGGTCGTGAACGTCTGGGGAATGGGGAAAGCCATAGGTGTACACCACGACAATGCCGGAGAAGGCGAACATGGCTTTTGCGTTGGATTCTTGGATGTCGGAGAGGAGCTCCCGGAAGAGGGCGAGGGCTTGATTCTGGTGGGCAACGGCGCGGTTGAGATAGGCCGCGCGCTGGGATGGGTCAGGGCCGGTGCGCGCGAGATGAAGAGACGAGAGGGCTAGGATGCCGTGCATTAAAAATGGGTGGGTGAGTGCTTCCTCTGGCACCGCATTGCGCCAGATGCGATCTGTTTCTGGGCCGCGCGAGAGTGTATGGTAGGTCTCGTTGCACCATTGCATCATGAGCTCCAGGTCGTGGATGTTCAGCGCGGGGGTCGGCGACGAGTTATCGCTGCTGAATCGACCTAGTATGCCAAGCGAATCGGAGCCTGGCGAGCCTATTGCCGGATCGCTGGGCTGGCCGCTGTCGGATCCAGAGGCGCGGAATGATTGGCGCGATGATGTTTCCTCATTCGCCCAGAGTAGAGAGCTTGATGAGCCATATTCACATTCAGAATGACGCTTAGCGCAATTGGAACATGTTGGGCGGGCCTCGTCACACTGAATGGGATGTCAGATCGGGATTCCGAGTCGAGGACGATTCGCAACACAGAGGATGGTCGCACTTTGTATAGTTCTAGACGGGGACGATACCTTGACTCGACGTCGCTTGCACTCCATACAGCCGTGACGTGATTTCCGGTGAGGTCGTCGGAGCGCCATGGTCATGCGAGTGGCCTAATTTTCGCCATGACCAGAAGAAACGAGGGGGACAGAGAGAAGATAAATTGAGGCTCGTGGAGCCCGTGGGGGGAGGGTTAACAATTATTCCAGTAGGCGAATATTGACCGAAGGTTACTAGCCCCGGTTTTAGCAGGTGAAACAGCGATATAGTGGAATTGGATGACAGTGCCAAGCAGGCAATGCAGGAAGCAGAAAATTGGAGGGAAGAAACCACGCCCAATCTGAGGCCTCTCTGCATGAAAGGTGGGTAGGCAGCAGGATTTGGGATCCATTGGGACACTGCACGATACAACATACGGTTTTCTGGTTTTCAGCTTACAGGACGGGTGTTCCAATTGCCCAATTGCTTTTTTGGCGAACCCTGTCGATCAAACCCCTTTTGGGGGCCAAGAAAGGCTTGTCTACCTTTTCAGTTTCCATAAGCTCCCACGGGCCAATGATCGACGCGGATGCTATGGCAATACTTGCCCCATCCGCCCGTCACTACGTAGCAGTCTTGGCTTTCCCCAGGGCTCGCCTACATGCCCGAATCTGAAACATTGTCTTGCTTTATTTTGCACTGCCTCGGCTAGGGTCTCTTTGAGGACTAGCGGCCGTTCTGCTTCAGCTCTATTTCGATCAGCCTTATTTGGTTCCTGAAAGTTGGATAGACGTCAGAATAATGGAGCCTAAACCTTGAAGCCGTGAGCCCACTTCTCGCCGGGATGAATGGGAGATAGTCGATTGGATGGGGCATCACGTGCGCCCAAAGCTGGTTAGTCCCACGATCTCTATCCCCATTTTTCCCAAAGCAGTTTAAGTCTGTAAGGTATTATACGACAATGCGTAGACACTTTGGAGACACTATGCTACAGGAGTACAGCTGGTAAAATAGAATGGGAACTTATCTCATGAGAGCCTTGGGAATCGGCGTGGCTTCAAGAGTATCTGTGCTAGGGATCGTGACTGTAGATACGGATTCTGGGCGTGCTTGATACCTCTGTGTGTTCAAGGTCACGCTTGGGTAATCTGGAAGCCCAGCCCCTGAAAATAGATCAATGATCTGTTTTGTTAGCAATGATACCATCACTAGCGATTCATGAATGACTCGGCAGTTCAAAGAGCAAAGCACCAGGGAAGATCCTCGGTATTCCTAACCACAAGACAATTTCCATGGTAAAGAGTCCATGGAGAGATGTGTCGGAAAGGGAGTTTTCATGAAGACGACCCTGATGTGAAACCGCGTATCAGTATTAATAAAATTCATGTTTTCCCTTTCCAGTCCTCGTCAACTATCCTTTCTGAAGTGCTGTCTACGAGCCCTGCCGCGCAGAAGTTGTATCTATAGAAACATAACAAAAGCATACTATAGCCAAACTTCTCGGGGAGTGCTCTGAGAGTGCTTCGATTTACACTAGTAGGAAGGACGGTGAGCGAATGAATCCACGAGAATGGATTGCCCAACTTGCCATACCATGTGCTCTCGTTTCGCTGATTCAATGGTGGAAGCACACAACTTCAGCCTGAGCGCGAAGTCGGTATAATCCGAAATGAAGACAGTACTATTCCTGCTGATTCCATGGTCGGACGGTTAGTGTGGCATTAAGAAGGTATCCTCGGTCCCTGTTTGACTATTTGGACTTCTAAAGTGTCCGGCCTAGTATGAACTTGCCCATATAATTGACTCGCAAGTCAAGGTAACCAACGTCAGGATCTACGTAAGGACAAAGACTGAAAACGGTAGAATACTTGGACTTGGCTGTATTAGGAAGGTTAGCTTTGGGCCAATGCGGGATGAACTCATTGACTCGTGGTATCACGCGAACGCCAAGCGCACAGCCGACAACTTAAAAAATTGAAAAAATAAGAAATAAAAAAAAAGGTTAGAAATACGAGAAAAAAAAAACGAGGGGAAACGCCTCCGTACAGTACATACCAAGCCTTGCACAGCCTGTATGATCTTATACCGCCCCGTATAATACAGAGCTAATTACCTGCTACGGATCCTTCCGAGCAATCCGGCCCTCTGGCCATATAAGCCATAGTTCAGTCTCAGACATCGCCCACGTTTCTTCCTAATTCTCCTCAAGCCCCGCCTCCTCCTGTAGCCGCAGCACTAGTGTTCGTACGGCGAGTCCGCTCCCGCAATCCAAGACATGTCTGCAACACAACAAGCTCGAACTGTGGGCCGTAATCCACATACACCTCAAGTTTGCCCGTCTTCTTCAAGAACGATTTCCTCGAGCTGAACACGGCGATCACGGCCTCTGTCGAGTCATCCACTAGCTTCAGGTTCCCAAGCCTCCCCTCCCCCAGACTGTGCGTGCGCTTCCATGTAAAGGAAGTCTGTTTCCCACCTATACTAACCCGGAAGGTATGCTTGAGGCTCATGTGTGATTCGCGCGTCATGCGCTCCCAGCGCACGGCGTGGGCATTTTCGGGGTCGCCGACGCCTACCTCCATGTCTGAGGAGAAGTGGTGGAATTTGATGGCTCCTGCCACGGGCGCACTTTTGTCTTGGCCTTGGTGGAACGTCAGGCCAAACTTTCCGACCCCTGATTTGGAGTTTTCGACGTAGTAGACGTGGCGCCCGTTGGTGGAGACGGCGTAGTCATGGCGCCAGACAGTATCTGCGATTTCGTAAACAGCAACGGTTGGACCCGACATGGTCTTAGGACTCCTAGGTGAGGTTCATAAAGATGTCCCCAGCTTTTGAGGCCATGTAATCTCTCAGGTCTGCTCTTAGATTAAGGTGCTGTGATCGCGAGCGGTGGGATTAAGCTTGTGGAAAGAAGTGCTTATATGGCGTCGCCTTTGATGATCAACGTCATCTGCAAAGAAGTCCGTGGCCTAAAATAGAGTGATCGGGAATGCCAAGACCTTTCCCCTGAGTTGCAAAGCGTAACCTACTCGCCCCGCCCCGAGCGCGACTGGCGATTCGTGCGTTGCAGGGTCCCCGGGTCCAGAATCTGATTGGGTCCAGTGCACTTGGCTCCCTAGTCGAGACTTGGCGCAGCACTGCCTGGGCCGGCTTTTCTTCTCGTGTTCGGGCTGTGTAGAGCTTCTTAAGTTGGCCCAGTAGACTCTCATGATGCTTTAGACCAGAAAGAATATCTAGCACCTATATCCATTCCCGAGGCTAAACAGAATGCGTCTAAGGAATCACCGCTATTCAGATGTGCCTTTCCTCATCTACAGTGGCAGCAAGCCTTGGGAGGTTAACTACTAGTATCGTTGTTCTGAAGACTCCATCCATTGTAACACGTATAAAAGACTCCAAATAAGCTGTGGAATAATCTCTTCTTCATACTCAAGTCACTGACCTAATGCATGATGAAAAAGGGCCCACGAAGTGGAGGGTGCCAAAGAATACTCCTGACAGAAACCCAGAAGGCAGCTGGACAGAAAAGCCCACCACGAGGTGCAATGCAGAGGCTCGTCTATGGTAGACCGTCTTCATGATCACGGCCACCCAGGCATGGTAGGTATGGAGAGGAAAGAAGAAATCAGGAAAGAAAATCAATAGCCAGGGGAGTTTTATGGTCCAAGGCGGTGGTGTACTTCTCCACAATTGGTCTTTGTTCATGCACGGTATGTAAATCAGACCTCAGCAGAGTGCCTGTCCGGACATGCAAATAGTTTTCAAGAGCTGGCAAGAGCCGCTTCAGTCTCCGCTCTGTTCCAGGCTTCGAAAGCTTGGAGCCCAGATATTCAGTCACGCGGTGCTACAGCTTATGCCTGTAGATGTATATATCGAAGGCGCGGATGAATATTTACTCTAGCCCATCAAAGGCTTGAGTATCTTCGATCCTGGTATTTACGAACAGCCTCAAGCCCAGAGGAAATCAATCTGATCTCTGAGCAGAGTCAATTCGAGCTCATGCTCTGCTAGATATTGGGCTATCAACTCTCCATGCTCTAGCCGTGTTGACGTCGATCCACCGTGACATAATCCAGACTCCTCACGTGATCTAGAATTTCGCGGCGACGAGCGCGCGTTGGAGTGACCCGGAGCCACCACATCTAAACACATTATGGGTCGCATCTGACCCTTGACAACTCATTAACTCCCTGGCGCAGTTGAATCTCTGATCAGCCTGTTCCTTCTGCATTGACCTCTCTGTGTCGCTGTGCTTGCGCTGCAGCTGTTGCGGCCCAATCCCGTTTCATTCGCTCTTAATCCGTCTTCATTGTTTGCACCTCCCCTCACAATGACGTTCCAGGTCCCCCCACGAGTCGAGTCCTCCCGCGACTCCGGACAAGACTAAGACACAGAGCTTCTGGAGCAACATCTCCACCACCCCAGCCGGTCCGCCGCCGTCGAGCACGAATTCATTCACGCCTCAAGGACACCCCCCATCAACCATCTACAACACTTCCCAGCTCGGCAAATCTCAAAATGAGCACTCGAACTCTCTCTTTACGAAGTCAGGAGGCTTCAACACTAATGACAGCATCTTTGGATCATCATTTGGCTCTACCGACTTTGCCATGCCTAAAAAGGCCCCGCGCAATCTTCTCGCCCCTTCCAATCATCACAGCCGCGCTTCAGCACTTTCTCCAATGGCTCCGCATTGGGTCAGAGCACCAAATTCGGCTCCAAGTCGAATGCCTTCATGTCATCCCAAGCGAGCCATTTCACCAATGATGACGCAGGCGAGGAAGAGGAGGAGCTCGAGGAGGACGAAATGGAGGAGGACGCAGATGAAGACGCGGAGGGCGACATGGACCTGGGCACTCGTGAGCCTAATCGGCTCAGCTTTCTGGACTCCCAATTCGGGAAGCCGTTTGCGACGCAACCCACCACCACCACATCCTTCGACCACCCGAAGCCCATCTACTCCAATCCCACCGATGCCAAGCGCCCACGATTGGACGAAAACTGGACTCACCGATCGCCCCTCCGCAAGACTAAACTATCACCTAAGAAGACATCCGCCATGCCTTCGATCCTCCGCAACCTCGCGTCCCGATGTCGCCCAGCCCCTGTGACTGAGCCAGCCGATATGATCATCAACACAGAGGACTCGCTTGGTCGCATGTGGGATGATCTCCGGGAGACAAACACTAGACACATAGACATGGATCTCTTATTGTCGTACACCGCGAATAAGGTGGCTGCTACTTGGGACATTTGTGCAGATCGCAGTGGGATCACTCGTCCATACGGCAAGGGCTCAAGCATTGGCCCCGGCGAGGACGCACCAAACCTCGTCAAAGCGAGCTACTTGGCTTCCTTGTTACTGCAAATCCATCACCCTTCTCGTGCCTCCGCTCCAATCGCTTCGGCATCGAATCCTGCTGCTCATGGCGGGCCTGACAGTATGATCAAAGCTATGCAACGGGCTAGTGTGGCGACCCCCGTGCCTCAGATTCTCCTTGATTGGCTGAACTCCAGCCATTCGTCGCAATCAAATGATCTTCAGGCGTTGCGGTACGTGGAGCCAAATCCCACTGCGTCGTCCAATTTCTGGGACATTATCAATGCGACTGTTCTGCGCGGCCGATTCGTGGAGGCTGCTGAGGTCCTTCGATCTGCGGATTTCAATTACGCTCGATCTGCTCTCGAAGATGGACTTCCCCAGCCCGGCTACCGTGGCAAGCAGCTTCAGAATATCCAACACTGCGTCAACAAAGCTTTGCACATTCTAGACTCATGTCCTGGCTTCCAAGACGATGACTGGGATATCACTGGTCCCGACTGGACTGAGTACCGCAAAAAAGTGCTCAAGGCAGTCACTGCCCTCGAAGAGTACGCCGAAGGTGGAGAAAAGGACGAACAACTTGAGCCCGTTCAAAATCAGGGCTTCCAGGCCGTGAACTTTGGATTCCCGAACCTCGGTCCGAAGCCCACAAGCTTTACTCAATCGGCGCGTATGGCAGAGAGCCGTGTTCCTTGGTCCATTTACCAAAATCTACGGGCCCTTTACCGTATCATTCTCGGGGATACATCTACAATCAAGGCTTATTCTCAGGATTGGGTAGAGGCGACTATCGGGTTGACCGCTTGGTGGGACGGCGAGGACGACGACACCATTTCTGGCCCAGACTTCCGCACAAGCACAGGCAGCAATGATTTCCGACGGTCTCGCGGATCTAAGAACCTCCGTGCCGTGGATCGCAACATGCGCGATGCCTATCTCCGACGTCTGGATCTGGCCTTCGGCAATGTTACCTCGAACGACGGCGCGGAGAAAGGATTCCAGGTGAACACTTTGAACACCTTAGAAGTTGGACTCGCTTCAGTCTTCGAGGGCAACACTCAAGGTGTCCTAGAGCTGTTGCAATCCTGGTCTTTGTGTGTTGCGGCGGCTGTTGCGGAGATCTCCACCCTCGGAGGGTGGTTCGGCGTGTCCAGCAGTTCGAAGATGGCTGGTTTGAACCAGAATGATCTGATCGTTCTCTCTTACGGACAAGATACGCGGCCTTCGCAAGAGCTCAGCAAAGACCAAGTTCTTTGCAATTATGCAGCCGGGCTTAATGTGCGGGGGAGAATCGAGAATGAGACTGGGTCTCGCGACGGCTGGGAATTGGCTTTGGAAGTCTTGAGCCGGGTGGACGACGGGCCCATGATGAAAAAGGCTGTCGCCGAGATCATCGACGCGCTACCGCTAGACGATGTCACTCAGCTGGATCGACTGGTCATGCTTTGCTCGGACTTGGGACTGGAGGAGGAGGGTCGCCGTATCTCTGAGGTATGTTCGCCGATTCGGCCTGTTCCTGGGGTCCTAATCATAGTCGACAAAAAGTTAACTTAAGCACTCTGTAGCGTTTTGGTGATTCAATTACCAGCGATTCTGAGAAGTTCGGCATGGCGCTCATCTGCTATGCTCGTTCGCGCAACCGGCGCAAGGTCAAGTCGGTGATTGATCTGTTGATATCCTACAGTCTGGTGCACTCGCGCGCCTACCCCGCCGCAGAGGATCTGGATCCCGAACTCCGGTCTTTGCTCAAAGAGCCTAAGACCTGCCTTTCGGCTATTGCTTCCGTTGATGAGGAGGCTGCTCGCATCCTGCAGTTCTACCTGAGTGGATATGCCACCCTGCGTCGGTTCTACGAGACTCGTGACGAGGCCTTGAACCTCAAGGAGGGGGAGTTGCCGCGCTTCAAGCCTCTTGCCCGCCGTCGCATGGCTGGTAAGGCCCTCGCTGCTGTCATCAGTAGTGCTGCAGACAATATCTATGGAGGCTTGTATGACCCGTCGCGCGATTCCGCTGTTCAAGTCGACGGTCTGCTTGCCCTTCTTGGAGAAGCGCTTGTCTTTGTGAACCGTGAGTCACTGTTTTTTTTTTTTGGCATGCCCCGCAACTCTCAGACTGAATACTCACCTGCAACAGAACCTACTCCCGTCTTATCCGTCTCGGAGCAATTCACCATTCTCTCGGCCATCGAGGATCTCGAGACGGTGACCCCTCGGGTCTTCGCTCAGTGTGAAGAATGCTTCCGCTCCACCCTCCTGGCACAACGCAATGCCCCTGATGGATTTGCACCGCCTTCTCCTCGCGAGATGCTGAAGAAGTCTGTCTCCGGCCTGGCGGGATCCACCTTCTCCCTCATTGGCAGTGACATGTTGGAGTCAGCTCGCAATGGGTCTGGTTCTGCTTCGGTGGGTAGCTCAGGGGGTTCTTGTTCCTCACCCGGAGAAGGATGCGGGCCGAGCCCGTGGATGGGACTGGCGGGTCGGACTGCCTGAGTCGATCAAGGGAGCCGACGTCCTTCGGCTTCTGCGCCTGGGCCTAGCAAAGGGCTTGAGCTACAGTGCTTTGGGGTCGGTTTGAAAATGAGCTGAAAGATGGGGTCGGTGGGAGGGAGCCACCGTGTATGATTAGTTTCTGTCCAGACTTAACGCTTCTGGGCATTATGATAGCCTGTCCGTGCATGCAACAAGCATATCGCAATTTCTTATTCCCTGCTCGTGCCAGCGTCTCCACTTGGGCTTGCCTTCAGCCTGGATAATTGGGGTGGGGGGGATTCTGGGCACGGAGCCATAATTGCCCTGGCCTAACTAGTTCATGGTCATACGTAGTTTGTACTCTGGTCTTTATCCGTGGGTTCTACCTTAGTGGGTATGAGACATGAGAGGTCGGAAACTCCATTTGTCCTAAAGCCGTCCCCTCCAGACCCACGAGGGCAGGGTTTCGACGCCAATCACCCCTGCAAGTAGAATATGGAGCTTGTCGACTACAGCTGAGAGCGCGTTTCACATCGACACCAATCCCAAAACAGACCAGCCTCCTGTCTCAGCCCTATCCTCAAGGCCACGATCCACGGTTCGCCAGCAACCGGGGCAGCCAGTGAACGTCAGCAGCTGAACGAGGGAAGCCTAGACGCGCCAAACTCCACTCGAGCCACTGTGCAGATGTGCAGATCACGAGTGCTGGAAGGTTCTCCCTGCCCGACACCGCAGGTCTACCGTGTATCTGTCGTCCTCGATATGTGCAAAGCAAGCCGAGAAGACGGTGAGTTCAACGCCCGCTCAGCGTGTCCGACCAAGATGAAGGTATCCACGAGGCGGAGTCGACGCCCGACAGCGATCTCCAAAAGCAGGAAACATTTCGCGCTAACAGACCTTCCACGAGGGCCCCCGCTGAGCTATTCCAGGTTTAGTATAAAAAGCGGGAGAGAGACGCCCCAGGCAGAAACGCCAGTGGGGACCGGGCTCAGCCTCGCGAGGAAGAGCCACACTCGTGCTTTTGACCTTTTTCACCGACTCCTGCACCTATTTGGACTCCCCCGCGTGATGCCCTTAATGCTGCTCTCACCGTCTCAGAGCTCGTAGACCCACTGCCATGCACCCCAGCCACATGTGCTGTTAATCATGGGATTTTTTTTGCCTTGATTACCTCCCCTGGTGTTCCGCTCCTATGGGAATCGTGCGGGTGGTTCTAGTGTCCCCGAGTCTTCCGTAGACGAACTTAGGGAACGTCGTCATTGCTCTTGCCTGCCTTAGAGTTACGACTTTGGGGGGATTATGCCCGGTTCTTTTGCATTCGTCTAGCTTCTAGTCTGCTGTCTTTTCTTTTGTCATTCGGTATTTCGGGGCTGATTGGGCGCCGGTGGAAAGACTTGGTTGTATAAGCAGCATCGACATCGGCAAAACACTACTGTCCTCCGGCAATATGAGCTGTTCTACGGTGGGCTTGGAAAATAGTAGCATTATACATCTATTTTTGACGAAGACCGACTCCGCTGGAGCCATACTTTCTTTTTGCTCCTAGTAGCGTGTCGGGTCGATTCGACTGACGACCGAATCCCGTTAGTGACCTTGGCAGATCGGGTGGCTGAGCAGCGTGCGGCTCCTCATTATCGGCGTCCTTATTGCGTAGTAACAGCATTAAGGCCCAGATTTTGACCCAGTAAGCTTCATCCTGCATGAGTCAATGGCCAAGACGGGTGATCTAATCACGAACCTCCGAAAATATACAGGAAAAAAATGACGATAATAGAATGCCCCATGTCAAAAAGTGGAGCCGTCCAAGGGGACTCACGCGAGAACTAAGCTCGTCTTCAGCTGTATTCGTCGATTGGCGCCTGAGCCCCATCGGTCTTTTCCGACCATGGGAGCCTGGGGCCCCTATACCCATAGGGCTGGCCGTTGGGATGCCTTGCAGCTTGGATCACCTCAACCCGGTGGAGCAGAACGTGTCCACTTTGGGTGTCAGGTTCAGTTTCCGGGGCCTGCAATACTTCCAATTCCATATATAACTCCCGGTGCGGCCCCGTAGTTCGTCTGGCATATAGCGCTCTGTGATCTTTCCTTCGCCCGTTTGCCGTTCGTTGCTCAATAGCTTCATAATTACCGGGGCTGGTCTCTTTTCTCTTTCGTACCTTTTGCCCCCCCCCTCTGTGTCAAGCGTCAAGTCCCTCCACTGTCTTTCTGATACTCCCGGGACTTTCTTACGAGCGCCACCGTTCGTTGCCAACCTCTTGCTCTCCGCGTCGCCGAGTCCTTTCTCGAACTCTCTGCGTAACCAGTCGCGATTGTATTCCGATCTATCTTTACTTTTTTTACTTTTTTTTTTTCCCCTGGTCCATTCTCCCCTGCTCGAAAACTGGAATATAATTTTTTCTACCAATCTTACCCGCTCCCACGCACCATCGCCCACAATGTGCTACAAAGTCGTCGAACGCTACTCTGTCTGCAAGTGCGTCTACTTCCAACACTCCGTCGACCCCTGCCAGGCCTACGGCCAACGTGGCCACACCGTCCAGGAAAAGACCGTGCTAGTCGGCTACGCCTGCCCACGTCACTCCGCTAATGCATCCCCCCGCTTCTCCTACCGCTGGCCGCTGGCCGGATTCGGGGTACTCCAGTTCAAAGGGTTCGTACCGTTGATGTTTCCCTCTTCGCTCTAGCCCCGGTGGCTAGAGCTCGAGAAATCTTGAACTTGTGAGACTGGTTTCTCTGGACGGATCTGGATTGAACTGGAGGGTTGTGGGGCTTGATGGGTCTTTCCCCTTCCTCTGTTCCCTCTCCCAAATCCCTTATGTCTCGTACTGGTTACGAGGGGGTTGTGGTTAGTTGAGAGTGGGGGACTGAAGAGGGGGTTTCGCAATGGCTGCTTTGGCGATGGTCCCCACGATTGAATGTTGCCATTTTTCTTATGGAAGATTCGGGCTTCACTTCCAACTCCATCTGTCTGGATCGGTTCGGCGAGCCCGGCCGCTGGTTTGATGGATTTTCTCGTTCTTTCCCCTGTCTCGCTGGGCGAAGTGGGAGAGGGCAGTTTCGCTGGTTTCGTGACTGCTTGTACGAGTGATGGGGTTGGTTGGGAGGACCTGAGATATGTATGATTGACGTGGTGAGATCTTGATGTGAGTATGGCGAAAAATGTATGGTATACGAGGGATGTTGGCTCTGGAAGTTTTGTATGACTTTTTATATGGAGGGCTTGGGGTTCCTGCCAGCGGGTATGGTGGGTATGTCTGTCTCTTATGTTTTTTTGTTTTCGATATCTATGCATTATGTAGCGATGGGGTATGTGACTGTTTTTTTTTTTATACATATACATATATACAAATACACTCGTTAATATTTTTGTTGCGCATGCTTTGTATACTTGATCCACATCAGAGACGGCAGGAACATACATCTACTTGCATACTCTATGCCAGTCCGACCAATCACGGTCTCCTCGCCAACAGAGCAGCCTCATACGGCGCCAGCCCGATCCCCTCGAGAACCCTAATTTCAGAGACGCCGACCCAACAAAACACACCTCGTAGTCCGCCCAATCGTATGCCGGCCCTCAGCCACAGAACGACTTCCACCGCCCCATCGCCATATTGGTCCAGATACTTGGCTACCAGCCGCGGATCACGCGGGTAGACAAACATCCACGCCGCGGCGTCCTTGGCGCGAGGACAAAGACCCCAGGCCCCGCCAACCACATGCATTGCTTCTTCCGGGACGAAGCGGTTTACGGAGGAGTTTACCTCCACGCCCTCGACTACTGTGTCTGCATCGCGATACGTGATGAGGCCTTCGAGGAGACCGCTTCCGCTGCCGATGGAGAGGGTGTAGTGGGGGAGTTTGGGGAGGAGAGTGATTAGAGCATTGAGGAAGGGGGCGAGAGAACGAAGACAGCAGCCAGGGAATTGGTTGGGTGTTTCGGTCAGTTGCTCTGAGATTTGGGATATGTCCATCATCAGCGTTGGAGAGAGGCTTTGATGTGGTGGGCTTCAGGGTTTGTAGAGGCAGTAGGTCTTGGCGTAATTTTGGTATTGGATTGTTACGGCAGAGGTAGATTATTTGTTCTTATCAGGGTTGGAGTTGACGCACCGGGGGTTTTGCAGGGGTGAATGACAACGGGAGTCACGTGTGCTCATTTCAATAAATACAGAGATGGAGTTGAGCCCTTACCACGTAGTATGGCATTGTTCCGCTGGCAAGTTGTCCATGGAGCATCTGTTTCGGTCGAGCCTGCGGTAATATGCAGGGCGAAGCGTACATACGGGTTGCTGGGAAACTGTCGTATCGAGCGCAAATGTTGTTATCTACAAGGATCAATATTCAGGTGTGGTTCCTGGTCTTATGAAAAGGGCCGCGATCGGTGAAGCCATGATGTTCCCTCTACTACACCCTCTTAGGTTGAGCGACTTGGAAGCGAGTCTTGGTATATAGATCTGTCCCTGAACTCTAACTTGGAAAGATACTTGAGTGCTCGAAATATTTGACAGCTACACTGACTGCCTGCTACAAGACAGGGTGAATATCAATGGATATTCTGCAGCCTAGTAGGCCTCCGAGTTGTACAATTCATCCCGACACCCGAGCCCTAGAAATGACTCAAACATTGATGATTCGCGCATCAAGGTCAAGGCAACCGGAAATCCAGGCCGCTATCTCCACCACCAATGCCGCGAAGGCGACACGTTGGCTTCCAAATCATCCAGCGTAATAATCTCCGTTTCTCTGAGATTGAACTCTGCTTCTGTTGGTTTGCGGGCCCAGACCCGTCGTCTTCGAATGTCAGCAAACACACATCCCATACACATGCGCTACTTACACGTTCTGATACATGTGGTACTCAGGGTTTCCCAGTTCCTCCCGCACTTTGTCCAACAAGGCCTGCACTTCCTCCTGTGTCCACGGCTCCGGTCTGGCCCACTGGGTCAGGAACCTCAACACCCACCCCTCCATCCCAGACAGCCACTGGTAGTAGTGAAGCCGTCCGGCTTCCTTGGAACGAGCGTCGTTGAGCCATGGCCCAATGGCCCATCGATAGGACTTTTCTCTGATATCAATGAAGCCAGCATTTTCGATCGACGCCCGCATTGTCTCGCTTGTGTCAAGGTGGTGATTCCAGTTGCTACCCGCCTCTGTCGTTGCGGCGACTAGGTAGCGGATGCTCGCGTTCGGCGGGAGGCTGTCGTCGTCGCATCGGATCTGTGGGTCGATCTCAAGCTGCTCGATCCAGCCCTCTGGTGCGAGGTTGCTGTGGAGAGTGATAGGCATTAGACTATGTCCCCGTGGCCGAGACAGATGAATCTCCTCACTCGTAGCAGCGCTTGTAAATGGTATTCCAGTCTTCTGGCGTCCATGAGCCCGTCATAAACCGGAGGTGGATCAGATCAAACGGGGATCGCCACGTCCAGCTCAACAACAGGTCTTCGACTTCCATATAGCAGTTCGGGGGCACCCATTCGGTGGGCGGGGGGTATAGATCAACGCCGCGGATAATTGCTGCTCTTTTTGTCGGTAAACGTTTTTGGAATAGACCGGAGCGTCTTACCGTCGGGTATCTGTCTGCCACGTCGCTTGGAACATTTTTAGATGGAACTTGTTGACAGTGCGGAGGAAGAAGAAGCTTACACGGCCCAACTCCCTTTCCCAGTTCCCATGTCTAGGATGTGCTGTCGTGAATTGCGATCAGCGGTTATTTTCGCCGCTACTGCTGCGGCTGGACTATACCTTCGGGTCTTCAACAGGAGCCTGAAAGAATTGGTTGTCGGTGTTGGTGTCCAATAGTTGACAGATTGTGTGGCTGGTCAAGTTAGCAGAGGCTATGCAACATTTTGTTTCTTGCTAAGTACCCGACTTCTTGACTTTCGAATTGCTGGGCATCGCATGGCCCCCTGAAGCGGGTATCAGTCACTTGCTACGGAAGATCAACCTACAGACGTGCCTACCAGTAATCGCCTTCTCGAGTTGTCTGGTACCTGCGCCGTTACAGATAAACTTTGACCATTTGACCATTTGGCGCATTGGAAGGGCATACCGTCTGCCATTTTCAGTCACTCCATGATAGATCGATGCCGCAAGAGAGGTCGTCTCTCTACTTCAGGGTCAGACACACACTGCCGCATCCTATGGGGTCCAAAACGTTTCGTGCATACGAGTTTGGCTCATGTGACTGGCATGGCTCCGGGGGATCAGGATCCTAGACTGTATGAGTTTTGGCGATATCCTGCTCGTCGAACAAAACGCACCACTTCGATGTACTGCTCAGCCATGGGGCAAAAGTCGACGCTGCGGACTGCCTCCGGAGGGGATTTAGCGACGGACTAGGTGCTTAATCTACTTTCCAGACTACATGACTCGGGGAGCGGATACTTAAACCATAGACAGACCCAGGTCACACCCACCGTGGTCTGCCCCCCCTTGCTACAGCCTACAGAGTTCGTGGCTTTGATACGATGGGTTCGCTAGCCTAGTCTAGCGTATTAGCAAACGAACCGGGGTAGATACAGATCTAGGGCCTCGAGATCGAGATTTATGGCTCGCCCGTCTGGGGTGGGCGTGGAGGGAGCCGCACTGGCACAGTTCACGCAGTAATCGGCTCTGGTCTGATTCGTCCACGTCGGAAAATAATCCATCAACGCCCTACAAGTGACGGGGGGGCGCTACTTCTCTGACATTGCTCGCTTTCCTGTTTTGCACTCGGCGTGCAGACGCGGAGGTCCAATCAGTGCTTTTGATCACACCTATCGCTTGTTGTGGGGCTGACAGTGTAGCCTTGTGGCGAGACAAGGCGAGAGATGTGAGAGATGTGAGAGATAAGGACGCTCAGGCGAGTCTTTTTGTAAGGGTAGATGGTGTGGGACTTGGAATTTGCAGGTGTACAGGCTCTTGACTGCGGGAGTTGTTGGGCGGGAACATTTGCGGGGTCCCTCTCAGAAACTCCACGCTAACAAGATCTGGATCAGCAGGATCAAGCACCAACGCCATTTGTGGATGGCTGTTCTTGTTGAAAAAGTCTCCGAGCTCTCAGTCCACTACGAACTGTACGCAATGACTTAGTAGACCTGCGGTCGCAATAGATAAGCGCGTTTGCCACGCGAGACTTCCCTGCCCAGTGGGAACCGGTCCGGGACAGCTTGTCAAAATCCCATCCTCTTGCATGCTGATAATGTGGCAGTCACGGTCGTTGGGAGAATGCCAATGCATCGCACACGAGCATTCCCCCCCCCTTCTTCCGTCTCTCATGGAATAGACTCCGGCCCGAGACCGTTCCCCTAATCCTTGCAGTGTTTCCTCAGAGGCTCGAAAGGGTGGCATCGTGACCTTGTCAGATTTTGTCAAGGGATCTGACGTGCATGCTAGTCTACCTTGGTTGCTTTAAATCATCGAAATATTCCGAATGGGAAGACCCGGGGACTCCTTAACGGGCTGGGATGCAAGTCTCAGGGAATGTGACCGGGATTATTTTTGGCCATCACCAGAACAATAAGGCTGATTCGATGGAGGAGTCAGGCTAGTGGGCTCTAGTGGCTTGCAGCAGACCCCACCGGGCCACGATGAGCGTCAAATGGCCGGGGGTGATTGGGAGCAGACGAGGTTGACAGTCCATCACGGCGACCTCCCCCCAGCGGCCAATCACGCCCCAACACTACCCGCCCACGCTCGCTCCAACCTTCGGCAGCGCTGATCGATTCGCTTCCCTTAAAAGAATCCCAGAACCGCCCAGGCGCTTTTTTCTCTTTCTTTCTTCAGCGAGTTTTTTGTCGGTTGAGCTGCCTTGTTCGAGTTTGTTCCTAAGCACTGGTTGCTAGGTTTCCTTTTCTTATCCATTACAATTAATTATCCCATTTTGACAACCCCCCCCCACAAAACCCCATTATACACATCACGAGCTGTGCTCTTTTGTGTCTTGATTCCCCACCAATTTCGCCTTGCTTCGGTCCCAACTCGTCTCTTCATTCTACACAGCCAGGTCTTGCGCCTCAAACCTTCGTTGCCGGTCAACGTTGTGCCTTGCTGTCTCAGTTTTCATCGACAAAACACGTTAATCTAATCTCGCTCGATTCTATTTTCTCGTTGTCGTGGACAGGTTCCCGATCCCAGAGTTCTATATCAACAGACGATCAAGACTCCGGTAGTTCTTGATTCATATTTCCAACTCTACCCTTTAACGCCGCGACAACTTCTACACATCTTTTTTTTTGTTTTACATATTTATTTACCCTCTGTTCATAATGGCCGCCGTTCAGCTCAAGTTCTCTCTGCGCACCTCGTCCAACGTCAAGACCGTCCACCTGGTCGGCTCTTGGGACAACTACGCCCGCCAGCTGCCTCTGTCTGCCGAAGACAAGCCCGGTGCATGGGTTGGCAAGTTCCGCTTCCAGACCTCCATGCTGCAGCTGGGAGGCCGCTACTGGTACTACTACATCATGGACGGCTACCACGTCTCGCACGATCCTGCCGTCGAGTACACCGTCGAGCCCACCACCGGCCGCAAGCTCAACGTCCTTGATGTCCCCGGGGGCAAGTCCACCCGCGATTCCCGTAGCGCTACCAAGGCCCGCCGTGGCTCCGTCAACGTCGCTACCGGCCGCGCTCTCTCCCCTCCAAGATCCAGCACCCCAAGCCTTCCAAGCCCTACGCTTCGCGCCAGCTTCGCGAGGCCGAGTTCGGCGCCCCTACCGTCGACGACCTGACCCGCCGCTTCGCCGGCTCCCGGCTGTCCGACGAATACTCTTACTCCAACAGCCCCCCCAGTTCCGTCGGCTCTTCGCTGTCTTCCCGCTCCTCGGGCTCGACCTCTCCTTCCTCTCTGTCTTCCATGAGCGACCCCGCCTCCCAGTGCCACTGTGAGCGCTACGGCATCACCCGCAAGGGCGACCGTGTCAAGCTCGACTGTGGTGGCAGCCGCTGCGGCTACATCACCGAGTCTTCCGATGCCAGCTGCTCCGAGGACGAGGACGAGAGCGACGAGGAGTACCGCCGTGCCCGCAGCGGAGTCCGTCGCCAGGGCATCGTTGTCCGCCGCTAAGCTCAACAAGGGTCGTTCAGATCGGTCTCCCGGGATCTGGACTGGCTTGGGAATTCCTGTTTTCGTTTGGCGTGGTCTTTCAGTCTCACGACTGGACCGTGGTCGCAGGGAATCGGTCATTGCTTGCTTTGATTGCAATGCTTTCTGAAACATCTGTTGAAACTTTTGCAAAAAAGACAAAGAAAAAAAAAACAGCCCGAGCCGCGGGTGAACCGGTTTCACGCCGTGGGTGGGCGGGGATGGTAATCGTGGATGCTGGTGGATGAAGTGGAGGAGCAGCAAGAAGACATCGATGGTCCGTATCCGATGCAACCCGTCAAGTTTCCACCCCGGGGAACCTCTGCAAGAGGTCCTTCCCCGGCCAGGTGGTCGACAAGCTTATCTCGCGCATTGCGTGAGCCATAAGAGTCAATTCCGTTCTGTAGATCCAGCACACTTCGCTTCTCCTTATGAGGAGTCGAAGGGGACTACAGCCGCGCGGCCCATGTATCTCGCTCGCCAACAAGCATCCGTGGATGCCCGGGCTTCGCCGAAGCCTTGGCGGTTAGTCTTATTGAGATGCGATGAAAATAATGAGATATGACCATTGGATCCGTTGGCGCCAATGTCCCGTCGTAGAGTAGTCTCGAGCATTGACGTAGAGTGTGCAGCCCGCTAGAAGGACGCTGAGCCAGGCCCCAATGGCTGGTATACTTCATGCTCTGTGGAAGTCGCCCTGTAGTCGTGCCATAATGTATGACTGATCACTTTGAGTCTCGTCGAGACTTACGTTTCAGCCTCAGATGGGGAACCAAGTTTGCGCTTAGGCCAGTCGGGGCGGGAAGGCATACTAGCCATCTTGCTATATTATAGGTGCCAGATATTTCCAGAGATGGACTGTTCGCTCTGGCTGCGTGGTGTAAGCCATTACGAACAACTAAATAGTATGACTTTCTTCCCTTTCCAGCTTGCGCTATGCATTCCGAGCTCAATATTTTGACTATAAAGGGAGTATCGGACCTCGTCAGAGTTTCCTCAATCCATATCGCCATGACTTCTATCCCCCACAGTACAATGCTGACTCAGTAGAGTCGCTGATGAAAGCCTTCAGCTTTCGTCATAAGAGGGTAAAAGATTAGAAGTCCAAGTCTCACATCTAGATAATCTAGTAGTTGCTTTTGCAGACAAGTGCTGGGAAAGTAACCATTTATGCGAAAACTTCTAGACCCCTGTCTGCAACCACGGTTGTCCGGTAAGTTTAAATCCATTCTCTGGGTTCTGCTTGCCCCCATACTTGTAATACCGATAGATTCCTTCTGGTCCGAAAATCCTCCAAAATCAATTCCCGAGTCATCATCGCGTTGGATATTACCCGGCTCGAGACGCTTCTCCTGATGGAAGTGCTCATCCGACGCGGCACTTCACCCGAGGAAAGCAGCGACGAGATGGTATAACGGCCTCGCCTGAGCTTGAGAGTCCGCGGAATCTTGCAATGCTATTCCTAAAAGCCCATATGATTGATCTGCATGCAATCTGGAATTCCAAATGCGCCTGGCTCAAATATGTTTATCTACTCTTGGAGGTGTTCGATCACCAGACATCTGACATCATGGATGCCTGAGGACATCATTTGAGAGCTGCCGGAACTTTGCACCCTTTGGCTGTTTCAACCGACAAAGTTCGCGATAGCTATTGGGGGATTGGGAGGGATGCAATCCTGTTGAAGCACCTTCTTCAAATCCATTTACATGGGCAATGCCTGGCGCTTGGTTTAGTCATGCTTAATCCCCCATCCATTCTTACAGCTCCCCCCCCCCGCTCGAGCTTGCCAAATGACACCGTGTTTCACCTTTGTGGACCAAATCCTGACAGCTGGCGAGCTTCAACGGGCGTCATAGCCAAGTTCCTCGAATATCAAACAATCGGTGGAATTCGTGGCGACATCAGCCATGCCCGGTTTTGTACGGTCTCGTGACCTGCACGCGCCACAGCAGGTCTTGTTTGGAGGGGTGGATGTGACATAAGCGGCTTGAGGGGGACTTGACCTTCACAGCCATTTATAGCGAACCAATCAGATGTATGGACGGGCCCCAGGTGTAGGCCTCCAGCGTAGTACCGCCATTTTGATGGGGTTGGGGCTGTGGAGAGCAGCCCCGTCGAGCTCAGGTTTTCTGTAAGCACGCTCAAGACTTTGATTCCCATAATGTCTAGCGTACACGCTTGACAGCGGCTAAAACTAGTTCCATGCTAGGCAATTGGCTTTCAAGAATTGTCCCTTGACAGGCGTGCGTAAGGCTGATCGAGATCGTTAAGCTCCGATCCCCACATGACGTTGATCCGATGTCATCTGCTTATCTTTGCTTGCGTAGCTCCCAACTCCGCAACTGATCGACATGCAATTAATTTAATCTGAACCAGGGACACTTACACCGTGGATGGCTCTATCCTTGCCAACGCCACTCCGTTCGTCATGTTCGTCACTTTGCAAACGGTCGTACAACTGTACATGGCGTCATCACTATTTGTTTGTCTATATAAGCAATCCTGGAATTAGCCGTGTAGTACCAATACAAGCAAACAAATTGTCTACTTAAAAGCCCTTTAAGCCCTTTTCAAACCTTTTCACATCTTTCACCTTCCTCTTTTCCAACATCACTTCGATACAACTTTGATATCCATCCATCATGTCTGGCATCATCAACAAGGTCAAGGACGCTGTCTCCCACCACCAGAAGGACGACGTCGATGACCGCACCGACAACAACACCTTCAACGAGAATGCGCGGTCCTCCAACCACGGTCCTCATGCCAGCAACGTTGCCAACGAGGCCGACCCCCGCGTCGACAGCGACCGATCTAACGTAGCTGGCTCCACGGGTGGCTCCACGGGCTATGGCTCCCAGTCTACCAACCACGGTCCTCATGATAGCAACATCGCCAACAAGGCTGATCCCCGTGTTGACTCGGACCTGGACAACACCCGCACCTCCCACACTGGAGCCACTACTGGTGCTACTACCGGCTCATCCCTGAATGAGCCCACTACCCGTGGCTACGGCTCGCAGTCCACCAACTATGGCCCTCATGACAGCAACATCGCCAACAAGGCCGACCCTCGCGTCGACTCGGACCTTGACAACACCCGTACCTCTCACAGCCAATCTGCCGCCCCCGGCATCGCCGCAGGAGGAGCCACAGCCACCGGCGCTGGCCGTGAATCCCTTCAGCAGTCTCGCACTACCGGTCCCGCCTCGTCCACTGCCGGACCCCACGACAGCAACGTCGCCAACAAGGCTGACCCCCGCGTCGACTCTGACCTCGACAGCACCCAGCGCAACAGCACAAGCGGCACCACCAACACCGGCCGTGACTCTCTTCAGGAGTCTCGCATGACCGGCCCCGCCTCTTCCACCGCTGGACCCCACAAGAGCAACGTCGCCAACAAGGCCGATCCCCGCGTCGACTCCGACCTCGACAACACCCACCACTACGAGAAGGAAGTCCGCAAGGACAGCCTCCTCGGTACGGCCGGAGAAATGGACGGTGACTTCAGCAACGGCCCAACCTCCACCAAGACCTTCGAGGAGGCCCAGCACGCGGGTGCAGCCGGTGCAGGTGCTGGTACGGGCAGCAGCTACAACAACCCTTCTAGCCGCTCCACTGCCGGTCCCCACGACAGCAACGTTGCCAACAAGCTTGATCCCCGCGTGGACTCTGACCGGGACGGCTCCACTACGATTGGTAACCAGCGTGCTTAAAAAACAGATCGTGTACGATATTTTATGATGTCTGATGAGTAAGCGTTATGACTTTTTCCAGTGAAGCTTTTTTTTTTTTCTTAATCCTTGCTTGAGCCATAAAGAAATGATACATGGATTTATTGTCTTACTCCTTCGATTTGCCGTAATATTTCGTAAGAGAAAGCCTGCTTGTAGATCTTCAGAGTTTTGGATTGTCGAGAGTGTCACATGTGTGACGCATGTACGATCACTTGATTTATCAAATAAGATGCATTGAGTCGACGCGCCGTCCCGGACCTGCAGTGGTGTAGATCTTGACAAAATGGGAATAGAACATCGGATCAGATTGGACAAGCTTCTCGGTGAAAGGACCTCCCTTGCCATGCTGACGGTTCTACTATCAGATCTCATTCTGTTGACTAGTGTATGACGGGGACGGTATCTGTGGTATTCCTCGGCGCTCGCATCTTTAGGAATTTAGGGTTGTGACTAGAACCTGAACAAGTTGGGATTTCGCGTTTCATGCTAAATACATGGGAATCGTTGTGTTGGGTACTTAGGTATCAATATACCCCAGCAAGGGCAACAGAGGGACCTCGTACAAGAATGGCTTAGACAGGACCACCGAAAGATCTAAGACCCCAGGATACCCCAAGTCCCCCCAACAGTGTCATCATAACATGATACTCCGCATATCTCCTAATAGCTGCACTGGGAGCAGACCAGCAGTGCCTCTACAAATACCACAAAGAGACAACAGACTCGTTGATTCTGACTTTCTGACTATGTATGACCAGATGGATGAAGATGCGATGGCCCACCCCCGACGCCGCAACATAGTCCTAAGACCCGCATTTTGTAAATCATTAAAGTACAGTTAGAAAAAAGAGGAGGAAAAAAAAAAGTTGAGGAGCCACGCAAAACATGATTAGCGCACCGACACTCCAGATCGACCGGTAAACATCCGCGCGGCAATGTTCATCGAGGCCAGCTCTTGGAACAGAAGCTTGGCGGCGTAGGGGATGTGCACCTGGGAGATGCGGTGTTTGTTGTTGCACAGGCGGCACTCGAAGAGACCCTTCTTGAGTTTACTATAGTGATTGTTAGCCATGGTTTTCTCGATATCGGGGTCATGGAGCAGAAACTTACGCAATAGGGGTCATCAGACCACAGTCGTCGCAAATGTGGACGCGGAAGGGGTCCGACACGTCAAACAGACGTTCCTTCAAGAACGCACTAGCACCGTGAGCGATCATGCAATCGCGCTCCATCTCTCCGAACCGCAGACCACCATCACGAGCACGACCTTCGACAGGCTGGCGGGTCAGGATCTGTGTGGGACCACGAGCACGAGCGTGAATCTTGTCATCCACCATGTGGCGCAGACGCTGGTAGTATGTCGGACCTAGGAACACCTGTGCCACCATCTTACGACCGGTGTGGCCGTTGAACATGACCTCAAACCCACGCGACTGGTATCCGTGCTCGCGGAGGAGGCGGGAAATCGAGTCGACAGTCACATCGGTGAAGGGCGTGGCGTCACCTTCGAATCCACGCAGCGCAGACACCTTACTCAACTGACACTCAATCAAGTGAGCAATGGTCATTCGAGAGGGAATGGCGTGAGGGTTGATGATCAGATCAGGCACGATACCCTCGCGAGTAAAAGGCATATCTTCTTGGCGGTAGGTGATACCGATTGTACCTTTCTGACCGTGACGAGAGGCAAATTTGTCACCGATTTGGGGAACCTTGGTCGTACGCATGCGCACCTTGACGAACTTGAGATCGTCGTTGCCGGTTGAAATCAACACTTGATCGACGATGCCGTTCTCGGTGCTCCGAAGAGGCGTCGAGACGTCAATCTTGGTATGGGCTTTGGTGCGCTGGCCAAGTTCCTCGGCATCCGGAGCCAACGGGGCAGTCTCTTTCCGATGATGATATCTTCACCAGATACACGAGTACCCGGAGCGATAATACCATCATCGTCCAGTTTGTCGTAGGTTCCTTTACGCATACCAAGGGTGTCGGCACGCATGGGCCTCTCGAACCGCTCCAAAACACTCAGGCCCACCATCTTTTCACTGTCGGTGTAGGTTCGGTAGAACAGACTGCGGAACAGGCCACGGTCGATACTGCTCTGGTTCATAACCACAGAATCTTCCTGGTTGTATCCGGAGTAACAAGCGATGGCAACAATAGCGTTCTGACCAGCAGGCAGCTCACGGAATCGCAAGAACTCCATAGAGCGTGTAGTGGCAAGAGGCTTCTGCGGGTAGTAAAGAATGTTTGCCATGGTTTCCATACGCTGGGCGAAGTTGGTCAAGAACACCCCCATAGCCTGTTTACCCATGGCAGACTGGTAGGTGTTACGAGGCGACTGGTTATGATCGGGGAAAGGAATGATACTGGCACAGACACCCAGGATCATACTAGGGTGGATCTCACAGTGAGTCCAAGTGTGCGCCTTCTGAGTCAGAACTGAACGGACACGCTTGTTGGGATCGGCCGATTCATCTTCTGGCAGAGCGTACCCGGCCTGGAGCTGCTTGGAAATTTCCAAATCCTCAGGGGTCATGACAATCATGATGGTCTCTTCTTCTTCAGCGTCCACGTATTCGACGGCGCCAGACCGTACCAACCCATCCCATCCGAAGTAACGCTCCCGTCGTTCCTCGGGGTCGAGATCTGGTGGCAGATCCTTGTCTTGCTCCAGCTTGTGGATATGCTCCTTGTTGAGGATCAGGGACCCAGCGTTTTCGCTCTTGAGGTCGTTGTCAACCACGAAGAGGGGTCGACAGACACGACCAGCGTCGGTAAAAATCTTGAATTCACGCTCACGAATGTCACGGATCAAGCTGACTTCGTGCGAGATCATATTGCGACGACGCAAAGAAGACATGGTGTTGACCAAGTGGGACGGATCACGGTGGATACCAACCCAGACACCGTTGACAAACACCTTCGTGGCATTAGGTGTGACCTGAGGTTCAAATTCTTCGAGGACTTCCATGTTCCGTTGAATCATGAAATCAATGATAGGTTCGCTCGGAGTGCCTACAGTGATGTAGCACATAAGAGCCAAGTTCTTGACCAGACCACAAGCCTGACCTTCAGGAGTTTCGGCAGGGCAGACAAGACCCCAATGCGTGTTGTGCAACTGTCGGGGTTTAGCAATTTTACCATCTCGTCCGATGGGCGTGTTGGTCCGTCGCAAGTGAGACAAAGTCGAAGCAAAGGTATAACGACTAAGCACTTGGGACACACCCGCCTTGGCACTGGCAGCCTTCTTCTGTTCACCCCAGTTACCCGTAGCCAGCGCATACTTCAAACCACCGGTAAGGGTACTAGCCTTGAGGCCGATGTTGAGGTAAATCTCACGGTTGCTCTCAACGCAATGCTGGACATAGCGCTGCAAGTCCCGAGTGACACGAGTAAAGAGGACACGGAACAGGTTGGCTAGCAAAGGACCAGCCAGATCCAGACGCTTCTTACCGAAGTGGTCACGATCGTCAACGTCACGACGACCCAGTGCACACTGGAGCAGTCTATGCACCATGTAACCAAGGAAGAAAGCCTTGCGAGTTTCGCTTCCTTCGCTTTGCGAAATGTGAGGGAGCAATTCCTTCTGCATGATCTCTCGCGCATATCGCACCCGACGTTCGTGATTCAAGTTCGCTTGAGAGGAGCCACGCTTGGCAATGAAATCGAGGGCAACTTCGCGGTCTTGAATGACAAACCCTTCCTCGATACAGGGCTTCAACATCTCCAGCATGGGGGTATCGTTTCGGTCGTAGCAAATGTGGTTAAGGATATCCTCGTCAGACACAACACCCAAAGCACGGAAGACAACGACAATGGGGATATCGGTCTTGACGTAAGGAAGGGTCGAGCGGATGGTGGGACCAAAGCCGCCCTTGGCACTGTCACCCTTGGCGAAGAGTTTAAGAGCGAGTTGGGACAGCAGACGTGAGCCCTTCTCGACGGCACTGCGAATTTCAGCAACATAAGGCGTTGGGCTCGGTGGTGCTTTCTTGAAGACCTGGACGATATTTCCGGCACTTCGTTCCTGCGCAATCAAAACCTTCTCACTACCATTAATAATGAAATAACCGCCAGAATCGTAAGGACACTCGTTCCAAGCGTAGAGCGACTGCTCGTTCAGATCCTTCAGGATACAGTATTTGGACTTCAGCATGATGGGCATCTTTCCGATGAACACTGTTTCCTCCTTGGTCTGCTCCGCTGAGAGTTGTTTTTGTTCCCACTGCAGATTCGTACCACGGGCTTTACGGTCTTCATCGTTGTCCGCAGGCAGCTCATCGTCATCACCATCGCCGATCGGACGTTCCCGTCCTTCCATAATCTTCTTCGTGACACCCAGGTAGAGCGGACTGGCGTAGGTGAGGTTTCGCAGACGCGCTTCTTGCGGAAGCATGATTGTGGTTGCGCCATCACCTTCTGTTACCGATGGGCGCGAAAGCATGACCGTACCAAATTTGAGTTCATATCGGCGAACCACCACGGGGTCGATTTCGTCTTCGGCCGGCGGTAGAGTCTGGTCGAGAACCACTTGTCCTTGTTCCTCGACCAGTTCCTGCATCGTCGAAGAGATGAATTCATCGAATGAGTCGAGCTGCTGGGAGACCAGACCCTTGGTGTCGAAGAACGAAGATATCACGGTCCAGCAGTCCTCCGAGGTGATTCCCTCATCTCCTTCCTCGTAGATATCCTCCTCGTAGCCATCGTCGTAGGTATCCATGATGTCGGTTTTCAAGCGGGACCGATCTTGCGGTGAACGGTGGCGGAAGGAAAGATTTGCGGACGGCGCGTCGGGAGTCGGGTAATGAGTCGCCACCAAGAGAGTGTGGTGTCTCACAGAAACAAACGCTGCCGCGCGGAGAGGTGGGGAAGGGAGGAGGGGGAGGGGCGAAGGAAGGAAAAGTGAATGAAATCTGGGATGAAGGACCAGCTACCTAGCAGGTCACCCTCGCGCTTGTAATCGGGGATCACCAAACACGTAACTTGAGCCCGCCTGTAAGAGACTGAAGAAACGTTCCTGCAGTCTTCCCGCAAGTTGGGGACAAGCTAGGGGAAGAGCACGGTGAGCTTGATAAGACTTCCCTGTCGCAAGGATGAAGGGACTGGAGATCACCAAGAATCTTGATGCTTCGGCGGTCTTTCCGCGCTAACCTTGCTGAGTGTTATCCCACGTGACGTGACACGTGATCTCATAGATTTTGCCTTCGCGCAAGCCGATCTCTTTCTCTTTCAAAGAAACGTTGCCTATTTGCTAGATAGTATGGAGTATTACGGCTTTGAAGCTAGTTCTATGGTTTCTCTCTGTCTATTGACGTCGTTTCTCCATAGTAGCAAATAATACATCTAACACCATGGAGCATAATGCTTTAGACCCGCACAAGATTTTGTAAGGTGAAGCGAAGTTTTATCGAATTATTGATGATACTGTGGAATAGAATCTCCTTTAGGAACCCTCCATGTCATTCTTAATCGTTGTATGAGGATGGATTCTTTGACCTTGATATAACCATTTCTTGGTCGCGATCTAGTGTCCCGACAGCAAAAACAAGTACGGGTGCCCGGACGGACCCACGACGCAGCGACCGCCAAGCCCGCTCCGAGTTGCCGCAGATTTGATTTCTCAACCTCCAACTTCGATCATCCCCATCTAAAGCTCTCCCTGATCTTCAACCTCCATATCATCAACCAAAATGGCCCCCAAGCGCGTTTCCCACGGCCAGAAGGGCCTCTTCAGCACCATTTACGATGAGGCCACCAACCCCGAGAACAACACCATCGTCCGTAGCCTGATCGTCTTTGGTGTAAGTGCCCTACCTTGATTCTATCCAGTGATTTCCTGAATCAGATTCTAACTTCTTGAATAGGTCGGCGTCGCTTTCCTCCACAGCAGCCTCGGCGAGATCCTCCTCCCTCCGTAAGTCGATCAGGAACCGAAGCGTGTGATCAATCACCGGAGACGTCACTAACGTCCATCAGCATGTAAATCAACTGTGATTCGAAATCCTATCCTTCCATATCGATTACTCGCCCTCTGTGGCAATATAATGGCCTCGATTCATGAGGAAGGTGCTATGGCGCGTTCAGACGCACCGTCCTTCATCTCTGTACAATAGTTCTCTTCGACGGGATATTGCGAGCACTGTCATGTTTGCCCCGTAATGTTATGAATACCAAATGTCTTGGGAAATTGGCATATGAATATCTTCACGGACTTCCAACTACTTACGCTAGCGACCGTAGCGGAACTTCAGGACTCCTTGCATTGGCTAGTGAAAGCGTTAATTAAACTACTCGAGATTTAGCGTTACTCTAAGCGGCGCTCCTCGAGACTGTTCGGCTTGCAGAATGTCGAGCTTAACTAACCCCGTTAATCACGACATACTTTCAATATTGTGCACTGTATTTGATACTGGTACGTGGATGGGTTGTCTAGGTCTATGTTGGTCACGGTAGCTCAAGATACCAACACGGGATCTCCGGCCAGATTTCAAATACGTTGAGAGAAGGACCGACATATGCCATCGCTCAATAAGCTGAAAAAGGATATATAGTCGAAACCTTTGGATAAAAAAAATAGTGAAGTCGTTACATCCTAGAATTGCCGGCTAGGAGAGCGACTCTTACAAGCGCGATGGACATCTGCAAAGTGCGCTTCAGAGACTCCGAATAGGTATGGATGATTTCCGCGCGAACAGGATTGGAATACTAATCGACGAAAGCCTCCGAGGCGCGTTCGTACGCCTGCCCATCACTCAGGGAAGCTCGGACAGCTGGATCGGAGATCGTGGACAAGAGCGACTCGAACCGGTTCATGATTGCTGAGGAAATGGTCATGCCCCAGATGATACCGAAGTTTCGGATGAAGGCCCAGAATGCCATGGCGGCTGCGGTGCTCATCGAGCCCGGCCTGTACGGCAGGAAGGAGGCATGGCAGGATCAGATTGAAGAAGAAACCCGCGAGCATTCGAATGGGGACCGATGCTGCGGTCGACGGATTTCCTCAAGGATCGTGAAAAGCCCTTGTCCGACAATGGCCACTTATAAGCCCACGAATTGGACAGGGGCAAACCTGCCCACAATCTTCATGAAAGCATCGCCGATGACCACAGCAGGAGAAGAGTGATCTTTTGGGAGGATCTGGACTCCGGTATGGACAGGAAAACACGTCTGGACAGCACGGAAGTAGACAGATAGGAAGTAGATGCGCCACATGCTGAGGATAGACCAGATCAATGTGATAGAAAATCCTGCTGCGGAGGTACTGTTGTCGAACAGTCAAAGAGACACGACGATCTAGCTGCATGGTATTGCCGACAACGTGAATTTCACCAGACGCTCCTTAACTAAGTTCTTGCGATAGCTGATGCTGAAGCCAATTGCGACAACCACGGCAGCAAAGCCGGCAATGGGAAGACTGACGTAGAACGCCCATCTCCAGGAAATTGTATCGACAATGATACCTCCCGCGTATGGTCCAAAAGCTATTCCGATATATACGGCAGCACAGGTGATCCCTATGGACTGGCCACGCTGGCGGCCGGGTACAAGGTCAGAAACGATAAGATCCAGTTGGTACGTTGTTACGATCGCTAACCTTCGAGGGAGTTGAGGATATAAAGTGACTGACCATCATGACTGTGCACCAACTTGCCCGCTCTGGAAGGTACGGTCGGCAATAAGTATGCCCATATCTTTATACAGCTAGCAAGACCACTCCCCAATAGGAGCGCGTGAGCAGCAACCGTGACCAATCGATGGCCGAATGTGTTAGCCAGCAGGCCGTAAAGCGGCCGAAGAACGCCATTTTTCCACAATTAGCGGCTAGTAGCTAGGAACACATAAGATCCACCTTACCTTGTCAGGATAAAAGCGTTAATCACCCTGACATGGTTGGCACCTGTCTTCAGCTCGGGAGTGATAGCTGGCATGGCAGTGATTATAAGGAAGCCTTCCAACGAAGCGAGGAACCCCGTGATGCTGAGAGCAGGGAAGATGATCCAGAAATGCCACGTATACTTGTGTTTCTCTGGTTAACCTGTAGCATCAATAGGAGCGTCACTGGCCGCTGCATGGACCACTGGGGCCGAGCCCCCCCTCCTTAGAGAGTAATGCTTCTACAGGCGAAGAAATTGTTGTGACCGAGGTGTTGACAGAACCTTGAAGCTTCCCCTTTATGTGTAAAATACTGGATTTGAGGTAGCTTGTGCAAGAGGAACAAGATGAATTTGCAATGTCCGAACTGGCAATGAACCTTCAATCAAGAGGGACCTGAAGAAGAAAGGCTGTCAAGAACTCTCAGTAGCTATAGCTGCTGTTTTCCCATTTGGAAAAGTTAATCATTCGGCAGTCGGTTTATTTTGTTGGAAGTTTTTGGATCGGAACACCAAAGATTTGGAGTCGCGCTGATTGGGCAGGGACTTGAGCTCGATTTTTAATCCCTTATCATTGGGCCAAAAGATGATCGGCCACCGAACCCTAACTTTCTAAGCCAAAAGGTATATACTTCAATTGCGGTATCAGAGCGACCTGGATACCTTAAACCTGGGGTCTCATGTTGTAAATCTACTGATCTGTACGAAGTCAACGGGTCTTACAACAAAGAGATTTAACCACACTCCTACTTGATAGTTGCACCATCTCAACGAGCACACCAACAATGAAGCCCTCAAGAAAGAAATTTGAGCAGTTTTAGTTTTCTTATCGCGTTGAATCATACCGCTAATATCTCTCTAATAATCTCTAAGTCGTCGGCGTGAACTAGCATATAAAACAGAGTGGCTTGTCAGGTTTATACCTGTAGTTCTTCTTGGGGATTCTGAGGGCCCAGTATTTACTCTTCCGATCGGCCAACCCCCCTGAGCCCATCTGAAGCATACCAAACCACCGACCCCATGAGTAACTGGTAGAACTAGACTGTTATCAAGCCCTGGCTGAATACTGAAGGAATATTAGTTGACACCTTAATACCGTGTAGAGCCAGAAACCAATCCCAAGTTTGAACACTATTACGAATGTCCTGTCTGATTTCTGGAAGATCAAGCAAGGACGGTTGGTTATGCGGTAAGCTGCCAGGCGTCACAAAGCATATTCTTCCAGCCCTTACTTACGTAGGATGTATAGACTAATACTATTACTAGTGATAGGATGCACCCCCTCGCCTAGGTAGTACCTGAAAGTACTACTGTCATCGGCAGAACTATTACGACACCATCTGTAGCGGGTACGCGATAGGACCCCGATAAAAACTTCGGGTCCGTTCAAAATTCCGCTCAGAATCGGGGCACAAATACGATGGAAAATGAGAAACTTGGGGCAAACTTAAAGACTGATGTGCAATGGTGGGCTTAACACTTCCGCGTCGAGGGCTGGTGTTTCTATAATGAGGGCTCCCAATGATGGATGCCACGGATGCGAGTATTTCCCACGTCGGAGAAACTTTTAGTTTAGTTTTAAAACATCTAAGCCTCGACTCATAGTTTAATAAGCTGTAGCGAGTCCTAGAGGCCAGATGGGATTTGGCCACCAATGAGATCGCTGGCGGGTAAAACCGACTCCCGACATCAACTGCCGCGATGTTTCGCCCTCTCGGTTTGGGCCTCGGTGACTTCCTGCTATATAATCATATATCATTTGAACAGAGATGGTGATTCAAGCTTCCAATATCGATAGATTTTTCGCATTTACTCTCTGGATACCGTCCTGTCGCTTTTAAAACCGTCGAAATCCGGGGTAACTGTCGCCCGTTAGCCTCGTAGCCAATCCAGCGATAAAGGCAGCCCCACACGGCAGAGGACATCGGGAACCAGGAGTACAGAAGTATAGCAGGTCGTCAATCTGGCTGATATTGGCTCTAGCCCCATCCGCAAAATTTACCCCACATCCCCGTGCGTTCCGGCTACCGCCCTTGTTCGTTTTCTGGGGTTGTTCTCTATTCTTCCGTATCTGGTCCTGGTTACATTTTCTTCCCTTGTCGTTGCGGCGTACTGTGGATATGTGCCCGAGGCGATGTCTGTATCCCCGACTACCAGCCCGCAGGCCTGTAAGCGCAAGTTGCAAGACACTGAGGACTTCGGCTTTGAAAGAAGATGCCACACCCTGCAGAGCTACGAACTGCAGGCCCCCCTGGCTCTCAGCGCCTAAGCCTCCCAACGGATGGCGAATGCTTGGTGATCCGGCTGTCCACAGCTCGATGCCACTGGCAAATATGATTTCAGCGGTACAAGACCTTATTGATCCGGATTTCGACCCCTTGACTGCTATATTGGATGAGGAGCCGCGATTCTTGAAACCTCTACCGACCCATATCTCTCCCGAAGACCTGGAGTTCTTACGCTTCCGCGGTGCCCTTACGATTCCTGAAAGTGGCCTGCGGAATGAGCTCCTCCGCTCCTATATCAAATGGGTACACAGCTTCATGCCCGTCCTGAACCTGCAACGGTTCTTAAGAAGCGTGGCCGAGAACGATCCTAATGGGAACGTCAGTGTTCTCTTGTTTCAAGCGGTGATGTTTGTCGGGACTGCCTTTGTCGATTTGAAACATTTGCAGGACGCAGGGTATTCGAGTAGGAAGAGCGCGCGGGACGCATTCTTCACCAGATTACGAGTGAGCTACTTACACCATGCACAATACCCCGAGTTAAGATTGTCCGCTAATACACTTTCCCGTTCTAGTTGCTTTATTCACTCGACTGCGAAGAGGACCGCATCGTCATCCTACAGGTTTCACTGTTGATGACTTACTGGTCAGACCCTCAGAACTGCCGCCATCGCGATATTTGGGACTGGATCGGAATATGTAACACTCAGGCTCACTCCATTGGTTTGAACGTTGACCCGTCAACGGCCAACGTTGATCCGCAAACAAGGCGACTGCGGACACGGCTATGGTGGTGTTTGTATTCGCGGGATCGGCTTATTGCGATGGGAATGCGCCGCCCACTTCAAGTGAACGAGGGGACCAGTAATGTCCCAATGCTCAAACGGGAGGACTTTGATTTCGAGCCGTTCTCTCCCTCTGCGGTTGCTCTTTTCCGTTGCCGGCAGCTTGAAGATAGATCTCATCAGAAACGTCTTGCCACAATGTTTATTGAGAAAGTGAAATTGTGTCAGTGCATTGGCAGGGTACTATTTGCGCAATATACCCCTTCTCAGCGTCAACTGGGAGCTACAGATCGTACAACCGTGACCTTGATACCAAGACAGGCTTCGGAATCAGAATTCACTCGATGCAGGCAGAAATTGGATTCGTGGCTTGGTGGTCTTCCAAAAGAGGCCCAATTCATCCCAGCTTCTGGAAATAGTCAGTTCCGCGATGGCGAAGATGTGTTGCTGCTGCACGGTGCCATGTTGAGAATGCTCTACCATGCCACCAGTAGTGCGCTGCATCGTCCTTGGGCTGCGAACACAACAGACCAGTCAAAGGCTCGTGTCCAATGGCGCGACACCGCTCGGAGTAGAATGCATGAAGCTGCCACCGGAATAACTCATATCATTCAAGGCCTACATAATATCAACCTCACAAGGTTCTTACCGCAATCCGGTGTAACTGTGGTACTTCCAGCTGCAGTGGCACATCTGTCGAATTCGATGTCCGAAAACCCGGCGATTCGTGAAAGCAGTCTCTATAACTTCCATCGATGTATCCATGTCCTACACTGTCTCAAAGACATGTATCCTGCTGCCAATATCGAGTTTGCAAATCTGGAAGCTGCTATAAAACATCAATCAGGAAACTACAATTCCAACACATTCTTCCAAATTATGCAACACAATTTTGACACCCCGACAATCTCGCTTGGAGACTTGCAACATAACAACAATGTCGATACGGTCTCAACACCAAACTCCCTCGACCGACCTACACCAGAGAACCCTTCACGCAACCGTGCAGCATCCTCTTCCGGGGCCCAGGCACAAAAGATTGAACCGACCCCCACACATAACTCAAATGCATCTCAGCCGAATACATACCAAACGCCCTTCCCTAACGACTTCGACTTTAATGATAACTTTGCAACCCCAGAAACGACCGCCGACCATCCCTTTCCTTTTCTCGCCACCGACTTTGACGCTTTTCCTGACACTGCGCCGCCTGATCCTCCAACGTCTTTGCCCATCCAATCACACGAGCTGGATGATCTAGACTGGGTGCAAGCTCTGTTTCCAAGCACGCCAAATGCAGAGCGAGCGACAGATGACCTTTTCGATCATACTGCTGGACTTGAATTCCTAAACACACACGAGACTGATCTGGATTCTGATCCGAGCCCCTTTGATTACTCCCTACCGGCTGCTGACACTGGAAATAAGCGACATTATTCGACTAGTCATACAGAGATTACGGGTGATTTGGACCGGGATTTGGGATTGAATGACGGAAATGACATGTTTTAGCTCGCTACTATTTTCTAAGCGATATGGCAAAGGAGCGAGTCTTGTTCGATTATGGTTTATGAGCGTTCAGGGGATATGACATACCAACTAGATGGAAATGACATGCATGAACGAACTCTTCTAAGAGGATACGGTATTGCTATGGAGGAATAGCCTTTTTACTGCGAACACAAAACCCACCGTCTATTGAAAGGCCCCGAAGCTATCTTGTATCATGCAAATGTTAGTTCCTCAACTTTAGACCTGGATACGGTCAGCCACTCCCATTACTTCTTGGTCCAACGGTTGCTCTCATCGATCTCGTTCCATTTCTGTTCCGTGTATCCCAGCTTCTTCTTCACCTCTTGCACCTTGGCAGAGTCACCGGTGTTTTTGCCGAGGTTGTCACTCAGCTTGACGGCGGGTTTGCCGTTTGCAGTAGCGATCTTGATGACGATGTTTAATGGCTTTGATTTGTCACCGGTTGACTTGTTGACGAAGTCATCTGCGCAAGGAAGCATGTTAGGTCATGAACAGAAGTAATAGCAGCGTTGAACCTACTCGTGAAGAATGTGCCGACACCAAACGACGGGGCCAGTCCGGCATCTTCAGCTAGCTTCTTGTATTCCAGACAGTGGTCGATGTTAAGGGAGTCAGAGAACACGACTGTCTTCTTATCGGTGATACCTTCGCGGTCGTAGAACTCGCGTATGGTTTTGACGAAGAAAGCTGGATCTCCGGAATCTTGTCGGACACCGGTGTAGGTTTGAGCAAAGGTTTTACTGCTTTCCGTGGGCTTGTCATCTTCAATAGATGAAACAGGCTGTCGGAAAGCTTTCAGGAATGCGGGGGTACCAAAGGTATCGGTAAGGGCGATGCCAAGGACCTATTGACGATATTAGCTGATATCCAGTTTCCTCTCGCCAGAAAAATAGCCCAGGTACTTACTCCTTCTCCGAAACAGCCGAGCCAATACCTGAGTGCCAGCTCATTGGCCTTCTCATAATCGTCCGTGATCGCCGCAATAGCCATGTACCACTCATGTGCCACTGTTCCGACGGCATTTGTATCGTATTTCATAGCGAAGTGCACATTACTGGTACCAGTCAGGACACCTGGCCAGCCATTCTTCTTTCCCTCTGCCGCAGCACGAGTCAACCCCTTCATCACAAGATCATGAGTATGGTAGTCTCGTCTACGGCGAGACCCGAATTCCGAGAAAACGCAGCCGTTTTGCAGCAAGACACAGCCCTTGCGGAAGGCCTTCTCCTCCTGACCCTCGTAATCCCAGTCGGTATTGCTGAATTTGAAGTAGGCTTGGCTCGTCAGTGCCAGCAGTGGGATTTCGTAAAGAATGGTGTCCACCCAGAGTCCTTGGATGGTGTACACTACGGTGCCCTCATCCTTGTTGCTGCCTGTGTCTTGTGTGGGAGTGAAAACGAGTTCAATTTGTTCGCTGGGCTTGAGTCGGAACGTCTCGAGGAAGGTAAGGTATGTTTCGTTCAAGTAGGGGCATTTCTTTTTGAGGAACGCACGTTCTTCGGACGTGACGCGGATATTTGACAAAGCTAACGTCAGAATCATTAGGAAAAAAGCTCCAGCAGCTCTAGCTAGGTATGGAGGTATGAATTGTTTTCGCACCTTCAATTTGCTTCAAAAGCCATTTGTATGCCCCGCGTTGCAATTTCATGTCCGGGGTGCGATTCGTGAAGCTATAGGTCACGTCTGCAACAAATCAGTAAGACATCGTGAGAGCGAAGTGAGCTCTACTTACGAACGTCTGAGAAGTACTTGTAAATCGCGCATTGCATCGTCAGTTTGTAAAGATCAGTATCCAGAAGGGAAAAGATGCCCTCCGGCAAGGGAGCTTCTTCTTGACCCATTCTGTTGATGGGACGGGCTTCAAATCTTGTTTAAAGAGATGAAAGTAGCTCGCGATTTATATGACGGTAGTATGAATCTTGGAAAGAGCAAATAATTGGAAGGTAGAAAGAGTATGTCACTATTGCTTGCGCAAGCTTCCGCTACCGCGGGGCAAACTCCGACACCCATAGCGGGACAATTTTCGGTTTGCGCTGTTTGCATATTAGACGCATGCATTTTCTACCTTGGCTGCTCTAGTCGAAGACCCTCAAAGACCTGTGGGATGTCCTAGTGCATGGTATTCGGGCCAAATTTCGAGTAGCTCTAATACTCGTACTCGTGCGTGCCCGCAATCATGGACTTCCAAGTAGTATGTATCAATTAATCTCAAGGATATGATTAACTATTGTTCGAAAATTTATCTTAACTTAGTTTACTAATTCCAGTGCTCATACGCATAATGAAGATATGATACTTGAGCTAGATCTACGAGATCAGTTGCTGCCGCGCTTATCAGAACAGCTCTTCCTAAATTCTATTTGGAGAATACCAGAACCTGAGGACGGTGTGAAAGATCATCATGACTAGTGTTTCAGCCTCTCGTGTATTGATGAGTCAGCATTCTTCATGTGGGCAAGGACAGCGCCGGTCGGGTGCCATTTCAATCTTCCCAATCGCCTCTCCCCGTTTTCTTTGCGTTTCCTGTCGGCGGAACGTCACTCAACCCCTTCCGTAAATCGGTATTGATATCGAGGACTGATACCACGCGTTTGCCCTTGACTCGTTCGCAACAACGCTGCTCTATCTCTGATCCCTCGGCCACCGCATCCTGCCGAAACGACCAGATCTAAAATATGGCACACGGGGCCGAGGACTGCGCGACTGTCCTGGAGCAATTCGTGCACGATGCAGCGAACTTACCAGCCGAGATAAATCATTTGATGGAAGAAATTGAGGCTAAAGACAAAGTGATGCAGGAGTGTCGCGCAATTATCAACTCCCGAGACGGAAGCATCCAAAAGTTCATCAAACTCAACGGTAGTCTCGCGCCAAATCCAAAAGAAGAGGAATACAGCAAAGCCGTATTGCAGAATCTCGACCGTAGCGAGCAAATCCAGAATGAGAAAATCCAGCTCAGCGAAAAAGCATGTGTGCTCCTCGATCGTCAGATCAAGCGCCTCGACGTTCGCATCCGCGACCTGGTCAACGAAGGCCTCCTCACAAATGACCCTCCTCTCCCCTCTCTCTTCGACAGCAAGAAAAACTACGCTGACCCACCTCGCGCTTTCTTCACAAACCCGCGCCCTACCAACCCCACAAACGACACCAAGAACCCCATACTCCACGCTGCGCAACAACTAAACCAGTCTACTTCCAATACCCCGCGCGTCGCGCAAGCTGCCAACCTCGTCGCGCAAGCATCAGCCCGCAGCTCAGCCCCCGCGACCCCAGCCGGTGTATCAGGCGTCCCTCATCTGCAGCGCCAACGTGAGTCCTCAGCCGGCGCCGTCGACAGCAAACGGCGCCGTCTAAACGCCACTCTCGGAACCCTCCCAACTACATCCTCCAATCTCCGTCAACCATCCATGGGCCCCGGCACCCCGAAGGCTGGGACTCCCGTCTCCAGCCGCGCGGGCAGTGTCGGTCCTCGCACGATGGCCGCTGGCATCGTCAAGAAACCACTCACCAAGAAGGTCGCACCCCACCAGCAGAAGAAGCACAAGAGCGGGTCTTCGCGAAAGGGCCTGAAGCATTCGAGCGGCAGGGTTAAATCACATAAGTCGCCTGGCGGGGGTGAGGAGGATGATGATTCCATGCTCAGTAGTGCTGACATGTCTGAATCGGATACGGGGGTGGAGAGGATGATATGGACGAGGACGAGGACGAGGACGAGGGGAATGAGGACTCAAAGGTCTATTGTACCTGTCGCACAGTCAGTCATGGTGATATGGTCGCTTGTGACAACGATAATTGTCCGTATGAGTGGTTTCATTGGAAGTGCGTGGGGTTGACGAGGGAGCCCGTTGGGACTTGGTTTTGTGAGGAGTGTCGGAAAAGTTGAGGATATGGTTTTGAATCGATTTTATTTCCTCTCCATTCTGGATTTTGAATTTTGTCGCTTGGTTTTGATACCCTCGGCGTTTGGGTTTGGGCTATTACGAGCTGCAAGCCTGTTCTTGGATCATAGCGCTTCCCATCAATCGGTCGGATAGTGGAACTTGAAGATGGTTTACAATAAGAAAAACGTTCCCCTCAGTGACATCCGAGTCGTAGGAGTTTGTAGGAGTATAAGCTGCTAGTGGCACCATATCGGATCGATGAGCACGCCGGAAAATCAGCAACGGCCAAGGTGTGCAATTTTGAGATAGATCTACAGGATAACGCTTCATGATAATACTGTGCCAGGTGACAGGCTAAGGAAGAGGAGGATAAATCTCCCGGTGGGATAACTATTCGTTATTCATCTAGATGTTTCGAGCAGTCTCTAGTCTTGAAGTAGCAGACGGCCTAGACCCATGCGGGAACAAGCAATCGATGTCATGTGTGATACCGACACCGAAGAAAATAACAACGCCTTTCGCTATGCACGAGATTCCCTTTTTTTTTAATCCTCCGTCCTCCATGCAATTGTTGTTGCAGTAGCTCGCTACTGTATTCATAATAAGAAGTAAGACGATAGCAATTGCTTTCGGCTCTTTTTCTTTTTTTTTAGATCCTTGCCATGTCGAAGTTCAGTTTGCCACGACGTGCATGGCATGAATAGCGGGAGTTTGTCAGAATCCGAGGACGTTTTGCATCCAGGGATCGAAATACTCGCATGTTTCGGGGCTGATGGCGGCGCCGGGCGAACACAGTCGGAAACTCGGGCAGCGGCCGCAGGGTCCTTCAGTCATGCCATTTTCACCGAGAGATTTGACAGGTTTGTGAGGCAGGTCGGGCTCGCCCTGCTTTTTCTGCTTAACCATTTGGGGGTTTTTGAGAGCTTTGTATGAATTGCCGTCCGGCATCGCGGTGATCTTGTGGTCAAAAACAAGCAGATTTAACAGCTGGAGGACCTTATCCTCCGATAACTGGACTGGTGTTAGGCCACTCGAATTGACGATGTTGGTGAGTTCTTGGACCGTAGGGTAGTCGGGGTAATTCGGAGGATGAGGAAGATAGGATGGTTCGCCAGATTCGAGCTTCACATCGGCTTTGCCACTGGCGGTCTTGACACGCTTGTTACGGCCATGCTCGGGGACTTTGTACCAGCTCTTGTCGCTGATGGTGTATTCAAGGTAGTCTGCCACGCTGCTGATGAAGGTACTATCGAGGGCTCCGTCGGTAAACCAGGCACCTCCAGTGACGTCTTCGCTTGGAGCGAGACCTGCGAGCATGTACATTTTCCGGCTAGGGAATTTGACATTCTGGACGGCCTTGATATAGTTCTTACTCTCAAGACTTTTGATGCAGCGGTCCATGATCGTCTTATGCAGGCCAGTGCGGGTTTGAATGTTGCGGGTCCATATTCCTACACGCGCTGAGCTGTGAATCACACTGAACACGAGGGACTCGTCCGGATTGAGGTTCGAGAGCTTTTCGGCATCTTCGCGGGAAACAATTCGCCATGCGAGACGTTTGTTCTGTGTCTCCAAAAGCCGAAAGAGCTTTTGGTCGACTAACGACTGGGTGCATTGTAGGAGTAACTCGATTTCATTGGGGCCCTTGGGAATAATATTGAGGTCCAGGAGGGCGCCCTGGTACCAAGCGCGGTCACTGTCGGGGTGCTCGGCGCATGCATCGTAGAGCTGCGAGGCGAGCTCGGCCACTGACCCCGCGGAGGCCATGGTTGGAGGTTCGGGATGGAGTCGACTCGAGTGAGAGGGCGAAGAAAGGACAAATCATTGGAGAATGAGGGGTGGCATGGTTTGACTCAAGCCTCTTGCAAGAGTGAGGGATAACTTAAAGACGCATGGTTCACAATCCTTTGCTAGAGGATCTCTTGTGAGTCAAGGAAGAAAAAATTAGTTATGGTGTTTGGCGGCTTTTTTTGCAAGCGGGGATTCCTGATTAGGCCTAGCGTGCCAGAGCTTGGACGTTTCTTTGTTGCCTCAGGGCTCAGGCTGTCTGGAAATTTCGAGAAGCGTAGTCACCACGGCAGCTAAAGAACCGTCTGAACCCCATCTTGGATCAGTTGCACTCTTCTGAATCCATAATTCTTCACCCCAGAATGGCGGACGCTTTGAAAGCCGAAGGTAATAAGGCCTTCTCGGCCAAGGACTACCCGACTGCTATGTACGTACGAGTCAACCCCGCTATCCACCTTGCAGGACTCCGCTGATAAAGATACAATAGTGCGAAGTTCACTGAAGCCATCGCGATCGAGCCCGAGAACCAAGTCCTCTTCTCCAACCGCTCTGCTGTATACGCCGCTCAGAACGAATTCCAGAAGGCTCTTGAGGATGCCGACAAGGCCATCAGCATTAAGCCTGACTGGTCCAAAGGCTACCTTCGTAAGGGGAGCTGCCCAACGGGGCCTGGGAGATCTGCGTAAGTTGAGATGGAGAAGGAAAGGCATTGAGAATATTGGAGTAGCTAATCCGCAAATTTAGTGGCTGCCCACGATGCCTACGAGGAAGCATTGAAGCTCGAGCCCGAGAACGCTCAGGCCAAGTCTGGCCTCGCTGCCGTTCAGCGTGCAATCAACGCCGAGGCCACCGCTGACGGTGCTTCAGGTGATCCTTTGGGTGGCTTGGGTAGCATGTTCAACGACCCCGGCATGATCCAGAAGCTTGCTAGCAACCCCAAGACTTCCGCTCTCTTGGCTGACCCAGAGTTCATGGCGAAGCTGCAAAAGATCCGACAGAACCCTAACAGCGTTGGCGAGGAGATCCGTGATCCCCGTTTCTTGCAGGTCATGAGTGTCTTGCTTGGAATTGACATGAACTTCGGTGGTGAGGGTGCCCCAGGCCAGGATCAGCCCACCCCCGAAGCAAAGCCCGCTGCTCCCCAACCACCAAAGGAGCCCACCCCCCGAGCCCGAGCCCGAGGACGAGGAAACTATTGCGAAAAAGAAAGCTAAAGAGGCCGGCGATGCCGAGAAGCTCATTGGGACCGATTTCTACAAGCAGAGGAAATTCGACGAGGCCATTGAGCACTACGAGAAGGCTTGGGAGTTGAACAAGGACATTACCTATCTCAACAACATCGGTGCTGCCAAGTTCGAAAAGGGTGACTACCAGGGTGCCATTGAGATCTGCCAGAAGGCCGTTGAGGAAGGACGTGAACTCCGCGCCGACTTCAAGACCATCGCCAAGTAAGTTATACACCACCCTCTGCAAGGAGACGACTCCTAATTTTTCCAGGTCTTTCACCCGTATCGGAAGCGCATATGAGAAGCTTGGCGACCTTGCCCAGGCTATCGAGTACTATAACAAGTCTCTTATGGAACACCGGACCCCCGACGCCCTCACCAAGCTGCGTAACGCCGAGAAGGCCAAGGCCACCGCTGAAAGGAATGCCTACCTGAGCCCTGAGGAAGCCGAGAAGGCCCGTGAGCTTGGTCAACAGAAGTTCCAGGAGGGTGACTGGCCTGCGGCTGTGGAAGCTTTCAGCGAGATGATCAAGCGTGCCCCAGAAGACCCCCGTGGCTACTCCAATCGTGCCGCTGCTCTGATCAAGCTGATGGCTTTCCCCCAGGCTGTGCAGGATTGCGACCAAGCCATCGCCCTGGACCCTAAGTTCATCCGCGCTTACATGCGCAAGGGACAGACTCTGCTTATCATGAAGGAATACAACCGTGCTCTGGACACTTTCACCGAGGCTGCCGAGCATGATGACGGTACCCATGCTCGCGAGATCGAGCAGCAGCAGCAGAAGTGTCTCGATGCGCAGTTCAGTGCTCGCGCTGGTGAGACGGAGCAGCAGACTGCTGAGCGTATCCAAAATGACCCAGAGGTATGTTCCTACATTAATAAACCACCCTCACGTCTGTTATGTCGCATACTAAAATTCATCCCTAGATCATGTCCATTCTCCAAGACCCCGTCATGCAGAGTATCCTCCAACAGGCCAAGAGTGATCCTGGTGCTCTTCAGGAGCACATGCGCAACCCGCAAGTGCGCATCAAGATCCAGAAGCTCATGGCTGCTGGTGTGATTCGTTTGGGCCGGTAAAGGACCGAGTTGGGGATGTGAGGAGGCGAGTAACGCCTATTGCAACGAATTCAAGATATGACGAGCTTTGTTTACAGATATCTTTCTATTCTGTTCTAAAATCATTATTTCATGAGTTGCTAACCATGATCTCTATCTCAATGACGGAATGTTTATCATACTGCCGTTCATGTATACCGGGGCGTGTAAAACCCTGAACACATAATTGGAAAAGGTAAATTGAAGCCATTGGGAAGCGTTGGGTTCGGAATCACATGCCTCGCACGTGCTGCTAGTAAGAATAGGATAAAAGACTGTCGCCCCGGCCGATCCATCTATGACCCTTCCATTGACGCAGTGTTTCCAACTTGATTTCAAAGGGGAATGGAAGCCGAAACTGACTTCGGAGAAATAGCACACGCGCGGAGTACAGCTAGCTAGTACTCCGCAACAGAACTAGATCCTTTTCACGGTAGAGGCAAAATCAATTGGGTTCTACCAGACCAAGAACTGCAAGCGACTCAATCGAGCGTAGCTGAGCCGCTTATCTACCAGCCACATTTCAATTCCAAGGTTCCACCACGTTAGCGCAATTCTTGTTTGCATTAGCTAGCTCGCTAACACGAAGGATCGGTTTACCTCGGCGTCAATCCGCGCAGATCTCACGGCCAAGCCCAAAGGAAAATGATCCTAGCTGACCAGTGGGGGTGGAGACGGGTTCGAGCTCCCAAGGTCGGGTTACGTAGGCCCTGAAAGTAAAGTACCAGTACTTCGACCTTGCCAGGACATGCTGAGTCTTGAAACAGAGAACAGCAGCCAACGCTCCGCACACAGGCCTCGTACTCGCTTCCTGATGGATCAAACCTTGCGGTCTGCACCTGCATGCACTCGCACGGTGCTACGTCCCCGTCCCGTCCTGGAAAGGAACGCTCAAATTACACAGATCGGCGCTAGGGTATGGGCCCCAATGACGAGAGATACGATATCGAATCACAAAACTTGAGAACTTTGGTGAGTGGATTTCTTGGAAATGCCCAGTGTAGTAGGTGCGCGTTCTCCTTGGCGTTGCTCGTCCGAGGATACACTAACTGCTTTGGGCATGTTGGATCTTGAATCTTACTGTCCAATCCACTATTACCGAAGCGAAGTGGATTGCAGTCTCCCACATAAGTACCTAATAGGTTAATCATTGTTGAACAGGGGACTTTGAAACTGCTCAGCGGAGGGTTTAGCGATTGGAGTCCTGTCCGATGTTTGTGAAGCGTAATCATACTCGTATGAGCTGGAGGTCCGGCGCCAACTCGATTGCTGCGTTGATCGTGCCACGTGTACTACATTGGCCGGTGCAGCTAAGCTCAGCTCGCAGTGGCAAAACTTGGGAGCAATAGCATCAACCCATTAACCTGTCATTCTTGTAGAGCGTGATCCCTAAACAGTGCTGCCTGGTAGGGCTGTTCCCCTTTCTAGCCACAATCTCCACTCTGGAAAAAGGGAGAATGTGTGGCGGTGCACCAGGAACTAATAGTCCACACTAGTGGACGGGGCCGGTTCTGTCCCGTCGAGAATAAGGGCCGGGCTCCCTGGAATAGGACCATTTCCGGGCTTGAGAGCCCATCAGAATACTCGAGGACTGGACAGAAGTAGATGGGTAATTCAGGAACTCCATAGCCGCAAAGCTGGCAACCAAGGTTCCGCTTCATTGCTTCCCGAGCTTGCGGAGCTCGTTTAGTTGCTAAGCGTACGTCACTGATCGAAGATCGTGGGGCGGACGATCGCTCCCTTTTTCTGAGAGAATTTTCTCTGGGATTTAAATGCCCTAATGTTGGCTTGTGAAATTGCCATTTAGGCTACAATTGGATCGACACACTATTCCTGCAAAAATCGGCCCATTGGCCTCACTTCCCACTCCGGATATACCAGCCACTGCGCTTGACGCAAGCGGCGGCTACTTTTCTCCAATTCCCTCTCCACTTCTCTCGTTTGCCCAACTTTCCCCTCATCCAAAACACGCCTGGGACTTATTCACCCTCCTCGCCCTACGGTCCTAAAGGGAAACCTTACCATCTCAGCACGTCGGTCCTTCTGCGAGGCCCCCTCTCGCTCATAGCCTTAGGCGCCCGGGATCCCTTCTCTCCAGCTCGTCCTGCGACCACCAAATCGCGTAACGAGCCAATTCCTTCTAGGCCCGAAGAACCTTGATCGCTTTTACATCATTAATCAATAAGCGCCGACCGCCGACATGGCGTCTGCCGACGCAGAAAAGACGGAGATGAAGATGGAGGGCATCGTTGATGCTGCCTCGGAGCTAGCTCAAGACCCCCAGTCGAAAGTTAATCCGGAGATGGTGGAAGAGGCGTTGGTGAAGGAGGTGAGAGAGGCGGGCGTCCCTGCATACCAATTCAACCCGAATGCCTCACCCGAAGATAAGGCCTTGGCCGCTGAAGTGGTAAGTGACCTCAATTCCAGACCTGGGACCGGAGAGAAGGAGAAAGCACAATGATATTGGGTACAGCTACGAGATTGACAGGCTGATCGGGAATATCGCAGGGACGACCGGGTGGACTGCAGGAGAAGAAGCCACACGGTATGGCCGTGATCACAGACCAGGTAAGCAGCCCCACGAGCTGATTAATGTGTAAATTGTACTAAGTCTAGCTTAAGGACCTCAACCAAAAAGCAGACTACGACTTGCCACCACCACCGCGATCGGCGACAGCTGTCCTCGCCGAAGAAGCCAACGCAAACAGCAAGACACAGGATGAAGAAGATCTGAGATGGGCACGCAACCGCACTGGCTGGGCGCCCAGGCACCATCACGAACCCACTGAGGAGGAACAGGCCGAGGGTACTTTATTAGACCACCAAACTTTCCTCGAGGGCAGATTACCGGAGAATTTGTTCGGCGACTGGTACCACAATGCTGGGGTCATTGTCTTTGCCTCTCTATTTTCCTGGTCTGTTGCCACTCTGGGCGGTGGTATTGGATGGGTGCTTCTGGTCATGGCGGCCTGCAGCACTTACTACCGCACATCGATTCGGCGAGTGCGTCGAAATTTCCGCGACGATATCCATCGCGAGATGTCCAAGCAGCGACTGGAAACCGATACCGAAAGTCTGGAGTGGATGAACAGCTTCTTGGTCAAATTTTGGCCTATCTACGCTCCTGTTCTCTGCGACACCATTATTTCTTCCGTCGATCAGGTCCTCAGTACCTCTTGCCCTGCTTTCCTGGACAGCTTGCGCCTCAAGACCTTCATCCTCGGTACGAAGCCTCCTCGATTGGAGCATGTCAAGACTTACCCCAAGACCGAGCCGGACACTGTGATCATGGACTGGAAGTTTAGTTTCACCCCTAACGACACCATGGATTTGACCGCGCGCCAACTGAAGGATAAGATCAACCCCAAGATTGTCCTGGAAGTCCGAGTGGGCAAGGGTGTTGTGAGCAAGGGCCTGGACGTGATCGTCGAGGACATGGCATGCTCAGGTTTGATGCGCGTGAAGGTTAAGCTGCAAATTCCATTCCCGCACATTGAGCGCGTGGATGTCTGCTTCTTGGAGGCACCAGATATCGACTATGTCTGCAAGCCGCTTGGTGGTGATACCCTTGGATTTGATATCAATTTCATTCCCGGCCTGGAGAACTTCATCAAGGAGCAGATCCACGCCAACTTGCAGCCTATGATGTACGACCCTAACGTGTTCCCTATCGAAATCGCCAAAATGTTGGCTGGAAACCCTGTCGATCAAGCTGTTGGTGTTGTCGCCGTCACTCTGCACTCTGGTAGACAGCTCAAGAATCCCGATAAGTTTTCCGGTACTCCCGACCCTTACGCTGTTTTGGCATTAAACAATGGCAAGGAACTGGGCCGCACCAAGATTATTCATGATACCGACAGCCCTATGTGGAACGAGACCATCTATGTCATTATCACTTCGTTTGCCGACGCGTTGAGCATCAAGGTCTTTGACTGGAATGAGTACCGGAAGGACAAGGAAATGGGAGTTGCTTCCTTCGCCCTTGACAAACTAGAGCACGAGCCGTTGCATGAAGGTCTTTATCTCGAGGTCATGTCTAGCGGTCGCCATCGTGGTGCTGTTCAGGCTGACATCCGTTTCTTCCCTGTCGCTCAGGGAGCCAGGAATGAGAACGGCGAGGAGGAGGCTCTTCCCGAGTTGAACACTGGCATTGCGCAGTTCACTGTTGAGCAGGCGAAGGATCTGGATGGTTCTAAGAGTTTGGTTGGCAAGCTGAACCCTTACGCTGTCCTGCTTCTCAACGGAAAGGAAATTCACATCACGGGTAAATTGAAGCGAACCAATAATCCGATTTTCCCGAACGCATCGAAGGAATTCCTGGTCACTGATCGCAAGAACGCTAAATTGGGCCTTATCATCAAGGATGACCGTGATCTCGCCACAGACCCGATTATCGGCCGTTACCAGATCAAGCTCAACGACATGATGAAGCTGATGGATCAGGGCAAACAATGGTTCCATTTGCACGGCGCTCAGACTGGACGTGTCAAGTTGACTCTTGGCTGGAAGCCTGTTCAGCTTGGTGCTATCGCTGGCAGTGCAGGCTACATCGACCCTATTGGTGTTATGCGGTTCTACTTCAAGGCTGCTCATGATCTGCGGAACCTGGAGTCTATGGGCAAGTCTGACCCTTATGCTCGCGTCCTGCTGTCTGGTCTACAAAAGGGTCGCACCGTTACTTTCCGCAACAATTTGAACCCCGAGTGGGATGAAATTGTCTATGTTCCTATTCGCAGCGCTCGCGAAAGACTATTTATCGAAGTCATGGACGAAGAGACCATCAACAAGGACCGAAGCCTGGGCTGGGTTGAGCTTAAAGCATCGGACTTTGTTCGCGAGACAGAAACTGGCGGGTACGAGATCGATGACGAGAAACAACTCACCACTAGTCCACTCACCATGGGCAAGGGTACCCACAAGGGTAGGATCGAGTATTCCGTTGCTTTCTACCCATGCGTTCCTGTAGTCAACCCCGAAGACGAGGAGGACGAGGAAGAAGAGGAAGAGGTAACCGAGGTTGCTGCTGGCGAAACGCCCGCTGCTCCTGCTTCCCCAACTTCCACCAAGGGTCACAAAAAGAACTTCAGCGTGGACTCCAAGGCTTCCAAGGTTTCCAAGGCTTCTCGAAAGACGAACGGCACCGTTCCTAATGGCCGCCCTAGTCTCGAGTCTAACTCCTCTCGCCCGGCTACTGGTCGTGACTCGGAGACTGGCTCTGTTCAGGATCTCAAGGAGATTCCAAAGACCTACATCAGTGCCGATGATCTTGACAAATATGGTAAGGCTTAATTCTTCCTATGTTGGTTTGACCAAAGCTAATTCGATGATTCAGAATCTGGTTTCATTGTCTTTAAGTTCCATGAAGGGGAACTGTCGCACAAGGATGTTCACCTCGAAGTTCTGATGGACGACTACATGTTCCCTGCTTACATATCGTCGAAGATCCATACTCACACTGTCAAGACCGCTGATGGTATGTTCGTTTCTCGAGTGTGGGTGCCCTTTTTACTGACCGTCTCCAGTCGGCGAGGCCTTCGTTCGTGAACTAGAATTCTCCAAGATCACTTTGCGTCTAGTCAAAAAAGAAAATAGCAAGGACTCGAAGGAAGACCATATTGTCTCGAAGCTGACCGGTGACACTCTTTCCACTCTGTCCCGTATTTTGGTATGTTCCTTTCGGCGTCGCCATATAGTTTGATATTAACAGCTTCATATAGTACAACCCCACTCAACTTGTTCTCCGCTCGAACAGTGGAGAAGTGAGCAAAATCACCGTTAGCGCTCGTTACATCCCCGTGGAGATGAAGCTTGACCCACGTGAAAGCATTAACAACATGGGTGACCTCCGTGTCGATGTCTTGGATGCTGCTGACTTGCCCTCAGCCGACCGGAATGGATACAGTGATCCATACTGTAAGTTCCGCATTGGCGATGACCACAAGGACATTTTCAAGACAAAGGTGCAGAAGAAGACACTGCATCCAGCTTGGAATGAGTTCTTCGAAACTCCTATCAAGTCGCGCATAGGCGCCAATCTACATGTTGATGTCTACGATTGGGACTTTGGTGAGTCTGCAGACTTTTTGGGTGCAGCCAAGATCGATCTGGAGGCTCTTGAGCCTTTCAAGGCAACTGAGGTCACACTTCCATTGGACGGAAAGTCTGGTGTCATTCGCTTGAAGCTCCTTTTCAAGCCTACCTACGTCGTTCGGTCCCGCCAGGGCTCCTCGACTTTCTCTGGCACCTTCGCCGTGCCCGGTAAGGTCATCGGAGCTCCTGTCAAGGGAGTCGGCTTCCTCGGCAGCAATGTTGTCCGTGGTGCTTCTTTCTTGAAGCACGGCCTTACTCGCGGAAGGAAGGACAAGAATGGCGATGACACTGCTTCCATTAACGCCAGTATCCTCGAGGAGGAGCCTCGCCCCCAGACCGGTGGCTTGTCCCCCGCCACACCCCTGCAAGACGGTAGCCCTACCTCTAGCCCTTCTACCCCGGTGAAGGAGCATTCCCGCAATCGTAGTAGCGTCTCCCAAGTCGGTGATCGCCACAGCATCGCTGGCGGCCGAGGCGAGACCGGCACAGCCAACATCACAATTGTCTCCGCCTCCGATTTCTCCACATCTGCCAATGTGCGCGTGATCGTCAATGCTCTCAAATCCAACAAATGGAAGGAGGTCCATAAGACCAAGTCCCACAAGGGAAGCGGCGAACCCATCCAGTTCAATGACTCATTCCGCGTTCCTCACATCACCGCCGAAACTAGCTTCCAGGTCAAGGTCGTCGACCACTCGACCTTCGGCTCTGACGACGTCATCGGCGAGTCCCTTTTCTTCGTCGGTGACCAGGGCTCTGTCGCAGACCAAGATAAATCTATCAACGTTGGTTCCGGCACCGTCGTCATCCGCTCAAGCTTCACCCCTTCAGAATCTACTCTGCGACCTACTACTTCCCACTCCACGGCCGCCACTGGGGCCGAGGATGGCGCTGAGAGCCCCGATTCCAAGAAGGTATCTCGCCGCAGCTTCTTGACCAAGAACCGGAGTGTAAGCGGTGCCTAAGCGTGATGAATGCCATTCCTTTTTCTTTTTCTGTGACCATTGTCCTTCCTGGAATTGTATTTTGGCACTAAAACCTTTGATTTGCCTTTCCTCGTTATGTGATATCCTCTGTTCGGTGCGGTTTCGATCTTGCAGCATCCTTCTTTCTTTCTTCCTTGTTTTTTGCACCTGGCCTCTATGTTATTAGCCAGTAAAGTGTGAATAATCCTGTTCTGCGTGTTCTTCTTGGTATACTTTGAATCGATCAATTCAGGAGATCTTGCCATCAAGTACATCGGTCAAAGCCCCAACATGGCCACCATATCCCAGACAATATTAGTGGTTTCTAGAGAATTCATCTCCATCGTGTAGTTCGATACGAGCGGTTTACCTCGAAGTTGCGACATCAATCTTAAATGTGCATATGACAACCCAGGTGTCTCCGCAGTAGTGGGGGCTGCTCCACAAGGCCAGGGATGACAGCACTCGGCGCCACAGTCACCTGACGGTAAGGCTGGTCGTCTTTCCCTCTCATTTACGGCTGCTAATGCGAATAACCTGCCCTTCGAGGGTATGCGACGATACTATACGTATCATGGCGCCGGCTGATGCTGTAGGAGCCTCGATCAACTTCGGTAGTGGGAACATTGGTACGCAAGTAGGTATCAGCAATGGGCCGATATACGTGACTTCAGGTATGTGTGCGATAGGCACTTGCGAGGATCACAGTAGCATACTAACAATCGGAGACTTAGAGCGCCCGCAAACGCCGCGACCTTCCCCTCAGTCTCTTGTCCCCTTTCGTCGTGATCCACAGTTTGTGGATCGTGGCACTTTACTTGACCAGGTCCACGGAAAAGCCTCGATACCTGGTGGGAGAGTAGCGCTCGTTGGCCTGGGTGGAGTTGGGTAGGTTTTCAAGACGACTTTGCTTCTTCGGCTCATGGGTTGGCAGCAAATCGCAACTCGCCATCGAGTTCTGTTACCAGGTCCGCGACCAATCTCCTGAGAAATGGGTTTTGTGGATCCACGCAAGCAATGCGGCACGGGTCGAGCAGAGTTGTCGCGGCATCGCAGATCGGCTGAAAATACCCGGTCACCGAAATCCACAAGCCAATGCCCTGAAGCTTGTATGCGATTGGCTGAGTGATTCCGAGTCTGGAGAATGGGTGCTTGTACTGGATAATATCGACGACGAGGAGATTCTGACTGCGGTTTCGCCAAGCGAGTCTGTTAATTCCGACCTCTCCATATGGGCCTACTTCAGCCAGCTTACGAAAGGCTTTATTGTGGTCACCAGTCGGAACAGAGCTGTTGCAGCGCGAATAGCGGAAGACTATGATATTCTTTCGATTGAACCGATGGACAGAGCACAGGCTGTGTCGCTCTTCACGAAGAAGCTTGCAGCTCCGGTGGACGAAAATGACGTCTTTGAACTGACCAAGGCTTTGGACTTTATGCCGCTTGCCATCGTCCAAGCTGCTGCTTACATTAAGCAGAGGGCCCCGCCAGTCGGTCAAGCGGTATTTGGAGGACTTTCTAGCGAGCGATCATCAGAAGATCAGTCTTCTGATTCACGAGGGGGGCCACCTGCGTCGGGACCTCGAAGCTAAGAATTCCATCATTGTTACTTGGCAGATATCGTTTGATTATCTTCGGAGAAATGCAATTCTGCCGCAGAATTGCTGGCGTTGATGAGTTTCTTCGATCGACAAGGGATTCCGGAAAGCCTTCTTCGAGATGTCAAGCAGGCGGAGATCGTATGTAAAGCTGGACGGGAGTATGTGGGAAGGGAGCTAACTTTGTGCAGTTGACCGGTCATCTTTTCGAATGGGACAGTGATGTCCCGGACGCCGTATACGAAGATAACTACTATAAGGAGGCGATAAACAGAGAGCCTAATAATTTTGATACATTCGAAGACGACATCTTTATTCTTAGGGATTATTCCATGATATCCATCGGCCCTGACGGAAAGGACTTTGAGATGCACCGACTTGTCCAATTATCCATGCAAAAGTGGTTGTCGGACCAGGGACAATTGGATGCATGGAAAAAGTACTTCTTCATCAAGCTCAGCAGGCGCTTTCCCGTAGTCTCGTCTGCCACCTGGCCGCAATGCCGACTTGTCTGCACCCATTTCCAGCGAGAAAGCAAGCGGGAACCTGGAAGTGACGAAGCTCTTGACTTGTGGGCCATGTTGAACTACAAAATGTCCAATTTCGCCTATCTGGAAGGCAGGTTGGCGGATTGCAAATTGGCAGCTGATAGGTCCAGGCTGGCTCAACTCAAGCAATTCGGCCCGGAACATGAGAAGACGCTTGCAAGTACTGAGCTCCTAGCCTCAGCACATATAGCTATGAAAGAACCTCAGCGAGCACTAGAGCTACAGTCATCTGTTCTTGAGGTGAGAATGAGAGTGACGGGGCCCAAGCATCCACTCACCCTTCTCAGCATGGACAAGCTTGCCTACATCTATCAACATGACAGAGTAAGGCGGTACAACGAAGCAGAGGCCCTTCAGTTGGAGGTTACTCAAACCTCCCAAGAGCTCTACGGACTGAAGAGTTTAGCGGTCATGCGAGGAATGGAAAGCCTTGCCGACATTTACGAGTCCCAAGACCGACTCGAAGAAGCAGAGAAGATGTCTACCCAGGCCGTGAATATTGCGCAGGAGGTCTTTGGTCTTGACCATAAATATACTCTAGAGCAGGTAGGGAAGTTATTGTCCATTTACCAGAAGCAGAGCCGTTGGGTGGAAGCGGAAGCTCTGCATGCCAAGGCGATCGAGGGGAGCAGGATCGCCTTTGGGCCCGATCACCCCGAGACGTTGCACATGATGAAAAGTCTAGTGGACACGTACAGATACCAGAAACGCTGGGATGATGCAGAGAAGTTACAGGTTGCTATTATAGAGGGTCTAAAGAAAGCGCTAGGCCAATACCATATCGTCACCCTCTCAAGCGAAGCAGATCTGGCTCTCATCTATAGTGATCAAGCCCAATGGGCGAAAGCTGAGGAGCTGGCACAGCATGTCCTGGCAATCCGCGAGGAGGCATTGGGTCCTGAAAGCTCTCATACCTTGAACAGCATGAAGGATTTGGTACATATATACCGCTGTCAACGTAAAACTGACGAGGCCGAAGAGTTTGCCTACGAAATCATGGAGAGAAGCAAGAGAGCAGTTGGCGCGGGCATCCCGATACCCTGCAAAGCATGGGCAGAGTTGCGATGACCTTACTGGCGGCCGGCAAGACCGATCCAGGCATGCAAATGTTGAAGAAATGTGTCCAGCTATGTGCACATCATTTAGGGCCTGAAGACCCGAATACTCTGCATTTCGAGTGCGAAGCTCGTCTCTGGTGTGAGTTGATTGAGCGGTCTGCTGAAGAATCATCGAGCGAGGCCACCGAAAGGGACGACGATGATTGTGATGCGCGAATTTGCCAGATGGGCGAACCAGACCAAGTCTATGAGGACCAGAAAGAGCGATATCAACATATATCGAGCCTTCCAACGGAAGGCCGCCGGAATGCGCCTCGCAAGCTTCACCGTTTCTTGCGTATCTTGCGCCGAAAATAGACTTGATATTGCGGCCCCTGGCGAGGGGTTCGATACGCACCGCAGACCTCTCTATCTATTTTGTTATTTCATTGTGATTCAAGTTTAATTAGCGGTGCATGCGGGTACTGGGCTACAGAGCATACCGGATACCTTCATTCTTATTGAATGGATCTATCCTACGTTACCTATGCCCCCCTACCCTAGACTCTGGCTTATCCGTAGCCATTATCAGTAGCCACAAGCCTTGAAACGCTGCTCAATTACCTTAGCACAAGTCAGGTTTGCGGCTCGGAGGCAACTACCTCAGAGATCGAAAAGTGGAGACAAATGACGAAGTTTTAGAACCCCCACCGCGGATCACAGTTGATATAAAACCGTCTCTGGGGGTATTGCGTTATTTCAAGATTTCAATTCTATTAGACTGTCGTCAGCCGTGCATCAACTTGTACAATGTCAGACAATTTCCTTGTCCTCCCTAGGCCGGGAGCACCACCGGCTCGGTCCCAGCCAATCCAGGCCCCATCCGAGGCCGATTTCACATCGACCTTCGGAAATCTCCTGCCACCAGCAAGCTACCTACAGACGCCACAGGGAAAAGCCGCCTACTACGAACTACCACCCACATCTCCGCCACCAGGAACACCCCGGTGGCCCGGGTCTTCCTCGTGCATGGCGTCCAGACCCCCGCTCTCGGACTGCAGCCTCTAGTTACGGCGCTAAAGTCCCGATTCGCCTCTACACACTTCGTCCTCGTGGACCTGTGGGGTCATGGGCTTACAGATACACCTGTTGCAGCACATGAATCGGCGCTCTTCCACGCCTTGATCGAAGCGGTTATGGCGCGCCTAGGGTGGGACAATGCGCATTTCATCGGGTACTCTTTTGGTGGGGCGACGGTGACTTCGTTCGCCGCGAAGTATCCTGCCCGTGTTTCCTCGCTCGTGCTCATCGCGCCTGCGGGTCTAATTAAGTCTGCCTCTTTTGACGAGACGCAGCGGGGCTACTTGGCAGGAGGGGAGGGATTAGAAGAGCGAGCTTCTGCATGGATCTTTGAGTACTTGGAGGGGGGCAAGTTAGTCGTGCCGTCTGATTGGAGGGAGAGAGTTGCGCAGGGCGAAGTTGTGGCGGAGGCTGTGAGAGAGTGGGAGCTGAGGGAGCATGCGGGCCACAGGGCGAGTGTTGTGGGGATCTTTCGAGATGGCGGGGTGCTGGATCAGCATGCTGCGTTTGCGGAAGTGGCGAAGAAGGATATCCGGTGCCTCTCTATCCTGGGTGAATTAGATACTGTGTGTAGTGAGCAGGATTTACGCGGGGTTGGAATGGAGGATATTGCCATTGTGCCACGGGTTGGGCATGCGGTTGCGAGGCAGCGAGTGCCGGAGGTCGCTCAGCTGATTGAGAGCTTCTGGAATAAGCTTTGATGTTATCCACTCCCAGTGCCATTTGGCCCGCTGCCTCGTGAGGAAAGTCTAGACCGTCCGGCGGGATTTGGTGAGAATGACAGTTGCCCTGTGCGGATCTCCCAGTCGGTTCTTAAGCATTGGATGTAGTACAGCAATCTTCCTCGATGCTACGCCACCTAGTGGTCAGGAACGAATCTCCATATGAGCAAATCAGTTGTTCTTCAATCGTTGAATACCATATTGAAGCTTAGGGCTGTAAAAGAAGCAGGCAGGCAAGGACACAAGAGCAGTCCAATGTCTTATCAATGTCATCTTTGCTTTAGATACAGGCCACCGGCCCAATTAGATTTTTCTTTGTGACACGCCTGCACTTAACTCAGATAACTCAGTTGGATTGTATATGAGCCAAGCCGCTCGTAGCTACCAGGCTTTGCAACCAGGGAGCTCTTTGCTCCGCCAGACCCGGAATCGCGATCTGATGAGCCCCCTATCTGCAATCGACAGAATCCAGCCCCTCTTTTTCCAAGTTGCACAGCCCCTTTGAGAGAATGGGATCTGCACTCGTCCCGAAGCTTAGCCCCGTACGGAGTAGATACAATTGATGTGCAGCCCTGCACGGGGTTCATTGCACCTCAACCAGGAGAGTACTTCAACTGGTATTTATAGTAGGTATCAATAAGCTGAAGAGTCTCTTGAGCTCATTAAGTGGCAAAGTCTGGACTCGTGGCTATATATAGACCCAAGACCACTAAGGAGAAAGGAGAACCGGATTTTTCAGACTTGGCACTCACGTAGGGCGCTTTTTTGGCACATCTAATGGTTCGGTGGGGAACTCATTTTATTAGCTTGGTACCTTGACCAGGAACGTTGACGGCGTCCCACTTAAGCTCCGAGCGCTTTCGAGGGACCAACCCTACGATTAGTGAAGTTCTGAAGCCACCCTGGATTCTTCATAGGGTTGAGGCCTTTTTTTTTAACATTTTGCAGAATGTTTCAGATGTCATTCTCGGGTTTGACACCGGCGGTCTCTGTTTCGGATGGCCGGTAAATACTTCCGGAGACTATACTCTATGCCCTCGGGAGCCTTTTTCTTTGCGCCCGCTCTGTATGTACGGGGGAGACTTGGCATCAAGCTTGAAAACGGTCACTTGGACACTGGATGCATCGAATGGCTGTGTCGTCAATTTCGAAGAGCGCCCGTCCTGGAAATGATTGCCGGTGTACAGCATTCCGCGGGATAATTATAGAACGTTAAAGAATGGACGCGATAGCACGCATTCCAGAAGCATAGGCTCGCAGCCGAAGAGCCTCAGGGTGTTCAGCACCGTGTGTTTTTCTGGAACATCGCCAATGGATGTAGAATCGGTAATCGCTCCGGGTAATGAAATTGGCGATTCCAGGCGACGATAGCCAGCCATATGGTGGGGGTTGTGGATCAAGCCGAACACACAGCTCGGGTGAAACTGCAAATAACCCAGTAACCAGAAGTAAGCCGACGAAAAAGGGGGCAGGGCTCAGTCAGAAATTGGCATAGAATTAAAGATTTTTGCTCACGTTAATTTTTTTTTAAATTTTTTTTTTATATTCCATTATTTCCCCTTTTTCTTTAGAGGGGCCAGATCCAGGCCCCACGGGACTATGACGCCCCCCTTTACTGGACCAGCACTCAACCCCCCTTTTTGCGGCCGCAAATGGCGGTAAATCGAACTTAGGTTATCAGGAGCTTTCGCTTTGGGAGCTCTCGACCAGCCGCAGCTGTATTCCAGATCACCTCCTGAATGACACGAAACCATTAATTCAGAAGGAAAAAAAAAGAAAGAAAGAAAAAAGAGCTAGGATCGCGGGGCAGCCATGCGGAACTGTGTCACACGGACCCGTTGGTGCTTGAATGCGAATTGAGGAAAGTAGAGTCGTCTCCGTATGTTTGTTTCAATGGAGTAGACTGGTGGGCTTTTGGCATCCATAATCAAGCCCAAACCGGAACTCTCATAATATCCCCCCCCAACGCCCGCTGCTTTCCTGCTCTCCAGCTCTCCAGGACACCTTGCGTGCTGCCAATCCCGGTACGTTCCCACCCAACCATAATGCTCCCCCCCGCCACTCGTTGCCAATGACGGCAACTTGTCGACATCCGTGGCTGCGCGAGGACTGATCGACATCTGTGGCAACCCCTCTTGACTCGAGAGCGGAGGGGAAATCCACCTGGACGAGTTTAGCCACGTTTCCCCCCGAAACTGACCTTCTCTTATCTGCAGACTCTGTCGCTCTTTCCCTTCTTCACCCTCCCCCATCGTCCGTCCACATCACATCATGGCTTCGAAAGCACTCCCCGCTCACCTTCGAGCTCCCGCCGATGAGTCCAGTGGCTTTGGCAAGCACCATGGCAAATCGCAGTCCCATATGGTGAGTGTCAATTGCAAATAAAGAACTGGCGGTACTCTTGAATCGGATGAGAAGCTTGTTTGTCGTTGCTTTTCATCGTGTGTTGGCTTTTTTGGGTTGCTCCTTCTATTCTGCCCGTTGCTCCTGCACCTTTTACGTCCTGCGACCCGTGGCAAGGCCCAAGAGCTTTCCCTCCCATGAGCTGTTTTCGAGCGCATTGTTGTGTCTGTGAAAGCATTCCCCGCCATCCCTTAGCACCCATTCATCACATCCCCAGCTTCTCTATTTTCTTATCTTGATCCTTCCATTCCCTTTTCCATCGTGAGCGTCTGTGCCAATCCGTACTGGAGTTTATCTTACCCCTCTATTCGCCTGCTGCTCCATCATGGAGGAAACTTCGCGACTAACCCGGATGGCTTTCTCCCAGGCTTTCGAAAATGCCTCCACCAGCGTGGCTGCTTCTCAGATGCGCAATGCTCTGAATGCCCTCGCCGATACCGTCACCGACCCTAACGAGAAGAAGCGTTTCGAAGCTGAGATGGACAACTTCTTCGCCCTTTTCCGTCGCTTCCTGAACGACCGTGCCAAGGGCAACGCGGTCAACTGGGAGCGCATTGCCCCTCCCCAGCCTTCACAGGTTGTCGGCTACGATGAGCTCGGTGCTGATGCCTCCGTTGAGTTCCTGAACAAGCTGGCTGTCGTCAAGCTCAACGGTGGTCTCGGTACCTCCATGGGTTGTGTGGGCCCCAAGTCCGTGATTGAGGTTCGTGAGGGCATGTCCTTCCTCGATCTTTCCGTGCGTCAGATTGAGCACCTCAACCACAGCTTCGGTGTCAACGTCCCGTTCGTTCTCATGAACTCCTTCAACACCGACCAGGATACCCAGTCCATCATCAAGAAGTACGAGGGCCACAATGTCGACATCATCACCTTCAACCAGTCTCGCTACCCCCGTATCAACAAGGACTCCCTCCTCCCCGCCCCTAAGAGCTACGACTCTCCTCTCCAGGACTGGTATCCTCCCGGTCACGGTGACGTGTTCGAGTCCCTCTACAACTCCGGCACCCTTGACAAGTTGATTGAGCGTGGCATTGAGTACATTTTCCTTTCCAATGCTGACAACTTGGGAGCCGTCGTGGATCTCCGCATCCTCCAGCACATGGTGGACTCTCAGGCGGAGTACATCATGGAGTTGACCGACAAGACCAAGGCCGATGTCAAGGGTGGTACCATCATTGACTCCGATGGCAAGGTCCGCCTTCTTGAGATTGCCCAGGTCCCCAAGGAGCACGTCAACGAGTTCAAGTCCATCAAGAAGTTCAAGTACTTCAACACCAACAACATCTGGCTCAACGTCCAGGCCATCAAGCGCGTTGTGGAGGAGAACGAGCTGGAGATGGAGATTATCCCCAACGAGAAGTCGATTCCTGCGGACAAGAAGGGCGAGGCCGACCAGGCCATCTACCAGCTGGAGACCGCCGTCGGTGCTGCTATCCGTCACTTCAGGAACGCCCACGGTGTCAACGTGCCCCGTCGTCGCTTCCTGCCCGTGAAGAGCTTGCTCGGACCTGATGGTTGTCAAGTCTGACCTGTACCGCCTGGAGCACGGCCAGCTCGTCATGGACCCCAACCGTTTCGGTGGCGTCCCCGTTATCAAGCTTGGCTCTGACTTCAAGAAGGTCTCCGACTTCCAGAAGCGCATCGCCAGCATTCCCCGCATTGTCGAACTCGACCACCTAACCATTACCGGTGCCGTCAACCTTGGCCGTAACGTCACCCTCAAGGGAACGGTCATTATTGTTGCCACCGAGGGCAGCACCATTGATATCCCCCCCCGGCTCCGTGCTTGAGAACTGCGTTGTGCAGGGCAGCTTGAGAATTCTGGAGCACTAGATTATCAGATCAGACCCTTTTCCCGCCCATGGGGCTCTACTGTCAGGTTTAATCCGTCCTGCATCTCAAGACCTTCAAGACCCGAGAATATGAATTGGGTCTGGGCGGGGAGTAGGCGAGATGGGTTGATTGGTTAGCCACAGGCGTTTGAGAAAGATTTTGTTTCTGCCACTTCTGCCTGGGAGGTGCATTCATGGCTACAAAATCCCATGGAGCATGCAAAACATGTTGCCTGTATTACACTTGAATAATCCAGCGTTTTGTCTTTTCCTGTTCAATGTTTTTAATCCGCATTGGGAATCCACCTTTTTCTACAAAGTACCCTTGTTGTCCTGGACTGCTCGTATCAAGGCCAGGCTCTTAAAACCCGAAACCGCCTCCTTCTGTCGACCGCAATGCTTTAGCGTCTGGAGCCGTAGTATTTGTATTTGCATCATGAGGCCTGTGCCAACTATGAGCCGTGATCAGTTGTCCGGCTGGCGCGCTCTTTTCCAGCTGGCCAGTGTCAGTGGGCATGGCATCCGAACTTGAATATCTACGAAGGCAACCAGCTGTAGTATTTTGGGCTGTATGTCGTACGCTGCAGGGTGGTATGACTTTGAAATACAGTTCAGGTTTATGAAAGAATAGATTCGGGCTAGTAGTATAAATCGGAGTTAGAGTTCACATATTGCGTTGGAGAGCCTCTACTGCTAGTACTGGTACCAGGACTAGCGAGAATTTATGAATGGAGACTGCCTGACTATCGCGGTGTATGGACCCAGCGGAGAGCAAAGCGCATCTAACTATTACAAAAGTATAGGCTGAAGATCATATCGTAATTGGCGTATTTCGTATTCCACTCCAGACCGAGGCGGGTACTTGACAACCCGTATACTTTAGGGTATGGCTCCCGCATACCTGCTATTGTGAACCTCCCAGAACCTTCTGCCCAGAGACAAGGGAAATTCTACCGTGGCATCCTGGACTTGCAAAGCGTATTGAATACTTCGGTGATCACATGGTCACGTGCTCGGGTTGCCTTCCACCTACCATATTCCATATGCATGATCCGCTATTCAATAACGCCCTTTGCAGAGACATCTTTCAAGCTGCATTTCAAGGTGGAGTTGCTAGCCAGAGGTATATTTCGCGAATAAACGTTCCGCTCTTGCAGGGCTGCTCCTGATTGGCGTTATGCTATTCCAAGCTTGCCACAATCAAGCCCATGCGCAGTACAGCTCGCCCTGTGGAGACCAGACTGGCGGAACGTATTGCCGATGATTTCAGTGCGCGTAATATGCGCGCGTGCCACCTTGAGATCCTGGAAGTACAGCCACTGGCGATTCCAGCCCCATTTTCCGAAAGGCTGTTATTGATCAGCCCCGGATGGATGGCCCTGTTTTTCTGAAAAGGTAATTCTCCACAAAAGATAGACCATCTTGCGATTCTCCCGAACGGCATTCTTGGCGGGTAGTTGGACCTCGTCGGTATCAGCTGTCACCTAGTAACTAGGGCTTGCCATGCCAATATGATATAATGGCCTCTTGTTCGAGTGCGTGGCCATTGCCATTGACCTTGTGCCACCGCCACGACCCACCGTGGGAGATCTTTTTAGTCCGATGGGGAGGGCATCCAGAAGTATTTTACTTCTAGTGCGTGTGTGTATATATATACATATATAGATGTCTTACCCCGGAGAGATCGGCGTCTTGTATATATGCCTTCATCCCGACCCCTTCAACCGCAAAATGAGCCCCCACAATCGTCCAGGACAAGCCGCTCTTTCACCAACCTCAGATATTGGAAGCCTTTTAAGAGATGAGACAGCGTCCCCCTCCAACTTGAAGGGTCCCTGGAAGAAAAGAGTGTCGACCGCGTGTCTCGCCTGTAAAAAGTCAAAACGAAAGGTATGACCGGCAGTTCCTCACGGAGAATCTCTCTCATCTAACGAACTCTGTTCCAATGTTAACTCATTCTGTAATCCAAGTGCTCTGGCACTCCCCCATGTGATAACTGTCGCTCCTTACAGCGGATCTGCATCTTCGACGAGTCGCTCGATCAGCGTCGCCGAGTTGCTGCCAAACGCACCGCGAGCGAGCTCACGTATCATCGTGATCTTCTGAATGACATCTTCAGGGTTATCCGCGAAACTAATGAGTCCAGAACAAATGAGCTGCTCGGCATCATCCGGCAAAATGCGTCTGCTGAGGAGATCCGGACCTATATCGATGATGCTCTGTCATCGCTAGGCAAAGACCCCTCCAGTTCTCGCGAAACGGTGGCTAAGCTGGAGGATGCCCGCAGCCTCATGCGCATCGAGTCCGACAGCCCGGCCTTTCGCAGTAAAGTCATGGATATCCACTATCTGTGTGACGAGGCGCTGTTCAAGGTCCCCGCGCATCCGTGGACGGCCGTGACCGACGATGCAGATCTGGTATCACATCTCATCTCGCTTTACTTCACGTGGGATTATCCATTTCTCCGGTTTTTAGACCGGGATGTGTTCTTGAGACATATGCAAAGCGGGGAATTGTCGTCCGAGTTCTGTACTCCGTATCTGGTCAATGCAATGCTTAGCAATGCCTGTGTATGTCTTCCAATGCAGATAGGCCGCTTTTCTTCTCTCGTCTTGTCACTCCGCGCGGGCTCATAGCTAATCCTGTCTAGTTCTTTTCCGAGTTCTCTGAGTCCTACGTAGTCCCGGGCGAATTGTCTTCTAAGGGAAATGATTTCCTGGCGGAGGCTGAGAGATTAAGGGCCATCCAGTCTCCCCGGCCGAGCCTTGCCCTGTTGCAGGCGACGCTCCTTATGCACGAGAGGTATGCCATGTCATGCAATGATGACCGGGGCTATATCATGCTACATGAGGCGATCCGCATTGGGGAGGCTTTGGGTCTTGTGGGCAGCTATGGCCCGAAGATCGTCCCAGAGCATTTCTCCGAAGAGATGGATATGTCGTGCAGAATCGCTGGTTGGGGTTTGTTCAATATCGATACGTATGTAAAAATTTCCAGCTCGCACCGAATGAGATCTTTACTGTTTCGGGGCAAAAGTTGACGATGGCACCAGCATTGTACATACCGGTTTTCTCAGGCCATGTCTAATTGATCATGTTAATGTCCCCCGTCTGAACGGCAGCTCCACTGACGACCATTGCTTATGGCGGCCGTACCCGACCCATCGCGAGCCGTGTTCGTCCCATGAAAGTTTATTCTTCGAAGAGACATGTAATCTGTCTACCATTGCTCGAGACATCTCGCGAATTTTCGGGGTCAAGGAAGATTACATAGACCCGCTTCAGCGCCAGACTCGCGACGTCCTCTTCGAGAGACTTGGTCGGTGGCATCACTTGCTTCCAGGGGTGTTTATGGCTGATTTTCAGCCACCACACATGTTACTACTGGAGTATGTACCCTGCCGAATCACCGTGCCGCTCCTAGATTTAATCATCCTAACGTCACGTCTTCCACGCCTTTTATAGAATGCGCTGTCATACTCTGGCTATCAACCTGTTTAGTTGTATATCTGAACAAGAACGGCCGAAAGCTTCCTGGCCGGCACCCAAAACGCCAGAAAGTCCCCCGCGCAACTCACCTGAGTCCAAGTACAATCCATGGGAGGTGACTCTCTCGGCAGCGCGAAGTATCGCCGCGCTCGTCCAAGTGCTGCGGCGAGAACATGGTGTTAGTCGGGCGCATCACTTCGCCATGTACTCAATCAACCTCGCCTTGTTTACTCTCCTCGAGCACCCGAGCTTCGATATTCTCGACCCCGACTTCTTGTCGCTGGTCAGTTCCTTCTCTGTCATGGCCAGCCGATCGCCCCTGGGCCGCAATTTGTTCCATCTCTTTCGCCAATCTGTGCGGGCTAAGGGCCAGGGTGAGCGGATTCGCAATTCCGACCGCATCCCCGAAGCCCTGAAAGATCTGTTTGACGAGGACGCTTCAAACAAACTCCAGAATCGGTTCGATGGCTACGCGGAGGGGCTCGAAAAGCTTAATCAAGACAGCAAGTACCACGGAATTGGCCGTGATGGATGCACAAACCTCCAAGATTATCCTGGCCTCAACCTGTACGAGATGCTTGATCGTTACGAAAGCTTAAGCTTGGGCAAAGACGGTTTACTAAGCGAGCGCCCGCCACAAAGATGCTGACAAGTGCCAAAGTGGCGAATCCAAGCTGAATGGCGATCGGGGTATTCCCAAGGTATGAGCAAAGGAGCAATAGACGATCCCAGACATCGGGGCGAGTCAGCTGGGCTTTTCCGTCGATCATCCTGTGGTGGGACCCATCCGGTATCCAGACCCTGCCAGTACCGATCCAAGTTGCAACTATTCCGCAGCGCGTGCCTTGCTAACCGCCACGCACAGTTTTACGTCAAACCAAGTCAACTTTTCCATTTCCTGTTTTGCCTCGCACCATGAACCGACCAGTAATACCAGAAACTTTCCCGTTATATGCTCCCCATTTTTACTTCCAAGCTACCACGCTCGGCACCCCGCCCGGATGCAGAGCGACCAGTAGCGACCAGTCAAAAGCTAGACATGTTCAACCAAAATCTTCTGAAATCGAACAGGGATACACAACTGTGTCTCCTTTTATATCCAAGCTTTGCGGATAATTCACCCGCCTTACTTGGACCTCTAGATCCCTGGAAATCCTCATACCAATGTGGCCCAGCTGGCTCTATCATCTTTTTATACCGATATACCCCGTCTGACGCTGCCTCTGATGAGTCGTCATCGTGAACGGCGCTCGTCCACGCCCGAGTCGGTCCCAGGCCGCTCCGCTGCACCTGCACCGCTCTGGCCTGCATTTCAGACTCCAGGGGTACCGATGCTCCAGCGGGGATTTCCATATCCTGGCTCCTATTCTGGATCCTTGGCGTTGACCTCTGACTCCCGCGTCGTCTCGTCAACTGCTTTCTCGCCATCGTATCAACCTCCGCCAGCTGCCTTCCCGTCGGGCGCTGTACCATCCAGTTCGCCGCCTCCAAATAAGATCGCCATCCCGCGAATCGCAGCTCCTAGCAGGCCACTACAGCGACGGCGAGCAACCCGAGCCTGCGAACCCTGCCGAAAACGCAAGGTCAAATGCGATAGCAAGCAACCGTCTTGCGGGCCATGCACGTATGCAAGCAGACGTTGTGTTTATGAGGATGTCAAGCGAATCCGCAACGAGAAGAAGATCGACCAACTCACGAAACGCGTCGAGCGGTACGAAAATTTGCTTCGCGATCTGGAGGGAGATGTCGATTCTCCCACCGCGCACAGGATTAGAAGAGCTATCCGGGTAAGTATACATGCGCCGCTTCACCAAGGCCGGATCCATGACCCCCTCCGTCTCCCGACCACGACCTTTGAAAATCGTATCCCTTCCCCGCATATGATTTGGAATGAAGATGGGTTTAACATCAAGCTTTCTCCCTAGTTCAAAGATGAAGATCCCTCTCCTGTGAAAGAAGATAAGGACGCCGACACGGCCTCGTCAGTCGGGTCTCTAGAGGCCCTGGACGAGGTCGGAGAAGATTTGAACCGAGATGAGACCGCGCGCGCTGCTGGGTTCTTCGGCAAGAACTCGGAGGTTTCCTGGATGCAAGGACTGAGCGGCGGTATGCGTATGCGGGATCATAGTACGGAGCAAACCGCTTCTCCCCGGTCAGGTCTCTCACCTGCGAGTTTGCCGGATGCGCCTCCAGACGCCCAATCTCGCTTGACAGGACATCTCCCAATAGCAGTGATGAACTATCATCTAGACGACTTGGCCCTTCCGCTTCAGCGCAAAGATGTGGACCAGCTGGCTATGCCGCGCAAAGAAATCGCTAGTGAATATTTCAATGCATACGTGGCGAAGGTCCATCCGTTCTTCGAGATTGTTCGGGAACAAACCTTCACTGCTCAGTACGAACAATGCATAAATCATGATATCGAACCGCCGCGGAAGTGGCTCGCGATATTGAATATGATCTTCGCTATCGGGTGCCGACATTGTCGGCTCACGAACCCTACTCACACTGATGCGTACGATGATGATCTGGTATTCCTGTCCCGGGCATGCCATCTCGGTCTTCGTGACAATGTGCTTTTCTGAACACCCGGAGATTCAGCAGGTCCAGCTGGAGTTTTTGATCGCCCTCTACTTGCTGTGTCTGGGGCAGCTCAACAGGTAGGGTTCAACGCATTCCCAGCCAAGCCCACACCGGTGTTGAAATTCGATAATCTAGGGCTTCCAAGTTCTCAAATATGGCGTTACACTCAGCGATGTCCCTCGGGATAAACCTTCGCCTCAAAGATGATACGACCGACTCTTCCAAGGAAGCACGCTGTCGTCTTTGGTGGTCGATATACTCTTTGGAACACCTCATCACTTCCATGAACGGCCGCGCGTCTTGCATCGGGGAACAAATGTGTGCAGTCTCCCTTCCAGTCCCTGTCGAAGAAGAAGCATTTGGCCATCTTGGCGTACAAAGCGTTTTCCAAGACCAAGGCCTCCGCGAGGTTCTCCTCAGCGCAACGCTCTTTGAAAAGTCTTTTGAGATACAATCGACAGAGAAGCCATGGGCTGCTACTAACTTCCAGCCCAACCCCTCGTTATTCTTCTTTTATATGACCGATCTTTCGCTCCTCACCCAAGCCGTCCTCAACAAAGTATACAGTCTCGAGGGCGTCCGCAACGGAGCCTCTCAAACAGAGTACCGTTTCGAGGACTTCACCCTCCGAATGGACCGCTGGATCCACAAGCTCCCCGACAGCTACCAATTCGTTCTCCCCGGAGGCGGCCCCTGGCGCATCAACCCTGACCTGGACAACGAATCGCTCCCCTACGCCCGCGAACGCGTCTGTCTAGCACTGAACTACTACTCCGCCCGCATCACCCTCTGCAGACCCTGTCTCAGTCTTCACAGCCTACCCTCCGACTACTCCGACTCCCCCACCCACTCCCTTCGCACGACGCTCAGGGCAGAAATGACAAACCACTGCCTGCAAGCCGCGTGCTCCCTGATCTCCATCCTCCCCGAAAAAATCGACATCACCTGGCTCGCCCGCATCGCGCCCTGGTGGAGCGTCCTGCACTTCCTCATGCAAGCCACCGTCGCCTTGCTCCTCAGTCTCTCCTCCTGCTCCATGCCGACCGAACTCGGCCTCGGGTGCACCCGGCGCCACTCACCATGCAGCTCCGCAGCACGTCCCCAATCCGGTCTTTCAGACCCTTCGGGAGCAGGATCTGCAGACTGCTATCGCGCAGACCCGGAAGGCGCTTGTCTGGATCCATGCCATGGCATCTGTAGATCCCGCCGCGAAGCGCGGTTTCTTGCTGTGCGATAGTCTTCTGCAGGGGGCCGCGCCGGCGCTGAAGATCGATCTGAAGGATTGGCCGAGTGCAGCGTCCTTGGGCGTTAAGGGAGATCGGGGTCTAAGTGTTCGGATGGAGGGCTTGGAAGAGTGGATAGATTTCGAGGGCGGGGATTCTTGAACTAGTGTTCCTGGGGGTTACTTAGGGCCTAACCCGGGGATGACTCGTTTTGTTAACTTTGCATCTTAAGTTTGTTTTCCACCTGGAAGAACCTCATCGTTGTTCAAGTCTGCACGTTGTAGTGGGGACCTCGCCAATAGAATTTAGATAGGAGAGCGGGTTTTTTTTTCCCCCTCTCGGGAGGCTTAGTGTGGGGTTGTGGCGGGAGCTATAGATTGGTGTTCCCTTCGCCGGCCGCACTGAGCATCTATTACACATTCATTACTTTTTTCGGAGCTGATGTCTACGTTTCTTTGCTGGGTACGTCCTTGTAGAGTCGGGCGTGTCATTCGCCCTGCCCCTCCGCCTGTCATAGCCTGTCTTAGGGCGTCCCGGTTCAAGGCCTATGAGGATTCCAAATTCTCCAGTAGATCACAGGTACAGTAGGGTTTTACTAGTATATATCAAATTAAGTTCTCGGCCTAAATCAACTACGGAAGTCCCAAGTGGTGATTACACAGAATATCAAGCTGTTAGTACGAATCTATCTTAGTCGGCCTAAACCATTGTATATATTAGGAGTAGTGCCGAGAAACAGGGCTGAGACAACTCGACCATTGGAAAAGTCCAATTGCATTACCAATATGTACTATGTGATTAGATATATATCGCATGGGGGAAATATCAAATGAACGTGCTAAATCAAGACAATGCGTGTCATGCCCAGGAGTCAACCAGAGAACCAAAAGTACCAAATGCAATAAACCCACGACCAATCCTTTCCATAACTAACGGATCATCATGAATATGACATGCACAGAAAAACCATGCTATTTGATACTTGCGGGAATATTGGTAACAGTGAAGAAAGATCGACAAAACGGGGTTGGGGAATCAAGAGGCGACTGTTCCATATACTCGGGTAAAAGAAACACGATACCGAGAGAACGAAACAGCTTTATAACGTTTATATCACAGATGCAGCAGGTCAAGATTGTACAAAGTTAGGCAACGGTAGCACCGATTCAGGACGGCTGTGGTTGGAGCTGCACCTGGAAGGTATGTTGATGCTGATGCTGGGGTGCAGGCCGGGGCGGCGCTCGAGGCTGATGGGGCTGGGGTTGTGCCTGAATCTGCCCTTGATGCTGGTGCTGGTGTTGGGGCTGGTGTTGCGGTTGTTGTTGTTGCTGCTGCTGCTGCTGCTGCATGTGGTGCATAGGAGGCATTTGCATAAACGGATGCGAAGGGTTCGGACGCTGAGCATGAGCAGGGACAGGAGATTGCTGATGTGGGTGCATTTGCAGGTGTTGCAAAGAGAGGGGCTGTCCAGGCTGTGCGGGCATCGACTGGACTGATTGGCGGTGTTGGTTTTGATGTTGCGGATGCTGTTGCGGATGCTGTTGCGGATGCTGTTGATGCGGCTGCTGCTGTTGCTGCTGTTGCTGCGGAGGGAATTGCTGCCCCCGTTGAGCTCCCATGTGCTGCTGCTGCTGCTGCTGCTGCTGTGAATATGATGTTGTTGGATCTGTAATGGATGACCCTGCTGAGGGAGGGTATGATTCTGGCCATGCATAGCTTGGTTTGGCTGCGGTGGCAACTGGATTTGCCGAGGGTAAGGAGGTGTGGGCGTAGGTCTCTTATTTGGGCCGTCGTCTCCAGTCGGGGCCGGTCGCTTATTTTGGTGGTTGGCGTCTCCATTCTCCACTTTCAGGTTCTCCAGCTTCATCACCTCTCCGCCAACAGTTGGGCCATTTCCGGCTGCAGCTGCGGCAGCGGCAGCCGCGGCTGCTACATCAGCTTTGCGAGGTCTCCCTCGAGGCCGACCTGTGCCTGGAGGCTTAGGCTTCTTCGGCCGTGGAGCCGGCGGCTTTCTGGGTTTGGGTTCGGGCAAGGGCTGACCAGTTGCCATGGCCCATGCGATTTGGTCGGCCTTGCGCGGGCGTCCACGTTTCCTCTTCAAGGGCAGCGGCGTGCCGTCAGGACCGATGATCGGAGTCGGCAAGGCACCTATCGCCGTAGGTGTCATGTTCTGGGTGAAAGATGCTTGCCCTGGCTGTGGAGGTGGCAGCCCAGCTGCAGCAGCTGCAGCCGCCGCGGCCGCATTTCTAGCTGCTACTTCTTCCTTCCCGCGGCCGCCCACGCTTGCGGCGAGGCGTAGGAGTCTCAGTGGGATTCACACTAGGAGGCCCCATACTGGGGGTGAGATTAGTGGAATGCTGGCCTTGTCCATTTAGCTGTGTTGGAGTAGAAGCAGGTGGAGGTACAGGAGCAGGCATGTTGTGCGGTAGCTGAGATTGGCTTGCCTGCGAAGGCGTAGCAGGAGGGTTTCGAGGCTTCGCTTTCTTTTTGGCAGCGGGGCTAGGAGCTTCAGGGTGTGACGTAGAGTTTGTAGCAGATGTCGAAGAAGGCGGTGCAACTGTTGGCAATGAAGGAGTGCTCGTTGTCTGAGTGGTTGGCGGCTGGTAGTGTTGGAACTGATGGGATTGAGTAAACTGTGGCTGCGCAGGCTGTGTAGGCTGTTGGAATTGACTATGCTGCTGAAATTGGCCGTGCTGCTGGCCGTGCTGCTGGCCGTGCTGCTGGCCGTGCTGCTGGCCATGCTGCTGCGGAGGCTGATAGTGATGAAACGGCGTTTGAGCATGTGGCGCGAAGGGAGAGGGGCGTTGGAAGAGGCTTGGCGTTTGCGATCGTTGCTGCTGCTGCTGTAGCTTTTGCATTCTTTGCTGCTCGAGCATCTGCTTCTGTTGTTCCATTTTCTGCTTCTCAATCCGCTGTTGCTCTTGCTGCCTCTGCTGCTCTAACCGTTGCTCTTCCTGTTGCTGCTTCTCCAGCCGCTCCTTCTCCAGTCGTTGCTGCTCAAGCTTTTGCTGTTCCTGTCGTTGTTGTTCCTGACGCTGCTGCTCCTGTCGTTGCTGCTCCTGGCGCTGCTGTTCAAGTCGCTGTTGCTCCAGTCGCTTCTGCTCTAGCTGCTCCAAACGCTGCTGCTCCAGTCGCTTCTGCTCTAGCTGCTCCAAACGCTGCTGCTCCAGGCGTTGCTGCATCTGCTTTTGTTGCTCCAGTCGCTGATGCTGAAGAAAATCTGGGTGCTGTTGGTGCTGGTGGTGCTGCGGGTGCTGCGGAAGTTGCTGGTGTTGCTGGTGTTGGAAGTGTGGATGTCGTTGTTGCAGTTGCTGCTGGGTTTGCTGCGGGGACTGAGGCTGCGAATGAGGCGGACGTGGCTGATTGAAGGCAAGCATTGAAGGACTCGCCATGGACGGACTCGCAGCCGGATGATTGTCGCGGGCATGTACATTCGATTGGGGGAGCCTGTTCAACGGTTGTTGTGGTGATGATACATTCATGCCGTGGGGTATCATCGCGTTGGGTGGACTCATTGCTGATTGTTGATGCAAATGAGCAAGCGGATTGTAGCCTCTTTGTATATTTTGAAGCGCCATGGGATCCGAATTCCGAGGCATCAAGTCCGGGGAACTCTGCGGCGCAAAGTGAGGGAACTGCGCGGGGAAGCTCGTGGTGGTAGGGTATCCAGCCAAGGATCCAGATGTCGGCGCCATCTTCCGCATGTCAGGCGACTGCGCAGCAGTGAAATTCTGCTGTGGCTGGGCGCGGAAAATGGGCTTGTTGCTGGTATAGGGACTTCCATGCTGCGGCAAGTTTGGAGCGGCGGCTAGCGATGGCGAGGGCACATGCTGACGTTGAGGACCGAGGGGATGCGACGGTTGCGGTTGTGGTTGCTGTGGCTGTGGCTGCTGCTGCTGCTGCTGCTGTGGAGGTTGCTGCTGACGGGGGTGGAATGGCGGTCCCCCGTATCCCATCATCTTTAATGATATAATTATCTACCCGGTAAGGTGACAGCAAGTTTGCGACGTAAAAGGCTGGGACGTTTACGCGCAAGACGTGCGACCACCGCCGGTTCCAAAAGACCGAGTCTAATCCAACGCGAGAGGCCAGGTCCTCGATCGCCTGCAATTAAACGCTCAGGGCAGTGGTCGCGCACACGGCCGGATCAAGATTCACGGTGACAGGCAGTGGGCCGCTAAAGTCGCGCCGCGTGTTTGTGTTGTTTCGGGGCGACCTGAGCCAGGCAATCAGGCAGTAAGGCAGTAAGGCAGCAAGACCCAATATGGCCAAGGCACCAAGGCTGCAAGGCCACAAGGAATCAAAGATGGCCCGAAGCGGTTTAGCGGCTACGGAGGCCGAATTGCGCCGGTCAGCGCAGGCGAAGAGAAATTCGCCCAACTCGCACGGAAAGGGGGCTTCAGGGGCCTCCGGACTACCAGGGCCAGCAGGCAGCTTAGGCAGGGGCGAGGCTGGCAAGACCGTGCCCAGAGGGGATCAAGGGACACAAAGAACGATCGGGGAAACAAAAGTGGATGTCCGCTGGGGGGGATCTCGCTGGGCGAAGGGACAAAAAATAATTAAAATAAAATAAAAAATAAAAATAAAATCCCAAAATTCGAAAATCCGAAAATCGAGTTTGTCCCCCACATCACGTGACTCCGGGGGCGGTACACGCCATACGTAACACGACGGCAGGGGACAGCCCTGCTAAGATGGTCCAGCTAGAAGTTCCACTCCCTGCGTATTAGCCATGATAAGCTCTCTGTATTCATGATGTGGATATGCTGCAGAGTCTGATCATCCGGACGGGCCTTTACCGTCCGCAACCCATGAGATCTCTGCCCATGAAACTAGTATAGAGGATATCCCGTACAGAAATGAAGTACTTATATGTCTGTGAATGACAGACGTATTCCTGTCTCTGATGAGCACTTATCGCCCCATCCGGCTAGTCACGTAAGTCGCGCCAAGATGAGTCTCAAATTTAAACTTGAAATCCAGTTATCCGGCTCTGCTCTACCCGGCGAACAATGTTCTCATGCTGCTTTGCCACTCTCCTCGGTCGCTACACGCAATTCCGCGAGGCAAGGTGCGTGAAATATTTCCCCCGGTATCACACTTTTCGAACTTCTGATACTCACAATAATCTAGATGACCATCACGCATATCGAGAGTATCTTCAATCAGAGTTAGCGTAGCATAAAATTAAGCGGACTTCAACCATCATTTGGGGTATTGACCATCCCTAGGATGTTGAAGAATCTGAAAGGCAGCTCGGATCCCACTTGAACTGTGATCGCAGTAAACACTCGAAGTAGAAATATAAAACCCCACCATCCAATGTCGAAGGGGAAACTCTTCAGTCGTACGAGTGTAGCCGATGCCAAAAAAGCCAGACAAGGCCAAAGAACCACAGAATGAGAGAAGGTCTCACAATGCCACATACCAACCAATACCCACCCTGGCCAAACGGGGCCATGAGCAGAAATTACTGACAACGATCGCTCTTGGCGGCAATTTGTAGAGCGTGAGGCGCTGGAGGTAAATGTCCAAGACCATCATTACTAATGGAGCTCTCATACCCCATGGAGCGTAGCTGGCCAGAACAGTCCACAGTGCATGTTGGTCGTTTGGAAGTATCTCGGCTACACCCAGAAGAAGCAGCCATGACACAGCTCACAATAGGGAAGCCATACAGCTGTCATGAAGACAATTGAGTTTCATTTCCATATACCGTTCTGATCAAGTTGGTAAGGGGCATAGAATTCGAATATCAGATAGAACCGACAAAATGAAAGGCAAATGAAAGGCGATGATAGGGCCGTCAGCACTGAAATAAGTGCATTAACGTTCCACAGCCCCCAGGCAAAAGGAGTGTTCCTCTGGGTAAACTACGATGGGGTGAAATTGCGAAATATCCTCCTCCACCCTTATTGTTTGGCAGGTCTGCTGGGACAGGCTCGCTGGACTTCGGAGCCATTTTGGGTAGAGCAGAAGATGGACGTCTGCTTGGGTGGAGGCGATCTTCCGTTCCTCAGTCGGTTTTGAGCTCCGGTCAAAGGGGATATAGATATGTGGGTAAAAGTCAGTTCTGAACCTTGGAGGTTATCCGAACTGCCTTCCTTCCTCTTTATGTGCCCTGCTGCTTCTTCTTTTTCTTTTTCTGTGAAGTTTTACTAGTCTCCCAGGAATGAATGTTCGTTGCTGTGATTCAGAAGTATCACTCGACCACTTACTCCACCGACAATCGGCTAGCCAGCGCCACACCGTTCAGCCCTGCGATCAACAGTCAGCTTCAATTTGCTCAAAGTATGAGTGTTTTGTGGTGAGTTTTATCACCCAGGCTTCCTCGTGACCCAATAGCTGGCGGTGAGAATTCTCGTCTTTGAGCGGTACTGCTATTGTTAGTGAATCCTGGGTCAGGTTCACATAGTGTATTTCTAGAAAATGCTGCCCATACGCTTCAAGTTGATGGCTACAAGCTAGGGATTTAACGGCTATCAGGGTCTTCGCTATGTCAAGATGTACCATTGAGCCACTCTATGACTGGATGAAAAGTACTAGAGTTTGGAGTTGGCGGTAAATTTGGAGTGAGGATGCTTTTTGAACTGTCCATTTCCACATCCGCCAGCCAACTGAACCCCCATTCTGTCAGCGTGTCTGCGTCTGCGCTTTCAGGCACTTGCTTCTCCTCTGGCTTCCGAGTTGGGGACAGGTAATTGCTCCAGTCCTCGGGTTGTCGGTCGTGCTCATAATGCCGGCGAAGACCCCATTTCAGTGAAAGGGGAATGATCGCGGCATAAATGCAGATGAAAAAGACCGATCGGACGACGACCATCGCGCACCGAGTGGTGATGGATGTATGGTCTAACCTGAAGTCCCATATGATATCTGTCACTGCTTTCATCATGTTGAGTCCGAAGAATAACGTGATGGTCACTAATGACAGGATTATCGGTTCCTATTGATGAATAGGGTGGTCAAATCAAAATCTGCGCACAAGGAAAGAAAGGGGGTGTCTCACTCTTAATGTGCGACGCGGGCCGGTAGTCTTGATGGTCATGAATACATTCAAGACTAGGATTTCAAGGGACGCTGCCCAGCAGATAATCTGCGTAATGCCGTCCATTAGGTCTTCCACGGAGAGGTTCCAGGGGCCAATGACGGGCGAGTCACCAGGGATGAAGTATTCACCACTCCAAGATCCTCTACACAAATAGGCTGTATTGAACGACCAGTCTCAGGATCACAGAAATGACAATGATCCCAAGTATGGACCAATGAGCCACTTGCAGGCGGGAGATACGCTTGCCGAAGAAGTTTCCACACCTGAGAAGAAGGTGCGTAATTTGGTAGATAATGTAAAAGAGAAGGCAGTTGGTGAGATGCAGCGCGAATGTCGATACTATCCCCGCAGCTGTGTAGTATGTTTTGAGCGCGTGGGACGGCTCAGGATGCTCCATTCGAAGACCATTGGCGGAGCAACGAAATATCTCGAATCTATTTTGCATCTTGAGATTAGCCCCGGATTCTGCAAACAGAATTATTGTCGTCCTTACAGTGACATCGATCCCAAGCAACCGATAATAGCCCATTTTGATGGCTCTTCAAGGTCGTATTTCCGCCATCGGCGAAGGTATAGAAGGACAAGAAATGTGCCGAGAAACGCCACCCCCAGAACGGAATCTAAAGCAAGCGCCACTTTTAACAGCGTCTGGTCGAGACTCTGGAGCCCCTCTGGTCTTGAGGGCTGGACATCTGCGTCCATGTCTCCGGGGAGAGTTCTTTGGATGAGGGCGGAGATCAAGGATTGGACATTCTCAACTGTTATGAATCATTCCTGAACTTGATTTGGACCCTGGGGACTGACGAACGCCCAATTTAGATCACGCCAGCTGCATCGACGGGCACGGACGCGGTAGTTAGTTAAAGGAGTGTCAGCTCTGTCAGCGCATCCTCAACGAACTCCGTACGGAGTTAACCCATTCGCTAGCTGGCACCGTTTAGAGTTCATAGCGCATGCAATTTACTTGCCCCCCGGAACATCCGGACCAGGCCTTTCCAGGTCCGAGAGAGGGGATCGTCAGTACATGGCTGGTAAACGGCTTTAGAGAACACTAGCTCGCAGGTGAAGAGCAAGAAGTATTGGGATGAACGGTGCAAATGATTAGTGATCATTCAGTCTGATCGACTTGGCTGTTAGCTATCCTGCCTCCTGCCTGGCTGCGCCCTCGTCCTCAAACCTTGAAGGATCCGCCTATGCTGATTCTAGCTTAGTTCAGGCCCCGCAAGGTTGTATGGACAGTGCGATATCGAACACCCCGGGGCGCATTCCCTACCCTGAGACTTTTTTGAATCAGGGAAATGCTCGTGCGCATCCACCTCGTATTGTGCTGTAAACGAAGAATTGAAAGATAAGGACCACAGCTGATACCGTTCCTGACCAGTTATCTTGGAGATATTTTGCAATTGGCCAATCTGGGGTTTACCCCTTTCGTCAAGACTAAGTTTTGGGAATTGGTTCCATCTGCATGAGCGTCCGAGATAGCCGCACATTAGACGTCCCTCCGGATTAAGGTTGGTACATGAGCCTCGGTACTCGAACATAGAGCCTGCGCTATCTTTTGAGAGCCCCATAGCCTGGGAGACATCTCTGGTCAAACCGGTGTCCTCTCGCGCGCCTCTGCAGGCCCTGTTGCTTGTGCGAGGTGGAGTAGTTCAATCCTATGCCACCAAGCACGAGCTAGCAGAGGGCCAGAGCGACCCGCGTGATACATAGAGGTCCAGGGACGGCTTGTACCGGCTTCATTTTATTTAAGGCCTAATCTCCAGCTGTCCGATCATGCAAGATGGACATCCACTTCACAAGCTAACCAGCTGGGGACCAAGCGCCGCGTGCCGTTGCGGCTTGTTAAATTAAGCCCCGCCAAATAGGGGTAACAGTCTCCAAACGGTCGAGATGTCTCCGCTGCCAGAAACATTTATTCATTCATAATTATACACAAGACTACAATAGTCTCACATCACGCGAGGGGGAAGTGTATTGCATAACCGATGCCGAGTAATTCACCAAATCAACGGTTGAGGCCAAGAGGGTTCTCTGCATCCTGCTTTTTCCCCCCAATGCTCTGGAATCCACCCTGGACGCTGTCGCCGGCGCCCTTCGTGGTGTTTCCAAGACCCTCGCTGGCACCTGATACTGTCGACCCGAGTCCTTCGGTCACGCCTCCGACGGTGTTGCCCAGCCCACTAACTGCGCCGCCGACTGTGTTGGTGACGCCTCCAACTGTCTTGCCGACGGTGTCCCCTAGGCCACCGAGGATACCATCTGGAAGATTAGGTGGTTAGATCGTACCATGGGAAAGTGTGCTGGGGTCGAAACGTACTGTTGTTACCCTGTCCCTGTCCCTGTCCCTGTTGTTGAGACATTCTGATTCGTGAATATGAAGAATAGCTTTGGGTTTGCTTTTGGGAATTAACTTGGAAAGTGCTTGTGGTAGAAGGCCTTATTGAGGAATAGTGGTAAATTTTTGAATTTGATAAAGTGCTGATTCAAGCCTCTGGAGTCCTGCTCCTAAATACCCGCTCTGGCATTGACAGCATGATGATGAAACCCGGTTGGCGGGCATTATATCATACGTGCAACTTCACAAGCCACGGACCATCATTTTCATATATTAAGTCTCTGCTAATCCTGAAGACCATAACGAATCAGAGCTTTTCGCGTGCGGGTATCTTGACATCAGCCACCCGATCTGACGTATTTGTACCCCGGTTCCCCACAGGGCTTGGTCGGCTGTTGGAAGTGTTGGTTCCATTGGGCGAGGTTCTTTGGTTAGACAACCTAGGCAGCTAAACATCGCCCTGTCACCTGTCATGAAGCTGCTGAGAATATATTAAAAGGCCGCCACTCGAGTCTGAGCGCTCGCGTACATCTATCTCCTTGTTTCTGCGTAAGAAGGGAAGATGATGTCATGTCAATAGATTGAAAGTATGGAACCGACCAGTTATTAGAGCGGGCCACAGTTGAAGCTACGTTTCAAATTTAGGGTAGACATCATTAAAAGGTCTATGGAGTGTGATATTTCAGATATTACAATTAGAGAAACAATATTCTAGCCAGCAGCATCATGAGAACCGAATGAAGTCCTATCAAATCCAAGTATACCCAGACTTATCTAAAGACTAGCCTGGCCTCTCGGTTCAAACGGCATAAACACGACCAGAATCCCCGCCGCAATGAACAGCGCTCCACTGACATAGACAGGCGTCGGGGAATTCAAGTTCGCATACATCGCCACGATGGGTGACATGATACCGAAGATACGATTGGCAGATGCCGTCAAGGCGTTCCCAGTACCCCGATCTTTCGTCAAGAAAATCTCAGGTGTATATGCGTACAGAACGGCATACATGAGACTGCTCATGAAGCTGAAAGCGCAGTTCCAGCCAAGCAGGGCATTCGACGTCGTCGCGGTCGTCGAGGCAAGCAGGAAGGCCCCGGTGATCGCCGTCGAGGCTGCTAGAGCGCCTTTTCGACCGATCTTGGGGGGTCTCAACGAGCAACCCGCCAAGAAGACAGCCGGGTACTCCCATCACGGCCTGGATGAGAGTATTGCGGTACGTGATATAGGTCGAGCCGTCGCCAAAGTCGGCGCCCCGCTGGGCTTGAATGGCGGGGAGGAACGCGTTGTAGAGGGGATATCCGAGACCAATGAAGGCCCAGACGAGGACGATGAGGGTTGTGGAGAATGCTTGCTTGCGGGTTCGGAATAGGGCCCGGATGTGCTTGAAATTCAGCTTGTCGAGGCGCTGGCGCACGAGGCTTGAAGCACCAAATTCGGAGATTTCGCCCTGGTCGTAGCTGTCGAGCTCCTCTTTTGTCGCGGAGGATGTTTTGCTGTTGATGCGGGCTACTTCGTGCACCACGGCGATGGCTTCTTCGTTTTTGCCTTTGCCCATCAAGAATTTGGGCGACTCGTAGATCCGGAACAGCACGAAGCGAATGATGAACATGATCATGGCCAATCCGCCCATGGCGATCAGGAAATACCGCCAGCCCATGTTCTTCTGCTTTGTGCAACCGTCAGCACTCTCACAGGTGAAGTCGCCCAGCAAGGGCCAGGCGACCAGGTTCGCGACCACCTGCGCAAAAGCCCAGTCAATGGACAGGACGGTCAGCAGATACTGATGCGACCCGGGCAAGAACTCGAGGAAGATGGCCGAGTCAACAGGAAGGTTCCCACCAACACCCACCGACCACAGCGCTGAAAAGGTGCAGATAGCAGCGAAATTCGGCGACCCAGCAGCGATCAACCCAAAAACCGCAGTCACACCTATCGTCAAGTTGAAGGCCCATCTGCGACCAAACACATCACACCCGAACCCCCAGAAGATGGCCCCGACCAGCAGCCCGATATTCTGCGCGAGTGTCAGAATGGGTCGCTGCTTCGGGTGGAATTCGTTTCCCACAGGCGTAAGAATCAAGCCTGTAACCACAGGCCACAGATTGTCCATCGCCCAGCCAAACCCCACCACGATAAAAAGCTGCCATTGGTACCAGCCCATGCCGATATCCTGGATGGCGCGATTCAGGACCTCCGCTTTGCCCTTGTATGCTGCATCAGGGCCATCGCTTGAGTCTGACGGGGGCGAAGGAGGGATGGATTTGGCGACGGGCTCGATGCCTGGCGATTTGACCGGATCAGACTCGATCATGGCTGGAGTCTAGCACCGACGAAAATAAATGAAGGAATACGAGTACAAGAGGGGAAGCTTGCTACCAGAGGGGCCATCTCCCATATTTGACTTGCATGTGCCCCAAGGGAAGGCGGGTCCCCAGGACCGCCAGATGTACGATCCTTTAACCCTTGATATGTTGGAATCTAGACCACATACGGTCGAATCAGCGCGCGCAGTGACACGCGATGAACCTTAAAGATTGGCGGTCCTGTTTGGCTTTGCGTGAGAAGCTGGGATTGGGCATACATGATTGGGTTATTTATGGCGTGCTCTTCGGGCGGTTTTTGCCAACGATGACAGGAGTCTGTTTTCCCCACAGCGAACGCTCGTGGTTCGCCCCTCTGACAGCGACCGGGCGCAATCAGCACATTTGGGGGGCAGGTTTGGGAGATCCCCGCGCACCGGAAGTCTGTTCATATGTATCCTCCAACTACTCTTTGGGAAGGAGGTGAAAGGGTCCAGGTGGCTTTGTTTTAATTTACAAACACGAACCTCGTCATCTCTCCCGATTATTCCTCATTGCGGGGATGCGGGGAAGTTGATGAGAATACCCTCCGAAGTTGAACCTTGGTATCGAAGAATTGGGAAAGATGGAAAATTGGAACGAAATCAGACGAAGATTCCTAAATGACCAAGAGTGCTAGAGGGTACTTTTATAATTATCCCTACCTTGCTTATCAGGGCGATTTCCAAGCAGATATTGCCCGAGCACCGGCCAAAGCACTCGACGGCTTGAGTCCAGGGTAGAAGGAGGTTGGAATGGGAGGAATAGGAACGGGAGCATTTGTGCCAAAGGCCCTCGCGAGGTCGGACTGCATTCTGGCCGCAGGATACCCAGACGGGGCCGCCGTCACGGTCACTGTGGTTGTATACGAAGTATAGTCGGAGCCGCTTTCAAGGGCATGCGCCCTCGCCGTAAGCGCTTTCGCAAGAGTACCATTCGTAGTCGCCCTCTTCAGTCCAGATCGCAAAGTCCTCGATGGTGATGTCGGTGCAAGGAGCGCCCTCCGCGCATGCTACCTTGATGGGGCCGCGTTTGGCGCCGTCCGCGGCAGTGCCCTTCCAGTTTCTGATGGTGATGTTGTTCAGCTGCACCCCGTCACCGCTGCTGGTGCTTTGGCTGCTCCAGTACTGGTCAATGTCGAGCGAATAGGCATTGCCGTGACCTGATGTATTTGCAAGACGCAGTTAGCTTGAAGAACTTGAGCTTGGGGCGCGCGGATCTCTACCAATAAAGTTCTCAAGAACGACATTGTCGACATTCCCATCGCCACCATTGCTCTTGATCATGTACATCTGGTTGGAAGACCAGGTGTAGATGTTGCGATAGGTGATATCGGAGATGTTGGTCCCCGTGGCAAGGGAGCCCATTGCACATCCGCCACTCCAATTGCAATAGATGCTTTCGACCAAGATATTCCGGGCTGGGCTCTGGGATGCTGTCAATTGTCTGCTGGGTCATTGCACGCATCTCAACTTGCCTTGACGGTGACACACTCATCCTTGTTGGTCACCTCGATCTGCAAATATCATTAGCAGATTCCATGTCGAGAGCACCAATGCCTGAAACATACGTCGTGGATCCAGATGTTCGTTGACCAAACGTCAATACCGTCAAGTCCTCCTCATTACCGCCGCGAACGATCATGTTATAGACTTCGCCGTTCTCACAGGTATCCATGCTGAAATGGAAAGAAGGCGAGTCGACCAGAGCCAAGTCATGAACTGAGAAATCGGCAACATCGTACAGGCGAAGAATACGCGGTCCAGAGATATCACCACCAGCGTGGAACTCATATCCAAAACCCTGGAAAGCGCCCTGGGAGGTAGTACTGAAAAGCTCGAAATCAGAGGTATGCTCGATATAGATCATGTTACCCCGTCCTTCCCAGTCCGATAAATAATGCCATCGATGACAATCGCACAGCTGCTACCACCGGTGAGATCAACCCAAGTGGCGAGCGCATAGTCACCCGAGGGAATATAGACCACGCCGCCCGTTTTGCAGTCATCCCAAGCAGAGCTTATAGCAGTACCCACGTCAGTTGAGTTATCAGCCACGGCACCATAGTTCAGCACGTTGCAAATTTTGTGGTTCGCCTTCATAGAGTAGGAGGTCGTTGGGCCCACCGGGCTCGACAGCTGGGCAGTTGCGAGTAACGGCACCAGGCCAAGTACGAGCAAAGTCCGAGAAGAGAGCATTTTGCTACTGCCCGGAAGTAACAAATGGTCGGGGCTGGTAGGGGCCGTAAGGAACGAATATGTACCTTCGAAAGGCGCAAATCTAAGCCTTGGAATAACTATCACATAGACCCAGAGGCCAGAGCCTTATTTGAAAGCTCCCAAAGATCCCGGCTGGCATTCATGGAAAATGTTTTTCCGCCATCAACATCCAGCCAATCCTCGGCTAACAGAACGTCCATAGCTCCAGGCGAATCCACAGCAGAAACAACCACCAGCTATCGTCAAACATGGTGGGCCGCGTGGCGCCCCCGCAATGGGTAATCCCGGCATATCATTAGCGCTGGAGCACATGGCAAGTTCCAGGGTCGAGTGAACACGCCAGGGGGCAAGGGGTTAGGCTTGCACGGTAGAGATTAGAGGGGAAATCGGGCCCTAAACCCGTCTCGTTTTGAGTGATCGGCAGCCTCAGACCTAATGCCAGCATCTTTAGGCCGCCCTAGCGTTTGGGTTAAGTAGGCATTCGAGAGCACTAATGTACGCCATCCTTTCTGTCTCACGCTAGGGCGTTTCGTCACCAGACCGTTGGATCGTGTCTCATGACGATACTCAATTACCGATGGTCAAACGCAGGCGAGGGATTCTTAATGGCATGATGTCGGCGTTCTATGTGATTTCAATCACTGAGTGGCCGCAGGATAGTGTCCGATCGCTTCGCGAATATGCGCCGACCCGTTCTATACCCTCAGGCACGATCATGTTCGGATAACTTAATCCAATAGCAACTTCCCGGAACGTCCTGACATTCTGCTGGACTTCGCTCGTAAGTCCCAGCTGGAACGAAACCCAGCCTACTGTGATACTGTCCTGGGTGCTATCCTACCGCCTCATCCTTCACAGAGGACGTCTACTAGTATGGGGAAAACAGAATTCTCCAAAATGATCTCGGTTCGAAGTACCACGATAGCTAAAGAAAAATCTAGTTAAAGACTTTCAAAGCAAGAATCGACTTAGCAAGTGCAACAGGGACCATTATCTCGTCGCAGCCAAATTGACAACGAGTTAGACTTCCAAGCCCCGAAAACACAGGGCCCCTTCCACCGAACCCGATCTTCCTGGCATATTGCGTTGCTTAGACCATCAGGCGCTCAACCTGGGTCTTGACGGCGCGGATCTGGTTGTTGAGCTCAGAGGCCTCGTTGGTGGTGATGCTGCAAGCAATCACGGGGCGGCTCACACCGGTCGCACGACCGAGCGCAATCTTGCTGGGAACATAGACGTAGGGAACGTTCTTGTCCTCACACAAAAGGGGAAGGTGAAGACTGGAACTGAGTTAGCGGTCCTCAGAACTAGGGCGATGGGAAGGGAACATACATGATGGGAAGGGGGTGGTGTCAGCAGCCAGAATAATAATTTCGGAAACACCGCGGTTCAGAGTCTTGGTGGCCTCGTTGGCACCCTTGCGAATCTGGCGGTAGTGGCCTGCAAAGGTCAGTACACAGAATCTTCTGATTAAGACATAGGAGAAACTCACTGGCTTGCTGGACAAGGTCCAAAAGAGACTGGGTAAGAGCCTCGTCGGCGATGGGCCAAGCGGCGCTGGAATCTAAACGGTCGCATTAGAAAGGTTCTTTGATAAGTTCGACGTAGCTCGGGGGGGTTTCTAAGCATACCTTCGGCCATTATTGTGGTAGAGGGGATTTCAAACCAGATCTTAAGAGAAATGGCTCACGCAAAGGATCACTGCCGTGTGAACTAAACAGAAGTGTTGGGGTATGTAGAGATGTATGAATGTGAAGAGAAAATTTTCTCAGAACGGTATAGGCAGGGATACCGCTTGCCGTTTATGAGAGTCACGTGGCTTTAGTTATGGCATATCCCTGACCGCCCGGATACCTCAACTGGACATCTTTGAAGTTCTCAGGCAAGCTCGGTCAAGCTCATTGGTCTAGTCGCCGATTCTGACAGCCTGCAGGGTATGAGACTTGAATGCCTAGAGTCTCAACTTTTGGAGGAGAAGGCTCATTTGCAATTCGGAAGATAGCATTTTCTGACGGTTTGAGTAAAGCTACCTTATTCACGGCTCTATGCAATGGTTCCCAAGCTCGGTCACCCACTCTGTCCTTCGCAGCTAAAATACTTACCCTCTGTGATGCCAAGTGTCACTACATGGCGATATTATGATAGACTGCTAATCTATGTCACGTTCGTAATTAATCTACTATTCTCTTACCCGGCGGTGGGGACCCCTATTGATACGAGAATGGAAACGAGGCAGAATCTTCACACAGAACTTCATTTTCATCATATATGCAGTACAGTATCATGCAAGTTATGCTAGAATATTTACTGAGCACCAGCCTGAATGGTGGTACTGGCCAGCTTCGAACGAGCTCTCAGAGCAGGTCCGAACTTAAACAACACGTAAGGAATCAGAGTCAACAGGGTCGCAATGAGCGCGAGCAGAAGACCAGCATACTGACTGCCCAGGTTCGTGAAGAACTGGGTCGCGAACAATGGCGAAACGGCGCCCAGCGTGTTTCGCATGAATCCCTGTCCGGCAATCGCCGATGAGGCGGTCTCTCCGTAGCAGTCTGCAGTATAACTGTAGCAGGACTCGAAGATAAAGAAAATTCCAATACCAATCAGACCCAATCCAATGACAGGGCCCACCCATGTCAGCTGCTTGTACTGAGTAAAGCTGTAAATGAAGAGGCCGACGGGGAGCCAGAGAGCACCGCACATCGCACCGTACAGACGGGCTTCGGGCTCGACTTTGCCCTGCAACGAGACAGTGAGAGACTTGTACTTCCGAATCTGGAAAAAGTTGAGGGCGAATCCAAGGTGGTACCAATGCTGAGGGCAATGTAAGGGAGGCCAGCAACACCCTCGCCCCAGCCGCGCTTGTCCTGATATGTGATTGGAATGACGGACAAAAATAGGAAGGTCAGGAACCAAGCAAAACTGATCCAAAGACCAAAAGCGAACACCACTGGCTCGGTCATCAGCATGTGAATGGCCTTGACAGATGAGTTGTGCAGCATCTGTTTGATGCCGGGAGCCTCGAGCTCACTGTGGGTCACGAAGCGGATATCGCCGGTGCTTTTACGGATCTGCTTCGCTCGCTTGGCTAAGGCAACACCGCCCCGAGTCTCACGCAGGAAGATGGCAATGAGGATCATAAGAGGAATGTTTGCCAGGCCTTGAATACCCTCCAACCATCTCCATCCGAGTGCTTGGTCGACAAAACCGGCGTAAATAGGGGCAGCGACGGTTCCGAAGATGGCGATGAAAGAGAAGGAGGCCATGGGAATGGCGCGGTGGGCGGGTGTGTACATGTCTCCGAAAGTACCACCCACCAGGATCGTGCCCACACAGCCGAACAAACCGAGCAGGGCACGGCAGACAAGGATGGTAGCGATGTTCTTGCCGAGCGCGAGACCGATGAACATGAGACTGAAGCAGACATATGACCCGACGTAGACAACACGTCGGCCGGCGAGTTCACAGAACGGGGCCAAGAACAGCGGCGCCAGAGCACAGGTAAAGTTGAAGCAGAAGAGTCCCAGTTGACCGAGCTCAGTGGAAACTCCCAGGTCTGAGACCATGCGAGAGATACCAGAGCTGTACGCCGTGGTGGCAAGACCAATGAAAAGGGTCATCAAGCAGAGGAGTAAACTGATGAACGCCTTGTACTTGCCACTCCAATTGAAGGGGTTTTCCTTATCGCCTGGGGCAAAGTCCAGGACCAGGAAGGTCTGGCCATCGTATTCGGTAGGAGTCGTCACGGTGAGAGGAAGGTCGAAATTGACTTCTTGCAGCAAGTTGTTCTCGATCTCGGGAATGCCTCTTCTTGCAATTGTTCCCGGTATTTGCCTCCAACGACCCAGCCCTTCCTGCTGGCTCCTTCTGCGTGTAAGGTGACTGGCTCCTCGCTAGGGACATTCTCGTTGTGAGAAGCAGACGCGGGCTGCTGTTGTTGTGGTTTGGCCTCCATATTATGAATGGGATGAAAGCCACAGATGCTATCGAAAAGAGTGGGAAAGGACCAAGGTAAATAGGTTTTCGGATGCAGGGCAAATTCCGCCAAAAAAAAAATGGTTCACTGATCCTGTCGTCACTTACGGGCCCCCGTAATGTGATTTATGGGGCATTGCGGGCCTCCAGTCCAACTGTCCATACGGAGAACAGGTTGGGGATCACCTGAACAATGCCCAGTTTTATGCTCCGATCACTATCGTATGTCACGCCCAGGGATAGATGAAATTTTTCAAGTGGAGAACTGCGTCCCATGTTCGAGAAGAATTCTGTCCGGTCCCTGAAGAACTGTCATGGTCCCCATTTCGGAATCGAGACTCAGGTTCCCCAGCCTATGGACGAACCTCACGGGCGTCACCGCCAGGACACAGATTATCGAGCCTCCAGTGCGTCTCCTCGCATACAAGAAATGTTGGGTCCACTAGTTCGCCTCACGTTTGTCTCGGGCATATACCGCGTTAGTCTCATGTCGCTTAGAAACCCCCGAAGAGGCCCCGATGACATCCCGAATCTTATACTTTCCGGGCCGGCTCGGTATGTTTTCCGCTTGAGGATCCTCTCGGCTTGCCGAAACGAAAGTCGGCTGTCCTTGAGAACCTTTTCAGAGGGTTGAATCAGCTCCACAATGTGCGTGGAAATTCTTGTCTTACTGGCAAATCCATCGTATGTTGATTATGTTTGTTAAGACCCTCCTTGATGTGTTTTTGGTTGAGGTGGCCCGATTTCCGCGTTCGTTGACCGAAACAATGTCCCGTCGGAAGATCTTCGGAGACTCCACAACATAGTTTGGTCGATGACGATCGAAAACCAAAAATCGGCGCTTGGCCGAAAGGATGGAAGTCGGTCAATCCGTTCCTTCTTCCGGGTGGTTCCGCATGCGCGACAGCAGACGAAATACATGAATCAGGCGACGGAACGTGTGCTCTTTCAGTATCGAGCCGCCAGGATCGAGGGGGCTCGGTCAGATGCTGAAACGCCCCTGTTTTCCCCCGGCGGTGATGGCGGAGTAAATGATGGTATGCCAGTCTGCCAACACATGCATGGGGCACAGAACACATCCTTATGGTGATCATCATCGCGCTACATTCCCGTAATAGAAGGCCTCGCCAAGACGTCATGATTTTTTTCATGGCGTTTCCAGATTCTTGACCGCTACACAGACCCGATTTGGCCTAAATAGTCTTATATATTCGAGTTCCAGGTTGAAGATTTGTGCGGGCTTGAAACACTCCTGGATCGACAACACATTACCGCCTTCGAAGTTTTGCTATGTCGTCGCAGGGCGTGCATCTCGTCCAAATTGTGGCTGTGGAATTTGAACGCGCTACAAGATGGCAACAAAACTAGACTTTAGAATAAAATTCAACTCCGTCCGGTGGATCTCAACCCGTCGACGATGGAAAAGGGGACGGCGAGAAGGACGTTAAATGGGAAGGATACCAGGAATAGATGGTATTCAAATATATGTTGCCGCTTTCCGCGCAGTACTGACACTGACTGGCACTGGTATAGAGTCTCTGGCTCGAACATTATACTTATGATCGTCATGGTACGTACAACACAACTTGAGTTGAATACAAGATAGATCAAATTATTACCGATAAACTCTACTGGCGCTTCTAAATTCCTCAGCCCTTGTACGGTGCGATCGGTTAAAAATAGAGTGCCATACTAGTCCTGGCATATTTCCCGCGAGGTTTAGCGTGTCGCGAGGCTTGTACTCAGGCAGTGCCAACGCAGCATCGATCGGTACTGGCGACTTCAAGTTGTAGCTAAATTCAAGGTGTCGAGCTCGGGCTGGGAGCCGGAAGATTTCGACCAGCCCTTGGTGATGCAAACTCTTTAGACGCGTACGGGCAGAAAATAGTGGTAATATTAGTACATGGAATAGGGTGACCTGGATACAAAGAAATTGCAAAAAGACTTTGAGCAGTTCGAGGGTGAAGAATCTGTTGCCGCCGTGCTAATGTTGCAATATTTTCCCTTGGCCTCATTTTGCCACTCCTCCGGACTGTCAAAGTTTGAACTTGATCACTTGACCTGACAGTGCCTTGTCGTTCCCCATAGCTAGACCAAATACGCAAGCTATTATTCTTTAATATATTAATTCCTACACAAAGCCATTTTTAGGGTGTACTGCCGGTCTTGCCCAAAAGATGACAGTGGTCTTTCAAGGCTGTCCTTGGCTTGATGTTGGGAGGTGAATATATCGGTACTAGTATGAAGCGAATCATGATTGTAACACTAAGGTCCTACATGCTTAGACTTATTTGGTTCGAAGCCTCTATTTCGCCATGTCTGTGGGGGTTAAAATTTTCGTAGCAACAATTTGCTCTAAAATAAGCTCTGAGTCTTGTGGGGCTGCGGGCCGTCCAGGTTTGAAGAGTGACTGAACTGGAGTTTTTATATATACTAAGCGCTAATCAGCCATTTTCGGTGTCATCAGCACCTAAATTGTTTAGCTGCTGATGAGCAATGATATATGAGTTCCCCTATAAGCTATTGGCCATTGGGTTAGCTTCGAAGCTATGAATATAATTCATGAAGGACCATCGTTACATTAATTTCTTTGCAAGGGGAAAAAAGACATCAATGCTTGGGGGTAACAATTTCATAAACAGAGGGTTGTCCTAATAGACGCTATACCTAGAGTGTACAGAATACAATGACACCTAGTGAAAATTCAACTATAATGATGCAGGGGATTATTGACAGCCGTGCAGAAATCATGGAATAAAATAATACACGAACGAACCAAAGAGAGCGCCTAGCTGTTTCTATGATATCTTATAACTGCTTCTACGGATTATCAAGTCCCAGTTTCTGAGTTGCTATAAGGGTATAATATCATGCCTATTTCACCTGAATATCTATAAGCCCTATTGAAGGAATCGAATGGTCGTCTGATATCTCAGTACTACTCCCCTTTCCTCCAAAACAATAAAAACTACCACTTTGCACTTCAACTCCCCCTCCTCCAGACTTCCCCTCTCCATCCACGCGCCACAAAGCACGAACGAATCCTGGAAGAGCCATCACACTACCATCCAAATTCTTCACGTTGTCCATCATCACGATGCCTAAGAAAGCTGGGCCTAAGAACAAAAGTGGATATGTCTCTTATGACCATCCTCTTCGCGATGTTAGTTAATGAGCGCGCCTCAAAGACCCCAATTGAAGTTTTAACACAAAGACGCGTTCCAGTTCCACCACTGCCCTGCCCTGACCGACCAAATCAACACCCTGGGTACCCACTCTACCCCTACCGATGTTGCATCTGTCTGGGCCAGCATCCTCTCTTTGTGGTTCCCCGTCAGAGAGGGATACCAGATTCGCCAGATCATTGTCGACGCGTGGATCGAAGTCTATGCCATCCGCGTTGCCCTCCGCCGCCGAGAGGAAGAGGTCTCCTTCAATCCTGTGATGGCAATCCGCTGCCAAGGGGGCCTTCCAGACCGACCAGAGCCGGTCTCCTGGACCGACATGATGAAGGACATGGCTATCACCATCAAGGCCGTCTGCAACAGCGTCCACGTTACCAATGCGCGCCACCGCCCTGCATGGGCCGGCATGGCCTGTGGGCATATTGTCTTCTTCGCGAAGGTGAACACGGTCACCTTCAGCGTCACCCGTACGGAGGCTTATCCGTACACTCTGTCCATCCAGCACTCCAAGGATGACATCCAGGAGTTCTTGGATGGGGTGAAGGAGGGCTTCCTCAAGAAGTGGGGTCCTCTGGCCGGATACTCCATTGAGTGTGATGTTGAGGAGGGCAGCGTCCAACCTGCCGACTCCGCTGAGCTTGTCCGTGAGTCGGTCGAATCAAAGAAGGAGGACTGCTTGGTCGGTCCTAACGGACGCTGGACGCTGAAGCTCACGAAGTAAGTGGCTAGTGAGCATAGAGGGCGACCAAGTGGTTCTAGCCTCCGCCTATTGGTGCCGCTGTGACCCACCATGTCAGCGGGCGTCAACGAAGGCTAGGCATGGTCCACAGTCGCGGGGGAATTGAGGTGTTGCGTTCTGCAACAAACAGGCTACGTGCCTTGCTCATTTTCAGTGCATAGTGCCTTCTTGTTTTTGAAATTTTTTTGTTTTCTTGATTTCCCCCAACACTTCGTAGCCTTTAATAGTAGTACTGTTAACATGCCCCTCTTCCCTTAAACTTTTGTAGAAAGAATCCCTGGATCTGAGACTTTACCTAAAGCCTCATTGTGGATTTCGCTTCACATCTTTCTTACTTTGAATGAGTTGCTGTAACTGAGCCTGGCTTAGTATCTCTAAAGGTAAGGAACTTCTTCTTTTGACGGGTCGCTGTTATTTTCTCCCGGGGCTATACTGAAGCCTACCGGGCATGGTAGACTTATTGGTTCGTAAAGCTAATAGATACCTTCCGGAGCCGCTAACCGAACCACGGATCCTCTTGTAGTCTCAGTTCCATTCAAAGCTCTTTGACTGAACAGCAATTTTTCTATGTGGTGACAACCCTAAGGAAGAGCGTGCTTTTTGAATCGCAGAACCAGATAATCAAGCCTAACCGCCAATAGATGACTTTGGTGCAGGATTCCAAGCAGAGGACACCCGACACCCAAGAAAAAAGCACATCTTAGCAGACTACGTATGAAATAGAAATGTGAAATATTGTGCAATGTCTTTTTAAGTGAGGCCACCAAGGTAGGTGAGCATAAAAGGCATCACAATTTTGACCCCACGAGCCGACGCAGCCGACGCAGCCTATGACATCATCACTGGATCTCCCCATCTCCCCATCTCCCCATCATGGCCAAGGCAGCAAGCCCGCTTAACGCGGGGTGTGTTGAAGATAAATTGATGGTCTAGCCCAATCCAGAGATCTCGTCGTCATGATGATGCACACCACCTGTAGAGCTTCTCCAAAAAAAAAAAAGTTGGCTGCCAAGATGTTCGTTAAGGCCAAGCTTTCACTATCCCGCACTATTGGTATATTTATGCCTTTTTCCCCTGCAGATCTCCTGCAATTTTCATTTCCAAGTTTGCTTTTGCCTTCTGTACCAAGCCTCGGGAAAAATTTCAAGACATAATGTCTTCCAACTCTGATCATGCCCATCACCTGCACCAGTATGTTTTCTGGATCACTGAAAGCCCAGTCAGAGTAGGAAACCTAACATTGGCAGTGTTGGCAACTGGATGCCGTCAAACCATGCCGCCCATAAGGAATGGCTCGGTGGGATCATCGACCATGTTGACAACAACAAACAGAAGTTGCACCCGGTGTTGGAAGAATTCAAGACTTTAATTGAAACAAACCCGCGGGTGTACATGCTGATCGAAGGAATGTTCAAAGAAGTCCCCAACAAAGAGCCATACCGAAAGGACCCCACCGGCCACCCTGAGATCCGCGACTATCACCACTTCCTGCAAGTGCTCAATCATATTCTAACAACTGCGCCCTCGTGGACCGACAAGTCCCATCGTGTGGGGCTGGTCGGGCTTCCCATTGCCGCCATCCTGGACTGGCCCATGGGCACGCCCAGTGGCTTCGCTGCCTTCCAGGACCCAGAGATCAATGCCATGTTGAAAAAAGTCCTGAATGCCTGGGGTGAATTCCTGCGATCCCCAGCTTCAGCAAAGGTTCTGAACAGCTCCTCGAATGGATGGTTTGGCAAAACAGGCCACCGGGACCTGACTGCAGTCGCCAAGGTTGGGCCCACCATAGCGGAGAATCTCGAGTTCCAAGACATGTTCCACTGTGACCCGGCGGCTCCAAACTTCGGCTTCCAGTCGTGGGATCATTTCTTTACTAGGACCTTCCGCGAGGGGATGCGACCGGTCGCCCAGCCGGAAAATAGCAAGGTTATCGCCAACGCGTGCGAGTCGAAGCCTTACAGAACAGCCCACAATATTCATGCCCGCGACAAGTTCTGGCTGAAGAGCCAGAACTACTCCCTTGTCGACATGCTCAATCATGATCCGTATGCGAAGGAGTTCATTGGAGGTACTATCTACCAAGCTTTCCTGAGTGCATTGAGCTACCACCGCTGGCACGCCCCCGTCTCGGGCAAAGTGGCTAAGGCCTTTGTTGTGGACGGCTCATATTACTCCGAGCCCCTCTTCGAAGGGATCGGATATTCCGCTGCGCAGAACCAAGATATCGACATTGGCAACCAAGTCACTTCTCAGGCGTATATCACGTCTACGCAGACTCGTGCGGTCATCTTCTTCGAAGCGGATGAGCCTGCCATCGGCTTGATGGCTTTCATTGGCGTGGGAATGGCTGAGGTGTCTACTTGCGAGATTACGGTTAAGGAGGGCCAGCACGTAGAGAAGGGCGATGAGATTGGCATGTTCCATTTTGGAGGATCGACCCATTGCCTGCTCTTCCGGAAGGGCGTCAACGTGACTGGGTTCCCTAAGCCGGGCATGGAGCATAATGTACCGGTGCGGAGTGAGCTAGCCGTTGTCTCATAAGCTCTGGTGGCACAGTACACGAGATAACGCGGCTACCGTATGTAGTACTGAATATTATGAAATTATGGTGTGAACTAGATCATGGTGTTTACACGACATTATTGTACGTCATGATCATCTCCCTACAGACGTAGGGCAAAGTGGCCGAAGATGAGAGACGAGACCTACCGCTATTTCCACCGGGCTGTCGTTGGAAGAATGAAAGAAGCTTTCCTCCTGCTAATATTTTCTAGATTTCACTAGGGGGTCACGCTTTCAAATTAAAGAGCGATAGATTCCAGCAGCCATAATCACTGAATCCGAATCATTTGCCGATCTGGATCTGGTCGTGCGAAAGCCCATGGTTCTTGACGCAGAAGAAGCAGACAGGGAAAGCTCGAGTAAACTCTGCAACACTCTTGTTTACTCGACTTTCCCCGCCCCACTTTGTCCTGGTTGAACCACTCAACAGCACTTGGGAGAATTGAAAGTTGCACCGCTTGGAGCTGGTAACCCGACGAGGCTTTTTCGGGCTTACTGCCTACATTACACGCCATGTTTTTTGGGGGAATTTTTCCTACCATAGCGTTAGTCGACTGTATACATTAGCGCGGGGGATAGCGCGGGGAAGCACGCGGGATAAAATTGACCCTAGCGGTTCTCGGCCGTTTCGCGCGTGGCGGGTAAAAAACTTTAATACGCAGTAAGATCGCAGTCCCCGCGAGCAAACCAGCCTTGTGGAAGATTGGGGAACTATTTAGGGTAGGTTGCAGTTTTCGCTTGCAATGGAGGAGCCGCATCTGCATATTGGGGATCCCATGTGGAGCGTCGAGAGGGACCTACAGGTCGACGATAGTGCAGACTCGATTGGCGAGAAAGCGCGACCCTTTGATCCCAATCTCGAGAAAAGAGTGCGCCGGAAAATCGATCTCTGCCTCGTGCCGGCGATGGTGATTGGTATGCCAGCCCTTCCGAATCATATGATTTCATGTTTGATTGATGTCATCTAGGCTACGGGTTGGTTTACTACGACAAGGTGAGGACAGTGCAACGGATCGGGGGCGGTCCACGATTCGTCGCCAAGAATAGGGATTCCTAACAGCAATTTTGAAGGCGCTTCTTGGGAACGCAGTCCTTTTTGGAATGACTGCAGATCTCCAGCTCTCCGTCACAGATACATCGGTCAGTCCGCCAGTGAAGGATACCTCGAGACTGAGCTGGGCCACTTCGCTCTTCTATTTCGGTCAGCTAGCTGGGTCATATCCTATGACATACGCCCTTCAGCGATTCGACTCACGATTTGTGCTTGGACCGATGGTGATGATTTGGGCTATCATTTGTGCTGCTACTGCTGGGGTCAGCTCCTGGCGAGGTCTCTTTGTGCAACGCTTTTTCTTGGGTAGGCAGCAGGTCTCATGACTTCCGCGGGATATGTGTGCTGATTAGATTTAGGCTTCACGGAGTCTATCATTCCTACTTGCTTCATGGTCACTGTTAGCGGATTCTATACACAGTCAGAACAATCGTTGAGACAGAGCTGGTGGTGGTCGGTAAGTCATCAACTAGCAATGATGAGATTTAAGGCTCTTTGGCTGATAACCGCGTGTACAGGCGACTGGGTGGTTTACGATTATTGGTGGTGCTATAAGCTACGGCTTTGCCCAGATCGAAGGAAGTCTGCAGCCATGGCAGTACATCTATATTTTTGCCGGTGCCTTGACCTTCTTGTTCGGCATTGTCTGCTTCTTCATCCCAAACGCGCCCTCCAATGCATGGTTTCTGACACCCGAGGAGAGGATCGTTGCAGTGGAGAGACTAAGGATCGGCCAGACTGGTATCAAGCAAAACAAACTCAAGCTCTCTCAGATCAAGGAAGGACTGCTGGACATTAACGTCTGGCTAGTTTCTATCACAATGGCCGCCGCGTAAGTAGCTGTCCCTGGGAATCTTTGGATCAATTACTGATGTGTACCAGGTACACTGTCAACGGCGCTGTGTCCGGCTTCGGCCCACTTATCGTATCCACATTCGGCTATTCATCGCTTGATAGCATCCTGTTCCAGTTCCCGCTCGGCGGGGTCTCCGGTGTAGGAATAATCCTTACTGGCTGGCTGTGCTCAAAGGTCAAGAACATCCGTATCATTCTCCTCATTCTATGCTGTCTGCCGGTGATAGCAGGCTTTGCTATGATTTGGAAATCGACCTGGGGAACCAAGCCCGTGACGCCCGTGGCAGGATACTCGCTCCTTGGCTTCTTTGGTCCGGTCGTCGGTCTCATTATTTCCCTCGGATCTGCAAATGTTGCGGGCCACACGAAAAGAAGCTTTAACGCCGCTGCCATTTTCGTCGCGTACTGTGTTGGTAATATTATCGGGCCCCAGTTGATTCGGAGCCAGACAAAGGGACAACATTACCCGGAACTATGGACGGGGCTGATCATTTGGTAAGTGGTGTTATGGGAAATGATTTCGTCTACAATGCTGACCTCTTCCCAGTTACTGCATAGTCATCCTTACTTCATCCATCCTGTACGTGCTGTGGTCCCACGAGAACAAGCGACGTGTGTCATTAGGTCTCGATGAAGCTGAGCGTGAGAGACTGGGATTCAAGGACTTGACCGACAAGGAGAATCTTCATTTCGAATACGTCTACTAGGCAGCCTCAACCTTTGTGTCGAATAGCCTAAGATTCGACACCCTGCAACTACACTGTATCTACTTGTACATAATAACACTATACACTATGAAGGTGGATAGGGCAGACTGTACTTCATGAGATATGGGTCTTTCTCGTAAAGAAGCTCTCTATTGGGCAACATTGTCTAAGACATAACATGATTATCTAACGGCGAAAACTATTGACCTGCTGATTCATAGTACGGACCTCGATTTTCTTCCAGAAGAAGCATGTACCCACATAATGAGGTAGAGGCATTACGTGTTATGATTACAAGAGACCTCGATCTCTGTGTTCAATGCCACTAAACCCGATGTGGCTAGTTTTGAACCTAATAATCGAACCAGATGTACTCGTAAAGGGCACCCATACCAGCAAGAGCACAGTGTGCAACCCGGGCTTTCATTATGCACTCCGGCTTCCCTCTAAAACTGGATCTCGTCTCCTTTATATACAAGGCCTTAATCCACTGGAGGAATACAAGTCAGACGAAATGCTGAAGGAGAAAATGTCTGAAATCTACAGGTAAGCCTCTAGGATAGTAGGATTCTTGACGCTGTTTCAAATCCAGTATTTCTATCACTATTTTTAAACTCTTCCGTTTGACTAGTACTATTATCTCCAAACATCTGAGACGTTCTAAAATGAAAGACGATTATATTACAGACATTGAAGGCCACTTCAAGAGACTACTGCTAGTACAAACCCAGGACATTTGAAAGACGGAAAATTCTTCCAGCACATCGTATCGAATTTCCCTTTTTAGATCTGTGGTCTTCTATTCTTTGAAAGGGCATTCGAAAGCGCAGGCCTCTCATATTCAGGAGGAACAAGACAAATTGCAGGAACTAAACACCGGAAAGTGGCCCAGAGCAGCCGCCCAGCTAGCAATCATAGCGTAAAATCGCCCGCGCTGGCTTTTGAAGGGGACGCCAGTAATCCTTGAGGAAGACAACTGGAGAAGGGAACCAATAGCAGATTCTCGAAAGCTTGATTCACCGTGGCTGAGTGAAAGTGTGTCCGATTTTAGCGAGATGTCGTTGCTATTCAACCGTAAGTCCGGCAAGAACGCGTAAAATTGACATAACGGTGTTACCTGGAATGGGAAGTAGTGGTATTTTCAGAAGCCAGCAAAAGAGGGAAAGAATAATGTAGGACTCTCTGTCCTGGCCTCCATGACGGGCCCAGGCATTTCGTGGATCAGTATATCCCAGAGAAGGACAACTAATCGCAGCAGCAGGTGACACTGAGCGCATTTGCGAAATCGAGGTTCTCCGTCCCCAAGTAACGGGCGGGTATAGCGAGCCGACTGGGTATCTGACTTGACTAATATGAATCATGATACGAAGGCATTTGACAGATATTGGGGTATTTGCGTACAGCCGGAAAAAGAATCTTGCTTTTCTGTTCTTCATTCTTAGTCTTTCGTTTGGCGCAGATACCGAGCGTTTAGGCGTTCTGGGCATCTGGGTTCTCTTCAAGCCAAACTTTGACAGCTGCGATGAAGGATTCCATTGTAGCATGATAACCATCAATAGCCTCCAGAAGCACCGGACCGAGGAATATGCTTTCGAGGCTCTCGTCTTCGTAAATCTCCATTCGCTCATGAGCCCCGGTGACAAGTTTGTATGTGATCTCGACTAAATCGGCGACTTCGGTTCTTTCGACGTCTCCTGGCGACTCCTCGGAACCAAGAAATTCGGCCAATCCAAGATCACAGATATAAGGAACAAGATCATCGTCAAGGAGGATGTTGCCGGTATGAAGATCATTGAATGCCACCCCCTTCTCATGAAGCCGGATGAGCGTCTCGCCAATGGCAACAATCCACTGGGAGACTTGTTTCTTCGTGGCCTTTCCTACCCGCTTAAGATATGCGGCGATGGTCCCTTGTCGCATGTATGGCATCTCAATACATTTGGTGCGCTTCTCACTGTTCAAAACTGGGAGGACACCAGGCAGGCCTTCAATAAATTTGTACATTTCCACTTCATGTTTCATGTACATGATATGGGCACTGGCGCGGTTCTCCGAATAACGTTCCGGGTCGGACATAGCTTTGGGAACTTTCAGGATACGCTTGCCATCTGCGTGCAGGATAACCGCCCCATGACTGCCAGAGGCAAGATGTGTCCCCTCTTGGACCCATTTCCGTATGAACTCGTCTTCCGTGAGGTCCTCTTCTTCATTTACTGTCTCCTCACATTCTTCTTTAGTGGTTGCTTCCAATTTCATGGGCTTTGAAGACGGACCTCCTTGGAATGCCTCAGTTCCCTTTTTATTTTTGAAGTCCCTGGCTTCTTTCTTGAAGCCACCTCGGAAGCCTGTCATCATAGGCTGAGGCTTGGTAGATGACATAGGAAGCAGTGAGAAGAAACTTCAGCAGCAGGGATTTTATCACCGCTAGAAATAACTGAGGTGAAGGAGATGCAGCGGGTTGTGAAGGAGGCAGGGAGAACAACAGAAGGTGAAGTTCTAGTTGGAGCAACGAAAGGGAGGGTGGGAGATGAAGGATGAGGAGGGGAGGAGCCTCGATGGGTTGGATCAGGTCCCTGCTTCGTCGAACAATCCAGCAGGTTAGTTGATCCATATTTAGCCAGTAGAAATACGAACCGTTAGAAACCGAGATCCAGTGAAACGAATGATGTGCTGTGTTGCTCAAGATGCGGCCACGCGCTCTAAATGATAATAAGTATATGATAGCCTTAGACGAGATGGACCACCGTAAGACGTACCACTCCAGGAGGATAGCGAATAGTTGTTGAGGATAGCCTTTAATATTCGCCGCACAGTTGACAAGAACTGATTACCTCGACAAGCAGTGAGTTTTAGTGAGGATCGAGAAATCTAAGGGGCGGGGGTGGCCTTTAGTTATAGGCGCACCAGAAGGGCGGCTTCAGCTTGAAAATCACCCCTTCATACGCATTGCATTATAGTAACGGCTGAGCTGTGACTACTTCTCTTATTCAAGTACACGAAGAAAGAGAGCAATGGCCTTGTGATGAAGGAAATCATGACATGGCTCCATCGCTCCAACTTGAGGCAGGTGGCAGATACTGTATCCTGGTGTGGGTAGTTATAGAGGGTTTTGAATACCATGCAGGTCTTTTTAAGTCCTAAAGCATTCCTTAATTCGAAGCAAGGGAATCCAGCCTCGGCCGGTCTTATTGATGCCGAGCTAAAATGCAAGATTGGTCCTACACAACGAGGAGGCCGTTGGTTCAAATTTTCACTCTCCCTTCTCCAAGAAAAAGCTTTTTAATCTAGTTCATATGGAATTCTCGAGACTAAATGCAGAGAGGATGACGAGGATGAGGCAACCTTTATCTCTAAGACTAGAAAATACCAAAAACACAAGAATCTTTGAAACAGATTTAATATTCGAGTCCAAATGAAGGTGTAACTGAAATGGGAGGCCTCTCACTTAGTTCTAGTCTTCTGCTTTGAATGGCTTCTGTTTTGGGACATAGGATCCTATGCGGGCATTGTGTCCCCCAGATATGCTCCCCAGATATGCTCCCCAGATCTTTGGGTGGGCTATTCCTTGTAGCAAATCCATCTGGCCAAGTCGCATTGTACACCTCTATTCTCAAGGAGTTATTATTACGCAGTTTGGAATAGTGCGATAAAAAGAAGTAATGGTTACGCGTGATGACTTTGCAAATCACTAAGCCAGGAACTGTGATCCACGGATTCCATTTTGGGAGGCTATCTGGTATATAGCGTCGATTTCGACGGAAATCCCCAAATCGCAAATTCCATGCCTGGAGACCCATTCAAAAAAGCTTTCCCTTGATGGGTGCCAGCACGGTAGTTCTTCTGGAGTAGAAATGTTTCCAAGTGTTTTCAATTTGGAGGAGCCATTTCAGTATGAGATCCTGTGGAATATTATCTGTTCCTAGAGGAAAACCTATCCAGAGTTTGTTCACAGCGTAACTAGTCCATCGCCACAACGTCCTCATTTATGGAGTGCAACATAATGCGGCGGCAGCTTCATAGAGCTTGAATAATTCGTGACCTTTTTTCTCTAGGAAGATTTGGTCCAAGATAGTGCGACGGGACTACCCCTCTGCCCAAGAGAAACAGGCGAACCTTCCTGACGCGTCCCCACCAGAGAACTAGCCACCGCACACTATTCCCTGCCAAGGAGAGTCCTATGGGCAACAATAAATCTTACGTTACCCATACACATTTCGCCAATCCAGAGGCCAGGAACAAGCATCTCAGCCATGATAATCGACGCGAATGTGGAGGTGGAGGATCCGGAAACGGTGGTTTCTAGACAACCTTGGAAGATCTAGCGAGGGAGTGAGCAAGAAGAAGAGTACTCTAAGATGTTAGCATAGATAATTTCCCGTCAGAGCCAAAACTGGATATCATGACTTGACCTTGTGTCGATGAACCGAGCTTGGGAAAAGTGAAACGGAAGGAAGACAGGTGGGTGAAAGGCCAGTCACCGTCCTTCACTATCGAAGACTTTCAAGGCAGGCCCTCAGAGCTACTGAGGCTCGTGTATTCTGCTCGTCTATTTCATCCTACTTCCTGCTCATCTTCTCCGTGAAGGGCAGTATTACAATTGAGTAACCAGCCAGGGAATACTTTTTTACAGGGCAATGCAGAAACTGGCAACTATTCCATATCACCTTGACAGCGAACAAAGATAAGATTCATCTGCAGACCCATTCAGACGTTCTTAATGCTCCACTACGCCTCAAGGAATTAATCTTAGGTCTGCAAGAAATCGACCCGAAGTCAACCATGGTGTTCCAAAGTATTCATGGCATCCACCGACCTATGCAAGCTCCAGAGGGTATTTCTTTTGTGTGATGCAGAAGAGAATACCTCGGCCTAGTAACTTCGTCATCAAGCCTCGCAGTGACGAAAGTCTCGAGCCGATAGCCGGTTCTTCGTCAACCTGTAGCCGACTTCCGAGAACCTGTTATGAGTGCAGGCGTCCAATGTGTACCCCGCAGGTGCATTTCGTGATCAATGATGATTGGGACTCTCAAAGATCGACATGGGATGTCGCCTTGAGCGGCCAATGAGAGGTGGTTCGCGCTCTCGGTTCCCCCTGCAGGCGGTGCGGGGAATATTTGCCAGTATAAAAGGCGGCCGGCTTTTCTAATTTTTCCCCCCTAGTAGTAACCTGGATTTGATTGCTATTTTACGTGCGGTGGACCCTAAGCTGGTCCAGTAGTATTTTGTTCAATATGCTGGCTCTGTCACAGGCCCTTGTGGCGGGCGCGCTCTTTAGCAGAGCAGCGTATGCTGCAGATAGCTCGAGGCCTAATATATTGATGATTATGTCGGATGACCAAGGTAGGTGCATACGGGATGAAAGTGACTGTACTCGCTGGCTAATTACACTAGATAAACTTCTGAATTCAATGGATTAGATGCCCAATGTCAAGCGTCTCTTAGGGGACAATGGAGTCACTTTCGACAAACACTATTGCACAAGTGCTTTCTGTTGCCCATCGAGAGTTAGCCTATTTACTGGGAAGTGTGTCCAGTAAGTAAACAGCCGGCAAGGAGAAAAGGTAGCACAACTTTTCTGACAACCGTAGCAACACTAATGTGACCGACGTTGTAGTCCCATGGGGTAAGTTAGCTTCCGTTGCTCGAGGATCCAAGCTGATGCGCAGGAGGGGGTTACCCTAAATTTATAACTCAGGGCTTGAACGATGACTATCTGCCTCTTTGGCTTCAGGAAGGTGGTGTTAACACATACTATGTGGGAAAGTTTGCGAATGGCCATAGCGTGACGAACTATCTTGATCCCCCTGCCGCAGGATGGACTGGCAGCAAGTAAGGATTCGCATTGATGGTATTTATACCGGAAGATTATCTCTAACGGCCCCAGCTTCTTACTTGAGCCTGGTGTCTACGACTATCTCAACACAACCTGGACAAAGAACAACGGACCTTTCGAATTCTACTTGGAGAGGCATGCTATCAACATCACAACCAAGCATGCACTAGAAATGATCGACACGGCTGTGAGCGATGCCAAGCCTTTCTTTCTTACTGTGGCGCCAGCAGTGCCCCACGTTGGAATCAATGCAAGTGGCAACGGAGAGACATTCTTTCCGATCCCCCAGCCAAGATGGGCAGACGCTTTTCCTGACGCCAAAGTCCCACGAACTCCTAATTGGAATCCGAAAGAGCCCAGCGGAGCATCATTTCTACTAGATCTCCCATATCAGAACCAGTCCCTGGTTGACCAGCTGGATGAGCTCTATCGATCCCGACTCCGGGCCGTGGCTGGCCTGGATGTGATGGTCAGTCAGATTGTGGGTGCGCTAGCCAGCCATGGCATCTTAGACAACACCCACATCATCTACACTGCTGACAATGGCTATCACATTGGGCAGCATCGCCTGGGCTGTGGTAAGAAGGAGGGATACGAAGCTGACATCAATATCCCTTTTGTTTGGCGCGGGCCTGGTGTTCCTAAAGGGCAGGTCAGCTCTGCCGTCTCAACTCACACGGACCTTGCGCCTACGTTCCTCAAGCTTTTTGGACTGCCCATGAGGACAAAGCTTGACGGGAAGACTATTCCTGTCGTCACCGGTGAGACAGACGTGAAAGCTGCTGAGCATATCAACGTCGAACTTTGGGGATCAGCGGACGTCTATGAGACCATGCCTTTCAAAAATAACGTTCCTCTCCCAGTGGCTGTCTCTAACAATACATACAAAGGATTACGGATTGTATCAGATGATTATAGTCTGTACTATTCTGTGTGGTGTACGAACGAGCATGAGCTATACGACATGGTGAAAGATGAATACCAAATGGACAACTTGCTACGGGATACGACCGACATCACCCGCATTAGCGCCAGATCGACATACCTTGGCCGGCATCTTAGTGACACTGTGGCACGGTTGGATGCTCTTCTGATGGTCTTGAAAACATGCGTGGGCGTGGAGTGTACAAAGCCATGGCTCCAGCTCCATCCGCAGGGTGACGTGAACACACTACGGGATGCTTTGAATGAGGATTACGATGATTTCTATAGGTCTCAACAGAAAGTTTCTTTCACTGCTTGTAAGCAAGGGTATATTGTTGAGTACGAAGGACCGGCTTCAGTAATGCAGTATAGTGGGTCGGCATCGTTCAGATATCAGCAGGCGTTAACGGGGAACTAGTCAGATGCCTTGTCAACCGCGAGACGAGGACAGCTCTACACTGACAGAACAAAGCTTCAAGGCCTCGAGCAAAACCCACTCAACAAATACATCGCAAGAAATGAATATGTTTTTCTAAGAGCCTAGATCTCCCTATTGAAGTGGCATACCAACTCCACGCTGAGTGTTCTCGATCTCCGCTGTGCCATCCGCCAGTTTCTTATGCACTGACATCGGCACCTCGACCTGTTCCCTCAAAGCCCAGTATCGCTTCCAATTGTTCGGACATTCCCCGCCTCCATCGCATCCAGCAAAGTGAATGAGAAAGTCTCCCGCCTGCCAGCTCTCACCAAGAGGATTACTCGCCGGGTAAGAGTTCATGGATCGCTGGCTAACACAAGCAGAGTGCTTTCGCACGATTTCATGATTCTGCCACATATGCGTCCAAGCGTCGTTTTCTGCAAAGACCCAATTTTCCTTGACAAATAGCGGCTCAAGCCACATGTCCAACAGCCAGTCACTCCATTCACTTCGTCTCATCAAGAAGTTCCCAGCATTCATTCCCCAGTGGTCCTCCGGAATGACGAAATTGATATCGTCGTAGTTGTATATCGCCGGAGTACGATATCCGGTTTCCCCGCCGCCAGCACCGGTGAGCTTTTTTGTCGAGAAGGATGTTACGATCGAGTCCCTCTCGTGTGAGGATATGGTCGTAGACATTGAGGGACATATTCATGATGATGATATCGATATCGATCCACCACACCCACTCAGCGTCGGGGAATCGATCAAACGCTTCTTTCAGGACGGGCATCTTGTTCCACACTAGCCCTTCGCCGTTGGGTAGATTGTAACTGGTCATATTCGCCCACATGAACTCCAGACCGTGCCGCTGAGCATATGTCATCCTGTTCTCGTAAACCTGCTCTTTAATGTTGGGTAATGACAGGATTCGGCCTGAGCCTGAGCTTGCGGTCACCATGACAATCTTGCGTGCATCCGTCGTTTTTGCCGGTAGTAGCGTGCTAGGAAGGGGAACACGGGGGAAGAAAGGAACGCCCCATAGCCACTGGAAATACCCATTAGCCACGATTCTTAAGATGCAATTCTTAGGATCTGGAATATTGATGTTTACTTACCAGGCATCCAACGACGCTCACGACGATAATCACAACGCGTGGGAGCAACATGTCCTTCCAGCGCTTTACAAAAGTCCGTTGCGATGATTCAACGAAACGGATGACTGGGGCGAATTTTACGAAAGACTCAGCGAGATAAATTGGAATTCGATAAATCGACTAGAAACCACATGGAGTGCCCTTCGGACCGAACGTTGGCCTCCACGCGCAACTTCCGCATGCGGCGCAACTGTCACCCTCGGATATCACAGCCAAGCTCCAGTCCGCTCTTAGAGTCAATCATTCCTTCTGAGGTGGAACAGAGCCTCTTATGGTAGGCCACTTGTTTTTTTCTCAGTCCCCATTACTGCCATAGTTATACCAAGGATTTGACAAGTCAATTGGGTCAAGAAATATGTGGTGAAAGTTCCCGCCATGAATGTGATTGCAGACTCCACTCCTAAACTGAGTTAACGGACATTTTTAACAAGCTTAGTCTCTCTTTACTATATTTACTTTGATGAACAGCTACCTTATCGTACACATGATCCAGAGTCGTTTCTTCTATGCGAGAGAAAGTGGGGCAAGCAAGTCCTCCAATATTGGACTGCATGAAAACGTAATCAAAATCGTTCTTCTGGGTCGAGACTTCTCAATGGGAATTTGAATGTCCAACCTATCCACTTCTCCTAGCTACCAATGCTATACAACGCAGCTCAGTGCTATGTCCACCACATACGACCATAGGGTGTGGAGAACAGGGCTTCCCGTCCGCTCAGCCGTACTTAAGCCACATATAGTACGCAGTCAATTCTCAATGCGCCCTGAGCTCTAAAATGGCGTCGGATTTGATCCTAGGGTGAGTGTGGGTGATATGGGTGAGAATTTTGGAGACTGGGGTGATAGAGGTGAGAACGGGGTGAGAGCCGGGTTCCAGCTCAGCGGACCCCAGAAATTTCTCAACGGACCCCAAACATTTTCTGACTAATGCTGGGGTCCGCCGAGGTCGCAGAGCTCACCAGACCCCAAAAACCAGTCTTATATAATCCTCTATGTCATCAAATTTAGTGCTCCGTCGGGAAAACAATGTTTTTGGTTTTGTTTTCTTGGTTACCCCTGTTTATTCGCACCATGACGGAGTCAACTTTCCCACTACGACTTTTGGGCTCTTGCAACCTTCATCAATCAGGGGTAAATTTAGATGACACGGATTCTTTGACGCGATTTGACGCGATTTGACGCGGTTGTATGAAGTTGTATGGAGTTCGGGGTTCAACTTGGCGTGTTATATAATAAGATACACAAAGTCTGCATAAGTCATGTGATGAGGCCGACCATGCCTAAAGGAATTTTGGGGTCTGGTGAGCTCCGCGACCTCGGCGGACCCCAGCATTAGTCAGAAAATGTTTGGGGTCCGTTGAGAAATTTCTGGGGTCCGCTGAGCTAGGTGCCCAGTGCAATCACTGCATAATCACACCGATCATCTCAGGGCGTTACGCGGCCTGACCGGGGGCTGTCTTTTCATGATTGGACGGTCAGGCCTCGCCCTGACCAACTTACGTCTGAGACTCTGCGTTCTTTTCTTTCCTAGCGTTTTACCTCATAAGGAATCTGCGCATATATGCGCAGATTCCCCATGAGGTAACTCATTGACCTACATAACCCGCAAACCCTACATTCCCTACATTCGCTAGAGAGATTCTCATACGACGGTAGTGGTCTGGAGGCGCTTTCTTAAGTTTGATAATTTGGTAAGATTGCTGATTGCGTATATTTTCATACTGTAAGCTGCAAGCGGCATCCCTCGACATCCTATCGACAAGATAATCCTTCTTTTTTCCTCTGCTCAATCATTCTAAAATCGGTGAGCTTTAGATGGGGATTTGTAGATCAACATGGGCCAGAAAATGAAAACTCGCCAGGAGAGTACTAACAGGTGGGAGATTGCACCAACTCCCACGTGGTGTCGCTTAGACAGAATTCCCCGCTGGGTTGATCCGCGAGCAACTCATCCTGTAAGGGGTAACGCGGGAGCCGTCACCCGTCTATGATCCCCAATAGATCGACGCTGCTTCTCATTAATGGGCATATATTATGCCGGGAAAAGTGCTTTTGCGACTCCTCTGATGGTGATCTGCGAGGCCAGATCACTGAGTTCAGTCCCACGCATCAAGTGAGGTGTGATCTCACTGGTCGATTATATACATTGCTGGCGGAGGAAGTGGGCTCCATGTCGCATAATTGAAAGCGAAGGGTCAGGGTAATTGACAAACATGCGCGCACGCAAAAGCTAACAATAGGCACACCAGGTGCCTGGCTCACACAGCAGATGCAAAGGCGCGTATTCAGAACTGATAATTGGTCGAACAATAGCTGCACCAGCTAGGGCTAGTGGCTGGTCTTTCAAGTGCCTCTAGAGGTTTTGCGGAAGCGCCGGAGTGTTCTTAGCCCGCAGCCACCAACACACCATTGGCACGACATAGTCTCGAGCATTGGCTAGACTATCACACCAGACCCTCCTTGTCCTCATTTGTCCTTCCATTTTGGTTCATGCCGCAGGTTGCCTCGCCTGTGCGAATCAAGGGCCCATGCTAGCGCCGTGAGAGTCACCGGTACCAATACCCCCCTAGAATAAGCCACGTACCTCCGTGGGACTTGGCATTTATTTCTTTGTAGGCGCCAGCCCCAACGGCAGCACATACTCGAAGCGCTTTATTGTGTTTTGGTGCCCTTGGGCCCAAGTGGCAGCGGATAGCGCTTCACTCAGAGCTCCAATTACAAGGGTTCAGTCTCCTCTATTGCAGCCACTAATGCATGAACATCGTATATTTCTTGTTTCAAGATATATTTCTCTTTTGTGGCGTTTATTAACTGCAAGGACTGTCCGTCGGGAAACGGTAGTGAGCCACGTTATATAAATACTCTACTTTACACGCGTCAGTATCTGTCAAGGAAATTAGTTCCCTTGATTCTACACTGCTAGCCCTCTGTCCTCTGCATGGTATGTCGACTTATCCATTCCCAGATCAAAACTACGCTGACAATTTAGCTATCCGCACAAACTACGATCAAAGCACATGCTCAATAAATCGCAAAATGTCTAAGGCGTTGACGAACTTTGCTCAACTGGCGCAGAATGTCAAAAATGCCTCGTCCAAATTTACTGGCGCCGCCGCTGAAGGCAGCCGCCTGATCCCATCAAGAACCAAGGACGAGCAATTCCAATTACGGATCGACGCGGGTCATTACAACGACAACACGAAAGGTCTGAATGTAAATTTACAGGTCAATTCTCAAGCCAAGAGTCCAGCACTGAAGGACTGGGTCAAAAAAAATACAACCCACGAAAACCTTGCGACTGCGACTTTCAACACCACGGCCGAGGACAAAAATGCGGAATATGTTCGAGTAGTGAACGAGTTGGTGCAAAAAGGAAAACAGAAGCTTGGCTAATGCTTTGGAAGCCAACCAATCTTGCCAATGGTACACGGTTGACAGTTTTGAAGAATCTGGCGAGCGCGGAAGAAGTGGGAAGACAGGAGATTTAAGTGGGACTGTTGTGATTGGCAAAACTTTTGCGTTGGTTAGATTCTATTTGTCGATAGTCTCATCTTAATACTATATGTCCTGTCTATATGCGGTTCGGTTAGATGACGTATACGCGGGTCCAGTCTTGGCAAACTTCAAGCCTGAGTGGCAGATGATATAAGAATCATGCTACCCCTGACACTACTCTCTAACCCTTTCGCACTATGCGCCGCGCAAAGCCATTTCGGGTGTTGCAAGTGCCTTTATTCTTGAGTCACCATTCTAATCGGTCTCATTATATTTGGTCTTCCCTTATTCGCGAATCCACGTCCGCAACCCCCTTCTCCAAACTCGGTCGCGTGCAGTTATTCTCAGGACGCGCAATGGAGCAGGCAACGGTACACGGTAAGCCCAGTCGAGGGTTATGTGGTGTACGTTCGTACTGATGCGATCTTAGAGTTTGATCCTTACTCATACACGAGCGGTCGGTGGCTTCGGAACGACAAACGTGAACGCCAAAGACGCCGGATTGACTTTCACTTTGACGAACTCTGCCGAAAGATAGTGGGCTTATCTGACGGCAAAAGATCCATCAAAAATTGCGAGAAAAAGGAAGGTGGCTTCAACAGGGTGTTCATTTTCACCATGGACGATGGCTCACGTGTCGTGGCGCGACTGCCCTTCACATTAGCTGGCCCTGCGAGATTAGCCACGGCTTCTGAAGTCGCGACAATCCAATATTGTACGTGGATTCATCATATGACGAGAATATTTGAGCCTCACTAAAATTTATGTAATACAGTGCAAAGAAAAACCAGCGTTCCGATCCCAAAAATTCTTGCCTGGAGCGACGATGCAGCGAATAGCGTTGGAAGTGAATATATCATCATGGAACATGCGGCTGGTATACAGCTACAGCAGAAATGGCCCAACATGTCGGGGGATCAGAAAGTTCAATGCATAGATGCCATCTACAGAAAGCTAAGAGAGGTGGTCGACATCGAATTTCCCGCCTATGGAAGCTTATATCTCTCTACCTCGTTATTGGGCTCTTCCTCTAGGCTACCGCTAGAGGGCGGCTTTTGCATCGGGCCCCACTGTGGAAAAAGATACTGGGACTGTGGAGATGGCAGGTATTACCAGTGTACCATTCCCAATCAAGGCCCTTGTGAGTCCATTCCGACCTCAAGCCTTAAGAAGATGAGGGCTAAAGACATGAAATATAGGGTTGACGCTAAGTACGTTTTCTGATGGCCTTATTGATGCCGGTCTTTCAAGGATTCCACCGAGAGACTCTCTGTGTTCAGACCAGCCACCCTATCAGGGCTCGATTGAAACACATTTAGACCTTCTCGAACGTGGACGCACGGTGCTAGATGCAATGTCTGCAGATGGCCAAGTGCAAGATGCAGCTGTGCCAACATTGTTTCATCCGGACCTACATAAAAGAAACATATTTGTTTCAGATAATGATCCTTCGATAATAACTGGTATTATTGATTGGCAGTCTTCCAGCATAGAGCCAGCTTTCTGGTATTCAGATGAGGTTCCAGACTTCGCGACTTATTCACCCCCTGCTCAAGGGGTAGATGATAGCGAGTTATGCACAAAGGCGTACGAGGTCTGTACTCAATTCCTCACTCCGAAGCTCGCTCGCCCTAGATTGATGGATGAAGGCATGTTTCGACCTTTTCGGTACTGCTACAGAACATGGAAAGACGGCGCAGTTGCTTTTCGACATGAGCTTATTGAGACGTGTAAAGACTGGGAGGCACTTGGATTTGCCAACTCGTGTCCATTTTCCTTACCGACGCCAGAAGACATGGCTCTGCATCGGAAGGAATATAGATGCTTTGAAGCGGCCCAGAATCTGAAGCGTGATTTGTCCAGCTTGCTTGACAGTGCATCTGATGGATGGGTTCCTCCAGAGAACTGGGAGGTGGCAAAAACAGAAAACAAGGCTATGTTCAAGGGGATGTTGCAAGCAGTACTGACAAATAAAGATCCGGACGACGGTGAACCAATTAGGGATGAAAGAGACCTGCGAGCTATCTGGCCTTTTGATTTGCCGAAGGTGTAATTTGTGTTGTCTTTGATACCGCTCTCCCATTCATTGGTTCGTGAGCGCTACATGGTATTGTAGGGGATCTTCTTGTCACCGCGCTATATTACATGCTCAATGCAACTCACTCTTCGAGTCTCCAGACGAAGAGCCCGGATGAAATTCACTACTTTGACGCCCGCGTTTCCTCTCCCTGTTCCTTTCTATTGATGACTCATCCTCTGAGGTCAGTTGTTCGGGCGGCGTTTTGAGGTCATCGACGCTTTAATGCGCCTCGTCGAATACGGTTGATTGAGCCTAGATGTTGCACTGTATCTGCTGCCTAGCTTTGGCACTTGCCAGAAACTCACAAAGCTGCTCTTTGAAGTTAGGAATATTTCTCGATCGAGGTCTCTCTGGCCTTGTGAGAGCTCATCCGTCGCGAAGTCTCTAAGTGATAGTCGTAATTCTGTTCTCTCAACGGCACATCCAGCATCTGTCCGAAACGGCTTCGCGGAATTATCAGCGCCAAATAATCAGACGTTTTGCAACATAGGGATTATACCTTTGCTTCTACCACGGCGGTCGCCTGGAACTCTTCCACGCCATCTACCATTTTGTACTCCGGTCGCCATACGGTGATGGTTCGCTCTCTTAGTCTCTTTATAATCGATGTCAAAGGCAACCACCGCATTGACACTCCCATCTGTATTTAAGATATAGTGACGGCAGGGATCGTAATCGTAGCTGTGAATACCTATGTGAGCACATCTACCTTCTAAAGCGAAGCCTAGGGGGGTACTCACCGTACTTTATCTTCCACGTAGTTTCGAAGGGGTTCATCAGCATCTAGCGCATGCAAGAGCTGTGCGTAGACGTTCGGTCTAAGTCGATGCTCCCACCAACTCCTTAGCCGGTGACCTGCACGATGGAGTCGCAAACAATTTACAACACTTTAGGCTTTCCGTGATACTGACTTCTCTACTGTAGATGGCGGTGTGAGAGGAGGCTCAAGGATACTCCCTGGCGGAGTAAATCCAGCTGCCATGGACGGCGGACACTAATTCAGCTTAGAAGTTGGGTGCGATTTGTTATTTATTTATGCCGCATCGAGTGGGAGATTGAGAGTGAAGTTCACGTGAACCGATAGTTAGTCATCTTTTGGTAACCTGGTTACTTGCGCGGAACGGTGACGGCCACGTGATGAAAGGCAGTTAACTTCTTTTGAAGGCCCTGCTGCTTAGGGCATCTTGGCCTCAGCAGATCTGCCTAACCGCTATCGGTCGCTCCTAGGCTGATTTGCAGTGGCGATGTGCAGATACCAAGAGACCAATTGCTTTGGGAGGGGGAGATTTGACCCAATAATATTCAACTCCTGCTCAGCTGAAAGGGTCAGTGCAGCGGTCGCGCGACGGAGGGTGATTATCACTCAGCTCTCACCCTGTCTATTGCGCACTCACCCTACTCACCCCCGGTCGCGCGACGCTAAAGCGGCTCTCACCCACTTCTCACCCGGGCGGCACCCACCCGACTATTGTCCGCACATAAGCCACACGCCGGTCAGTTAGTACTATGGTGGGTGACCACATGGGAATCCTGACTGTTGTATGTGTTTTTGCTCACCGAGTTTTCATTTCTAGATTCACGTAATTTTAGAAGATTATTCACTGCGCTTTACAGAATAACAGACCTTGATGATCATTTGAGGGGCATCTGGGGCGCGCTAAACTTGATCGGGTGGTGACCCTTATTACGTAATGGCTCGTTGCGGCTCAAACAGTGTCATGCCTGAAATGTAAGGCAAAATAATCTGTCTTGTTATCCGCTTGCGTCGATTTTCTCGATTCGCTTCAAGTCTGTGTCCGAATAGACTAGTAAATAGCTGTTTTCAATCCTTACTCTAGCTATGAACTAAGAGATTAATGATGCTGGCTGCCTGCATACTCGATACAAGTGGAAAGAAGTGAATATTGCCGATATTCCCATTCGGAGGTCCTTTGCAAACACATAATCGTATGATATCGACCACGGAGAGTCCCCAAAGGATGTGGGATGAATTAGAAACCCAAATCGAACTTGATATTGGAACCCAACTTGAATGGTGTAGACTAGCAATCTCGGGGCATATCTACCAGTGATCAGATAGGATCATGCAGGATTATCTTGGGGCTGTTTTGCTCTCACAATGGCGGGAAAGACCTGCAGTCTCGATTCTACTAAGCTCATCTTGTAGGGATGGATAATTGTTAATTCTTTCCCTTTTCCATGAAGGTTCCATGAGCGGAGCAGCGAAGCCCCACTTTAAGACAAGCACTCCGGGGTATTCACGATGCGACATCGAGGTGAACTAGACGCATCCGTCTAATACCAAGAGAGCGTGGCTCCTATCGGTACTAGGTCTGTGACTTTGCTGAGACTTCAACGCAAAGTTGCCTGTCCTGCTCGTCGCCCCTCGAAGAACCTAACACCTCCGTATTCGTGATGTTCTCTTTCCTTCAGCATGTCGAGGCCAGGCTTAGGGGAGCAAAATGGATGCAATTTAGGCCGCTCAGCTCCGCTGCTCATCTGCTGGCAACCGAGCCAAAGTTTCTGCCCATCGACGAGAGAGGGCCCTTGGACATCGAGTCGCCGGAAGGTCATTGTACGCCAGTCCGTCTCTGCCTTCCGAAATTCAGAACTTTCATGTGGATCATAACAAATGTCCTGTCGACAGTCTTGATCGTAGGTCGCCTTGCTTCCAGGATAGCCTCTGGGTTCTAAAGTGGTTGGGGTCTAATAAATCATTCAAACATAGGTTTTCACAAACAAATCAATCTTCTCCCATGAATCTTTCCGAAATTGCCAAATGGCATTTACATCGTACCATTTCTCCGTCACTGCAATCACCTTATACATCATGTCTCGCCCATCTGTCGGTGCTTTCACCGCCAAGTCACTGTCAATCCCCCAGACTCTGCTCCCTGCTGGCCTAATGTGTCTGCAAATTGTCTTCCAGAACGTTTCTCTGGCATACTCATCAGTCATCTTTCACCAGCTCGTCCGCCTACTATTGACGCCTGCAACAGCACTATGCAATCTCGTTCTTTTCCAGTCACTGATTCCGAGAACAACGATTATCCCGCTGGTGATTATGTGCCTCGGCGTCGGCGTCGTTGTTTACTTTGACTCGGTCGCGAACGCCGACAACTCGAAGATGACTTCTCCCACAGGCGCATTTGCTGCCGTCACTGGGTTATGTGCTAGTGCGGTATACACTACAATTGTGGGCAGCTATCATAAGAAGTTTGAAGTCACCAGCATGCAGCTCCTGCTCAATCAAGCAGCGCTTGGATCCCTTATGCTATTGTGCTTTGTGCCTTTCTTTGATACGTTGCCGCGATTGGACGACATCTCCACGTCCCTCGCTCTATCCATATTGCTCGTACGTACGTCCTTCGATCTTGCAGAGGATTTGCTAACACCTCACAGAGTGGGATCTGCGCATTTCTAGTTAATCTGTCCATGTTTTATGTGATCGATGCCACGGGGCCGGTCAGTAGCACGGTTATCGGGCACCTGAAAAACTCGATTGTAATTGCTTTGGGTTGGGTGTTGAGTGACCAGATAATTTCTCGTCAGAGCCTCGGAGGAATAGCGATGGCTTTGATCGGGATGACTCTGTGAGTGACGCCGATTCTTTCTCTACAGTCTGGAAGACACAGCTAACGTGTTCGCTCACTAGTTATATGATAGCCGTTATTCGGGAGAAGAGGTAAAATACCCGAAAAGTGTGTTCATAGCCTGCTGCGTTAAAGCGACACCTAATGATGAATTCAACTGCCCACCTGTTATTTCAATATGTCTAGAGCTCACAAGCTCTATAGAAGTCTTCTTAATTGACCTTGCGTCGACTGATCCATCATTTAAGTTCCCAAGAGAGATTCATGCCGGGACACATGGCGCAAATGCCTCAAACTCGACTCGGATGCAGGGTGCTATTTCCATATGAATCGTCCCTGTCAGAATGACGGAAAGCCATTCGATAGACATTTGAGGTAAATCCGTAACATCCACGCTATTATCATTCAACTACGTGCTTGACACATTTAAGTTCGCCAAAAGCTACCAAACAGGAGTGTATATGCACCAAGAGCTACCGATATCCTCTTGGATCCGATAAGATACACTTACTTCTACTACGATACACTAAGAGCTGTCAAGAACCACCCGTATTACATTTGAAACACCAATAATCAGCTTATTACACCAGAGCATGCTAAAAATGATCAGAAATAGGAATATAGACACCAAGATATGGTAAGACACACCCAATTCTGCCAAGATCTGCCGAGAAATTTCAGGTGGTAGAATAGTCTACACGAAGCTCCCCACCACGCCTCTTGTTTGCACCTGTACATACCCCCATCAACAACAGAGGAAGCACACCAAGATCCACCCAGATCCCCAACATTGCCTCACATATGCTTGGACATACGCTTGGAACCTCCAACCATCAACTCTCCCCGCCTGAATCTGCAAATCATACCCAGATGGAAAGAGAAACACCAGCCTCCAAAGCCATGAAACATCTTTGCAGTAACCTCATTCGTTCACTCCCCTCCCCTTTCTAACTTAGCTTTACTTGATACTCCAGACTCCCAACTCCACAGAGATACACCTGTTCTTCTCCAAGCGATCGGGCAAGCCGACACAGTTGATGAAAAAAAAGGTGTTCGCGTCGAGAGGGGACAGTGTAAGCCCAATGACACAGTACGAATAGCATGCGCAAGCACAGAGGCCACTCGTCGTTTCCAAAAATCAGGTACATCAGACAGCCCTCAGGACTTCTGAGTCGTCCCTGCCGTTAAGCGAGGGTCATCTTGAAGGCCTTCAAGATGTCTGTTGGCAGGAAAGGACACTCACCCCAGCGCTGAAGAAGAGAGAAGGAAGAGGAAATCCGGGGTGATCTCGATGCTTTTATAGTCCAGCAAGGACCGCGATTCTACGCTAGTGATCACGCTAGTGCTAAGCGACGATTATCCGCGTTTGCAATCAAACGCGCTATCTGTACGGAGAACGCCTCTACCATGGAGATCGATAAGCCTCTGCCCCCGTCTTCTGCCCACTTCATCTCCTTCTAACCTCAATCTAGATAAGATAAGGGTAAGCTTCGCCCGCACGGGCGTCACAGAAAAGCTTATCTCCCCTTCTACGAACACCCAATGAGACAGCAACCCCTGATATTTGGAGCAGCACGACGAAGGAGGCAGATCGTCTTGCTTGTTTGCTTGTATAAAGCATACTATATCAAACTCTTGGCACGTATTGAGAGCGTCTTGCTTGTTTGCTTGTATAAAGTATACTATATCAAACTCTTGGCACATGTTGAGAGCGGGCGATGGTACACGAGTTGTATGAGGCGGAGCAGGCAGGCAGGCAGACAGGCAAGCAGGCCATATAGCGCTGAATGGGCGTATTCCATGACCCATCACACACAGTTTTGGAATGACACTAGTTTTGGCCGGAGCACACCCGTATACATTGAACCACACCAGCGCGTGCCAAGACACACTATACTCGAGAACAAACAATAGATTGACTAGATGTGGTTTTATTCCTCCAGTTCCCTGACCTGGCAACCACCAGAATTGGCTTCTACACACCTGTTCCATTTACGCGCAAACGGGCGCGTTTGCACCGAGAACACTCGCACCTCAAGACACCAGATCCCACGATACTGTAATTGAGAACTGTGGGCACGGACTTCGTTTCCTCTAGCACCCCTCCAAGCTCTGACTTCGTTTGTTACATCATCTCGGGGCTGTGTTTCTCCCAACGCGCTCTCTACACACCCATTTGGGCAAGAGTACACTATGCCAGAGATCGAGGCGGCCCAGCACATTAGGTGTAGAGTTCGTTCACCCACTCTGTACCTCTTACGAGGACCACCGTAGGCACCTGATTTCACCCAGTCAGGCCTAACTCCACCAGCTTCCAGAACGAACCCAACTCCCTGGCCCGCCTATAAAGGTCGTTCGCCCATATTCCCTGCTAGTCTCTCTCCTACTGTCCCTGTTACTTGATTCTGCTGCTAGTTACCTCTCTGGCATTGGTTATCATTGACACTCACCCATAGAGTCCGTATGGCACCAAAGGCTGCCAAGACACACCCGGTTGCGGAACGAGGCTTCTCATAGAATTTACCTACCCAGTTCGTTCTTGCTCTTGTTCACTTCAAGTTTGCTCCATTCTGAGTCTTGAACCTTATTCGGCTTCCAGCTAATGAATAAAGTTTACATGATGACGCAAATGGCGTACCGTATATCTGCCTGCCCCCAGACTGGCGATCCCCCGCCGTTATAGTGGGGCATTGTTTCGGTCTAAGGTAGATCTGCTGACCTTAAAAATGTCGTGTGACGTTTCTATACTTTTCCTCGGGCTTGTAGATCTGACAACATCGACGTCATTCCATCGTGCCCCTTTATACGCCAGGCCTGGAAGAATGTCTAGCAATACTATCCCTTGGAGGCTTCGAATACGGACATGAGTACGTAGAGTATACTTTTCTCAGATTCATCCAAATTACTGTACAAAAAGCTCTTCGCCAATTTTTGAACCCCCCGTAGCCTCCAACTTCATCATCATTAGGCATATCCCAAAGAACTCTTGCGTAAACATAGTCCGAAAGTATAGTACAGGAATAGAAAGGTAGTAAACATGATTCATTGCACGCCAAGCACACGCGACTCCATCTGCGCAGGGTAGGCCATATCCACATGAGGTGCAGATGATCTACGCTCGGAATAGGCGTAGTTTCCCCCGTCAAGGCTCAACGAATCCATCATTTTCGACGCCCATGATGTCACCTGGCTAGCTTCCCGGTACACGTCGCTAAGGCCTCTCAGGACCTCGAGCCCCGCGTGGAAGTTCTGCATTGACTCCCCGCTGTCCGCGGACTGGGATCTGATTTCCGAAATCTGGATTATAATGGCTACCAGGATGGCGGTGACGCCGATGACGGGGAGGCGGGTGTGCAGGTTGTGCTGGTGGATCATCGTCGCGATGCGGGTGATCTGCTGCGAGGCGTATTTGACGCAGAAGCCCGAGGAGGGCAGGTGCTGGGACTGGTAGAAGACTGCAATGGCTGTGTAGAACTGCAAGTGGAGGATGTTGCGCTGGAGAAAGAGAGTAGGGTTTTCTGTTTTGGCAAGGTCGACCACGGGGAAGGAGGTTGCCCATTCCGCGAGTCGCGCTTCGGTTGCGGATACTCGGGCGGAGTTTTCCGAGTCTTCCAGGCTGTGGGGTGGACTCGGGATTGAAGGTGAGCCCGCGGGGGTGTTGTGCTTGGCTTGTAGTTGGAGGACGTCGTTGATGGATGTGCAGAGCTGTGTCTGCGCGATAAATAAGGCGTTCAAGGCTTGTTGGGTGCAGATATCCTGGATTTGAGGTAGATTGAAGCCCGGAATTGAAGGATCGGATGGAGTGCATAGGTCGAAGTCTTCTTCTGTAAGCAGCTGGGGGTGAAACTCCGGGCCGGTGATAAATGGCACGCATCTCAGCTTGAGTGCGGTTTGGCAGTCGGTCACGTAGCATGACCATGCAATTCTTTTCCAGAGGCCCTGGTTGAAGGTCAAGTCATGCTTTGTAGACGCATCGTCGAAGAGACCGATTGACTGCGCTGTGGAAATGGCGACGCTGGTCCAGTGGCGGCTGTCAAGGCCGTCTCCAGTCTGCAACCGGTATGAAAGAAGCAGAAGGGACTGGACGATAGTCAGAGCGTTGAGCTCGTATTCGGTCTCGTAGAGAAGCTTTATCCGGTGTTAGATCCTGCAGAGATTTGGACCCGGTCAACGTACCTTGGCCTTTCGATAAAAGCATTCCTGGGCCTCCGTGCGACTGGAGAAACCAGCCTCGTAGAGATACCCTTGGTCCACAAACGTAGTGGCTGACATCAGCACCGCGTAGAAAAGAAGCAGACTGATCGAATCAGCGCCGTTGTCACGATATTGAATGATACCCAAAAGCCGTGAGAGCTCGACGATTGGCATAGACGGAAAGACACAGTCGATGAAAGTCTGTAAAAGGGCATCCTGGAGGGGAATGCCTGGCAGTGAAAACACTCCGTTGGTATACAGACATTCAATGTTGGCTGGACTCATCATCATTGGAAGTGGTTGAATGAACCTTGGGAGCATAGCCTCCGGATTCTCCTCTTCTTCCGAGGAAGGTAGCGGTGATCCGAGGTTTGTAAATGCATTCCATACTTCTTCTTCTGGTTGTTGGAATGGAAGGTTCTTGAAAGACCCAAGGTCAGGCGCTGACAAACATTGTCAGTTTTGATTCATCCAGTTCCCTTTTACACTTGTGGTGTAGAACCGACTTACTCGTTGGACTTAAAGAGACATCAGGCCAGCCGGCTGCCGGATCGGGGGGAGGGAAAGCGTTGATATTCGTATGGAGAAAATCTTCCTGAACAAATTCATTGCCGTAGGCGCCTCCGGTGGAGCCGGTGGAAGACCTTCGCTCGCTGGAAGGCGCTGGGAAAAGCATGGATACGATCGTAGTCGCCGGAGACATGGCCCCGGGAGCTTTCTTCGGGAACATGCCCAAGGTCTTGAGTTGCACTCGTCTTCTGCAAGGTGGGTTAAATTGCGAGATTCCCTGGCTTAAGTTATCGGTCCATCATACCTCTTCCGGGCGCGTTGGTCTACGACGCACTTGGCGCCTTTTTGGTCGCAATTACTGCAGGGGTTCCCCGAGCCCGCCACGGCATCGCAGCGGACTTTGGTGACATGGCATAACTGGCATGCTCTCTGGATCCTCCTTGACGGCATCCCTGACTGTTGCGTTGTCCTAATCGTTTTACCTAGCGGGTCTAGCGAGGCTGCGTCCTTGGACAGAAGAGATAGATGCTTGGGGCCGCTCTTCTGAAGCTAGACGTGGTGGGACAAATGCGCTTTGTGTAGAAAACCTTTGAGGCTGGTTACAGGTAGAAAGGATGGAACGACAATCACCGTCCGGGGCCTGTACTCTTTTCATATACGAAGCCCGGCCGTTTTCTCCAGGTTTCGATCATCGGATGCGGGGGAAAGGATATCGCGAGTACCGTGCGGCTATGGCCAATCAGAGGTCCATCTGCAGGGGGAAAAGGCTCGTTCTGTTTGTTTCCTCATTTCCACACGAATTCCTGATTCTAGAGCGTCTTGCATCACCAGTCGCAGATCCCGTAGTACAAATCCGGTCAGTTATTGCTCGAAGCGGTTAGGCGCCATCCACGTCTTTGCGAGGCTTCTGTGGGGCGCACGCTTTCCCCCTTTCCCGGGGAGGACTTTGGGTGCGGTGGATGAACTAGCCGGTGGTTTCTTTCCCGATTTGGGTTCATCCGCGCGCGTTGGGATCGATAACGGGCTGCGATCCGGTGGATTCGTATCAATGTGGCCCACGAAGAGTCTCCATAATCTCGAGCCTACGTGCGGAAGAAAACTCCCGGCGGATCCGAATCTAACTGATCCAGCAGATCGCAAGGGATCTGACGCGCAGTTGGCTAGCCATAGATTGGGGCGGGGCCTCACACAGAAATCACTTAATTACAAAACACATCCGCAAAATATCCCATAGCGAAAGGCGGGAAGAAGCCTAGACCCTCTTTTAAGGTGGCATCGCCACATGCAAATGATCTTCCACTAGTTCAAACCATGTTCCCTTGAATCCTGCCTCCTTGGCTGTCCTGACAGCTTTGATGAACCCCCGCAGTCGAACTGCACTGATATTTTGTACGGTAAACGCTGCCAGTATGTCCAGCAGCCGCTCCCCTGGGCCTTCGACCTCCAGCATCGCCATTGTTAACGGGAATACCATGGGCATGGCGGTCACTTTCTCCGCTGCCGACGAAGCGAACAACGACATGGCCGAAAAGATGCCCTCCGCGAGTACTCGTGCGGTCCCGTCCTCGACTCCCAGTGGATACCTCAGTCGATGAATAACCAAAAGGGTGGCCAGACGATAGACATTGGCCTGGGTCATCATGGCGAGAGCCTCATGTTGTGAGAAGTTGGCATACAGGATGGGCTGGTGCGGTGGCTCCCATTCTTGAACGTGGCCCTCGATCTCTGCGAGTCTCTGCCACACTGCCATCCGCTGCGCCGACTGAGGCTCACTGCGGTCATTTTTCATGAAATTACTACATTCGGCAACATCATGGATATGGGGGAGAAGCGTCGTCATAATGCCAGCATATCGATCGATGATGACCCGATCGGTGGGAGGAAGTCGGATAATGGGAAGCTCGCGGTGCGCCACCGCCTCCACCGTGTCAATCAACACGGGGGTCAAGGTGATGGTATCCATGATCGGATACATGAACAGGCTTGGAAACCAGTCGCGCGTCGTGAGGAGCGCGTTCCGCACAATCGAGTGCGCGGTATTGGAATAGGGGGCGCTGACAACGTTGAACACGTACATGATCTGACCCAGGAAGAGCGCGCAAGCCGCATCATACACGTGCCTAATGTTCACATTGCGCAAGCGCTGCAGTCCCTTGGCTGCCTTTTGCATGTCCGCCTGCTGGGGTCGCATGACAAGTGACCTCTGATGGCTCGACATTAACGAGAGGAAGGCCAGATAGCCCTCGGTGAGGGTGGGTCCGGAGCAGGACAGGAGGATAGTTATGGTTTGTTGGGAGACAGGGAAAAAGCTGGCCCCCATCGCAAAGGGCCCATGTATAGCAGCAAACTGCTGTGTATCCATGACCGTCTGCAACGCGTCGGCGGTTGTTTGCAACCTCTTGGGCGTCGCAAGCAACCTCTCCGGCGACAGCATGAGTAGGCCTTCCCTTGTCGGCGTCCAGCCTTCTTCTGAGATATCGGATACGGACTCGGCGGGGGAGGCGCGGCTGGATGAGGGTGATGTGGTTTTTCGACGGACCGTCAGCTCGGATTCGGGCTCGTCGCTGGGCTGAAGGTCAACACTCCAGACCTGCATTTGACCATGCGGGAAGGCCTTTGCAGATGGCCGGCGGCCTATTCGGCCGCTGCGACGAGAAACGGAACATGGGATCTTCAAGCGCTTGCACCGAATGCATTGTTGGTCATTGCCGGTAAAAGTGCATTTTTCTTTGGCGGAATGGCAGCGATTGCATGCCTTCACGACCATCTTCCCCTACAGCTGGCCGTGCGGATCGGGACAGCGCGAGCAAACTAGAATCGAAGACAGTCGCCCAGACGCTAAAGCGGGGGTGGGTTGGGATGCGGTGACGCGTTGAAACGAGGAGTGCAAGATAGCCAACTCTTGCCATCCGGTTGTTTTCCCCGCTTTACCCCACAAACCTTCCAAGAGCCAATAAGCGAAGCCTGTGAAATTGCCCTCGGATAAGTAACTATCCACGACTTGCCTTTCTGACTAATTCCGGTTTTTCCCCCCGGGGCCCAGGCTGGGGGTTCTGTCTGGGGTTTGCGTCTGGGGGGAAGTGCACCTTAGAGAATCTGCGTAGTTTCGCTCGGACCCGATTCGGATCTTCGTCGCAGTCGATTAACCTTGTAACGATGCACATCACTCCAATAGTAGCAATTAGCAAGTTGTGCGCGACGCATTCTGGCCGTCGATCACGGTCCTCATCTGCCATGATTGGCTAGTGTGGCGTAGTCGTAGTGTCTGGTGGGGGGCAAGGATCACAAGGCCCTAATTGCTCAGTGTTTTAGGGGGCCAGTTGGATTTCCCGGCTTCGCAGGACCCATTTCAGGGGGAACTAGAATCCACCCAGGATCCATCCAACCTGCCAGGGGAACCGTGGAGGCCGTTCCGTGGATGCTGTTCTCTACCAAAAGCTGAGGTGGGTAACCGGATGTAGTTTTGGTTGGGGACTTTCTGCGGGGATGTGAATCCCCCGACAGCAATCACCTCGTGCCGCACACAGCATGCAGGGTATATTAGTAACGTTAGGCTCGTAGTATTCCAGCATTTGCCATACAGATTTTTCATCTTTACAATCACAATATTCAAGTGCTCGTGGTTGGGTTTCGAACTGTCTGGTTTGGAGCTTTGGAGATATATATCTTTCCACTGTTATGCATAGACACCGCATGTCAAAACTTAGAGTTCTCGAGCTGAGCCGCCGACTCGAAAACCACATTGGCAGGGCCGTGATTTCTACTACTAGTGTCTAGGTACCGAACTTAAAAGCTGTACTTTGTGCAGCTTATCGTACTAGTACTTTTCTGTACCCCCAGATATTAGACTGGCCTCGATCATTCAGCCCCATCAGCCGGTCCTGCATTTTGCCGCTCACGAGCCCAGCGCTGCTCCCGACTCTCGCTCTCAGGATCGAAATAAGCTGAAGACTCGATTAGCTCGGTCTACCGTGCGATCAGAATACCGAAATACATGTAACACCCACGTTTTTCACCAAATACGGTTGTCCGAATGCCTCGGCGCTCTCCCTTATACGTGCCCGGGATGACACGATGCAATGTACAACTGCGAGATGATCAGCGACCAACTTCTCGATCCATCAACCATCGCATATTACTCCTTCAGACGTACCGGTTATCCCACATTGCGACGCTGCCAACTGCCCACTTGAACCGAACGTAGTGGTCATCCGCGGAATGAATGTGATATGCCAAGAACTCCAAAATCTTGTCTAAGCAAAAGATCAGCGGATTGTCCGTCTCATTTGGGCCAGGGATCCCACCGGACTCGAGTTTCTTGAGCTCGGCAAACCCGGTGACAAACCCAGGATTCACATTCAACGCTTTCAAGCCTGTGACAGGGTGAGTGCGCACGGCGGGGTGGTGTGTATCGATTGGAGGGCGGTTCGGGCCAGTGCCCCATAGGTCTAGGATTGTGTCGTCTCGAAAACCACTGTTAGCTGAGTGTCTCGCTTGATTGGCAGCGATTCGTGACATACATTGCAACCGAGAGGTGTGGACTGCATGGAGCCCATCAAGGAATGTCTGGTATGCTTTGCTCAGAGCATCGTATAGTCCGTATTGCGAGACCTGGATAATAAGCACAGGAGCTTAATTTTCAAGAGATTCACGTACCCAGGCCGTATCACCCCCACTGCTGGATGCTCTTCCATTCGCAGCAGCGAGTAGGACGGGGCTGCGAATAATCAATGTTTTTTTCCCTTTTAAATCAAGCCAGTGAGCTTACGATTGATTTCAAATGAAGTGTCCGCATGGAAATCTCCACTCGGCTTCGACAGTTGTTAGTTAGATATGTTGGAAAGGTTTCTAGCTCGCCTCTTACCCAAGGAGTAAATTTCAAAATCTCACGATGGTCCTCGCGACTCCCTTTGATATTCACAAACTGACTACCTTAGCCATGGCTGCAAGATTTGGCTTCGTTTCTATATACCTTTTGGTCCTAGTGAGGAAGTTAGCTTGGTGGATCATGCGTTATTTTCCCAAATTTACCTTTTGGGCGGGGTGTCTGTCCAAAACACCATAATGCTCAAATAACTTAATCTGCTGTTCTGTAGTCAAATCCTGGTCGCGGAAAAACACTACACCACGCTCATTGACCAGCAAAGCTAGCTCGTCAAGCTGCTTCTCGTCAAGCTGCGAGAGCTGCACACCTTCCAAGACGGTTCCAATGGACTCAGTCAGAGGCACGGGATGTGCCACCGCCAATAGCGCCTTTTCTCAGGATCTGCGAAAAATGCACGATCCTTTGGTGGGGCGAATGCCTCGCGAATGGGCTCTGGAGGAATGTGATGCCGGATCTTCTCATTAAAATGGGGGTGAAGGGTCACATGGAACCCCGAATCAGGCGAAATATGGCGACGGGCTTCGAGGTGGGCCATCTGAGCGTGATGAGCAATATTGATACTATGTGGAATAGTTTTCCGAAGGAAGTAATTGCAAAAAACAAAAAAAAAAGCCGACGAGGGGTTGGAGCTGATTTGCCTTATAAGTGGCTTCGTATCTCTCTAAACACCTCACTGCGTGAACACTGTCATGTTATTTGTCTGCTATTCGTCACTACCAGGGTGTAGCCGAACTATCGGCAGTGTAGGAAGCCACTAATAAAAGCCGTCAGAATAAGCAAAAGGGACCACCAAGCTGATGTCAGACCCACTCGGATAGTTTAGATAGTTTTTTTTGGCGTCATCGCGAATCGATATTACGGGATTCAGGATGACGCGACCGTGCACATCAATTGCATCAACCGACTCAGACATGCATGTATGGGGTCTACTCTGCTCAATGGGTACCCATCTCGATCTCATCATTTGGAAGATAGGCCTGAGTCAAAGCATGGTTGGAGTATCGTCAAGATCTTAGAACGAGTAATCAACTATACCGATGAGTTTGCTGGTACCGTCAAACAAGGCATGGAAGACACTTACTCTAATAGCAATGTCTTATAGGGGAACAAGTCATCGCGAATATGAGGACGGGATAGCAGCACTGGTATTTTAGTATGCAGGAGCCTGCAGCTATCTTCTATTATATGAATTCCGCCTACGCTGTATGATCCTATTCTATAATAGCAGGCCCTTAGTCCCAGAAATACTATAGTGATCACCCGTTGTAATAGGCATGAGCTGATTCTTAGCAAGAGGAAATTTGAAACGATGTGAGGGTCATGGATTGACTATCAGTTTGGAGGTTGTTTCAAACCAAGGCTAAGTCATCATACTGCCGGTATCAACGAAAAAGTGCCTTTCTGGAGCCTCGTAACTAAGTCCTTCTGGCCATATGATATTCACGTCTCACCAATTTCAGTATCATTTACTTAGGCGTCATCCTGTTCCTCTGTGCCTCGTTTCTCGCACTATCTCCTTGACGTACTCATCTTGAAACGACACTCATTCCTTGATGTTGAGAGAGGCAGATGGTTGCTTTATACAGCAGATGTCAATAGTTAACAGAAATTCTATGTCCAGAACCCCTGAACGAAATATAACTCAAGGTGTTCTCATTCTGCAGCCTCCGCTCCCTTTGGTGAGCTTCATCAATGCACTTTCAACGCTTTAGGCCGTTTAACTATTTGTGTCAACATCAAAATTTGCTCTGCGGCCTTGGAAGATCCGTATGACACGCAATCTGCGAAGAAGACAAGGGAGGCGGTATAATGGCTGGGGGTTGAGTTATTAAGAAGGATCTTCGGGATGCATTGACTAGAGGAGGTGTACGAGTAGCCGGCCCAGAGGACCCGAGACAACAACTTCTAGTCGCTATAGGAGCAAGTAGACCCAGTAGCATGCTAGTTATTACTGTCCACTAGAAAGTCTATCATCTCGTCTTTTAAAACTGGCAAAATCCAGAATTTAGCCTTGAGTTTTCCTGTCGTTGAAGTTAGGCGAGTCTAGTAGGAGATATTCGACGCCAGGTAGTTAATTGCCAAAGGGCCCATCAGATCCCAACCTTCCGATTTCTGCATAGATCGACGATTGGCTGGGTGGCGATGTTATTGTTTCAACACTCGCTACTCTACCCATCAGAGCCGAGCGGCGTGTGCAGCACTATCAACTTGGATACTACTCACGTACAATACTTGGTGCCAAGAAATGCCTATTGAACCCCGTGACATAACAAGCGGCTGCTCAAACACACAGAGAAGTGACCGCCCTGTGTTCCTCCGAATCCCAGCTACCGTGCCTGATGCCATAGTGCCAAGACCTTCCGGTATGGGATCCATTGAACCCCAAGACGTACTAGGCTGAACCCTCCTGGTACCGCGATGATGACGGCATCGGCCACTCGCAGCTGCTGCATAATGTTTTTAGTTCTCTTGTTCATACCCGCAATGCCAACCCCAAGCCTGAAATGCCGAAATCGGTGGTCCCACATCTCCCACATCTGTCTCGACATCCTCTGTTTTCCCGCGCCAGGGCGATCCGTTTCAGAGTGCGGATCCAGACCACTTCATTTCGGGGAAGCGCCATTCGTCGGAGGAATTGCCTTCCGGGGGGAATACCGTGACCTTTGGACACAAATCTCCCTCACCGGTGGAGGATAACTCGCAGACTCGGTAAACCTCCGAATCCCCCTGTTGCTTGGCGGTTCAGCCATTGGGCGAGACGGGCCGAGCATCCTTGGCGCTATTTCTCGGCATGCAGAAAGGAGGCCCGACAAGCTTCGATCATCGCCTCGGAATCGCGTTTCCAGACGGCCAAGAAGGACTTGTACAGCGCCGAGAGATTTGTCACATCCAGCATAGAACTATCTGAACCCCGGATTCAACCCCGGATTCAGGAGGTTCAAATATGTCTTGGGACCATGGGAATCGCCTCGGGAATCAAACTCGGGGAGGTAAAGCCCTACCCGCTGGCTTAAACTTCGGTAAAATCGGTATAAACTCGGACTGACTGGATAACCTTCTGGAGCTGAGTCCCGGTTCAGGCCCCGCCACTTTACTCCAGCTTTTTAATCGTGCGGATTGACCCCTCGCCCCCTCTGGGGTCCTCGCGGCTTACTCCGGACTCTTAGTGGAACACCAGCTGGGGAAATCAGGGCCTATGACTACAATATCCCGACTGTCGGCGGCCCGCGGAGCGATCTGAACCCTGTTCACGAAAAGGATAACGGGCTCCTGAGTCCTGAGTCGTGGATGTTCGCCGAGTTGGTTTTAGAAACCTGGGTTATGGTGGAGCTCTTCCATCATATCACCCAATGCGGGCCTATCAGACTCACCGGGCGATGGATATGCTCTCGATCATTGCTAAAGGTGGGAACGGAGCTAGCTTCGTTGTCCACTATATCCCCATGACAGAGATTTTTCGCTGCGGGGTCTCCACGGCCTCGCTCGGGGAGGGTGAGGGGACCTCCCTGGGCATAAAACCCTGTTGGAGGTCTCCTAGGTGAACCTTTCCTCCCTCTGTCACCCATCATGCCGGCCACGATGTTACGAGGCAAGTCCCTGAGCTTGGCCCAGGCTCTTCTTATTGTTGCCCCGGCCTTTATTGTCTTCGGATACAACCAGTCCGGCCTGGGCCCTCTCGCTACACTCCAGAGCTGGGTGCATATGTTCCCGGAGATCGATACGATCAACACTGAGGGGGCGACTCAGGCCAAGAACTCTACTTCGAAGGGTGCTGTGATTGCTTCCTTCCAGCTCGGTGCTCTTGTCGGAGCATTGTCATGTACTGCGCTAGGTGACCGACTTGGACGCCGCAAGACTATCTTCCTCGGTGCAATCCTGACCATCATCGGTCAAGTCCTGCAGACTTCCTCCTACAGCCTGGCCCAATTTGTCGTCGGTCGTGTCATTCTGGGTCTGGGAGTTGGACAACTCAGTGTTGCTGTCCCTGTCTGGCAATCCGAGTGTACGTCGGCCAAGCACCGTGGACAGCACGTTATTGTGGAAGGTATCTGTATCTGTCTGGGTTATGCGTTGTGTAACTGGATTGATTTCGGTCTGAGTAAGGTCGACGGCACGCTACAGTGGCGTCTCCCGCTTGTGGTGTCACTCTTCTTTTCTCTTATCCTGACCTGCTCGGTGTTCTTCCTCCCCGAGTCCCCTCGTTGGTTGGTCAGCGTTGGCCGTACCGAGGAGGCAACTCACAGTCTGGCTGCATACAGAGGTCTTCCGAACGACGACCCTGGCGTGCGGATCGAGATCAGTGGCATTGAAACCTCGCTCGAAGTTACAGTCGACAGCGCCAAGCTGAGCGATATCTTCAACTTCAAGAAGCGGGACGACGAGCGCCTTCTCTACCGATTCTGCCTATGTGTCTGTTTGCAATTCTTCCAGCAGATGTGCGGTGGTAACCTCATCTCGACCTATGCTTCTACCATCTTCGAAGAGAACCTCCACATGGACAGCGATCTCGCCCGTATTCTCTCCTCCTGCGCCATGACCTGGAAATTCCTGTGCAGCTTCGTCGCCTTCTTCGCCATCGACCGCCTCGGTCGCCGAAAGATCTTCATGATCAGCGGAACTGGGATGTGCGTCTGCATGGTGGTCCTCTCCATCACCAACAGCTTCGGCATGAACCACAAAGCTTCTATCGTGTCCGCAGTATTCATCTTCCTCTTCAACTCCTTCTACCCGATCGGATTCCTCGGCGGAAACTTCCTTTACTGTACCGAGGTTGCGCCCATGAGACTCCGTGTCGCCATGTCGGCGATCTCGACTGCGAACCACTGGCTGTGGAACTTTGTCGTTGTCATGATCACCCCGGTCGCTCTCGACACGATCGGATACCGCTACTACATTGTATATGCTGTTATTTCGGCGTGCATCCCCTTCGCTGTGTTCTTCTTCTATCCTGAGACGATGAACCGTAATCTGGAGGCTATCAACCATGTCTTCCAGGATGCGGAGAGTCCTTGGCATATTGTCTCCATGGCTCGTCACCTTCCTCAGGGTGAGGCTGCTGAGGTGGATGCCTGGGCGCGGTCCGAAGAGAAGCGTGCTATTGAGCAGGAGGAGCACGCCTAAAATTGATGACCTAGATGTCTTAATGCAGTATATAGCTTGATTCGATGAACAATGATGATATTAGAACCATTTTCTGGATTGAACTCGACCAAGGAGCACCCAGTCCAACGTATAATCCCCTCTAATTTGACTGAGCCTCTGCCTCATGGGCCAAGTCCTAGCATACGCACTCCACGCACTCCATGCACTCCATGCACTCCCTAGCCTCGTTAGAACCAAACCTAATGGGGCCGAGTTTGACGGGGTTTGCATTCACTGTGATTGGATAGAATGACCCTTTTCTCAGGAACAAAGACGAGGTTGAGAAAGCGGCGGGGATTCCGTTGACTATTGTCTTGCCCGCTCTCTTCGCGGAGTCTGCGCTGGGCATGGGGTAGGTTTCCTTGTTGCTCGAGTTTGTCGCCGGGTAGCTTCGAGGCTAACTGTTGCAGGCTACTCGAGGTTGATAGAGTCGGGAATCGCCTGGCTATCCCTGGAGACGGTGATAACCAGCCGTTATTCGTCTGGTAAGTTTGTTCCATGTTCGGCCGGTGTCTCGGGTCCGTACTGATAGTTGTCTAGTACCCGTGAATACATTGCGGCAGCTTACGCTTCTATCTTCGCGGCTACCCCCGTTGCCCGGCTCCAGAGCCGTGTTCTGGGGTTGACGGAGGTCCAAGTAACGGGCAAAGAGCTCGCCAAGGCTCTCGAAGCTAAGAACGGGGCTCCGCCCAAGATATTTTATCACAGTCTTGAAGAAGTGGACAAGAATATAGAAACGGCTTTAGCACAGGGCCGACCGTTGGCATTGGCCTGGTTGTGCCGGAAGTTCTGGGGGGCTGGGATGTTCCCGGAAGCGATTGGCTCTGATATTTGGGAGGTTCCGGGGTATAAGAAGAAGACTATTGAGGAGTTGATTGTCGAGGATCAGTTGGTGTCGTACAGGGATGCGCCACCGGAAGTCCATGCCGCGTTGGAGAAAACTTTCTACTAGTGTAGGGCTTTGGTGTTCTTGGCTGCTTTGGTTTCTTGCGATGGGTTGCGGGTTGCGGGTTGCTGGGCATACCTGTTCGGTTCGGCGTGTGATTTCCGAAGTTTAATTATCCGATTTGAAATTTAATGTGAAATGAAGCGATGCTTTATACGATCATCTGTATAGAGGTAGGAGGGCATATATCATTACTCTACACAACAATGAACACGCCCGAGATAGTCATAAGTCATAGATGCAGCGCATCTTCATACAGTGCTATACAATTCCAGAATGCTAGCCCGAGACAACACATTGCATGTCAAACCTTCACGGCCTCCCTAATCCAATCCACCATCTCGACCCATTCAGGTGGGATATCATCCCCCAGCGGATTCAGAACACCCCTCACTATCCTCCGCCCCGCATCTAGCGCGTACCATTTCCTCGAGAATAGATGCAGACCCAATCCCTGGAATAGTAATAGTATGCGGGCGATCCAGTCGCCTTCCTCGACCAGGGCTATAAAGGACTCGCTGATCCGCACCGGCCAGATCACGTTCTCGTTCTCTCCAGGCCACTTGTTGAATGCGCTCATCAGGAGATTGTACGCGCCTTGGTAGGCCACCCGGCGCAGTCCGTACGTTTGTTCGATTAGTTGGCCCACTTCGTGGAACTTGACCAGAATTTTACTGTCGCATTGTTAAGTCATATCCCCACCGGGGTGGATAGGGCTTTCTTACTGATGCAGCTCGACCATCTCGGGCTCTTCTCTGTAAAAGAAAAAAAAGGGGGCTCAAGTTAGCTTTCAGTCCTTTTAATGTGGGGATTTTTATATTGACATACGAGACTGTCGAATGATTCTTCGACCGATCCCGATGAATCCACGGCTCGATCTTGATACCCTTTGCAAGGTAAATCTGATATAATAATACCGCACTTCCCTTGAGAATAGATCTAATCATCAGAATCTCCTGCAGCGGATCTCCTACCTCCCCGCTCTGCGCAATCCCCGGATGTGCTGTGATCAGTACGATGATGAGAATCGAGCACGCAAGCTGGATCTCTTTATTCGAGTCCGGATTCGCGCTCGGATCGTCGACGGCAATGGCTAGGTTCTCCCGTAATCCGGTAATCGCTCGATTCTGATATGAGAAGACGGCTTCGAGCCAGTAGGATTTGTTTTCCGGTTCCAGGTGCGCGAGGTGCAGCGCTGCGACGGCTAGCACGCCGTCCATGACGTACTCATTGGCGACGGCGAATTCGGGCAGCGTTATTTGCCAGAAATGGAGGCCTGTGTGGTCTTTGGCAAGTGTGGGAGCGGTGATCACGCTTGCATGGTGGAAGAGGCGCATTTCTTGCATTCTGGAGACGCGGGATACTTCGACGCCGGGATTCGGTAATGTTCTTGTTGTTTCTTGCAATCCACACAGCTCCCTTCCGTGTGAAGAATTTGCTGGCGGTACATCTATTGATGGGAAAGATGACGTTGCTTTTCTCTTCGCCGGCGTCTTAGAGGGTGCTTGAGTGGGGTACGTGCAAGGCCACTTGCGGCTAGTGCAGAGACTGCATGATGGGTGTTGTTCATCACACTGTAATGTCATGATTAGAGTTGGTTCGAGTCTGGTGCGAAGTAGAAGCGCAAGGCTTGAAATCCGGTATGGCGCCCTTCGAGGTTATACTTACTTTCACATGGCGTCTTTTGCACTCGGAGCAGCCGTGGCGAGACTTTTTGTGTCGCCGGCGAGGTTGATTGAGGAGATGCATCCTTAACTGAATCACACTCCTGACATCCAAATAGTGTGTCGAGTAGGGGGATCTGGCTGAGATAGACCGCGACGGGTATGGGAGGTGTTTTGTGGGCCCCGGGGATTTCTGGACGTCTGGCCCCCCGGACTTTTTGGGCATTGAGACTCTTGCAAAGACAAATTGGTATAGATCGGCCGCTCACGGAGCTCAAGATAACGAGTTAGCCTGTGGGGGGGCTGAAATCTCTTCACGGCCATTCGTCCATACTGACGGCCCCCATGTTTTCAGCAGTGGGTTTGGTTATGCACGTTCCCCATCATCCCTGTTAGCGTTTATTATGATTGCCACCGACTGACATTCGGGACCTTCCGGCACAAACCTATGATCTTAAAATAGTAAAATTCTTTGGGAAGAGTGTCCCGTATCTCAGGGACTAAGAACTGGGGCTATCGAGACCCAGCGCATCTTCCGCTCGGGCCATTGAGAAGAGAAAACACAAGCAGACAAAAGAGCACTGCGCCTCAAGTGAAATCAGACAGCGAAAACTACAGTGTACAGAGATTCAAGCTCAAACGTATTGACTAATTATAAGTAAATCTGAAAAGCCCCGGGGGAAATAATACTCGCGCTCAACTCTGTGAAGTTGTATATCATGGTAAGATTGCTGTCGTATGATGGATGAGGAGCGTTGTCCGTGGTAAATTGGAGTAGACACTATAATTTTCATAGAGATAAACATGTAAGAATAGGAACGCGTGTTAAAGCATTGCAAGTCGTCAGTCATAAATGGGCACTCTTCGAGATGGGCCATACCCGGCATCGTCTGCCAAGTGCGACGGTACCATTCGTGATTTCCGCGGTGCGAATCCCGCATTCCCATAAGAGCGAGATCGCTCGGAGCTGCTCCCGCTACTATGGCTTCCCCAGCGGACATCGTCGTAGGGGTCTGGAGGATAGCGGTCCCGGGGCGCCATTCGTGAGAATGGAGGCGGTCCAGATACCGGTCCACCCAGGGTGTAGTCTCTAAACTTCCCGCTGGCCGGGATACTACTTCGCGGTCGAGATCGAGATCGCTCTTCGGGATACAGTCTTGTCGACTCGGAGGTTGATTTTCTGGTCTTTGGCGGTAGGAAATCTTTGGTTCTATGGCTCATTCTATAGGCCGGGTCGGGGGAAAATTGGCGTGCAGGCTTGCGCGTATAGGCATCGTGGGAGTGACGCCGAGCACGGGGGTCTGATGGCGGAGACAGGTGGCGAGGGCGATGGCGATGTCTAGGTCTTGCGAGTTCTTCTTCATGGATGGTATCGTCTGATGTATCATCTTCGTCTGCTTCTTGGGCATCGCTTTCCGCTTCGGGACTAAATGGTCGGCCATACCAAGACGCACGCTCTCGGCCTCGTGAGTGCATGGGACGATCCCGGCGAGGCTCTGGAGAGGTGGCCCGAGGGGATGTCAGGCCAGATCTACCCCCATCTGGTCGAGGAACAAAACTCGGCTCTCGTCTGCGAGGGGTGAATGCGGGGTAATCGGAACTGAGTCGCCTGCGATGCCCTCGGTGACTGCCACTCTCACGATCCGGGTCAGCGTAGCTATGTTGGCGCGACCTGGAGTGCCGATGCGGAGGACTGAAATACTCGTCCTCATCGGGGAGTGCTTCTTTTCCATTGAAACGATAACGCCAATCTCCAAAGTTTGGCGGCGAATATTGTTGGCTCTTCTTTTTCTCCCAATCGCATCTCTTCTCGTAGTCATACTTCAGCCTCTTGCTAACCCCTTCATGCCATTGCAGCATTTCCGGGTCCGGTTCCGAGGGCAATGCCCCTCGGGGGAGTTCCTTGGGGAAGTAGTTACCCTGGACGTCAGCAATCTCCCACAACTTCAGTGCATTTTGTAAATATTGCCAGTTCTCATCCGGATCCATGAGAATTTGGATTGTTTGCCATCGGACAAACCCGTTCGGGAGGAGCGAGGGCACGCATGGTGGCTTATATGGGCTGTCGGCGGGCTGCAGGCTGTGAAAGCAGCCGAGGGACTGGTAGATAAAAGATAGGGCCTGAGATTTAGTTTCGAGAAACAGTGGATCGTAGTTTCCTCCGACCTGGCGGTAGAAGGCCGCGAGGCGTTCCGGGGTAAGGTCGGCCGTGACACCGTTATCGAGCGAAGGCTGACTGGTGGTTAGCTGGGTCCGGTGGATCGGTGACGTTACTAACAATCTTCTGCGCGATTCCGAGACATAGTTGCTCCAACAGCGGCGCAGGGCTCTTGTCGGAGTTGATCAACGTCCCCCAGTGGTTAGATGACATGGCCGGATTGCAGACACTGTCGCAAATCGCGAGCGCATTGCAGGGGGACGAGATGCTTTTGTTGGCAGGCAGCGAGGGGCGGTCAGGCACGCACATGGGGTCCACCTGGGGATCGCGGCCCCAGTTTTTGCTAACTTTCGAGTGGTTTGAGTTGTACACAGTAGTGACAGGAAGTGTGGACAGTCTTTCTCTCTTTCGCTCACTCCACAGGAAAAGGTAATCACAGGTGACATGAGGCGACTAAATGGGAAGATGGTCATCCTCGTTTCTCACGGTAATCAGCCGCTTGGCCGCCCTCAGCTGCCATCATCACGTTGCTATTCGTTACGGACTCCCCGCATCTCCGATGTGTACCTAATGGCCAAACCATTGGGTAGACCCCACTAATGCATGTTCGAATTCTATTCCGGCCTGTTCTCGGTACTTTTTAGATCGGGTGGGATCTCGATCGGTCTCTTCTCCAGTCTTCCTCCAAGGGATTCCAGGCTTCCGTTAAGGCAGAAGGCTTCGGCCTGGCTACTCACCCAATAACCCTCACTTGGACGGTCCCAGGTTTGGATTTAGATCGGGTTGCACTACCGGCTGGAATACTGGGTGGCAGATTTGGCAGTGGCGGTGCCCTCCGAGGCCTTGGCGTCGGCCACCCTCGAGCGAAGGAAGTCGAGTGGTCTGATGTTATCCTACGTCACCATCGACACATGAATGATTCGTCTCCAGCAGTTGTCTGTGTGGCATGACATTCAGAACATGAGGTCTCCTGGGCAATGCGTTATTTGCCCGGTCGGAGCGTTCTCCTAGCAGACATTACCTTGCCATTCAACTGACGTTGCTCGGATGATTTCTGAGATCCGGTGGGACGAATCAGCAAACCCATGAATCCGTCTAACATAAGTTCCTCGGAGGAGAAACACAGCTCTTACGGGTCCTATCCAGCGCGACCTCGTCTATATGCGTCGACACGTGTGATCGACCATGTAATCTCGATGTTGACTCCGCCCCTCCACTTTCATGCGCGTGCCTTGCAGGCAAGATGCATGTGGGTATGCTGAACCCTCAAGCACTTGCACACCACCAACGCAGCGCTACGTTGGTCTTCGTAGTGGAAGGGGAGGAATAGACTTATTTCAGAGAATTGGACGTTCTGGCTTGCGTGTTTTCTCCGCTGGGGAGGAGAGACACTGTCACCATCATCCGACGATCCGACGTCTCTTTCGTACCTTCCTGCATACCGGCATAAGAAGAACGGATACGAGGCTAACACCAGCCGACGTGTCGTATTTTCTGAGCTAAGGTCATAGAAGATGATGAGGGATTACAATAGCCACTAGCGTCGTTAATATCAGACTGTGCACGCAAGGGAGCATGCTGTACATCATGTGTAGCCAACGTTGCTCTCCGCACTTGAACCGCCTTTATTCGCCCTTACTTGATTAATCCTTAGTACCTCAATTCCATTCGGCATTGGCTATAATTGTATATCACTGATGTGTACACAGGCTCTTACGTATATACTCAGTGAGGTACGGCCGAGATCCTAGCAACAGACTTCTCTTTAAGTTTATGAACTCGTCGGTTACGAGTACAAATGCCCCTGAAATTTGTTGAAAGCTCACTTGCGACTACTCTGTTGTTAATCTGCATGCCATTTCCTATCTTTATCTAGGGATCCGGTCGGTTCTCCTCTTGTCTGACCAACGGTCCGCTGCACAGCGAGACCCCTTCATTCCGGATCGACATGCCACGCAAGACAGCGGCATTCGAGTAACACGAGAGAGATCGCCAATTGGGCGTCGGTCTCCATGGCAGCAAGATCGAGATTCGCGGCCCTCTAGCCCGTGCTTGGAGTCTGCGTGGAACAAGTAGATGCCTCACCGAGAGCCACCCATCCTGGCCTGTCCCCGTCCCACTAGGCCACGAGGTAGCAAATTCCACGCAACGGCATCTGATCGTGCCCGCTTTGGTTTGTATTGTTAAGTCCAGGCATGTCCCCCGGCTGCACGCCGACTGCCGCTCTCACCTGTTGTTGCCCGTCCCCCATTGCTACCACTTCATTTCGGTCAATTTGCAAAGGCCACCTTCCGTCCATACCCTGGTGCTATTTGAAGGCCAGTGTCGCTCTCTGGGATACCTCACTACTACGAGTACCTGCATAGACAAAAGCATCTTGAGCGGACCCATCCTGTTCTCCAGCTGTCTTGGTACATCTCATCTCATAGTGCGGAAGATTGTCTTGCCCTTTGTACAATGGCACTCGTCCGTGACCCATACTTCTGGAAACGCTTCTCGACTGCGGTGCATCTCGATGAAGAGTCAAAAGGCGTGCAATGCAACGTCGAAGCACCTCAAACGGAGAAGTAAGAGCGTTATACGTCTGATACAGAATACAGCTAACCAGTTCTAGGCCCCCGATCTCATGGCTTGAGAAAGAACGAAGGAAGAGTAAACGATCGCTTATCTGGGGCTTCGTCATATTCTTCTGCATCGTGCTCCTTGTCACCGGTGGAGTCATTGTCTGGTGGCTCAGCAAGCACAACTGGCTGCAGAGCATCGAACCATAGCAACATCGACTTATGAATCCTCCCCTTTTTGCATCACCGAGACTGGACCGGTCTCGCGGGTCTCATGCCCTTGCTTACGACGTGGAAACCTGGAGATATACCCGCCGCACCTCCAGAGCGGCTTCGATTAAGCCCATTGTGTGGGTCTAGTAGATAATTTAGTTAATACTGCATACAAAAGATGATTGAAACGTTATCTTCCTTCCCCGAATATCCTCACTTCCAAGATGGTCAAATAGCTCGCGGCGAGCAGATCTACTGCCACCTAGGCGGTCATAGAACACAGTGTAGTAGGTTCTAACTACCTGAGGAACGATTGTCTAGAGGACTACTTCTAGGTAATTACGAGGTTCTGCCCTCAGAAGGATCAGACCACTCACGAGTCGTTGAAAATGCAGATAATCCCTCGACCATCCCTGGCGGACTTCCGCCCGCCGGCGCCAACCGAGGTCTTATCAAGTCGCCTTATCTATGCGCCCTATCACCCCCACAGCTTCCCCCGCAGGACTGGAACCGTGGGTGAGCAATAAATAGCGCCGCTGCTCCCATTTTGTGTCTGACCACGCCAATATGCTTCCGCCATTTGACTACTTTACGTACCGTCGTGTGCGGTAAGGGCGCTCCCACATATAACCCTCATCTACCCCCGCTAAGAAGCTAAACTCTAACTAGGGACCAAAAACGAGCGGAACGAGCTGCTCGCTTCGCCTCTCTCCCTCCTCCTTATCTTCTCCCCATTACAGCAGACGACAAGGAGATCATCAACCGGCCAATTGAGAAGCTAGTTCAAGATGTGCAAAGCTCAGCCATTACTCCACTGTCTGTCCTTCAGACATACGGCAGGGTTGCTGTCCGGGCTCAGGAGCGCACCAACTGTATCACAGAGCTCCTGCTGCCAGAGGCGGAATCATGGCTACAGTCAGAGGTCAACCTCAAGGGCCCATTGGCGGGTATCCCAGTCTCATTGAAGGACTCTGTTCAGATCAAGGGTTTTGATACCACCCTTGGCTACTCGGCCAAAGCCAACAAACCGTTCGCAGAGGATGGCCCCATGGCCAAGCTACTCAAGGATGCCGGTATGCTGATCTCGTGATCATCTGGCCTAAGTGAAAACACTAAACTTTATTCGCAGGAGCTGTTCCTTACGCCAAGACTGCTTTGCCTATTACTCTTCTTTCTTTCGAGTCCGACAACGGGTTATGGGGCCCGTGTCTCACCCCCCACGTTCCTGCCTACTCACCAGGGGGCTCCACTGGCGGTGAAGGCGCTCTCCTCGCACAGGGTGGCCGGATTGGTATTGGATCTGATGTTGCCGGATCGGTGCGTGCTCCAGCGGCCTGGAGTGGGGTTTATTCTCTGCGCTGCACCACCGGCCGTTGGCCCAAGGTGGGCGTGAGTACTAGCATGGCTGGCCAGGAAGGCATCCCCAGTGTCTTCAGTCCCATGGCCCGCACCTTGAATGACCTGACCTACTTTACTCGTGCGCTCATTGGCATGAAGCCTTGGAAATATGATTATACCGTCCATCCCATTTCATGGAGAGATGAGCTCGAGGCTGGAGCAAAGAGCCGGCCACTGCGTGTTGGATTGATGAGCAATGACGGTAGGTCTCCCCTTTTTCTAATACACATCTGTACGATACGTCGTTGGGGACAGAGATTGATTGAAATTACAGGCGTCGTCCCCCCAACCCCAGCAATCGAACGAGCTCTGTCTACTACCGTCGCCGCTTTGACCGAAGCTGGCCACACTGTATCCGAGATCACCACCCCTGAAGGTGCCGACCCATTCACTGGCCTCAACCTGGCTTCTCAGCTCCTCAACTCCGATGGCTGCTACCATTTCAATGACCCATTGCGCAGCTTCGAGCCCAGTGACCCCGGCGCAGCCCAATTATCTGCAGTCGCTCACTTGCCCCGTCCCTTACGTTACCTCTACTACCTCTTCGTCCGCTACATCAAGCGCGATAAAATCCTCGCCACGCTGATCCGCGACTTTGGTCCTAAATCCTCCGCCCAGCTCTGGCCCCTCGTCGCTCAGCGCGAAGCCTTCCGCGCTACCTGGCACAAATGGTGGGATGCAGAGCCCCAGCAGTATGATTTTATCCTCTGCCCCGTCAACGCTACCCCTGCCCTCCCGCACCAGGCCATGCACGACGCTGTGTCGTCATGTGGCTATACGTTCCTGTGGAATTTACTCGACTACTCCGCTGGTGTCTTGCCGGTCGGTCATGTCGATGCTGTCCGTGATGCCCTCGTTGCGCCATACCGCGCCGTTCTTAAGAAACTAGGAAGCGATCATTCCGTTGCACGCGGTGCATGGAAGCACTACGATGCTGGTAAAATGGCGGGCCTGCCCACTGCTGTGCAAGTTGTTGGGCGTCGCTGGGATGAGGAGCAGGTCCTGGGTTATATGGAGGTTGTGGAGAAGGCTTTGGAGCAGTACCGGGATCCGCAGACAGGCAAGAGCTCGAAGTATACTCTGCTAGAGATTGATTAGATTGAGGTTGTTGTGTCAGCTTTCAATTCAAGCGAGCAAACCTCGGATACTAGCAGTCAATGATTTATATATTTCGTCTAATATATCATTTCCTTTCCTAATAACCGTTACAAGGCCTTCCTAGCAGTTCCTGACTCCTAGTATCACCGGCAGTCTTCCGCAAAAAGGCAAAAAGTCCAGTTTTGGGGGAGCATACTTGCTTTTCCTCAGCCGTCGCGCCAAGGCTGACTGGGCAAGCCACGTTTTGGAGTGGCTCATGACCAGAGGGGCTCTGCAGGGCACTTCGTATTCCCCCTCTTCCCGCAGGCCCGCAACTCCTTTCTCCGATCTTGGAACTTGCAGACACGGAATTTCCAACGAATCAGGACCTACCGGTAGGGACGCGGGCATGTTGGAGGGATACCCTGCTTCTGGAGAAGATTAGAGGCCCCGCTATCAAGCACGCTGGGCATATCGACATGAGCAACATTGCCTTTTCAGGTGCCAACCGAGGCCTCCAAATAGGGGTAAATCATGGCTCAATCACCAGTTCTTTCAACACGTACAACCAGAATACCCAGGGAGGCCCGCTCTTCAACGGGAATATATCGGCGGGACGCGACGTGCATATCAGTAGGCAGATTCAACCTTGGGGACAGTCATAAGTGTGAGAGGGAAAACTAACGTCGAATGACCAGGTAATACGATCAACAAGGCATATCATCTTTTCCAAAGCTCTCTTGATGCTCCGAGCCTGTTTAGCCAAGTGCAAAGCGACCTGGGGATCCTGAACAGTGTCCTCACGCTAACCCGACAACGATTCGGCGAATGCAACCCAAGCGAAACAGAGCACCAGACATTGAACGCTGTGCTGAGAAGCTGCGATGATGCCTTTGCGGATCTCTCGCAAATGAAAGAGCGCTTCGATCATGTCGATCCGGAAACGCAGGTCCAATTCGAGCGGTTCGGTATTGGCGTGGAGCAAATTCAAGATATCCGAGCAAGAATAACGAGCAATATCCAAGCTTTAAATCTCTTGACATCTGAAATGACAAGGTAGGCTTTCAGGGAAGCATATAAGACATACGGAAGCCTCAACTCTCAATAGGTCCTCCCAAGCCAACGTTGAGCGACTATTGACCAAGTTCATTGGCGAGGTCCGCGCTGGAAAACGCGATGTGTCCAGGTTCTCACAGGCGTCACTCACTGAAGACGAGGCGGAGGCTTGGAGACTGATACGAAAAGATTTACAGAGCATCGGTCTTACGCCTGATGCTTTCCATAAAAATCACGACTTTATTGTCGCCACTCTTCGAGATTCGCTGCCAGTCTTTGGAGTCGCTCTCCCGGGAGATACTGAAGTGCTGGACGACCTAAGTGACGAATTCTACGATGCAGAAGATACCCCCAACGAGAAAACGAGGGACACGCACATCCCAGGTGTCCAAGGCCCGAGCTTCCACCCTTCCGAGAACTGGCTAGAATATTCAGAATCTGAATCCGAGAATGAGAATGACCGATCTTTGAACAGCAGAGGCCTGACTATCCAAAGAGGAACTGAAAGTGACCCTCGAGAACCGGAGTCTACCCCGGAAACCAGACTCCGTGGGGTTCGGGTTCTTCCTCTTTCTCGTCCTCTTCGGCGAGCGGGGGGTCACACTAGCTCTGCTGTTGATTACGACGTGAAATAGAATAGAAGCTTGCCAGTATGCGTGATGGGACACCAATCGGCACTACATATTCGGGCATCCAGTCTACCATAAGACTTGGCCCGCTCTCACCCCAGTATTCTTCCTCGATCTTGTGGATACGTTCTATCCCAAGTATATATCCATCCCATATCAGCTTTCCACGTTCAAAACTCTAGTATCAATGACCACAACCGACTTTCCTTACTATACCAAATATATAGGGGATAAAAATTGGAGCAATACCGTTGATCACCACATGAACAGAGTGACGCCGCAGTCCATTTCTAGCGTCACTGTGCTTTTACCGCCCTGAGCGCCCCCTAATTCCGATATGCATCGGCTGGAGGGAATTTTGTAAATCGCGACCAACTTTTTAGGGTGATCGGCGCTGCCACGATGCGGTCATTGTCCACCGATCGACCGTTTCGACCAAGGAGCTGGAACTACGGAGCGCAATCGCTGCAAGCCAAGCACAAATGAGACAAGTGGCAGATACTTCAGCTTGTCAGCGCAAAGAGCCCAGGGTCAAATCAACCGGCATTTAGCCGGTGCCAGATGACCCACGCGGTCGGGCCCCTATCGGCTCCTTATCCGTGGATGCGATGACTTGCGACAGCTTGGGACTAAATGATTAGTATTTACAGCGTCCGGAAATCCCCCGAGTAATAACAGTTCTCGAACTTGCTGAATCTGCAGGGTGACGAGCAATATCCACGGAGGGAAGATCCAGATCGACACGTCACGAGAGTCCCTCATTTCGAGCATCCTTCTGGTTGTTTTTGGTTCGGCTTTGAGCCTGGGCCTCTTGGATTTCAGCTGCGCTACAGGCACGTACTGGACAGCCATCGCGCTCTTCTCCTTTTGGTGCCTTCTTCATCTCGATCCTGTGTATCTCCGGGCTCGCAGGATGCCGCATCGCTTCATGTCCCCTTCGAACAGCCCCTCGTACTGGTAAGAAATGCTTAGGGCGAGATGGCCCCCAAAAAGAAGCACCCGGGCAAACCGGAAGGGATTCATTTCGTCAACGCCAGACCATCGTCCGAGACAGAACGTGTCAGAGCCCAGCGCATGGTACGCGCACACGTTGGTCGCTGGATCTCCGATCAGACCAAAGACCGCGACCTGCCAAACCCCTCGAATCCCATCTATAGCAGCTCCAGCTCCAGCTCCAGCGTCAGCGCCAGCTTCAGACCCAGTGCTCACAACCCTCCCCCCTCCAGGACTCTTATCTCACGATCACGCAGCACCGACCATCCCGCGCAGTCTCTAACACTGAGACAATGGCCGACATTTCCACAGCCCCACCCCAGCGATTATAGCGATAGCAGCGACGACGGCGCTTCGCCGCCGCAGTTCAACGATCCCTCGGCTGTCATGCCGTGGCAAAGGAAACCCCACATCGAGCGCGAGGTGAATCGCATACTAGATCCGTTCGACACCTTGCCCTCGCGCTTTCCGAGGGAGATAATTGATAGCTGTGAAAATTATTGTATGTTTGATGTTGGCGTGCCATAGTTGGGCTTATATTGACCTGCTTACTAGTACTGAAGGTGCTCTGGCCAAGCCTTCTACCCATAGGGCCGCGCAGTCGACAGGGACCTGGGGAGTCCTGGTTTCCACTTTCACTCACCGACCCGGCCCTCTTCAACGCTTTCTTGTATGCGTCTATGTGTCACCAACGAGCGCAGTGGCTGAATGGCTGGATTCCACACGCTGACTACGGCCCCTCACAAGCCAAGTTCCTCGCATTAATTGAGATGGAATCAATCCAACTGATCAGCCAAGCAGTCCGCGACCCCTCGCGCGCAGTTAGCGATGCTGTGCTATTGAGTGTTATCTGCATGATGCATCACCAGGCCCCCGACTCGACGAGAACCACACGATATAAGAAAACACCTTTCAATGCGCCTCATCAACGACTGCAGTGGATGGATGTCTATGGCTGCCTCCCACCCAATATGATCCATGCCACTGGCCTGAAACAGTTGGTCAAAATGCGGGGAGGATTGAAGAATATCAAATCGGGCGGGTTGGCACAGATCATCAGCTTGTAGGCTAATTCTCCACCCCCGGCTCATTGGCGCGCAATACTAACCTTCTTATATAGCTCGGAGGTATTTTCAGCTGCTCTCTTAGGCGCGCAGCCGATCTTCGATTTCTGGCCGCTCGATGAATCGCGCCTCGGTCTGTCCGTACAGGAGTTGCTTGGGTTCACCCCCGAAGAAACGCAATGCAACTTTGGCCGTTTCCACCACATCGGCTTCACGCCCCAGTTATCAGAAGCACTTCAGGCCCTCACTACCTATACTATAAGATTGCAAGCTAGCCTTGCAGGAGCCACGGACGTCGCCCTTCTCGCCGACCAGCGTAACATGACCATCTATACCCTCATGTCGGTCCCTTCTGCGGCAGACATATCCACAACTTTCCGTTCCCCCGCGCAAGAAGCCACCTACGAAATGTGCCGTCTCACGGCACAGATCTACGGAGTCGGCGTCGTCTTCCCCCTTCCCGCGCAGAACACCCCCCTCCCTCTCCTGGCAAAACATATCCGAGCCATCCTCTGCCACCCCACTTCCTCTCCTCTCTGGTCCTCTCCGGATTTCCGGATCCCCATGCTTTGGACAATTACTCTGGCCGGCATCGCCGCCTTCGGTGCCCTGGAACGTCCATTCTTCGTCTCCGCTCTGAGCCATACATCCCGCCATTACGGCATCCGTTCCTGGGCAGAGCTCAAGCGCATTCTCCAGATCGTCCTGTGGTACGATCTTGCCTGTGACCAAGCGGGCGAGGCGCTGTGGGACGAAGCGATGAATTTTCATCCTACAATGGTATGATGGCGCGAGCTTTTATGCGTTCATGCGGCGTTACTATACGGGCTTCTTTTTTTTCCCCTTCACTCTCACCTCTCCCACTCTCACCTTCCCCATCATCTCTCCAACTATCACCTCTCCCACTAACTCTACTCCCTGCATGTCATGCCAGTGGTACTTTCTTGTATACGTGCGTACATATCCTGCTTCGATCTTATTGATAGCTTTGCTACTCTGATATATGATACCCATCTCAAGTGATGAATCTGTCCAGGTGAATACAAAATAATTTACCTGCATACGGCAATTCCACATGTCGTACTAGGATTTTCTTCTTCTGAATTGATACAGGATGAGACAGCAGTTACTAGTACAAGTACCTAGCCTAGAACCCATATATACATCCCATATCGGGACAACCTAAGCTGTCACCAAAGTCGACAGGCCTCTACCAAGTCGAATACTTCACAGGAATAATGCAGGCACACTACATCTATCCGCTCGAGCTGAACTCATAAAAACCCCATCAGCCCGAAGACCCATACGCCCTCCTCTCCTGCCCCTCACTCAGAAGAGGCCTACTCTCCCAGTCCCTGACCGCAGCTTCCAACGCCCCCGCCCCGTTCTCCTCCACCGTCTCTCCCACCGTCTCGGCTCCGTCCCGGGCGAGAACCTTCGTCTGCCAGCTGACATAGCCAACCAGCGCACCTCCCACACCCGCAACAAGAACCGTCAGCCCCACGTTCACGGGGATCGGATTCCCCTCAAACACTCTGAGCGTCAGGGAGTCGAGTCCCGCCTGCGCGAAATTGCCCACGCCCGCAAGGCAGATAATCAGCCCGTACACTTTGCCGAAGGTCTGGAACCCGAAGACTTTCGCCGCGTAGTCCGAGACAGCGGTGTAGTAGAAGGGTCTGTACAGGACGAAGAGGATGATATTCCCGTACGCCGCAGGCCGCGAGTGCGGGATGCAGCCCAGGATCCCGATGAGGGTTGCCGTGGACATGAGGATTGCGAGTACGGTGCGGGTTTGCAGGGTGTCGAGGAAGGTGCCGATGAAGGGGATGGAGAGGAGGCCGCCGACGGGCAGGAGAATGTCGAAGACGGTGTTGATCTCGGTGGCTAGAGCGGGGGAAAGGAGGTAGGTGTATTGCTGGCGGAGGGTGGCGACGAAGTAGTTTATGCGCAGCATCATCAGGACAGTGAAGAGGGTGATCAGGATAAACCAGGGGGTGCGGAGTTGGGAGAGGGCACTTTGGCCGTGGAGAACGCCCCAGACGCCGCTTTTGTTTGTTTGGGAGGCGTTGGGGGACAGAGCGGGCTTGGAGGTTGTAGCGTTGTTATGAGTGCTGTTTGGCAGCGATGCGTTGAAGATCGTGTCGTCGATTATGGCGGTGGATGCCACGGAGGAGCGATCGTCGAAGAGATCCTGGATGCGGTGCACGATGCTCGCCCGGCGCGTGCGTCGGCTGTTTCGTTGGCGTTCTCGCTCATCGTGATCGTTGATGCTGTCGTCGACACGATCGTTCATTTCTTCGATGGCCTGCTCATTTGCGTAGTGGACCAGCTCGCCGGCTGTTTTATACGACGTTTTCGGCATCACCGCAAGCTCCGCAACCGCGATAAATACCGGGGCGGCCAAGTAGGCCAAGAAAAACTTCTTGATGGAAATCGAGCCATTGGTATGTTGGTTCAGCAGCCGAAAGATCAGGAAGAGGGCGCTGGAGGCATCGAATGCCCCTGTCAAGGTGGATAAGATTAACCCTGATCGAGTTGGGAACGTGTTCGACAAATGGAACGAGGAGATGAACACGAATGGCCCCCCCAATGCTAGTAGCAGATAGCCGGGGATGTATCCGTCAAACGGGAGCTGGTCAGCAAAGGCGAAGAGACCAGCTCCAATTGCCAGCAACATGCTCCCAATTAACCCACATACCCTTGGGCCATATGCATCGAGGATGGTCCCTACGGGCAGTGCCTCAACATTGGTGGCCACTGCGGCGATCGTAAACATAAGGTTTAACCTGGAAGCCCGTTAGTCTCGCTCTACCCCAATTGAACAACACAGGATCGTCCATACTGTATCTCCTGCCCTGCACAGACAGGCGCATGGTCCTCCAGCTCCTTCCGGGAGCATCTATTCCGGTATACATTTTCCTGGAGAAGCACTGGCTTCAAAGCGGCAAAGCCAAAGACGATCCCCGCCGCCAGGAAGCAATAGATCACGGCCACCACGACCTGAACTATATGATGGAAACGAAGATCAGTAATCCAATCATCTGCGACCAAGAGAATCCATGGGTTGGGGCCCACCGCGCCCCGGAGAATGAGGACGTTCCAAGACTAGCGACTGCGGTGGAGAATGGAGAAAAGCAGAATGGAGAAAAGGAAAACCAAAGGTCTAAGGGGGAGGATAGTTTCGTACCAATCCGCTTTGCCGGGCTCACTTCAAAGGCACTTGTTGTCTCGGACCACCCCAAGGGCTCTCTGACTGGCCCGGACAGTGGTACAACGGCAGGACTTGCCGGGCGCTCCACACGAGTCTCCCGCGTCGTGGGGAGAGTGCCCGACCCAGGGATCCGTGAGAGCGATCGTCATGCTCATCAGTCGTTTCGTTCCAGCCAGGCCCCGCATAAGGGTTGAAATTGAGCCTGCTATATGTCGAGGGGAAGGAGGAGGATAGCGAGGCGGTCTCTGGCAGGTCCTGGTACGTGTCGGACTCGGTGTCAGATGCTTCGCCCCGCCGCAGCAACGCGGCCGGATTGCGCTCCCATCCCTCAAGAAAGGAGATGCGTGGAAGGGACATGGTTTTACGGGCGGAGGAGCTTTTAGAGCATTGAGAACTGGAATAGCTGCAGCTTCAAGCAAGCTGCAGCTGCACCATCACGGCAGTCACCTGACTTCCCCGCGCTTATCTGCTGGTTTGGGTAAGCAGCTCTTGTCAACGGACCAGGAGGTTTATCGGAGTCTATCTGGTTATCTGGCTCTCCGTTATCACGGTATGAGTCCAGTGTTTTATCTCATCAAAATAACCAGAGAAATCTCGGTTCTGATCTGTCTTCCGCATTGCTCCCCGTTTCACCCTGAGATCACGGCAGTAACTAATACGGCGGGGTGTAGCGACGCCCTAAGCTCCGGAACAGGCAGCTCAGATGTATGTATGAGCCATTGACACCATCCATGGCACTAGGGCTCCAATTGAGCTTTGGAGTAAAAAAGAAAAAAAGAAAAAAAAAGCAATGAGACGAATCACAGGGTCGGCATATCGCCAACCCGGCCCTCCCTTTTCCAGATCGACAGGGTTTGACGGGCCCGAGATGCAAAGCCCACCTTTTTTTTTTACCGACACACATCGCGGGCAGGGCCGACTTCCTGTTCGGGGCCCACGGGCCTTTTCTCTCCACCGAGTTGGACTCGTGAGCGTACGAAGTGGGTAGGAGTCGATCTCGGCAAGACCGGCCAGTTCCCCTTGGAGATCAGTTCTGCAGTCTCTAAGAGCAGCCATCTGAGTGGTTTTTTGCTGACCAGTATATGGGAGAGTCGTGGTTGGGGCTTGGGACCGAGGTGCACCGTATACAGTATTTCGTACTGGCACAAATTCAACGTTCTTCGCTCAACTGGGGAGGTCGGTGAGGATCAGCGGGGAAACGCGAACGCAATCCTGGTCTGGAGGCGGTGCGTAACTGATCTACAACCCTGGAGAGGCGCCGTCAGACATCGCCCAAAGGATTCATGTATCTGCCACTGACTCGTGGAGATGCAGATTGCGCGGTTCATTGGCGGGCCCGCGGCATACTCTACGTAACCCGGTCGAGTTTTGCAAATCAACAGTTGAGCCATTTAAGAGGCCGCGCCACTGCTCAACCCGATCCCAGCATCTAGAAGAACAGGAACAGAGCAAATCTTGTCGAGTAGATCACTCGCTTGTTCTTACCAGGTCCAGGGGCTTCCGTAGCCCGCCGTGGACCAGGGCCACACTAGAGTGACCAAAGCACCAAAGCAAAACCAAAGCACTAGATCGTGGATCAGGAAATGATCCGTTCTGGGGGCAACAAAACTTTGATTCGCATCCGCGTGGGGCGTACGCGGTAATTGGCGGGATCAGCACCAGTCAGAACCAGTCAGGGCGCACGCGAGACTGTCATCATCGCGCAGGGTGGGGTTGCGTTGCACCGTTGAGAGCCGTGGCCACGTTGGCCTCCTGCTGAGGTTGGTTTTGACTGGCTTCCAGCCAGCAGAATTTCGGAGGATGAGGATCTCCCTGCCCAGCCCCTGATCTGGCATTATGTACTCTCGAACTAATCTCCAACGCCACACGCGTCCAGGGCAATCGGTCGGCGGCAAAAAAAAAAAAGTTGGGGCGTGACTCCAAAATTTTTACTCCATGATATTGTGAACCAGTAAAGCAGCAAAAGAGGAAAAAGGAAGAGACCAAAAAAAAAAAAAGAAACAAAAAAAAAAATTCCCGCTCCACACCTCCGCCAAAGTGGTTTCCCTGGGCCTGGATTGATTATAGCACTTGTGCCCCGGAAAACCTAGCCATTATTATGATCCAGGAACTGAGATTGAGGGTTCCATAGAAATTATTTATCTTAGGCCCGGGATGCCGGTTTCGTGCTTCTGGAAACCTTCCTTGTTCGACGTTTTTCGACGTAATGAGGGGATGGTAAGTGGCCTTCCTCATCCCTCAAGAGCCTCTAGACCTGCTAGGCCCGAGAAGCTAACCTCTGTTCAGCCTCACCTGTCGTCTGCGCCATCTGAAATGTATGTGAAAATCTCTTCAGGGGAAGATATCTAGCCCTGGAGGCTGCCTAGATCCTGACTAATCGCCTCGCCAGGTGACAAAACAGGAGCAATATGTCTGCGCTGTCAACGATCGGGTCGTGAATGTGTTCCAGCGCCAGGCAAGTCGGAGGAAGTGTCATTTCGCCATGGCCAGAATCCTTCGTTGCGAGGGAAAGGTCCCCCGAGGTACGGGGAGAGCGACTTGACCTTCCCTCAGAATCAGGTTTGGGTCGACACCTGCTCCGAGTGTACGTACCTTTCGAGTCTCTCGCATGCCTCTATTCCTCTTTGGAACTAAAAGTTTCCCTCTCTAGACTCATTCAAAGATGAGACAGACCAAACGGCCTCCGAGTACTATGTCGTGCCAGTCAGCGGCATCCAAGTGGGCTCCCGCTCATCATCCGAAGCCCGATCCACCCCATCGTCCATGATGGACCAGGTGCCGGGCAATTCGGCCATTCCACCGTATGTGGATTTGCAGGGCTCGCGCTCGGCTTCGGATGACTCGTCTTCAGTGGCAACCCCGGTCGGGAAGCCCAGACTGGGCGATATCAATGAAGCCTATCTCCTGCGCCATTTCCAGCGCCATCTAGCAGACTGGGTACGCATCAAACTCACACACCCCCTGCAATCGACTCATCCCATCTAATTGCCATCAGCTCGATGCCGGCGATCCCGAACGCCGCTTCGCTGCACAGGTCGCAAGACGTGCAAGCCAATCCCCGCTCTTGCTCTACGCCTGTCTGGCCGTAGCAGCATGCCACCTCTCCCGCACCACGCAAGCCGTGTCTCCCGAGGTCGCAGACAGCTACCACGAGCGCTGCGTCTCCATCATGCTGCCTGCCCTCGAAAACCCTGAATTCGACATTGGCATCGACATCCTTCTCAGCTCCACCGTTGTCCTCCGCTTCTTCGAGCAACTCTCCTGTAAGCCCCCCCCACCCGCATCCATTCATACACGCCTTTAGCTCTGTTCCTTCTTCTTCTTCTTCTTCTTCTCCCCTACTAACAACTGATGGCCAGCTCACACTCCCTCCAACGACCCCCAACGGCATCTCCTCGCCGGCTCCGTTTATATTAGCGCGCACGTGGACTGCGCTATCTCAGGCGGCCTTGCCTCCGCGTCCTTCTGGGTCTTCGTCATCCAAGATATCCAATTCGCACTAACCTACCAAAAATGCCTAAGATTATCCTTCGCCCCCTTTGACGACCGCCTCCGCCACTGGTGGGCTGCGAAACCGGTCCTCAGCGACGGCGACTGGGTGAACCGGGCGATCTGGCTCCTCGCCGAAACGATCGACTTCTGTTACAACGTCAACGGGCGGAATTTCGGTGCCAGGCTCGGTCCGGCCGGTGAGAATGCGCTGAAGCTCAAGATTAACGACTGGGAGGCTACGAGGCCCGATACATTTGTTCCGTTGCATATCTCGCCGCCGGATCGGGCACGGGGGAAGCCGTTTCCTGTTGTTTTGTATACCAGTTTGTGGCATTGTAAGTTCTTCTTTTTTTTTTCGTCACTTTTTTTGTTCGGCTTTGCTTTAAGGGGTGATGCTGACTGTTTCCAGCTACCGCCATGCAGCATCTTTGTCTCGCGAAGGTGTTGCTGTTGATTCGTGAGCTTGATTATCACGAGGGCGGTGTTGTGTCGACCGAGCGACGAATTAAAATTAAAGTACGTCGCAGGCTTTGCATGATCGCTGAATGGTTGGATCTAATCTTTGTTCCACGTTAGGAGGCTATCACAGAGAACCTGAATTATCTTTTCGGCATTGCTTTGTCGGCTGATGACGAGCCGTCTTTACGAATTATGTCTTGCCACGCCATGTTTGCTTGTATGTCGCACTCGGCTCCTACTTGGTTCCGACAAATACTGACTGTTCTGTAGGCAGCGCATGGATTGATGATCCCCTGGCTCGGCATCTACTTTTTGATCTTTTGCGGCGGACGGAGAGGGACAATGGGTGGCCTTGGGCGTATGTGGAGCAGCGCATTCTGGCTACATGGCACACTAGTCCGAGATAAAAGCATTATATACCCACCACAGTTAGAACGACAGTTGTACAGTTACAGATTTCACCGGGATATCAAGTCAGGTTTTCCATATGTTTTGCGTCGGCATTACTAGTAGGATATTGCGCGGTAGGGGTATATCTAGAGCTAGGTACAGCGTCGAGGGTATCAGAATTGGAAGTTTCCGTCGAATGCAAATGGAAACGAGAACAGGCCTTCTTCAATGATGTTGCCGATTGCGAACAGGTTGTCGGTGTTGAGGGCCCCATCCATGGGCATTTCTGGGGCCATTGTTGTCGATTGTCCGATGGGCATGCCCATGCCCGGCGCGGCCATATATGAGTTGTGCATAGACGGTGCCTGGGACTGCATCCCGTATACGGGTGAGGAGTCCGCGTTGGGGAATTGTTGATAAAGGGGCCTGCTCCCCGTCACACTGGGGTCATGTGAGCCGGGAATCGGAGGGGAGAAAGACGGGGTGGGCCAGGTAGGGTTTGCTGGAGCGGGGCTGGGTTCAGATCTTGAAGATGTGATACTGCCCATTGTGTGGGCGTGAGATGATGCCCCGCGGTTTTGCGTCCGTTCTTGATTCAGCCTTGGTGGTGAGAAGACAGCCTTCTTTCCACGAGGGGATGAGGTTGCCGGTGGGCGAGATGAGTCCATGGCTAGTTCGCTGAGAACATGCAAGGGTGTGTTTCTAGCCTTGACATGCCGATGCAGTTAGCTTGGATCCACTCGAGAAGCTTCTGGACTGGGTGACTTACTCGATCACTGGGCGTGTCCGATCTTGTCTCCGTACCAAAGATCTCTCGCAGCTCTGGGCCGTTTTCCTTCTTTTTCATAAACCAATTCCGTAGCATCATGAGGATATTGCCAAATTTGGCAGCGACCCGACCGGCGTTCAGGGCAGCGGCGGCGCGATAATGGTCGATGACTTTCTCCAGGTATTCCTGTACTTTGAGGCTATCCTGATCAACGATTTGGCTGATGCGTGAGCCCGGCGCGGTAATGAGGGAGTAGATCTTGACCAAGCTAACCACCGGGTACGCAGTGCGAGCAACTGCCAGAGTGGGCAGGTTGGTGAATCTTTCCACGTCCACATTGGAGATGGTATCCAAGGTTTTGTGGATTGCGTGAATACATGACGAGAGTGCGTCGACGTAAGGGGCTATCGCCGCCGGGGGGAGTTCCCCGTTCGTAGAGTTGGACTCGTCTCTGCAATCGACCCCCATCGCACTTTCATGAACAAAAAGTACCATTGCGTAATATGTATGAGCAAGAGGAGCTGGATTCGAGTCAGAATGTTATCACAGGCTCAAATAGGTATACTTACTTGTCCAGAATTCCTCCGGGATGTCTTTGCGGTACTGCGATAGTTGGTTCGAAAAAGCTCTGATCGTGTATCGGACCTTGCTATCAGCAAAAGCAGTTATTGATTTGGAGTCCTCCGGGAGGAGCTGCAGTCCAGCCTGCTCCATGATCCACCCCAATTTCGCCCACCAAACAAGTCTGCGGTCACTGGGTAGAGCATCTGGGTGGTTTTCCAGAATTTGGATGCATTCGTCCATGTACGGTTGCCATCGGACAAGGTGAATTCGCCTCAAGGCTGTTGACACCTGCACGCCCAGGAAATAGCATCCTAGCCATGTACGCCTCGCCTCGGGTCCGTCCAGGTCGACTGCTGGGCCAAAGTGTTTCTTTGCGATAATATCCCGAAGTCGAGCCAGTGGTTTAATGTCTCCGTTCGAAAGGCGATTCAGACCCAAATCCATGGAGACAGCAATGGCCATGTGAATGATTTGGTAAAACTTGAGTTCCTCCAGATTATCTGGGGGGATGTACCAGATTGCTTGCACTAGTAGGGCCTGAACAAGCTCGAGGGACTTGTTGCCCTTGACGACTATGCTCTCTGCAGCGAGGCGGAAGAAGTCTGTGATGAGAGGCATCTGAATCTCTTTGTCGAACTTTCCAACAGCTACACTAATGACTGACAGAAACAGAGCCGGTTTCCCGCGGCGCACGTCGTCCATCGTCGTCCCTGGCGGGAAAACGACCACCGGCATCTCCTCTGCCATATCCTTGACATACCGGTCGAAAGACGCGCTTGCGACTTCAAGACTGATCATGCCTCTATCAATGACATCAACATAGTCAGCTTCGACAGTGGGCTTGGCGAAAGGTGGTGCGAATCCGCCAGCAAGAGGTCTACGCCAGTGCCTCGCATCTGTTTGACTTGAACTCTGCTGTGTACTATCAGGGTGGTTAGGTGGATATTGGGAGGTATCGATCTCCTCATAAGGTCGCTTAGTGCCGGCTCCATTGGGAACTTCATGGAGCCATCGCCGTGATGAGCTCTGACTACTTGAGGGCGCTCCTAAGGACGGACTGGGGTTATGTTGGCCATGCTGCCCAGCTTGCAGGGTGGCAGTCAAAGCGTCAATTTTTCGTTCCAGCTCTGTGACTCGACTATCCGTCTTCTTCTGGCGCTTACGAGTTGGCGCAGTGACAATGCATTGGCGTCGCGCCTTAGCACAGCGCTTACAAGCGCCATCAGGGCGCGCCGGGTCCGGGTCACATCGGACCTTCAACTGGCGGCACGGATCGCAGGCTCGCGGACGCTTGATCTCCAAATCTGCACGTCCGTCATCCGCCTCGGTGGAGGGGGTGCGCTCAAGGTGTGATCCAGCTGCATGCACGTTTGCAGAGAAGTGGGACGGTGGCTCAGAGTAGTCTGCCATCCTGATCGGTCATTCGGAGCGACGAAAGATCCGGTCAAATTACTGCGCGCGTGTACCCTGTCTATGCGCTTGAAGATCTTTATTAGGGTTCGGGTATGGCGGGACCCTGGATCAATTCGCGAGCCAGTCACTGTTTGAACCGGTAGGGCCCCCGAGGGGACAAGAAGCTCAGAGGTGTCCAATTGCGAGGGGAGCTCCCCTGGGCTGACGGAGTGATGAACCCCACAGTATTGCTTGTCTCTCACGTCGGAGAGATTTGAACGGAGGGCCGACCGCCGACTCGCCGACGCTGGGGCTCAAGCCAGTTACCCCGGCTGCTCCGTGGCTGGGCAGTGGTCTGTCTCACTGGATGCAACCGCTGTTATACTGCAACCGCGTCTATCTCAGAAATCTGGAAGACTCGCTTTGATGCCGGAGCTGCACCTGCAGAAAGTAAAGACACCTTCGTGTCGAAAAAGTTGTCAGCACACGTGATCGCGGCCACTTTTCCCGGTCGCGCTGTTTGAATCTGCTCCTTCAAAGGTACTTGTTACTCGAGTCTACAATTACACTTATGCACAAAGATTCATAGGTAGTACCCGTGCATCGACATGATAACTTTATTCCCACGTGCAACGATCGTCGCGCGGGCGAAATCGCCAAAACATTTCTAGAACGCAAGAGGAACACTAACGTACATTCCGGCTTTCGGGCCTCCGTCGACTTGCCACTGCCAGTCCTCGATGGCACATAGTGGCTCCACACCATTTGAAGTATGATTTGGAACACACAATCCAACCAGAAGCAGACTTAGCCATTCCCCGTGTATGGATTGATGGTGCTGCGGGTCGATGAAGCTTGCGGAAGACCCTCTAGTGAGAACCGTGGCAATTCCGTATGTGTTGCTTGAGATTGTCTTTGCGTTTGCAAACCTTCGTACAACCTTCGGCAGGGCAGCGATGCATCTCGGGAGAAACGTGGAATGTTTGCAAGTGGCGAAGAAGAGTGGATTTGTGCAGGAAAGCCCCGTGGTATTCACAACCATTCCACTTGCAATAAAACATCTCACGGGCAGGTTGGGCAAAGCTTTGAGATGAGATTGTCAGAAGAGGCGTTGAACTTCGAGTCTGAGTCGGCCCTGGGGGACAACTTCCTGTGAACATACCGTTCTGATTGCGCATTGGCTGGGCCGTTGGACGAGGTACCAACCGACAGATCTTCTGGGCGATTTATACCTCCCCCCATGTTGCCCATGACTCTCCGTATGTGGTGGGAACTGCGAGGCACAGGACTGAGAGAGCATTGAGTTTGGAAAGCTTTCATCCGAGAACAAAGCGTCATGCATTGTGGAGCGAACTGAGGGCTGAACAGAACCTGAATACGCGATGTTGATCGATGCCGGCACTTCCGATGCCGCTGTCCTTCGGTCGGCTCTACCAATGCCAGGCGGATGGGCGATTCTAGTGGCTTGTATGCCTTGGGTTGGCTGATATGGTACGTGACTGATGCAGCTGTTCTCTCCCGACCAGGCATGGCCGCTGGCGAAAGGTACGGGAATGGATGAAGGTGTATTGATGGCACCATTCCTGGAGTTGTACATGTTGTTCTCATACATGTTCAAGTGGTGAGTCTTGGCCCTCGACGACTTGCCAAGGCTGTACACGGCTATCGAGTAGCAAAAACTAAGGAGGAACAATATCGGTACCGGTAAGAGAGACCGTCCGATGTTCGAAAAGCTCTGGGTGGTTGTCCCTGGATTGGTCGGGGTGGACAAATATATACTTGAGAGAGTTCCTCGTGTGGCATAATAGCAGGATTTGCAGTACGCAGTCAAAATATAGGGGGGGCGCAGGATCAGGGCGATGGTAAGGAAATGCGTTCAGCCTCGGCCAGCACATTGGAGCGATATTTGGGAATGGACGAATCACAGTCTAATGGATAGTAAGGAAACTTTCCCTATTCCAAAAATCCAAGGCGATATTTAGGTAGTCCGCAAATGAAAACTTTTCTATCATTTATGTTCGACGGCAGAAAGAGGAGTATAGCGGGTTGATGGTCGAGCTTATGCAGGTGCGCACACTTTTGTCCCAGGTTCCCAAACGGGGTCCCTGATCAGTACGTGCGGTGTGGAACCGATATTATGAAATCAACGAATCAGCACACTTTGCCCCAGTGTCCAACCAAGCTCCCTCCCCTTGATAAGTACTGGCGGGGTGGAACCGATATTACGAAACCAACGAATCAATCCACAGGATTCCGGCGACGCAGTCGGTGGCGGACACGAAATGGCGGTGGGGCTCATCATCGCGATATTCTGTAATCGCCCAATCATGCAGCAGCGTGGTAATCTGTCCGGTTGCCTTGTGGCCCCCATCGGCGGCTCTAGTGCGACTGGCTATAGCAGGGAACAGAAAAAGAAAAGAAAGAAGAGGAAAGTACTTAAACACCATCGAAGAACACATTTCTTCCCAAAGACTTCCAAGTCACTTTCCATTTCCTTCAAGATCTTCCCTCCCCCAACAGTCATAAACGATGTCCGAGGAAGAATGGAATTCATTCAAACAGGAGATCGAGCGTCTCTATGTTCATGAAGGACATTCCTTGAAAGCAACTATGGCTTACATGTCATCTAATTACTCTTTCAACAAGTCGTATGTCCATTAACAACTATCCCCTCGGCAACATCGAGCTAATGCGGAAAATAGCAAGGGCCAGTACCAGAGGAAATTCACAAAATGGGGTTTCAGGAAAAATTGCTCATCGGAAATCCTAAAGTGGACCAGTAAAAGAGTTGACAAAAGGAAACGCGTATATGCCAAAGACAGCGAGGTCTACATTGACGGGACTCGCATTTCACCGCTAAAACTCTCGAGGGCAACATATGGAACAGGCTACGTCACAACAGCAGAATACAATGGTAGGATGCAAACAAGGAAGTGACATATCTAAACTAACATGCTTCAAGCTCCATCGCCAAGTACCCCAGGAGGTGTGGAGATACGGACTCCAGGGCCACCTAGTGCGAGTATTTTCACTACCACGACCTTGCCTTGGTCAAGGTTTCTTAGGCAAATTCGAGCACCCATTGAACACGGTATGGCCAATTAGACCAAGCACCTCCTACTTTTGAGCTAATATGGGAGGGGTTCCCTTAGAAATATCCTTCCCGCTCATGTTTTTTGGGGCGATGCAGTATGCCCACCATGAAATCGCAGTTCCTAGAGATATCCACCGAGTATTCTTAAAATTCTTAAAAGCGTTAGGGATTTTATCAAACAGCAATATCAACGGAAGCCTAACAGAAGCACAATTTGTGAATTCGGCGAAAAATTCCCTAGCAGTCCTGATGCCAGAGGAGTTCGAAGGCCAACACGACCGTCTTATATGTCCCATCAGCAGTCCAGGGCGAAGAGGTGAAAACATTCTAGCAGTGGCTCTTTACTTTTGGTCAAATAAACTTGATCTCTACGACGAAGGTTTTTTTTGGCGAATCCCTACAACTCTTCAAAAATTCAATCTGGTGTACCGAAGAATATTTCAAGTTACTCTTTGTATTCATCTGAGCCAACTGCCGAAGCCATGACGGAAAGGCTGTTTTCTTGTGCTCTATTGTCAGATGATATCAAGCCTGTGGAGATGATGCTGAAAGCCGGAATGGACCCTAATAGACCGGTCAATACTGGCTTTGGGGAAGCTGGCACCCCTTTAGAAATCGCAGCACAGGAAGAGAACGTAGAGCTTCTCGAGCTCCTAATTTCCTTCGGTGCGGATGTGAACCTCTCTGTTGATAGTGAGACACCGCCACTCTATCACGCAATTCTCGGCATCTGTGATACCGCGCCGGTGTTATTATCCCACGGGGCTATCCCAACGTTTTCTTGCGTGCATGAGCTCCGCTTGTGGAACTCAAATCGACATTCGGGCAAGGAAGTTATACTTGCCACTCCTGACGTTAACATAAGAGCACCTCCAGAACTCGGATATAGGTACGATGCGCTGCTTCCACTGGCTGTGGTTCGCGGGTCTTCTGAAGTGGTTGAGCTTCTTTTAGCCAAAGGAGCAACAGTCAATGGTGATGAGTTGTTCGAAGTGCATAGCGACGATTGCCCCCCGCCCAGTTCTCTGTTGCCAGGTGAATGCAGACGAATTTTCACTACATTATTGGGCCTTGTTTCTACCCGTCTGTTGAGACGTAAGTCCGACCTCTCACAGTCCACCCTGGAGACTCTCAATCATATGAATCCTGGACCAAATCCCACAGGTTACATGTCTCCTTTGACACTCGCTGTGCGTTTTAATGACCTTGCTTTATGCAAAAAGCTTATTGAGATCGGAGTTGATATATGAATCGCGGATAGCACTGAGTACCTTTTGCTTGAGTACGCTGCAGCAAATCAAAATCTGAGGCTTTGCGAACTCCTGATACAGCATGGGGCTATGCTTGAAAGAAATACCTTCACATTCGATGGAGAACTTAAAACTTCTCCTTTGATGAAAGCTATACAGAGCGAATCTGTAGATATACTTGAGCTTCTGATTCTTTCGGGCGCAAGATTCGATGACAGATACACCCAAACCCCAGACACTCTTCTCGGAGCGGCTCTTGAGACTGGCAATATGGTCATGTTTGACTACCTACTGGCCCACGGAGCTGTCAACATGCCGCTCAAGATGAACAAAATACCCAGTTTACGGGTAGCGGTATATATGCAGCAAAACGGGATTTTGCAAAGCGTTTTACAGTCATCTGGCCCTCGTATACTCACTGCTGTCCTTGACTCGAAAAGGGACGTGGATATTCAATTGTTTCTCCACCTACTTCAAGTGTACAGGGGCCTTGGCCATTATGGAACTCACAGCTTTAGTAAATCCATATCAGGGCTGCTGGAAGTTGTCATCGGAAAAGACCAAAACGAGCTACTATGCGCCCTCTTGGAGATTGGAGCTTTAGTTACTGAAGAGGCTGTCATTGTGGCGCTGGAGAAGAGACCACATGATCTTGAAACTGCTCGACTCTTGCTATCCAGGTTTTGGGGCTACGCACCCTCCGCCGTTGGAAACACCATCGCTCTCTTTCACCAATGGTACGGAAAAGATCGCTATGGGAAACAGGGACTTGAGCAGCTTTATAGTATTCTAGCCGTGTTTCGGTCAAATGGCATTAGCCCTAGGGGAGTTCCGCTCAAGCTAGGAACAGAACGGTGTTTCTCTCCCCGCGCATTCAAGTTCATTTCAGTCCTGGACTTAGCCGCGTACTTCAGAGACACGAGGCTGCTCAAAATTTTGATTGAATGGGCGCCCTGGGATTCGGACGAAGTTGGACATGCTTTGGTATATGCAATTCAACGTGAGGACTTTGGTTTCGAAACGACCCGATTCTTGATGAACCTGTCTCCAAGACTGGACATAGAAGCTTATAATTATTCGCATAGGGCCACATCATTGCAGGCTGCTGTGACCAATCAGCTATTACCAGTTGTCCGAGATTTGGCACCGCTAGTTGATGTCAACTACTTGGGTGAGGGTGGACGTCGACGAACGCCCTTGCAGTTAGCTGTGGAGAAAGGTAACCTGGAAATCATTGACATCCTCTTGGAGCATGGGGCGAGGATTGACGGAGCTCCTGCTGAAACTGGCGGGGCTACTGCCTTACAGCTCGCCGCCATCAAGGGCTTCTTCGGAATTGCCCGAAAGTTGATCGATCTCGGTGCCGATGTCAACGAGCCTGCAGCAAAATACGAAGGACGAACTGCCCTCCAGGGGGCTGCAGAATATGGTCGAATAGACATGTTGAAAATGCTGTTCGACGAAGGAGTTGTGATCTCTGGCAAAGGGGCTGAACAGTATAAAGAAGCAATCCGACTTGCTGAGAAGAATGCGCATTGGGCTGCTGCCAAACTCCTGAGGTCTTTCAGCAGGAGGAGTCTTGAAAGTGACTCAGAACGGAGGAATGAAGAGTGGTCTGTTGATCTAGATTGTATTTTCGCTCAAAAGTTGAATTTTTCTCTTTCCGGCTTTAGAATTAATTATAAAGAGGCTCTCTATTACAGTAGTTATGGTCCCCGGAATTACATGTTCAAGTTGTAGTGGATCCCCCGACACCATGCCAATCATCTGAATCCAGTTAATCTTGTCTTCGATCTTCTCTTAGTTCTCTGATACTAGGGATTCTAGGATAAAGGGGAGGGCCTTGCTAGTGGTGAGATCTGAGTGCGCTGTTTGCCTGCTCTCTGCTTAGCACAAGCTACCTTAAGAGCATCCCAGTTCGAGGTGTACACTACAAGTATAAATTTCGTTCTGTAAATGAAATCATTGTTCAGGGATATCTAACCATAAGAAGACCGCCAGACGCTAGGTAAATTCAGCAAATAAATCAAAAAGCACCAACTTGGCATATTTCGAGAAGTGCTCACCCTGCTAGACGAATCACAAGCTACATGCCTCAATTCCTAACAGTACTTATGTACAGGACACTCCATCTTCTGCTTGAACCAGCCAATAATGCAGTCCTTATGGAACTTACACAGGCACTCTAACCGAGCTAGGCTTTCCCCGACCTCGTAGTCCTCCATGCAGATGGTACACTCCCCAACACCACCATCCTCCCCGATGCAGTCTTTCTCCGTAGCAGTAAATTCTACCATACGGGCTGCAGGTGGCGGCGGCGGTGGAGGCGGAGCAGGGCCCCGTCGTGTAGTTGTAGCTCCACTAGTGGGAGTAGAAGGACCACTTACTCGAGGCGCTGAAGCGCCAAAGTTCTCGATACAATCGCGAACATGCGCTTCTCGAGCTTCTGCAGGGTTTTCCGGGCTGAGTTCTGGGAAAAGTCGACCACAAATCGGACAAAGGTCTTCCTCGGATATGGTCCTGCGTCTTGGCTGGTGGGCTAATGGGAGAGATTGACGGGGTGGGTTGACATAGTACTGAGATTGGGATGCCTGTCGGCGCTGCTCTTCGGCGCCCGGATACTGAAAGAATTCGGGGCTGTAGCCGCGATTTTCGCGATCGCGATCTGGGTCTTCATCCTGTTGATATGTTAGATGCTGTTACATCAATATCGGGGACTGTGTAACTTACCACCGGCCTTGTTAGGAGGTTGCCAATTGAAGGCAGAGAATGGGTAGATCTATGTCCACGAGACCGAAGTGGGCCATAACTCAGAGGATTGGGATTGGGATCTGGGACACACGGGTTGCAAAGGCGTACTTCTTCCCCGCCACCGAGTGCGGGGTTGAGTACAGGAGATAATATAACGGGTTCATCGCCAGTCAAATCAACCACTTGACGAGCTGGCGCCGGGGAGGCTTCTTTGGACTGTCCAGAGTCTGGTGGGCGAACGATGTATTGTCGGGGGATCGTGATTCGATGCGGAGAGCATGAAGCGCATACGACACGTCCACACTTCCGACAATGATGCTTCCGATACCAGAAGCTGAATTCGTTCCCACAAATTGGACAAAAATCAACTTCCGAGTCAGGTTGCCACCGTGGCAGATCTGGTTCGACTTCCTCGTCATCTACATTGATCGCGCGTCTCAAATTCTCTTCATCCATCGTGCCTGGCTGCCACGGAGGAAACTCAATCCCAGAGTATCGAAGACTTCGGGATCTAACAGCATCTGACTGAACGCGCGGCCGTCCGGCTTGCATATTGTCGCTTGTGTTCTCCCGTAGCAGTGTTGAGTGCTGCCTTCGAGGCATGCGTGGCATGGAATAAGTGTTCGAAGAGGAGGTATGGGTTGCAGGGCTTTGGGCGGCGACGAAATTATCAGGGTTAGAGTAATAGCGCGGGAAGGTCTGTGTTTGATAAGGGAGAGCGTTGGGGGTGTTTGAAGATCGCCGGGTGCTGCGCTGATTAGCCCCCGAAGGTCCTGCCTCCGGTGGTGATGAGGTGATATCTATTGCTGTAGCATAGGACGACCCAGGGTCCGGTGCCGCGGAACTCCGGCTAGATGAATGGCCCGTCAAAGAAATCGATCGGTACGGCAAGCCTGGATGACGGTGTGCTTGGCGGCTATCTTCTCCAGATCTTGTTCGCTGTAGACAAGCCTCTTCACTTGCGCTAGTCATACGCCTTTGCCCGTAATGAGGTTCAGTAGGGACCCCACTGTCTGCGCACCCTGAGACCGTATCTAGGGTTAAACAGTCCACTGATCGAGCGCTATGGGGAGAGCTGCCATCCGAAATTTCGATGGTTTGAGACTGTTCTGCTTCAAACTCCCCTTCGATATCTCTTCCTGTGCCCTCACTTCCCGGGGCTGTTACCGTCCCATCACTCCTCACTTCCGTGTCGCCACTTTCTGGGCTGTCAGATATCCTCATAGGGCGCACAGCGTCACATTCCCTTGGCTCCTCGCTCCATTCACTGCCACCGTCTGGGATCGGGGCCGACCACGAAGGGCTAGGGGCGTCCATTATGCGTATCTCCTGGTTTCGAGCGAGCTCGCGTGATGGTATATTTGGATCACAACGAGATCTTTGGGTCATTAGAGTCGACTGTCGATCATATTATACCGAGCATTCAGCCTTTATTGCACTTTGAAAGTCGTGTCAGTGTTTCATACTATATCAACATGGCGCCATGTGCACACTCACAGCTCTTGCTAGATCATAGCTATTAATAGACTCTTCCCGGGCACAGGCAACACTCCCTTTCAGACACCACACTACCCACTGTGATGATCTGTGCGACTCGAGAAGGTGTACAAGGGTAGTCCTCGTAGCAAGGTAGACAGACCAGCTGAGACGCATGCAAGCCAGAGGTTGCGGAGATCAAACAATAAGACGAATGATGCTCGATGACCAAAGGCACCGCCCCCGGAGCTTATCGGTGGGTGGGGCCGGGCGGTCACGCGAGGCAATACAGCCCTTGCTTATCTTGGCCGCTTCCATCATCGGCCGATATGATTCGACGACTCGGCCTTAGGGAGGCGATCGAAAGTTTCGTCACTTGAATCAAAGGAAATCTGAACTTGTACTTTGCAAGAAAGTATCTGTTCAGGTGCATCGGAGAGGACCTTGAGCCCTCGAAATGAGACAATCTCCAGATACTCGGGAACTCGGGTTTGTATGGCCCACAGGAGCTAATTATAGCCAGCAATCTGAACTTGGAAGTACGAGTGTCGTCTGTGTTTGCTCCTTGTTTCAGTAACACTATAATTCAAGTCAAGCTTGTCCGAAGTATTCTTCGTACTTGATCAATTGCATTCTTAAACAGCAGTACAGCAAATGCCTGAGCAAGGTATTTATTAGAAACACTAGCCAGAGTATTAAAGTCGCAACTGCATTGCAGCTGCACGGTCAAGCAACCCAGAAACTTGAATATAAGAGATCAGAACGCCTTGCAGCAATTTTGGGAAACAGCGTGTACAAAGAATACAAGAACAGCCAACGACATGGTTCGAATGGAAAAAAGGAAATTCGTCACTGTGGCATCATGCAACTTCCAAGCCGCCAAAGTCCAAGACAAGATGTTTGAGTGGAGGTAGATGGAGGAAATTAGGAGGTGTATGGTGATGTGAGGGGTATAGCTTTTTGAATGTACGAAGATGACCGCAATGTTTATAAAAAGGGATTGCTCAAGGTCCGGGATGGTCCTGCTCGTCAACTAGCTCTGCTGTACTACCGGCGAATGATGGCTCGTCCGCGGGGCTGGCTTCGTGGATGTTATCTGACATCCGGTGTTGGGCTACGTAGCCCACGCTGGAGGGCCGTTCACTGCGAGAGCCTTCATGAGCGATTTTGTGGCTGGAAGTAATGGAGCCAGATGTAGATGCAATGGACTGCTCCCGATTCCGAGAAGGTGAGCTGTCGCTGCTAAAGGGCAACCGTGCGTGGGTAGGGGAATCTGGCCGCAAAAGTTCCGAGTCGGGAGTTTCCGTTCGGGGTTGAGGAGTAGACGACGAGGTTTCAGTCACAACAGGGAGACCTTTTGGCGTTACGTCTCCACGCTCTATGTTTTGTTGAGTATGCTGGGATCCTACACGGCTCGGCAGCTCAATACTACCGACAGAGGTCACCTGCGGAAGGACAGGGGCTTCGACTCCGGCCGAAGTTGGGGCTTCGCCGTCACCTTCAGAATCACGATACGGCTCATCGCCTCTTGATACGTGACGCGAGTGGCCACCGCTCTCTGGATCATCTTGGTACGGCTCGTTATAGGTAGCCTCCGGAAAGAGGCCGGGAGGTGGTGCCCGAGCACTTCGTACGACCTCGAAACCCTTGCCCTTGTCCTTGGTCTTTCCCTGCAGCAAGTTGCGGAACCATCCTGTAGCAGAAGAGACGGGCCCAGTCGGGTCTGCGGGTCCAGTCTTGAGCTTTCGAGTTCCAATTCGGGATTGCGAGAGTGGAGGACCCCGGACCCGGTAGTAGAAGTCAACTTCGCGAACTGCGTAGTCCTTTGGTTGGTTGCTGTCATCCAGCTCCATGTCATCCTTGGGCGCTGGAAGGTACGCTGGCACAGGCGTATTCCGACCGGACGCACCAGCTTCACTCTCCAGCTGAGCCACTTTGTTGCGCCTTAAAAAGCTTCTAGACGTTGGTTTGCGACGGTCAGGAGCTTCCGGCTGGGAACTCTGGCGGTTTGGCCTGGGCGGTCGATAGTACGGATCACGAGGCTGAGGACTCATAAACGTGCTGCTACTAGGTGAAGCAGCACCAGCTCCTTGGTACGCAGTCGGAGACTGAGCGTAAAGGTTTGCACTTGCAGCACGGCTATGGCCGCCCTGGGAGCTCGCATAGTCCATTCCACTCACACGCCCTTCACTTGCGGTCGCGCGATTCAACAAGAGAGTCGAGTTGCCCGACAAGCTTCGTGGGCGAGATCCATCAAATTGAGATGACATCCTGCTGTCCGGCGCGAGCATGGCAGCTTCGGAACCCAAGCTCTGCCTCGTGACCCTAGGGTTTCGTCTGGACAGCTGCCGCTTGCCAAACACCTTTGTGAGACCACCACGAGCAGCACCCCCAGCGCCAGCAAGACGGGCAAGAATTTCGATCAAGGTCTGGAGGGCATTGAGGAAGAAGCCGAATATCAGAACCAAAGCGTGCAGGACAAGAATGAGATATCCAATCCAGCCTCGTGTGCTGCTGGAGATGGCAAGCGATGGAACAAAAGTCACCATCAGGATAATAGTGAGGAATCGAACGATAGAGAATATGCTATGATAAAGATTCATGTGCGTCGGTCTGGGGAACGGTCGGAAAGCGATCAAAGTGAGAACTGAGATCACTTCGCAGATTGCAAGCAGGACGACCTGGGCAATACCCGAGGGCTGCAGAGCGCCGATACCGACACCCCGAAGAATGTTCAAGACAATCGGCACCATGGCAAAAGCTGCGGCATCGTCACAGTATGTGTTATAAAGCGGCCCATAGAGCAAAACCGTAGGGAGATCGTCGAAAAGATGAGATGTTGGTCTGGTGGAGAAAATGACGCGCGCGAACCAGACAAAGAAACAGATCAGCACAACGATTACCAGAGCAGCCAAAGCAACACAGTACGCCGGGGACGTCTTTGCGATGACCAACTGGAAGAAGCAAAGAGAGACGACGGGCAGAAGCAGATAGTTGAACACGACGCGGATGACATTGCCTACCGTGAATGGCATGTTCTTAGCTCGCAGGTCTTCTTCGGTGGTATCGGCGAGTTCGCGATGCATCCAGCGTAGCAAGAAGCCCAGCTGAACCACCACAATTACGACTGCCAATATGACCAGAAGCCAAACCATCATGCCAGGCCAGATGTCCTGAGTAGAGTCCATACCCACCAACTGATTCATTCGGTCCATTCCATATGTACCATTGACCGTGTATACACCATCTTGGACGGGGGTATAGCCACCGTGCGGATGGAGAAAGCTTTGGTTGAACATGAGAGTGGACCAAGCCCCATAGCTGACAGCAGGCTGGAAGAACCCCGGGTAGTCCAATGATAGAGCGCCTGTCAGCACCACGAACTGAAGATACTGTAAGCAATCAGCAAACCCTGGCGTGATTAGACGCAGGACATCTTCATCGCGTCCGTAGTTGCTGGTCCAGCGAAACACGTCAACGGTGCCCCATGGCGTGAACATGCCAGCTGCAGCCGTGGCGATCCCCATCAGTATCAGGATAACAAGGGGCACATATCGCAATGCATTTTTCAGAGCTCCTCCAAAGTCCGGTGTGATCGGAACCTGTATGCAGCCTAGGATGGTCTTCGCACGGTCGCCAGATATAATTGTGAAGGTCGAGGAGATGGTCGAGAATCGGTAAGTCGAAAGCATGTTATGCTTCATGGAAAAGGCGTCCAGCGTCCGGACATCGGTCCTATATCGTGGAAATTCTAACGTTAGTTCTACTGCTGCATCAACACTAGGCTGGCATACTCACAGGTTGCCGTGAAAAACAGGCGCGAGTGGACAGTGGCCTTGTACGACCGTCCCACAGAAATCAGTGCCATTGGGCCACGCAACGTAGCTCAAGACATCGAACTGGGTGATCAAGGTGGTCAAGCGATTATTCTCGGTGTCCAAGTTAGCGATCTTCCCCACGGTATCGTTATCATTGGACCAACTGGGATCGTCGATCGCGGGATAAGTTTGGCTCGGGTCGGCTAGGCCAGATACGTTGCCGTAGACGGTGACATTCAGTGGACGCAAGGGATCCGTCAGGTTGAACCAGACACCGACGTCGAGGGGTACGTATTGGAGGGCTAACGGGTTGGAGTCGATGGTGTCTTGGCCTAAACAGTTTGAAAATTCCAGCAGCGCGGCGGTAGCGGGAGAAATCCAGCATAATAGTAGGCTTCCGAGTAAGATCCACCAGCTTGAACTGCTCCACGAGCCTGTCCGCCGCCTCTGATCCGTGTCTCAGCGATCGGCTCTCGACAGTTGTAAGATCACCGCGTCGCGAAGAACGGGTTGGGCTGGACCGAGCGACCAAACTCTCATCCACGCTATCCCGCGGGTGCGCGCCAAATCGTACCACATCTCCAATGTCTCGGGCATCCGGGATGACCTCCTAGGGGAGGTCAGCCCCCGTGGGTGGTCGAATCCACGTTGTGTTGGCAATTGGGGGAAGCCAGGGTATTCGCGGTCCACCTGGCGCGCGTGTATCGACTTGGGATCGAGGCGAAGAGCGAGTGAACACGGTCAGAATGGAAAGGTGAGGAGTGTCGAGCGTGAGCAGGGGGCAAGTCAGGTGTCAGAAGGGAAGGGGGGGGGTGAAAGGTCGGACACAAAGTACAGGGGAATGCAGACCACGGCACGATCCGGAGTTGAGGGAACGGGGAAGAATTAGGAACCCGTTTCGACAAACTATCTTGAGGGGAAAATTTCTCAGTACGGATACTCTCGATTGTTTACTGCGCCTTGTTGGGTCAGGGTGGATACGAGGCTACGTTTAGGCATCATAGTAAGATCTACGAAGTACTGCCATTTCTTTTTTGTCTGTAAAGAGCCTAACCCTTTCACCCTTTACTCTCATTTCAACCCCAGCGAAGAGACTAAGGAATGTCCTTGTGTCTAAGATGAAATATATTGGCAAAGCCCAGGCGCTTAATCTGAGGTGTGGCCGTTCGGCAGTGTGGCAGTGTGGCAGTGTGAACCAAAATAGAAACTCTAGACCGCTGCACATCCCTGGCTCGTGCGTCGATGCCTTGTACGAAGCTGACCATGCCTATTTTCTAACCTTACCCTCTTGCACTTCTTAACTGATCATGGCCCATGTTATCCATTACAGACATCCCAAGATTGCCGTCTTGTCGCTGAGTATTTTGCGCAAGCATACTTCGAGCCACCGACATGCGTGCTAGTGTTTCACTTGACCTTATCGCTCATGTCTCACCGGCTGACCGGTTCCCACTCAGTTATTACTTGCTAGTAGACGCCATGTCCGGTGTGTTCCTGCTGGCTACGCTAGTTATTTGGCATCCTTTGGCACAAAAAGATACCGTCAGGTACGCCCAGCCACCAAATGAGACATGCTCTGCACGTACTCCGTAATCCACTCCCTGTGGCTTGCGCTCAAGCTGGAATCATATTCTAGTCCACAAGACCTGCTCAGTGAATGGCAATGTCTCAGGTCTTGTGGGGATACCTGAATAAAGGTCGTTGGGTGGTTCAATGGCAAAACACAGTCGCCAATAGCGGCAGCTGATCAACATGACTAGCTCACAGTGGGTATAGGGGTCGTCGCACAGCCCTAGCCGTATTATTCTGTGTCAAAGATGACGATGGCAAGCTTTCATTTTCCAATTTCCTAGAAGAAGGAAATCTGGATACTATGGCGTCTTGGCAATGTCTTACCCATTGGGACGTACTCTGGAGCTATGGTAAATTTAGTAGCAGTTGAGCTTGAAACTTGAAGGGTGAACCGGGAAGATGTTGGCTCCATGGAAATCTTCCGAGGTTAGCCACTGAAATATGACTAAAACTTTTTGGTGGTTCGGAGGACTGAGGGCTGAGCGTAGGGCTGCCCACGAACCTCGTGGTTCGTGCAGGGCTACCCCAGCATGGACATTCACAATGCGATTTTCACACTGAGACTCGATATGTTCTCCTATTGGCGGGATGCCATGCCCTCAAGAGCTTTTCCGTGTTAGGCGTTGCCTCTCGGTAATTGCCATAACTCACAAGAGCTGTGTGCTCTTCTCCAGGGCATTTGCTGCCGTGGTCAACTACAGGAGCTTCTTGCTTCATTTGCCAACCGCACCATACCCTGCAAGACCAATGGACATACTATACGAACCATCAATTTGACAACTGATTGATATTTAACAGATTCACGTCAACCATTAGTATTGCTCCAATCCGTGCCTCCTACCTCCCCATTAAAATGATCGAAGCCTCTCCTGCCAACGACGCCGTGAAAAGTCCTCAGACTGCCCCTCCGAGCAACGGAATCCTATAATCACGGGTCTGCACCCTGTCAGACTATGTCCATGGTTCTCGCATACTTGGATGTTCTAGACCAACTGGTCGCTCCCGCCGAGACCCCTTGCAGGTCAACCTAGCTGAATTCCATTACCTGCCAGAAATCGAGTCACCGTTAGAAGGTTAGGAATTGAGTACTACAGAAATTCAGATTCAAGCGAATGGTTCAATGAAGGGAACAAGAGCTCTCTGCCTTTGAGACTCGTGAGATAACTGAGCTTTGATATATCCGTACGGACTACTCATAACCTGTAGCTCAGCCTTGGAGCTCATTACAGGCACTGGCACAAACAATTACCCTAAATGCCCTTTCTATCCAATATTTCTCTATTGAGCTTATTACGGGGATATACTAGTGCTCTCATACAGTTGTTTAATGCCACAGTCCGGACGTGTTGAGCATGCATCGATGCGGTTGAAAACTCACCTTAAAATCTTCTGGCTCCTCACAGATATTTCTAACTCTTAGCAAGATCAGATTTCCCTTACTATGAATACTACATCATGTATGTACCAGTACATGGTATCCAACGCAGATGCTCGGGTAGAGTGAACTTATATTCGTCTGATAATTCTAAGGGTCTATATCAAACAGTAGGAGAGTTCTTGTCAATCTTGATACCAAACTGCGCCTCCGCCATTGAATAACTCTTTCCCACTGCCTCGCTGGCATATATCCTCATCTGCTTCTCATAATTGGCAGTAATGTCACTTCTATATCCACCTGCCTCAGTTAAAAGTCTCCCAAGAAGTGCCGAGTCGCGAACTGCCGTGTTCGCACCAATTCCGCCCGCGGGTGTCATGGAGTGCGCAGCGTCCCCGATGACAGTTACCCGAGGCTCGTTCGTCCATTCCGGGACACCAGTGGGCGTAGAGCAGGTGATCTTCCAAAATGCTGCTTCGGAGACATTCATTTGCTCGAACAGAGGCTTTAGTCGCGGGTGCCAGTTCGTCGTCAGTGACTTCGCAATATTTGCAGCCGAAGACCCGATAATAGAGAAGTCGTCGCCGGGTACATTGATGACGCCTGGCTGCGCTCCCATCGTCCAGCCAAACTCAATATTGGGATTGTCGACCTCTCCCGGCCGTACATTCGTGATCGTGAACACTCTACCACCAGGCTTAGTATCGTCTGTCATTCGCCAAACGCCCTCGCCGAGCTCTTTAAACGCCGGCGCCGGTGCTTGGCCGTGAATTCCTCTCGCGCCAGTGTCGTACACCTTGAGCTTTCCTTGGGAAAGCTGCTTTGCGACCTTTGAGTAGATTCCCTCGCCAGCAATCAGCATCTCCCCTTCCTCGGACTTCGATCCATCGGCGAAAATGGCCCGGACGCCATCAGGCAGTAGCTCGTACCCTGTGACTCTGTGCGCCCACTTGATATAAGGCTCACACCCAGTCATGAAGAGCCTGCGCATGTCACCGCGGGAAATGCCCACAATTTTATCCCCGCGCGATTTCAGAACCTCCTTCGGAATGGGCGGGGTTTTATTGTTATCAGCTGTCAGCTCGGGATGCTGTTCGCCCGTTATCGCGTCGATGGACGAGAATCCAGCCCCGCCCGTCTTACCGCATGTATCCCAGAATGTCTTCCAATCTTCGGGCGCGAGAACCGACTCTATAGCATCCAGGCCTTCGACGGACAGGCGTAGTCTGTATCCTTGGGCGCGGAATGAGATGGAGCTGTCCCGCTCGAAGATCAGGAATGGGATTGAAGCGCGGCGGAGGGCTTGGCCGAGGAGAAGGGATGCCAGGCCTGCTCCGGAGATGAGGATAGGTTTTCGGGTGATTGTAGTCATTGTGGGTTTACAAATGCGATACTTTGATCATCTGGAATCTGGTGAGGGCATCTACAGTTATAAGGTTATAGATCCCTTTGTTGATTTAGGTTTAGATGCTCGCTGCTCGGTCCTCCGATGGATTTATAATCGGCGGCCGCGAGGCCCCGGGCCTGCGAGACGCGACTGCGACCTCTAATAGCAGCCATGGTCAATATGTGGGGGCGCAAATGACCGCGATGCTAGTTGACAAAGCAATCGCTATTGATTCACTTGGAGATGCGTAATCTTGGTCTAATCAAATGAATTATTCAGTTCCGTCGAACAAATATAGATTCGACCCGAACTCGTCAGCACGACTTGCGACGTCGCTCAGCTTCAATTGCGCTGGTATCTCCACTTACGCAATATAAGAGCATGTATGCCAGCCTGATGATCGATCCCTGCAAAGCCCATGTAGGGCACGGGTTCAGATGGCAGCTCTGGACCAGTAATTCTTCTGGTCTAGCATGCTGAATATCCGCTCTGGACCACAATCCTCCCGAGTTCCTTCAGAGTAACAATAGTAGAGGCTTTCCAGTTCATGTGAATGGAATCTAGCATTTCGCAAGGCGTTAAAAAAAAACCAAGTATGCCTTCAATTAGAAGCCAGACCCCAATTCCACTCCAAGGTATACAGCCTCCCACGGCTTCCCCTATTTATATCTCCAAGCTCTTTTATTACCTTTCCCACAAAAACAACAGCCTTGCGTACCATAGCTTTAACGAGTCAAAACCCAGCAGCACAAGATGGCAACTCCAAACAATCGCCAGCTCTACTTCATCCGAACAGGAGATGGTTGACAGTTTCATTTTATTGATAGTAGCTACAAATTTACTAGCAGATATCAGCCCCGCGGCGGTTCTGACTGGCCTATACTCTCTCGACCTATTAGTTGCTTACACGGATATCGAGCAGGTCCACGGGTCTACTTTTACTTGACAATTGCGTATTTGAACTGAGCAGAAAAATTTTCCAGTATACCCGATAAATGGCCTTCCTCAAGGGCAGAAGCATTCCTTACGTGCGAGAACGCGCCAATCCACGGCTTGCATTATCTACTGGTCGACCTATTGCGATATCATCATAAGAATCTGGATTGAAGGCCCTGATGTTCTTGAGATGTTCCGAAGTAAGCTTCCACAGGTAGGCAACGCATAACACACGCTATCGCCCATGAGCACGTGCTGTATTGGCAAAATCACTGGCACAAACCTACGGGTCGGGGCGGAATGCGAACGACACAATTCAGCAAAAGCATAGAATTTCCCTTTTTATTCGCTCCAAGTTTACACACGAGCATGACTGCCATTAAGTAGGTGAGTATTACTTGTGCAGCGAACATGCACCATCTCTCTCTTTCCTGCTACAGCGTACGTTTGTTCAGAAAAATTGGTGATCCACATGGTCAGAGCACATCTTCTCCATAAGCTGCCATCGGGGTGGATTGGGCGGCCCACTTGACTACCGAGCAGGGTTCGCGGGTGGACCTAGCAGACCTGGAGTTTGGAAAATGGGCTTCTGGCACGAGAAAGTTTTACCCTGGGTTGTGAGTGTTTCAAGACCGGGTCGAGAACCATCGATAAAATTAGAACCCCCAGAATGGCAAGAACTCGACATTATGAACTAAAAAAGTAGCGGTGACGTTTGGGCTGCTCCGCCACCGTGATAGCGGAGCCAGATTGTCTCGATCTACGGAATGCAATCTTCGGCAGTATGGTGTATGTTCTGGACCTGGTGCATGGTCTCCAATACGAAATCGTTACAAGTTCGAACCAAAAGCATTTTCCAAATCTGCTAGGACGCTGTATATCTCCATGCATGTACCCAGTACATGCCTTTGAGCGGATCCCCTTACGGGAGGACTAAAAGGGGAAGCCGGAGCATCTGACCAACTGCTAGATTGGACGTCCTCTATGTCTTATAGTTTGATAGGTTTCTCAGGGGGGGTTCTTCGAAAAACTTAGCCTTTTTTTAACGCCTACTTTGACACGTGTTCCAAGTGTCATGTCGTGGATCGATGGAAAACCCGAAGGGCTCATAGAGTCGTCAGCGGGACCCGCCCGCACCCCTCAGGTCCCTTTGGGTGCCTCTGGCTGCCACCCAAAACGGGTTAGGCGAGTTTCACCATGAGACTGAATCGGGCTGTGCTCGCTGATTGGCTGATGATTGCGCTGTCGTCGGTGGCGGGGGATTTCATAAGATGAGAATTAAGGACTTCTACCGTGTCCAGTTGGTTTGGTTGTTTTAGGTGATGAAGCCGATCAAGCATGATTCGCTCTCCAGGGCGGGTTTTACTGTAATCTGTGTTTATCGTGGCATTGTGGTAGGTGCGACAACGCAAGAGGCTGAAAGTGGTGGCGCCGTCTTGAATTTAAGGGGTGTCATGCTCGTAGATATACCTGTACGCTGTGTATACCCCAAGGGATATCTCAGGGGACACGCGATAACAAGTTGGAAATAAAGCGTCTTTGACGTCTACTAATCGTATGCGTAGCTACTGAAAGCGCTTACCCATTCCCCCACTTGGGAAAAGCCGTGGGAGGCCTCTTAGCACCAGGTGCCGCTGTGCTCCACCGAGGCCCTTTGGGTGCGTTGCGGAGTACTTTCAGCCTTGGATGATTGTTCCCCCTGATCAATTTAATCAATTGACCAGGGGCATTCCTGTCTGTTCTCTGATCCACCAGCGCCATTGCGATTCTCGGGTTCTGGAATTCGGATTTTGGGTTCTTCAATTCTCACCCACCCAAAATTGTCAAAACCTCCAGCTTCATTATCAACCGTTCCAGTCCCGCACTCAATTGTGCATCCCCTTCCCCCCCAAGCCACTTGACGATCTTTACTCCACCTTGACCTCGGGGGTCATCGCAGTTTACGGGGCTACTTAGGCTCTCCTTTGGGCGAATGCACGGGCTGATTCAAGCCCCTCCTTCGCTCCTTGCCTTTTTTTTTTCCCCTCTTGATATCCCACGTTCACGTCCTCCCCTTTCATACTCCCCCCGGCGCTGCGTCCCCTCTCCCCCTTCACCACACACTCTGCCTCGAATCCGTGCTTCGCGAGCTGTCGACCGCCCTGTCTCTGCGTTTCTCGGGGAGGGGGATCATATTTCGATTCGATAGGGCAAGGGCTGGTTTCCTTGTGCCCGGTCTGAGAGGGACTGCCCCCGCTGGGACGTGCGATGTGCGAATTGCCATCTAATCCTAATCTACAAGATGCCAGGCGACGACCCATTCGGCTTTCTGGGCGCGGAGCAGCTTCAACAAGCCAGTAAACCAGTTGCAAAACCCGCAAAAAAGCAGCATTGGAGGGAGAAGCTCTTCTCGAAGGACAAGAAGAATGCATCTGCTGATCAACGACAAATTGATGACTTCCTTGCCTCTAATCGGCCACAAGCCGTCGATACTCACCATCTCGCTCCCGTCTCCGCAAAGGTTGATTCTGATCTTTTACCCCCAACTATCTCGACACAGCAAGTGCCGTCGCACGATTTCACAAATGCTTCCCCGCCGAGAGCCCCGCAACAATCTCAAATCCCGAGCGAGAACTACACCGCGTTCAACTTTACCGACCATACCTCCGATCAACCTGCCCCGCGATCCCACCCACACCGCCCTCGCAAAGGACTTCGAGTTGCATTTTCTGAACAAGAACCTGAAGTGATTGGAGAGGGAGGCGATGAATCGGAGATCCCTACTGCTGAAATCTCTTTAGCTCGCAAGGGAGCGCGCGGCAGACTTGCAGCAGCAGACCCGAGTGATGCATCTCGGTCGCCAGACCCATCAAAGGCGCACTTGCCAACATTGCGACTCGACACATCGCTGGGCGATAATTACGATGAACAACGTGGACACAGCCAGGATGGAGCCGGCGGCATCAGCCCTGAGTTGGAAACCGCCATTGGTCGCGAACGACGGTCATGCAGATCTCCTAAACACCTTACACATCAGCAAACCCCATTCTCGCCTCTCGTTCCGCGCATCACCAGAGTCGAACTCATTTGCCGAGCGAGTACGCAACCAGATGCAAGTTGAGGAGGGGCGGGCGTTGCATAATCACTTTGACGATGAAGAGTCTCTATCCGACGAGGACCAGTATATAGATGACGATGCCAATGAAGAAGACCTGAGCCCTGTGCTCCCTTCGCATAACTCACGCAGCCCCGTTGAGTCAGCCCATGATACGCCCATTTCCCACAAATCGAATGCTCCGTCAGTGAAATCGATCGCCCACTCCCTTCGCCAACCCCAATCTCCAGCCGCTAGCCGCGGACCAAACCTGAGCCCTATCGAGCGTGGGATACCTGCCGGTCTTACTCCTGGGAGTCCTTTAAACGCTTCTCCAACCCCTCCTCACGCTCTTCCTGTTCAAGCTCCTCCGATGCCGCCTCCCGCCCCTCCTCCGACTGAAAAGGTCCCATCCCCGCCCCGACACCAAGCACCAGCACCAGCACCAGCCCAAGCGCCGGCGAAGAGCGCCGCACCACCGAAGTTCTCCCTGCGAAGTTTGGCGACCCAGGTAGGAGATAGCTCATACCTTGAATTTAAGAACTACATTGGAAACTACGACGATCACCTGAAGGCTGCTGCAGAGAGTGTTAAGCCACTGATGGAAACCTCTCTGTCAGAATGGGTTCGTGCTGCACTGTGGTGGTTTTTGCGAGGCAAGACGCGGTTGGAGACTTTCGCTCGTACTCGCTCACACTGCCCTCCTAGCTATGCGAAGCAAGCAGTCATCGATCTTGGGAAGGCATTTTGGATCAATGAGAACATCGTGCCAGCACACTCTGAGTTATCCAGATACGGTCAGATGAGCGTGGATGCGCTGCTAGCAGTGGCCAGCACCACTGGCAACAAGGATTTGGCTGATCTCCTGAGTTTGCATCAAAACATGAACAACCACTTGCGATCGCTGTCTATGTCGATCAAGCGTAACAATATCATTGATTTGATTCTTGAGAGCGATGACTCGCCAAGTCAAGCGGACACGAGCGTTTGGTTGCGTTACCCATTCTTCGCCCCCGATGTCGCTGCAGTCCTTTCTGGCGCGGCTTCAAGGTCTATGCTGGCCGATAAGCCCGGCAAGTTACCGAGCATGGTGTATATGATGCCCCTCGGAGACTCGAGTGTGTATTTCTCGTACGGGAGCATGTTCGTGCAGGCCTGTGTCAGTTCCAGGGAAGATGAAGGAGGACAACAATATGCAATGCCTTGTTGCTTGACGATCATCCGAGAGCGGGTCGATTGGTATGTGTGTGCTGCGATCACAAGCCAGAGCCAGCTTGTGAATATCATGATCCAGGCGGATCGGAAACAGGGGCCCACTTGGGATGATGTGGATTGGCAAGTCCATAGCCACTCGATGAGAGTGAAGCTCCCGCGAGGGTTCGAGCTGGATGTGATGTTCAAGGACGATGATTTCAAAACTTTATGGAACATCGTGAAATACACCCAGAAGTCAGAGGCCAGTCTTGCGCCAGAGCCTGGCGAGAAAGTGGTTTTCGAGAACACCGTCAAGGTTTTCCAGTATATGGACCCGGGAACCCCGAAGTCTTTCCCTTCGGATCCAGTCGAGCGTTGTCGCGTTCGCTTGTTCGAGAGGTTTGTAACGATTAAGGAGGGCACCGGCACGCGCGAAGCGCACCGAGGCTTCCGCTTAACAGTCTTGACCAGCCCGAAGGTAAAGACCCTGAGCAATGTCAAGCACATCTTAGGCCAGGGCACGCCGGTTGTGTTTGGCCTTTTGAGAGGGGAAGATGGCGCTCCCGCTATGCTTCTGAAGGTCACCGAGGACGGTCGCACTCGATCTATGCTCATGACTTTCCATGAAGTCGAGGAGCGCACTCAAATGCATGCAGTCCTACTAGGAATGGTCCCTCGGGAGGGAGAGTTAAAGTCTCCCGAAATCGCTTTCCGTTCATTTTCTATGGAGCAGCCAGGAGACGCTGCTACCGGTCAGCCGCCTGTCACCCACATCCAGTTCCCGCCCGGCAACGTTTTCGTTATTGACCAGGAGAATCCATACGGCGACCATGGATATGGTCCTACCATTCTGTCCGAGAATCTAAGAGCCTTTATTGCTACTGAATGGGGCTCTGTGACGGATCGTATCAACTTAGGTAAGAGAGTCCACTTTTCTACGATCACAACCAACTAGCTAATACTGTTATAGGTCCTGGAGAGCTGAAGATTGGTCTTGATCCAACCAAGCAAACTGCAATGAGCCTGTACCGTCCGGCACAGCAGGATCTCACTATTTCTTTGGCGGACAACCTTATCCCTCCAGAGATGCCTGACCAAGTCGCGGGATTCCTCGAAAAAGTCACAGCCAAGCCGATTATTCGCCGGTTCGACTTCGGCACAGTGAAAGGTGAGTCGAACACCCCTTGGTTGGACCATCTGTATGCTGACGTTTTTCAGATTTGCATCACTTCGTAGAGGCAGTGACTGGTTTCCGGGTCATCTATGATGGGTAGGCGCTCCGACTTTCCCTTCTCCAGGCTTCACTAACAGTCATAGAATCGCGTCATCTTTCACCATCTCCCGCCGTCGTATGGTTGTCCCGATCTATAAGAAATGGGAAGCCAGTTCTGCACGTCTTCAGGTTGTCCGGCAAGACAAGACCATTCAGTTGCTGGCTTTCTTCCCTGATTTCCATTACGGCACCTGTATGAACTTTGTTCTCAAGGGTACTGACCAAATCGAGGCCTTCAACCGATCCGGCAAATACGGGCTTCGCATTGTCGATGCCAAATTCGCCTTGCCCAAAAAGGATGACGACCCCAGCTCCAACTTCGTCTGCCTAGACATGCCCGAGTACCCGATTGAACATGACGATATCTCGATCACGTTCGAAAATGACGCTGGTATGTCATGTCTCTTCCCGCTGCGGCAATTGAAGGCCCGTGCTAATGAATTTGTTTTACAGATCGCAGCGTGTTCAAGGCGGCCTTGCCTGGGTCGGTTAGGGAAATGTCTCGGATGGGGTCTCTCAGGCGATGATGATGAGAATTGCGTCAAAACCCACTTCTCTGACTCGACCTCGGGCTCTGACTAGTTCACTCGAGTCTGTCCCCGCACCACCACGTGATGTCCAACGTGCCCCTCTTCTTTCGTGCTCGCTGTACCATATTTCTCAGCGCCTTTTCCTGTGCATACAATTTCCCCGAACATAGCATAACCATGTCGCAAAGCATTGGCACTTCTACGCGCACTTTACACGCGGACGACGCGCTAAATGTTGTCAGCGACGTGGCTCCACCAATTCACGTGGCTACCACTTATCGCTATCCTACTGATCCTGCCGCACTAGTCGCTGCGGCCGACTCTGACACTGCCATTGTATGCTTTCATATGAACCGTCAATAAGCCATTGGATTTCTATAGTAACGCCTTCTGTAGTCGGAACGCAATCCCACCTCTCACGTCTATTCCCGTTACACATCACCCAACCCTACCCGCTTCGAAGCAATTCTCTCGGATATCCTGAATGGACATGCCATTAGCTATTCCTCCGGTCTCTCTGCCCTCCATGCCGCCCTCGCCCTCCTGAACCCGCGCCGTATCTCCATGGGCGAAGGCTACCATGGCTGCCACGGCGTCGTCGCCCTCGTCTCTCGCCTAACAGGCCTCAAAAAGATCCCGCTAGACTGCGCACCCTCCGACCTGGAAGCCGGCGACGTTATCCTCCTCGAAACCCCCCTCAATCCCACAGGCACTGCCTCCGACATCGCCGCCTACGCCGAAAAGGCCCACGCGCGCGGCGCAATCCTCATCGTCGACAGCACGTTCGCCCCGCCGCCGCTCCAGGACCCCTTCCTCTTCGGCGCAGATCTCGTCATGCACTCCGGCTCGAAGTACTTCGGCGGCCACTCTGATGTCCTGTGCGGCGTCCTCGTCACCCAGCGCAAGGACTGGTACCAACAGCTCTTCGGTGACCGCCTCTTCCTCGGCAGTGTCATGGGTAACATGGAGTCCTGGCTTGCTGTGCGCAGTATGCGCACCCTGGAAATTCGTGTTCAGCGGCAGTCGGATAGCGCGGCCCGTCTTGCGAGCTGGCTGCATGCGGCTCTAACGGCCCCCTCGCCGGCCCAGGGCAGCGATGAAGCTGCTGTCCAGGGCGTCGTGGGAGAGGTTCTGCATGCTAGTCTGCAACAGGTCGAGGGCGACTGGCTGAAGAAGCAGATGCCGAATGGCTTTGGACCGGTGTTCTCGATTGTGCTCAAGAAAGAGGACATGGCGCGTCATCTGCCGAGTAAATTGCATTATTTCCAGCATGCTACAAGTCTGGGTGGGGTGGAGTCGCTGATTGAGTGGCGGGCGATGTCGGATGAGACGGTTGATCGACGGTTGCTTCGTTTGAGTGTGGGATTGGAGAATTGGGAGGATTTGAAGGGGGATCTTGTGAAGGCTTTTCATGCTTTGACGGAGTTGAACTAAAATTTGTTGTTAACTGGTAGGTCATAGATATTAGCGTTCATGGAACATGAGTTCTTTTCTCTTACTGGCACTGACTGTAATGGTCGTCACCTTATAATATTTAAGGCCTGGGTTTCTTGTGTTGATTGGAACAAGACAACCATCAATTTGATTACGGAGGACTCTCAATATCGTATAACACTATAGACCACGGCTACTGGAAGATATTCTCTAGGACTTGTAACATTCGACGCACCTTAGATGGGCGAGGCCCTTCAAAAGACGTCCGTTCGGCGACGAGATGATACGCCTGTAGACTATTCGACTTGAATGCATGCGTTCCGCCCACAAGAACAAGCGGAACAGACGGTATGTCTCCTCGCCCCATCCAGCGATGATGGTCTCTTTCGCAGCATCGAGTCGCTTGGCCCATTCGAGCATCGTCAGCTGGTAGTCCGTCGTCTCCCGCGCAACATCGACAATTTCAAACCCGTGATACAGTAATTCTCGGATGACGTCTTGCAGCGTGAAGAATGTATGCGTGCCACCCCAGATATATTCTCGAGTAAAAGCGCTGGGGCTATACTTGGTCACTGCTGCAGAGCCATCAAGGTACATCTTGCCTCCCGGGCCAGGAGTTCCCAGACATGGCTTGCAAATCGCCGATAATTGGGAATATGTTCGATTACCCCGAAGATGACAATATGATCGTACGGCTTCTGAGGCTTGTGGTTGAAGAAGTCCTGCAAGAAGACTTCCCCGGGGAGATTACCCTCCGTAATAAGACTCTGGATAAACCGCGCAGAATCCGCCGTCAGTGTCAACGTCGTGACATGCACCCCTCGAGCTCCACAGTACTGCGTGACTCCACCCCATCCACCCCCGATATCTAATATCCGCATGCCAGGCGTCAGGCCTAGACTCGAGAACATGGTTTCCATTTTATGTTCCGATGCATCTTCTATACTCTCGTCTTGAGACTTGAATAAGCCCTGCGAATACATCCGGTATCTCTTGTCGATGAACGTAAGATAGAAGTCGTCGCTGCGGCTGTAATGCTCGCCGATGGCTTTCGCATTCATCTTTGTCGCGTCGCGGAGGTAGTCGTATACGAACTGCAGTTTCTGGCGCAGCGGGACTCTCTCTTTTAGGCTCTGTCGCGCTGCGAAGAGTGCGCCGATGTTCTCCCTCAACGTCGATTTCGCCGGTTAAATAGGCGCGGCCGATGCTGAGTTCTGTCATTGGGGTTCGGAGCGCGCGAGCTGAGCGGAATATTACGCGGTAGATTGGCTCGCCCGCGCCGACTTTCACGATCGTTCCATCGGGAAGTTGGATGGAGCCGGGGATGTCGAGTTGAGGGAGGAGGGCCGCGAGGCCCGTCCGTGGGAGGGAGCGTTGGGAAGTGGTCTCGATGGTCATGGTGCTTTGGGTGGAATATGAGGGGCCGTCTGAAGGTTAGTTGGTATACTATTTATGCTCGCTTTGGCTGTGATGACTCTGTCTCGGCTGGTCTGCTGATTCGTCGGTTGCTCGCCCAAGGCTCGCGAGGATGTTGTCCTGTCAGCACTAATTTAGTGTGCATGGCAATTCGGATTGTACCAGATTTGACATCGGGAATAGTTGGGGTGGAGAAATGTATCTGACAAGTACTTTCTTCTGCCAAGATCGGTGTACATGTAGGCTCAAGCCTGACTGGTCCGCTCTGGCTGGAGTTGATATTAGAATCGTTTAATGATACGCATATGATCAAGGTTTGTATGAACAATTCATTTGATAATCGATATTCATTATCATGATCTAATTTACATGTGTCTCCGCTGCCCTTCAATCTTTTTTACCCCCTTTTTTCTTTTGCTTTGTTTTGCTTTATCTTGTCTTGCCTTCCCTTTCTCTTGTTTTGGCTTGGTTTGTGTTGGTTTGACTGGCTTTTGGTTGGCTTCCTTTTTTTTTTTTTGTTGGTTTGGCTGGCTTTAGCTTGGATGGTTTTGATTTAGTTGGTTTTGGCTTGGTTCCCTTTTTTCTTTTTTTCTTTTTTTCTTTTTCTTTTTCTTTTTCTTTTTTTGGGGGGGGTTTGGTTGGCTTTGGCTTGGTTGGCTTGGCTTGTTTTCTCTTCTTCTTCTTCTTCTTCTTCTTCTTTCTTGTTTGGGCTATGCCTCGTCTGTATTTTTGTACGGAGATTGTGTTGAGACTCCCGGCAAGTTGGAGATGCTCAGGTAGGAATGGCTGGAGAGCATGACAGCCTTATTGCTTCGAACGTGTCGATTTGCAAGTTGTATCCACCAAGTGTTGGCGAGCGTGGTTGTTGAATTGCTCTGCTGACGATGGCTGGAGAGCATGACAGCCTTATTGCTTCGAACGTGTCGATTCGCAAGTTGTATCAACCAAATGTTGGCGAGCGTGGTTGTTCAATTGCTCTGCTAAAGACAGCTGGAATTGCAGACCAAGCTTGATCAATTCCGTCGACACAGCATGTCCTTGCCCAAAGCTCCCCTTAGCACCCCTTAGTACCCCTTAGAGAGAGCTTCCCCTTTGCCAGATTCATGTTGGTTTGTTCCAGAGATGACGTATTGAAAATGCATAATGAAGAAGACTGCTGAGTGCTGTTCTATTCGGATCAGCGCCAGACGACCTGAGCGGCTTTGTAATACACAAGCCCCCCCATGCACCAGAGTGAACACACTGTGTGACTTTTTAAATCACCCGCGTCTCACACCAGAGCTCCATCTTCAAGAGCCGCACTATCGGCTTTGAATCCTCTGGAGATAGCATTTAAAGCGCGTATAACCAGGGGCAACCGAAGTATACCACCTTGGCCGGGACACTCAACAATCTTCTTCAAAATGTATAACCAAATATCACCCGAGGTACCAACTGCCGAGTGGGATATAGGGCGTGCATCGATGAGGATTCGTAACAAGGACTGATGATTGTGCGTAGCGAGTATCGGTCTCGAAGGTATGGAGGGGATTCGAACTCGAATTATTGCAACAAGTAGTGGTCACGATGATCTATAACAAACATCAAAAGAGTATGTCAGTAACCAGTGTTAGGTGTTGTGAGTAGAGGGCGCATACCTTGAATACGTTTGACCAGTAAGGCCTGGGCTTCAGTCATGGATGATGGAAGATGAGATGTGGCAAAACTTGAAGGAAGACATGATCAACTAAAGGTGGATGAGGCTTGAAGACCTTGATGCATTGATAGGTTGATGCCTTATGATGATGAGGTCTGAAGTGGATGATGCTTAAGAGTGTGGCAAAGTGACCTTTCAAGATGAACTTGTTGACTGATCAGAAGACCTTTGATGAGAAAGAAGAAAAAAAAGAGGAAGAAGTTGGGGGGTGGCCGAAGACTATATACCCAGGGGGACCATCCAAGGCTCCCCACTTTACAAGCTAGCACGCTAGCTTGTAAAGTGGGGCGCCTCGTTTGTCCAGCCAATGGTAATGGATACCTCTTTGTATCCGCTTATACAGCCAATAGTGTTAGATATTTCTTCGCTTAGCGTTTAGTTTGTACGGGAGGGGATATCCCCCTTTTTCGACCAATCATACGTAGCACGTGCCATCTGTCTCCTGCCCCTCCTGAAGTCGCCGCATTCGGTATAGCTGCAGATCCACCTTAACCTGGAGGGCCTTTTCCCCTCGCCACTGCAATAACAATTCCTCTCCAGCGTGCATATATTCTTCTCTGCACTATTGAGTGCATTTGTCCCGGCAATTGCTGTTGCATTTATTTTTTTTTGCTCAGACATTCCTGCTCTCGTGCCCGCCACACTGCAAAATTTGGCCAGACCGCATTTTGAACACGATGGCCTCCCTCGAATCTCAGCTCGCTTACGAGCCCCAAGTCCTCAAATTTGGGACTAGCGGTCGCCGCGGCCTGATCATTCACTTGACCCAGCTGGAAATCTACACCAATGTCACTGGCGAACTTCGGTACCTCCAAGCCCTTCCTCCTTCCCAAGGCGGCGTTCGAAAAGGCGACGATTTCTACTACGCCTACGATCTGCGCCCTAGCTCAATCAACTATGTCGAGAACAACCGGGGTGGCCTGTGTCAGGCAGTTGAAAAGGCATTGAAAGATGCGGGTATGAACCCTATCAATCTGGGCGCCATCCCCACCCCAGCTCTTACCTACTATGCGCTGCAGAAGGGCAAGGGCAGCATCATGGTGACCGGCAGCCACATCCCATTCGATCGCAACGGCTACAAACTGAACACATCTTTGGGTGAGCTGCTGAAGAAGGACGAGCAGCCGATCAATGAATCGGTTGCCGTTGCCCGCAAGGAGCTGCTTGCGCAGCCCTTTGCTGAATCGCTTTTCGACAACCAAGGCATGCTGAAGAGTCGCGAGACTGCCCTTGAGCCAGTCATTGATGATGGAAAAACCGCCTACTTCCAACGGTACATTGATTTCTTCAAGGGTGAAACTCTGCAAGGTTTCAAGTTGCTGGTCTACCAGCACTCTGCCGTTGGTCGCGACTTCATAGTCGAACTTTTCAAGGCCCTTGGCGCCGACGTTCTCCCTATTGGCCGCAGCGACACCTTCGTCCCTATCGACACAGAAGCCATTGATCAGGCCCAACTGGACACTCTCCAGGCTCTTTACGATGGCACCGGCCAGTCTTTCGATGCCATCCTTTCGACGGACGGAGACAGTGACCGCCCCCTGCTTGTTGCGCCTGACAATGGCAAACTGCGATTCTTCAGTGGTGACTTGCTCGGCATGGTTGTTGCCGAGTTCCTGGGCTCAGATGCCGTTGTCGTCCCCATCTCTACCAACGATGCTATTGACATTGGCCCTCTTGCAAACTTCACGGAGCCGAAGACGAAAATCGGTAGCCCCTACGTGATCGCTGGTATGCAAAATTCCGTGGCGAAGGGTCGCTCACGTGTCTTGGGGTGGGAGGCCAATGGTGGGTTTTTGACCGGCTCCGATATTGAGTACGACGGCAAGGTTCTGCCAGCCCTCCCCACCCGCGATGCTGTCCTTCCTCTTCTCTCGGTCCTGTTTGCTTCTCGCAAGCAGAACGTTTCCATTCCAGCTTTATTCAATAAGCTTCCTGCTCGCTTCAGCCGCGCTGCGGTTATCCGTAACTTCCCTCGCGCAAACAGCTTGAAGATCGTCGCTCGCTTCTCTCCCACGGAGATCAAGGGCATCTACGAGTTGAGCTACGAAGGCGACAAACGGACCAACCGTTTCGTAGATGGTGATAAGGTGGCTGAGGTTGACTCTGCGCATACCAAGGCGGTTGACGACATTCGTGCTGGTTTGCAGAGCGTCTTCACATCCGAGCGGGGATTTGGGTCCATCATTCGATTGAACTATACTGATGGAGTTCGTGCTATCTTCGACAACGGCGATGTTGCTCACATCCGACCATCTGGCAACGCTGACGAGTTGCGAATCTACTCTGTCGCTAATAGCCAGGCACGCGCTGATGAGATCTGCGACCTGGGCATTCAAGAGCCCAATGGGCTACTCAGGCAACTGGCGAAGTTGGTTTAGGCTGGCATCTCTAGACATTACGAAAACATTATGCATATATAACGAATCTACTTCTGATCTTGGATTTAATCATACCATATCGTCTCAGCAATATCACTAGTCTATCTATGCAGCCGTGTGCTCTGTGTACTCTGCCTGCTCGATGACAGGCTTCTCGATCCTTCCTGTATTAACAGAGCAGTGGAAATGCGGCTTCACAGCATGGCCACAGGTCTCAAAGACGCCGCCAGTGAGGCCGTCTCGTGCACAAAGATGGTCGACATATTCCAGTGCCAGCCATTTAGTTTCAGGGAAGAAAACATATACGATTGAAGTCTAAAAGAGCGGACATTAGATATGACAAGTCCAACACACCTCGACGCGATGATGTCGACTTGCCCATGTTGCACATAGGAAAACACTGAAAAGCGCTTAGCGTAGCTTCAGGCAGAATCGTGGACTATATACCTCGATACCTGCTTTATGAAGGAGTTTTTTCAATCCAGAGACGCTGCCTTGTACGAAGGATTGCTCAGAGTTTCCCAGGGGAGCATTCTGGTCCATTCTGTCTTTACTGTGATGATTTGCGCCCCCTCAAATGTGCTCGTCTCAGGACAAGACCTCACTATCGCCGGTGTTATTGATTGGGAATATACCTATGTGGCCTCTCGTGAATCCGCTTATGCGGCACCATGGTGGCTACTTTTTGAGACCCCGGAAGACTAGAAGCCAGACTTGAACATGTTGTGCAACGCTATATCCCTTATCTACAATTCTTGCTAGATCTCCTCCGATTCTTGGAAGACCGGCAGATCGCGAGTAAGAGATGGGTGACTCCGAGAGGCTTTCGAGAAAGATATCAGAGTCTATAAACAATGCTAGTTTCTGTTTTGCCTTGCTGCAAGAAAGAGTTTTCAGGTTTGATGATATTCATTGGACATTTCTTGACCGGAAATTTTTCGGAGACGGATCAATCGACGATAGGCTCTCGCTTCTATCAGAGGATGAGCGAGATGAGCTGAAGAAGATTATTCCTCTGAAAATGCAACAAGCTCGGGAGGAAGTTCTCGAGGACCACTTGACGTACGGAATAGTGGATCTCTAGGTTTCAGCTAAAATGTCCGAAACAGTATCTCTAATAAAGAGTTTATAGATGACGAGCTTCGCAGGATAGTTTACCCAGGCTCGACGAGATATCCATACCTCTTGTGTCTTACGGTGGACTACGATAGACTTTCGCAGGGAAAGATAACCTAATATTGTGGAGTGGTCGCCAAAAGGCGTCACGGTGACATCACCATCCAAACGAGCGTCTCCAACAAAGTCAACGAGATCCCAGAACGCCGGAAATCAGAACATAAAACCCTAAGGATCCATAGCCCGCCATTCTGGTAATCCAGCGATCAGGATCCAGCGAATTGGTTTATGGAGATCGGACACTGCCCCTCATGGCTGTCGGGTCCATAAAACATTAAACCACACAAATCGGAAACTCCAGCAAGCTAGACCATACAAGACTAAACACGAGGATCCTCGTCCTCTTCCAGAATGCCCTGTGCAATCAAAACATCAGGCTCGGGGCGATTCTGAATCTTGTGCTCGAGCGAGTCGGCGAGCATGTTCTTCTCCAGCGATCGGGCGTTAGCCTGCAAAGCGGGGGCCGCGGTTGAAGCGGGGAGAATGTGGCCTGAAGGGGTTAGCTGGTTGTCGCATGATCCAATACCCTCCTTTCCCTGGCGCGAAACAAATAAAAAAAAGAAGAGAATCCAAAAGACGTACGATCTACCAACTCGTCCCGATCGGGTCGGTTCTGGATCTTGTGCTTCAGATTATCTGAGATGCGCTCGCGCTCCAGCTCTTGCTGTGCGGATTGCAGGGCTCTGGATTAATTCCCCCTCTCCTGTTAGCGGGAGATCAGTACGGGGAAAGTGGGTGGGGAGCTCCTACGGGGCGACGTTGGTCTGCAGGAGGATATGGCGGTTCTTGAGGTCCTGGATCTCGGGACGAGTCTGGAGGTGCTTCTCGAGAGAGTTGCGACGCTCCTGAGAGGAGAGAGCGAGGGAGGTTTCGTCGATAGACATGATCGTGAATAGGGCTTGGAAAGGGAGAGTATTGGATTTGGAGAAAGATGCAGGAGAAAGAAGTTCCGGAGGCGAAAATAAGTTGGATGAGCACGAAGTCAAGTGACTGGTGTCCCACGGGTCTGGTGCACGCGGGGGAAACACACCTCATGGGCCGAAAGCATGGCCTTTAAATGAGAACCCAAAATTGTATTTACGAATCTACTGTCACAAGTTTCAAAAATCGAGGGGCGGCACGGGGCTTGTTTCATATCTGTGACATGAGGCAGCTCTCGTGGTCCTAGCCCGAGTAGTCCGGCGTTTACAATGAGAAGATCGTTCTATTCCTGGGACAAGTTGAATTTCAAGCACCCGCGTAAACAAATGATTTTGGATTCATCGTAGATCTGCCTAAAATACTTGTTTACTGTGTACATCGCGAATCGCCTAACTAAAGAACAAACTAACTTCTCGAGTGCCCAAGGGAGGGGAGGCCACGCAGTGCCTCCACCGAGGAACACAAGGAACTGGGAAATATGCGCAAATGAAGGGCACGAGTCCTCGCAGGAACTAAGCTCTTGCACGGGTCCGATCGGTACATTTGAGCCCTTGGGCGAGGGTCTCATCGGGTCGGAAACCTGATCATTGGCGGTCGGTATCGCGTCAAGCCAAAGGGGAGGAGAGTCAGATGGCAAAGTGAAGCAGAGGGTAACATGCCCTGCAGGCGATCACCGTCCTGGTCAAAGGACACCATCTCGTATCTATGTACCCGGCAAAGGAAAGACTGCTGGTTTCGGCTCGGAATGTATTGGTCGATGAAGTAGAATCGCTTGGTCTGCTGATCGACAGCGTCTGCTGCCGCATCAGCGGACCTGTCCCCTTGTTCAAGGAACCCAGAGCTTGCCACGACCACGACCATTGCCTCGAGTAGACCCCCGAGAGCCTCCACCTCCCCGACGGGAGTTTGGTGCGCCACGGCGAGAAGCGCCCGCGGTTCCACGAGCTGCAGCTTGCGGGGTGCCCTGTTCCGCGCTGGGAGGTGTCGCAACTTTGCTAACCCCGCTGAGATCGCGGCTGAAAGAGTCGGGGTCAATGGGCTGAGTAGGAATCTCGATTTTCTTCTCGACAGGGACTGGGCTTGTCGGGTTGGGTTTCACGGCGGCTTTGCGACCTCCACCACGAGCACCGCGCGAGGAACCTTTTCCGCGTCCTCCACGAGGGACGAACACTAGCTCGTCTTCATCAGTTTCTTCATCGTAAGAAAGAAGCGTCTTGGGCTTGGGTTCTATCGCCTGATTCTGAGTCTTTTCAACGTATTTGCATCGGTTTTTGTACTCGCGTTCTTCGTACTGGATTGCTGTACGCAGCTGCGCAATATTCTTCACCCCAATGCCGAATTTCTGGGCCCACGTCTGAGTCGTGCGATCGTTTGTGATGAGAATGCAATTTTTCGCAGCGTTCTTGGCATCGGGACCGTCGTGCAGTCGCCACAGGAGCGCGCTCAGCAACGGGCGCAGGGAAGCAGGAACCACCGGGATCGTAGAGCCAGACTTGCTGCGTCGGTGCCCGCCGTTCAGGGTTGCTCCAGGCTTCGACGTCTGTTCGCCATCGTGCTGGGCGCACTCAGGGCTGGTGCGCGAGCTGCGGGACGAAGTGCGCGAGGCTGGGCCGCTCGGGGAGCCCGCGGAGGCGACGGAGGGAACGGATGCGGCTTCGGTGTTCTTCTTAAAATTCAGTCGGCTCAGCAGCATCTGCGAAAGATCGTCCGCTGCATCAGTTTTGTCGGCTTCCTCGTGCTCGGGGGCAGGCTTGGAGGAATCCACGCGGTTCGCTGCTTCCAGCTCTTCTTCCAGCTCTTCTTCAAATTCGGGAAGAAAGAACTTCTCGGCCTCATCCCAGCTTTCGTACTGCTCAAAAGGGCCCTGGAGGACAACGCGCTCACTCGGAATTTCTTTGTCTTTGCCGGAGGTAACTTTGTCGAGAAAGCGAACGGTTTCACGAGCGTTGATGGCGACTTGCGACCCGGCGCGCTTCAAAGCGTGGAGGCGCTCGAGGGCTAAACAATAGAAGAGTCAGCACATGCACTCCCAAAGTGTAAGCAGGATGCAAGAGTAAATCTGAGTTCCCCTGCGATTTCTCGACTCAACACACGTACTGTAGAGAGGGACAATCAGGTCGATAGCGCCATGGGTGGTCCATTTCTTGATCTCGCTGATGTTGGTGGTGAGGGCTGTCTCGTCGACAGCGCAATGGAAAACCTTGCGACCAGTCGACATGGCGGCCATGAACGAATGTAAAGGGAGTTCGGCCCTATAAAGGGGAACTGGAGTTGACTGTCGTGGCTGGGAGGGGGTCGGGAAAGTCAGCAGATGAAAAGGTTGCGGAGGGAGTGGGGTCCAGCCCGGCTAGGGTATGACGACGGAGGGGCAGCTCACGATATGAAGCCAGTGAAAAGGAACTCATCTGCAGCATTTTTGACAGGACAACCTAGAACATGCCGAGACTTGGAGCATCAGATCTAGCGGGGGAGAAATTGAAGCCGCATTGTGCACAAACTGCGATGACTAAGCAGCTGCATCAAAGCCCTGCCCGGGTGCGGTAGATAGATAAGATACAAGCAAGATATAAAGAGATGTAAAAATAGACAGCTGCACGATGAGCATACAGGGAATGGTAGAAAGCTAAGTTGTTTCTATTGATATGAAACGCAGAGTGGTTATACTTGAAACGATGAAAGAAAATCAAAGAAAAGAGAACTGTATCCAGGTGACCTGCCTCCTACTGCTTCAACTTCCTGATAAGTCCGTCCGTGGGCTTGACGCGCTGGGCCCATTCGCTGGGGAGTTATGTTAGTAAACTTCTGTGTAAATGAAAGGGAGGTGAGGGAGGTCTTACGTCCAACTGCCATCATAAACTCGACGCAGGTTTGGGTCTCCGTACTCGGCCTCTTGAAGGGCAGTTTCAATAATTGCAGCGGTGACACCACTACCACAGCTGCTGATAATCGACCGTGAAGGATTCACTTGGCGGTCTTCAAAGACCTTGCGAAGCTCAGCCGGGGGCAAGTAGGTCTTAGTCTCAGGGTCAAGTAGTTCAGAGAAGTTCAGACTCTTGGAGCCTGGAATGTGGCCGGAGGAGAGCTCGGGGCGCGGCTCAGGGTCGATTCCAGCCCAGCGGTTGTATGAGCGGGCATCCAAAACCTCAATTTCTTCCGCGCCCTCCTTGCCATAGTCCAATGCCAACTCTTTCATCTCACGGAAGGAGATCACTAGCTTGGAGTCGTAGTTGGGGACCGGATACTTCGTTTTCTCGAATGAAGCAGGCTCACCAGTCTCTGTAGGGTAGCCCTCACGCTTCCAAAGACGGTAATTGTTCAAGATGTGCACATTGGGGTGACCGAATACTCGGAGGGTCCAGCCGACACGTGGAGCGCTGAAAATTCCCAGCTCCGCTGTATCATAGACCACAACTTCATCATCTCGACGAATTCCAAGTTCACTCATCGCCTCGGCGAATGTTTCGGCCGTGGGTAGCATATGAGGGTACGGTGAATCATGGTCTTTAACTGCGTCCAAATCGAAGAATCGGGCCGAGGGGATATGCGACTGGCGGAAGGATTCAATTCCAGTACGTTTCTCTGGATCGTTGGGCATGAACCAAGCTGCACATAACGGAATGACCCGGGGTGAAGTGGAAATCTTGCTCGGAGGGTTCTTTTTCAGGGCGTCACTGAGCTCCTTGGGGGTGACCAGGTATGAGGAGAAAAGAGATCTGGCGGGTGCCAGAAATTGAGGAAGACATGAAGCGTGACAAGCGAAGATTTCTCAAGGCCGAGAACGCCATGATTACAGAGGGGAAAGGATTTGGCTTTCAAATACCTTCTCTGTATATCCGCTGGGGGGGGGTGGAGTCGGTCTGCGGAGAAACTCATGTGATGTTTATCGTCCCGCTTCCCACTTATCGCTTTCTTCCTCTGGACTATCTCTGTTGACATTTTGACGCCGCAATTGCCCCCATGAAGGTCAAGATTAAGGAATGGAATGCCATTGCTACCTGGCATTGGGATATGCCAGAGGATGAGGTGTGCGGTATTTGTCGCGTCCAGTTTGACGGGACTTGTCCAACCTGCAAATTCCCCGGGGATGATTGCTCGCTGTGTAAGTCGTCATCCCACCTGTGGATCCTTCCGATCTATTAGACAAAGTGATTACAGACCCTGACTAATGCCTTCAAAGTGCTTGGGAAATGTGGGCATTCGTTTCATATGGTAAGTTACGCCCTTTACCGGGGGAGGAATAGCCTAACGATCTAGTAGCATTGTCTTTTGCAATGGATTCAACAAGAGACTTCGAAAGGGCTGTGTCCCATGTGTCGCCAGAGTATGTCTATCTATTCCGGCCAGCGAGCCTAAGCTAATGACCCCTTAGAATTTGAGTGGAAGCAGAGTGATGAACAATAGCGTGGGAATGGATTGCTTTTCTGGCGTTCCGATGGATTCAAGGATACCCCGGTTTGCGTGCATGTTATGATCGGCTGCCATGGAGAATAATCCTGGGCTTGACCGTGTCAATCTTCGTTCACAAACTACCCTTATTCGATAATTGTACGGTGTTATGTTCTGTGGGTGCCAAACTGAAATCAATAATCCTAATTGCTGACCGAATCCGCACTGCCCGGAGGTTTTCCACATCGTAATGCAGATATATATAGCTTGGAATAGTGCAATCTTAGCCTCTTATTGCGTCACATCGGACCTTTGTCGGAGGCTTAATTCCTATGAATACTGTATGGCCATACTGAATATGTGCTCGCTAACTGGAGAAGGCTAAAATGCCGTCCACGCTGGACAGACCGGCAGGTTCATGTACCAGTGATCCAAAGCGTGCAGCCCTTCCTATCTGAACGGTTCAAGTTTGGCAATCAGATCCACCTCGATCACGTGTTGTCTTATCGATAAGAGCACCTGGTCAACCCCGGTTTCCAGTGTCGATCATTCGATTCTCTAGACATGCAGTTACCGCGATGTCTTCAATAAACCAGGCCCAGTCTCTCCCTCAGTCACCGAGGCAAGCTGAACCAATGGCCTCAGGTTCATTTTATGGAGATGTGGGCACCCCCGGTCCCCCTTTGACCCTGCGCTCGATGAAAGCCCTCTCCATGACGACCGCAACCCACATCCACTCGCGGCCTCCACCGAACATCCTCGCCCGCCTCTCCCATTCTTCACTATGATCGAAGATGAGAGCATGAACAGGCCCTACTCTGGACCGATCTTTCCAGCTGTACACTACATCTTCGAGGACGATGATACGGACATCCTGACCGAGGCCGGTTTGCGCAGCATGGACGACCTCGACATGCACTCCGACGATCAGGACGTTGACCACGATGCCACTTCCCTCCTTCCTCCTCCTGTACCCGGCGTCCAAGATAACTACGTCATAGTCGATATCAGGCCGACGACGCCGGAGACGGCAACGGCCCCGTCTACCGCCGCGGTAGCCTCAGGTCACGCGAACGCAGCCCAGCAGATTTCCTCCCCCGTGCCTTCCCGCTCACAGCCCCAATACCGAATCGCCAGGAGCCAGAGCCTGTCATCTGGCTGGCAAGTACTAGGTAGCGAGCTGGTGCCCGCCCCGACCTTTGAGAATGGTGATCCCAGTCAGTCATCCAGCCACGGGCTCATGCTGAAGATTCGGGGCGCGGACCGCATGCCTGCCACATTTGCTGACAGCCGCGATAAGAGTCTGGAGGACATGATCGGCCACTTTTCCAAGAGAATGACCGAGCTGCGTGCTATCTTCGAGGAGGCTAACCTGGAGATATTTGAGGGGCAACAAGAGGAGGGAGATGGTCAGGCCCAGATGGGAGAGAAGCGTGAGGAGGGTGAGCATGGCCCAGAGGCTCAAACAGAACTACAAGGATGACAGCGGATGATGACTTGGAAGGGCAAAGCGGCGAAGCGGAGCACTGGACTACGAGGCTTGTTTTGCCCACTTAATGATTATGACTCGGGAGTAAAGGCGTTAATGCATGGCGGATGCGGTTTCTTTCCATAGCCTTCACACAATACCCTCTTTCCATGAATTGCACGTTCGAATCAACTGAAGCCTACATGCCTCACTTAATCCACTACGTCATAACATTTCAATTTGAGAATATCTGTGCTTACCTTACAAGCAGGGGATGATAGTCAAGATGGACGATGAAAGAAACGTGATGTCTGGATTAGACCATATCGGGTCACTAGGATGCAGTTTTATATGATGGTGCGATCCTGAGAATTCTACCCACAATACCAGAAAGAAAGGAAAGGAAAGGAAAGGAGAAACGATCGATAAGTGTACATTGTATTTACAGCCCCGGAACTCCCGACAGCAAACAAGCGACATTGGGTATCAAAAAATTATATAAAAACCGCAGTTCCAAAACCTGAACAAACAAGAGAACGTGAACTAGTTCGCAGAACGAGTTCGGTTGTAACGGCCACCTCCAGGGATGGCGGATGGGGGGACGTTCTCGCGACCCCCCATCATGCTGGCGACTTTTTTCGAAGGCATCTTGCTTGGATGCTTTGTCTCGGCACTGTCTGCGTCGATGGATGAGCGACGGCGCTTGAGCGACCGTCGCTCACCCTCATCCCTGGAAGCGGTTCCAGGAGTTTCATCCAGCTCAAAAGGCTGAGAAAGAGCCTCATCGCCGGCAGCCTCCTCACTGGTGGATGGGTTTGCAACGTTCAAGTCGACTTCCCTAAGGCCAGCGTTGGAAGGGGGCTTTGCGGCTGAGGATGGGCTAATATCTACCTCTTCCGCAGCATCACTAAACACAAATTGCTTTGATGGAGATGACGCGGGCGAGGAGGGCCCGGTAGCCGAGACAGGCTGAGCCTCTTCTTCGCTGAAAGGCAGGGCGGTGAATTGCTTCGAAGTTCGATGTCTCTTCCGGAGGCTCTCGTGCGACTCAGTGCGTGGTAAGGTAGTGGGATACACGTACTTCCTCTTCTTTGGAGAATTTCCAGTCGGGCTGTACTTCTGCATGGGATGGCTGTGCACGTGGCTTGAAAGCTCTTGGAGTGGCTGGCGGATTTGCTCTTGCAATTTCCCACCTTCCTTGCCGAGTCTACCGAATGTAGTGTCAACCTCCACCTGCAATCCGTCCATTCGCCCCCCAAATGCCTCCAGCTGAGTCTGGATGGCTGAACGGGAATCTTGTACGTTCAAAGAGATGGTATCCAGGCTACCCAGCTGGGCATCATGGAACGAACTATTGTAAGAACGAGCCTTGGTGACAAAGTCATCCAATGCCTCCATTTGGCTACCCATGTCGTTCATCTGAGCATCAACAATGCGCACCGTCTCTTGATGAACGGATTCAGTCGTTTTGGTGATGGAAGCATTGCGCTTATCGTAATCCTATGGACCGTGAGCAAAACGAAAGCTTCGAGCAGAAACAGATGACAATAGCTTACCTCCCAGTCGTTCTGCAACTTGGTTTTAATCCCATCTTTAGATGCAACCACATCCTTCGCAAACTGTTCTTCTTTGAAAATCCATTCGTCGACTTGTCGGTCGTACTTTGCTGTGGCTTGCTCCAAAGAATCTCCAGATGAAGAGATGTCCGTGCGGAGACAGTCAACCTTGTTCTTGAGGCGAATAGTTTGGCGCTGGTTAGAGTCCTCGAGCAGAGCACGAACTTGAGACAGGAGGTTTTCACGCTCAGCCTGGGCAGTGTTTTGTTCTTCTTCTATTAATTGGGCAAGGCTAGAAGAAGCCTTACGGCTGGACTCCACCGACTCCCGATTAGCCTGTTGCAGCTCAGTGCGCAGTCGGTTGATTTCGGATTTTTGCTCGTCCATGTGTTTGGCCATGCTTTCAAACATAGATCTGAAGTCCTTGCCCAGGTTACTGTAAGATGAATGCAGCTGAGAGCGGCATTCGTTTAATTCACTGATGACCTCCTCGGAGATACGACCTGCGGCCACAGAGAGCCCTTGGAGTCCCTCGCCGACCTTGGTCTTCACATCCTCACGAAGCACTTTGATCTCCTCAAGAATCTCGTTCATCTCCGTGTGCGCGGTCGATGCCTGAGCTCTCGCGTCGGCTTCAACATTCTCGAATGACGAACTATACATCTCAATCTGAGACGTGACTTGTTGAGCGGTCTCGAGCTCGTTGCGAATGAAATCATTCATTTTCTGCCACGATTCATTCACCGTTGCGGCATTGGCCTTTTTGAAAGCTTCCAAGTGTTCATCAACCGTCTTATAGGTACTGTCCACCTTCTCGGTGGAGCTTTCCCACGACTGGAGATTGGTGTTCTCGAGGTTATCCTTTACCTCGATCTTGGCATGCAGATCACGGACATCTTTGACCGTCCCATTCAAGGTAGAAAGCAGACTAGCTCCCATATCACGCAATTTAGCTTCTGTGTCTTGATGCGCTTTGCGCACAATAGTCTCCTCGTCGAGCCTCTCAGAAGTATTCTTTAAATTTCGTTCCGTCTCGTCCAAAGCCATGCGCGTTGTATCCAATTTGCCTTGTGTTTGTTCATTGTCCTGCTTCAGAGAATTGAAGTTTCCGGTAAGAGTGAAAAGCTCCTGAACCTTATGACGAAGGTTCGCCTCCATGGATTCAATCTTTGCGCGTTGCTCTTCGTTGACGATCCTGCGCGATTCACTCTCCGTGGTCAACTGCTCATAAGCATCGGGTGCCATGTAGACACCATTACGGTGACGCGTTGCAATCAGATCACTCTTGAGTTTTTCGATTTCCATACCAATATCTCGCAGCATCTTGTTCTTTAAGATAAGAGAGTTGATCTGGGGCTTATTTCGGATATTCTTGGCACGGAAAGCATAATCCAGGGTTGAGATGGTTTCCTCCAGATTGCTTTTGGCGGGGGAAACGGTGGCGATAATACAAGTCTTTGTCCGACCACCGAGGGAGTCTTGCAAGAGCCTGGTGAGCTTGGACTCTCGATATGGAATGTGGGAGCTCTTGTCAACAAGCGCATTGATGACCCGGCCGAGTGTAAGCAGACTTTTGTTGATTAGGCCTGCCTCAGCAGCACGCTTATTCTCGGCTCCGCTTCGACCAATGTTTTCGCTGCCGGCTAAGTCCACCAGGTTGAGTTTGCCGGAGCTGATGTACTCCTCTCCCGAATCGGTCGTCCGTTTCGTGAGAACGGTAATGGTGAAGATGGTGTGGCTGCGGGAACTGAGGTCGTTGCACTTTGTTGCCGCTACCTGACGCTTGTGACTACCTGTCTGTAATAGCCGGATGCCGTTAGAGGCGGAGTCGATATATGTTTCCTCCATTCCTTGGACCACGGTCGCCGGATGACCCTTCCTTTCATTCTCAAAGATCTTCAACTTTGTACTGTCGTCATATGCAAGTAAATCACGTAGCTCCTCGTTATACAGCTCAATGAATGAGCACTTGACTGTGCTTTCGGTGTCTTCGAGTTTGTTGAACAGCGAATACAAGGTACGTGGAATAATACCGGCGTCATCAGATAGAATTCCCAATGTGTCGGTCATGTCCCCTGACATTGTGTATGTTTTTCCTGTTCCAGTCTGTCCGTATGCGAAAATGGTGCAATTGTATCCAGCGAGCATCTGATGTATATTAGCAAAGGACTATCGTTGCAATATTGGGGAAGTGGGGTTGTACTGACCTCATTGACAACGGGAAGAACTGATTCGTTGAATACAGTAGTCTGGTCTGCCGCAGGCGAGAAGACTCTGTCGAACGCGTAAGTCTTGTTGGAGAGCGCATTGGGCCCCAGTGAGAGATCCAACTGTTTCCAATGACTCCTTCTGTCGATAGTACTACACCACTATTTTCCTTGATCTCCCGGTCATTGCGACCACGGCAGCGCACGACCACGTGGATGCTTGTGTCTTCGTTGATCTCGCGCTCATAGTTAGGCTCTTTCCGCTTGGGTTGAGACTGTGGTAGATCAGGGCTAGGCCGTGTGGAGGAGGCAGGAACGGCCGAAGCCACAGATGGCCGCGAAGATACTGCTGTCGAACCACGTCGCTCTGGCACCGCAGATGTTGTTCGCCGAGTTGGTTGGCGCAAACCCGATCGCTTCGCCGCGGCGGACGAAGCAGGCCGAGCTGGGCCGGCCATCGTATTGTTCGTAAAAGGCGGCAGCTTACTAGTTCAAATAAACTGCGATTTGTGTGATAAAGGGAGATCAACCAGTCGCATGAAGCTCTTCGCGTTGGGGAAGAATTTCGGGAGCGGGAGCTTTTAGTCGAGAAGAATCCAACCCCATCGGGAAAAGAGTAAACAAGACCCACGTGACCTTTACCCCCGCCGCACATGACCCGCGTCATCGTGCGTGACCTCGGCGGCCTCTTGGTCACATTCGACAGTCTTTCTTCTCACCTTCTCTCTCCCTTTTTCTTCTTCTATCTTGGATGGTAACGGTCGCTTCTCCATTATCATGGCTGCCAGACCTGCGGCGCCGGTCCATATTGTCCCCGGCAAAGGGTTGGGTTTAATCAGCAAGTCTCTCTCTTCCGCATCTCCCGTCCCCGCAGATCTACATAGACCATGAAGCTAATAGCTACTCAGCTCTGGGTGCTTCCCTGCACAATGTCCTAACTCGGGTCAAGTCACACCCTCAAGTATATCCCTCGATCGATCTATCATATTCCCCACCGACCCTCTGCGTAAACCAGTCGTGTTGCAGCTGCCTTCGAACGGCCTGCGACTGAGATTCGATGGGCCCGACCAGCGACTCCGTCTGATCGAAGTCTTGGATTTTTCGCGAACGAACTTGGTATACAAGAATCAAGATGTTCTGAAGGGCGCAAAATCCGCGGATCAACCCGCAGGTTCTTCGCAGGGCCCTAGTTTCCGACATGTCTACAACCGGCTCTTTGGCCCTTCCTACCCCGGCGAATATGTACCGCCAGCAGACCAGTCACCTTACGGGACTTACGTGCTATCTTACCCAGGAGTGGCTTTCTCCTTTCCTCTCCAGCACTCAGCTTGGTCTGATCAGTGCGACTTCGTAGCCCTACTCTCCTCTTCCGCTGCATTACCCGCGACATCCATGGCCATTTTCCAAGGGCCCTCCTGGCCCGAGATTCGAGCAAAGCTCTTCACGCAGCCACCTCAATACCCACGGTTCTCTGCTGTGTCCAGCAAAACTCGAGATTCCTTCGCAGACGAGGTGGAGGAGTTCCACATCCTCGGTGCGGGCAAGTTAGAAGTAGTCCGGCGAACAAGCCTGCCGCTGCTGATCAGCCTGGGAGAAACTACACCTCAGGATCTGATTGCAGAATTTGGCCCACCAGATGCCATTTATCGTAAACACGACCGTCGGATCTCCATTCACCGTGCTGCAGGAGTTGGTAACGACGCTCTGCATTTGAGTCCACCAGCCCGGGGAATGGATATTCCGGACACTGACCATTCATCCACCAACAGCATAACGGACGATTCGGATGACGACTTTTCCCCTCACAGTATTGGTGACCCCACTTCTCTACCAGCAGAATGCTTCTTCAACTATTTTCACCACGGCTTTGATGCCTTTATCTCATACCCTACGACCCCCGGGCCAGCTTTCCCTGGTTCCGGGCTACCGGACCCGTCTACCCCGCTCCCTTCCACTCAACTTACTGTCACCAAGATCATCCTCCATGGAAATGTACCAGGCTCCTATCCTTTCAACCGCCATCGGCGGAGTCGGTGGATGGTCCACCTGGATCAGTCAGACTATGGATTCACGTCAGAGTCACCATATGACGAGATATCTGCGCAACTGCGTGAAACATGGAAAGATAAGTATAACGGTACTCCAGAGGAACGCGCTATGCAACGGCCCATGGTATTGAACCGGGGCTGGGGCGACAGTCCTGAAAATAGTGTCGAGTTCCTCGGTGGCTGGGAAGAGACTACAGCCCGCGGGCCTCGAACGGGCCCAGACGGCCATGATGGTGGCCTGGGGAATACTGAGCTCTTTGGCTATCCAGGTCTCTTATTCGAGGTCCTAAAGAATGGTGCGGTGAGCTGCTTAACTGTTTACTAAGTTTGGGGACGTTTGGCGTTCATAATATAGGATTTTCTTTTCTTTCTATGCATATGTCATACGAATTACGAATGGAACTGGTATTTCCTAAATGAGCACCGTTCATGTCCCTCAATGAGTAGATCAAAAGAGAAGAGTTATCGATGTAAGGGCCCCAAAACTGCTATTTGCACCCGCTAATCGGTCTTGTACATGTATCTCGATCTGTACCAGCAAAACTTACGATTAAGGATAGTAGTTTATATTTCAAGCTTGATGAACAGTTTGAGGAATACATCGTCTATTAAGCCTTTCCAAATCCAATATAGATTGACCCCAGTCCTATGCTTGATGTACATGTAGAGACCCAGCTTAGGATTTGGTATGCAACCTCGACCCTCCAGATTCTTTTCATGATTTACGATATCCAATAGTCTTGAGTTAGGTTATTCCACATTAAGCTTCCATTAACTAGATACAAAACATCGGTCGTCTTCGTCATCGTACATAATGGGACATAAAGCTCACTTTTGGCCTTGTGACATCATATCCGACCGCATCAATTTAAGGTCCCCTACACATTGATTCTCAAGGTACCGTCATATGAACAAGCGAGGTTCACACCCTCTCTGGCATTTTTGCGACAAGACCACTTGCTGGCAGGAGCATTCCCATTCGCATTGGAGTCGAGCACCGCCTGGCCCTTTTCAGGAATAGTGCCATTGACGCGCTGTAGGGCTAGGGTGAAGTGATCAAAGTTGACAGGACCCTCGGGGAACTTGATGTAGTACGCGCCGTTCTGGCATCGCGCGTTCAGAGGAGGCTGCTCTCCGTATTGCCTGGGTCCTTTAGCCTTTGTTTTGAGTTTCTCCACCGAGATCAAGCTACTTACCAGATGACGTTGCATTCGGTTGGTGTGTCGCGGGGATACTGGGCATCTTTTAAGAAGAAGTCGATATAGGCGCTGTCCCCAACGGAAGCGGTGTTGGCGTAGAGATTGGTAATTTCGAGGGTATTGGCTCTCTTGAAGTTTGCTGGAGCCGCCAAGGCTACGCTGATCGCAAGCATAATAGGAGAGAGGGAAAGCTTCATTATGATTATTTTGGGTAATAAAAATGGGATTTTTGTCAAGAGGGTATTGGAAATCTAACAGACCCCTAACGCAGGATTTACATCTCGTTTATATGCTGAACGATTTGGAAATTGCGATATTCAAGACCAAACAAGCTCCACATTAAAATGAGACATGGCGTCTCATATAAGCCCCACACTTCCTGGAGGCGGTATTCAATTCAACATGGTAGCCACTAAACAGGCGAGGCCCGCCCGAAATAGAATCCGACGCGCTTGAATTACAAGATGGGCGCCACAGATGCCGATCACCCCAGCCTCTTTCGCAGAGCTCATGAGGGCCAGAGCATTTTTGCAAATAGCAGATTTGTTTCATCCACGACTCATCTGCAAGGATGACTGGTTCTGCAAGATTCGTGTTTGAAGCATGCATGTCTGAGATGGGCTACGGGTTGTGGACCTGCAAAGCTTGGGCTCAACGCGCTAGGCCCAGATTAACACGCGTTAGTGTGTCTTGGTCAGTTGACGTAGCTGACTCTGGTTGAATGTACGTGCAGTGGCAAGGATTCCAACTTTGTAATCATATCCAAAGTTTCAATGCATCTCAAGTCGAATCAGGCAGTTTCGGCGTTGATAGAAGTCAAGAAGAGGCTTCGAAGGGAATTTATCGTGGGACAAAACAGAGTAATGTGCGACTACTCGCTTCTATGTAAATCGCCGACCGTACCGCCCCAATACTGCAGCTAACAGCCACGGCCGACCCGGCCTCTTTGGCCGTGCCAGATACCCAAATGCAAAGAATTGGTTGGATGACATACGAAGCAGTGGCAACCATCAAGGATCCGAATTTCCCAATAGGCATATTATAAAAAAGAGAGGACCTAAGCAAGCTTCTCGGAAAGCCCTTGACTAAATTGAACTGGTGAGAGGGTATGCAAATAGGTCAAAAATCACTAACAGTAACCGACGTGCGTCCATTTTCATTCTCATACGTATAAAATAAAGCAGTCCCGCGAGACGTGGAAAATCACGTGCTGGAACTGGAACAACTTCTGGAGCTGTCTAGTGCCCAGCTATTTCACGATGCTCGGCATCATCCACTGAATTCCACTGCAAATGACCCCTGCGGTTTGAAATCCAGCTTACCTTCCAAAAACATTTTCCATGGGTCAAGATAGATACGAAGACCAGGACTCTCTTTGAGGTTGAATACGCGAAAGACTAGGTAGACGTCGGAAACAATCCCTTCTTTCCTATCGAGGCTCCAAGAACGACACTTTCATGATGAGCCATATTCTCTTTCGGATAAGTGACAGGTTGCTTACCAAATTCTGTTGATTGTAACTCATGTAAAAAGGCTCATGACAGGCTCCAGTGGTAGATTTCACCTCAATGTGAAAGGTCGTAGTGCTGTCCGCCCAACGATCAGTGTTGAGACCTTGGCCCAGAAGAAAAGCTGCGAGTTCCTTTGCTGTATCTCGTAAAGTAAAATCAGAGTAGAACGATTCTAGCCCTGTGAAAGCTGGGAGGCCATGTCTTTTCCTCATATTGCTAGTCCAGCAATTGGCTCCAAAGCTAGTGGGAAGGTTGGAGCAAAGGAGATTATAGATCTGTTGAGGATTAGCTTACAGCATGATCAGGCTCGTTGCGCCGAGACTCACCATTAGCTCTCCTGAATATCCGGTCTCTTGGTCGTCTTCCCAGGCTGCTTCACTTCTTGGCGGGACGTGTGCTCTGTCAAACATATAACTACGAGAGTATCGCGGAGACTTTGAGGGAGTCTTTTTAATGTTTGCGTCTCTTCCCGGTAAAGCCGACAGTAATCCTTCCATATCCCAAACTCGTCCAATGGACTGGGGCCCACCTTCGAGCTCTGAGGAAACACTTTTGGTTTGATTATCAGCTGTTCCTTTTCCAGAAACGGTGATAGGGCGTGAAATTTCGAAAAGACGATCCAAAAAGCGTACGGGTCGAGTCACCGAGACCCTTGACCGGCTGATCCCGCTATTGTCTTCTCGACTCGCAACATCATGTGCTTCCAGGATCTCCTCGGTGGTTTCGTAAGATATTTCATTGTTTGCTTCAATCGTCTGTGAAAGCTCGACTGAGTCGTCATGGCTTGTGTTTGGTTGATTGCCTAAGCCCGGGCCATTATCTTGGTGCAGCTCCGAGTGGAACCCGTATTGCTCTAGGATTGCATCAAGACGACGGTGGCTTTGAGTGACCAGGATATCCATCAGTAGTCGGTTGCGTTCTTTATCAATTTCCAAGATCCCTGACAGAAAATTGGCTAGGGCTGAATATGGGACATCGCCGGATTGAAGATCTGAGGTTTTGATATATAATGCAAAACCTGTCTCAGATTCCGAGGTAACGAGGTCCCCTTCACCGGACTCGCCCTGTATTTCTCCTAGTTCTCGTTTTAGTATAACCTTGGTCACGCCGAAAACTTTGAGATTTTTGAGCTTTTGCATTGAAGTATTATCCGTCGCACCTGCAAGGAGACTGGTCATCCGACAACATATTAGATGGCGCGATGAATGAGTATTGTAATGGTACAAGACACTTACCGCTCTATGAAAGGTAGTTTTTGAAGAAGCTTATCTGTGAGTTTCTTCTCAAAAGCATAGTCACCCTCTCGCTCAGTAGTCTCCTCCACCTGATATGACAATTTTCGCTCAGCAAGTTCAAGCTGAACAAACAGATGGTGCAGTCGGTTGATTTCATTGAGTGAGAAATCCAAAAGAAGCACTTTGGCTTCGAACGCTCGACGGAGGGTGGGTCTGTCGGCAATAAACCAATGCTGGTTCAGGGTCGCAAACCTGGTTGTTTTCTGTTCGTGCAGAATTTGATATACCGGGAACGCAGCACATCTACCTAGCTTCTTTCGCAATTCGGTGCTTAGACCATGATCTTGACACGCATTGTCGCTTAGCCAAAAAAGAAGATCTTTCACGTGGGATATCTGTATATTGTCCGGTCGGAGTGCAAGCAGTTCATTGACAATATCCACCGTGGCAGCATCTCGTAGGCCAAGGGTGTCCTTGAATAGTCGAGTGCAATCAGGATAGCGATTGAAGATGGAAATAGCAGATCTCAAACAGGGGGGTGCTTTCCAGAAGCAATCTTCCATTTTCAGCCACCGCGGACTTGGTCGAGCAACGAAGATTAATGACCCTTCAGCAAACCGTCTCTTACAATCACTTACAGATTTCAGCCTTATTTTTTCTTTGGTCGCGTTATTAGGTTTTAAAACTTACTTGCGCTTTGCAATGTCCCTAGGCAACAGTTTGGTCATCTCCTTGTAGATGTCGTGTGCATCTGCCGCTGTGAGGGATCTGACCTGGATGCCTCTCAAATATTGAAGGTAGTATTCTAGGTTCAGGTCCGTCGTAACACCCAACAGGGAGAACTTTTGCCACAGAATGTTGTCAGGATCTGGAATGTCGAGAAACGGTAAGATGTCTCGGCATCCGTCAATATAGGTCATATGAGCTCTTGGAAGGAATGATCGACATATAGCAGTTAACTTGCCATTAGAGCATCGTGTCTGCAGATTGGTCCGTACTACAGAAACTGCACCCGCATATTCCTCCTGTCTGTTTGTATTCGGGTGGGAAATAATGGTCCCAATGATCTCTAAGCAGTAGCAGGCATTGCGCCGGCGCACATTCGAAGAGAGAGTGAAATTCGGGAGTCAATGTGGTATAAGAACCAACTTCTCTTAATCGTGGAAGCCATGCGACCCGCAAGGTATTTTGCAGCCATCCAATCCAGGCCTCCGTCCGATTGGAATTTTGTTGCAAATAGAGGGGATGAATCAATGGAATAAGGTTTTCATCAAGCATAGCAAAGTCACTTATCCGAACTTTATTCGGGAGTTCCATGTATAGCTCTTTGCCCTCCGCGTACTTGCCATTTGCCCCGGCCAACCAGAATATATCAGAGGGGAGTATTTGGAACCTGTCTCTTGCACGGAACATGTAACATGCGTGGGAAACGAGATCTTTTGTGGAGACACGCCACGACCGGGCGTTTTTGTGAGTTTCGAGAATTCTCTTGCAGACACCAATAATGTCGAGTGTCTTGACGCCCAATATCTGATACAATTGCCGCCGATCCTGACACTGTGCAGCGGCCTCGTCAACCAACAAGACATCAATGCCATCGGGTATAAAATCATCGCCGGCTTTTGTACTTGCGAAAAATATGTTGTCATGGGCAGGGGTGACCCAGGAGCCGTCCTGAAGAGGAATGATGCGGCAACGCCGTAGCTTCTGATAAAGGCCGGTCTGTCCTTCCTGCAGCGCACTCGCTAACTTGGAGTGCCATGGATGAGGTTTCCCTCTGAATTGCTCACTTTCATCTCGAATAAAATTTTTCAGATCACTCAGGAATGACTCGAAAGGGAGACTCTCCACGCCCAATATCGATAATTCACGGACCTTGTATTGACTCGATAGAAGCTGCTGTTGCCTTTCTTCGCTTCTCAACAAGTACTCTCCGTCATCATCCGTGAAAATGGGCCGTAGATAGAGCAATTCAGTGGGTCTTCGATATGAACCGCTTTTGCTCTCCAAGATAGGCTCAGTCTTAAGTCTAGCTACCAGGCGCCGGCGAAATTCCTCAAATAATGGGGCTCCTATGGAAGAAGACAGACATTTCAAGTAAGCAGGCCAGCTGTACTTCAAATTTGTCAATCTGAAACGTTGGACAGCCTGAATGAATCCCTGCTGCACCCCAACAAGCAAGCCACGATTCCAGTCCGGATTCTCATCGACGTCTTCACGATTCGCAGTCAGGAGAAAGTCGGCATGAATGAGAAACTGGCAGATGTAATTTAATTAGCCCTCTTTTATATCATCTTCTGGCTGGAAACTGACCGAGAAGCCATATTGTCGGATAGGAAGAAAGTTATAAGTATAACAATCTCGGGTCCAGGGGGATTTGCAGGCTGTCAGCGGAAAGGCAATGGCGACTTCGCTGTGATTGATACCAGGCCTTTTGGGCTCACTCGGCATATCTCTGTGTTCATATCGTTGCACAAGGTAAAGTTCTAATGTGGATCCGGAGGGAAGGGAATCACTGTGGATGCTGACTGCTTCGCCTGCTAGATCACGAGATTCATGTCGGACTGAATGTATCTTTTTGTGAGATAATTCTCCTTCCAGGTTTATTTGACGCAAACGGCGAAGGAAAATCAAGAGAGATGGCTGTAAGTGGCGGAGGTCGTTGGTCACGCTTTTAACATTGGGTTGAGAGGGTATCTCAAACAGAAACTGTGTCATCCCCACCTGCAGGTGCTCGGTTGGAAAATCTTCCCAGATGGGCGTAATCATTCCAAGAGGATGACTTTTTTTCACAAACTTGAAAGAGTAGGCCCTTGATGATATGTGTATAGAGTCTGCGAGTTTGAAACTCGATTTGAAGCCAATACCTTTCTCTCCTATGTGGCTCGAAGCGTCCCTAGATGCAGATTTTGTACTCTGCCCGACATGACATATAGCGTCAACGTCACTAGGGGAGAAGCCGACTTCATTGCCGCTAACTAGGAGAAAATCACTCCCAAGATAAAAACTTATTGTTGGGGTTTCCGTCGTGTAGTTGTTGTCATCGGCATTCTGGATAAGCTCAAGGATGAAGTGAGTAGGAGTAGAGTAGAGATTATCGGCTAAACTGGTAGGGTTGACAACGTCAGATGTGGAAACCTATCTTCACAAGGCGATTACCTACATCTCCATCGCGTTTTGCAGGGCTCGGGCAATAACCTCGGACTCGCAGTGCAACCTCTCGCGGCGTAGCCGCTCAATGTGTTTTCTGGCTTCCATTTCCGTAATGTCATGAGAGACTCATGAGATTGAAGGAAATGCCTACACATAGAAGTCGTCTCTACTTATTGGGTGAGGGCACTCACGTGAACATAGCCTATCTTTTGCGCTTGGATGCTATTCGTTGCGAAGAGCGTTTATCTTCCCAATATTTGCCCAACCATTCTTATATGAGCGTGACTGGAATGTGGGCAACGATGCCTTGCATAAGTAAAATCCTTGTTGATCCCTGATAGGCGTGGTGGGCCCGGAAGACTCCCCAGTATCCCCGACGCATGCGACCATTAACAGCGCGTAGAGACCGCCAAAGTCTGGACCATTGCACGCAAGGTTTTTTAGTGGTGATTGCTGTCGCGTCTACCAATTGCAAGCCGGCGATTAACCCTGCTAGACTCGACCCGGTTAATCGGACAAACAATGCGAGTTTCTGTATCTCAATGTACAGAGAATGCACGACCGCGTTTGTCTCTTTTTCCAGGGACAGAATAACAAAAGTGAGCTTCAAATGCAACCTGGGTCCTCTGAAACTGTTGCTCGCTTATATCTGTCCGTTAGCAATCTCATCGAGGGTATTATCTCAGACACAATAGAGACCAATCTACAGCAATGGCGAGATGTAGGAATTCGGAAGAAACCGAGATCAGACTAGGGATTCCCACGATTGAAGGAAAGTAGGTATTCTTGCTCAGAACAATTTGGGCCCAGTCTTTACAGTTCTGTCTTGCTTTCTTGGCAATCCAATTTGAGGTCTTTTTGCTTCGATAAAACGCAAGCTGGGCTCGTCGCTTAACGTGGAAATATTTGATATATTTTCTGTTTCATTCAGTCCGACCTCATCAAACGTGAAAATTGACTGGGCTGCGACTCAAGAGCCTGGCTGTAGCAGATAATCAAATGCTCTAGAGCTATCAAACTTTCAAAGAAGATTTTCAATTCAACATATCAAATTTACCAGCTGAGTGGTGACAAGCGGAAAGATCACACGAAATAGGCCTCAAATGCGACGCGAGTAGGATGACCGCAATATTTGGATACAGTCTTTGGAGAATCTGCCAGTGATAAATCACCTCGGCCCTACAATGTTAGTAGATAGGGCGTCCTCCTTGATGGAAGCACAAACATATTATGTTGGCTTCTCGGAAATTCTAGTGGTATTGTCCTACAGAAGCAGACTATATATGACAGCTCAAATAGAAATTGTTAGACGTTCCAAAAGGAAATCGACACCAAATAAATCGATGTCTGCGAGCTTGCTGTCTTGCATGGAAGCATAAAAAGTTTTTCGAATTCACAGCCGTCGGGGAGTCATGCCTTTGCCATGGTGGAAGGGGAAGAACTGCGCTTCGGGATCGCGCATGCTGTATGGAGAAGCTCATCCCTTATCTTACTCGATGAGGCTACCTCCGCTGTAGATGCATAGTCGGGGCACCATAGTTACATAAATGGGATGTTTTGGCCCCTAGGGCATATTTATGTACGAGCAAGACCGACCGGATTCGGGCCCCAAGTGATGATGAAAAAAAAACCCCGTCTAGCGCAAAGTTCTATAAGTAGGGATAAGGAGCTCTGAATTCACTAGAAATAATTGTTTCCTAAGAATACGACTGGTAGCATTGGAGCAGTCGGCGGGTTTTGACCACAGCCTCTCATCCCTAATTTATCCTGTTCTTGCCGTGATTCTCCTATTTCTATTTCCTAGTAAAAATACCAACCACCTTTATAAATATCAGTACTCGAATCCTCTGTTTCGAAACTTGGAACCCAGTTTTTCGATGACCATCTCATTCTCACGTGACCTCCACGAGACTTACACACCAATACTAAGAGGGCGGTGTGGAGATAGTATGTTACTGCTGGCACATCAATAACAATGGATGTTTTTAGAATACATATATTACCAGTAATAAACTCCAATATCACTGTAATGATACGTAATAATGGTCACGGCGGGTAAATCCAACTCCCGGACTCTCACGATCGGCGCAATTTTTCCAATCAGCGCCCAAACTTAAACTCGATGGCATGAAGGATGTCGAAACCTCGGTCGCTCCCCAAGTCGTGGACGTCGACCCTTAAACTCCCCAAGTCGACATTTCCCCCCACGAGTGTCGCCGGCCGACCAGAAGAAATACCTCAAGCGATGCACCGATGACCTTTACGCCTGGCAGCGCCAGGAACGACCCGCCAACCAGCCCTTCGTCCTGCACGATGGCCCTCCCTATGCGAACGGCGAGCTGCATGTCGGCCATGCGCTCAACAAGATCCTGAAGGACATCATCTGTCGGACACAATTGGGGCGAGGAAAGCGCGTTCGCTATGTCCCGGGCTGGGATTGTCACGGTCTACCTATTGAACTAAAGGCGCTTCAAGGGCTACAAGATACGGATGCGAAGGATGGATCTATGGGTGCAGCTGTCATTCGCAAATCAGCACGTCAGCTTGCGAGGCAGACTGTCAAGGCCCAGATGAAGGAGTTTCGCGGGTTCGGCGTCATGGCTGACTGGGACAATCACTGGAAAACAATGGATAAGACGTTTGAGATGCGGCAGCTGGGAATTTTTCGAGAGATGGTCGACCGGGGGCTTATCTACCGGAAATTCAAGCCAGTCTACTGGTCTCCGTCTACCGGGACAGCGTTGGCAGAGGCGGAGCTTGAATACAAAGACGATCATGTTTCAACGGCTGCATTGATCAAGTATCCGATTGTGGATATTCCGGGGCATGTTGCAAACCTTCCAGAATTGCAAGGAAAAGACCTTAACGCAGTTATTTGGACTACAACGCCATGGACACTACCTGCAAATGCCGCCATCGCTGTCAGTGATTCTTTGGAGTATAGTGTCGTTCACTCTCAGTCCCACGGATACCTTCTTGTTGCACAGTCGCGGGTTCAGTACCTTCAGAGCATGCTGAAGGAGGATTTACCTGTCATTGTACCATCTATTCTTGGCTCAGATCTTGCGGAAAAAGCCTCGTATCGACCTCTGTTCAAGGGCCCAGAAGCCGAGCCCCAGCCCATCATTGGGGCGGAATTTGTCACAGCAGACTCGGGATCTGGACTAGTTCACTGCGCGCCTGGCCATGGTATGGATGATTACGAGGCCTGTCTTGCTCGTGGAATCCCTGTCTTCGCTCCTGTCAACGACGAAGGCAAGTACACGGACAAGGCTATGCCAGAAGATCCTGCGCGCTTGACTGGCAAAGCTGTCCTCGGGGAGGGCAACGGTGCTATCTTGGAATACGTACAGTCCTCTGGCCACCTGCTTGCCCAGCATCGCTATGAACACAAGTATCCTTATGATTGGCGCTCGAAACAGCCGATTATTATTCGCGCCACCGAACAATGGTTTGCAGATGTTGCGGACATCCGCGGGAATGCGCTGCGTGCCCTCGAGGACGTTCGCTTTGTTCCGGAGACTGGTAAGCATCGCCTGCAAAATTTCGTGAAGAATCGTAGTGAGTGGTGTATTTCACGGCAGCGTGCTTGGGGAGTCCCTATCCCAGCGTTGTATCACCGCGTCACCGGCGAGGCGATTCTTACTAAAGAGAGTGTCTCTCATATAATGGAAACCATTGAGCAGCGTGGTATCGATGCTTGGTGGACAGACAGTGCTGATGATCCTGCTTGGGTCCCGGTCTCTCTTCGAGAAGATGCTACTGCGTACCGTCGCGGCACTGACACCATGGATGTTTGGTTCGACAGTGGAACCAGTTGGTCCGAGATCGACGTCCCTATCGAAGGACGTACCCACCCTGCAGAAGTATACCTGGAAGGTACCGACCAACACCGAGGCTGGTTCCAGTCTGGTCTCCTTACTTACATCGCTCACCAACTTGCCTCTGGCTCGTCTGAAAAACCACGGGCCCCGTTCAAGAACCTTATCACGCATGGCTTTACCCTCGATGAGGACGGTCGCAAGATGAGCAAATCGATTGGTAATACGATCCCCCCGCAAACCATCATGGACGGAACTCTCTTGCCTCCGTTGAAACCACGAAAGGGCAAAGGCAAGAAGCAGCCGGAAAGCCAGGAGCCAAGCTATGATGCCCTGGGCCCCGATGCTCTTCGGATGTGGGCGGCAAGTAGCGACTACACGCGCGATGTGGTCATTGGGAAACAAGTTCTCCAAACCGTTCACACAAGCCTCCACAAGTTCCGTGTGACGTTCAAGCTGCTTCTCGGGGCGCTGGCCGATTTCCGACCGGAATATGCGGTGCCATACGAGCAACTGCAGCAAGTCGATCGGATTGCCCTGCACCACCTCTCAGACATGGTCCTGCGGACACGGACTCACTGTGACAACTTTGAGTTTTACAAAGCTGTCAATGTGCTGAACCGCTGGGCTAATCTGGAGTTTTCTGCTTTTTACATGGAGGCCATCAAGGACCGACTCTACACTCTAGGCGAAAACAGCACTAGTCGCCGTGCTGCTCAGACCACTCTTTCCTACGTGTATAAGCATCTCCAGGAGACCCTGGGCCCCATCACCCCCTTTACTGGTCGAAGAGACATGGGAGCACACTCCCGAGGCCATCCGCTCACAGAGCGGACATCCTCTCCAGCGGACTTCGTCACTACCCGCCCCCGAGTGGCAGAACGCGACCTTGGAAACCAATTATGAACAGATCGTTGCGGTTCATACCGTGATTAAGGCCTTGCAGGAGAAAGCCCGAGGCAGAAAACAGCTGGGCTCGTCTCTGCAGTCGTTCGTCCACCTGGCTCTTCCGAGTGGCATGACCGATTCGGTCTTCCACCAGCACCTCTCCGAGCTGCCCGACCTGTTCGTGGTCTCCCAGGTCACCGTTGCCAAGGCTAGCCAGGCTGCTCCAGCAGAGGTGACCGAGGCTGAATGGCAGTACCAGGAGGTGTGTGGGCTGCCTGGCCACCCGGACGCGACCGTCTATGTTTATGCGCCTCAGGCATCCAAGTGTCCCCGCTGCTGGCGTTACGTCGTTCCAGAAGCGGAACCGGTTCCAGACTCTGAAGCTCCAGCGCCGATCTGCGATCGATGCGCTTCTGTGATCGACGAGTTGGAGTAGATCTCTTTACCGTGTTCGAAATACCGTTTGACGTGGAAACGAGCACGGAAGCCAATTGTCGAGCATTACTGCACCTTGTACCATATGCATCATGTACTACTATATTACTTTTTCCCTCCTCAGCCTATAGATCATACCATCCTCCCACAATGTGGGACTCGCATACATCATTGGTGGAAAGCCCAAGCTTCAGCCTGCTGTCCCGCGTTTTGAGCTATTTTAGTCATAAGTAGCAGCAAACAAGCTGAAGGTAATTACTGCCGATCCCCAAGGTTTCCAGGATGACGCATTCCCGGGGGAAATCTTGGCTTGCCACTCGCCCTCCCCAACTGGAACTTCTTGAATTTCTCTTCTTTCCACTCTCTTGTCTCTCTTCTTCATCTGCCAAAAAGTCAAGATGATGATCCCTGAGCCTGAAATGTTTCCCTCTCTCACCGCAGCTTCTCCCTCGGAGACTTCCGTGGTGCCTCTTCCTACGGTGATTCCGGGTCTCCCAATCACCCAGGAGCTAGGCGTCACCGGCAAGCGAACTCTCTGGTACGAACCTCTTTCCTAGACGCGAGGAGAGCTCATAGCTAAAAGGATTTCTACAGGGTCGTGACCGTGTTGATGGGCATCTCCTCGCTGGTCTTCTACAGTCTTGCCGCCCGTGCACCATTGGTAAGCTCTCCTGCAACCGCGCAGTTTAAGCACCGCACTAACCCCCGCATCCCGCAGACCAAGCGGGTATTCCACACTTTAAGTGCGCTGATCACCACCATCTCCTTCATCACCTACCTCGCCCTTGCCACCGGCCAGGGCACCGACTTCAAGTACGCCCACGTCCTGCAGAAGCACAAGCATGTCCCCAACACCCACGACGATGTCTTCCGTGAAGTTCTGTACCTCCGCTTCGTGAACTGGGCCCTCACTACCCCCCTGCTCCTCATCAACTTCGCCCTCCTCTCCGGCCTTCCGGGTGCCCATCTGTTGGCAGCTATCGCGGGCACATGGGTCTCGCTTGCCGCGGGTTACCTGGGCTCTTTCGCTGAGCACACCTCCGTGCGTTGGGTCTGGCTGACGATTACCTGTCTCGGGTTCTTGGTGAGCCTGCACCACGGTGGGTTCCACGCTCAGCGGGCGGCCCGGAACAAGGAGGCTCAGACCCAGCGGTTCTTCACGGCTCTCTCGGGCGCGGGATTTGTCGTTTCGGCACTGTATCCGATGTAAGTTAGCTCCTCCGTGCTCTGGTGACCTGGGATTCCTCGCTAACGCAACGCAGTGCCTTGGCTGCTGGTACCCTCGCCCTGAAGATCAGTGTCGATGTCGAGACCATCTTGTTTGCTGTCCAGGACATTTTCGTTCAGGGCATTTTGGGCTACTGGCTGCTGCTCACGCATGACAGCGCGACTGGAGTGTAAGTTCTTGCAACTCTACCCCCCCCCTCCCCACCAAATAGCAACGGCGTATTAACTTTGTTGTTTTTTTAGGACCCTCCATCTGGATGGTTTCTGGTCGCATGGCGCTGGCAACGAGGGCACGATCCGCCTCGCTGAGGAAGAGGGCGCTTAAGCACCCCAAGTATTTGTACGCCTGTCCGATTGTCGAGAGATTAGTCGGGCAAGGATATTCCGTTTCGGGTTCTAAAATTGTTCTATCGCTTATGCATCAGGCTGCTTCCTGCGATGCTGTACACGAGTAATAAATGTTTTCGTAGGTCTCGTTTCATTCGATGGGGAAGCATTATTTCAGACTGGAAAATTGAGTCACAGCCTTTAAAATATGATTCTCACTTTCTCCCCTCCCTCCTGCTCCATAAAAAAAACAATGCTCCATAACGCCTCCGTAACTCATTGGTCATAGCGCCACTGCCTATCTGTAGAATGAATCTTACCTTTGCCCTCATGAATTCACAGCCCTCAACCTGGTTCTGGTCAGGAGCTTTCTCAAGTGAGATTTTCAAGTGAGATTAGCCGCCGATTCCCTGGGGTAGGAACATCACAAATTACTTAGCCGCCGCTGGTTTTACATCGACCAGCTTCACGTCTCTTCCGATGTCCACTCGAATAACACCCGCCGCCACAGGCTTGTAGTCCATCTCCTTGGCTACCCGGATCGAAACATGGCTCATTGACTTCGGGAGCCAGAAGCCTGAATCGATACAGTTGGCTTTGAAATGGATGCTGCGAAGCATCTGCGGGTCAAACCAGTTGAGGAACGGGTCTGCGTCGACGATGAATCCATTCAGAGTTAGCTTCTTGATGGGCAGGCGAGGGTTAGTGAGTCCTCCTGCCACGACGGCGCGGATCTTAGCCTTTTCGATGGCGAGCTTATCGAGGTATTCCCCCTCTCCGTGGTCGGGGTGTATCTCGCCCGATCCTCCGTTGCCGCTGTTTTAGATGTTAGCTGGTCCTCCCACGCGGGGATGGACGACTTCGAACTTACTAGTAAACAGGCTTGCCCCCAACACGATTGTCCATCTTCCAGCTTCCATCAATTGGCTTCCATAGCTCCTTGCATGGACTGTCCAAGCGCGGCCCAATGGCCATCTCAAGCTCCAGCTCCTCAAGATGCACATTTGCCCACACAGCCTGCCAGATGTACGGCTGGAGAGAATTCGTTATGAAGCTGATGTGCAGGGAACGCAACTGCCGAAATCCAAGCAAAGGCTTCATTTCCTCAATCGCAAGGAAATCATCCTCGGCGGACGGTGTAAACGGGATGAACAGGTCCAAGTGCAGCCGTTTGACATTGCGTGGGATGCCTTCCCATGAACGATCATCCGCGAATTTCTTGAAATAAGGTTGTTCAAAGCCCTCGAGCTGTTCTTCTCCCGGGGTCCGAACGCCGCGAGGGCTTGGAGAAGGAGACGAAGAAGGCACAAGCTTGTTAGGTGACAATAATGGGATTTCGCTTTCCGGAAGGCTGAATTGTTTAGGCGTCTTCGGCGCTCCGAGTAAAGGGAATCGGGAGGACAGCGGGCTCCATGTGCTAGATGTCTTGGGCGAAGCTGGAGATTGAACGCGACGCTGAACCAGCTCAGACCTGCTTGTTGTCGCGGTGACGGTCGAAGTGCGACGAAGAGTTGTTCGCACGCGCAACTTGGGGAGATCTGGGATGCTCACGCCGCGGCGGTGTTTGGCTGGTGGGGTTGGTTCGTCTTCCTCAGGGACCGTTTCAGTGGAGATGACTGTGTCTTTCTCAATGGCTTGATTGAACGGGAATTGCGTATGCAAGCCTTGCTCTTGATCTGGAAACTCGGGTCAGCCTTTCTTTCTTCACATGTTCAGGTGGGGAAGGACAACGGAGAGAACAAAGAAAGGTGGCCTCGCATCGAGGTAGACTACCTCCACAGCTGGGCATGAGTCCGGCGAAATCCCACTGTTAACTCTTACTTTGCTGTAATTCCAGGGCAGGGCGCTGCTCGTGAGTTGCAGCGTCTTCCCAGAATTCCCGACCCATGAGGGTGTCCTCCCAGTGCGCAAGATGCTGTTGATCCATCTTGGTGGCGCGACGAAAGGAGAGAGGGAAGGGGAGTGACGAGGCAGGAAGAAGAATCGCGACACAAGATTCAGCTTCGAAGAAAATCAAAGAACAGGCTGCTGGACCTGCGGCCTGGCTTTTTGGGCGAGGCAGGAGCAACAGTAGTCATTGCGCAGCTCTGGCAGAAAACTGAAAGGCGCTCATCAAGAGCTCGTTTCGATGTACTATGGCTCCTCTGACCTATTGCGATAAGTTCTACAAAGATCTCACGTGGTATTCAATGCACGCTGACGTCTGTTGTTCTGCGGAACTCTAGCCTTCGTATACAACGGGCTTTCCTTGTCGTTATCATTAAGGTATGACAGGTTGGCAGGTAGCCGCAGCACCGGATGAGTTTTCCCCCATATTTCGAGCATTTTTATTAGCTCAAAGCTAGCTAATGTCTTTTTGACCTTCATTAACGAGCCTCGATGGCTACAGGAGAGTGCAGTTGGCTCTAGATGTGTACTTTGCATTGATACCGGGCCAATATTGACTGCCGACTCGTATAGGCAGTAACCACCTGTATCCAGTCGGGTAGAATCACTTAGGCACACAGGTATGCCAGCTTTAGCCATGGATAGCTGGCATCCTGAGCTAGAGACCAGTCAAGAGTCATCTATCAAAATCGCCCAGGTCGTGCGCGCAGGCCCAGGAAGCCATATACTATCAGCGGCATTTTGGACCATATTGCCACAAAATGTGGGGAAATGAAGTTTGAGCAAGGGTGGCCGAGTGGTCTAAGGCGCCGGATTTAAGTTTATCTAAACGGAACCCCGGTCTCGAGAGAGGCGCGAGTTCGAACCTCGTCCCTTGCATCTTTTTGCTTCTTGCGTTTTTTGCTCCCAATATTAAGAAAGCAAAAAAGACAGAAACTACTATAACCCAACTATTCTGTATTTTGTCAATGGAGAAGCTCCAATAGTGTAGGTCTGGTTCGAAACCGCCTGTCCATTTCTGAGCTCTGGACTTGAGCTACAGCGTCACTCTGAGAACTCTGAACCGTGAGGTCGGTTCTAATTCTGGCCCAACCTTAAATTATATATCAGTGCAGTTGTTGTCCAATCTAGCGGGTCCTCCTGATACCGGTGGCAACTGTGACAATTTTCTTATCGACCCGTCATGTGCGAAATCCTGTCCAATATCTACTTGACCATGAAGGCTGTTAATGCGGTCCGAGTCAAGGGGAGCGATTCATAACGTTCAATACTCAGGCTGGGAGTGAGTGGATGGCCATGCTATTTGATCACCACGGGCGCAAACCTGCCAAGTGGACTCGAACAAATACACTACAAGGAACATTTTGAAGTTCAGCTGATAATGGCGGACTTGTGTTTAGTTTTTCCCTTTCCCGCTAAATACATCCATGGACACCCAGGCTAACGGGGGAATCAACCCGCAAGCCACTTTTTTGCATCATCCCAGCTTCGAAGAAATGGGCTGTTAAAAGAAACCCGGAACAGTAATCATGCGTGTATCATTCCAACAATAACCTAGTACTTCTTACCCTGGCGCAGGACATCACCGAACTCCTCCAGAGGGCTGCGAGTGAGCTTGGTGTCCTTCCAGAGGTTGGGAGTAAGGAAACCGTAGGTGTTGACGACGGCAACGAAGGTGGCCTTGAGGGTGTTCTCGAGGGTCTTGGTGGATCCGGAAGAGGAGGTGTAGGCATCCTGGACACCAGCAAGCTGGAGGAGACGCTTGACGGCGGGGGAGGCGACAAGGCCGGTACCACGGGGGGCGGGGATGAGCTGAGGGGGTAAATTAGCCACATGTTTCTCCATAGTAGAGGCGATCGTCTCCAAGTTTCGAAATACTTACACGGACAGCGACGGAACCACACTTGCCGGACTGCTTGACGGGCAGAGAGTGAGGCTCACCGAGGTTGGTACCCCAGTAACCGCGACGGACGGGAAGAACGGCCAGCTTGGCAATGGTGATAGCGGCACGGATGGCAGTGGCGACTTCCTTGGAGGTCTTGATACCGAGACCAATGTGACCCTCGGAGTCACCGATCAGGACGATGGCCTTGAAGCGGGTACGCTGACCGGCACGGGTCTGCTTCTGGACAGGCTTGATCTGTAGATTGGAAGAAAAAAACGTTCATATTAGCAAATGCTGGGCTTGTCGCAATTCCCATGTGCTTCCTCCAGGGTCGACAGCGCGGCGTTCAATTGCAATGGTTGCAACTACCCCAAGCGCACGTATCCCCCGCACAATGGAATTCGGGTGTATCGCACCTTCATAACCTCATCCTTGAGCTTGGGCAGGAAGAAGTCAACGATCTGGTACTCCTTGATGGGGAGAGAGTGCAGGTAGATCTGCTCCATGCTGGTGATCTTGCCGGCCTTGACGAGACGGCCGAGCTTGGTGACGGGCTGCCACTCCTTCTCCTCCTGCTTTCCACCACGGCGACCACGACGACCACGGCCACGGCCACGGTCACCACCACGGTCGCCGCGCGAACCGAAACCTCCACGTCCACGGGGAGCAGCGTCAGCCATTATGAATGTATGTAGGGCGACGAGAAAGGGTTGTCGGGGGGATGTCGATGAGGTCGGACTTGGATAGCCTCAGATGTTTAGCCAAAATCTGCTAAGCGAGTGCGCCGAGCGGGCAAATTTAGAGCCCTAAGCCCTATTTTCCCGGCGGGGAGTATGCTTATATCAGCGCTCCCGGGTCACGGGACTCCGCAGATTTCCAGGTTAGATCCGCCCAGGTGATTGGACTACAGCTTATCTCAATAGGGCAAGTCAAGTGACCGTCCCACTCCTGAACAGGATTGGCGGATCGACTTGGCATCTCCGCTAGGACAAACACAGCAAGCCGAGCAACCTCCAAGCTTGACAATATAGCGGGTTTTATGTTCGAGACCCTGGCATATCTTCAGCATGAGATGTACGACAAACATGCCTATGGAAAATTGACAAGCAAACATGGCCGGTCCTACAGCACATCAATTACCCATCCAGTTATCCCCTAGAATAGAAGTACGGAGTTTCGCGACTAAATTTCCGTATTCGTGGGGCCGGCGGACATGGAATTTCCCCCGTTCTGTCGACTCCGCAGAATTTGAGATGTCATTGCCCCGTCTCGCGCGCTCCAGCCGACAGGGGCCAGCTGATTTCCCCTCTTCCTTGTTGCTTTTTCTTGCTGCTTAGTTTTCGTTCTCTCCTTAATTTCCTCCTTATACCTCCAGTATATTTTTCCTTCCTTCTTTGATTTCTATCACAATGTTGCGCTGGTATGAACCGCCCCTTGACCCGAACCAGGTTCCCCGAAACCTTGAAATCTAATGCAATCAATATAGGTACCAAGCTAAGCTGGCCAAGAGTCCAATTCTCACCGCGAGTGTCACCAGTGCTGTATGACTGCGTCCGATCGTTCTCCCGCTGTCGCTTCCTTCTGACAATTACATTCCAGGTGTTGTTTGGCAGCGGTGATGTCCTAGCTCAGCAGGCCGTCGACCGCAGGGGTCTCCAAAAGCATGACTTTGCCCGCACTGGGCGCATGGCTCTCTACGGTGGAGGTGAGTCGTATCATCAAGAAATTGTCAAAGTTGGCTTCGCTAACTGAATGGCTACTTGCAGCTGTCTTCGGTCCCCTCGCTACCGGCTGGTTCGGTGTCCTTCAGCGCCATGTCGTCCTCAAGGGCACCACTGCCACCACTGTTGCCCGTGTCGCAGCTGACCAACTATTCTTTGCGCCCGCACAATTGACTCTGTTCCTTTCGTCCATGGCTATTATGGAAGGATCCGACCCTGTCCAGAAGCTGAAACATTCCTTTGTTCCCACCTACAAGGCCAACTTGATGGTCTGGCCTTTTGTCCAGGGCCTCAACTTCACATTTGTCCCCCCTGGAGCTGCGTGTGCTTACAGTCAACGTGGTCAGCTTGGGTGGGTTGCTATTTTACCATGGTACCATGACTTCAGTACTGACAATGTTCTCAGGCTGGAACTGCTTCTTGAGTATCCTCAACAGCAGCTAAGTGAACAATCACATCTGATAGAATATAATGTGCTTTTTTGTATGGGCACAGTGTTTGATCTCAATTATCATTGTTTATGTTGTTCATAGAGAATCGGGTTATTGCGACATATACATGGGCCAGGGTCTCGTTCGCACTAGACGATGTAAGTATTTTATTTTTGATTGTTTTTTATTTTCTTTATTTTCTTTTTTTTCGTCAGGGCAAGAGGAATAGAACAGGGGATTTCAAAGGCATCCTATAGTTACTGTTAGAACAGACCAATAGCATCATAATAGTCCATGCGCACCTCAGGCAGGGAATCTCCAGTAATGTCGGGCCATTGCATGGCGACCTTAGGGCTGTGCGGCCCGGCCTAAAGAGGAAAGGCATTTTTTTTGCGTTGCCGCATCTCGAACTTCAAAACTTCTCTGCGGGTCTCCCTCTCCGTGACACGACCCCAATCGTCCCCGAATACGTCCCCTTTCTGCCTGGAGCAGATCTTTCCGACCCCGATCCAGGCTCCGCGTTATTCTTTTTCTCTCACTCAGCTACGCGCAACTTCCTGAAGTCTGAACTTGCCTCATTTCGAGCTGATTCGCGTCACCCACTTTCCCCGCGCATTTGCCTCCATACATACCACCATGGCTGCTGTTGAGAACCCCCCCAGTGGCTGATGAGAACACTGCGCCCGTTGCCGCTCCAGCCAGCGGTGATGTGGTCACCGTCTTCGATGACCCCAACAACTTTACCGTCAAGCACCCGCTGATGCATGAATGGACCCTCTGGTTCACCAAGCCCCCAAGTGGCAAGGTGGGCATCACCTGATAGAATTCTACAGTGTTCACAGGAACGCGCTGACTCTGGATTCATATTAGGGCGATAACTGGAATGACCTCCTGAAGGAGGTTGTCACTTTCAGCTCCGTTGAAGAATTCTGGGGCATCTACGTACGACCCCGCCCTCTCAAGCTCGATAAATTCAAACGCTTCTCTGCTAACTCTCATTTCCTCCCTAGAACAACATTACCCCCACCTCCGAATTGGGCCTCAAGGCCGACTACCACCTGTTCAAGAAGGGCGTGCGCCCCGAGTGGGAGGACCCTCAGAACAAGCACGGCGGCAAGTGGTCATACCAGTTCAAAGACAAGCGCTCCGTCCCCATCGATGAACTTTGGCTGCATGCGCAGCTGGCTGCCATCGGCGAAACTCTCGAGGCCGATGCTGATAACGAGGTCATGGGCGTGGTGGTGAACGTGCGCAAGGGCTTCTACCGTGTCGGTCTGTGGACCCGTACTGTGGGCAAGAGCATTCCCGGTGACAAGAACACCCGCACTCCGGCCCAAGGCAAGGAAATTCTGGAGGCGATCGGCCGTCGCTTCAAGGAAGTTCTGCGCCTGAAGGAGGCGGATGTGGTGGAGTTCTCTGGCCACACGGACAGCGCGCACAGTGGAAGCACCCGTGCCAAGGCAAAGTACACCGTCTAGATATGTTCTGGTGTTTCTGTACTTTTCTGCAAGCTGTATTTCTATCCCTTACGGATTGGGATGAACACGCATGGCTTTTTCGAAAAAAGAGAGATAGATGGCCTTTACGGAACACCACGCGGTCGAGTTTATGGCTACGGGCGCTGAAAATCGGGAGTTTGTTTCGAGAGGAGGATCAAGAAACACATGCAAAAACGAAAAGGTTCCCCTGAAACCCTGCATGTATAGCAGCTTATCTTACTGCTGATGGGCATTTAATGAGGCATGTCTCGTTGACCGGTGTCTTTTTGTCTTGGTATTTTTATTTGGTATTCAAATTCCACGTGATGAATCATGAGCTTCTTTGCTTTGGTAATTGAGCTGAGATGAGAAGAAGAGACGTGTGACAAACGGTCAGCGGAATCTCCCAGGTGGCCGTGAACGGGTATGTATATGTTGTTGATATCGGTATGTGTACGACATAAATACAGATTGAAACTTGCTAGATCGGTATACGAGTACTGCTATTAGATCTATTACCTCGAGGTTGATGGTTAATTTGCCTCAGAGACCATAAGCTAGTATAGTATTAGTTCCGCACTTGCTGGTTGTAGAGGAATCTCTAAGGTTGGTGATTCAAGGTTTTTAGATCCCCCTGGCGAAAATCTCTGCTTACCAGTATATACTCTTAATACTAGCGCTAGGAGGAGGCGAAGGTAAACAAAAGGCTAATTGCCTGCGGGGATAATTCAAGGCCCCAGTTATAATACTGCTTCTCATAGAAACCAGGGCCAGTCGCCCAATACCAACCCTTATCTCTGCCAGTCAGTCTTCCAGCCCCTGCGCTCGGTCTCTATAAACCGCCGGCGTAGCACAAGATCCATGGATGAGCTCAGACGGATTACGAATACTTGCTGAACTTATCGCATGTTACCATCTCATGTCAGCATGTCTCATCAGCAGTAAATCTTGTGTTCCCAGTCTGCAAGTTGGAAGGATCTCCTAAATCACTCCTTAGCAGAATATCACCTATCCTTCAGTTGAAATAGATACCGATCCCATATAAGTGTGGGCGCCTTACATTGAAACGCCTTTAACCTTGAAGGGCAGGTTTCTTTCCCTTACCCAGTTCCAGTTGCCAGTATGATTGAATCATTGCCCACGCTCAGTTGGGCCCGCGGGGCCATCGCCCTCCTTTCCACCATGGTCCTAGTGCTATATTGGTACATTCGCCTTCCAAGCGATATGCCGAGAAATATTCCCAAAGTCCCAATTTATATATCCCTCATAGGGCTATGGAGCGACATGGGCCAAGACGCAATCTTCGATCGCTGGCTGCGCGGGCCATTGGAAAAGCACGGCGCCGTCACAATCTGGTTCGCGGGTCGCTGGAATGTACTGGCTACTCGACCGGATCTTCTGGTGGACATGTTCCGGCACGAAGACGTCTATGCGAAAGCAGGCAGCCAGAAGAAGATTCCATGGAGTGTCATTGCGGCGTGTGTTGGAGACAATATCATCAATGCCCACGGCTATAATTGGCGGCTGTTTACCTCTATCATGAAGCCGGGCTTGCAGCGACGGATCCCGGATTCGGGGCCTCTGCTGCAGAAGTCGAGGCTTTTTGTTGATCTCTTGCTGAAAGACCAGAACAGGCTTGGGAACTCGAATGGTGTCTCTGTAAACCCCGTGATCCAGCGTTGGGCGCTAAGCTGTATGGGCCTGCACTTCATGGGCGTTGATCTACAGGTATAACTGCTGCCATGTTCCCCTCAAATGTTCTCCTCACCCATTGTCGCTAATAAGTATATGGGGGCGGCAGTGCCTCGAAAAGCCCGGGCAGCGAATAGAACAGCTCCAGACGATTATCAAGAAGACGCTCTTCAAGCCTCTCTTCTTCAACTTCCCAGACCTAGACCGATACCCGTACATCTTCCGCCAGCGCAAAGTGGCTTTCAATATAATGCAGGAGTTTGGCGACCTCTTGGTGGATACAGTCACGAAGAGACCCGCCGCCCAATTTGACGCCAACAACACCGAGCAAGTCGTCGATCTCCTCGATCAGGCATTCAAGGAAGGCAAAATCACCGAAGCGCAATACCGCAACAACCTCAAAGTGACCTTCCTCACAGCCCACGAGAACGCCCAACAGCTCCTCAACTCCGCCTTCTGGGAACTGGGCAACAACAAAGCCGCACAAGAGAAGCTCCGCGCCGAGATCCTGGCCATGAATACTACTAACCCAACCACCGACGAAGTAAACTCAATGCCCTACCTCTTCGCCGTCGTCCTCGAACTCCTCCGCCTATACCCCCCCCCGTCTCCCAGCTCATCAACCGCGTAACTACCGCAAGGACTACCCTGGGCGGCAGCATCGCCATCCCGAATCACACGTGGGTGGGCTGGAATGCCTTCGGCGTTCACACGGACACGCACGTGTGGGGGCCCACGGCTCGAGAATTCATCCCAGAGCGCTGGGGGACGGACGTCAAGACCATCCAGACCCAGATGCGCATCAAGACGACGCAGTGCCACTTCATTGCTTTCAATGCCCATTCGCGGAAGTGTCTGGGGCAGGGGTTTGCGCTGCTGCAAATGAAGATCTTGCTGTTTGAATTGCTGCGCCGGGTGCGCTGGGACATCGATCCCACGTATGAGCTGAAATTGACTTCGGTGAGTGAGATTGGTTGCTTGCAGTGTTTTTTTTTTTTCGGTGGGTTCTCGGCTGATAGGGTTGCAGGGAGGCATTTTGGCGCCGCTTGGGCTTCGTGTCGTTCTTCGTGAGCAGACATGTGTCTCTGGTGAAGGTCAACTTGACGATGATACAAGTTTGCAGAATGGGGCATTGAAGGGGGCTGCAGTGATTGGTGAGGCAGGTCAGTGATCCATCATACTTGGCTGGAGTAGATACTACTACGGGTGACAGTTTGATCTCGAGATACCGGCATCAGTACCAGTGCTGCTGCTAGTATTGAGAATGTATTACTGTGTATTCTCTGGCTGCCTCGCAGACATCTGCTCAGCTATATCGATGCGGTCGAACTTGTTGGTAGATATGCGCAGAAGCGGCGGTAGCACAAATCCCCAGCAGGATCGAAATATTACAGACGCTCTTCCCTTTGCCACTTCGTCGACCTGGATCTAGGGTCTTTCTGCTTCTAGTGAGGGCTTGAATTGTAGTTCTGAAGTCGAGCAATTTGTCCGGGAATTTGCTTCGAGTGTGCTCAAACAGCTTTTTGTCATGTCGGACAGCTGCCCGAAGGAAATGTTTAAGGTCGCCATCTTTGATTTATGAGAAAGTAGATATTTCAAGCTCTACTGGACCTTTGTAAATACTTTCCTATGCTTCTCGTAACAAGGTGGGCAATACATTACCGGTTTTTCGATGTCCGTACTGTGGCCCCCAAGAAACATATCCGAGCTGCCAACGCCCTAGAGATCGTAGTGGATCTTGTCATCGAGTATGGAGTATGGGTGGGCTGAGCTGCTTGATGCAGCGTGGCCAACCAAATGTTCCCTGTTTTCTGACTGAGGTCAACATTCAGGCTGGCCTGGGGATAGTAGATCTAAGATTGAGTTCTCCCTTATGGGGAGCGTATTGAACGGGCTCGTGCATTCCTTATTAGCATTCGACGCTGAGCTCCGGGCGATCTTTCTCATCCCCCGATGCCATTACTCGTAGGGCTTTTCATTGCTGTCCTAACCCATGCTTGGAATGAAGGGCGATTCGCTGGCAGATAAGGGAATGGTTTATACGAGAAGCACGCCATCGCATACTGTAAGCGGGAAGACTGAGGGAGCATCTCTGATTGGTTAACCAGTAGAAGCGCCTGAGCCTCATCTTCAAACACGAAGAAAGTTCCTACAGAGAGGTGTGTGTGAAAGTTGGCCTTTCATAGCTAGATAGTTACGGGCAATGCGTGATCATTTGAGCAGAATATTAGACGTGCTACTTGCCTCTACATGCCCACGCGTGTAAGTCCGGCTATCTTGACTCAAGTCAATCGCGCTGTCGCTGATGGGCGTGTTTGACCCACATGAACGTTTCGCATTATTTCCGCCCCTGAGCACTTTCTTTATCAGACGCCTACCTTCGACAACCGGCATGGCAGCTCGTATTAGATGACCAAGTCTGCGTGATTAGAGCACAGATCGAAAGATCGCCTAGTCAAGCCTGGGCTAATGCATATACGGAGTTCGGAGGAGATGTAAATGTACACAGTGTAGATACATCTCGAGATCATAAGATGCTCAGAGTCGCGAACGGGGTTTTCCTGGTACGGCAATACACCGAGAGCTTGAAGTGTCGGAGGCCGGAGTTAATACTCCGGAACCCTTAAAAGGCCATTCTCTCGACATATCGCCGGTGTCGGATTGCCAATATCTGAATACTCTTGGTATAACCCTTGGGAGAGGCTTGGAACTCCATACCTAAGGGGTGCTCAGAACCCCCCCAAGGCTTGGGAGGCTTGGGAGGCTTGGGAGCCTCAAATGATGGCCAGTCATTTGCAGGACGCGTAAGAAGCCCAGCGAGGAGGGTGGGAACTCCGGCCATGGAAATGATCCCATTTGTCGCCTTTTCCTATGTGGGAGATCCTGCCGGGAGCGAAGTCGGCGTTGACCTCGGAGTTCTTACGCCGGGGAATGTTGAAGACGAGTATTTATTTATGTGGCCGACCCCGTCAGCCCTGAAGGGCTTATTCTTTTTCTCCCCTTCTTTTGGCGTTAGAATCTTGCGACTTTCCCAGGTTCAAATGTGAGCCCTGACTTTGGCAGTTGCCGGTATCCATGAAGACATCCAGAACCCCTACCTATTAAGCACTACTCTAAATCCCCTCGCCTCTCCACCGTGACCAATACCGCCCACTACGCGAAACCTCTTATCTACCAAAATTCCTTGGCGAGGCGACCGCCAGGGCCTCCACTTCACGGGATGTTACGAGAGAATAATTACCCCAGAGTCAGGCCAGCGGACATGCGCCGTAGCTCCCCTGGACTTTATTGGGGGGGGGGCACATTCCCACCCGACGGCAATTCCCGAAAGCAGAAGGTCCTCCAATCCACCGACACGCCAGGCCATTGGGCCTTGAATCCCCGCATGGCCGGACTCCGGGGCTTCGCCCAAATTCCCAGCTCAATCGCAGGCCCGTGAGACCCCTCCCGAAACTCAAACCGGGTCGCAAATTGATTCGTCGCGCCATCGTCTCCATTGATAACAATCGCGCGGGGTGAATCTAGCGTTGCAATCGGACCCTGAAAACCATCAGCCGCATTGGACCTCCCAAGACTTTTCGACGTGTTCGAGATTCAGGGAATAAGATCTCACGCAGGAGCCTTTGCAGGCGCCTCCCGCCCAGCGACGGATAGTGAAGGCTTCCCCCCTGGTTTGGTTTCCAATTCGTCGCCACTGATCACAACCGAACCTACGCTAAGGCTGCGATCCTCATGTCGCTAATCTTCTACGGAATGATCTTATTCGCCCGGACGTTGACCTATCTCTAACAGTGCATGATCTTGGGATCCAGGCCTGGCCTGACTCATGCAATCAAAATCCCCAGCAGTACAGGAATACCTAGATCGGTCGAACCCGACCCAAGGTTTCTTTATTCATCGCGTGGACATGGTGGGGAGGGTTCCGCTTTGTCCTCGAGAGGTTATGGAGGGGGCAGATTTGCCACGAGGGCAAGGAATCAGGAAACTCGCTTCCGGTAAGCAGTGATAGCGGCCAACTTGAAATTGCCCCGTCTAATAGTCTGGTCTATCTAGGTCAACCGAAACGGGTAAATGAATAATATCATGTACGGCGGCTTCTCCGAATATCGCGTGATTAGTCTTGATAAGGGTGGGCCACAGTCCTTCCAGAAAAGCGCACTCCATAAAGAAGATTCTGGGAAACAGGCCCAAAAAAGAAAAAGAAAAAAAAATCTCAGGCGAGCTCATGCCTGGCCAGCGACTAATTGGACTCTCAGGCGCCCCGCTTGATTCTCGATTGGATCGAAAGGAGGGATCCTGGGATTCTATGGGCGTATTCGAAGCGGATCAGGGAACGGGTATTCCGTACATGTGGCAGCTGCAGGGCACCCCAGGACACACAAAGTCAACCCGTTTATCCAACGAGGAGCCACGGTCTGGGGTTACATCGGTCAGACCTGAATGGTTATTCGTTCCGGCAGCAACAGAGACCGCCGATCGCGCCCACGGGTCGGGGGTTCAAGCACAAGGGATTCGCTGTGGCTGATTGGCCACGCTCTTCGACAGCTGGACTTTGGCCGTGTTTATCGCCTCCACCTGTGGGCGGAGGCCTGCCTGTCCTGGTCTAAACCACCGGAGTCGAAGTCTTGGCTCTTGGCACGAATGTCAAAGCCCACTCGATTAACTGCTTTATCTCAGAGACATGGCGGAATTATTAGCATTTTCCTTTATTTTCGAGATCCTTTCGGTTCTCGTGCCGATAAGCCTATGCGAGAACCCTCTCCACTGTGACCTCGGAATTGTGGGTGGTAGAAAAAAAAAATAAAAAAATCCATCGGCCTATATAGTATACGACCTGCCTCCCTCTTGGTTTTCTGTTTTTTTCGTGTACTCCTCTATCTACCAGCACTCAATCATTCACCATGTCGGCTGTGGATCGCGAGGCTGAGGTTACTCAGTATGTATCCTGATTGTTTTCTCTCACCTTCGCATCACATCGCATCGCATTTGCCACTTTGGCGCTGCACGCGACTCCGAGGGTGATGGGAGAGATCGTCGGAATAAAAGTGTCTAACAGCTCTGATAGGCAACACGGAATCAACGACTCTCCCGTCGAAGAGATCATCGTCACCAAGCAGGATTCCATCGACTTGGAGAAGGAGGGACGTCCTACTGCCGACGGTGAGGAGCCCACCGACGACGAGAAGCGGGCTCTTCGCCATGTCGCCGAAAATCTGCCTGCCTCCGCCTGGCTGGTCGCCATTGTGGAACTGTGCGAACGTTTCACCTACTATGGTATGTCTGGTCTGTTCCAGAACTACATCCAGCGTCCATTGGACGGGAGCCAGGGCCGCGGTGCGCTGGGCATGGACCACCAGGGTGCCACTGGTTTGAACACCTTCTTCCAGTTCTGGTGCTACGTGACGCCCATCATCGGTGCCATCATCGCTGATCAGTACCTGGGCAAGTACAAGACCATTGTCTTGTTCTGTATCGTATACATGGTTGGTCTCCTGATCCTGGTCCTGACCTCCATTCCTGTTGCCCTGCAGCACGGCGCCGGTCTGGGTGGCTTCATTGCTGCTATCCTGATCATTGGTCTGGGAACTGGTGGTATCAAGAGTAATGTTGCGCCTCTGATTGCCGACCAGTACAAGCGCAAGAAGATGGCCCTGAAGACTCTGGCCAAGACTGGCGAGCGGGTTGTCATTGATCCCGCGCTCACCATTCAGCGTATCTACATGATCTTCTACGGTTGTATCAACGTTGGTTCGCTCTCCCTGCTTGCTACGCCTTACATGGAGCAGTACGTGGGCTTCTGGTCTGGATACCTGCTGTGTCTCTGCATGTTCGCCGTCGGTACCAGCGTGGTTATTCTGGGTCGCAAGTTCTACGTCGTGCGTCCTCCTCAGGGCTCTATCATCACCGATGCCTTCCGCGCACTTTGGATCATGATCATCAACCGCAACATGGATGCGCCCAAGCCTAGCTGGCAGCTGGAGCACCGCAATGTGCAGTCCACCAACAACTGGGACGACCACTTCATTGACGAGCTCAAGCGTGCTCTGGTCGCCTGCAAGGTCTTTGCCTTCTACCCCCTCTACTGGGTCATCTACGGCCAATTCTCTGGCAACTTCGTCACCCAGGCCGGCCAGATGGATGGTCACGGTATCCCCAACGACCTGATGCAGAACTTTGATCCTATCTCCATCATTGTGTTCATCCCGTTGCTGGAGACGCTCGTCTACCCTGCTCTGCGTCGTTTGAAGATCCCATTCCTCCCCGTCACCCGTATCTCTCTGGGTTTCTTCGTCGCTGCTCTCGCCATGGCCTATGCCGCCATCGTGCAGCACCTGATCTACGATGCCGGTCCCTGCTACGAGCACCCGCTTTGCGATGCTTCCATTGTCAACGGTGAAGCTCAGGGCAACAACGTCCACATTGCTATCCAGACCCCAGCCTACATGCTGATCGGTATCTCTGAGATCTTCGCTTCCGTGTCCGGTCTCGAGTACGCCTACACCAAGGCTCCTCCATCCATGAAGTCGTTCGTGCAGTCCATGTACCTGCTTACCAACGCTTTCGGCTCTGCCATTGCTGAGGCTCTGACCCCGGCTGCCTACGACCCTGCGATCTTGTGGATGTTCGTTGGTCTGGCTGTCGCCTCTACGCTGGTTTCCGTCATCTTCTTCGCTCTGTTCCACCACTACAACTCCCAGGAAGAGCAGATGAATGCGCTGGATGCCGATGATGATATGCCTGATGCGCACCACCCTGACTCAAAGTAGTAGGGTTACGCTGTATATTTTGCCTTTGCATCTCTTTTTCTTTCGCTTGTTTTCTTGCATTTGCACTGTGCAAACATGGAAGCAGGGCCTTCCTGCGTCTGGGCTGCTGGCAGATACGTGAGACGAGATACGACTTAATTCTTAGTACAAAATCCAGTATATTATGATATATCAATGTTTTCCATATCGAAGTATGACAAGCCTCAACGGTCGTATTGCGGGGAGATGCAACCCCCGCCTTTCCATCCTCGTCAATTGGCGCCAATTTGAACACCGGAACCGTTTTAGGCAGTACTATTCATTACTATGGATACCAAGCTTTGAATGCCACGGTCTGGTTGCACAGCCTCAAAATTGGCCGCGAGTATTAGTTAGTATTGGCCAAGTGTCATAACTAAGCTTCTGCAACTATACAACGGAGGCCTATGGGACTGTCCGTATCCGCAGCGTGGAGTCACCAGTCCTAGAAGGGCCTCATTTTAACTGCAATTATTCAAATAAATTTTCTTCCCTTCCGTCCAAGGTAATAAGCAATTGATCGCCGAGGCTGTGGAGAGAAAATGCACAATCATGACGTGCAGATGGAAATCGCCACAGGAAAATACTGCCATGTACCTGGTACCTGCGTCAACGTGCAGCTCAATATGGTAGCTTAAGTACTTGTGACCGCCCGCCAACTGGTGGAAACGAATTCCCTGACTGCTGCCTATCGCCGATCCGAGCCTCACAAATATAGAACATCAGCCACACTGAAAGGGGGGGGCCTTCTCGGGTCGTTAAAAAAAAAAAAAGCTCAATCCCTAATATTACCGACTTGAATTCCTCCTGCCTGATCGCTCCTAATACCATACTCCCCCCTCACCTTCTCATAGAAAAAAGAGCATAAGAGTTGTTGCTGGTAGGACCGAAACGCCCCTGACAATCCTAATTTCTGCCACTTCCACCCGCCAGCGGTCCCTATTCTCTCCCTTCCCGTCTCACCCTTCAAACCCTTGAAACCCCATTCCAACCCTGAGACCCTTGCACGTCCCTGTCTAATTATCCTCCGTTCATCATGAGTGTGAGTTTCAATGCTTGGTATGGTCTTGCTGAAACAAATACTGATATTCTTAGTATCAGAGCGTAAACCAGAACCAGGGCGGCTATGGCCAGTACAACCCCTACGGCAGTCAGCAGCCGCAGAATCCTTATGCCGAGCAGCAGAGCTATGGTTATGGCGGCGGCTACGGACAGGGTGGAGATGTTGAGCAGGGCAACGGTGGTGGTTTTGGTGAGTTTCAATGTCGAGTTCTTGGTGATCCCAATGCGACGCGCTAACAATGTTCGCTCCTCAGAGATGTCCAGCCTGCAGCAGGGCGGTCCTACCGCGATCCTCAACAAGTGCAAGGAGATGAACGATGCGATCAATGAGCTGCGCAACAAGCGAGAGGGTCAACTCGCCAGTGCCCAGAATGCCCTGCTTGACTCCAGCACCGGAAAGGAGGATCAATCCGCGCGCCAGAACGTCGACTACATTGAGGATGAGATCAATACTGCCCTCCGCTATCTGCGCGACCAGTTCAAGCGCATCAAGGAGACCCCCGGCTCCGGCGATGCGCGTGTCTCCGGCCAGGTCGAGAACGTCAACCGCAACCTCCGCCGTGAGATCGAGCAGTACCAGCGCACACAGTCCGACTTCCAGAAGCGCCTTGAGGAGCAAGTGCGCCGTCGTTATGAGATTGCCAACCCCGAGGCTACCCCAGAGGAGCTGGAACAAGGTGTCCAGCTTGTGCTTGCTGGTCAGGAGCAGAGCTTCGCTGTATGTATTCTACATTTCGAGACACTGGACCCCGTTCGGTCTCTCGACCCCCCCATGTTGACCAATTCGCTAATTTGGTCGTTTTTCTTTCGTATAGGTCCCTGGTACCCGTTCGCGCCAGGCCAACGATGCCCGCCAGGCTACTCTCCAGCGTTCCGCCGCCATCCGCAAGATCGAGCAGGACATGATCCAGCTTGGTCAGCTCTACCAAGAAGTCGCAGAACTGGTTCACCAGCAAGAACCTGCCGTTCAACAGATTCAGCAGAGTGCCGAAGACACCCACCACAACGTGGAGCAGGCCAATACCAAGCTGGACAGCGCTATCACCAGTGCTCGCAACGCTCGGAAATGGAAGTGGTACGCGTTGGGCATTGTTCGTAAGTGGAACCCACTTCTTGCGATGAACGATTGTATTCGTTGTCCACGTCGCAATTTTTCTTCTCTTTCTATATGCATTCCAGACTAACATCATTTAGTTCTCATCATCATTATCATCGTCGTTGTTGTGGTCGTCGTCAAGGAGACGTAAGCATGGTCTCCTGTGTTCGACTTCGTGCCCCCCCCCCTCCACCCGCATATCCGACTCATTTGTTTCCCTCCCCCCGAGAGGAAAGGGCCTCGAAAAGCAGATCGAGCTTCCTCCTATTGTACCGAACATCCGTCCCGCCTCCCAAACCTCCTTCGTTTCTATACCACCTTCTCGCGTGTCATTTTCCTTGATTTTGTGTAAAAGCAATGCTCGATTGGCTTCATTCCCTTGCGTCTCTTTTCTTTTTAAGTGGGAGGAGCTGTACAGCTGCCTAAGCCCGGTACTGTAACCACCGAATCCCCATTGATGATGACTTCTACTTTTTGTGCCTGTCTCTGCTTCCCCGTATTGGCCATGCTCGCCAGTGCCCTCGATATGGGGATGTACATACTAGATTGTTTGCTTTCTGTCGATGTTTTATTGTTTGGCGCTAGAAACTATGTAATACCGTCTACTAATTGACTCTTCTGCCCGAGATGTGAAATACAACAAAACACAATAATGTAGTTCTTTATGCAATTGTAGTCTCATGATAGTGTCGTGTCGATATAATTACAGCTTTTGCAGCCTTTATCTCCTTGTGACTCGACATTTCGCTGCCAGAGCAGAGCGATCAAAGCCTTAGTATGCTTTACGGCTCCCGATATTGCTAGTCGTAGCTTTCATAGCCTAAGCCTGCGCTTCCCTCTCCTTCTCCCGCTGCTCCTCGGCCGGTGTCTTCGTCTTCAATTGCAGAGCGTGGATCCCGCCTTCCTTGGCCATCTCCTCCTTCAGCAAAGCGTACACCATGCGGTGTCGCGCAGGCTGCATCTTTGACTCGAAGGCGGCCGATGTAATCGTGACACTGCCGACATTAGCATTCAGCCAATATGAAATGTATACATTGGTGTGGTCTGGCTTCATGGACCGAGGCAGGGGGGTGGCGTACTGGAAATGCGTCTCCTTGGACGTTGACCCTTCCATCGCAGCGTGGTGTGCGTGTTTATGCGAGTCATTGCGGATTATCAAGGTCGTTGGGGTGAACGCGTGTACGATCTAGAACAAAGCTTCTCGTTAATAGAGCCCGGGAATCGGTGGGCGCGTGTCGCTTGCCTTGTCGCGCATGAGGTCCTCCATCGGGGTCGCGGAGGCCATTTTGGCGGAGACGGAGAAGAGACGGCGCGGGAACTGCGATGGGAGGGTGCGGAGGAGCATTGGAGATATGCAGAAGTACGAAGTTGGAGGGGGACGCGAGACAAAGAGGCGTATAGAAAGTAATTGTCGAGGAAGTAATCGCGATGCGCGGATTGGACGGCCGTAACTTTTTTGGTTTCCGCGGAACTTCGAGCGACACATCGCATGACATCTCCATCTCCGTCTGCGTGGTTCCACCCTCCCCGCAGCTGCAGAGCGATGCTATTATTATAACACGCACTAGGTGAGATTTGATCTAATGCTGGCGCTGGCTTCGAGGCTCTTGCGACCGTGTCTGCGCGTCAATGCTGTCGCCAGACCGGTGTCAACGGCGTGTGCGCGGCTCTCGACGCTGCCGAATCTTCCTCTCTTCCGCGCCCTGCAGAATCATGATCCGGCCAGCTTAGCGGTGGAACATAGCAGTTCGTCTCGTGCGTTCACATATGGAAGCCTTGTGGCCGATGTGTCACGCGTTCAGCGCGATCTCGAACTTCACGCTGCTAAAACCGCCGGGAACCTAGCCGGAGAGCGAGTCGCGTTTCTTGCAGAGAACAGCTATGACTACGTAGGTACTGTTGCCCTGATCCTCATGATATACGGACCAATACGTTTCCATGATAGGGAACACCATGTGCTGACAATTGCTAGTGACGCTCTTGGCGATCTTTGCCAGTGATGCCATCGCATTGCCTCTATCTCCGGCCTTTCCTGTGAGCGAACTCCAATATATCTTGGATAACTCGCAGGCAAAGCTCCTCCTGGCAACAGAGAAATACGCAGAGAAAGCTACCCAAATTGTCAATGCCGGCCTTAAACGGGAGCCTCTTCTAGATATCCGGCGGAAGATCCATGCTGGGGCCAATCCTGAGCCTGTTGAACTGGAAGATATGAACCAATCATCCTCCGGAGGCATGATGCTCTACACTTCAGGCACTACGAACCGACCAGTAAGGCAGTTATGCATCTATTACCCGTGACGGGGCATTCGCTAAATCTTCCCCAGAAAGGGGTTCTCATCCCAAATTCCGCGCTCGCGGCACAAGCATCCTCTCTCATATCTGCTTGGAACTATTCCCCCCAAGATCGACTTCTTCACCTCCTGCCGCTCCACCATATTCATGGGGTAGTCAATGTGATCGTTGCTCCTATAGTGGCAGGATCCTCCATCGAGTTCATGTACCCCTTCAATCCAGAACAAGTCTGGCGGCGTCTAGCCGCTTCATTCCCCTCTGCAGCTTCCACTCCAAAACCCCAAGTCACCTTTCTTACCGCCGTCCCTACCATCTACACTAGGCTCATGTCCACATTCCCTTCTCTTCCCCCAGAGATCCAAACTGCAGCCAGAAAGGCCATCTCCCCAGAGCATCTCCGCCTCAACATCTCCGGCTCCGCCGCTCTCCCCACTCCCACCAAAGCAGCCTGGAAAGATCTCAGCAACGGAAATGTTCTCCTAGAACGCTTCGGGATGACCGAGGTCGGGATGGCGATAAGCTGTGGCCTCGACTTCTGCGACCGCGTCGACGGCAGCGTCGGCTGGCCTCTTCCCGGCGTGGAGGCCCGGCTGGTCGATACAGACACCGACGAAGTCATCCCAGAGACCCAGGAGCGGGATTCCAGTGGCCGGCTCCGAGAAGGCGAGATCCAGCTGCGGGGGCCTTCGATCTTCCACTCCTACTGGGCGAACGAGGCTGCCACGCGCGAGAGCTTCGTGGCTGATTCGCATGGCGGGTCGTGGTTCCGGACCGGTGATGTAGCAACGAGACGGGTCGTCGACGGGGCTGGGTCGGGCAGCAGCGGGGAATGGGCGAAGGGCCCGATGTATTTCATCAGCGGGCGGAAGAGCGTCGATATTATCAAGACGGCTGGGGAGAAGATTAGTGCTTTGGAGGTGGAAAGGGAGCTGCTTTCTTTGTGAGTATCGTGCTGGCCACTCTCCCTAACGCGGTTTGATTTCAATTTTCTAATTTTCTTCCAGGCCTCAGGTTGCAGAGGCGGCGGTCGTCGGCTTGCCTTCTGAGCAGTGGGGACAGAAGGTTGCGGCCGTTTTGGTCCTGCGGGCTGATGCTGCGACGAGCGGACGTAATGGGCGTGCTTGGGGACCAATGGATATGCGGCGGGCCCTCAAAGATCGGTTGGCATCGTACAAGATTCCTCAGGAGATGAAGGTTTTGGATAGTATTCCGCGCAATGCCATGGGCAAAGGTATGTCGACTTGATCTCAAGTTGGGGAATCCCGGCTAATAGTTTTGCAGTGAACAAGAAGGCCCTCCTTAAAGAAGTCTTTGGTGTATAGAAGGTTGTCAGTGCTGGGTAAAGCTGTACGATTATCCTGGAAGAGAAAATTAAAAATGTAGAGGAAGAACCGAGAGATGAGGTATCATGGTTTTCCGTTGTATGTCGAGAGTTAATCTACGTGATAATGTACAACATAGAATACAAGGATCCGGAGTTTTGAAAAAGATCCGGCATCTTAAGCCCACTCCCTGTCCTCTCGAACCCCTTCACAAATTTCGTGGCTTCCATCTTGACTTCCACGTCCGCCATATCAACACCGGTGATCCGAGCCTTGACAATACTCGAGACATCAATCTCGTCCCTGCCAGGGCAATCGTCAGGAATCTTCACGCTACATGCCACGCCGAGATTCGTGATGATGCCATTGTAAACCAGGCCCTCGCGTCGCGGCACACTGCGAGGCGCTCGTACGAGAACGGAGAAACTCGCGGGAAGTTCGCATTCGGCAAAGTAGAATGCGCGGAAGAGGAGGAGACAGGCCCAATGCTGGGCGGAGTAGTTCGAGACATCGCGCAGGCGAGCGCGGAGAGGCCCGGAGCTGGAGATGTGTGCGTCCAGGTCGGATTTCGTGTAGGGGAGAGGAGAGGATGTTGCTGAGACATTTTCAGCGTCCGGGAGGGCGTTCGGGTTGAGTTCGTCGGGAGCATCGGTGTTGGCATCGAACGGGCGACCGTGTTCAGCTTCGAATCGCAGGGCGGCTTCGATTTGGTAGTGGGCGATCACGTCATTGAAGCGGCGCAGTGGACTCGTGCTCTTGATGTAGGCGTCGAAGCCGAGCATGTGGTGCGGGATCGGTGTGGAGGATGCTGTTGCGTTGGGCATGGCCACCTCGTAGAAGCCCTTGCCGCCGACGCGGTTGAGATTGTCCGGCTTGGCTGGCTCGTACTCTGGATCAAACCAGGTGCCGTTGTAGACGGCGGGGATGTTTCGAGCCGCGCAGAACTTGCCGGAGATGTTCCCGGCCAGAGTCATAAGGAGCATGACTAGATCGTTTTTGGAGTCGTCGGGGACATAATGTGGATCGTGGTCCTCCATCCGGAGCTGGATGATTGGGTCTCCCACGAAATATCGGCCCTGGGAAACTTCCATCTCGTAGGGCTTGGGTGGTTTGCTGCCAAGCTGTATCGCGACAGACGGTCGCGAGCGAGGGAACGGCATCTCCATGGCCCCGTTTTTCCGGCGTTGGTTTCGGAATCCAAGGAGAAGCTGGCGCAAAGTGGTGAAGGTCTCTTTATCCTCTGGGGCAAGCTCTTTGCGGAATTCCTTCTCCGCGCTCAAGGTAGGCTCTGGAATTTTACCTCCAACCTCGAGAACATCGGCAGAGACCTTCGCATCTGGGTTGAGAAACCTTCTGAGGTCTCCATGGGTCAGGCTAATGACGTTGTGAATTCTTCCGTTAGTGATAGAAGTTTCAGATATCTCGCCCTCGAAGTTCATCTTTGCACTGAATGTGAGGGTTGGCCGGCCCTTTTTCAGACTGAAGTGTTCTTGGGTGAGGGCATTTGGGAAAATGGGGTACGTGCGTTCAGGGGCATATAGAGTCTCCAGTCGTGAGCCGGCATATTCAATGATAGGGTCGTTGTGTCCGATATAGGCCGTGGGGTTGGCAACATGGATGTGAATCCAAAAAGTGTCGTCTGAGCCGGGGATGCGCTCCAACGAGAATCCATCATCGATCTCTTGTGCAGTGACATCGTCAACACAGTAGACGGGGAGGTCTCCCCAGTCTTTACGCAGATGCTGCATCGAATCGGTCCATGTTTCAGAAATAGTTTGGCACCTCTCTTCCACTTCTTCCCATCTCAGATCGTCGGCAATGGACACGCCGTGTCCCGGGAGCAGCAGAGTCTGGTCCAGTAGACTCATGTTTTCCCATGGGGCAATGACGCCCAATTCTTGGAGGAAGAGGCGCGCGGAAGCTTCGCTAAGCCCGAGCGTGGTGTACATGCCCGTTGCTCTCATGATATGTGCCGCAGCAGACCTGTGCTGGCCTGAAGACATGATGTTGGAGGGGATCGAATAAAGCTGAAGGAACTCAATGATCTTCCGGTCCGTCTCGTTGAACTTTTCAGTCAACACCTCCCGGTAGACCATGGATTTCCCGTCTTGGTCGGGCTGATACCTCTGGTGAGAGGGTCCCACGCTAGACATGACCGTAGGCGAGCGAACCTTCCGGCTGAGTTGAATCAAGCGTTGGGCCTTTTGGACGAACTGTTGCATAGGGTGGTCCGACATCTTCGACACTCGTTTGCCTTGTAACATATTGATGAGATCATGATCACCTGTGACATAATCAGACTTTTTGAACACCGAACGAACCAAATGATCGGCGTGTTCGCGGCTCCATTCGCTGACTTGTTCGATGATCTTCGCAGTCCTCTTCGGCTGGATCGTATAGGCATCCGAGAAAAGCGTGGACCGGTCCTTCTCGATCAAGAAAGGAGCTCCTCGCACAGCACGATGCACCGAAAACAACATGACATTGTCGAGTTCTTCCTCCTCGACACCGAGACAGCGCATGGTCAGCTCTTCGAGAGTCATACGCTGAAGCTCTGTATCATCCGCAACCCTGTCGTAGATATTGTCCAAAATAAAAGCATTATTTCGGTAGAAATCAAAAATTCCCCGCTCGAAGTCGCGCATGCGTTCCAGTATACGGGCACCTAGCGGGCGAGGAAGCCCACCTTCTGCCACGGCCTGGATCTCTGAATCTAGAGTCGGACGCTTGGTAGGAAAATATGGCTTGATTGGCTCGAGGAGGCCTGGATCCACAAACCTCTTGAGGACTAGATCAATTTCGCCAGGGCTACACAAACGCCAGTTGCCTCGATTGGTGTAGAATTGTCTCTGCTTCTGGATCGACCGTACGTAGATGGCCAGTCCAAAGACACCCTCTGTTGTGAGCAGAGCTACCATGTCCCCTGGTTCTAGGCTCTCGCCATTGTGGTCTCTAGACGCGTCCACTTCGTCTTGGCGGGTCAGTTTCGACGTATCCCAAGCAGAGTCTCCTGGATCTCGCCCATTGAACATATTGCCATGTCGCCGTGTAGCCAGGTCATCCTCCGAGAGCTCGTTTTCAAAGTTGCGGATAGGATCCAGAAGCCGCGGGCTTGACCGCTGCCACGATTCCAGGTAAGCACGGATATCACGGTATGTATCTAGCTCGGCGTGCGCGAGGGGGGGGCTCTGCTATTTTGTCTGCCGCATTTGATGCTTTCGTCGGGGAAATGCTCGGCGGGGCCTGCCCTGCGGACTATGGAGAAGTCAGTTCCGTTTATCATAATCAAGTGCAGAATTTCCATACATCATTTTCGACTTGCCTGTTTGTCGCATGTAATTGTCTGGTGGCGGATGTGAAGCGTCGCCTTGAACGCTGAAAACCCACCAGCTGAGATATGCATGCTGCCCGTCTACGGTGAATATATGGGCGCAAGCACAAGCCATCCACAGCCGCGAGGCCCTTCAGCGCCTGTATTCTAGAGAGCACCATGGCTGTGGTTGTTACCTTCAGGTACGCGGTCTATCGAAAACTTGTTATATTCTGCCAGATAAATCTATACCGCCTTTGTGGCGGTGTCCGGCGCGGAATTGCGCGTGGCGAAGTATGAACCTTCACGTCGTTGGTCTAGTTAGAGCTGAAATATGCTCTGACGTGTTTATGTTGGGTGACAGAAAATAATACCTTGATGGTCCGAGGAATCTATGAAGCATCTGGGATTGACCTTTAGCTAGGTCATGCCCCTCTATAGTTTTTCGGGATGCGTATCGGATATTTGGGCGTATGATGATGCATTTCAATGTCAGATTTGTCATGATTAAATTGAATTTTCTTCTTGGACGGTTCTGTTAAATGGTAAGGCATGGTTCTTTTTGAGCAGACTGGTCTTTTGAGCGTTCGCGAAGTGCAATCTTTTGACTCCGAAGTTACCTTAAAATAGAAAGCAAGGATACAACTTGCAGGTGCGAAGAGATAAAATTCGTGTATCCAGACCGAGAAGCGTAAGGAAGAAAGTGACTAAATTTTAACGGTGTTTGGATCAACTTAATCTCTCTTTTGTTGTCCATATACTCTTTGTATCGCGCTGCTAACTTGACAGAGAGCACGACTACAAACATCACAAACTCGGAAATTTAGTATGCAAGCCATTTAATAGTCTATGTTGTAACCTCAGCTTGGTCCAATGGAAAAATCTTCTTATGTGGAGACAGGCTTCATACAATTGGCTGGACAAGTTCCGGGTAGGCAGGCATATTTACAAAGTACTAATCTGACACTTCGGTGGGCCTGCTCTGATTTAACAAAAATTGTCAACTTGATGCCCTGATACAGCGCTCTGCAGATCATACTGGTATGCGGGCAAGCAAATAACGTATCCCCCGTATTCGCTCTCGTATACAGAAGCCTTCTCGGTTCGGAGGCACTAGATCAGCACATGTGATGTTTAATCTTCCCGCTTTCGTAGAGATTGGCGAGCATCGTCGATCCTGGGAGACAAATGCCACCGCTAAACAAGGTCTGATCGTGACTATCCTTGCTCCCCTTGTCTAAGCGAGCTAGAGCCCGACCCTAATGGCAGCACTAGCGGTAAGCCCTAATCCACGGAGTTCGGTAGGGGACTTTCCCCCCCCGCACGCCCCCGCAAGCTTCCAGAGACCTGCGACGATCACCTACGCTTGTCGGCAGTCGATCAATGGACTCAACGGCGTGAAGTCGAATTGTCTAATGACTCTGATGTTGTTGGCAGGAAATGGATCAGTCTGGCTGTTGCAGAAACCGTGAGCCAGATTGTTTTGCTTATATTTGCTTATATCGGCGCTCCTTTTCGGCCCTAAGGGTGGTCGCCACGAGGTGCAAAAACCAAAAAAGGGGAAGCCAAGGATTTTTGGTGAGCTTCGTAGCTGTGCGTGGTTCCTTTCTACGATATTTTTGGTCTCGGCGTATGTGCGAATCCACAGATCACCGTTGATAGACCAGGCCATTTCCGTCTTAGGAGGCTTATGGAACTTTCGCCATACGGATTGGTCCTGCACCCTTCGTTCGTTCTATTTGTCCGTGTCGCTTAAGCCGATCTGGTAAAATGCACCGGCACTCAATTAGCTCACTGGAATTGAGGGCCCGTGAACAGAACCGAGTCTTTAAGCTCTTGTTCCCCGAGTCTATATGCATGCTCTGGATCGACAGAGCTGACATCTCGGCTACATCGTTGAAAACTTAGCAAAACTTAGATCCCTTGGTGTTGAAGTTCAATTTGATGGGCTATTCTTCCCGATTACGGTCCGAAGCTTGTAACTTTGTAACTCGGATATCAACATGTGGTCTTGCTGATCCTTGATACTACGGCCGCATTACACCGCCGACAATCGAGGCCGTGCTCTCGTCTTAGCCTCCTCAAAGGAATATGGAGCTAAGAATTGGATTAGGAACTACGTCCGTCGGCATAGATGTCAGATTATCCACTTCGCTTGGGGGGGGCTCCGAACCCTTAACCGGTCTCCACCAGATGGGCCCTACGGTCGCTAGTGGATATCTTCCGAGACCATGCTTAGAGGTTGCTAACCATAAATATAATGAGCGGGACTCGCTCTTGACCCTTGTAGTGTGCCTGAAGCATTACTTCATTCAGTAACTTAATCGCCCTGGCGTTCCATACCGTTCCTAGGTGTTCGAGTTCGTAACCCAATCCGAAAGCTTCCAGGGTCTTACTACCGTCCTTGAATCATGGTGTTGAGCAATAGCTTGCGCACCTTTGTGCTATCTGCTGCCGTGCTCGTACCCCTCGCTAGGACTGACATCTGCTCGACTCTTGAGCAGAGTGGCATTACAATCGAATATCCCCTTGCGCTGACATACTCGACCGACCTCACAAAGTACTGGTCGGCAGCATGTGGCGACCTTAAGCCCAGCTGTATTGCGGCGCCAACAAGCGCAGAGGAGATGGCTCACATCGTCTCCGAGCTGCATAATGTCGAGACCCTCTTCGCTGTCAAGTCGGGTGGTCATATGCCCAACAATGGATTTGCTAGTATTGAGGATGGGCTGTTGATTTCGACCAAGAACCTGGGCCAGGTTTATTATAATGCGGATGACGAGACTGCGGTAATTGGCCCTGGTCTCTCATGGGAAGAGGCTCAGAAGGGTTTGGATGGCACGGGGCGTGCTGTTGTTGGAGGTCGACTGGGCGGAGTCGGGATTGGTGGATACATGTTGGGAGGTCAGAATGATGTGACAGAGCCTATCACGTTGGATTTGATGCTAATTTCAAGAAAGGTGGTATGAGTTTTCTCAGTACCCAGTACGGGTGGGCGGCTAACAACGTCGTCAACTATGAAGTGGTCCTTGCCAATGGAACCATCGTCAACGCCAACGCTATGGAGAATGCAAATCTCTTTGCGTCTCTCAAGGGAAGCGGAAACAACCTTGGGATTGTGACCGCCTATACTATGCAGACTCACCCCATTGGCAAGGTCTGGGGTGGTAACTTTGTCTTCGGCGCCGACAAGACACCCCAACTTATGACTGCTCTGCGCAACTTTGTCGACAATTACCCCGACGACAAGGCTGCTATTATTCTGACTTCGGAGCGCGGTGCTTTGATTGACTTCTGGATCATGTTCGTGTTCTACGATGGACCGGAACCTCCTGCAGGCGTTTTCGACGAATTCGAGGCTATTGATCACACTTCGACTGCCAAGACGTGGGACACTTATTATGATTTACTGAAGAATAACGATTTCTTTATTCTCCAGTGGGTTTCTTCAATTGAAGTTCACCGTAGATTCCAGCTAACAGTTCACAGTGGGCAACGCTACGTTATTGCCACAGAGACTACGCCTGTCCCCAATGCCACCGTAGGGGCAGCACCGCTGCAAGACTTGTATGATCACTGGTACAACGTGACCGAGTCAGTACTTGAGGTTGCTGGGGTGCTAGGTTCTATTGCTTTCCAGCCTGTTCCGAAGACGTTCAGCCAAAAGGCCAAGGACCGTGGCGGAGTAAGTTTCAGATTCCGCAAGTCGATTAACGGAGGGAACTAACATATGCTAGGATCTTCTTGATATTCCGACCGATCAAAACTACATTTTTATCGAGCTGGACTTCTCCTACAGCTTCCCCGTGGATGATTCGAAGATCGATCAGGCTACACAGAACCTGTACACCGGCCTGGATAATTTGGTCCAGAAGAACATCGATGAGGGTCTCCTGCCTGACGTGTACCGACCGCTGTTCATGAACGATGCCTATTTCCGTCAAGATTACTGGGGACGTATCAAGCCAGAATCCAAGCAGGCGGCTCTGGATACTCGCAAGAATGTGGACCCTGATCTATTCTTCCAAAGGCGCACTAGCGGTGGCTGGAGGCTGCACTGAGGCGCCTTGGAACTAATTTGACAGATCTATGGATGCGGCTATTATAGTACTAAATCGTGTCGAGTATATTAATAATATCGAGTGAAGCCTAATATAATGTGGAATCAATTATTTAGGGTCTGGGTGCCAGCCACGCGGGAAGTAAATAGCGGCAAAGCGTCAAATGGAGCCGCGACGAGAATGTTGACATCTTGAAGCTCAAACGCGGGAGTTGGGACGGTAAAAATAAAGATCAAACACCCCTGCCGCCCGCATTAAAATAGATGCTGGAGCAGGATGAAACAACTACGCTTGACTCACCCGGGATTTAAGCGCCCGCATCAGACGAGGGCGGCGGACGCCAACGAGTGGCTGAAAAGCGCCCGCGGGATTAGGGCTCTGGCTCCACGCGCCGCGGTGGGGATTCCAAGCCCCCAGATCTACGCTCCTCTGCTACAACTTTAGCTCCAGCTTAAAGCTCTGAAGCTCTAACTATCTCTATGCAGGTACAAGCGGGCCAGTCTTTGCGACCAAAGACAGCTGATTCGTCCAGGTCGGCGGCTGTCAGTCCTGCCCCAATAACACATCAGATCAAATAAGTCGGGATCGCCGTGGGGCGGGTCTGGACTGCTGTCATGCTGCTAAACTGGTCGATTCTAGACCCCTGACTCTTTGGGCCTTCTCTATGGCGTGGGCGGCTGGAACAATGTTTTAGGGCTTTATAAAGGATTAGGGAACGCTCCCTTTGAAGCATCATCATCATCTTTCATTCAGCGTCTTTTTTTCGTTTCGGACTCGGACTGGCCATAATTCCACTCCTTACAACCTATCCTTCGCAAGCATTCCTTACAGCGTATATCATTCTCGACTTTCCTTGAAATCAACCCTTGGATCTTGTTCCAGCCGTCCGCCCGAATATTCTTCGCCTCGCGATCTCCAATCACCACATTCATTCGACGTCTTTTCTTCTTCCGGTATTCATAATGGCACGTTACGGAGCCCTCGGCGCGACCTTTCAGTTGGCCCGGCTATTCCAGTTCTGCTCGTTGATAGCCATTATTGGCATGGTGGCCAAGTTCATTGCAGTCATGGTCAACGCCAACGCATCTCCTCCGAGCATCTTGATCGGCACAATCACCGTGGTATGTCAAGGTTCCCCTTCCCTGTCCAGTACCCTCCATAGCTAACGTTCTAGACCTGCATTGCCGTCATTTACTGTATAATATCGGCGATTCTCTTCTTCGATGATATCTTGCCCTTCCTCCCCAGCGCCGCATTGGACTTTCTTGTCCTGATCGGGATGATTGTTGTGGCTGTTGTGATAGGCAAGCCCCTGTCGTACCTCAGCTGCAACAATATGTCGAACTTGGGTGACAAAGATGCTACTGCTTACGTGTTTTCATCCCACTTGGATAGCTACCTCAGTTCTCTGAGTGGCAAGATCGACTTCTCGGCATGGATCGGAGCGTCGAAGGCGATTTGTCTGGAGAACAAGGCCGTTTGGGGACTGAGCATTGCTTTGTGGTACGTTACTGACTTTCCTATCCTGAGGCTAAGTCGAGCACTGACGGGTTGTAGCATCCTGTTTTTCTTTTCGACTATTTGCAACCTGTGCCTCTGGCGCCAGAAGAAGGCCCTCGCTGCTAGCGACGACAAATAATGAAAACGAGGTTGGGAAGGGGGAATGTCGGTATGGGGGAAAGACTGCCAGCGGGCTTCTCGGTGATCATGATGCATTGCAAGGTTGTTTCTAATCTGGCGCTAGCGTTGGAGCGGGGTTGTGTTTCTTCATTTGAGTTTTGCGCGTAATAATGATCCCTCTCTTTTTGTTTTTGGCGTTGAATGGACCACTAGACTGACAATGGAATTGAATACATGGACTTTGTGTGATAATCGCATCAAATCGAGTAGTTTTCGTGGTGGAGCTAGCCGGTCATAATGGACCAAGCCAGATGGCTAGCAGCCTGTGAATCCACGAGGATCTCTGAGGGCATATCCGCCAATTCCAAGGTTATCGGAACCGTGCCATGACAAGCAGAAGCAAAGATTAAACGGTACAAAGGATCCGAATCCGCTGCCTGATGGCTAGCCGGAGCTCACCGGCGGGATCACAGCGACTTCTTCTCCGGCCTGGATGACACGCTCTGCATCTTCTTCCACATCGACATAGTCCCCTTCGAGGCTCAGGCTACAGGTCCCGAGGACTTTGGTGGTGATTCCTGGGTAGCGTTCCTCCAAGAGGGGGTATAAACGCGATAGTGGCAAAGGAGCGGGGAGACGCTCGGTATTTTTGTTGGTATATTGAGAGGCTGTGGCAAAATAGTGGATTGTAAATGCCCCAGTAGATCCTTGGAAGGATGAAGAATCCTGTGATGCCATTTTGATGGTGAGTTGTAGAGGCGGGGGGTGCGCGTTTAAGGAGATTTTCCGAGGCGGCCCCGATGCGGGGTCGATAACAAGCATTCTCATGCTCAGCCACTAGACTCGGAGCAGCACAAGAAGCTTCGAAGAAAAGCCATTTGAAGAATCTTGATAATTATTCCTCCAAATCTAACATATCTTCGTACGAATATTATAGGGATCTCTGGGAATATCTTAGATTGTTTCTTATTATATTTTATTTCTTACTGGATCTCTCGTCCGCATTCTTCTGATACTACAGAGCTATGCTGCATAAATATCCTACAATATATGGGGCAGACCACACATCAGCAGCTAGCAGAGATACCTGAGTACAAGGCGGCTTAGAATTGTACCGCCTAATCTTTATAGTGCAATCTCTCATTGCAGCCTTTCAATCACCTGTAGCAGGTCGGACATGACACATCTCGCCGTTATCTCTCCACCACCGCCACCGCCCTTGAGAATCACTGGATTGACAGGATCTCTCTTGGTATAGATGCTCACAATCTGGCTACCATTGAGCTTGGCAATGGGGTCATCTTTCTCGATATGTTCGAGCCCCACTTTGATCTTTTGACTGGTAAAATCGATGGAGCCAATGTATCTGAGAACCTTATCCTGCCTCACAGCCTCTTCCTTTGCCGCTGCCATTTGGCTATCGAATCTGGGCAGCTCTCGCATGAACTGTGCTCTTCCGCCGGTGATGACGGGAGTGACCTAAGTTCATCCGGGATCAGAGACTGCACGGGGAATGTCTCGGGTCCCGCAATGTGTAGTCCCGCAACCCGGGCAAGGATGCTGAGCTTTCTCGCGAAATCCATACCGTTGAGGTCGTCGCGAGGGTCCGGCTCCATAAACCCGATTTTCAACGCATGGTTGACGAGCGAGCTCCACGTTTGGTCGGATGTTCCGGATGCTGGCACGTACTCGTCGAATAACAGACTAAGAGTCCCAGAGAGCACACCTTCGATTCGGATGATTTCATCCCCGTTGGCAATAAGGTTTCGCAGAGTCGGTAGAACTGGCAGGCTTCCGCCGACAGTCGCAGTATGGTATACCAGTGCATTCCCTTCTGCGGCGGATGCAAAAATGTCATTGAATAAGGATATATCATAGGAGAAACCCTTCTTATTTGGAGTCACGATCGAAATACCCTGCTTCAGGAAAAAGGGGTAGGACTGAGATAGAGTCAAGCTGGATGTATTGTCCACTAGAATTGCTGGGCCTGGAGCTGATATCAGATGATTGGCGATCTCTTGCGGGGTCAATGCGGCGGTTTTTGTTATCGATGGTGTCGCTGCAGCATCTTCCCAATTTGTGAGCGGGATCGATGGCTCATATGATGGGGGTAGAGTAAGCAGTGCTTGTGATGAGCGAGAGAGGAGAATGACTTTCGGCTGAGGGTTGGGGATCTGTCCCAGCTGGGATAATAGAGCATTCCCTACCTCGCCGACTCCCACGATGCCGATGTAAATTTGTTTCGCCATATTCATACCCGGTCCCCTCCCGATGACTATTCAGAGAGATTAAAAGGGAAATGGAAAATGCAAGTTGGAACATGTGAGTCATGTTAGCATGTAGTCACGTGGCTTGATTTGATACAGGGAGTATGAGGGCTTGTGTTGGAGGTGGGGGCTGACAAGCACGCAAAGTTCATATATCAATTTCAGTTCAATATACTCTTCTGGAATGTTCATGGCATGACACAATTAATGCTGGAAAGGGTCAAAAAAAGCGGTTAACGACAGAAGAAGGATAATTCAAGAGATAGTGGCAGGATAGATGTTCATACGATGCAACTAATGAGCGAGTTCAACGTATAGCATTGGATTATAAACATGTTCAAGCTAGCGAGGAGAAAGAAAAGAGGAAAAGACCCTAAGTGGCCACAAGCCGGCAAGCCTTCTTCAGTTAAAGACGAGCACTAAAAGCTTTCTCTCCACTAGGATACCAAACAAGGTATATGTTCATTTAGGTTTTGACCATGATAAGCGGATGCTGCCACAGGGCCGGCATGTTTGATTGGTGAAGTACTTTGTACATTGATGTTTACAGATAAATTGGGGCTGATCAAAGATCCCAACTATAATCTAGGATATCCTCAGGAGCCTTCTTATAGTACTTCGACAATTTTCAATCCGGAGCCTCCATTTCCCCCTTCTACAAGAATAGCATCAACCCATAATACTGTGTGGTAGACGTTGTGTCAATACTATGATCTGATTGACACAGGAGAGGTATCTCTAGAGGCGATCAGAAATTGCTAGTACGACTCATGGGTGAGCGTGACTGTACTCGTATCATTTCTCGACTGCTCAGGGTCTGTCAACCATCTACATTCATTGTGATGACTGCCGGAAGCAGTAATTGGTCTATTAGTCGTGGAGAGACTAGCTTTTCCCGGCTCTACCAGCGCTCATGATCTGGGATTCAAAGACAGGATGCATTGCAAGTTTTGTATATTTCAATCTGCAGACCTACTTCGAATCTAAATGCACAGCCACCTCAAGTGACTCGAGTTGGTGACATCTACAGGGTCCTATTTTTGACAACTACTGGCGCTTGCCCAAGGAAACGCCCCTAGGTGGCCAAGGAGGGAGAACCGTAGGACGGGTGGCCTGCAACTGACCCCGACAAAGCTGGAAGGAGATCAACAGAACCCCCACAAAGTCTATGGCACGCAACACTTGTCCAATCGGGCTTCTCGAGTAATTCGTTCGTCTATTTAGGCGGGGCAAAGCAGGCATGGACAAACAAACCTAAGCATAGCAGACGTTATGTGGCACGGCTGCTTCGATGCGGTCAGGGGGTTATTCCCTCGTCGGGGCCGATGTAAAGCGCCTGGGAGCTACAGTCTGAAGAAACTTGTTAGCAAAGTCCTTCCATGTTTTCTGTGAAATGAGGTTTAAGGAGAGATGACAGTCATATGTCTGCTTAATTGAATAGGTTGTATCCTCATCTTTTGAGTCGGATATTGCGATAAATGGTTTTAATCATGTCATTGGGTAGGATCAGGCAGCTTGCGCGCACGTACCAGGTCTGAGAATAAGGCACTACATGTCCATGCTGAGCAGGGATCAAGAGTGCCATTCATTCCTCGCGCCGAGACTTCATTGTGCACTTCCGGAGAGACTGCAGGTGAGAAACTTCAGTATAGAAGCTTGCAAAGCCATCGAAGGCAGAGATTCAGAGTGTTAGTCGTCGGATAGAAAAGAAAACAGGAGAAGAACTCAGAATCCTGAACATCAAAAAGACTGAGTAGAAAGCTTTATTTATGGGGAAGGGAAATGAATTTTCTGGCAATACTTACCGCCTTGGGGTGTAGCACCAAAACAACTTGGGGGCTTTTGGCCCCCAACGGTTCACAGAGCTAGGCTCGCTAATATGTTTTAAGTGGGTTCTTGCAAATTGAACTCTGGCCCATTTGTGGGAGCGGTAATGTTTCCAAGTCCATGTAAGATTTTCAGCTTATATTCATAAAAACAGGAGTAAGTGGACTGAACTGCCTTTGCTGGTACTGACCGGTGGGACCCAGCAACGTCAAAGTTTACCGCTTTGTCTTGTTCACCCCTGTCACCGGCTTAGCGTCTAGAGGATGTCGTGGAAATCATGGCGAGTTGGGATGGAGGACCGCTTGGAGGGAGTTGAGTTGTCGCTGTAGTTCTTCCTCTTTCTTCCTCTCCTTTCTAGTTTCGGTAATCTCGAATACCAGGGCCGTTGGCGCTACGCTCTGGGAAAGATTGGCTCACAGAAGCGAAGATATATATATATTGACTAAATGACCACCACCCACCAAACTTATTGATCTATATCTATCACTATGCACTTTACTCTTTTATGTCTCTTACATATGCATATCTTAGCACCGGCATACCATGACCACGGAAATATCACGGATAAGCCTTCATCCAAGCTTCGGACCAACACGAGCTTAGTTCAAGCAAGCGTCAGCCCAGTATGCTACAAACCCAAGACTTCGCCTTGACAAAGAGAACGGGTGGGTTTGCGATGTGGCGGTGGGAGGCATCACCTTGTGTGAGCTGACCTTTGAAGACCGACTCTCGTTCCGACGCCATCTGCGCATACCGATTTGATGACATTGAACTTTGTAGTCCAGTTAGCGTCACCTAAGGGGGCCCTATGATATTCAGGAGCTTTGAGGGCTCATTTCACCTGGAGTACGTTCGAAGCAACTGGTAGCTCATAACCAACTAGGTGTCTTGTCGAAAGATGCCAAACACAGACACAGACACAGACACAGGACCCAAAAAAAAATCAAGACCAAAAACATACGACAGTCAGGATTCCCATGTGGTCACCCACCATAGTACTAACTGACCGGCGTGTGGCTTAAGTACGGCTGAGCGGACGGGAAGCCCTGTTCTCCACACCCTATGGTCGTATGTGGTAGAGTATCAGAATGATTGCATTATACAGTAGCTAACAATTCTGCTACCCAGTGCTCTCTACCCACCGTGGGAAGGGCAAGTGTGTGGTAGACAAGGACCAGCTGTATAACTCTCTCACAATAATTGAACGTCCAAGCCATTTCCGTCAATTTTGGCCATTATGACTCAGACCTCAAGGTCAACGACCGTGAACCAGGCTAAGCTTGATGCGGCCCAGCGACGATATTGTGAAGAGGCCAACAAACGATTCCGAGCTCAGCATAATGCGAAGTTCATCCAACTCATCGTGACGAAAGAGACCTGTCTTAGCGCTCTGGCCGCAGGTCTGATCTGTGGGTAGATCATAAGGCGTTGAATGTGCAGTGCTCCCTAGTTGTGAAGAAATGTCACATAACTATGGTGATTTAACTAACACTTGGCGCAGGCTCTGGCATAAAAGATGGCGTGGCTCCACCGGTACACTCGCCTTCTGGATGCTACCGGTGGTCTTGGGGGCCTGGAATCGATTCCCCTGCCTGCTTGAAGAAGCGCTAGTGAAATCGAGTGATCATCAGTCAATGCTTACTTAGCTCTTACTTAGCTCTCAACGCTTCCTCCAGGGCATTTCAATCAGAAAGCTATATGGAGTAGCAGTCTGCTTAACTGGAACCCGATCCGACCCAAACATGGTCTGGAACACGCCCCATTCGCATCCTTACGGCGTCGCTATTTTGGAGCCCTGGGTTTAAGACCACCCCCAGCTTTCCCCTAGCCAATCGCGCTCATTTATCATCTTCTTTGCAAGGCTCCAACCAATCGTATTTACCCTTCCTTCTCCACAAAAGGGGGAGCGTGATATAGAAATCAACGTCGAAGCTATATTGAACTTGCAGGAAGTCAAGGCGGCCAGAGAGGGTACTCGGACCTCCACACTTACCAATACCCGGCTGCTAATTCATTGGCAACAAAGTTCTTGATTGTCCAATGCAAGAAGCACGGCCATAATGAGGAACCCAGTACCTGGGCAGAAGGCACAGATCAGCTGCGGCGGTACCTTTCCAGTACCCATAAGACGCGGCGTTGGAGCACAAGGACCCCAGTTTACGGGATCTTAAGCGTTGGATATATCTTGCGTTTCTAGCAATATGTAGATCACACCAGGGATATTCGAGACCTGAATATCCAAAGCATCCTCCGCTCGACTCGTATTCGGAATGGGGGGACGTTTCATATAGAGGATAACTGTCGTCAGATCCAGCGAATTCTGAACCGATTCAGATCCCACGTCCAAGCAGTCATCAATACAGGAGCAATGCTGAGAGTGGCTTACAGACTTTGACAAAAGCATTGAAGTACAACTTCACACCCCTACATTTGACCCACTTGCAATCATTTTTGCCCACGGCATACTGTTCTGCCCTGTAACACCAACAGGGCATGTTGTATGCGGTCGTATTCTCACTTAGGAGCAATGGGATGGCTTCTACGGCACACTGCCAAATGTGAAAAACAACGCTACGATCAAGACCGCGGAACAAGACTGGTCATCAGGACAAATTCTCGCGCCAGCAGGTTTTGTTAACGCACAGCGAACCATCACGCACATTTACCACGATACGGGAGAGGCAGGCAGAAAAACAGGAGAGGTAACAAAGGGAACGCGACCTAGCGACGACGTTCCCCGAGTTCATCCACCGCTGCCACAATCTCCTTTCAAGACCACTCCGAGTGCAAACACAGTCTCGCTCTATAACTGTGAAGGATTATTCCTGGGCTAATATTCGATCAACTCAGCCAAAAGACCACCATATCCGCGCTTCATACGCGGATATACCCGGCACGCCTTATACAGTACACCCCTCTAGCTGGAATCCGTGACAAGTTCAGAGTCCACAAAGGGAATTGTGACCTCCCAGATCCCAACCTCCTCAGAATCCATGCTTGCATTGGAAACTTCCATCGTATGAGCGGCCAAGCCGAGATCATCGACAAAATCTTAAAAGATTTTGGAAGAATGTGGTGGGCTTGCTCCGAGTGGGGGGGCACCAACATTGAGGAGCTTCTTGTAGTGAGCACCCTCTCACTACTGTCCTCAAATGTCCGTGAAAGTTCCGCTTCCCAAAAGTCTACGGAGAAACGGCGCCCCACGGAGAACCAAGGACGCCTACATGTGAGATTTGCTGATACTGAGAGCAAACCGTGGACACACTAAATGGAATGCAGTTAACACGGGCGCGGAGGATGGCTTATGGAGTGATGGATTCAAGGCTAGGAAGATTAATCAGGAATTTTTAACTCATGGGGAAAAGGTGCGGGGGCCGATCAGCCGAAAAGAGGAATTGGTCTTAGTTTTTTTTACCCTTAGTTTTCGCCCCTGACAACCGCCAATCACAATGACCATAGCTACTGCAGATTGCCCCTCTTAGCCGCCCCTATGATTTGAATTAGTAGTTGTTAGTAGTTCCGGCAAATCAAGTTTGAGTAAATCACTAAGGACCTGCGTCAGTGAGGCTTGCTTGGCTTTCATGAACGCCCGAACTTGGCTAAGATCTTCAATGTCGCAATCCAGAGTCTCCTGTACAGGCTGCCTATAGATAGTTCGAATGTCTATAAGTTGACGTGCATATCCTCTCTCCTTTCAAGTAAATTCCTATCCCTATTGAATTGGGACCTTCACAATGCGTCTGTTCCCCACACTCGTTGCATGCCTTGTATCCTTGGCAGGCGCACCGCGCGTGTTCGCCGCAAAATCCTTTGCCGGTTCTAATCTGTACTATGCGGCTGGTCTCAGCTCTGATGAACAGGAAACACTCTTCTCTGGCCTTCAAGATGCAGGCGCCAAAGTCCTACGGGTTTGGCTAGACGGTGAATAACACCTTGGAGACTTCTCATTCGCAGGTTGCTAACTTGCCCACAGCGGAAGATAGCCCGCAGAAAAACACCACGTTCACCAGTTACCCTCCATTAGAGTCAGACAAGCCTGGATCGTGGGACGACACAGTGTTGAATAATCTGGACGATGTCATGTTCAACGCAAATAAATACGGCATCAAGCTCCTCATCTCGATCCACAGCTATAACGCTTTAGCCGGCAAGAACGATTTCTACGGGCAGTGGTATGGTACCGGGGACTTCTATACGGACAAGAATGCAATCCAATACTTCAAAAACCGCATCGCGCATGTTCTCGCCCACGTCAATCCTCATAATGGAAAGACCTGGGCGGAGAGCTCCGAGTACATTTTTGCATTTGAAGCCCAAAACGAGGCTATGCATGACCAGGTAACAACATCTACCCAAACAACACATTTTTTCCATGATAGGGTTCTAACCAACATCATAGGCCGATCCAGATGCTTTGACTGCTTGGCAATGCACCATGGGCCAAGCCATCAAGGACAACCTCAATGGCAACACTGGCATCCTCGTGACAACTGGTGGAGGTGCTTATCTTGCGAACTCTTTACTGGATGCTTATTTCAGCTGCAAGGCTCTGGATATGCTCGCAATCCATGCCTACGGAACAAGCGACTTTGCTACAGACCAACTCCAGCCATACGTATCCAAAGCCCAAGCCAGTGGCCAGAAGCTGATCATGGAAGAATGGGGAGCCTGTTACTTTGACTCTGAGAACAATAGCTGCCAGCAATCACAGCCCCTGTCGTCCGACACTCGTGACAACAATATCAAGAAGTGGGCTGATAGTATCAGTGCAGCTGGTATCCCTTGGCTATATTGGCAGATCCTGCCAAATGAAGACCCTCATGAGGGCTGGGACTATGAAGTCGGTATCAACGGCGTGAATTGGGATGCACTCAAGGCTGCGGCTTCGAGCACTTCGTCCTACGATGCAGCATTTGATTTCTCTGGTTTCTTGCTTTAATATGGTCAAACGTGTGGAAAAGTTAACAGGGCACAACCTGGATCTTCAAGGATGTCTAGAGTAGCCAGGACTATTTGTATTACTTCATTAAGCTTGATCTATCCGGTGGACAATCAATTCATGAATTATCGCTCCCGGAGAAAATTCGACACAGCTTCATTGCGTGGTCCTAAAGCTCTTTCGCTGAGCCGTCCTGATTGTACTGGTGTGATAGCTGTTGTACCTGCCGTTCGCAGTCGCTCAGTTGACAGTACACCCCACCACTGCCTGTCACAAGAATAGTGCCCTGCTCTCCTAGAGGCAAAGTAACTCCCTTGGAGGTGGTATCGACCTTGCAGGCATTGAGAGACCCGAGAACGGTCGGATAAAACCAAGAAGACGCGAGTGTAAAGGTGAGCGATTTCGCCTCTGCTTCTCCTTCATGGCCAAATTTGTTTGCCCGGTCGATTCAACCAATCATAATTGATTACCCACCGTGCCCCTTAACTACTTCCCCGTACTTCTTTCTTTGCTCTCCTTGCTTCCTTTCCATCCTTACCGCTCTGTCTCCCTTTTTCAAATACATCCAAGTTGCTTCCGACCTTCTCCTCAAATATTTGGTCTTGCCTCTCCCATATAGTTCTCAAGTATGGATGTTCGACGTCAATTTCCAAATGTGCACTGGATCTGGGGTGGAGGTATCTCTTTCGTTTACGAGGTTCACCCTCGCATTGTGGTCAAAGTTCCGAAGTCTGGAGAATTTGAGAGGGATCAATTTCGCAAAGAGCTCGAAATATATCGAATATTCGCCCAAAACCCCCCTTGTCCCTCCATTGTCCAGTGTTTTCACTTTTCAGATAGTGGCATCTTCCTCGAGTATATGAGAGGTGCGACCCCTGTTAGCGGTCAACTATTCTCTACTGATTTACCTTCTAGATATGTCGCTTTCTTCTAGGATACAAAAAAAATCATACTCGGGACCAGCAAAACATGGTGGTTACTACAGTAGAAAAGTTGGAACCTCTATCCCTACGGAAAGAATGGATGAACGATCTCGCCCAGGCCGTCGCCTTCTTGGAATCCCTTAATCTGGCCCATGGGGATTTACGTCCTGAAAATATTCTACTTGATCGCGACCGACTGAAGCTATCTGATTTTGATTGTACGACGAAAACTGGAACAATTTTTGAAGCTTGCATGGCTCCGTATGGCAGAATACTTAATATCAATGAGTCAGACCAGGGAGAATGTGGAACTGCTGGCTTTCTTGGCCCTCGGACGGAACAGTTCGCTCTCGGTTCCTTATACTATTTGATAAACTACGGTTTCGAAGTCTATGGAGATCGATGTCTAACCGAGGACCCTTACGAGCATGGTCCTAAAGTCGTGGATTTACTACAGAGTATGGAGTTTCCTGATTTAAACGGCGACCCCCTGATTGACAACATCATCGACAAATGTTGGCATAACAAATATGCCACAGTTTCAGAATTAGCTGCGCACACAAAGATGCTTTTGAAGCAAAGAGTTGATGCAGTGGAAAGTCATGGAAGCAAAAGGAAAAAGAGTAGCGACGTGGTAACTCTCGTGGAAGCAGCATTCATTGAATCATGGCGTGTGGTTATGAGTCGCATAACCCGTGGGATATATTGTTGCCTCAGAAGGTGGTGGAGGTCGTTGTGGCGCATTAATGACGAGATAACAGAGAAACCAAATGGTGATAATCGTGGTGACAAGGATCAGAGCCACTCAGGAGAGGATTTCCTTTCGAAGAAGGCATTCTGTCAGGACATGGAGAAGCGTGGACTTCTTCACGTACTTTCGTCAGGCGAGCCCGAGCAAATTGGATTCACTTTCGATTGGTATAGGTATAGCCTTTCGTGTTGAATGATTATATAAACTTCCACGGAATTTTTTCCCTATATCAACTCCTATTCTGCCTTCTTCGAATTTGCGGGGCGACTGGGTCCGGTGTTTCCGGGGTGATCCCTCGTTCAAGAATAACATTCCGAATGTCCTCACAAGGCGATTCAAGTGCGTGTTTGAAGAGATATTTCTTTAAGCCGCTGACGTATATGTTCGCACCATGCTCAGCCAGCAGCCGAAATTCTGCTGGTTTTTCGAGGTTGATCGCAGTGAATAAAGCCAAGCTAGCTTGATAAGCGTTTGCTCCAAACTCGATAAGTAATTTAATAAAAGGAAAGCTCTCATCCCGCTTTATAGTATGATGAAGTGGAAGTGTTAATCGTGATGCTCTACCAGGAAAGCCTCCTATTGATGGTGATCTGCTAATATTCGGATTGGCGCCCAATTCGAGAAGTAGCTTAACAACTTCTAGAGGGGATGGTGTAAAGACTATTGCAGCATAAAGAGGAGTTGAACTATTAAACTTGAAAGAAGTTAGTATCCATAATGAAAATATATTTGGAGTAAGATATACCTTGAATTGGAAATTGACATCAGCACCTAGATTGATCAAATATTTAATCCGGTTCAAATCGGCTCTTTTTGCTGCATATAAAAGCATCTATTGGATTTCAGATTGGATAGTCGATCTATGATAGAAGTAGCGGTAATTCTTCAACTCCCGGAGTAAAACGTCTGCTATATTATTATATCCTTGAGAAGCTGCAGATGTAATTACACATTGACCATATCTATTATATGATAGTTGGCATGCACCCATTGAGATGAGTATTTTGACGAGCGTAAAATGGCCATTACGAGCTGCCAGTGCTAGAGGGCTTCGGCCATAGCTGTCCCTGAAGTTTATATCAACTCCTGCTTGTAGAAAAATTCGCAAAATCTCGATATTTCCATTACTCGCTACGTAAGATATAGGATGCTCTCGTAGACCGTTTACTGGTTGTTTGAGATATGGCGCTCTCCTACTCCATGGCTTTGCGAGCATCCAATAATCGGACTTCCAAAGAACATCTGCTCCAGCATAGAGGATTCGCTCAAGGTTTTCTTGAGAACCATGTCTTGCGGCCCAGAAAAGGGCAGAGGAGACACCGTATTGAGCGTTGCAATAACAAAGGTAGTTGTTAAGTTAGTGGTAAGTTAATGGATGGATCTGGAGGAATGCGTTTAGATCCTTGCATTCAAGCTGTTGTGCAATGAGCACTAAAAGCTCAGATGGAAGCCGAAGAAGTGATATGGTGGTGGTGACTCAAGATCCAAATGGGCAATGGCTACTGTAAAGTGGTCATTTGAAGGTAATCAGTAAGCGAGCCGCCTACTCATATACGGCAATCCCGGGTTCCAGTTGAGCGGGTGGGTCCTCTAGAGCAGCATATATAAGCGAGCTAGTACGGACCAACTTCGGTGGAAAGAAATACCGTAATTAAGACCAACCGACTGTCAAGGCTGACGCACGTGATAAAGAGGCCAGACACGGAGGCCGACCAACCAGCGCAACGGATACTGTACTACATAATAAGACGGTTAACAGGAGGCTGTAAGCGGCAATGCTCAGGCAGTAAGATAGCAATGGCGCGCATCGGGTGATAAACGACTATACATTAAGCGATGCTCTAATTCTTCGCGATCAATCCACTTATCATTTTCATATTGTTACGTAAGAACCATAAGATCGGATACGACAACATTTCATTGTTTACTTGCTTGCTTGGAACCCTGCCCTAACGACGGAAAAGAGATCTATAAGGACCTGGCCTGGTCGGCGCCCTCACCAGCTCTACATTGTCTAAGCAAGACCTCTAAGGACTTGAGCATCTGAGGTCTGTTACCGTGCACGGTCGGTAGGCATTGCATTAGCGTGAAGAGACATATTCAGGGTGACGAGTGACCGAGAGAAGTATCAACTTTGAGGAACCACTCACAGAGACTCTCTAGGAGTGACTCTTAGGCCTAAAAGTTGGGCTATGGGCCTATATTGGGTTGCGCTTTGGACCTAAGGATTAGGCCTACTGTTGAGCACTGAAGATGTTTACTATTAAGAAGACATACTCCTGTCATACATTTTTTATGAAAATAGATCAAGGCAGCCTTTATTCCCTCCAGGTTTGATAATGGCATGAGGCTGAACGAACATATCTATTTCACTGTAGATGGATCTCTACAAGATTCATCAAGCCAATTGCACTCGTTGAGAGAGAGACCTGAAAAAGAGTGAGAACATGTCTATCAAAATCATACTCGTATCAGTAAGAGTGTCCCTTACCACAGGTGAAATAAGCGAATGTATCTTGCCCGAAAATTGGTACTTACCAAGGTCTCGTTTGTAAGGCTTTCGGTAATCTTACCGGCGTTTCGGAGTGATCGAATCTTACTGATATCTGTTTTTTTTCTCATCTTTTTTCGTCAATGCGTGGCAAAGCTCGAACTTATGGGCCGTCACTGCGTGTTCGTCCTTAGGCTTCAACTTAAATTCAATGTCTAAATTCGGCAATGTTTGCTTTAGTGGAAGAGAACTCAGGTGAATGATAATACAGATTATTATTCCTCACTTACCCATTATTTCATCGTTGAAGACCGATTTGGCGTGGGTCACCTCGTGTAAAAATGTGGGTTCAATGGCTTCAGATAGTAAGGAATTCAGATATTCTTGCTTCAATCCTGTCAAAGTCTCAGCCTTGTATCCGAGAATCTGCCGGTCCAGTCGTCCCAGCTATTGCTGCAGATTTTTATGAAGTCTTTAGTGTTGTGCACAGACTCCGTCATAAAAGCTGCCAATAACCACAGCTCCTTATTATCATCTAGCTCTTTCTCCTGGCATGGATGGTCGGTGCGGCCCTAAATTGCTTGTGCTTCCATAATGTCAAGTAATCTGAGTTCAATTAGCCTCTCTATCATAGAACGTGTTAGATGTTGGGTAAACTTTCCAGATATCCAAGTTAAAGACTTACCGCTGCGTTCCACATTTGTCCATCTAGCCTTCTTCCAATTGTTGTCCCCATAATACACATCAATATTGGAACAGCGCCACGACACTTTTGTATTGGACAAGCCCACTCGTCGAACATCGTCGACTCCACAAGAACAGTGTGAATGACCACAGGCTCGACCCCCGCAGGTAATATCGAGATTGCTGCCTCTCAAGTCCCAACTCCTGGAATCAGTCAGAACTTCATGGCGCCTGTCAATTATGTAAGTCAAACATTCTTACTGGTCATATTGGAATATTCATTCATCGTCCGATTTAGATCACCAATAAACGATGTCAAGAATGGACCATGAATACGTCCGTTATTTGGCTGCTGAAGGTTTCATTGGCGCGGAGGCAATCTGTATTGTCCAGTCCAAACGTGATCCACCGTCTCAAGAAATTGGCCTACGGGCAATTATACCACAGTGACATTAGCCTGGGCAGGCCATTAAGAAATGCCTCCTTAATCCGTCGATGCAGTTGTGGCTGTCAAAAAGGCCCGTCGTTTTGGCTAGATTATCCGGGACATCTACTGCGAAATTTTGGGGTGTTAAGTTGGAGGTTGTTCGAGTTTGTCCTCCATATTGGAGGAAAAGAAAGCCAGCAAAGATTTTGCGGTTGCTAATACACTCAACCGGTCCATATCCTCTCCCATAACTTTGTAACCGGTGCTAGATGACAATAATTCAAAGAAAATAGGGGCAGAGTGAAATTAAAAAATTCAAGAACGCATATTTCTCTTGTACATATAAAATACTCAATCAAACGTAGTAACGATTCAAACAGACCCTATTGCTATTGTGTATTCTATAAAGACCTCAAATACTGACGTTCGTGGGCGTAAAATTTTGTCGACCCATTCTCGTGCCCATTCTTCCTCGGCCCAGCAGGTGTAGTGTGCTTTACAATATTCCCAATAGCTAGGATACCACCCCTGATTGCGCCCAATCCACAATAGCAAGGATACAAACTGGCTTGCTAGAAGAGACAACGATGTTGCCTCGATGGAGATCAGCATGAGTAAACTTAATGTCCTCGTTGTCTGGTAAAAAATCCCTCCAAGGGTCTTCATATTTTACGGATGGGTGTCGTCGTCGTAGCAAATTAGCAAACCAGTCATTGAACTCCTTAACGGTTGAGAAAGGGCCGCCTTTCGGGTGCGACTGGCAGAGATAATCTTGAGCTTCCTGGTGGTTTAGGGAACCTAGAATGATTTTGTCAGATGTTTATCTCAATATTTCTATATTTTTTTTCTAGACATACCAATATACTGGTTAGAAGGATCTTGTTCCAATTGGCGTAGACTTTTGATAATCCGAGAGAGTTGATCACGGAGAGAGCTTTTATCCAGGTCATCAAGTTCATTCCAGCGATCCAATAATTTTTGTCCTCGGATAAATTCCATATAAGTAAAAACATGGCTTTCCTCGTCCACTCGCCACCCAAAAACCTCGGGGACTGGAATATCGTCACCACAAGCCCGTTTGATCATCCAAGGACACTGTGCTTCTGCAATTGTGACACAAGGGCCAAACTAATTACTGGTAAACGGTTCTGTAAGCTGCAACAGACTAGTCGCTGACTTCGTCACTACTCTCCCGTGGTCCCAAGGGTCCTCCGGGCCTATAGGCAGGGCCTATACGCGCTGTCTCCCAGTGCGAAATGTCATCCATCTCCTGATGGATCAGAGCTCCGGCTCCCACTCCCCAGTCGAATTCCTCGCGACAGTAGCGGACTGTCCGTCCACATTCGTCGTAGAAAACAAGAAGAATTTTTCCTGCATTACGCCCCTCGGAAGCAAATGTTTTTGCATCAACCACATGCAGGCGACCTGTGACTAGGTGCATGTGATAGAGTGCGTAGAAAAACTGCCAAGGGTGGCATCTTCTTCCGGGTCATAACCTTCTTGTTCTAGAGACTCCGGTCTCTTGCCTCACAGTCATATGCATCTTGAAGAAGCCTATCAGCTTCTTGTTCGTATTCTTCGACCGCCTCTAGCTCCATTCGTCTTTCAAAAAGTTGGGGCAGACGAGTGAATACTCTCTCCCAATTGGAGACATAATTGAACAGAACACTATCACTGCAAATTCAAGGTGTGAAAGAATCCATGGACAATATTTCATTTTCCATTTGAGCCCATTTTTCTTCGGTCGAGGGTTTGTAATATGTATGGAGCCAATAGATATAATCAATTGAATTTAACGCTGTACGTTCCACGCTGGATTGACCGATGCGCTCTAGCAGCTGTTGACTCTGTACTGGAAGCTTTTCTCGCAATTTACGATACTGTTCCACTCGAGCCGCATATGGCTATTCGGTAAAGTTAGTTTATATGGCTGAGATGCTATAGGACTCTTGGTAAACACCGCACGACCGCGGGCTCCGAGCTTAACGAATTCACCGAACAAATGCTCGCGCTAGGCATCCGTGGATAGGGGCGAGTCTTCCTGCCATCGGTCCTGAAATCATCAGACCACATATTTTATCATCAAATGGCAAGTGGATTGCCAGAAGAAACAAGTCGGCTTGAGTAATACGGTAACCAGACATGTCTCGTCGTAGCTGATATCTCGCGATGATCTATCGTTTTGGAAAGAGTAATTGTAAGAATATCCTGAAATGAGTAGACTGTGCAAAGGGAAGGGTAACTCGAAAAGAAAATTCAGGAGACTAAATCAGGGGGAAAGACAATGCGGGAAAGAAAAAAGAGAGATAACGAGCAATTTCGAAACAGGAACCAGCGAGTGAGGCGCATCTAGTGGGTTTGCCCCTCTATGTGGGTCGCTATGCGGCTACAGGGATTATAGCGTGAGACAACAAATTGCGATTTGATCGGATCGTACGGAGTATATCGGTCGAGTGCCGTTGGCGTGTGGTTGAGCCCGCTAGCGCAGTTGACTGTGCAAAGGGCTTTGCTGTGGCACCATAGCAACTTAAACACATATGCTATGGCTGTGGGTTCCACCGTGGCTCTTGCAGTGACATTTCTCAGCAGTTGCGCAGGAACCCATGACAAGAGCTGACCTTGGCTGGGGCGACGAGATCATCGATGCCGCTTGTTTCATCAGATCCTCAACCGTCTGCCGCGAGTAAATCTCGGCGGCCGGTGCGACAGTGTCATGCACCATTTCTGTATCCTCGGATTGGGTCCACACAGCTATATCATTGTCGGGAGTCAACGGTGAAGTATGATGTGCCGATCCATACTCATTGATGCCAGCATCCTCCATCACATAGTCATAGGTTGCGGGTATAAGGGCCACTGCGGAACCTGACCAATGACTCAATGTTGCATGCAATGCATTGTTATTCGGGAGAGCTGTAGAGCGGATATTGTAGAAAGGATCCGGCCTGCTGTAAGAACGCTGGATGTGGTCGTGAGGTACCAAGCTCGACAGGCTGACATCCGATCCATGAGGAATTTGTCGATTGACATAGGAAGCAGGACCGAGAACCGTATCTATTGAGGATTGCCAGGCTGAGCAGGCTTTCTAAATCAGTGGAACAGTCAGCGCTGATAAGACCCAAGACACTAATTTTAGGGAGAAGAGCGGGCCCAGGCGGATTACTTTCTGAGTCTGTGCAAAAACAGTATCAAGGTCGTAGTCGCGAGGGCGTTTTAACGACATCTGGAGTTCGAACGCCGGGGAACTCAGAGAAGAACCGTGGAGACGCGAATCCGGGGAAAAGGGGCGACGCGACCGCGGAACCCGCGATATACTTCCTTTCACGGGTAAGCGCGCGTCCATAGAAACTTCAGACCTGAGGCTGTTCCTCAGACCCGCTTGGCCATTCAAATCACTTCGCTATTTCTCTTCAAGTCCACCATTTCATCTGATCCCAATCGGTTGCCATTAACGGCTGGTCTGCTTCAGGGGCCGGAGATAAGGAGGTCTCCAGCATGTCTCAACTGGCAACGTGAGACCTTATTTGCTGAAGAAAGTCCTTGGGTCCGAAGCCCAACTCGACGCAGGCTTATCTCCATCCCATCTCCATCCCATCTCCATCCGTCCATCCATTTACAGAGGACGGGGACTGTGTGCTGTGGGATCAAGTGGATCCTCGCGGCGATATGGCACGGCTAAATCCGCGCTGCTCAACTGGGAAACCCCGAGGTGTGGCCGATCCGAGTCTCACGATTCATAAATATCACACAGCCACTACTGCGAGAAATCAGAGAGCGTCCATGGTCGACGATGACCTGAAATTCCAGTCACGGCTTTCTTAGCAATTCAGGGAACTCGTAATGGCTCTCCAAAATACAAAATATCTCGTGCGAGAGCTAGGGGGGAGCGTTGGTCGCTCAGACTAGCACAAGGGAAACCATCCTTGAAGCCAATGAAGTCATCATCCATATCAAGTCCGTTGCTATTAACCCCGCAGACTACAAAATGATAGACCAAGGCCATCGATTTACCTCATGGCCGCTTGTGCCCGGTCTGGATGGCGCCGGGGTGGTTGACCAGGTCGGCGCAGCAGTGGAACGGTTCAGTCCGGGCGACAGAGTCGCTGCCCTCTTTGCCCCTGGGGATCGAAGTGCCTCTTATCAAGAGTTTTCAGTGGTGAAGGAAACCTCTGTGGCCAAAATTCCGGACGCGTGGTCGTTCGAAAGTGCCGCAAGTCTCGGGTATGTTATAGTTGACGGCAGCTTACAGTTTCAAAGTCACCTAGGGCCACACTAATCATTCAAATTTTCCCAGGGTTTCTTATCTTACTGCCGTTATGGCACTTGGGGGGGGCTTGCAGTCTCCTCTTCCGTTTCTCGAGAATGGGCCAACCACGGGTTTCGTCCCTTCGAGTGTTCTGGTCCTGGGCGGTAGCTCTGCTCTTGGTGCTGCTGTAGTTCAATTGCTACGTCTTTCACTGCCTGGCAGCAGAGTATTCACTACGAGCTCACCAAAGCACCATGCGTATCAAAAGCAAGTCCTCGGTGTTGATCAAGCTTTCCCGAGAGAGTCTCCTTCTTTAGTCGACGATGTTAAATCAGCCACGGAGGGAGGCTGTGGTGTGGATGCGATAATCGATGCTGTCGGCGCTGGGGCGACCCAATCCAAAATTTTCGAAGCCTTCAATAAAGATGGCCCAAAGCGATATGCGCAAGTCTGGACCGGAGATGACGAGATTCGGGTACCGGACGGTGTGGACTCGGTTTTATTCCGCAGTCGCGACCTTCCGCAAATACAAGGCCACGAAAATGTCATGAAGGCATTGCAAGGTCTGTTAGAAGATGGGAAGTATCGTCCGCCTCTACCACTGCGCGTTGTTGGACGAGGTTTACCAGGCTTGAAGGAAGGCCTGGATATCATCCGCGGGGGTGTCAGTGGGGAAAAGCTAGTGGTCAATCTGTGAAGACTCAATAACATCAATCAGCCGATATAACCCTAATATTTACGATCACTTTTCTGAAAGAATACTGTCTCTAGTCAAACCGTGCGGGGCGTTTCTTGCACCCCCACGCTTAACTCGAGAGCTTTCCCCGCATCGCCCCACTTCAAAGAGCGTAGCCGGCTAAGGCGCCGGCCGAGGCCCGATCTCAATTGGATGGAAAAGCCTCGAACACCTACAGTCGATTCTACCCCGCTCCTAAAACATCATAAGTACATGCTGGGAGTCTTCTGATTTACTCAATTTTACTCAATTTGATTTGACTTCGGCACGCAACATGATCTTCCGCTCAGCACACCCCCCGATCTCAGGTATCCTGGTAGACCCGCCCAACAGCATACTCATAGGAGGCTCACCGATGTCTATGTAGTGCCATTGGATGTCACGCTGTGGGACTGGCTTTTCGACTCACCGTCATCTCCCCTCTCGCAGCACGAGGGCGCCAATCTGGGGGGATTCACGAATGCCATTACGAAAGAGCGCATTCGCTATGACCAGTTCAAAGAATATGCCTCGTTTATTTCCACGGCTTTAGTCCAGGATTTCAAGCTTGCTCCCGGGAACACCGTCGCCCTCTTCAGCCATAACACGGTCTGGTATCCCGTTGCTATGTTTGCGACCACTCGCGTTGGTATGGTTCTGACCCTCCATTCTATCTGGGTGACTGACGCTGACGGCGGATCAATTGGACAGGCAGTGTGATGTCTGGTGCATCGCCAGCTTACAATGTCGAAGAAATGACCTACGCCCTGAAAACCGCCGATGCGAAGATCCTGATGACTGCTGCGTCTTCGCTTTCGGTCGCCATTCCCGCCGCGGAGAACGCAGGGATCCCCAAGGACCGCATTATACTCCTAGAAGGCGAGAAGGAGGGGTTCACGACAATCCATGATTTGATCGCTCTGGGGAAAAAGAAGGGCGCTGCCAAACAGACTCCGCCTTATAAGTTTCGCCAAGGAGAAACTAACAGGGACCTCTGTAGTTTTCTCAGCTTCAGTAGTGGCACCACTGGCCTCCCGAAGGCTGTGAGTGATTTATACCATCAATCCGAACTCAAAGCTTACAATATGTCCAGGTCATGATCTCACACCACAATGTTATTGCCCAATGTATGCAGGTCGAGCCGCTATCACAGAAAGACCATACAAGAGTCCTTGCTGTGCTGCCTCTGTTTCATAGTAAGTATTTGCCCGGCCATATATTGCCGGGGAAAAAAAAAGAAAAAGGAAACGAAAAGGAAAAAAACCCTAATATCTCCTCCAGTCACTGGCCTCGTGCACCAAATGCACCTTCCCGTCCTTCGCAATGCAGAAGTATACATGCTGCCCGCCTTTACCATGAAGTCGATGCTCGACACGGTCGTCACCTATAAAATCCAAGAGCTCCTCCTCGTCCCACCCATCCTCATCCGACTCCTCCGCGACCCCCTCGTGAAGGACTACGATCTGTCGCACGTGCAGAAGTTCTCCTCCGGCGCCGCCCCTCTCTCCGCCGAGGTCACGCAAGAGCTGCAGCGACGCTTCCCGGGGACAGGGTTCAAGCAAGGCTACGGGATGACGGAGTCCTGCAGCTGCATTACCGCCCACCCGCTGGAGAAATCGACGTACGAGTACGCGCACCGCGTCGGCACCATCGTCGCGAACACGGAGGTCAAGATCGTGGACCCGGAGACGGGCGCCGAGCTCGGCGTCGGCGAGCAGGGCGAGATTCTCGCGCGGGGGCCCCAGATCGTCATGGGGTATCTCAATAACGAGAAGGCCACCCGGGAAACATTCGACGCGGAGGGCTGGCTGCACACGGGCGACGTGGGGTTCATTGACGAGGAAGGGTTCATCACCATCACCGACCGAATCAAGGAGATGATCAAAGTCAAAGGGATCGCGGTGGCGCCGGCCGAGCTCGAGGATCTGCTCCTCGGGCATCCGGCGGTGGAAGACGCGGCCGTGAGTCCCATTTCCGACGATTATGCGGGGCAGCGGCCCAAGGCGTACGTCGTTTTGAAGCCGAGCGTGCGTCAGGGGAAGGAGCCGCACGCACTGCTTCCTGTCTTGCGTCAGATTCTGGAATATGTGCGGGCAAATAAGGTGCGGCATAAATGGGTCACCGAGGTGGAATTGGTGAGTGAGATTCCCAAGAGCGCGAGTGGGAAGATTCTGCGGCGCGTGCTGCGGCGCTTGGAGCAGGACAAGGGGCCTGAAGGGCGGATCATCTTCAAGCAGGACGAGACAAAATCAAAGCTGTAGCGGGATTGCTCCTGTATGGCTATAGAGAATTTTCTATACGTGGATCTAACTATTCCGGGTTGCATGAGGATGAAAGGGTAGAAATTCGAAGAGGTATATTCAATGCAAGAGTGATATCAATAGTCTATATGCAAGTGATCCCATTTCCAGCCCAAACGTCGAAAAGACTCCAGAAGGTCGATGATTCGATCATCAAATCGCCCGTGATTTCGTGCAATGCATGCCGCAAGGAAATATTCATACACATCTCATAACGCCAGAACAGTGATTGAAGGGAAAAAGACATGACCTATGCGTCCTCGGCATGGGCGGGCTTCTCCTTGGGACCGAGGTTGTCTTCGTCGATGGTCCAGTCCTCACGGTGGGGAACCTGGTAGGAACTGCTCTTCCATGGAGCGACCTTGGCGACGTACATGTAGTCGAGCTCCTCCAGGGTGCGGCCCTTACCCTCGATGACGAAGAAGTAGACCACGAAGATGGCCACAAAGAGACAGCCCGCGAAGACATAACCGTAGGCGAAGTCGATTTTGTTGGCGATCCGGGTGGTGAAGTAACTGATCAGGAAGTTCCAAAGCCAGTTCGAGGCAGTGGCCAGCGCCATGCCCTTGGCACGGTACTTGGAGGGGAACAGCTCGGCGACGATGGCCCAGACCATCGGTCCCCAGGTCATGGCATACGCCGTGATGAAGAGACAAGCCAACACAATCATACCCTTTCCAGCACCGGGGGTGTTGGTAGGGTGTTTGACGTCGAGAACAAAGTGGCCGATGGAGGCGAAGACCATGAACATGATGAACATCCAGATGGCGCCGAAGATGAGGGACTTGCGACGACCGAAGTTCTCAACGACGTACAGGCCACCAAAGGTCGTACCGAAGTTGACAGCGCCGAGGATGACCTGAGTGACAAAGCTGTTCGAGATTCCAGCTCCTTCGAAAATAGTGGTGCCCTGTCCGAAAGATTGAGGTTAGTTCGGGTTTCCAATTTTTTTTTTCTTCAAAAACCATCCAGTGACTTACAAAGTAGAAAAAATAGTTTGCACCAGTGAGTTGCTGCAGACTTTGCAGGACCATGCCCAGGACAACACGGTAGAACATGCGGGGGGCAGTGAGGAACTCGTGCCACACTTGCGACTCGGACTCAGCCTCGTACTGCTCGCGGATCTCGCCCATCTCTTCGATGATGCGAACGTGGTTCTCCGGGATACCGTACAGCTTGGCCAAGGTGCGCCGGCAACTGTCGACCTTGCCTTTGCGGAACTCATAGCGCGGGCTTTCGGGGAAGCAGATCATGCCAATGCCCAGGATCAAGGAGAACAAGAAGGTGATGCCGAGCGTGATCCGCCACTGGCCCGTGCCGCTCATGGTGTTGGTGCCCAGGTTGATACAGTAGGCCAGGAAGATACCCAGGGTGACGAACAGCTGGTAACAACTGATCATGGCACCGCGGACGTGCCGCGGGGCGCTCTCGCCCTGGTACATGGGGACCAGCAGCGAGCAGCCACCGACCCCAAGACCGGTGATCGTCCGGCCGACGACCATCTGGTACCAGTGGCCGTCGGGGGAGGTGATCTGCACAATCAGACCCACGATCAAGACCATGTTCCACACCGTGATGGACCACTTGCGGCCCAGGAAATCGGCCAGCGGGGCGGCCACCAGCGCGCCCACGAGGGTACCGATACTGAGCATACCGACAATCAACCCCGCACGGTTATCCGTCAACTTCCATTGCCCGTCAATGTACTGGCCATATCTTTCCAGGTAGTTGCTCATCTCTTGGAACCCAGAGATCTGGCCGGTATCGTACCCGAAGAGCAGGCCGCCCATAGACACGAAGAGGGCCATGGTCAGAGATCGGAGGGTGATCATCGGGATCGGAGTGTCCACGACGGGCTCCTTGGGGTGTGGCGCCGGGCTGCTAGAGGCCGAAGTGCCAGGGGCCTGCACGGGGGCCGGGGTGATCATCTCCCCGTGGTCCGTTTCGGTTTCAACACCCATGGTGTGTGAATCGGGAGGTAGTAGTGGTTGTAGTAGTAGTTAAAAGGGTATAGTTCTTCCCAGAGTTAAGTAAACAACCAGGTACCGCCAGGGTCCAAGGGAAAAATAAGGATGAGAAGAAGAGATGAATGACCGGAGAAGAATACAGAACAAGCATCCCCGGGGGGAAGTGGGAAAACAAGGCCTTTTTGTAATGGCCATGCGATTGCCTCATCATTCGTCCGGAGCCCCGTGTGGAGAATAGTGTGGAGAGGACAGGCCCTGCAGTTGCTGCGTTTCACGGGAGACGGCCGAAGCCGACCCTGGGTTTTCAGCATATCCACTCGGAAAAACCAGTCTCTTGTCGTGGGCTGTGGTTCGCCAGTCAGAGCCCAGACGAACCACGCCCGGCATCCTTCTAGGCGATCTCGGGCCCCAAAGAGTTTTTTTAGTGGCAATTCGGCCCCGTCTAACATGCCGAGACCGTTTCTTGGCTCGGCATCGGGGGACGCTTCTTTTTTTTTATGGTTTGTGGTTTTTCTGGCTCTTTTCTTTTGATCGCGACAGGCTTCGGACATCTTGGCTGGGGGAGGAATGCTCCAGGCTGGTTACAATTACTGGGGACGGTCTAATAGCCTACACAAGATGCAAGTCGAATTAGGTTAGGGCATTTGGACAAGTCAGGAGCTGGAGAAAAAGTGGCCCGACTCGAGTCCCCCGGCCCTTCCGGGGAACCCCCAGACATTCTCCGGACTTAACCCCCCGAAGTAAACCCGATACAGTCGCCGGTGAGTCTTGTTCCGGGGACTTCCAGACAAGGAAGGTCTTCTTTGAGGGGGAAATGCGGAGGTTCGCTGGGATTGAACGGTCTCTGACGTGGGCAAAGAGCATGCCAGAATCATGTGACGTCTTCCACTGTTCGGCTGCTTCCCGAGGTCACTTATTGGCGACTCCAGACGCAAAGAATGGGACAAGCAGAAAACCGCCTTCTACATTTGAACCAGTCTAGAGCCCACTCAGGGTACCTGGAATATTCTATCCAGTTCGACTTTGGCAGGAATCGGGTCCGGCGTCCGCAGCGTACATGGTCGCCCAGTGGCGGCGCCACACCCGCAAAGTTGGTTGGCGACGTCATTGCAGAATCTGCATCGTGCAAAAAAAAAAAATTTTGACACTGGGAAACAGAAACAGGAAATCATGATCGGCCCTGCCGGCTCCTCTTTTGGTATTAGGTCTTCCGCTCCATGAAGTAACTGTCACCATGTGCTCTGCGTGATACGACGCAAACAAGGTTTGCGTGCGTGGATTTCTTCCCGTCTTCTCGAAGGCTGTCGTTTGGTGTCACCAACCGGAGTAGATCGTTTCCCCATGGGCGCACACCGCACGCGCATGAGACAGGCTCCGGGCCCCTTTAATGATTACCATTTGTGAACCACTATTCACGAGTCGCTTGTGTAAGACTTGGTCAGCGCTAGGGATTTCATGGTACCAGGCCTGAGGACCGCCAGTGGCAGCAGCTTGGTATTTCGGGGACTCGGCTCTGAGATGCATTGGGATTCCCAAAGACCGATCGCGATCGACTTGATTGCTTGACTCAAAGTACACAGTGTGTACTTCTTATAGGGTAGTCACGATGTGTCGTAGTAAGGGGAGTGCTAGTAATTTATTTCGAGGGCGGACCCACGTATATATTCTAGAAGTTCAAGGATTTTACTATCCGTACTTGTACCCCACCGTCCAGACTTGACACACTAATTATTTGATTTGCAATCCCTGCAATTCGAGCAACAGTAACTAGTCATTCAACGAATCTCCCCAACAATAGGCCCTGTGGCCCCTGGGCGCAACTGCCGTGACCCCAGACCACGTGACCCGACGCGGGGTCCCCGGCTTGTTACGAGTCCGACGCCTCGAAAGTAAAAGTAACGTGAGAACTTCGCTCGAAGGGTAAGGCCCCATTTACTAAAATCTTTGGTACCAAGGCTGGTCAGATGGACTAGATTGAAGATCCTCCAGATTGGTAGTCGGTGCAATTCCACTGCAATTGATAAGCCCAGACTATCTCAGGGCCCCTCCTAGTATCCTATGTCTGATCTCTGGTGTATCGGCCAGCGCGGCGCCGAGGACTGGAAGCTTGCCGCGCAAGACATGGATTCCCTGGGGTCGCTCGGGGGGGCTGTACTGTGCGCATCAGAGGGGACGTTACTGAGATTGTACTCGTGGGACGACCAGACGGCGATGCGCGTCACGCGGTGGCCTTAGTGGCCATCCACAGCTTTCCTTAAGAGAAATCTCTAGCCAACGGCATCCATACGGAGACACGAAGCGGAGAGCGTACGGAACGGAAATCCGTTGTCATCGATGATGCTGATTGATTTTCTATCCGGAGCCATGAAATAGAAAAGTATGGGCATGAACAGTCGCTATGCTTATATATACAATTAGGCGCGCCTGGCAACCAGTTATCCGTAATCCCGGGGTATATCTTTTGTCTACAAAAGGGTGCATTCGGAGAGTCGCAAAGGGCCAAGGATGTCGCATGAGGAACGTCGAAGTCGCAAAGGCCAGTCAGGGTTTGGTCGGATGGTCGGAAGGGCGGGGTGAAAGCAGGGAGTTGCAATGGTGGGAAGATTGCATGGGCTGTCACTGGCTGATGTTTTCTGGTTGGGGCATCTTTTTCTTTAATTTCGCGTTGTCGGCTTCGATCTCTCGCAGGGGCGGTAATTTTGATGTTGCAAGGGCAGATCAACGGCTCTTGGTTTTGCAGACTTCGGTCGCTTCGGGGTTAGAGTCGCTGTCGTGCTCTACTGCATCGGTCGGAGGACCGTGGTAGTTGTGGTATCCCCAGACGCCGTACCAGATGGCGGCGATGGCGACGAACCCAACGAACACAGCCGATGCATAGTTCATACTGTCTTTCGTCACTTTCTCCAGGGTGGGCATGCAGAATAGGGGGACGGCCAAAACACTCCACGCTACCAACAGTTAGCACCCCCCCCCAAAAAGGAAAAAAAAGGAAAAAGGGGAAAAAAAGGGAAAAAAGATTCTTCCACTGAAGCGAGACGTACCAAGGGCGATGATGTTGGAAATGAGACCGATGATGCCCATGTCATAATGGCCGTTTTTGATATCCTCGCGGCGACGGAAAATCAAGGAGACGGCAATGGGGCAAGCATAGCTGACGGTCAAGAAGATGACGCCCACCCCGGAAAAGGCATTGTAAGCAGCGGTGGAACCGAAGTAGACACAGCCGAGGGCAATCTCTACCACCATTCCAAGCAGCATAGCATTGAGGGGGATATCCAACTTCTTGTTGACGGTGCGCCACCAGCCAGAGCCAGGGATCCCACCATCGCGCGCAAAGGCCCATGTGCAGCGAGAGGTTGCCGTCACACAGCCGACGCCGCAGATGATGCCGAGCAGAAGAAGGGGCAGCAGCAACAAGAACGCTCCGGTGGGGTTGCCGATAGCCTTTTGGAAGATCACGGGGACCGGCTGGCCAGACACCAGGTTGACAAGCATCGTCAGATCAGGCATGACAAAGCACATGGGGACCAGGAGGACCAGACCGGCAATACAGTTGGCGACAATCGTCCACACCATGGCCTTGGGCACCATGATGGCGGGCTCCTTGACCTCCTCGCAGATCCTGGATCGCCATTAATATGAGAAACCACGTGCCGAGCAAAAGCAATGGAAAAACGTACGAGATAATCATGCCGGTCGCCGAGGTGGCATAAGCCGCCTGCAGCAAACCAATGAAGAATGACCAGCCCGCCGGCCAGCCAGCTTGGGGCTCGAAGTTGCCAAAGACCCACGAAGCGGATCGGCGACCCTCATGAGCAACAACCAACAGGCAGATGACGATGGCTACCAATCCGACCAGAGTCAGGAAGATCGCAGCAAACTATAGAAGAGCCGAATTAACAAGTGCTCTAAAAAAAGGGTTTTTTTGTTTCTTAACGGACCTCAAGCATAGGCAACCACTTGTTCGCAAGCGACGGGATCGCGTGGGTCACGACGGTGATCGCGAGGAAGACAAGGAATGTCTGCCAATTGGTAAAGTCATCGGTCAAACCGACACCGGGAGACTTCTCGAAGACGTTCAGACAGGCGATGATCAGCAGGGCATTTCCGAAGTTCACGGCGAGGGTGATTGTGATGTTTCCTGCCACATAGGACCAGCCACAGATCCATGATGCGACTCGTCGGCACCATAAAGGCGATAGGACGAACGTTTGGTAGTAGACACCGCCCGCAGTGGGATAAACGGACGTGATCTCCGCCAGGGAGATCGCGACGCACAGAATCAAGAACGAGACCAAGACCCAGCCCCAGATAATATCAGCCGGGCCGCCGGCGGCGAGGAATAGTAGAACGTCGTGCAGAGACCGAAAGGGACCGACGAGAGAATGAAGCACATAAAGGTGACCTGCAGGACGGACCGGTTGCGAGCCAATTCGGGCTTGTATCCCATGCCCTCCAGGGTTTGATCTGCAACCACCGCGGTGGTTCCGGTCTCGACATTGGCAGCCGATAACCGCGATGGGCGGCGGGAATCAGACATGGTTGGGTCGATAGGGCATAGGGTGGCTATTGGGCGATTAACGGGCAATTAATGGGCTCAGGTGGTACAGTAAAAGAGGCGAAAGGCGTTTTATTTCTATTAGCAATGGCCCCTACGGAGTATATGGACTAGATGTCAAAAAGAAATGGCCCAAAAAAAAAAAAAAAAAACGCCCGATTCCCAAACCAGGCCTAGCCGGGAGGCTTTTTTTTCTCCCTCCCTCGCCCATGCGGTTTGTAGCCAATTGTAGGGTGGTGTGTTTCGGTACCAGCCCCACACCCACTCCACAGTCCCTTTTTGCGCGACAAATCGAACTTGGAAGCTCGTCCAAACGGCCTTCCAGAAACCGGATATGATTGGCAGGTGGGCCGCACAGGTCGGCTCGTGTTGGGAATGTTGCGCAGACGGTTTGACAGCCCTGGCAACTCCTTCAGAGCCGATGTTGATCTCGGGATTGAAGATCTCGGCAGCGATATGCAACTTTGTGCTGTGCTATTTCTTCCGTAGGGCTTGGGAACTTCTAACGTACGAGACCGTGTGATGTCATAAGGGCCTATTACTCCAGGCGTACCATGTCCACCTGTCCACCGAGATGGGGCTCGGAGACGCACATTGGACGAACCGCAGACACACACGGATGCGGCAGGTCCTTTGAGGTTACGAAACGCAAGTCGCTTAGCGGAGCCCCTTTCGAGAGGCCAACCCGCACTATCCATTGTGGGTCCTGAATGTCTCCCTAGTTCCAATTTTTCGACTGTTGTGTCAGAGGCTGCCTACTGTGCGCCTTACATCAGTTCCGCTGTAACTGAGTTCAAGATCAAGGCAACGGGAGATGTTCGGAGAATACGGGGGTTCTGAGATTCTGATTCTAGTTTGATAAGCTTATTTAAGCCGGCCCTGTCCTGCCCAGGTGAATCAGAAATCTATCGCCACTTTGAGCGCCTGATGCTGTGCGGCGGTGCGGAAAGTTTCGTAGGCCTGGCCGGCCTTGCCACAGGCAAAATCTTAAATGAAACATGGTTAGAAGCGGGAGGAAAAAGCATCCAGGCATTCTCAGGGCGTCCGAACTTACGGTGCGTCACCAACGACCCCGTCTCTAAGACCCCCGACTCCACCAGTCGTAGGAGCCGAGGTGTGGTGCTCGCATTTACCAGGGCCATGTGGATACCTAAACAAGATCTCAATCAGGGGCCCTTCCCTTCTTCGACGAAGGGGGGATCAGTAGAGGATTCACGTACTAATGTTGCGGTCCCAGAGGGTCTCCAGGTGGAGGTCGACCTTAGTGCCATGCACGCCGACGTTGGCAATCCGCCCGCCAACCCCAACCAGTTCCTGGCATAGCTTAAACGTCGCGGGAATTCCCACAACCTCAATTACCGAATCGTACCCATCACCGTTCGTCAAGTCGAGGAGCTTCTGCTTTGCATCCGGCGCAGACGAATTGACGGTATGGTGTGCCCCGAGTTTGCGGGCGGTCTGTAGCCTGGCATCGTCCAAGTCCACCATGACGATCAAAGAAGGCGTAAAGAGACGAGCCGTGAGGAGGGTCGCCATGCCCACGGGGCCTGCCCCAATGATTACCACCGAGCTGCCCGGCTGGACATCGGCACTGAGCACGCCGCATTCAAAGCCCGTAGGGAAGGCATCCGAGATAGCGACAGCTGCCCGGGGATCGATCGATGCCGGCAGGGTATGCAAGGAGAGCTGTGCATGGGGCACTCGCACATATTCGGCCTGAGTGCCGTCAATGCGATTCCCCAGCACCCATCCGCCAGTTTCACAGTGAGCCGCGATGCCGCGCTGGCAGTACTTGCAAGAACCGCACTTGGTCATACAGGAGATCAGCACCCGGTCGCCGACATGGAAACCTTGGACTGCATCGCCAAGCTCTTCGACCACTCCAACTCCCTCGTGGCCCAGGATCAATCCCGGGTTCGCGCTGGGCACGTCGCCTTTGAGGATGTGTAGATCCGTGCCGCAGATGGAGGCATGCATCATCCGAACCACGGCATCAGTGGGTGCTTTGATGGTAGGCTTGGGGCGTTCTAGCACCTCGACGGTTCCGGGACCAGTATACACAAGGGCCTTCATGATGTGATCTTAGTAGATAATATCGCTTGTGAGGAAACGGGGATTCTGCTACGGGAGGGGGAGGTGTCCATTTTAACTGGGACGGGACTTGGGCACTCGTACCAGGGCCAAGGAACATCATTCGGTCTGTACAGCGAAAGGCTGGCAACAGGACCTCCCTTCTCCGGCGATGATCCGATTGTATGGACTCGAGCTCCCAGCCTAGAGTGCGGGGGAAGCGGGGACGGCCCCTCGTGTGATCATCTGCGGGGAGCTAGACTAGACGTAGAAGTACATCATGTATCCAATGATATCTTACAAAAAGGTGGAATGACTATAATTCATTAACTTTGATCTGTTTCGTCTGATTACGTGCAATGGGAAAGTACCCCTGTCTACGGATCATCGACATAGCTTAAAGGACCAGACTTGACGGGATCATGGCAAGCGGTACCGGTACATCAGCGCGCGGGATTCTAACGGTACTATGGACCAAACTGGCTCCCCACTCAATGATACAGAGCATAATGATGGAAGTGATCTCCAAACTGACAGACGTCTCGCTCTTTAGCGGCGAGTGCGGATCCGAGTGCGGCTCCGGGGCCCCGGGGCTGGGCCTTAGCGCTAGTTGGTTACGAGCTGTCATCTCATTTATCTACTGCTAACGCTGCTAGTAACTGATTCGGCCGGCGAGCATACACTTTACAATATCGATTCTCACGAACAGATACACTATCAATCTCAACGGAAAAAATCAGTATTTCGTCCGCCATGATGTGTATCTTATCGTTTTCCGCACTCACCCGCACGTCCTGTTTGCAGAGCTGACGACAGCGGGTGGAATCGATTTCTTCCAGAGCCTTATAAAAGCCCACCAGCTCCTTTTTTTTTGTTTCTCATCTTTCCAGCGAGCACCGCCAGCTGTGATTTCTAGAGCATCTCTTCAGCGCTGCCATTTCAAAAGTGTGAATTTGTCGGCGATACCGAGTATAAAACCCGCACGACCCGACATACCGAACCCCAGCAAGAATCATCAAGTCGAATTGATCTAAACCCTTCCACTGCTTCGTCTTTTCATCTTTTTTTATCTTTTGCAACAATGGCCATAATCACCCCAACTGTCCGTCCCTTGCAGCCCCCTCCCGGCTCAAGCATCAACTTTGGAGCGCAGGTGGACGGCCTCGACCTGGAGAACCTGACGGGTCCGTGCCCCCATCAATCTAATCGATCTAAGCTCGCCGCTAACAAACTCTCCAGACGACCAGTTCGCGGCCGTGCGCAACGCTCTCTACCAGCACCATGTTGTGGTGTTCAAGAACCAGAGCAAGCTTTCTCCCAAGGCACAGTACGAGTTGACCAAGCGATTCGACCCCGCAGCCGACAACTACGGCCACGGCAAGACGCTCGATGCGAAACGCAGTATTCTGCACCCGGACCTCAAGACCATTCCCCACCAGCCTCAGGTCCAGGTCATCGGAAACGGCTTTGTGCCCTCCTACGAGGGGCTCGAGAATATTCAGTTGAAGCACCCCCACCACCGGACTTTCCACAAGGACCACATCCCCGACGACAAAGACTACGACTTCACGCGCTTCTATCGCTGGCACATTGATGCTGCTCTGTACGACTTATACCCCCCCATGGTGACCACCCTCCTAGCCGTCGAGGTTCCCAAGGGCCGCCGACAGACTTTGCTCTACGACGACGGAAGCGACGAGACCCTCGACGTCCCCCTCGGCACCACCGCGTTCGTCAGCGGCGAGAACATGTTTGACCTGCTCTCCGAGGAAGACAAGGAGTTTGTCAAGACCAGCAAGGTCGAATATGCCCCACACCCGTGAGTCTTTCCCCTTTCCCCCCGAGTACAATTGAGCATCCAAGGCTAACCGCAAGCGCAAAGATACATCTGGATGAGTCAGGCTCACTCACTGTCCACGGGACTGGGCTTACACTCCGAAGGGCTGGAGTTGCCCGAGTCAGACCTGCCTCCTATCGACGAGAAGAAAATCATGAAGTTCCCGATGGTCTGGAAGAACCCGGTCACTGGCAAACTGGCCCTACAAATTCACCCCTCGGCTGTCCGCAAGATCCACTGTGCGGACGGTGTGGTCATCGATGACTTGGCCACGGTCCGCGAGATCGTCTATAAGATGCAGCGACCGGCTATCAGCCCCCAACACGTTTACGCTCACGACTGGGAAGAAGGTGATCTGGTTCTGTTCAACAACCGCGGAGTGATCCACTCCGTGGTGGGAGCTTTTAAGCCGGATGAGGTCCGCTTGTTCAGACAGTGCAACCTGGCTGCCTCTGAAGCTCCGATTGGGGCATGAGTAGAACGCTTGACTTGATGATTTTTCTTTTTTCTTTTTTTTTGAGCGGGTAAGATTGGGACATATTAAGAATGGTATTACACTAGAACGGCATGGAAAATTTATGATGCATCATATATTCTTCTATAGGGGTATCTCCAAATATGCAGTAAACTAGTAGTTGACGCCTTTTAAGAACAATATTACCGAACGATATAGAAGCCGTTCACAGCGATTTGCCTTTCCCGCACCTCGTCCGTCGCAGACCGGACCCCCACCCGGTGTAGCGGGATCTGGTCCACCAATTTGTGCCCCCGGTTCAAGATATTAGCATAGCCCTCTCGCGTCCGGTCTTTCCACCCTGTTTCCTGCCGCTGCCGCTCCGCGAGACTTTGAATCTCCGGGGCCCATGCCGGATGCGAGAGGGTGTTCTCCACGATCGACACATCGTATGAATCGGCGAGCGTGGCAGCCTCCGCGGCGGCAGCTTGCGACTCTGCTAGCTCTTGATGGGTTTTCCCCGTGGGCGGTGGAATCTCGGCACGAAGGAACCCCATCACGCGCATCTCAAGACTGCACGGTTGGACGGGCATGTCGTCCAGGATCCGCAAAGCAACAAAGCGCCGTGCAACTTGGGACATGTCCACTCGCGCCGCTTCGAGCGGGTCCAGGTTACGGATCGAGAGGATGCTCGGTCGCCACGGCTCGGCCTGCGCGTCTTTGCTGCTCCTGTCGAGTCGAGTCCAGCCGAAGAAGTAGCCTCGCAGCTGCTCCGGGACCCAGCTGGGGAATTTCTGGAGACTGAGCTTTGTGGAGCCATCCGGGCTGGCGGGGGTGGGGCTCGAGTAAGGTGTCCCGCGCGCTTTGAAGGTCATTGGGAAAGGCGCCGTCGGGCCTTGCTCATTCGGCGCCGGTAAGTCCAAGAACGACTCGGCCGCCCCGTCACCAGGTGGACCGGGGCCACTAGGGCGGGCGTTCGGGTTGATCACGCCCGCCACGCGGTCTTGGACGCCGCTGGCGGTGTACGCGGTTTCCAGCGCCGTCTGTGTCAGCCACGAGGGTTGGTATGGGGCGATTTTCGCTTGCACCGCCGCCGCGGCAGGTGAGGCGATGGTCCGGGCGGCCGTCTGCGCATACAAGCTGAGCACCATGGCGCCGACTTCCAGCGGCAGCGTGCTCAGGCTCGCGCCCCGCACCGAGTGCGGGCTGGCCGAGGTCGAGAGGACGCGGAAGACGGGGCTATTGCCGAGCACCTTCTTTTTGGGGCCTTCGCAAAGCACGATTTGAAAGTAGCCGTCGCCGGCCTCGGCGGGGATGCGCACCACGGCCGTCTCGCGGAGCTCGTGGGTATCGCGCTGGCGCGGGGAGGCTTTCTTCTTGAACTTTTTGATGTCGCGTTGCCACGCGCGCTCGTCGTCGGGCCGGACTTGGTCGGCGCGCAAGGGCATCATGGGCGTCACATCGATCCAGCTGTCATTCAGCCGGAATAAGGCCTTGGCCCGCATGCCCGTCTTGCCGCTCCATCCTTTGTTCTGGAGCCACAGGGTACGGTCCGGGGGCAGCGGGGCGTCGGAAAATATCGACACGGCAACGGAGGTGGCATTGCCACGATAGAAGACGAGGCCGTGGGAGTGACGCAGAATCGTGACATGTCTGTTCGACTCCGTCGGGTGGTTGATCAAGCCCCCGAGGAAGTGACGGGTCTCACTGTACGCTTTCTGAACGGCCGTCGGGGGCGCTGCAGCTGGTGCCAAAGAGGCAGATGAGGGTTCCCCCGAAGTCCGTGGCCTAATTGGGCTCACGGGGCGCGAACCCGGTGACGCGGGTCCATATAGATCGGCATAGGATGGCGGGTGCAAGGTAGCACTACTGGTTGGTACAGCAGCCGAAGAGGTAGCAGTATGCGTACGAGCCCCTTGCTGGGTATGGGCGGTCTGCCGTAGATTGGGGTTTGAGACGGGCTTCCGTCGGATGCGAAAGGCATCTGTCGGAGGCCCTGAGCCTGGTGTCGCGGACTCCATGAAATTACAAATAAATCTTCCATCTACGAGATCGAACTGGGAGATCGCCATGGACGGATCACCCGGAAACGCGAATACGGAGTGGCCGTTGAGTATGGATTAGTCAGCGGTGTTTTATTGAGGGCTTAGAGGGACTAGAATGCGTGTTGCTGTTACTATTCTGGAAATCACGAGATGTTTTTTAAGACCAATGGGAATATTCTATTATCATTAATTCATCAGCTGTCGTGCATTATGCTATTCCATGTCCTGACCACCTTGCATGCTGATGGTGCGCAGGTTGGTCGCTCGAATATCATGGCCGCGGATTTTACCTCCAATATGCAGTCTTTAGCGGTTGGAGCCTGCCTGTCAGGCGTAGATTGGATCTATGCTAGGAGCTCTCAATTGTCGGCCGTTGTGGCTTTTGCGCGGTAAATATGGAACTGGGCGTTTGGATTAGCATCAGCGTAGAGCCACAGGACCTTCGGAAACTTACAAGTAGGTGTACACATGCATCGCGTTCGAGAGCAACTCTCGTCGGAGATGCGCCAACAGGACCTGGACTTCCTCGGAAGACCAGTTTCCGAAGCGGGTAAACAAGGCCATGGTGTAGCTCTCCGCGGCAGTGTCGACTAATTGGTACCGAATGTATCGTCCCATTTCTTTCAGCCTAGGGTCCCTCGGCCAAGTGCCGATGGGGATTATTGGAGAGGCGTACTCGACGTTTTTGAATTCGGCACTTTCCAAGAAGCCGCGCATCCGAGGAACGGTGTCCCATAACCGGCCTTGCACATCAGCCAGCCGGAAGAACTCAGCCTATTCCCAGTTAGTCCGTTACGCAGGACTCGACGGCAGACTCGACGCACCTCCCATTGACGTAAGAAGCAGTCTTTTGGAAATGAGTCATCGTCACAGTGGAATCGGGAGATGAAGTCGGAAATTTCGATTCTTCCACCGGGCTTGAGATGCCTGCGATGGGTTAGCACTGTTGCTGGTACACGTCAATTCGCGTCCCGGGGCGCACCTATAACACTGCCGAAGAAAAGCCGGCCAGTGATCAATGCATCCCGAAAGCCCTCTGACGTGGATAAAATCGAACGACCCAGGAGGGAAATCCCATTCCGAGTTCGAGTCGTCAATCATGAACTTGACATTCGGGGGAACCCTGTTGATTATGAGAACAAAATATAGTTGCGGGCGGGAATCACGACTCACCAGCTTGGTTGGATCGGCGAGAGATCTACGCCGATCACCTCCGCTGCAGGGAATTCATCCGCCACTGGAGAAATCGTGAGTAGAGTCATCCTTAGCGATGCAAGTGGCCTTACTGTCAATCGCCCATATCCCGGTGCCAGTTCCGACATCAAGGATCTTCTGGGGTTTCGCGAGCTGCGTGTGGCACAGGTTTCCATGGAGCGCGAGTCGGAAAACGTGATGGAGCATATCCAGTCGGTCTGTTCGTCGTGAGCCAGGTCATCACTTTCCAGAAAACATGAAGCTTTACCTTGCTCGCGCTCATCATTGGGGAGGACCTAGAGTCATCAATCGCGCTGTTCAACATCAATAAAGGGATCGGGCATACATAAGTTCCGGATCTATAAGAGTGGTATGTGCGCCCATTCTCGTAGATGTAATTATAGATGGAAGAAGTTAAGGACTGCAGATCACCACCTTCGCTGTCGTAGTCGCTTGATGACTACGCGTGGGTCAGAACAGTTGCGTTGGAAGGGCATTTAAGTCTTACGCTGACATCGGTGTCCACCTCGATCTCGTGGTGGCCCGCCCGGGGGTCTGGTGGGGATGACATCGCAAAGGGAACAGATCATGAGGTGCCAGAGCACGGGTTCTTTGATTCTTATGATATAGGATCATGAATTGTGGAAAAACCAAAAAAAAAAAAAGAAAAAGGAAAAGAAAAAGAAAAGGAAAGGAAAGGGAAAAAAAAGTTGGTGGATTTCCTCGGTTTGTTTGCGAAAGGCGAACGCGGGACTGGTAATGTCACCAGAGTGTCGGGACTCGCCAGCGGAAGAATTGGCCTTGGGAGCGGTTGCCAGCGCCTTCGAGTCCCACTGGAAGACTCGATTTGGTCGTATTCCCGAAAGTTGCGAGTCGCGGTTTTGAGCCTGAGACACCAGAGGCCAATAGAGCATCTCCGCCCCCTAAACGTGAGTGGAAGCGCGAATGCTTGAAAGCGCCCCTGTTCTACAGCGCTCAATGGGGAGGAGCTCCTTCGCGCCAAGTCCTCCCAGAATCCTTCCGGAGAACCTCTACGCTATGAAGACTGCTAGCCCAGACGTCGCTGATAATGTAGCAAGGCCCGGTTTCCAGGATCAAGCCCCGAATGCAGGATGGCCTTGGCATCTGCGAGTTTGCTGGAAGTCTTTCGCAAATGCTGGCAATCTCAACTTCCGTGATGCGTCCCGTTCGACCCGGCGCTGTGGTTCGCATGCGGTCATTATCCATGGCCTCCTGCATGAGGGGTCAAGACTACGGAGCTCGAAAGTACACATCGGCAGGGGTACAGAAGCACAGGGTTACAATAGCCAGACTCTAATGGCTGTGATCTATCAGCCTTTTAGTGCACGCGCTATGGGGGATCCCCGGTCAGCCGCAGGGTGATCTCCCTCACGGCACTTCTTTTTAGCCCCTTAGGACGAGTTTAACTACCTAGGTATGCAGCTCTTGGTTACGTGATCGCGATCGATTAACTACCCACGCCTCCACGGTCCTATTTGGAAGCTAATTGGACACTAATCGCCCTTCCATTCCCTCCAGGCCTGCTTTTCTGCCCCCATTAGATCAGCGCTGTGCGAAACCCCTCCCGCCCGTTCTGGTGGTAACCAATGCCAGTGCACCCCAGCGATGCAGTGGGTAAATGGTTAAGTACGGTCAAGGATCCTTATCCGGCCTAGAATGCGCCATTTGGAGCTCCCTGATAATCAGGACTTCTTCAATGATTCAATCCCGCCGTCATGTGGGGGAGGGGAAAAGGAGGGGGGTGGGATTTTGGTGGGCGGGCGAACTCCCCGCTTCTGAAGACAAGGGGCTACGTAGATCAGCTCCAAAAAGCATCCACAAACCTCGTTGGGGGGAGGGCAGCGGAAGGGAGAGAAAGGAGAAACAGGCTTGGATTTGGATTTTCTGGAATGAGGAGACACCACGTCAACATGGTACCGACAGTATGGACCTACATGTCCAGGGATTCATGCTGCAGCCCACGCTGCGAAAAATTCTCCGCTTAACCCTAGTGCCCTCCCTAGCGTATTTCAACGAGCAAATCATTGCGAAAGTACGGAGTACGGACATGCTCAATCCTGTATGTTTTAGAGGGTAGCATTAGGGAAGATAGAATCCGGTACCCAATGATCGTTCGACGTCTTAAGGAACCGTCAAGCAGAAATGGACAAGTCAACATCAACAAGGATCCAAACTGCGCGAAGACCAGTCCTGTACCACCTGTTTTTGCGCTCGATCATTCGGAATGCTCCTTGGGGTGTTCGATTTCGTTATCGCCGACGCAGTTGAGCATGGCTCTAAGCTGCTCCCCAGCTACTGACACTGTCAGTCCTCTGAAGCTGGAGTGAGCAGCCCGAAGGAAGACTTACTCGTTGGTCTGGGTAGCAGGGTCGTGACCACCCCGTACACTTGTCCTGGTAAGCTCTGAGACTCTTTCGACTTGGGGCTTCCCTTGTGCCTGTCATGGCTGGGGGTGGGCAAGAATGTCTTTTCGCTAGACTCCAGCGAGCGAAGATGTCACAGTGTTCTCTTGTCCCCAACCGTCCGCCAACCCAGGAATTGCCGTTATTTACTATTTCCTTTCCCGAGACCGCGACAAAACTCACATTCCGTGTGAGAGTGTGACTTGATGTCTTTTGTCGAGGGGAATGCCGCTTTGTAGAGTTATGGGACAGGTTATAGTCCGTCCTATAACTGTACAGCGAAATGATTATCCGTTGTTTGGTTACCAGGGAACAGAATCTACGCTTAATAGTACTATGTCCTGATAAGAGTTCTAGGGCGCTAACTCCAAGTTGAAAACCAATACTTTCTCCATCGTGAGTATACCTCACTCTACGATTCAAAGACCTATCTATCTGGCGATGAGCCCGGTCGTACAAGATCAAGTCCAGACCGAGGTAGCGCCGCATTGACTGAAGTAGCCAAGAGGCATCTAGCCAGGGAAATGGGCCTGGTGATCATGGCTGACCAAATTCGCATCCCAAGAAGATGGTATTCTCAAGGGGAGTCTCGTAATACGGCTCAATCTCGGAAAAGCCATGCCGGGCATAAAGCCGTCGTGCGGTGGTCATGGTTGAGAGAGTATCCAGTCTGATGCCCCGATACCCTAGAGACTTTGCTTTTTCGAGGACTGCGGCCACGAGTTGGTCGCCAAGGTGCAGTCCTCTTGCCTCCGGGAGAACATACAGGCGTTTCATTTCGCACCAGTCATCTGAACTGCGCCGGAGGGCGACACACCCCAGGGCAACTTGGGCTGCGGGTGGGAGGTCGGGCTTTTCGCCCGAGCGTGCAGATGCACGCGCTATTAACAGAGCCCCGCCTTGTGCTTCGCTGTATTTCCCCGGTAATGAATCGAGCTCCTCTTGAAACGACTGGAAAGTGAGGTCGATCCCGAGCGAAGCTGCGTAACCGGAAAACAGCGAATGGATGGCCTTGGTGTCGGCTGGGAACTGGGCAGACTCGATACGAACCGCCATTATGATGTAAACTTCGTTCAATGAAGGAACGGGATACGATCTTAGTTCCAGAGGAGGTTGGAACTATACACAGTGTGTAGTAAACTAACCTATTAGTCGGATGACTCATAAGGCTGTCGGTTGGCGTCGGCTCAATTCTGCGCAGATCATTCTGTGTCTGGAAGTTGGTGCCGTAGCAATATGGATCTGAAGAACCTTTTTTCGTGCTACTCCCTACTTAATATCAGGTTGATTGGAGGAGGTTATGAATATTAGAGTAGAAATATGTCATTAAGAGGTGTCATCTAGGCTGGCTGTATTGCACTGTCCTTTTCTTCCCGCTGCTCTAGCAAGTGCTCTCTCGCCCACTCTTCGACTGTCCTCCCACGGATTCCACGTTTCTGATTCCAAGTCTCAGCGAGGTCCCATGCGACACCACGCCCGGCGCTAAAGATCCCCTGATATTTCAGGACATTATTGTCGGGGTCTTTTGCAAGCGCGGCTTTCACCTCGGGAAAAGAGAGGACAGTTCGCTTGATTGGCCGCTGCACGACTTTCTCAACCAAATTTGCGAGCTCTCCGTAGCTGATCGTGTCGCCGCCAATGAAGATAGGCTTGTTTGCGAAAGAATCGTCGTCGAGAACAATCTCTGCTGTGATCCGCCCGATGTCCTCTGGGGTGGTCAGGGTCACCCTGTTCTCTGGACTTCCCAACGCACGGACTGTGTCGGTCTGAAGATCTACGACTCCAAAGAAGGCTTCGAACAGGAAGCTGGTGAACATGCCCGTGGAAATAATCGCCCAGCGAGTCCTGTCTTGCGCTCGCAGAGCATCGCGCACATCGAGCTGCTCATCAAACAGATCTTGCGTCGATCCGCGCCCAATGACATCGTAGTCCACGCCGAACTGCCATGGAATAAATTTGGGAACTCCAGCTCGAAGCGCGGCACGAGTCAGTTTGAGCTGGACGCCTCCGGCGCCAGATACAAACCCAGCACAGCCAACGACCGTGTTGTATTTGGCGAACAGGGACGCTAGTTGCTGCTCTGAATCATGCGCGATGTCGCCCGGCACTAATTCAACATCCATTTCCCGTAGCGCATTCACTTCTGCTTGTTTTGAGGGATTGGTTGAGGCGATTGTTCCCGGGCGCAGTAAGACTGCCAATTTGCCATCTCGTCGGGGGTGCTTGGCTAACGACTTGATAACCTGGAGTCCCAACTCTCCTGCGCCGATCACGAGAATGTGGTTGCTTGGAGCCATCCTTCTTACGGGCTATAACATAAGTCGGAGCTACCTCAACGGCACAAATAGAGGATGCGGGGACCGCTTTATAGAAAGCTGTATCAACAGTCACAGAATGTTACAGAATGTTGCAGGCTTTTCGCTTGATAATCCATGCCACCGGAAGACAGAAAGTTCCTCCGACTGCGGGGTGCACATACCTGCTTGACACAAAAGTGTCCGAGGATTGGAACCCACAAGTGATATTTCTGAAGTCAGCCAAGACCGCCGGGTGAATACACCATCAGTAGCTGCTTGAGGCCCCCACTTACGGCCCTAAGACCCCGCGAAAGTCTCCGTGCGGCCATAGATACGCCTCCCAACAAAACGGAGCTCGATTGGCCGGGTCATCATCCTAGTGGGGGCTAATACGAGCTCCTGCACCGGCGCAAACTAAATATAGAATTTGGGACTGGTGAGAATCCCAGAAACCAAGAGCAACTCAAAATCTGTAAGCTCCGACCAGCCTTCTTCCTCAACATGATCGAGAGCCCCGCCATGATCGTCCGACCCCGCTCTGCACAAGATGTAGCTGACCTTGTCACAGCCTTGGTAAAAACCTCCCTCCCATTCACCATTTGTGCCGGAGGGCATAAAATGTTTGGATGGTCTCCGACTGATAACGGCATCACTATTGACATGCGCAGATCTCGCATATCAATCTGGAAAAAAAATTACAGACTGCGTAGATGGGAGGAGGCTTTATCATCTATCAATCTCCTATTGACTGGGTTCGGTAACACCTACGCGCAAATTACATACACGAGCAGGTATGAGCTCTCTCGGCAGTTGAAATAGGAATTTGACACCGGAAAGAAATTCCATGCTGTCATTGGGAAACTAAAAATTGGCGCATGGAAGGTTCATTGGCAGAAAAGACGAATTGGTTCAAGTTATTAGGAGTGTTTCGAAACCACAAGCAACCTACGTATCCCATCCAACGTCGAGTTGGTCTCGACCTCCGGCATACGTATCCAAGAGTACGTGAATTAGGACCTCCCATATACAGACCTGGAAGGCACCGTCGCCGAAAAAGTGCCGTGATTATTTACATCTTCAATGCTCGAGAAGTGGCTTACCCGCTGTAAGCAACAGAGAACTCAGTGTCGCTCAAGACGGTGGTCTTAGCCAGGATCTTGCCGTTCTGTTGAATGTCCAGAACCTGAGCACTGCTCTGGACGCCGTAGTCCTCGCCGTCAGCCTCAGCCTGGGCGCCCGTGAAGGTGACCTTGCCGAAGTTGACCAGAGGCACCATGGCATTTCCCGAGTTGAAGTCCTCCACAATCCACTCCGCATTCTGGCCACCCAGGGTGGCAGTAGAAGAAGGTGCAGAAAGAGACTTGGTCACCTTTTGACCGGTAGACTTGTTTTCAATCATGGCAACGCCCTCGCTGGGAGAACTCGACTGGACCGTGGCAACGATCACATCCCCAGCAGTGAGATCGAGGTCAAAGTTCTGCGCACTGTTGGGGAACCACTCATACCAGGCATCATATGACTTTTGACCATCCTGGATGTAGCAGTCCACGCCGGTCTGCAAGATGGCATTGGTATAGGTGTCACCGTCGATACCCACCCATGCTGAGGCAGCTTGCATGTTGCCCGAGTTGTCGGTGGCAGTGGGGTTGGGGACCGTGAATGTGGCCGAGACGGCGGTATAAGTGGCGCTGGCAGGAGGGTTCTCCCGCACAATACCGGCCCAGTTGTTACTGTACTGGACTTGGGCACCGTCATGGCCGCCCTTCTCGAGGACGCCCTTTTCCTCGAGGGGATGGTCAGCGCCGGCCTTGTCAGCCGGGGCAGACTGGCGGGAAAGGACGCCGCGGGACTGCAATCGCTCAACAAGGCCTGGTCTTGGTGCTGCAAAGGCACCAGTTGCTAGGATGGCAGTTGTGATGGCAGTAGTGAACTTCATCTTGGACGGCGAGAGAGCCGGTTCCCGGGGAAGCAATATGCGCAGGAGAGAACAGGAATGGGGCGAGATTCTTCCAAATCACTCACAGTGGAACGTCCCTCGAGAGACCTTTATACCTTGACATCTCCAAGTTTGCATCCGGTGACAGGCCGCATGGGGAAGATAGAGGTGTTGCAGTTTCTCCATTATGGGGCCCCAAGAGCCAGGACCCCGAGTACCCCACCCAGAGTGGATTAGGAGGATCCTTGTTCACACGAACAGTCAAAGACGGAAGGACGAGTGCTCATGTGGTACAGAGTAGAGATACCAAATTCAGGGCGATTATGGTCAAAGATCGTGCCGATCATCATCGTTCAGAGATGAGCCTTCAGCCTCTGTGCCCCACTGTTTTCACCGGATCAATCTAATCAGGGAAGCAAACCAAGGAAAAAGCGGGGAAAGGAGCCGGGATGGCTAAGAGCTTTCTCGAAAACAGAGGCATCTGATACCAGATCTTCGACGCATCAGCCGAGGATCGACATCGAATGCCGATCTTTCCACGCGGTCCAGTGGCGCCTCCAGAAGGCCCAACGCCCAAAGGGTGATACGGACCCACAAGATCTATGCCCCAGGGCTGCCTTTAACTCATGCTCTATTTATAGGCTTTATTTACAAATTGCTATCTTTGGAATCTCACCCTTCCGTCTGGAGTCTCACCGTCAACAACGCCTGGATACATCAATGAGCCGGGGTAGTAACTTGGACAGATGGCCGAAGACCATAGATCGGATAAATCCTAGGTTGACCACACGCACGACAGATTCGCCATCCTTGTCATTTGCCAAGATCATGCGTGAATAATAGCGTGATTACGAAGTCAAGGACGTGACCGTCGCGGTAGAGCCAAATCGGGCTGCATATTTTGTATGGAATGCCGCCGCATTCCAGAGCCACATCAGCCAATCCACGAACACACAAGGCGCATTGACAATTTCCGAAAGCAGTTATTTGTGTAGATCAATTCTTCGTTTTGGAAACGGTCGCTTGCACGATTGCCTGGCTAGGAATTATTTCAAAGGTTGCTACGGCTCCGGTGATGAGCGGGATCTGTTTCGTGAGTCCCTGAAAGCGATCCGGTCGCTTCATGATCTAGACCGTACTATTTATTTGATGGCATGCAGTATTAGAGGGAGGCTTTCTGCCATGCGTAATGATCGTGTCGTATAGCGACATGTCAAGAATGCCGTTGGTCTGGACCAAACCACTAGTGAGGCGGTGATGCTTATAGGCCGTGCTCACTATCGCAGTTCAGCCCATGACAGAACCTCTTGCTAGCACAATCCGGCAAATAAAACGAGCTATATACAGCGTAAATTTCATTAAATCTATGTCTTGACTTGAAATGACTCCTAGTATCCGCTCCAAGCCTCTTCTTCGTGATATACCAGTAGTCGGTCCGGAAAGTGCCCAATTGGGACTGAAAAAAGACCATTACATCGGGAGACGCTTCATCTCTTCCGGCGTCCAGTACTTGCGCATATTGTCAGCCCTTAATGCATGGACTTCCTCTGCCAAATGCTGCCATAGCACCGCCCCAAAGCTTTCCATCAACCGTCTAACCTCCTCACGCCGCAGATCTTCTTCTCCAGAACGACACTTCTCGAGATACGCCTCAAGCTTATCGGAGCCGGCATGGATTTTCTTGTGTTGAGTGAGTAACTCCAACTCTTTCTTAAACTCTGGCATTTTCTTCGCGAGAACGGGGAAGATGTGCTGCTCCTCGATTGAATGGTGGAAGCCAAGCTGGGAGCAAAACTGCAATCCCGTCATGATCATTTGGCGCCCAGAGAGCCCTTTTGAGTGTTTTGACGAAGGGTCACACGCATCCCAGAGTTGGTTCCATGTCATGCGAAAGTGGTTATGCTTGCTGCAGTTAGCTTTCATGTTCAACCTTACATCAAACACGATGGTAATCAAGCCATTCTCACGGATGGGTCTTGCGTCTTACAAATGCATCCATTTGCTCTGCCATCCGGTTGTATACTTTGAATTCAGCCGGTGATAATTTGGGCAAAGTCTCAGAGGCGTCTGAAGAGGTAGAATCATTTTGGACGGCGGCCATATTTGACGAAACCTTGGAGGCGGTGGTCGATAAAGGTCGAACAGTTGCGAATCGAGAGACTTGAGATACAATGCTGCGAATTTGCATATCCAAGATGGCTCTTTCTCGCGGAATATTGATAGAGCAAATATATCTGAGCCCGAAGAGCGACAAATGAACAGGATGCCATTGACGATTGAATAAAAAGGTCTACGATTCGAGGGAATTGTCCACGGGGGCCCACTCCTGCTGAGTCAAGGCTGAGTAAAACCGCCAGCTGCGACTCGCGGGTGGCGTAGAAAGGTCAGAACACGGCAGTTGCTTTCCGTATCTATGCCCGATTTCCAGCTGGGAATCTTAAACTGCTGGCCTGGAATGGCGGGGCTCGACACTATAACTTGTCCCAATACAACGTGAGTAGCAGCCTACAGCTCGTATTACCAAGTAGTTCCTCCATCTGAACGCAAGTTTAGCCCAAGATGATCTGAAATTGATTCTCATAGTTGCCTACGCAGCCTACTATCTAATCTAATTACGCCAGATATGTCCCAGATCTTCAATGGATGTATGCCACCTCGGTTTGCACCGTTGGGCACACATCTAGTACTCACTGGCCATAGAGAAAACTCTCCGCTCGATATAAGCACTTCTTCGGCACAACCACGGCCATGAAAGGGCCGGATCGCAATTTGACATCCGTGCTAACCATACAGGTTGATATGCTAAGGCACCCCAAAGGGACCAGAGTCAGCTTTTACTGGGAAAGGGGGAGGGAAATGGATGAGATGCTGGATTATTATCTGTACACTTCGTAATACCGGTGGCGTGACGGTGGCGGATATAATAAAACAAGCCAAAGCCGGTATGGGGGGGAATCGAGTATTAAAAAAGTTAGTGTCGTAACGCCGTGCATGAGAAGAAGAGAGCAGGATCACAGTTCGCCGTTGCGGGCGAGGAGCTTGTTGGCCTCGGAAGGTCTAAAGTTGCCAGACGTGATCTCCTTAAAGGCCAAGTCGAAACGGGCACCCAGGAACCAGGCGGTGCCCATCATGATCAGGGCCACAAAGAAGACAATGCCAAACATGATGAGCATCATGATGCACATATCGTTCCTGTTCTCGGCGTCTTCCTCGCGCTTCTTGGCCTCAGCTAGAGTCTGCTCGCCCTTGACCTGGCGCTGAGCATCCTCGGCCTTCTGCGACGGAAAGATGGTCTCGATGAACTTCTCAATCTTGCCACAGACGATGCTGATCTTCAGAAAGTTGGGGTCCTTGGGGGTGTTCTTTTGGTGAATTTCGCGAGTGATGCGACGGACAGTGTCGCAGAAGACAGACAGATTCTGTGTGGACTGGACCATCAAACCACAGGCTTCGCCCTTGGTAATCTTGATATTGCGCTGGAACATGTCGTAATTACGGAAGCACAAATTCATCGTGGCAATGGCCATTGACTGGGGAATGGCACAGAAGTTGAACACACTTTGCTCGCGCAGGCCAGCAAGATAGAAAAGACACTCCTCCATGTGTTCCAAAGCATTGAGAACCATGTGGGAGTTACAGTTGAGCGCCAGTTCCTTGTTCTCGGGCTTGAAGAGATCCTCAAAGTTGTCCACGTACTTGGACCAGATCTCCTTGGGCCAGAACCGACGGTTGTCATCAAAGTCCTCTCGGATGTCTCGGATGATATTCGTCTTTTGGAGGAAGAGGCCCATGGACTTATGGAGGTTGGGGCGTTTAAGCAGAGCAGGGTTTCCAAACCCAGCCTCAACAAAGAGGCGGGTAAGACCCTCGCCCACCAATCCAGCAACATAGTAGCAGTAAAGATCGTATTCTTCAACGGTCGTCACGCTGATCCCATCGTTCTCAGCCTTGACCACGTAGTCCGCCATACCGTTACCCATCTTGTCGGTGATGTCCTTCACGATGGCTTGGTAGGCAGGCTTCATGGCCTTGAACTCCTTAATGACGCAGTCGAACCGAACCAGCAGTTCCCGGTCTTTTTCCTCAGGACGATTTCCATCGAAGGTCCAGCCATCTTGAGTGAGGAAGTCCTTGAATGACCGCAAGAGTGGCTCCTTGGTCTTCAGCGGGATCGAGGTATCATCCTCAATGGTGTCCAGCCCACGGAGGACGAGATAGAATATGCACACAGGCATCAGCATCTCTGGGTGGAGCTCCTTGATGACAGCAGCAAAGCTACGGCTAGTCATGTCCAGAAGCTTGAAGCAGAGCTTCTGGTTCTCGGTGTCCTCTGCCTCATTTCTCTCGTGAGGAGGGTTGTGCCAGACTTTCCTGAGTAATGACCATGTTAGCGATCCAATACCACAGGACTAAAGACCAGGACGACCAACCATTGGATAATAGCGCGCAGCTCGAACGGGTGGAATGGGTAATAGACCAGATTCCCAATGAGACCCATAATGGAAGCAATTGACACGAATCGTGTCAAGTCCGAGAAGAAAGACGAATGCAACCGAGGGATATTAAAAGGGTGTACAGAGAAGAAAAGGAAAACAAAAGAGAAAGCTGGGGAGGAAAAAGGGGAGGAAGAGCGGGAAGAACAAAGGGTTTTCGACCTCGAAGGGGAAAAAGAAAAATTCCGGATCGAAAAGGGGATCCTCACGTGATACATTTATTTTTTGGCGGGGGAGGAACGTCGCGTTAGCGAGAAGCTACCCAGTGCTCAGTGACGGCTTCGTTTTCTGTCTGATCGCCGATCTTGGGCTTCTCCACTCCCGCGCTCGTCTCAGCTGGGTTTATATCTTTGCTGCATCCTTGACATCTGACCACCATCTCACCATTTTAACTCTGCCTCGTGCAGTAATCCCCCCCACTATGGTCGCTGACACCGCTTATTATGATGCCTTGGGTGTTCCGCCCACGGCTACCGAGCTTGAGATCAAGAAAGCCTATCGCAAACTCGCTATCACCACCCATCCAGGTAGCTTTTGACCTCCAGACCTCCGATTATGGACTCGATTAACAAATCCTGGCAGACAAGAACCCCGGCGATGAGACCGCGCATGAACGGTTCCAAGCGGTACGCTGGAAACTCCGCAGCCAGAACTCCCCGTCGCATCCCCGGCTAATATCTTCCCTCAAACCCAGATCGGTGAAGCCTACCAAGTTCTCAGCAATGAAGAACTTCGAAAGCGCTATGATAAATTCGGAAAGGAGGAATCCGTGCCTGGTGGTGGCTTCGGTATGTTTGCGCGCGGCGAACGCTGATACTGGAGATGACCCGACAAGCTAACTTGAAGGAATACAGAGGATCCCTCCGAGTTCTTCAGCATGATTTTCGGTGGCGAGGCATTTGTGGACCTTATCGGCGAAATTTCTCTCATGAAAGACCTGACCGCAACAATGGATATCACCACAGAACAGATGGAGGAGGAAGAGCTTGCAGCGGCAGCCGAAGAAAAGCTCAACATCCACGATGAAGAAGTGAAGGCTGGTAGAGCTGATGCTACCGGCACATCCGCAGCTCACCCGCCAGCTCCGGGCGCCGAGGCAGCTGGTGCCCATGAGAAGTCCCCTCAGACCTCCGGCGCCAGCACGCCCCGGCCGAGGATCGGACAGCAGATGCTGATGGACCGATCTGAGGAAGAGGCTCGCATGGATGCCGCGGGTCTGTCACAGGAGGAGAAAGAGCTTCGCAAGAAGGAAAAGAAGAAGGGTCTCTCCAAGGAGCAGCAAGAACGCCTTGCGGCCTTCGAGGAGGAGCGGAGAAAGGCCCGCGAAGAACGAGTCAACACCTTGGCAAATAAGCTGGTTGACCGTCTGAGCGTCTGGACCGAGACCGACAAGAGTGCCGATGTCACGCGCGCTTTCGAGGAGAAGATCCGCCTGGAGGTCGAGAACTTGAAAATGGAGTCATTCGGTCTGGAGATCTTGCATGCCGTTGGTGCTACCTACGTTCAAAAGGGAACTTCTTTCCTCAAGTCCCAAAAGTTCCTTGGTATCTCCGGGTTCTTCTCCCGTTTGAAGGACAAGGGCACTCTGGCGAAAGAAACCTGGAACACGATCTCAACCGCGATTGATGCTCAGATGACCATGGAAGAGATGGCCAAGTTGGAGGAGCGTGGAGGCGAGGACTGGACTGATGAGAAGAAAGCCGAGTACGAGAAGAGAGTCACCGGCAAGATCCTCGCTGCCGCCTGGCGTGGCAGCAAGTTCGAGATCCAGAGTGTCCTTCGTGAGGTGTGCGATCAAATCTTGGGCGACAAGCGAATTCGTCTGGAGAAGCGCGTGGAGCGTGCTCACGCCTTGGTAATTGCCGGTAACATCTACGCAAAGGTAAGAATTGCTGCGTCCGATCGAGTTGCAACGTATCATTAACCACTCTGTGCAGGCCGAGCGCGATCCCGAAGAAGAGGGTGACTACATGGCGTTTGAACAGCTCATGGCGGAAGCCATGACCAAGAAAGGCAAGGAGGAGAAAAAGAAGAAGAAGGAGAAGAAGCATGGCCATGAATCGCCCGAGCCTGCCCCTGCAGAGGCGGCTGCATGATTCTGCCTTTCCAGTCCTCAATTCCCTTGCTCGCGCTGTCTCCTTAGCCCCTCTTTTTTTTTCCTTCGCCCTTTCGTTGTGGACATATACTTTGTTTTATTAGCCTATGGTTTTGATTGCTTAACCTGCTTCGCCCCTCTTCTGTTGTACGTTGCCCAGTTTAAGCACACTGGCACATTTCTAGTCATAGATTGGCTGATATATCGGGTTGCGTGTTGCGTTTCATCGAAACTGTTCGTCTCATACGACGCTTTTAATAGACATGGAATGAAACCACTCTGTCAAGAATGCAAGAACGCGGGCAGCATAGAATTATTACGTGTAGAATTTCAACTGAACATAGAGCATTCATCCAAGTTCCGGTCACTTCAAGTTCTCATTAAATAGTCCTCCGTCTCCAAACTATACACCTGGTGGCCAAGACAGGATCACATCACGCATGGGTTGTCGAGTTGTGGTGGTCAGGGCTAACATCGCCACTCAACTCAGCGCTGGTGACTGCGGAACGCGACGAGGGGCTAAACGCCCTCGTGTGCGGCTGGTCATGCAAAGCCTCAGTATCACGAGAAGACAACTCTGACGGAGCAACAGGGTTCGTACTCATCGGCACATCATGGGGAGCAGCTGAAGCATCTGCTGGGGCTGACTTCTCTTTCTGCGTGTGCGCGCCACGGAAAGAGTGATAACCAGGCCAGTCCGATACGAGGACACCACAAAGCGCCAGGATGGTGACAATGAAGAGTGCGAGGAAGAGGAGCCTTGATTCCAGGACGTTAGTCAACCTGCACGCTGTAAATTTGCAGAAGGGGTTCCTCACCAATCAAGTACCGCGAAGGCAACAATGGCGCTCAGGTAGTCGCTGAAAAAGTTCCCATCGAAGTAGGAAACAAAATCGGCAAAGGCGGCCAGCCAGAAAACCATCGTGACAAAGTAGACCGCAGCCAGACTGACACTCAGGATCTTGTTGAGCTTGGAGCTCACGCCCCTCCGACCGAATACCCATGGGCAGCCAGAGCGCCAGCACTGGCAAGGATAGTCCAGCATGAAGTAAAGAGCAAGAAAATGAGGATCGAAGGCGTGCTGACGTGCCAATAACTGTAGCTATAGTCCCAATATCGTCTGAAAAGCTCTTCTCTCGAGTAATCAGATATGGCACTGGTAACATAAGCTGTGAGACCAAGCTCGATGATAGCGAAGGCTAGGGCTGTGGCCAAGAGAGAGTAAAGGGCAATATGGAGCGGCAGCATGGCGGCGGTTTTGCACAGATTAAAAAAATTAAGCCTGGAGGTCGTCTGAACGGAGAAAAAGGGCGCACTGCCTACCTATTAAGGCGACGAGTGCTGAAAAGCTCAGTCGAATTAATATAGCATGCAGGGGGCAGTCCCTTGCTCTTTATTTCTCCTGCTCCACGTGCGGCTGATACATGGCCAGGAGAGGGCGGCTCGCTGCGTCCTTGGAGATTGGAGTTGTTTGGAGTCAATATCTGCAGTCTTATTGGAGTCATTTTCCGCAGGCCCGGAAAGCGGACGCCACGAAAGAAGGGCCCTCGAGAGGACTCCAATGGGGGATAGCTGTATACGAGAATCAGCGGCGCGATGGCGTTCGCCTTGGCCCGATCGGGACCAGGTAGGCGAAAGCTGTTCCGAGCCCGCAGAAATTAGGGAGAGGGCAGCCTCTGCCCAACTGGAAGCTTTTTCCGGCCGCTCCAGCTTTAGTAGTTTTGGGTTTAGTGAGGATTACGAGCCTCTCTTTTGCGCTGGCAGAGCTTGGCGGAGAGGGGTTCTCGGGGCTGTAAGCTGTGTATATAGCGCCCGTGGGCGATCGCCAGCGCAGTTTTGGAGCTGAAACCTACAGCAGCGGCTCGGGGAATTCACAAGTATCTGCAGAGAATGGAGAACTCTAGCCGTATTAGTACTATTCAGAGTAGCTCTGTCGCGGTCCATCCGACACGGCGATGCGAGGCATAGTTTGAAAAAGGCCATACTCTCGGTGGAACTCGAATTCAGCCTTACAGCCCTAAGTTCAAGCTCCAGCTTGGTGGTTCCCGATACGTATACTACCGGTGGCAAGCCGTGGGGCTAGGTTAAAGGAAGTAGTAACCTCGGGCTGTCCAGGCATCCGGGTGTATAGGCCTATTCTAGCTTAGCCCAAGCAGCATAAGCAACTTGAACCCATGCTATGACCAGTGGCATATACGCATCAGAATATATTCAGGTCAAATACAGATATCATGTGAAGGGACCGTGACCGAGTGGATACACGGATTAGTGTGTCATAAACCCAAGAGGGCCCCTGGGTGAGCCACCCGGAGTCCACAAAGCACCAAACGGCCCAGGTGGAATACCGGCGGGTCCTTGGGTTGCTTTGGCTACTAAGATAGCGGGCCAGATAGCGGGCAGGAGAACGTGATCCAGTACGGAGTACGGAGTAGAGAGCGCAGTATACCATCACGGAGGGTGTGATATAAAGACTCCCATCCAATCGCGCTCTCGGCTGAGATGACCGTTAATTCCCACCTGGCGATGCGGGCGGTTAAGTGGTTCGTATTTCCCAGTACGAATGTTTGCATGCCCGAGGCCAGGTGGACTGGGCACATCCGTGATCGACAAACAGTTTCCGCTTTAGGGTAGAAATTCGTATACGATCGATCGACAGTCAGCATGCTGGATATGGACCGGCGGAAGGAAACCCCGAATTGTACTCCGTATGGTCTCCAAGGGTAGAATTGAGCTAAGATATGATAGCGCCGTGGCTTGATGTTCCAGCGAATCCTGTTCCGGTGGAGCCTCGGAGATGTCTCACCGTAATCTCCAGCTGTGCTCCTGTCGATCGCTCACGCGACACTCAACAAGCCTTACGATCGCCTACCGAGATTCGAGTTCTGCGGGGAGGTGGCGTCAAGAGGCTCCCTGTGCCGACCTTAAATAGAAAAGCTTGAGTCTGGGTTCACCTTCACCGAACTCGAACTTGACCTGAACACGCTAAAGTCCGTCGTGCACCCCCTTTGGATCCTTGCTTGCAATTGAAAATGGCGAGCCTTTTGGCTTATCAGACCTCGAACGGAGAATGCCGAGGATTCCCCGCTTCGATTGATTGCCTACCGGGCTTGTCTCCGGCCCCCGGCGTTGCAGTACATGACGTCTAATCGCACAGTGCGGAAAAATGGAGACCGGAGGCTCCAGGTCTCCCAATTAAGGAGGAGAGTCGTAGATCTAAGCCCTTTATATCATAGGGCATGGCAGGTTTTAGCCCCTGTGGCTGCGCTATTTAGTAACGGCCTTCCCCGGGATTTTGAGAAAACTGCCTTTGCAATTCCTGCAGTCATGACGGTCACGAATCCCTGCACGATCGCGATTCTCGCTCTTGCTGGCAGCTCTGCTGTGCACGCCCTCCCAGGCGCCAGCTCGAGTGCGAGTGCCAGTGCCAGTGCCAGTGCCAGCTCCGCGGCTGCTGGGCCCACGGGGACCTCTTATCCATCCGGGTTTGACATGACCAAGAGCTGGGGAAACCTCAGTCCTTATGCAGACTCTCCCGGGTTCGATCTACCGAAAGGGTTCCCCGTGGAATGCGAGCTGTCGCAGGTACATGTCCTGCACCGCCATGCTCAACGATACCCCACCGCGTACGATGATGACGGACTTAACCTGGCCCGGTTTGCAGAAAAGGTTGCAACTTACGCCAAGGAGCACCCGGATACCAAGGTTGGCTCGGGGCCTCTGGAGTTCCTCAACCATTGGGAGTACCTGCTCGGCTACGAGACGTTGCTCCCAACGGGCGCCGCGACCGAGGCATCGTCAGGTGCTCTGTTCTGGAGTCAGTATGGCCGGTTACTTTACCGGGCTGGCCGTAATGAAGCTGCGTGGGATTCGTCGCTCAATGTCTATCCGAATGGCACTGCTCGGCCAAAGCCTACTTTCCGCACCACTTCCTATCCCCGTATTCTGGAGAGTGCTCGCTGGTGGCTGAGTAAGTGGCTTCCGTCCATTTGTCTGGACGAGCTCGCTAACGATTTCATGAAGGTGGGTTCTTCGGAAACACCGGTGCCAACAGCTCGTATGCGGAGTACAACCTGGTCATCATCCCTGAAGAGGAGAACTTCAATAACACCTTGTCCTCGACTTCTGTCTGCACCAATGGAAGCGAGAATGCGTATGTGTATTGAATATGCCATCGAGCCAAAGAACACAGCTGACCAGTCTTTAGTGCCATTGACGAGCTGATCTTCACTGGAATTTCCACCAAGGCTGCGAACGAGCGCCTTGCGAAGTTCCTTCCAGATGACTTTGGGCTGAACGCCACTGACATCTTCGCCATGCTGAACCTGTGCCCGTACGAGTATGCGACTCTGGGTCGCTCATCCTTCTGTGCGCTATTCACGGAGCAGGAATGGCGTGACTTTGAGTACATTCTGGACATCAACTTCTACGGCAACTACGGATTCGGTGCCCCCAGCGGCCGCGCCCAGGGTATTGGTTACGTTCAGGAACTGGCAGCTCGCCTCCAATCCCGCCTGATCAAGAGCAGTGACAGCAGCATCAACTATACCTACGATGACAATACCAAGGATTTTCCCTTGCACCAGCCCATGTACATGGATATGTCGCACGACGACATCATTGTATCTGTTCTCACCGCGCTGGGGCTGGACTACTTCAAATACGGACCACACGGTCTTCCTGGCAAGGTTCCGCATGCCCCACCCCGCAAGTTCCATCTCAACGAGATGACACCTTTCGGCGCGCGTCTGTTCTCTGAGATCTGGACCTGCCCCAGGAATGTCTCCTTCACGAACCTCCAGGAGCAGCTTTACAAGAACCCTGATCTCTCTGCTGAGTCCAATACCACCGACTACATCCGCTTTGTGTTGAACAATGCTCCCGTCCCCGTCGAGGGCCTGACCGCTTGCAATGGCTCCGTTAACGGCTTCTGCCCTCTCGAGAAGTTCTTGAGTTCGGTCCCTAAGCTCACTGACGAGGCCATGTACCAGGAGGCTTGCTTTGGTAACTACAACATTACCGGGCAAGTTGGCAACGGCCAGCCTATCCAAACAAAGAGCACATAAGACGTGCATCAGAAGTAACTCTATATAATCCCAAATTCTACCTTGCCATAAGGGCGCTCATTTTTTGGGTCTCTCGATCAAGAAGTAACCTAGCTGCCTTTCCGATCTAATAGATAGTATATATAGCGACTTGCGGGTAATAGACCCCGGTCATGGTGGTATGGCTCACCATAGAGACTTCCACGTTCTACAAACACATTGTAGTGTGTCTGCCAGGGGAGGAACTGCCAGTGTCGCTGGCCAAATGGAACCAGCCATGGCCAATCAGGTCCGCAGGCCTCGATGGATGTCGTCACTCTTCCCCGCACATCACCCCACCATCGCATCCTGGGGACCTTCCGATCTAAAATCGTCTCTCCGTCTCTCCGAGCCAGCTCTATTTCTTTCTTCAATTTGGAATCGCAACTTTCCAACTCCAATTTATCTGGCCATACCCGCTCTGTCTCCCACTTTCCACAATGCCCGTTCACGAGATCACCAGGTAATCCGCTCACTGTTCTGAAGCATGGAGCATGAAGCAGGAAGCGTTCGACCTGATGCTGACTATCTCCAGCTTTACAGACTTCCGTGAGAAGATCCTCAACTCCGAAGACCCTGTTGTCTTAGACTGCTTTGCCGAATGGTGCGGCCCGTGCAAAGCGATCGCGCCCAAGATCGAGCAATTCAGCAACAGCTACACGGACGCAAAATTCTATACAGTGGATGTGGACAAGGTGGAGGACGTTTCACAGGAACTCGGTGTTCGTGCTATGCCGACCATCATGTTGTTCAAGAAGGGCGAGAAGATCACCGAGGTCGTCGGGGCTGATCCGGCCAAGATCGAGGACAGCATCAAGCTTCTGCTGGAGTAAGGGGTCCTCTTGAGGCACACTCACTGAGGAATGCCATGAGAGACGAGGCACGAAAAGAACCGGGCAGGTCTGATTATCGATATTTAGCCCCCGCAGGTCTTAATTTGAGATGCGCGGGTTTCATCCGACCTGCTTCAGGCCCATGACCAATTCCAATTTGGACATCGTAGACATTATCATGCCCAGTCTATAGGTAGCCCCTCAAGTCCTGATTCTCAAGTATACCATATATGCTTGTGGGTACATGGGCGGTAGGAAATGCGGAGGCGCCTTCATGTGATGCGGGCCCGTCTGGCCCCAACGCCAATAGCATCGCGGGGGATAATCCAAGTCCTCTCCAGTCCGTCGATCCCATCCATCCCAGGCCGCAGTGTTCTATTGTTTCCCCGGCCTGCGATGCATCCGGAGTGGTACGACGGCCTTGCGCTCGACTTCAACCGAGATGCCGCGCCTCTCAGCCTCAGAAGGGGGTATGCTTCTCCCTTATGCCGCCCATCAATTCCCTAACAAGCAGACTATGATTTGTATTGCCGCGCCTGTTGACCTTGTGATCGAGCATAATTGGGCATTATCCCCCCGTGTAACGGGGCCGCAGGCCAGTCATTAGGAAATTCTGCCAAACCTCGGCAGAGGCTGTTCTATCGCGGCGTTCTTGGATCTCACGCCACTCTCGTTGCTCTATTCAGCGGCCCCGAAGAGCTGGTAACTATGAAATTGAATCCTCCCGAGGCCTATCAGTCGCCTGGAAAGAAAGGTTGATCGGCACTATACCAGCCTAATACCATGATTCTGCTGCCCCTCCCTCCCGCTCTAGGTCTGACATTCCTCGGTCCGCTCAATCTTCTGTCTATCAAGGTCCGTCATACAGTCACGCCAATGAAGAGGCGGATTATTGGGAGGTCGCCGAGATCATGAAAGCCCTACTCTGGCGCAAAAAGCCCCAGCGCCGTAGAGATATATAAAAGCCCTAGACTTCCCTGGCTCAAGGCGTGAAATGGTTCATTATACTTTGGTCAACACGTCTTACCACTGAAGTATATATCCAAATCAAAGCCATCAAAGCAATGCGTTGGCCTCAAGTTCCCTCCTGCTTGCAAGGGCTCTTCCCGGAAGTTCTCAATACCATTGCCAAGGTCTCGCTGCAGGAGCGCATCGTCTCCGGGTTAGTAGGATTCATCGCATACATACTCTTCCAACAGTCAGTCCGATATCGCAGGCAGAAGGCAATCCAGAATGAATATCCGTACAAAACCCGAGAGTCCATGGCCCATATGACCGACCGCGATGCATGGGCTATCCAGAAGACAATGATGCAGACAGAATACCCCTTCATCGTGATCAAATCACTCCAGTTCGCCCTTTTCCGAGTAAGAACCCATATTCTCCATGGAAATAAAACCTCTCCCCCAATCTGACAGAGCCAGACATACGGCATCCCAACCATCTCCACCCTGCTGCTCCGCACATCCCAATTCTCCGACTCCGCCACCTCATTCAAGCGCTATGCTGACACAGGCACCCTCATTGGCGAGTTCATGGCCTTCGAGCCCAGTTCCGAACGCGCCCAAACCGCCATCGCCCGCACCAAATTCCTCCACAAAGGCTACCGCGCCAGCGGCAAGATCCTGGAGGATGACATGCTGTACACGCTCAGCCTGTTCGCCACAGAGCCGATCCGCTTCGTGCAGCTGTACGAGTGGCGCGCGATGACAGAGCTGGAGCGCTGCGCCGTCGGCACATACTGGAAGAGCCTCGGCGACGCCTTAGACATCAGCTACGCGAAGCTCCCATCCGGCCAGACCGGCTTCCGCGACGGAATCCACTGGCTGGAGGAACTCGGGGACTGGAGCCGGCAGTACGAGGAGGCGCACATGCGCCCGAACCCGCGGAACAAGGAGATCGCCGACAGAACGATCGACGTGCTCGTGTACAACCTGCCGAGCTGTCTCAAGCCCCTCGGCGTGCACTTCACGGCGCATCTCATGGACGAGCGACTCCGCCGCGCGATGATGATGGAGCGCCCGCCGGTTGTGCTGGCGGCGCTGTTCGCGACGGCGCTCCAGGTGCGGAGGCTGGTACTTCGGTATTTGGCGCTCCCCGGGCCGAATTGCATGCGGCTGGATGTGTTTACGGAGACACCTAATCGCCATGGGCGGCACCATGTGCGGATCTGGGAGGGCGCGCCGTTCTATGTGGCGCCGACGGCTTGGAATCGCTGGGGCCCGACGGCGTGGGTGATGTGGTTGCTGGGACAGCCACTGCCGGGCGATGAGGGGGACAAGTATTACCCCCAGGGGTATTATACGCCTGATCTGGGCCCGAAATACTTTGAGGGTAAAGGGCGGAAAGACTTGGAGGAGATCATGGAGAGTCTTCGGCGGCAACGGACGGGCAAATGCCCATTTCCATGAATACGTCAATGTAGCTGATAACTTGAATGCAGGGAGATGTCATGGCCTGACAAATGACTTTGGTCTATAGATCTCAATGTCCACACGCTCTATTAATCAATCTAATCACGACTCATTTCAATGTCATAAACGGCCCCGTATAAGGGGCCAAATGAATAGCTAAGACATTTGGGTAGATGCGAAAGACCCAAACCCGGGAAAAAGAACAAAGCCATTATCAGAACAGATGGGCCCGGATATCGGAAATGGATGGCAAGGGGTATTTTGCGTAGGCGGAAACAAACAGATACAAAAGAGTGATATTAGAAGATTAGTCCGTCCCACCGGGGGAGGAAGGTAGAGGGAACGTGGATGGGTCGAGGGGATCGTCGACAGGCCAACCCGATGATGAGAAGAATATGTTGTCGAACTCGGTGGAGGGACTCAGTAGTGCGCGGCCACTTTCCCCGATTTCACCCACTTCTTCGGGGGAGAGCACGCGGCCACCGAGCTCGACATCTTGCACATGGACGTTATACTCCAGCGCCCGTTGCCCTTCTCTGATGAGCTCTTCAGTCCACCCTAGGCATCGCTTGAGACTTTGGTTCATCTTTTGGCTATCAACCAGGAGCTCCTGGTGGCGGGAGAGGTCAAGCATAAATCGTTTTTCGTCAAGAGCCCGATGCTTAGCGTCGTGCTCAGCCTGGGAATCCGGACTCCGGACCCCGTCTTCGCCCGCAGAGTCCTCGTCACTGAAATCAGAAAAGTCATCCTGCATCGACGACAACTCACTGGTGCCTTCATCCATTTCACTCGTGGTCGACAAAGCGGCGCCGGAGAATGATCGAGCCGAAGGCGCCATCGACAGACGACCTGAGCGACTCAGACGCTTGAATCGGCGCAGCTCCGCAGTTTGCTTGCGCATTTCTCGTTCCAACGTCCGATTGATGGCCAGCAACGAGGAGTTACTGATCTCAAGATCTAAGATTTTGCGCTCCGTGCGCGCATTATTCAATGCGACATCCCCGCCTTCTGACTTTCCTGGGCTAAGGGGCATGCCGTTATACGGATCTGCGGAGACCGAAGAACCATTGCTGAATACCCGCGGGCGAAGGTTGGGGATCTGGTCACCCATGACAGGCGCTGATGTCTCGGGGAAGGTGCTAGGGGGAATAATTACTGGGCTGGCTCGCAGGCCCTCGTTTGAATTATTGTTCTGGTTGTTTGAGTCGACGCTGGATGATTTTCGATGTTTTGCGAGATAAGGGGCCTGCGGCCGTTCGGAAATGACATTCGGAGGCGCCCCCAAGCGTTGTAAAGCATTGTCGAGGTACTGTTCTGGATTCGGGCTGAATTGAAATTGGGCATCGTCGATGGAAGAAGTCGCGGCGTCGGAAACCCTGGGCGATTTCAAGCGAGGCGAGGGGGAAGGGCTGGGTCGCGGTGCGGGTGACGGACGAGAAAGGCCGCCTGAACGACGCTTTGAAGTTCCGAGGACGCTGGATTCATTGGCAGAGGATTGCTGTTCTTCATCGCCGTTCGCATAGACGAAACTTGAAGCGGACGAAATCGTTCCATGTTTGGAACGGGCCCGCTAACTTCAGAGGAATTCGTTGACCGAGTATCAGAGGCATGAAAGAATCTCGGAGAGTTTGCCGCCAGATCATTGAACGAGTTTGGTCGCGCTGCATCCACCGTCAATGTCTTTGCTCGTAAACTCCTTGGTCGGTCTGCTTTCACTGAGCGAGCGGGACTGCGTTCGGTTCGACGAGGGGCACTGAGGCCAAGCCCGATGGTAGGCTGGGGATAGGCGGCCTGGGAGGGCGCTGCAGGAGGCGTATTCGTCGGCGACGAGGACGCAAGGTCCCGTCTGGTGTTACGAGGACCAGACCGAGGGGTGACGTTGGCACTGAGGAAGGTGGGTGTGGCGGCGAGGGGCTCATCTTTACAGGGGGTGGAATAGAGGGTTGGCGGGTCATTCTGGGGAGCGCGGCGTGCGGATGAAAGATGCGGACTGGGGCTGGCGAGCTTCGGTGTTAAAGGCGTCTTATTCGAGCGGTGGAAGGCCGCACTGAGCGTGGGCGTGAACGGTTTGGCAAGATGGCCATTGTTTTGTTTATCGGAGGTCATAGTGCACGCGGCGACGATGGCAATGCGAGGCACCGCAGGTGCTCCAGCATGTTGATACCAGCAAGGCGAATCTGATCCTGATCTGATCCTGAATCCTCCAAGATCTTAAAGAGCAACCTCCTGAATTAGAACAAGAGGAAAGTGGGAGTAAGGATGGAAAACATTCACGGCCTAAATCGGGTTTAGGGCGGTGCCCAGGCCTTCACCGCATCGGATTCCAACGATAGCGGGACGCGCAGGAGGGGATGATTGTATAGAGGAGCTGGGGTTGGTTGGACGAGTTTACAGCGATGCTATTTGCAAAAGAAGCGCTTGATGTATGTGGAACTCTCGTTGGGTCATTTCTTCATCATTCGTCTATCAGCGCGGGTGATCCTCCTTAAGCTACCTGCATGACCTCCCGTATGCGGGATCCTTGATCCATCCACCTTGCGCCTTTATTGGACGGCAACCGCAACATACGACTGCGGGTGCCTGAAATTTCAACGCCCTGGGTTATTCGCTAGATTATTATCGAGTGTGATATCTTGTAAGAACCCCCAAGTTATCGATGGTTAAGAAAAAAGAGATCGCCAAGTGAGACTCATTGGAAGAATAGTCTCTTTTGCCGAGGATCGGGCTCGGAACTGACGGGCTGGGAAGGGTTCTTCCTCTTGCGGATGAGGTTGGGAGGGTTGGGGGGATTGGACGCCATGAGATTCGATAGTGCGGTTTCAGATGTGTCCTGGACCACTTCGCGGATGGTTTGCCGCGAGAGGCAGAAGTCCACATGGTCATTGAAAGTCCGGTCATCGGCAATCTGTGGTCGTCCACAGATAGGGCAATCCCATTGAACCGGGGGGGCCATCTATGCCTCCACCAGCAGATACATCCTCTGCTCCTTGCCCCGGGAGGCCGGTTTCCTGGCTAAGCTGCTCTAGGTCATTCATTTCATCCTGCACTTCCTGCCGGGCTGCGGCCTCAAAGGCTTCTTCCGCGCCGATTTCATGATCTTGATGTGGAGGTGGCTCCACTGTTCTCGGTCTTTGATGCGCCGAGGCTGGGCCGAAAAAGTTGACACTGATCTTTTTAGTGCTCACTAGATTTGAGCACCGCAAGCCAAGAAGGCGCAGTTTCATTCCTGGGATATCTTTCTCAAGCTTGGCCAACATTGGCACAGCGAAGTCGTACAAGTCCTTTGCCGAAGAGACCGCCCGTGGAGGGGCTGTTTGGCGCGTAAGAACCTCAAACGTGTGTAGTTTCACCTTCAGCGTGAGGGTCCGGCCCTTGAATTGCGTTCGCAACAAGTCTTTTTCCATTTCCTGGGCTGCCCATCGTAGTTTGTCACGAAGTTCTTCTTTATCGCCAATCTCGTGGAATGTACTTTCCGTACTTACGCTCTTGCGCTCATGAGTCTCCACTGGTTCGATCTTTGTTCGGCCTAGCCCAAGGTAGCACTGGGCTAGGAACTGAAAAGCCTTTTCACCAAATAACTTCGAGAGAAGGGCACGCTGGGGGTATACGTCCCCGCATGTTTTGATACCGATGGAATCCAGCTCTCGTTCAAACACTCGGCCAACTCCATTGACCTTTCGAACGGGGAGATCTTTCATGAATTCCATGACCGCTTTTCGCTCATTTGGTACCCGGAATTGTCCATTTGGTTTGTTGATATTTGACGATATCTTGGCTATTTTTGCATTGGGCGCAATGCCGGCGGATACGGAGATTTTGGTTCTCTCTAGGATCTGGGCACGCATTTTCTGCACGGTTTCTTCAGGGTCCATGTTGTTTGCTGAGCAATACGCAGTTATGTTCAAATAGGCCTCATCAACACTAGCACTCTCAAATAGCGGGTCATATTGAGCCAAGATCTCGCGGATCTCTTGAGCCTTGGCGGAGTACTTCTCGTAGTTTTGAGATACGAGGACTAGCTGAGGACATAGCTTTTTGGCGACAAAAGAGGCCATTCCACTGCGCACCCCAAATTGCCTTGCCACGTAATTGCAGGTGGTCAGGACGCCTTTCCCCACTGCCATAGGAACGGTCTTGAGCTCTGGCCGGTCCAATTCTTCGACGGCCGCGAAGAAAGCGTCACAGTCCACATGGATGACATACTGAGAGAGATCGCGGCTTAACTCGAGCTCAGCCAGGTACTCATCTGCCCGTCGGAGTTCATGACTCAGGTCGAGTTTCTCTCAGGCGTGCTTTTTCCTTCCGAATGCGCTCGATTTTGACCGTGAGATTTCGATCGCGATCTTGTTCATGGTTGAAGAACTTGGAGCCTTTCGAGGCATTATAAATGATTTCAGAAACCTGCATCGACTACATAAGCCAAAGCCCCGGTCGAGCTGCTGATTTTGACTCACCTTTTGCTGATCGACCTTATCTTGTCCAGCTTTGGTTAAAGAGGGTCCGAGGAGCTGATATTTCAAGGTGTCATTTTTCTCCGCACTAGACGACTCTGGTGGTCTCTTGTCACTAGGCCCGCCGGCGGACGTCATGATAATTGCTGTGCCATGAGAGGTCATGAAATCCAGCTGGCGAGAGAAGGCCAAAGGCCATAAGCGCAGGCATCCATGGCCAGAGCCTGCGACGCCTGATCACGTGCCCACGCGTTCGTTCCACGTGGAACAACCGACTCTCTTTTCATACCGTCATTGCCCCGTTCGACGGTCTCGATGTGGGTTCTGGATTCACCAGGCGACTTCCTAGACGGTGGGCATGGCAATGGTGATGTTTCAAACCCCAGATAACTGATCTCTTCTCAGGGAGGCGTGTGTGGTTGCGGCCCGGCAGGAAGTATCTCTTCGGTCGCCCTCCAGCGATTGGCGGTAGGTCGAAGATAAACTCATGACGATGTACCCACACTGATATTCCTCCCCTCAAGTTCACCGATCAATATCCGAGAAAGCGAAGTCCGTCAATTCCGTATCGCGACAGCATATCACGATCGAAGTGTCACCAGTGACCCCGCGCGATGGAGTATGTAGTCTCAATGCTACTCATCGGATGGTTTGCTGACGATTTCAGACCCGAACGCACACCCGCACGAACTTGACGGTGACAGACTTGAAATCAAAGCTGGGAACAACAATAGATGGCGAGCTGGTGAAAGGCGAGGCGCGAGTGCTCAGCGGGACTGAGCACACCCTCAAACTGGGTAAATCTGCGTATCCACTACGGTGAGCATGCCCAACTCGAGATCCGTGGAAGTCGCCTCTGGCCTAACCTCTTAGCAGTATCAAATGGGAGCCTGTTGTTCTGAGCTTTTCGTTCTCTTCAAAGGAAATGAGAGCAGAGGACCCTCTCGCAAAAGTCCGCTCCAAGCTGGAGGATCTCGATATCAAGACGATCATTCCATACTTAGTCGACCAAACCACCCATGTCGTACAAAATAAACGGAATACAGCGAAGGGACTTCAGGCATTGATCAACGGAAAACTAATCGTCAGTAATGCATTTATTGATGCTCTGGTTTACGCAACGACCCCTACGGATTTCGAGAATGCCGAGGCGATGTCACCACTTGAGATTGATTTCGATACAGCATGGCCCAAAGCGATCGAATACTTGCCCCCAGCCGGGAACGAGCCGGTGACTCGTCCGGCCGAAGCATTTGCGCCGAATCCATCACGGATCACCGTCTTTGAGGGATATACATTCGTATTCGGTGATAAATCCCAATTCGATAATCTCCAAGCAGCTATCAATAATGGCCACGGGAAAGCGGTTTACTTCGAAATTAAGGACGGCGCGACTACTGCCGCGGAAATCGTGGAGTTCATGAACGAAGTATCAGGTTCAAAAGGGATCGGAAGTGAGCGAGAGGGCCCTGGCGGAGTCGTGCTCGTACGGTTCCGATCGAAAGGTCAACACGAGTCCTGGTCGATCGAACTAGGGAACGAGGTTGCTTTGATGACAGATCAGCGAGTGATAGAGCAAAGAGAATTCCTGGATGCTATCCTGGGGAACGATGCCTCTCCTCTCTGCCGCCCACTTCCCCGGGAGGCATCACCGGAGGAAAACACGCAGCCTCCAAACGGCCCCCAACGCTACCCAGAGCCGGAACCCGAGCCGGAACCTGAGCCAGTACCTGAGCCCCTAAATGAACGGCCTCAACGGCCTCATCGCACTAGCAACTCCCCAGCGTCTCAAGCACCAGCGTCAGAGCCTATGTCACAGTCACAGCCTCCACCATCCCAACCGAAAGCCCCTCGCAAATTCGTCTCAAAGATGCAAAATTTCGATGATGGATTTGATATGGAGTCCGTACCCCTACATGTTTCTGACGACGATGACCCAGCACCAGTAGAATCTCCGGATGAGCCTACGCAGCGAACTTCCCATGCCCGGTCTCAAAAAGTGGAGGCAAAGATTGAAACGGAGGAAGATATGGTCATGGATCTCCTGCCAGGCGCGCGTGCCATGAAACGTCATCGGGAAGAAACGAGAACTAAACGCACTGCTCCTGCTCATGCGGAGCCCGAGCCAGCCCCCAAGCGAAAGCGTCCTAAATTAGACGTATTGGAAGCAGCTCGCAAGCACCGAGAAGAAGAAGAGCAGCAGCGGGACGCCGAAGAACCCGATAACAGATCTCAAGATGTCAATATTGAAGGCCTGAGGAATCTTGCCATTATCGAAGAGATGGATCTACCGCTCCGTGAGATGCCAGTGCGCGAAGAAGCAACATCTGATCGATGGGATGAACGATGGAATGGTCGCAAGAATTTCAAGCGTTTCCGTCGCAAGGGAGAGCCTCGCACTCGTCACCGAGTCCAAAGCGTGATCGTTCCTCTCGAAGAGGTTACCCGGAAGGGATATGGAATTGGCGAACATTACTGGTCTAGCAATCGCAAGTCACCGGAGCAGGAACAACCGCCTGCACGAACACAGCCGCCAGAAGCCGATGAAGATCCAGCTCCATCCCGAGCACTATCACGTTCGGTGGCTTCGGCTGCTCCATCTGCGAGCCCAGAGCCAACCCCGGCGCCCTCAATTCCATCACGAACACAAAGCCAGAAGCGCCCTCGCAGTAGACGAGATTCTGATAGCGATGAAGAGCTGCGATTCAGATTCAGACGAAAGCGTTGAATTTGAGGTTTGCGTAGTCTCTTGTTCGTATATGGCTTAGCGTCCGAATTGTGCTTTCAATACCCCAGCCTACCATACAGATTTTTATCAAGCTATTATGGCATCAACGCGATCTTTATAACCAAGCATGTCTTGCTTTGCCTAGAAATTACCAAGAGTAGAGGCGTTGAAGCACTGCTTTTGAGGATGTCTACCAAGTTCACCGCCTGAGTCTGCGTTGACCACCTCTCGGTGAGATCGAACTACAAAAAAGTAGGCTGAATGTATCAAGCAAAGCTTGAATATGTTCTGATTGGATTTTGTTTCCACTAAGGCCCTGTGGATTAAAGCACCACATCCCTGTCCTGACCAGCATCATGAACAATGATACCGAGAATCCATACATTCACAGCAAAGAAGAACAGGGAAGCCAGGAAAAGGCCTGGCACAAAGACTGAACGACCGAGGAATTCTAGATTAAAGCCCTGTTGCAGCCACAGCGCTTGCCCTAGAACCCATAAAAGAGCAGCGGCGATTCCTAATGTGCCTTTGCGAATGAGAGAGGAGGAAGGAAGATAGAATGGGAGCAATATGAGGTACCACAAAAAATACTGTAATGAGTGTTAGGACCTGGCACAGGACAACGAGGGAGTCCGACGCTTACCTGGCTGGTGCACACTTTGTTGAAAGTGACAAAAGCAAAAGTTTGGGCCAGCATGGTTGTGGCCAAATCCTTCTTGGCCAGGACTAGCGGGAGGAAGACGATAGCAAGAAGGAGCTGGGGTAGGAATGCCAACGCCTCGAAATGGAAAGATGTATCCCCAACTGAAGTGAGATATAGCAGCGTGCTGTATGGAGAAAAGTTGTGTCGGTGATCTATGCGGGTAACATGATGGAAGAAAGTATGTTGTAGGAAGGGAGTGCCATATTGCAGGTACATGACACTGTTCAGGGCAATGAATGTAGCGAGTGCAAAGCCCGTAAGCTTTAGACGTGACGAAGTAATGAACCCCAGGATCTGTGAGATCAGGTCTGACTTGGTAGAAGGGGGTGCGCCATCACGTTCGGCATCCCACCACCACAGAATCGAAACCCCGTAGATGAAGGGATAGATTTTGAAGTGCACAGCGAGCCCAAGGACAATCCCCGCCAACGCTGCTCTCCTTGTCAACGTGGCCCACAGCAACGCCGCAACAAGAACCCCAAGCAGGCCCTCGGAGCTGCCACGGGTACTGATATTGGCCACCATGGGGTTCCACAGCCATACTGCCGAAACATATCGGAGCGCTCGCTCTGATGGGAAGTGATAACACTTCGTCAATAGTTGCACGACCAGCCACCCAGCAATGATATCTGCCAGTGCAAACAGGACCTTGCCAAAGGCAAACATCACCGGCGACCATGCGGTAGGAATCAACATCCACGCAAGTAATGGCGTGTAGCGATAGGTGTCTCGAGCATACGGGGGCTCGCCTTTCGAGACAAAGCGCGCCGCATCAGTGAAGACCATGTAGTCAATATCCGTGTATTTGACCGCCGAGTTGGCATCTTGCCAGCTGCCATACACGAGCAAGACCAGACGTAGAGCCGTCGCAACCGCGAAAACACGCGGTGCGGAATCAAACAGGGCCATTGTTGTTTACGCCAGGTGAAGCATCCAGGCACTTTCTCCTATCCTGCTACCGTGTGGGCTGAGGATTCTACCTGCCGGGAGCGACACGGGGACTGTGTGGAGATAGCAAAGTGGGGTTTCAGAAGTCCACTATCAATCCCAGAAAGGCAACGAACTTAGCTTGCCATTGCTGAGCCAAAGCTATGTTGTCTATGGATTCAAAGCGGTTTCACGCCAGCAAAACGGAGGCGCTGAATCAGCAGATCCGCTAGTCCCGACGTCACATCCGGAATAGACCAGCGCTGCTTTTTCGCCATGTCACATGACCTATTGCCGCTATGAAGCAGTATACAGCCACTTCTCACTACCAGTTCAACCAGTCTGTACATTTTTGATCTCCAGTACGCTAAGAATCTACCAGTCATAGTGAATTGGATGAGCATTATTAATATGTGTAAGCTATCTGCGTAAAGAGATGCTATTCGGGAGTGAGAGAAAGATCATCGACGCAGATATATCCAGCGCGCGAACCCCTGAAACTACCCTTGCAGCTAAAAAAGGAATTTTGATCTTAGCCCCGCCTCGGAGTTATCATATCCAAAATGTTGCATATATTTAATCGTACCCTTTACTAGCTCGAGCTCTCGATCTTGCATCAGGACAGGTCTTTGATCTGGACATTGCTGAATCCACCACTACCATAACTTCCATAAAGACCTGCAGCACCGCGCAGCAAGTCACTGTTCGTAACTGTCACGGTAGTTGTCGCACCATTGCTTCCAGTCAGCGTCGCAACAAGGTTCGCAGATTGAACCGAAAGAGACAAGTGGTACTGTTGGCTCGCCATCACACCCCCGGTGACTGGCTGCGACTCCAACGTCGTTGTGTCAGCATCGCCCACTCGATACAGTGTGAGCTCGCCACGGTTGCTGTCAATGACGGCCGTATATCTGCTCAAGTGGGAATCGTTGGGCGAATTAGATGCCCGAACGAAGACACCCGCCACCCCAGACTGGCTCGTGATAATGACAGCCGCACTGATTTCATAGTCCGTCCACCCAGACGAGCCGGTCAGCACCATCGTTGGCTGTGATACAGATGGGAACTGGTATTGATCCCCGGAGATGGTCCATATTCCGTCAAAATCAACCCAGCCAGCTGCGCCAGCGGTTGAAAAGTTGGAGCTGTACGGCAAGATCGCGATGGGCGCCGCGAGTGTGCCCTCTTCACATTGATTGGAATCGTTCGGCGTATCCGTTGAATATAGAATTTCTCCATTTGGCAAAGGGAGCAGATCGGGGCTGTAATTGCTGTTGCAATCATCGGTACCAGCTGGGACGTACCAAGGGGCCGAGGCCCAATACCAGTCATCCTTCCCGTAATTCTGGTTGATATGGACAACATGGTGATCTTCCATGGTGGTGTCAGTTCTATTTTCGGTCTCCGATACAGAGAACCACCTCTTGGAAGAACTGGAAACGATCAGTTGTTTCCCAACTGGATCCCATATAGAATAAGGGCTCCCACAGCCCAGAACCCCATCGGGTGTTGAAACGTAGGTTCCATTGTCGCTCGGGTTCCATGACACGCCATCAGAAGATGTCTTTCCGTGGACAGGGCACGAGCCGGTGGATTGGTAATATCTGATATCACACCATTCATAGCTCATGAAATACTCTCCGTTGTCCATCTTGGCGACTGTAGCCATCCCGGGTCGGGACTCTTGGTCTGAGCCAACAACATCCGGAACGGGGTCATCTCCATTGCCACTCCAAGTATCACCTCCATCTGTGGAGACGAGGTGGACGAGTTGCTGGGAGTGTGTCTCACATTCTCGCTCATCGGAGAAAACCGCAACAATGTCATTCTGATTGTCCAGGAATAGGAACGGCTCCCAAATTCCGGCAGAAGGGTTGCCAGGTGCTCCAGTGATAGCATGTCCCTTTTGCCAGATACCTATGTCGTCCCAAGTTTCGCCGTGATCGGCCGATCGCCAGGAGTAGAAGTAGGTTTTATTTCCGTCGTGCAAATTGCCGACTAGCAGGAGAGTGCCCTCAGGGTATTTCCCTAGCTGCTGAGGGAATTCGAACAAAAATGGCTGGAAGAAGAAGAGATTCGGGACATCATCTGGAGCAGTAACTGTTGCCAGTGTACTCCATGACTGGCCCTGGTCGCTGCTTTCCTGGATGAAAAAGTTACTCGGCGTCCCGTTTGATTGTTTGTAATTAGTAGGCTGCCCAAGCGGGTAGTACCAGTGTTCAAAGGTAGCTAGCAAGTGACCAGTCGCATCCCCTGCATGCTTCAGTTCGATGACCCGCGCCGTCACAGCTGCCTCATTTGGATACTGAGGCTGCCAAATTGGAACGTAGGCAGTGGCTGTTCGGGCACTTAGTGCCGCCAGCAAGGCTAAAGCTCGTGCACTTCCGAAGATGCTACTGAATTTAACCATGGCTGGAAAGACTGAGTTGCTCGAGTCAATCCTCTGGACAGGTGTTTATCTGTTGCATGGGCTCTTCGCATGGACTCTTCGCTATTTATAGATCTGGACAGATGCCGATCATATGCGGTGTCGGGCACGAGGCCTCCCGCCGTCTTCTTGGTACGAAGATCAACGTGCTGAGAATTTATGCAGGGGCATGCATGGCAGTGCAACAGCGTGAAAATACATTTAGAAGAACTTGAATGGTTAATTATCCATGAAGAAACTTACCATTGCCGATTTGAGACCAGTCGTGGCAGGTTTTTCTCGACAACCCATATGACGATGTATTGTCGGGAGGCCTTAGTACGGGAGGCCCAATACCAGGAAAGAGGCGACAAACCATTGCTATTGCCCGGATGTATGATGCAGCAGATTAACATGAGGAAGGAGCTTGCTCGTATCCGATGAAGCTATGTCTGTCGGAAGCACCGTTCGTGCAGTGTAGCGAGTCCCCATACAGGCAGACTGGGAAGGGATTGCCGACACATTCTCATGCATGGGCCATTTGACACCAACCTACAGGCATCGGATGTCTACAATACGGAAAGCTATAGGCGCAGGCGGTAGAAATTCATAGACGGGTAGTACCAGGACCGTTTTATTCCTTTTTCCCTCTGACGAGTAGCCGCACTAATAACTCTCGATCGCCAGGTCAAGACGATTTGTATTAAATTGATTGACACCGGTTGCCATACCAATGGCAAAGTGCATTCTAGCCGCTAGATTTGCAACTCCACTTGAGTATTGGAAGTGCGTTGCCTATCTCTCAGTAGCAGGTTGTGAGCTGCCTCCGTCACGGCCAGGGGAAATTGCGGGATGGAGACCAGTGAAGAACAATTCCAACAAAGGCCCCGCGCCTGCACCAGATCTGTCTCATCCAGTTGCATGATTATTTCGCATCATAGAGATCGATAGTTATCAGCCATGTGCCGATAAGCAATTCAAGTTGTGAAACAAGCCCTCGAGGGGCAGCTTGGAAAAGAAATCAAGCCGTCCCACCGCCTTGATTTTGCCACAGCCATATCATACAAACATCCACCCCTTGACTCTATCTTTTGTGAACAAGTTTACTTCCCTTTGCTAGATTTCCACGAAAGAATGTCCCCCTCTCCCGAAAAACCAGGGATATTTACTTACGCCGATTTTGATCTGCAAGCTCTGTGTCGTCATGCGAGCATGCTGCGGAAGGGCATTCCATGTGCCTGTGACCCAGATCAACGCCCTGCTTCGGGGAGTTTCAACTGGGCTATTCTTGTCTCCTTTGAAGATCAAGTGCGATGGATCTTCAGATCTCCACACTCTAGGAAATTTATGCCAATGGAGATAGGGAGAAAGCTTCTGGCAAGCGAAGCTGCCACATTGCGATACCTCAGAGCTCAAAGTGATATTCCAGTCCCCCAAGTATACGATTATTGGTAACGCACCCTCTGACACTATTCTTCCGCCCTCTAACGTTTGTAGCGCCTCTGCCAATAACGAAATTGGACTTCCTTTTATTCTTATGAGCGAGGCACTTGGGCAGCCACTATCGAAGGCTTGGCGACCAGCTAGCTCTCCTCAACCTAGTCTGGAGACACCTAGCAAGGCTAAAGTTCTCTCGCAGCTGGGGAGAATTACTTGGAATCTTGCACAGTTACGCTTCGATAAAATTGGCTCACTTTTTGAAGAAAATGAGTCCTTCAACATCAAGGAATGTCTCTCACGCGGTCACATGATGCATGAACGATTTTCCTTGAGCATCCCGCGTGGACCTTTCACCTCCAAGGACGAATTTTATGACAGCCTCATTTCAGCGTTCTCTGAGCACGCTGAGGTCCTACCCTTATCACACCATTGCTTCATAGCGCCTGTCCCTTCTCAGGGCGAATACCCCTGCAAACTGCAATATGAGAATGCTGTGAACCTATGGAACGACTTTGTGACCGTGGGAGGCAAAATTGACTCAGCGGATAACAGGTTGGACTACATAATCACAGGGGATGCTCTTCGTGAAATCATACAAAAGCTTGAACTCCCTGCGAGCAATCCCGAGACGTTTCCGTTGTACCACCCAGATTTGAGCGTGAACAATATATATGTTGATGATGATTACAACATTACTTGCATCATTGACTGGGCTTTTGCTTCTTCTATACCCGAATCTATGCTTTTAACTGCTCCAGGGCTGCCACAATACCGCGACGAAATCAGCTTAGAGTTGCAAGTGTCCTTCATAGATGGGTTTATTGCAGCTATTCCGGGACCAACGGAAGGGGAAGTGGTCCGCAGATATCGCAAATCTCTTTAGCGGAGTCAAACCTTCTGGAGATTGAGCAGACTTCTCAACTTGGACTCCATTAATGACCATTTTTTCCTTGCTATGCTCTGGAGCGCTGCATATAATTCTGAGCAAGGCCTAGCTCAATATATTTTACAGCAACGCCGCTCGACTCACTACATTAGGCTTTATGACAGAATTCGACAGGAAGACCAGCCATGGCCAAAAACGGAAAAAGACGAAAACGATTATTTTCGAAATAAAGATATAAGAAAGACAATAGCTAGAAGGCTAACTTTCATTTCTGAATGGAAAACACAATTCACCAACGAAAATCCGCAAAGGCTTCGGAAAGATATGTTTGTGGCTTCTGCAAAGTTATGGAAGTGGATTCAGCTATTTATCCAGGACTGGGAAGACTTATATGGCTGAGTCTATTCGGTGTATTCCAGACACTAAGGTCTCAACTGTACTGGAGCCTGAAGTGGCGAGTAGCATACATCCTAGTAATTACTTCTCCCAATCTCATACCAATCTGAGAGATACTCTAAGTAGCCGAATACTTTAATAGCCTCACGGTGTGGTCTCAGCCAATAATGTACCTGTAGACAATAAATCTCATCCTGTCGATTTCTTCCAAAAGTGCGCCACTTAGCACTGTGACAAGAAAATAGAAAGGGAGGCCGGAATGAATCAGGCTTAAGTTGCGTAGCCGTATCGGCGACTCGCAAATTTTGCTGGATGAGACCTGCCAAGCATAAGTGTATGTCATTTTATGAAGGCCAGAGGCTGCTCTACCGATCCACGTGCATCTAGCGTGAGACAAGGGAATGGCGGGGTAATCGTAGAAGTTCAAAAGACGAGTAAGGCCGATAGTAATTTACCTGCCTGTCGGCTCACCCACTGCTAAGAAGCGGCTTCATGAATTGAGTCTTTGGCGACACAATATTACCAGCTGAATTAATTGCCATGGAACAGGAAAACAGGGGCAGGCCCAGAACCGATAAAGCTATTTCGAAGACGTCGAGGACGTCGCGAAAGTTTCTAAAGAGACATACGATGCTTCCTGAAGGGTTCCAACGACTGACGAAGTTAGGTAGACGTAGACCTTACGTACAACCGTTAGCACCTGGGAATGATATAGACTATGACTGGTTTGCAACTTGGTATCAAATGACAGACTTCAATTCAACTTTAGTATCGGTTTGGAAGTGTTTCACCAAGGCAGATAGTAAATTTGAATAAGTGAAATTTAGTAGTTAGAAGCCCACAGCTATCCTTGACTCTCTGAAGTGGGCCTTATTCAGATATCAATATCGGTAGATGGACGAGCGATATTGAACCTCCAGTGATGCTTGTTGATAGGGTTTTTCTGGTAAATGTTAAGCTCAAAGAACTTGTTGTGAGTGGTACATTTGAAGTTCTTATATCTTTGAGAAATTAGTTTCAATTCGGTTTTCTTTCGATGGAGGCTTGAGAGGACAAACTGACGTATTCAACTTCTGAAAGTTGCCGATGATCAGATCTTGCTCGGTAACCTCTAGGAAACCACAGTTGCCGTCGGTGGAATCATTCGTGGATGGGATGAAATAGCGTTTGGACTCAACAGGGCCGTAATTAATTTGCTGGACGAGCTGTACTGCAAACTCGGGGATATGAGCGGGAGTTTGGAAGTACGAGGCCGAGTTAGCCACAGGAGAGGACTTCGATCGCTGAGCCCAGGTCATGAATCGCTGGAACTTGCTTTCGTGCATCAAGAGGGATCCTCGGTAAGGAACGATAGAGGAGCAGCAGAACATGGAAGACATTGTGATTGAGATGAGAAGAGCTAGTAGATGATTGATACAGACCCTGATCTCCTGATCTTGGGGACTGGCAAGAGACATCCGGTGGGCTTTTATAATCGGACGGAAGTATCGTGATGTGAAAGGCATCTCCGGTCCAATACGTTATCTTGGTTCCGTGTCTTGTTCTTTGTCGATACTAGTTCCCACGCCAAGAAGGTTCATACTTGCCTTGGCCGTGACTTTTAATCAGGTCTGCCAATCATAGCTTTCCGCCCGGGGCATTATGGAGACATGAAGTATACGCAGATATCTTACAGCGTTCGTACTGGCTAAGCTGCCTGTGCATGCATGATCGTGAAAGTAAAATCCCGTGGTTCGATTTTTCTGCGTATGGGGAACTGTAAACGCACCAATCAACCAAGAGTATTCGGGGGCATTTCCGCTTGGGCCCCCGCTGGAGAGCCCCCGCAGATAGGGCCAAACCTGTCCTTGATGGATAAATAGAGGATGAGAGGATCCAAAAAGCGATTTTCTTGAGGCAGGGGCAGCCGGCCTGCCATCTCCATTCTTTTGACGTTCTGTTTCTCTGCCGCCCCTCAAGCCACGTTCTCTTTCACGTTGTGTTCGATCTTGCTTTTCACCTTCCAATCTCAACGCCTGAAGCAGTCTGGAATAGTCTATGTCCGTTATTCTTGAAGACTTTCTTTTCAAAGCCTTCATTTAAGCTTCTCCATCCTATTTGATCAAGCGGCGGTGTTGCAAAAAGTCAATCGCCTATTTGCCTTTTCCGAACGCGGTAACCCATCTCAGAGTCCCAGAATCTAGCCACTGATCGATGGTCCAATCTCCAACAACAATACCAACAAAATCCACTCACCGACGGAACCGTCAACCCAGCCTGGCTACCGAAGGAGGCAACTGAAGGTCCCTTACCGCACGCAGCCCCAACAAGTCAACACCGGCTTTATCAAACCGATGATGGAGAGCTTCTTAGTCAACATGGACTCCCAGGGCCGCCTGAGAGTTTGGAAGAATCTGATTTTATTGAAGATTCCCTTTTGTCTTTTTCCAACACGTTCACTACACACGATAATCACACTGATACATCTGCTCCGAACCCTGACGGCCCACATTCCCTAGTCAAATGCCATGACTGCGGACGGCAGCTCCTTAAAGGCCACCACTGGAAGTATGTACCCCATAAGCCTCAGAGAGTTCAATGTTCAAGGATGGATTTCTAACGCCTAAGATCAGTAAGCATTGCAGGAAATATGTGTGTCCTGACACATCTTGCACGAGGTATATACCCGCTGGATCGCTTTGTAGTCGCGAACAAGACGACAAAGCATTCGGAGGCAAAGCTGATCTCCGTCGGCACCTGATGACTCACCAAGACCCCAGTGCAGTCCACCGAGAAATGGTCTCATGTTGGATGGGAGATTGTGGCGGGAGGCAGATGAGGAAGGATAAACTGCCGCGTCATCAACAGCGGAAACATAAGTTAGATATGTGGCCACCGTCGACGCGGCCTTGATTGATCGACCATCTGTATGTAGAACTTCACTCATTAGGAATGAAATAAAATAAGGGAGCATGATCCAAACCTCAATATGTAGAGCATCGTGGGAATTTCAGATTGGTGTAGCAGCTAACAAAAAAGGCAGGGGTGACCAACAACTAGCGAAAGTTCGCCCAATCAACATTAAAGTTACGGGTGCTAAGACATTTTGCTAGATTAGCCATGGCGGTGTTTCATACCGAAAGTGGTCAGGGCTACAAATTCATCACAGAAGGATACAAATGGAATAGCCTATGCACTCATCTTGCACAGCGGTATGAACTATTGCAGACCTATTGAGACTTTCAAGACTACTATGTTGCGCTACCAAGCTGCCTCCCTAGGGCTTTTGTCGCTAGATTCACAAGATATACTGATATAAGTCAATGGGCTATCTTCGCATTTCCTTTCCTCCTTCCGCAACATCTTGGATAACGGTAAATTACGGAATAACATTACTTGTCCAAGAACTATGGTGCGTGGAAAAGGATTTTCTTGAAATTTGAGACAGATCCAAGCATGGGTCTCGACTAGACTTCCCAGGCACGTACTTGATGCTGGGTCTATTTAATACGCAACGGCGAGAACGGCCGGCCCAGTGCGAAATAATTTCTCCGCTTGTAGATTCACCAGCATAGGTGTGAATACGGCCGGAGTAACTCCGAATGGAAGAACGGCGAAAAGCTTGCGGTAGATCAAGCTAGTGATATTGCGCTTCTAATGAGAGTGTTTGCGTTCTTCAGGTCAGAGTGGGTGACCCATAGTTCGAGCTCTTTCAGCTGTGCAAGGTAAAATTGAAACTCCCCGCACAGGAGGTCTATCGACCTGGTTGACAGCCCTAAATGCTGGAAGACCAGCTTATTTACCTATTTGACTTATATAGAGCAATTTGGGGAGGTCTTATCAAAAGGAATCAGTGGCATTATTGAGAATGAAAAGATCAAGAAGCGCAGAGGACAAGCCAAAGTTAGTACTTAGAGGCGAAGAGACTAGTTTCCTGTGGAATGGAGAATGCGTGCACATAGCGAGTGAAGTTAGTCGGCCTAGGCTGAAGCGCGATCAGGTGCTAAGTCCCTAGTAAGACTTGATATCTCATAAATCGCACTTTTTACACAGTACTATCAACTAGTTGGGAAGGAAGTACCAGATCTCGGGTGGTATCCATTAATCAAGCAAGAGACTAGTATTTAACAAAGGCTTCGATTTACTGTGACACTGTAATTTCAGGGTGTGACCCACATGTACATGTGGAGACGTGAAAAAGTAAATGCATCGGGGCCCTCGGAAGGATATCCGTGCCCTTCGCTACGCTGCGACCCCCCACTCGCTTCCGCTCGTGGGTGCACCACGCTTTCTTCACCAACCACGCTTTTATCACCAATTTTTATCACACCACGCAATTGGCTATCTCAACCACCCAACATGCCTAAATCGTCCAATTTTAGCGAAGATCGAATGGCTAAGGCCGTCGCATTCGCTATAGCCGAAAAAAAACCGAATATCTCGAAAATTGCACGTGAATTCGACGTATCTCGTGAAACCCTCAATTCACGCATCAAAAAGGCTAAATCGTCTCCTACTCCAAAGGATTCGCATCGGAACAATCTCCGTGCGTTCCAGGAGAAGGCCTTGATCAACTGGATCGTGAAAATGCATAGTTGGAATCTTCCTCCTACTGCTGCAGTTATAGAAGCATAGGCAAATCAAGCGCTTTCCCGAGCTGGTCAAGAAAAACAGGTTAGCAAGATATGGGCCTATCGTTTTATCGAACGTCTTCCAAAACATCTACAACTAGCACCAATAAAACAGAAAACCAAAGAATTGAAACGAATTCAAGCGGAAGATGCTGGTTTTCTTGCTCATTGGTACGATCAGCTTGAATTTCTCCTCCGAGATGTTCCTGCACGGCTAGTTTACAACTTCGACGAATGCAGTTTCCAACCTGGTTAAGGTCGATCTCGAAACGTTATTGGATCTTCGTCATATTGTCCTAATTTGGCTGAATCTGAACGAGGCGAAAATATTACTGCAGTTAAATACATCGCAGCCGATAGATGGTTAATGGATCCGTTGTTTATCTTTAAAAGCACAGGTAACTTCATAAAAGCGTGGTTTGATAGTAGCGATAATCTTCCACTCAATTCCGCTGTTACAATATCGCAAAATAGTTGGATAACTAATAAATTAGCCCTTACTTAGCTAGATCATTTTATCGCTGCTACTGCTACTTCCGACTGGTTAAAAAGTGGTAAAAAACGGTATCTTTTATTTGACGGTCATAGTATACATCTTACCCTTGAATTCCTTCAAAAATATGAACAAAATTCGATTATTCTATTTGCATTTTTACCACATTCGACTCATATCTGTCAACCACTTGATAGAAAGCCATTTTTGAATTATAAACAACAATTTCGGCTTATAAATAATAAGTTATCATTCTAGGAAGGCCGACCGTACAGAAAAACTGATTTTCTCCAGATTATTAGTCCAATTCGCAAAAAGGCCTTCAACACACGAATTATTCGCACATCTTTCAAAGAACGTGGAATTTATCCAGTTAATAGTAAACAAATCGTGGCCAATTTATCAAATCAGATAGTTATTCCTGATGTCGATATCCCGGAACTTCGGATACCAGGTATACGTACACCATCTCCGGAATTTCTATCTTCTAGCGTGGAAAATAGCCCTCCAACTACTATTAAAACGCTCGAACGAAATCAGGTAAAAATTATCAGAGATATAAAAGAAAATTCGGAAAAAACCCAGCAAAATATCGCTAAAAACTTCAAACATCAGTTAGATAAACTCGAGAAGCTTGCAATGACACAAGATTCACTTCGACGTGTTCGGGCTGCACAAGCCCCCCAACGTCGTATTTATACTAAACGACAGGTTAAACCACTTAGCCAAGATGGTATCCTACGGTCTCGTGATACAAATCGTTCAATTCGACAAAGAAAAGAGAAGGAAAATATAGCTGAAAAAAGGAAACTTGATAAACAACTCGAGAAAGCGTATAGTTTCAAACCAATTCAACGCACTCAAGAGAGTATTCAAAGATCTATCAATAATACAAAAGAAGCAGAGGAGACTGGAGAGTTATTCTATTTAGATTATTAGTTATTTATTACTAGTTTAGTTAATTAATTTGATCTTTTTCTTGCTAATCGATTTTTCTTAACCAGCTCAGGAAAGCGCTTGATTTGCCTACGCTTCTATAACTACAGCAGTAGGAGAAAGATTCCAACTATGCATTTTCACGATCCAGTTGATCAAGGCCTTCTCCTAGAACACACAGAGATTATTCTGATACAAATCCTTTGGAGTAGGAGACGATTTAGCCTTTTTGATGCATAAATCGAGGGTTTCACGAGATACGTCGAATTCACGTGCAATTTTCGAGATATTTAATTTTTTTTTCGGCTATAACGAATGCGACGGCCTTAGCCATTCGATCTTCGCTAAAATTGGACGATTTAGGCATGTTGGGTGGTTGAGATAGCCAATTGCGTGGTGTGATAAAAATTGGTGATAAAAGCGTGGTTGGTGAAGAAAGCGTGGTGCACCCACGAGCGGAAGCGAGTGGGGGGTCGCAGCGTAGCGAAGGGCACGGATAGCGGAAAATGCGTCTAAAAGGCCCCACTGTGGTGCTAACTAAAACAGCGCTTTACCTAATAGAGCGCACACAGCGATCCTTTCCAAGGACAGAATGGTCAAGTCTTGGACTATGTATGCCTAGTGTATTTCTCCGCTTGTGCTATCTTCCTCTTACACCTCCCACACCCGAGACAAACAGAGTAAAAATGCCACTCCGCTTCATTGAAGTACCGAATCCCGAGGTCCCTGCTTGGGGCGAGCTTGAATTGGATGTCTATCTCCTTTCTGAATGGGACAAACCTCACCCTGACCCCTTGGTGTCCAACGAATCCCCTGCCGACCGTCGCAAAAGGCTTTTACGCCAGTTTCTCGCATTAGGAGACGAAGGAAGAGAGGTGCATACAGTCTATACCACATAAAGGACCAGGTCATTGAACTAACCGAATAATGACCTATTAGCCTTACCGACCAGGCAAGCCGCCAGCCTCTCCCACTCAAGCTCAAATAGATGATATTCTTCGTCCTGCACGGCCTGAAGCACTGCGTGTGTACGGTCATAATACTGGTGCCGATGCAGGATGCTGGATTCGTCTCTGCTACACAAATGAAGAGGGTCATAATGCTCTATGGTCTGCCAATGAATCCGCCCAATGGGTGACTTACGGCGGCGTTGTGCTTGATGACGAAAGTATCTTCGGTGGCCTGGATTTGGCAGCTGCCCTGGAAATATTTCCTGAGCGTGTCACAAACGAGGCGGTCAATATTGAGCTTAGAGAGGAGAGCCTCAAGGACGCAAAATGGTCCGCTGAAGAAGGCGACTGGGCTGAAAACCCCCTTGGCCCATATGCTCTGTATCAGGCGGATTGTGTTGTTACCCATATGTACGTGGAGGATGATGTTGCGGTAAATGGCGGGGGTGTGTTACACGTGTTTTTGGACGACCGTGGGAATGTGGTCAGGCAATGGCGGGTGCAAGATGATGGGTCGGAGAGTAACTATGATGGCACTTCGTTTGCGGGCGTTTGGAAAGTGGCTTTTGAAGGCGAAAAGGGAGAAGTCGGTCCTGCTTACCGCGAGGGCGAAAGAACCGCGGCGCCCCATACACATCTGGAAAACCTGAGGTTGTGAGCTAGTCCTTGTCGATATAAAGCCAGACATTCTCTGTCCGGTGAAGCAAACTCCCTGAAAGCGCCTCCTGAGTGGTGTGTTACCAAGCGGAAAATGGTGTGAAATGAATTGGAAGAAACAGAAGAGATATAATAAGAAAAGCTTCAATTCGCCTCGGGCCAGGATATCTGATACTGAGGGACGAGATGTTCGAAGTTAAATTGAATCTGCTGTATGCCCAAACTTCATGTCTTCAGAACTCAACATGTTCTCCCAGTCCGCATCGTCCCACGGCGGGAGTTCGTCCTCCTCATCAAGCAGCTCGATACCTGGAAGAGAAGATGCATGGTCAGCTTGCTCCAGAATTATGAGTCGATGTCACATACTTTCAATCTCCCATGGATCATTCCCACCTATCGAGTCATCTTGGTCACGTTTGCTGTACGAACCGGGAGTCTGTTGATCGGCGAACTTGCTCCCGGCGAAGTTAACTTTGCACATTTTGTATTCAGGGCGTTTCCCGAAGCCTTAAGGGCAAGTTACATCAGCTGTGTTCATCTTCCCTATCAATGAGCCTACAGGGCTGCGAACATACCTCTTTCATCGCGCCATCCATTGTTTCTGCTTGTATCAAGACAATACCCGTTACCAGTACCGTATCGATAGACCTTCGGTTGATTGAATAGGTTTATTGCGCAAAAGACATGTGTGGGGTCTTTGTCGACTGCACCGCCCGGAATTTGTGAATCCGTCAACGCCATCTTACCCCATTGATCGGGGGTATTCGAGAGACTCGTCGCGTACGCCAGGGACATTGTAAAATTGCGTTTGAAGTTATAGCCAAGCGTTCGACCGGAGTTTTCCCATTCCTGTAACATTCTCAGTAAATCGGATAGTAAAGCACAGATGTAAATAAATCATTGAACGTACCGTTTCGTCAATGCCGTGAGCGAGAGGGACTGGCTCAGGATATCGCGTCAACCGCCCGAAGGCTGGTGGGTCTTTATCTTTCTCGCTTCCTCCAGGGGTCCATCTTTCGTCCTTCCTGGCGCCCCGCCTGGACCAAAGCTTCCAATCTTCTTCATCCGATTTGCTATCACGATCAAAATAAGCCACGTTGGTGTACAATGTACTCAAAAGCGCTGAGGGGGTCAGTCATTTTTTCCAAGTAGAAATGAATACAGGCCAAAAATCTCACCGTTACAGTTTCCTTGCAATGACTGTTGTCACGTGGGCACGCAGTTGGCAGTTGGGGGGACCCGGTGCGGTTTGTATTTGGCACCCCAGTCTCCGCCCTCTTCGGTCCCACCAAAGGGAAACTCATCACAGCTGATTGTATCTACCGTCTTACCGAGGCCGGCGGCTGTATTGAGCTTCTCCTTCTGGTCAGTACAGTATGACTTTGCCTTTCCAATCGCGCTGTCTCTCCACCTGTTGCACGTGTACGCGTCTCGCGTTTGGCGCCGGTCAGGATCCCATGTGAGCTCGACACCATCGCTGCTGGCGCCATCTGACCCAAACCATCCGAAGATGCCGTCGCAGATACCTCTGACTGTCTGGGACGAACCATCTGTGGTAACAACCTGGTTGGCAGAGAATGCTTGGCAGTTATCTGTGGAAGTCAATAAACTATTTCGTCAGAGGGTGAGTATGAGTACATACAGCGAAATTCTGGAAGAGTTGGCTGTTTGTTCCCGGACTTGGGACAATCGAATTTCTGAGATCCGGTAAATGAAGAGACACCAGCCGTGTCTGGGTTTGTCCCATCGTCACTGTCTGCCCTCTTGAATATTATAGATCCCGCATCGGGAATGGGTGATGTAGCATTTGATTTCCCATCATTAGAGCCGTAACCCTTGCGATGGAGGTGCATATGGTTCCTGCGGTGGTGAAAATGGCTAGCAGGTGGGACATATGGCTCAAGGCCACTGTCAGCTGACAGTGCATCATCATAATCATCATGGAAGAGTCCCTTTTCATCTGCATCTGACAGTATCTTGACGTCTCTCTTTGAGTTAAGAGTGGCGTCTGATTCGACGTTGCTATTTTCATAGATCGTGTACTTGTTACCTGGCACACTGTAAAGGTAGACTGGCGTGAAGTGCCAATTCCACGTACCGCCGAGAATGTTGGCATATCCTCCATAGCCTAGATTATAGTAGAGATAGGCACCATATTTATAGGTGTAGGTAGGATCGGTGTCGGTTCCAATAGACCCTGTCACAGTGGCGGAGAAATCAAGAGTGCTGTTCAGGAAAGCTATAATCTGCGCGTCCACAAGATTTCCCTTGCCCAAGATGGCCGGCCCTACCTCAATACCAATTCGGGCACTGGGAGACACATCAATGGCAAGGTTTGCGGATGCCTGAGCGGAGGCGTAGAATTGTGGTTCCAGACCGGTTTTCGGTCGCTCTTGCTGAGACTTGATATTTTCGATCTTATCATAGTCCGTATCGCCTTTAGTCCCATCCTCGTCCTGAGGGAAGTAGAGTTCTGCACGGCCAAAGTGCACTCGAGCGCCAGCCTTGGCCTGTCCACTCAGAGTCACACTGCCGCGAATCTTTACAACATTCTGAAGTCAGTATACCTCTTTGACAAATACTTTGCGGCATAAGACTTACCCTGCCGTATATATCCAAGCTAGGTCCAACAGTTGCTATACCTTTGATACTCAGACCAGGGTAAGCAAGTGTGTCAATGAGCTTTCTCCAATCCGAAGTGTAAGTCATGATGGCATTTCCTTTGAGTCGCAATCCGAGATATGCGCTTGGCTCTACACCCAAATAGCCGTACGTATCATCCACCTTCAATGGCACGATAGTTCCAGAGAGATAGTAAGCATATGTCGCGTCCATCTGAACATCCGCATCGAGGTACATTCTCATCTCTGCATAGAAAGTTCGGCGGGCACATCTGTGCGTTATAGTCAGTAACCGAATGCCAAAGAATGGTGTTGGCATGGATGAGAGCTCACCCCTTTACAGCCCGGTATAGAAGAAAGCTCTTCTGGAAGGCCATGTTGAGGACGCCATCGTTTCCAGCTTCGACGGTATTCATCTTTTTCAGCCAGTCCACGAATTTGCCGAACCACCGCTTCGCTAACCCGGTGTCTGCAGTCTCCATCATGTCAGTGCTGCCGGAGGCGAGCTTGACTGAAGTGCTATTCGAGGCAGCTCTCGTTTTCACGTCCTTGATAAAAGATTTCCAATCATCTTTCGTAAGTTTCTCGTGGACGGATCTCTTTTTTGATGATGGCTTAGAGTCCGTTACTTCATCCCAGTACGGAAGCAGATTGGTGTAATCAATGCGCATGTTGACCGGACCATCGTTCCGCTTGATAAGATGGAAGTTGTAGTCTATCTTGAGCTCATAAACCTCGTTCTCATTGTTTTCCGCAGAGCGAGCTCGGACATGGTGATGGGGAAGCTCATACGTATCTGAGGCCTGTGCCATGGAGACAACGCGGGCGAATGGACCTTCTCCAACATGATCCGGCAGCTTGATGATCGTATCTTCAGCGCCTTTGCGAAAGATCTTCTCGCATTCAGGAGATCCCTTTGGGTAGTTGCAGTACACAAACATAGTCTCTTCAGCGTGGTCAAAGGTTGAGTCAAGGATAGTAGTGTTGGTAGTGATCATTGAACGTCTTCTGTTGGGCATTTTACTGCTGCGGCGGGCAACAGTGTATGAATCACCAAAGGCATTGTCAATTGATTCCGGCGGCCCATCCAACATTAGAAAGCCATAGGCATGATCTGTCGCGTGGTGCTAAGTCAATAATGCTTGCATCCGGAAGGGGCTTAGGTTTACCTGAAGGATCCTCTTCGATTGGATCATCAGTGGATTGATCATCATTGTTGCCCTGGTTGTCAGCAAATGCCCAGGCAACGTCGTCACCATCATCCTCATAAGCATCTTCCCAAAGATATGAGGGTGGGACAGGCCAATCCTCATTATACTGGGAAGGTGGGTCACAGCAGAGATAGAAGGCAGGATCGAACTCGGGCAGAATTGGATTTGCAGCGCATTGATCCCCAACAGTGCAGTCACCTTTGCAGTACTTTGCAGAATAAGGATTGATCATAGGCTCATATGCTTCAGAGATCTTAGTCTGGGTTTTCTTGCATTGACGCGGCTGACAGGTAGCATCATCCAACGTGCTTACAGCATCCTGAGTCGTCCATCTGCAATTATCGAACTTCTTGGACTTAGGACAGCACAAGCCTCGCTTAAATCTATCGTGCAAATCACTGCTGAATTCACGTGAGCACCAACCCCCGTCATCTGTATCAAACCGAGAGGCCACACTCTCATAGCCATCCTTGCACCCAGGTGTCCCAAGCTCCCCGATGCTTTGATATGGCATTAAAGGGCCTTCGCAACCACTCCAGTAGCACTGATGGAGAAGTTCCGTTGAGTCGCAGCATAAGGAGCGGTGACCTTGGAAACACTGCCCTTCTCCCAATGCGTCAGTGAATGTGTCTGTGGCCAGCTCGAACTGGCTATCGCCACATTTGCCTGAACAGCCTACTTCGCTGCGAACCGGCTCGCCCTGTACTTTGTGAATATCGTTCCGGATAGTGAGGCGATGAGAACTTACATTCCACTGGCAGTTACTTGGCATCTGTTTATTAGGACAGCACACATGTCGGTACCAACCTTCAGAGCATTGACCGATCAAGCCCACCGTACCAGCCTTCTGCAAAGGTGCATGGGCAGTTGACACAGAGGATGTCCCAGAAGGACATTTTTGCTTAGGGCCGCTCTCTTTGGAGCTACCGTCGGTGCAAAGCTCTGTGACAAAGCAGTTCTGGCCATTGAAGGATGCAAACTCATTGGTCAATTTCTCCTTTTGCTCATCACTGAGTTCGCCACCTCGTGTCAGAGCACCATCCATGGCTGCATCCCCGAAAAGAGCATTTATGGCATCATAGTCCTGTGTGTCTTGATCTATAGCCCAGATCATCAGGCCTGACAGACATTGAGATGTGAGAAACTTTTTCTTGGCTGTAAACGACTCCTCGTCGTCGTATGAGATCCACTGGTCAGCGGAATAAGTCATGTACTTTGTTGTCGACTTCTCGTCATAGTATGTGTCTGTGTTCAGGGAGTTGTTTCGTGAACGAATCTCAGCGTATGTCAGAATGCCTGCTGTATCAGAGCAATCCCCAGGCAGACCAGCTGTGGAAAACTGGCAGCCCTCATTTGGGTCATGACAGGTACTATCTAACATGGTAAAAGAGCGGCCATAGAAGCCGAAACCCATGACCACGTTTTCAGGTTTCACGTTGTTACGCCAAAGGAGATCCAGTCCCTGCTTGGCCTCAGTCAGATTTGTATGACCTTTCAGGTAGGGTCCGGTCCAATCATTGTGTTTGTCCCATAGACCGTGGAAGTCGTAAGACATGAGGTTGAAGTATGAAATATACTTCTGAAGCTGCTCAACATCAAACCCTCTGAGGTACCAATAACTGGCCGGCAAGGTGATAGAAATTTCCCAGCCGGGATTCTCTTGATCAAAACGTTCTCGAAGCCTGGCCACAAAGGTAACATAGTTACCGTAATCTTCTTTGGCACCTCCACGGTCTTCCGCAACAGGATATTCCCAATCCAGATCGACCTGTTGACGGATCAATTTATGCTGATAGAAAATACCGAAGTTTACAACTTACCCCATCAAGGCCATATTTCTTCAAATATGCTACCAAAGAATCCATGAACGTCTGGGTATTCTGATAGTCTGCCACAAGGTCAGACCAGATGGTGGCCGTGGCGCCATCATTGAAATCCCAACCACCAATGGCTATGTTGACGCGAAGTCCTTCAAACCGGTCCTTCAAGTGTGCAGCGCGAGTCACTAGGTCACTGTCGTCCTCCGAGATCTCAAACTTATCGCTAATAACAGCGAAGGCCAGGTTCAAGTGAGTCAGTCCACCCGCGGGGATATGCTCGGGTATGTATTTATCGCATTTTCTATTGTCCATGTTGAACAGCTCGTAGTATGCGACTCGGCGATCTAGCTTCATAATATCGGTGTGGGAGTCACAGCTCGGTTCACTTATTAGTTAGTAGCTGTTTTCATTTAATTGAAGACGTCGAAATCCACGTACTCTACTTCCTTACAACCAGACTGACAGCCATCTCCACAAAACTCTGACGTGGTACCGCAGAATCCAGCAAAGCTATATATAGGATCAGTAATCTGTTCAGTATGTCCTTGACATGATGAATGACATACCTGCAGCATACGCCCAGCGGACATCCAACATTCCCTTTTGAGTATTTGCCGCACTCTGCGGTGGCGTTGCAGTTACTCATACATCCCTCTTCTCGAGGTCAATATGTGGTCAATTGTCAGAACAAAAACAGAGAACTATTTACCACCACAGTGCTCTTCTGTGAATCCACATGACCCAGATGAGCTGCAGCATCCATTTTTGCACGGCATAAGCTCTGAGCAGACTGAATTCTGCTGAGCCCATACCGTGATACTCCCTGCTAGTAGCAGGGCCAAAAGCCACCAGGGCATAACGAAAAGATGATTTTGGTTATGTTCCAAAACCTAGACAGTCTGAATGATGAACCTAGGGGAAATCCAAGAGAAAATTCACGAGATTGCTGGCAAGGGTGCAACGCTTTTGTAGTATTCGGAACACCTGGTGCCTTACGTGTATTGTCTATGGATAATACCCAAGTATCCAGTATTGAAAACGGTAATTTCGACTTGGCGACACTAGTTCTGAGCCCCATTGAGCATTTATAACACTAGAAAACTCAATTACCCATTTATTAACACAGCAAGTGAAAGCAACTACTAATGTTTACTGGTGACTACCTGAAACGAGTAGCTAGCTGCTAGGTACGAAATTTGAATTTGTACAAATACTCTGAATCAATGCACCCTCTCGGTGGAAAAGACACGAGGTCTTGCCCAAGTGGCTATTATGTAAATAGCCAAACCAAGTGCCCATATTTTACTGATGAAAAAACTGAATTATGCCTCACTATAAAGTCTGTGAAGCGATCGCCAGGCAGGGTCGAATAACGGCATCTTGTGCAGAACCCACACTTGGATCAGGTGCTTGCACGGGTATTTTCTGTCCCATTACTCATATCAATGGTTTTAGATCTTTTTAAATAGAAGCTGTCGGTTTCAGAAACTCAGTTCATTGCACTACTGCAGGGGAAATGAAAGAGGGGTAACATCGGTACATTATCTTGGCAAGTTGATGACGCTCGGTGCAGGTCCGAAACGTCAAGCTTCACCTGTAGAAACGGCGTCAATAGCTAGTGGCTTCATCTTGCCCTGCTCATTCGACTCTTCATTAGCCCCGATGCATCCAGGACGGGTTCCTGAATGGGTGGGAACTCCTCGCTTCGCGAGAGCTCCACAGGTTGACCCGCTCTTGGCATATTCTCCACCATCAGATTTCTCATTTTTCAGCTCTGGACTAGTAGCCCCATATCCAATTGTTGGTTGGCCCCGGGAGTGGTCACGGGGGGCCTGACGATTCAGTCTCAAAGAGCTTTCGGAAGATGTGTATCTTCCGTATAGCCAAGAGGTTGTATGTTACAATTTCTGTCTTTTAGCGCGACATGTTTCCATCTTTCCATTCCCCATGGAACCACACTCAATATACTCTTACTAGTTACCCTGGACTAATATAAGCGAGAACATGGAGGGATTTATTTGTCAGTCGACCAACTTGAGTTCTCAATTACCATTCAGGTTACATGGTGAAATATGTCTATGTGTAATCGGTGCTGAATTGTACCTGATGTTCGATCTATGATCGTACCTTCTGGAGAATCTGGAATCGGAAGCAGATTTTATACACAATATTGGGAATGGTTGAAGAAGCCATTCCGCATCAAATCTATGTCAACAGCAAAGTGCTAGCAGTCTCGGGATAAACTAACTGGATATACCACACATAGATAGTGGTTACAAAAGCGGCTTTTCGAATGATTTGCTGTGGGTCACCCCTATCGCTTCGGCCCTAGGAGACCGGAGCAGCATCCTAAACCAAAGAAAAAACGGCAGGGGTGGAGGGTGGGGGAAGAGAAAGTGGTAATCTATCAGTCGATTTTACGAAAGACTCTGGGCCCTCTGGGAAAGTTTCCGAACATACGCCTCCTCGGTAAACAGTGCCGGTGAGAGGATAACGGTAGGGGACTGCTGAGGCTAGTCTTTTCTTTGCCAGGACCCCGAGGACGGGATGCAATGTCTTAGAATAAAACTCGTTTGGCGGCTGATAGAAAAACTTGGTTGGGGCTTCGACCCAAAGAGATAGTAGGTGGTGGTGAACTCGCCCTGCCAAGAAGAACGGAGTGTTTCAGGCAGCCAATCGCTCGAGGTCTCGTATCTGCGCCGACCCGATGGGGTTACAACATGCTGCCTTGGCATCCCGGAACATCTTGGCATTAGCGCCGAAGAGGCTTTGGCCCCCGCCAAGAGCTCCAAAATGGATCAGGAGAGAGTTCCATCCCGTGGTTTAAGGGCGGGGAAGCTCCACTTGTGGGCCCTACAGCGTCGGGCCGTTGATTTACAGAGATTGAGGCAGAATGGTGCTGCAAATCTCAAGATCGCACGTCCACTTATAGATTAATACCTTGGCATTGTGGCCTCCGTATATGATTACTGAGTGTAGTTTTTTCTTACTATCGCATACAGGGAAGTATTGTTTTGAATGGAGAATTTGCTAGTCACTAGCTAGGAATAGGCAGAATATGACTAGGACCTTTTTAACAGGTTTCGCCCCCCTGGGTTTCGCCTTTAGGTCCGAGTTGAGGTTTTCATCCTCAAAGATTTGAAGGCCAAAATACACGCTCAGCTTTTTCAACATGGAAGTGCCCCTCAACTTCATTTCTTTGGCCCTTGTGGTAAACCTGATAATTGCACCTGTATACTCCGTACAGATTCGGAATTCGTCCGGTGCACCCCCTGAGGGTATTGCCGTGGGATGTTGGAATGCATTGAGCACAAACATCACATGTAGTCAGTTGGTGCCCGCATACAAGGTCTCACAGCAAGTGCTTTACAGCAACACAGATCTTTCGAAGCTATGCACGACAACATGTTCGAATTCACTACATGAATTCCAAGAAGATGTCTATGAAAGCTGCGGTGATGCCACTCTGAGTTTTGATGGTAGAAATACTACTGCTGCTGAGCTTGTTGATCCTCTAGTTTGGGCGTATAATGTTACTTGTCTTCAGGATTCGTAAGTATGGTTCTCAAAGCATGAAAATATAACCTAACACTGGCAAAGTTCAGGATTTTGCAATCCTCAGATATTTAACTCATCATATTTTCTTGATGGCTGTTCCGATTGTGTTCTTTCATATATCGCTCGCATGCTTGAGTCCGATTACGGCCGCGTCAGATTCAATGATAAGGGCTTCTCTAGCCAACTCTCATCATGTGGTGTTCCTGCTACTAAGTATCCATATACGACCCCAACTTCGTCTCCTCTCTCATCAAGTACAGCGCCTGGGTCGGCGTAAGTCTTTCCTCGCCCCTTTGTTTTTCGCCTTCACTTGCTCACCTCTCAAAGGTCATCAACGCCTACAACGCGAGCCTGCAGTGGTGATAGCTATACCGTCGGTGAGGACGATAGTTGTGAGTCAATTGCTGAAGCCAATTCAATCCCAATCGGCACTTTTCTCGCCGATAACGGGATTGACCAGAACTGCACAACCTTAAAGCCCGGATCAGAGGTGTGTCTTTCACCCTCCTGTACACTTTATAAAGTCAAAGAGGGAGACACCTGCAAAACTATTCTTGAAGGAAAGGGTTACTATAAGAACCAGCTGCTATCTTGGAACCCGTAGGGAACACCCTTTTGTTAACAGAAAGAGACCTGAGATTGCGTACTGATTAACCCAGGACACTCCGCACCAATTGCGATAATCTTGAAACCGTGGTTGGACAGGGTATCTGCATTTCGTAAGCGAAAGATGGAAAATGCACTGTGATTGTCTAAGCTGATCAGAAACGAATAGTCCACCAGGAAGCTCGACATGGGACGTTACGACGACCAACCGGACGTCCACTATGTTTGTCAATCCCTTTGACAGATAGATTTAATGACCAAATACTAATACCTCTCAGGATCTTTACTATGTTCCCCGGGGACTGGGAAACCGGCCCAGCACCAACTCAGGTGACAGAATCTCCGACATACACTGCTTTGCCGACCAACTTCTCCCCCATAACAAGTACATACACAGTCAACCAAACGGCACAAAGTATGATTGAAGACTACTCTAAGTACTGCCCTATTTTGGATGAAGACTACGAAGATGGCTTCCGGTGGGAAGACCTTTCAGACACTTGTCAGGATCTGCTTGATCCTTACTGTAGTCCTGATATCCACTCCCCGTCGCCTAAATCAACCGAGTTCCCAGGCTCCTGCACGCCAACTGTTTCTGCTACTCCAACTGCCTCATCGACGCCCGCTCCGTCGCCAACACTAGATGGTACGACCGCTCGGTGTAACAAATACCATTATGTTGTGGCGAACGACACCTGTCCTGCGGTTGTTAAAAGATACGGTATTACGCTCACTGATGTAAGAGATGCCTTATTTTTCTTCCTTTTATCATGATTCATGACTGAACTTCCCTTAGTTTTATTCCTGGAATCCTGGAGTCGGACCTGACTGCCGCACTCTCAAGACCGAATACTATGTTTGCGTTGGTGTTTCTGGAACTTCGACCCCAACAAACACCATGGGAACTACTTCTGCGACAGCAACTACAACCGGTAATGCCACCCCTTCACCAACTCAGGATGGCGTCACATCCAACTGTGATGACTGGCATTATGTGGAAGCTGGAGATCAATGTTTTGACCTAGCAAAGAAGTATAATATTACACTCAATGAGGTAAGTAGTCTGTAAATTGAATTCTCTAAGAGGCTATTCTAACCACTTGACAGTTCTACGACTGGAATCCCGCAGTCGGGGAAGGTTGTAAGTCTCTCAAAACGGAATACTATGTCTGCGTGGGGGTAAAAGGTGGCACAGTTCCCTCTACGACTACTTCTAAGCCAACGTCTACCGGTGGTGGCACTACCACCAGCCCATCGGAGACCTTGCCAGGAACTATTGAGACTTGCAAAAAGTATTATAAGGTTGGGGAAGACGATGGATGCTATGACATCGCCGCTGCACATGATATCACTCTGAAGAATGTATGTGCTCAGCATCCCGTTTCCCTAATCAGTGGACCCGTTACTAAACTATGAAATTGTAGTTCTATGCTTGGAACCCGAGTGTCAAAGATGACTGCAGTGGCCTCAAATTTGACACCTACGTCTGTGTGGGGATTTAGGCGTTCCGTGAGAGCAGCGGCCTGCCGAGTTCCAGTGTTGTGCTTCAACCTCCAAATTGTGTTTTCGATATCCTTATTTTTAGCAATTAGCTGAACCTAAAATTTGCAATGTTGAAATCGATTTGTTCAAGTTCAGTTCTGACTCCATACAAATAGAAAGCCTCCAAAGGCCGAGCCCTTCATGAGTGGGGTCTCTGATTCGAATGTAGCAATGGTGGAAGGAGTGCCATTTCGGTGAAATATGGAAAAGCTGTCGAGAATGAACTAGTAGAGGCGGGACGATAACCCTAGCTTAGAAGCCGGATGATAAGGACTTTTTGGTCTTGAATGACCTCGGGAGTACCTGAGGAATTACACAGCATGAAAGTCCTAGGTTATGAGGCCATTGATCAACCTGTCTCGCAGTTCGTAATTTGAACTTATTTTTCTGTAAATTCCCCGCTTAGATCTTCATTCTTCAACTCTGCTTAGGTACACTCAATAGCGTGTCATAAACTTTGGGCAGCGCATGTTTTATAGGCGCTAATTATGTCCCATCGAAAGGGCCGATAGTTGCAGAACAAGACAGAGCCCAAGAGCAGGAATCTCTCATTCTCTTCATGTTGCTTTCACACTAAGAGCTGGCCTCGTGCCATTATTTGGTTGAATAGTGGTCTTCGAGGGATGGCGCATGCTAAACTAGTAAGTGAGCTGTTATAGACCTTATTATTGTCTTTCTTTTCTTTCATCTACACCAATAACACAGTCCTATCATGGAATCCAACCATTGGTGAAGCAGAATATTAGTGTGACTGATATTCAGGATGCTGAATCTATGGAGGAACGGAGAAGAAGAGAGGATATCAAGACACCACAGAAACAACCCAATGCCCAGACCCCCCTCCACCCAAATGTAATGAATGATCAATCCACCTATCGAGATGCCTGAAAATGACTATTCTGTAGAGCTGAATCGCCCCGTCATGCCACCTCAAATGTACCCTATGCCGCTGAACGTGCACTGTCAAGGTATATGTACAGTGAGGTCTATGTGCATTCCGCATTCATTGGAAAAAACACCCATACTCTAGTGTCAAATCAATAATCGCAGCGTCTTTCTATAGACTTTACTTCTCTACAACGTCCAAAATTCTCCAAATCAAGAGTTACTGGAGAAACAGAACTTCCCCTCTAGTTCAATATCCCCGCAATCCCCCTCGACCACCACTTTCAGAAAAGCTTTTCAACCTTCTGGCCTTGCGACAGTTGCCACCATAATACTCTGAATGCCCACCCGTTTGAGATACTCCAGTTCCATGAAGACAATGAACAGTTCATGCTGTTGTCCAATCCCGTAGTGCAGAATAGTCCGCCAGTCACTTCATCTATAATAGTTGCAAGGTCCTTTTAGCGAGCATCCCAGATTGGAACCACGACTCTTTTCTTACTGTTGGTCCAGAGCCCCAAAATCTCGCTGGGACACGTGGGCGACCCTGAGGCGACAGAAGAAGTATCTATACAAGCCAGCAAGAGGGAATGGCTATGAAAGGTTGCCATTAGGCAAATTCAGCGTTCTCGAAATGGTGATAATTGCATTTCCATCTTTCGCTCAGTTGAATTTAGCTAGGGTGAACTTTGAGAACAGGCTCACGAACGGCGGTTGTGAGCATGGACCCAGGGTTTCAGGTATCTCTAGCTGAGCTGGATGATTGCCTATGCTCACTGTCAACCACTCGATTCTGGGGCGTGTTTCTGCTTGAGCAGGAGAAGAAGTCGTCCGAAACATGCGAAGCTGGGATGAGGGACCGCCGCTTGAAGGTGAATCAGTTTGCTGCTATAGTTCTTCTCCTTCTTCTTCTCGTTCCTAATCCAAGTGTCTCAAACAAAAGCGCGGATGTCATTCTGCTCCGCCAATGGTTGGGCCCTATTAACACCTGCTACTTAAAAAAAAACTTGTCGAAGTATACTCTGTAGAGGGAATATGTAGCTATCATTTATACAGGAGAAGACCTATACACCGGTGTATATGAATATACAAAGAGGATGTGTTTAACAAGCAAATCCTTTTATGTAAACTCAACTTATAGCTATTCGAGCATATATCTCGCCCCCCCCCCCCTCCCTTTACGCACGCAGCTAGAATTCGCCAAGTTATATTGTGCTACTTTACAGTTGCGTGAAAGACGCGATCCAGGCACCTTTAATATCGGGTAAAGATATTAGAAGCCTATCACTTTGCCAATTTCTGCAAACTTCGAGTGCCAATTGGTGTTATGAGAGACAGTTCAATTAGGTAAGATAGGTGGCATGGGAATCTTGGAAGGCTAGAGGGGGCTTAGTATGGATAGGCTCGGAGAGTTCTGCCATTCCTGGCCGCCTTAAAGTGGCTTCGCTGGTAAGCTTCCCCTACTTTTGGATCTTTAGCCAATGCACGCACGTTCTTAATTGACCTGCTTCTCCAAATTTGTCTCTGAACAAGTCTAGTTCAGGCCCTGGTATTCGGGGATCCTCATTTTCAGTCTTGACCCATTCCGCCTTGCTCCGAAGAGGCAGGGATTTGGAGATGCGATTTCTGGTGGGGTGCCCGCTTAACTGGAACCCGTGGGCTAACTAGTTATGCTGATACAGCCCTGCCATAGGAATCGAAGTAACAAGTTACATTGTCATAGGACACTAGGGTTCTTTTCTCCACTTTGACCGACAATCTTATTTCATAATTTGAAGCCTTGCACACATATTTGTTACCGCTCAAAAGAATGTCAGACTTCAACCTCACCCCACTATCACCAGTATTCCTCCAGGCAACAGCACGAACTTTTTATGAGTCGTGGAAAAGTTTACCTCCTGATGTTGAAATCCCATCGACCCCTCTCAACACCTTGACCGGCTGTCGGGAAAGGCTTGAGTGGATGCTATCACAACCAGACACCTACGAGGTCGTGGTCGTTAACGATGCTACCTCTAAGTATTCAGATGGACCCGAGAACGAGCCCTCAACTGAAGACCGGGTACTGGGTTTCCTTTCAATCAACAAAAAAGAAAAGGCACTAGATCAGCTCTTTGTCCACCCTGACGCCCAGAATCTAGGACTCGGTGGGGTACTCCTTGATGTGGCTAAAAGAAAGCTTCCACGAGAGGATGGGGGATTTTGGCTACGAACCGCAGAGAAAAATTTGCCAGCTTGCAGGTTCTATGAGAAAAAGGGCCTGTGCCTGGTCAGAAGAGAGACGCACCCGGTTTGGGGCCATTGGACTTGTATCTATGCTTGGCGATGACGCTCTATGGATGGTTTGGGGTCACTATGCTTTGCGGTTAGGTGGAGGATGGGTGATACCATCTACATCGACCCGCTGTCTGCCGGTTACCTTATGCAGCGGTTGATTTTATGCGGTCTAACCTCTGAACAAGTGCTAATTTCATACCCACATAAGACCGGTTTAGGCCTAAGCAGGATAAGTGCATTAGAAGTACCATCTATCTCTTCCATTGATAGCAAGACTGATACCTTCGCTGAAATAACATTGTTTTTGCTTACCCCGATCCCCAAGGCGTTACTCCGTGATGATGGTAGCATAGGATGATATCTGCCGAAGGAATGATTGATGTTCACTGATCTATTTCATAGTATCAAGTGCCTCAATATACCTAATGCCGTTTAAGGTCCTTCATCTGATACATCGTAGATATTCCATGAATTAACTTGGAAACCTGATACTGTTCCTTATCGCCTTGTACTAAGAGAGCAAGAAACTGAATTGGCTAACTTAAGGACTATTCTATCTCGCATCAGACTAAGCTTTAAGCCTTCGTGGCACTTCATCATAAGTAGCGCTTGGGTCTGTGGCTGACGTAGCTCTCTAGTAGAGGAAAAATGTTGTTATGTAGCATCGGATCTTGCACCGCAGGATTGATCAGGACCGTCGCTTTTCGAATGCTCTTTTGGGTCGAGAGCTTGGTCGCGGTATGGAGTCCCAAGATACCGCTCATGGACCTTCCAGCCATTTGACGTCATCCTGAGACGATCTATCATAAACTCAACCCACCATATCTCGGGCAACGTATCATGCCTAATGGTATCGTGCCCAGCAATAGCATCCGCGCTTGGCCCCTTTCCATCCGTATCGAATAATATTTTCCTGGTATCTTACGAAGACTCCACCATCACCGTCACGGTCAACGACATGATTTGAGGCATTTCGAGAAATTCCGTGAATGAAAAATTCGGAGAAGTCCTCCAAAAACGGCTTCATCTCTGCGTGACCGTGCACAGTGCCGTGGCTGTGATAGACGAGCGCTTTTTCGAGAAATGTGTCCAGCATTTTGTCAATATTGAATTCTTGGAAAACGAAGTTGTGGCAATTGACGAAATCGATTGCAGTGCATCGCTCTTCAATAGACACGTCTCCCGTAGTAAACCTATTGATAGGCGGAAAACGTCCATTCGTAATAAAAGATGACATATTGCCGCTTATATTTCCAGAGGTGTGGACGAGGTGGGCTTTAGAAAGGATTGGACTTCCCCTGCAGACACTTTCTATCTGCCTTTATAATCTCAGCATCTAAATAAAGTGAATCACGGAAATTTTGATTATTTATCACGTACCTGATTACAAATATAGCGAATTTAGTCACCACAGCACTGGAGCTCGGTAGTTCGTTCGTTTGGAAAGCTTAAGGGGTCTTGGGGCACTTACAGGATGTGCAGCGTTTGGATGATAAATCTAAACCGGTTTGTGGAATACTGGTATAAAAAGTGACCAACAGATTTGTCTGGCAAAAAGGAATTATCCGGGGAAAGTGATCAGTAATCTTAATTATTGCAAGGTAATGTAATGGTGTAAAATCGAAGTTTTGAGTAATCTAGTTTGTCTTTCTATTACGCCACGGTACCCATCATACTTTCCACTGAATCCTTGCCCAATCTATGGAATGACTTGTTCCAGAAGGAGTCATAAACAATAATGGAGAACTGTTGGCGAACGCCCCGCCCCATCTGCAATGCAGAATGCAGTAACAACAAGGGGAATTAGATCGATTCGAAACACAAGTTACGAAAATCGCGAAATACAAACATGCTTAAACCGAAAGTTATCTAGCCCTGTTGGGGCCTCCTGACCGATTTAAGTATCAGTTCATTCTTAGAATACTAAGCATTCCAGCTGTCATCGAGACTGGCGCCATACGCCGCGCGCTATGTACCACTGCAGAATTATCTCGTCCATTTATCTGCACAGGAAATATAGATACATAGCGAGAAAAAGAAAAAGGACCAGCTGTGGTACTTCTTCGACCGATAAGTTGAAAGATATTAGTTCAGTTGGTATTCCGGTGAACCTGCGCGAAGCATTCGTCAGCAAAGAATCTGTCCAAGTTCATTACTGATACGCTGGAGAAGGCCCGCTGTTGCTATTTCAACGTGGCTTTCCAGATAATGCAGCAGCCTTCGAACGTCAGGTAACAGATTTTTTTTCGAGGGACTATACTGTTATGTGCCCTACTCTACCCGGTTACCCTCCAAGTGGGATACCAGAAGATGTAGATAAGTACGACTTGAAGGTCGATGCAGGTGACATATTGACCATCATTGACCACTTCAAAGCCGAAAAGGTAGTTGTCGGTGGCCATGACTTCGGTGGAGCTGTGCTACAAGCTCTGGCCCTTCTCTGCCCGGAGAGAATTGCCGGCCTGATCATCAATTCACCAATCATCCAGACTTTCTATGAACTTGTAAACTTCGATCATGCACAACAGCAGCTGTCGAAGTACAGGATCCCTTACATCGAATATCAGCCTGGGGATGACAAAAAGATAGAATCCATCGTCAGGACAATCAGGGACCCAAGAAGGCGCCAGGAGGTTTATGATTACCTGGTTAAATCATCCACGCACGGCATGATGAAGTACCATAAAAAGGATTATCCTGGTCCGGCTTATGGCGATCGAGTCGACACGTCCGAGATGTTTTTCACAGTCCCAACTCTGATCTTATGGGGCTTAGGAGATGAATCCTTCTCTTTAAAACTACTTGATGGGTTGCCTGGGCGCTTGCTAAATACTTTCCGCCTTGTCACTTTGTCTGAAATGGGACATTGATCATTTCAAGATAACTCCGCAAAGGTCAACCGAGAGATTCGGTCTTGGCTTCACGAATTATTCCATAAACAGAGGGAAACAACCACTGGAGCTCTCACTACCGCGCAAGCACCCGCACCACGAATAGCTTAGATATGTATGTAGATTTAAGCAACATTTCTTCCCTCATAGATGAGACTCAGGAAGACCCTTCTAAGTGTTCCCCTCAGATCGCATTGGGCATTCACATGGGGCACAAAATACTAAAAAGAATGTCTCTCATGTCTTCCGTGGATAGTCTCCTGCTGACGGCCTTTGTGGCGTAATAGAGCAAGCTATACCATGATTCCGCCATATCATGACGGCAAATTTTGTTTTCTCAACATGCTGCTAGTGAAATTATCACGGATTCCAGTTGGAGTGTGCTATATGAAGCATGCCTGGGCATATCCGCCCACATGGCATGGATATAATGGCCTTTTAGCGTAGCGTAGTTGAATGGCATTTTCATCATCATTGAATTCTGTGTTTTTTTTCACCGCCCTCGCATGGGGAGAGTGGTCCGAAATACGGGATGGAGGACAGGTTGGAGGGGGATCTCAATTGCCTCGGTAGCTTTTTTCTTCTTTCCTTTCTCCGGCTTTAATGTTTCGAATTCTAGCGCCGCTATCGCTCTGCTCCGACAGTGACTTGGCTCCACATTGACAGGTACCTGTAGGAAGATGAAAACTGGTTTGCAAAGAGTTACGTGTTCCGAATTGACTCAAGTAGCAAGTTCCCCTGGCCCCCTGGGGCCATTGCACCCCGCCAGGTCACGTGCCAAACAGGGGCCTAAATAGTTTCCCTCACTCATAATCTTTTTTCATTCAACACCATGTCGGCCGACTTATTCCAGAAACTGCCACCCGAGATTATAATTGCAATTGCGAAGACTACAGCTGATTTTGTTGGCATTGACTCTCTTTTGAACGCCTCGACATGGGTCCGTGATGTAATCTCTCATAGCCTTTTCGAAGTCACTGAGGATCTATTGGCATCATTTCCTATAACTGGAAATAGCTCCGAGATCCTATTTCTAATAACTTGCTTGGTAAACAAGCCAGGATTCAAATGTTCGGATTTTGATGACCTTCAATCAAACTTCACGGAACTTTCTCTGCGGGATTTCAGTGACAAGACGATCTACGGGACTCTTCGAAAGGGTGCACATATCCAGCGTCTCGCTTGTGCATGCATAACCAAATTTCGAGAGAATCTCATAACCGGCTTAGAAGCTGTCATGGATGCGAACTGGGAAAAGACCTTGTTTCATGATTGGCGGCAACATATGACTGCAGAAGCGTCATGGGTAGAAGAATTCCGCGTCTACAGAGCTCTATGGTGCTTGCAAATCCTATCTGATATTTACCACGCTTCTGGTTCAGTGGCCTCTCATAATGGCTGCGGGGGGGGGGATGGGCATCAGCTGAAAGAGAAAAGCTTCCTTCGTTTGGGTGGTCTCTTCCCACGAAATTCAATGAGCCCAATTCTGTTGCTGAGATACTTCTGGACCTCGGAGCTTCTTGCATTATTCCATCGGATGTTCCAATCGATCACGTTGTCTTGGGCTTTCCATCGCCGAAGTACCTCTATCCTATATTTGAGTCTTTGCGAGTAAAAGACCTGCAACGATTCGCTGTTTGGACACCACCATCCCCGCCTGGAAAGACAATGTTTGGCAATCCGAAAAATCAATGGCTAGAGGCCCAATGGGCTCGTCATCCAGCATCTCTCCGTGGATCGCAGAGGTCAGGGAAATGGGCACTTTTATACGAGCAGCAGCGGCGTTCAAAACGTGAATACAGGGAACAGTGTCCCTCAAGACGTCAGTATCCTCCGTTGCGAAACGTCAGAGCGTTGCATCGAATGGGGGTTTTTATATGGGATGATTGGAGACTGGTTTGTGTTGGGCTTGTCGAGGCGATGAACAACGATGTCAAATTTCCTGCACCGGATTTCTCTCGATGGTTTGAACCAACGCCGCACGGTGCTATACATCGAGAGAGTCCTCACTTGGAAAGGTGGACTGCGTTGGTGGAGACTAAAAGCTTGAATCACCGGGGCTAATTATTAATGAGATGCCCAAGGAGATGCCTTCGCCTCGCGAGACCAATAGCAGCCCCTTCTTGTAGTGCAGACAAATTCTCCTTCTCCTTCACCATTAGCTTAGTCCCTAGTGGAACTCATTTTTTCTCTGTTACTTGTCCAGTTGACTTCTCCTTGAAAGTCTGGCCAATTCTTCTATCAGTTGGGGTTCCCTAAGTCGCGATATTGCACAAAATTATGTACGAATGATAAAATCTTTTGACACCTGTCAATGGAGCCAATCGTTGGCGGAGGAAAGCTCCAACGGGAGTTGTATTCGAGATAGTAGAACTCGATGGAGGAGGGTAAGAAGACGAAGAATCTGAACTATAAGAACAACTTAAATCCTTTCCAACGATACTCCATTCCAACTTCCCATAGTTCGCTTCTCAATTCCCAATATACGGCCGGTGATAGGCAGCAGAATCGATTGACGGGTGACGACGCCCCGAATGTATTGAAGATTTGATTGTAATATACTACAAGTCGTGGTATTTATCATATGGCTTTTTTTTGATTCGGAGAAAACCCGCTGGGCTATGACAAGATCAGGAAACCGTTTGAAACATGGTGACTCATTATACGCGTAGCGTTTGGTAAGTGGTCGCTTGATATGTGGAGAAAGCTCGATTCTTAATTGGCATCTTAGTATATAAAATATTTAAAATGAGCATTTGCAATATATTCGGTTGTGTTAAAATACGACGATGAAATTATTTCAAGCTACATGTCATGAGTATTTAAGCTTCCACCGGCGTAGAAGTGCTTTTGCACCCAAAGGATATGTCTTCTGGATGGTGTCCTGACATTCCCCAACGTCGTCGAGATTTGGACATGTCGCCTGTTCAACATGGCCGTGACCCCAGTGCATATGCAATGACTCATTTCATATACCGTGGCTTCAACATTAGAAAACAACTATTTCCAGGCATCTTGACGTCGACTAAACTCCACTAGAGCCATCAGTTGGCTCAACATCAATGAAAAACATCATGTTGTACCATTCCAAATCCTCCTCAATTGTTTTGAAAATCTTGACCGATTTAATCATTTTCTCACCGAAGAAACCCTTGTGCGTGGACAGGAAAAATGGCACAGCACGGCCATTAGGGGTCCCTAAAAGGGCCTTTCCCTGTTCACTCTCGATGGGAAAATTTGTCCCTGGGTAAGGTTGAATGTTATTATCCGTAGCTTGATCGATGATGGCTCTCGTTTCCGGATTCTCGATGTGATATCGGAAGAAGTACTTCAGATTCTTCTTAAGTTTTGCAGACTTGCCAGCATATCTCTGCCAGTCGAGAAAGAGTACATCAGATAGCTGGCTTACCGTTGGGAGACCTTCTGTGGCAGGGTCCCTGGAGTCGTATCTTAAATACCATGCGGGCCCATAATTATATTCGCAAGATATAAATCCTTGGATAGGACTCATGATATTTGAATATACTGCTCCTGTGGCCTAATGGCTGTATAAGCATTTTATTTAATAGTGCGGGTTGCCTCTGGTTGATTTGAGAATCACTTACAGGTGTCTGATCTTCGCCATAACTTTTATCCTGTATCCAATATGAAGATTTGACTTTCTTTCCGATCTTGGTGTCCAGCCCCAAGGCCTGGAAAACTTCCGGGAGGCTTTTAGCGGTGAGAGTCTCTCCGCTGTAAGCTTTTTCTGTCCATTCCGATTGAAGTTCAGGTAGTGTAGCTTTCGAGTCACCACAAGCTCCCTGGAGGTTTGCTAGGTACTTTTCGCCTTTTTGGACAGCCTCTCCCCATGATAAACCGGCACGCCGCTCCAGAAAATGCCATTCGGACCTATTAGAGACAAGTTGTAGATCTTGATCAACAAAAGATCTCTTCGAAAGGGCCTGCGGGGACGTGGAAGTGGAAATATATAAGAGGCCGAGGGAAACAAGGCATATAATCGCTCTGACGAGATAGGTTTTGGAATGGGGCCCCATCTTGGCTCCGTGAAAGTAAGAGAATGAGCTGCAAAAAAGATTTGTGTCCAATTTCCATAATCCGTGATGAAAAGAAGAACCTTTTATTCTTTTACCGCAGTCCATGTATCGACATAATTTTTCGAGTACAAGCGCTAACATTCGGTTGCAACCTCGCTAACTTTAGTTTCTCGTAAAATACACCTAGGAGCACCCTCGAGCAACTTCTTAGTCTGTACCTAGGCACTATGAAACGAGCTAGTAGAGTTGTGGATCTTCGATGTCCGATTTCGAAGCGCTTAAAGGTCAAGGCAGACTTACTGTGGGGTATACCGATATGCCAGTGATAAGATATATAGTGTTGGTATGCATTATACGAAGAGATGCTCAACAAGTCTGAATTTTGGGAAGCCCCTAATGATAGAGTTCTCCGGCCCCCGGGGCGGCCCCCTTGTAGTATCAATCTTTAGCTCGATTTGGACCACTTTTCTCTGTCCAATAAAAATTTCGTTCGCGGCCCCCGGGGCCGGCCCCATGTAGTATTGGGTGGCACAATATCCGTCACTTGCGCTTCGGATCCACAAAAAAAAACAAGTAATACCCCTAAATCCCTAAGAAGGCTGGTAAATATCATTTGGATCTGCTCCGTATTGGCTTTTGGTCCGTAGCCTTTCTCCTTTGAGATGTTCAGGTGGCAACTCCGCTGTACCTTGCATATTTATCCTCAGGTTAGCCGAGATGGACCCCGTGAGTGGGCATAGCAGTGGATACTTAATATCCCAGTATTTATGAATCTACCCCTGCCTGTGCAATTTTCCAATGTGACCCATAGTCCGAGAATGAACCACCCCTAAAAACAACAGTATGGGATAGTTGTGTACAGAGTCGGGATAGGAGTAGTTACTGGATCCTCATTATTATACCTACCTATATTATATTTACACACAGATGCAATGAATTCAATAATTGCAGATGTATAGCAGATCATAGACCTGGTGCGGTATATTAGGATTTGAGGCGGGGTTGACTCCTCCGCACCTCGCGAGGCAATCTTCCGATCGTCGCTAGATCGGCTATACTTAGCTCTCTGGAGGCCCGTCGGGACCTATCTACTCCATATAGACTAGTTGCTCCATTCCAAATTCCCACGCAAGCCAATCAGTAGGGTTGGAAACCCCCTCAGATACGCTGGAGATACATGTTCTCAGCTTGTACTCGGCTTCCAACGGAAAGACCCCACCAGCCCCTTGGGGAAATTAGGCGAAATCCGTAGAGGCTACATGAACATGTATTGAGCTAGTATTGATCAACCCCATCAGGTTTTAGGGAATGCGCAGCCTGAGGGCATTTGATGTAGTGGAGGAAAATACTATAAAAAAAGATCGATTTCCCCTATGAAAATGAAACTCAAATTTTTAAAGCGCACTCTTCTTTCTTCATTTGACATTCTTTTGAAACTTAAATCATTTATGCTTGGGCTTTGAGGCCAAGCACAAATGGGAAAATGCCTTCCACAACACAAATTTTGATCGCGCTTGCACTCTCTGCAGGGATTGTTGCAGAGCCAGATTCTAGGACCTGGGACCTAGCCTACTTCGACTGCCCCATTGAGTGTGCACCCAGCACTGATCCTACTCCTGGGCAATGGAGCGTATACAGAGGCTTCGAGTCTCTTGCATTTTGCAACAAGACCATGTTACTAGACTTTTCGATCTACAACGAAAGTCCTTTTGTCAGTGTACATGCTTGCCAGGTTACAGCCGACTCTCAAACCTCTCCAACGACGAATACGAACGCCGTGGACGCATCATATTCTGAGGAGAGTCTCAAGTTCGAGGTTGGTTGGTGGGGAACCGCCACCTCCAAAATCTCAGAAGGGACCAGGCAGGCTCTAAATCAATTGAAGGTGTCTGTCTTGAACTCAAAAAGCAACTCCTCTAAATCTGAGTTTACCTACTCTGGAGGTTCGATTGGTGGCATATTCGTTGGGTCGGACGTTGAAGTCTCCGACGTATCAACCAACGTCTTGCAGAAGTTCATTGACGACCTCGATACAAATCTCATGCCTAGCCGAATAGTTTTTCAATTCTGTGGTACCGACTCCAGTCGCGGACTGGGTCTTGCTATTGATACTACTGGTGATTTCACCGGGTTAACAGAGATCATGCGCGGCTGGGATGAATCAAGATGCGCGGGGGGCTTTGACGGAACGCGTAATCTGTCGCAGTCTGTGAAAATGAAGACATTGCCTCAAATTACCCCTGGTAGCTCAGCATCCAAGAAGATTCATCACAGCTCACCCACCGGGCACAACTCATTACATCACAAATCATTACACCACCGTTCAACTTGCAAGACAACACAAGCCCAGGGTGGCGACAGCTGTAGCAGCATGGCAACGAGATGCGGCATCAGCTTGGACGAATTTTACAAGTACAACCCTGACAAGAGCCGTTGTTCTCCTGTGATAGTTGGCTCATACTTTTGCTGTGGTGCCGGGAATCTTCCTGACTTGTCACCAAAGCCCAACGCTGATGGCACATGTGCAAGTTACTACGTCCAGAAAGATGATTCATGCTCCAAGTTGGCTGCTGCCAATGACCTCACCATCAAAGATATTGAGAACTACAACAAGAATACATGGGGTTGGATGGGTTGTGGAGACCTTCAAGCACAACTCAATATCTGTCTAAGCTCCGGAGATCCACCGATGCCTTCCCTGTATGGGAATGCAGTATGCGGTCCACAGGTTAACGGTACCAAAAGACCGACCGATGGCACACCCCTTTCTGATCTGAACCCATGTCCGCTAAACGCCTGCTGTGATGTATGGGGCCAGTGTGGTATTACTTCTGACTTCTGCACAAAGACCAACTCCACAACTGGTGCTCCTGGGACAGCCAAAAATGGGACTAATGGTTGTATCTCAAACTGCGGTACAGATATCGTAAACAACGATGATCCTCCAAGTGAATTCCTCTCGATTGGATACTTCGAGGCATTTGATCAGGAGCGCGAATGTCTAAACATGGACATAACGAATTTTGATATCGGATCCTATAGCCATTTGCACTTTGCCTTTGCCTCAATCACAACAGACTATGATATCAACGTCACAACCGTTCAAGACCAGTTCGATAAGCTCAAGACCCTGAGTGGCGTCAAACGTGTCCTTTCGTTTGGCGGTTGGTCCTTCTCAACAGATGCTGACTCCTTCCCGATCTTCCGCAAAGGTGTATCAGATGCCAACCGGGCGCTTTTTGCCAAAAACGCCGCTAATTTCATTATTGATAATGGCCTTGATGGTATCGACTTTGATTGGGAGTATCCAGGTGCCCCTGATATACCTGGAATTCCTCCCGGTGATAAGGGGGATGGTGATCGCTACCTGGAGTTCTTAAAGCTGGTTCGCAAGAATTTGCCTGATAATAAGTCTCTCCCTTGCGGTGCCCGCATCGTTCTGGTACTTGAAAGGATTCCCAATTGGCAATATCTCGGAGACTGTTGATTACATTGTCTATATGACTTACGATCTTCATGGTCAGTGGGACTACGGACATCAATATCCGGACCCTGGATGTAAGTCTGGAGCTTGCCTTCGATCGCATGTCAACTTGACCGAAACGACAAGTGCTTTATCCATGATTACAAAGGCGGGGGTTCCGGGGTCAAAAGTCATCGTTGGTATGGCTAGCTACGGTCGTTCATTCGAAATGACTGAAGCGGGCTGCACAGGACCAAACTGCAAATATACAGGTCCACAATCGGGTGCCACTCCAGGAAGATGCACTAAAACGGCAGGCTATATAGCCAACGCTGAGATCAATGAGATTATTGATACCAACGATTCCGCTGAGAAGAGCTTTGACAAAGGAAGTGACAGCAACATCTTGGTATATAATCAAACTCAGTGGGTGGCATATATGGACGATACTACCAAGGATACCCGGACCTCTTATTATAAGGGGCTGAACCTAGGTGGTACGGTTGACTGGGCTGTTGACTTACAATCATTCACCGACGATTCTGGAGGCGGCGGTAATTCGTTAGACCAGCAGATTTTCTATGTCGATCCATCTGTTTGGGAAGACGACAATCCTGCAATGAACTGCGAGGCCCCTTGTGTTTTGGTTCTTCCGCCATGGCCCTTCGCACCAGGCTCTGTTTATCATCGTCCACCTCATACCACCACTCTTGACGTGGCTTGGAGCGTAAACGTCGATGTGACAGGCCCCAATGGGCATGTGACACCAACCCCTACTGTGTCGCGCGTTCTGCAAAAAACTACTATCTATCCGCCTGCTGGTAAGCTATTCCTTTACCCCCGTGCCGCTAAATGAGCCACAATAATCTGATTCATACCCAGTCACCCACTCGGAATTGCCCTTGGCAAATGTCAATATCACAGTCCCAATCAACGGGACAGGAAATTTGACTTTCGTACCCATTCCTCGCCTGCCTGAGCAAGTTGTTGTTATCGCAGACGATCCAAATCCCTTGTCTCAAAGTGGCGTTACCCATTCTAAAGTAACGCGAAGTGTGACTTTGCCCCCTTGGCCACACATCACGGATCTTTATATACCAGAAGATGTTGAAAATGGCAAGGATAATGACGACGACGACGATGAAGATGATGAAGGCAGTGGTTCCGACAGTGACAAAGATCAATTTCCGAAACTGCCTAAAGTCACTGTGACTCACGGAAAGGGAGGCCCAGGGCCATGTAAGAGTGGTTGTGGAACTCTTTGCGTGGGTCTATTCTGTGCGGGTAGCCATGGTGGCTCGGGTGGAGGATCATCTTCTCCTGATTTTGATCCGGACTTCGCTGATCCTATCGATCCTGATCCACCAGCTGACCCTAATGACCCCGACGAGTCCGAAACAGGTGATCCGGAGGACCCTGATGACCCAGATGACCACACCACCACAACAAGCTGCAGTGCATCCATGGTCACTGATTTCTGGGTTTCCTGTGCAACCAGCGGGACTTCGTCAACGTCGTGTACCACAACAAGCAGCATGATCGAAGTGGGATGCGATATCACTGCTGTCACCAGCACGACAGGAGTGCCAGTGTGCTATTCTCTAGATCCATATGAGGATCAGGGTCAAGACGGCGCGCTGGGTGCGATGTCAACTGTTAGCCTTACGCCTGTGACGAGTCCTGGGGCACCTTCCGCAACTACAACCACTGCTGAACATACGACAAGTACAACGAAAAGTTCTGCCACCACAACATTCAGCCCCACAGGGTTACCCGACGGTGAGGACGCTGAGTTGACTATCATGGCGTACGAAGAGATTGATCAAGGAAGGTCGACATGGTACTGGGTTGGGGATATTATATCATACCGGGACGCTTCTAATGAGGATGATACCTGCAATGGTGATCATTGCGTTCTCCAGGGGTTTAGGGGTTTAGGGGTTTTAGGGGTTAGG